GGTGTCTAGGGTCACGGCGTAAACAGTTGGGCCATATTCCTCACCAATCCTTGCTCATCGCGACAACGCTTTCCTCCAGACCATCCCATCCCTTGCCTTTCACCCAACGCAATACCTCCTCCGCCCTCGCCGTTGGCGGCGTTGTCCTGTCCTTCTCCAAGCCTTGTACCTTCTCAGGGAGCGCCTTCTCTGGATGATGCTTCCGGTATATCGAAAGCAAATCATTGACGTCCCAGCGCTCAGCATAGCCAAACAGTCGCTCACTGTTCACATCCTCATGGATCAAAGCTGAGATGTGTAGCAGAGCGGTGTCGAGGACCGATATGAACCATTGGGGAGGAACGTTGCTGACATAGCCTTCAAAGTTTTCGCCGGTCCATGCCGCGCGGGCCCAGTCGATTGTCGATGGGTAACCTTGGTGGTCGGGAATGAGCACGGGGCCGAAGTTTGCGTTCGGAAGCTAAGTAATCTCAGTAACGCATACAAAGCAGGAGAGGAATGCACGTACGATGCTATTCATGACAAACCCAGGTTTATTCTCCTTCATCCACGCCCACATCGCCTTCTCCGTCTCACTCTTCATTGCCGCATAGATCATGAAATTCCTCTTACTCGACTCCTCCACTCTAGCCTGTTTCAGGACTTCGTCGTTGTACATACTCTCGTCGAGTGGAAAGTCGTGGTCGATGAATTTTGGCATACTCACGGCAGCGGACGAGGAGGTGTTGACGAAGCGCTTGACCGATGTTGTCTTTGCTGATGCTTTGAGAGCATTGATACCTGCGTTCCGCCCAATATCGAGAGCTAGGTCGAGATCCAGTATGCCGCCGACGGGTGAGGCGACGTGGATGAATCCTTCGACGCCTGTTACTTTTAGTCAGTGGCCGCGCTTCAGTTGTGGAGTGAATTGAATTTAATTACCTTCGAGGAGATTATCATAGCACCCTTCAATCGTCATGTCCGGTACCTCGACCACTTCGAAATTCTCACTCCCGAATTTGCTGTCGAAATACTCTTTCAACCACTGCGTCTTCTCCACGTTCCTCACGGCGCCGCGGACCTTGTATCCTCGAACAAGTAGCTGATCCACGATGTAGCTACCAATTAATCCATTGACTCCTGTTACAAAGACAGTTGCGCCGGGTTTGACGACTACTGAAGACATTGTGCGTGTAGCGCTCAGGGGGCGGGGTCGATGATGAAGTAAGCAAAAAGGGGTTTGCGATAAAGTCTCGTAAAACGACCCAGAAAATTTACATCAGGTGTCGCAAGATGTGAACAAGTGTTCTTGAGATGGAGAGATGTTTTCCACAAGTGGGTGAGCTGAGACACGAAGGTTAAATAGTCGTGGTGGGTGTTCGAATGAGACCCGGATCTAGCTGGTTTGAGTAAGAAGCGCGTCACAAGCGATAGTTACAAGGTCACTTGCGAATTAGTCAGGCTTGGAGCTCATGTAGGGTTTGTAATGCATCCTGCTTATGGTATTAATAACTGATACGCTTATCTCCACCTCTTAACTTCGGTCAGCGAACACACGCAGAAGATATTCTCAGTGCTTCTTGAGGTCTTGCTACGACCTTACAAACATGCAACTTGACTCGGTATGATTTCAGTGAATGTATGCATGAATAGGTATGACGGGTATGCATCTTTTGCTTATTTGCATGTGTTGCTCGGCCCCGATCACTCATAGATGAAACAAATTGCGCCAGAACTCATCCGCGTTGTAAAGACGGGGCACGAGAAACGAAGCATCCCAATGTCAGTGACAGTCATCTCGATAACCTCTACTACAGTGGACAAATACAGCATGTTAAGACGTCGATACAAGTCACATGTACGTATTTGTGATGCAATTACCACCTGTCACCGATCCACATGATATGAATATATAGTCCATTAGAAGGAACAGCCATGTTCATTATCGTCTAGCATTTCGTTCTTTGGAGCAAAGAGTGTGGGTCTAAGTTAATGCACCAGAGTTTCGAGAAGCAGAACTCTTCTAGTCCCGTTCTAACAGCAACACGACATACACTGTTTTGGCCAGCTATTTTGAGCACTTGCTTCCAGGCATCCTGTACCTCTCACTTCTTTTAAAGAAGCCAGACCATTAATAGACAATACTTGGAAGTAAATAGCAGTATACCAGGCGTATGATGGAACTACCAGGTACAGGAACTTGGGGCTTTCCAAAACGATGCGTCAAGAGAGCGTCGCTGAATTTCCTAAAGTCGGACTCTCACCATTCATAGCAACCGATTTGCGACGCGCAATGCATCCATTTTGAAGTGAGCTTTTGAGAATAAGAAAAGGCAAACATGGAACGTCGAGTTCCAAATTTTTCGTATTGGATGCACAAAGCGTGGATGTAAGAAGATGCGCTGGAAGCTGCAAGAAGTAGAGTTTTTATACTACGGTTCTGACCCCAACACGGCATGCAGTGTCGATGACACCTTTTCGGATATTTGCTTCCACATCTATTTACTAAACCATATCTTGGAGGGGAAAGCATGTACAATACTTAACAACATGTTGTGTCCATTTGAGGTTTTGGAAAGTACATACCATCGAATGGAATGCTGTTTGTTTTGGAGTAAGCATCCTTCTGGCGGGGAAAAAGAGCGCAGACATTGAGCAAATGCTCGAGTGCTTCGGAGGTCGGTATTGTGAGGTGATGAATGTAAAAAGAAACAGAACAGGTGAGGAAGCTTTTATACACCATCGAGCCACATCTGCTGTCTGCATACTGACAAAGATAGTAGACCATTGACACTCATTTCGAGCCTTGAAGGCCAAAGCCATGCGCATGTACGCTGACCTTGTTCGCGCAAGACCCATCGCACATTCGTCCGCTTCTTTTTCGACCGCGGCCCTGGCAGAGACGCTCTGCTGCCTTAGTGGTCACTGATTACAGCCCAATAATATGCAATATGATACTGTCTCTTGCAGTGTTTGGAACATTAGAGACGCAGATTTTGGACCGTCGTGAAACCATAAGATACTATCGTCAGCTATTTTGCAACATCCGGCCTAGCTATGCGCATTTTGTACATTTTGGATGGTAGCAAGGCTATAAGGTTCGTGAGTAGATACTTTTGGAAACACCGCGGGCACTCGATATAGAATTCTTCCACATACTTTTTGGATGCACGCTCAGAAGCACAACATGTACTGAATTCTAAGGTCTTTTCGAGAAAGAGCCAGAGCAACACATGACTGTGATCCACGATAAGCAAAGAGCTTTCTGAGACATGTAGTTGAACCCGAAGCAATTTGGTGAGATTTCGTACGGCATGGGGGTTGGGAGGGGAAAAAAAAGAAAAATTGAGGGTTGCGGAGGCGTATGTACTCCAAAAGAGGCCAAGAGACGCACATTAGGACTCAGTGTGGCAATGTAGAGGCTTTGCAGACCAGACGAAGGATTACGTACACTCCCTACTCGCTCGTCGATTATCACAATACATATATACATCATATAATTTCCATTTACACTCAAAAGTACCCTACAATCATAATTTACAACTTTCCTCTACTCTTCTCCATCTCTTCCTTCAAAACCATCCCAACCGGTCCACCCCGACTCCCATCCCCCTTCCATTCCTCCTCGGGCACCCTCTGCTCGGGCCACTCCCACTTCCCCTTGAAATCCTCCGGCGTTCGTCCCTCAATGCATTCCAAAATACTATCTCCAATGACCGGCAAAAACTTGAACCCATGACCCGAGCCGCCCGTAGCCACAAACAGTCCCTCATATTTCGGATGGTAGGATATCAAGAAATCGCCATTCCGTGTATCCGTGTACCAGCATATCTTCGACTTTGTGAACGGACGCGACGGCGTTGCAAGCGAGGGATGGATCGAGGTGAGGAAGTCGCGGCATTGTTTTTGGCCTTCGTACGGGACTTGTTGCGATGGGTCGTCGACGTGTGTGTACGGTAGGGAGATCGTGATTGTCTCGTTGGGGTCTTCGGATTCGGGATGGGGGATGGTTGTAGGGTTGATGTAGCCATGGCCGTGACGAGCTACTTTGAGCAGACCGTTGGATGGCGGGATCATGAAGAGGCCGTGGGAGAGGTTGAGGACCGTGGGGCGCTTGGAGAGTGCGGCTTCTTCGGAGGGGGAGATGGGCATGTAGCATAGGACTTGGCCGGTCGCTTTGCAGATGCCGCGCAGATCGATGAGGGAGGCCGACCAGGCGCCTGCCGCGAGGATGGTGAGGTCTGCTTTCAGTTCGGTAGAGTCGCTCAATCGGACGCCAGATACGGTACTGGTCTTGTGGTCGATCAGGAGCTTCTTCACGCTCGCCTCCACAAACTTCACCCTGCCCAGTTTCTCGACCAATTCCCGGAGCCACATCATTGCGCCTTCAGCGTTTGCCCAACCGGAGCTCCAGTTGACATATCCGGTGCTGCCACTGCCCCATTCGTCTTTCCCTTCTAGCCCACATACTCGCCTGATGTCCTCTGGTGACCGCAGCACCTCAGTCTTATCCGAACCAATAGCATTGACGTTCGCCAGGGACTCTGACACGTACTTCTGCTCGGGACCCCATGCCGTCACAGCGAGGCCCACCTCATGGTACTGTTCTGGTGCGAAGTCTGTTCGCCAACGTTTTTGCGCAACGGTCGCGAGGCGTGTGTAATGGGCAGCGGCGTAGTCGGGACGAATTATGCGGGACGTATCGATCTGCGCGACGAATTGAGCTCCTATCGCGAGCAAAAGAGGATTGCGTGCCAAATTGTAGGCACTTCAAAGGCACAACGTTGAAGCTAGGCACAATGTGAGATCTTTAGACTTACACTTGAGCCATCCGGAGTTGGGAATGGCTGGCGGTCTACAACAGTGATTGTGGTATTTGCATATCGACTATTTCTACACAGCGCCCATGCTGTGGACAAGCCAAAAGCGCCGCTTCCAACGATTAAAATGGATGAAGGTATCTCAGACGAAGACGAAACCATGATTAGAGTACAGGAACAGAAGAGATGGAGTCAATTGAATGGCAGGACACTAAAGACATAAGAAATCTACTCACCAAATCTACGCACCGACCATTGTGCAAAATGTTATCTCAGGTGGGCCGATGTCGTTCTCAAGGCGCGTCTGCGGCGCGTCGGCTGGGCACGGTTCAAACCTCGTGGCAGGTGCAGGAGCTTGGACGCGTACCAGGCGATCGGTTCGCGTGGGACAACCTACCTAAGTAGGCAACTCTAAACGTGACCTAACCAATATCTACTTCCACCCCAACCTGACTTCCGCTTGCATTGAACTGATCGTTGGCTAAGCTGCTCTGAAGATCTCAAAGTTCAACATAAGCTTCTTGATGTCGAAAGCGAGACTAACTTCTAGGACACTCACCAGATCTTTCTGCCACATGAGGCAAACTGCCACGATAGACTTCTCGTTGTCGACCGTGTAGCTCCTATACAGTTCGGCCAACATCTGACGCGACCCGCTATGACCCAGGTCTTGCATAAGTTGTCGGAAATCCCTTGAATTTGACTATACCGCCAGAAGAGGCGATTCGTGCCCGCCCTGTATCATGTCGATCAAGATCGATTCTCGGGGGAGCATTGTTACTTCATAATACTGCCTCCTCACTTGGAAAGTTATTGCCCAATAATCATGGTTTTAATGGCAGTGGTGTCAATTTGTACTTGAAATGCCCTTCTTAGGCAAGAAAGCGTAGAATGAGAGTACCTTCGGCTTCAATTGTGTTTGATGTCTTATACATTTTGGTAATGCCCGAGGTATTGTCGCTAGAAGCGCTCTACCCTCTTATTGTGTACCCCTGGAAATAATATCGAAAAAACATGGGTGCTCTTTTGACAAAAAGCTGATCGATACAATTAATCAATACTTCGTTGATTGATGCCACAACTTCGTGTCTACCCAGGTAGCTCGAGGATGTTTCGCATCTAATTCCCGTTCACAGAAGGAAGGCATAGATCGTTATTTTCTCCTTCGTACGAGGGTAAAGAGTAGCGCCGAACAGGAGTCTAGAACTGCTCTTTATTCTGGGGTAGCTGAGGTGTAGCAGTGCACGCTGATCGAAGGGAGATTCGCTTAGAAACGGTCGGTCGCTAACCAAGTGGGGAAGTGTAAGCGCAAAAAGTTTCCTGGAGATTCTGCAACGCTTTCGACAACATCGCCGTTTGCACAACTACACCAACAACTCGTTCCGCAACGAGTCAATTGCACGCCATGGCCAAAATACCAAAGCCTCCCAAGTCAATACCAACGAAACGCACACTTCCAACACCGTCGACACGCCGACAATTGCCCCGAGGGCAGTCCGCCGCTGAGCCACTACTACGCAGACCCGAAGCTACACCGAAAGAAAACTGGCAGAAAGTGTGGTCAGAGAGGCCGAAATTGTCGGACTTGCAGAGGTTATCCGACGAGGAACTCAAGTCAGCACAACACCAAGCGAAACTGCGGAGATGGCGACAATGGCCCATGTTTGGCATTGGGCTGATCGCGTTTGGATTGGGCACGTACGGCTCGATGCTGTACGTGTCGCTGACTCATGATGTCGAACTCAAGAACCTGCCGGCAGACCTCTCGGATCGCTTTGACCGGGAAGCCGAGGGCTACGACGAGAAGGTCGATATGTCGGAAACACTATTGCTCCTCACATCGAGGCGCAAGAAGCTCACGGCCCAGGCAAAGGGTCATGTGCTGGAAGTGGCGGTTGGCACGGGTAGAAACATCCCTTACTACAACACAAAGCAGTGTGCGACAGTGACATTGCTTGATGCAAGCGGGCCGATGTTGGCAGTCGCGAAGCGGAAATGGAACGACACTCACAAAGAGTACTTCAGCCGTGTCTTTTTCAAGCAGCAGTCCGCGCTGGAGCCCATGGTCCCGCCGTTCGACGCGCAGCAGGGCTACGACACAGTGATACAGACCATGGGCCTTTGTTCGACGCCGGAGCCCGTGAAGCTGTTGCAGAACATTGAAGCGGCTACGAATGAAGACGGCCAGATACTGCTGTTAGAGCACGGCAAGTCGCACTACGATTGGCTGAACGGGCTGCTCGATAAGACGGCGCCTGCACATGCCGACGAGCACGGCTGCTGGTGGAACAAAGACATTGGCAAGATTGTCGAAGAGAGCGGGCTGGAGGTGGTCGATATCAAGCGCTACAACTTCGGTACCACTTGGTGGCTCCAGCTGAAGCCGCGGAAGGGCATGCGGCAGAGGCTTGCCGGTACACTTGCGGTCGACCAACCGCCCGTTGCGCAAGCCGAGCCCACGGTAACACAACAGAAGTCGTCGTGGTCGCTCTGGCGATGAAAGGCGTCGTACCACTCCACCCCACAAGTTTAGCCTGCTGCACTGCACCGCAACCAGTAAGGCATAATCTAAACAATGAACTCGCAGGCAGCTGTGTTCGAATAAGGTTCATGTCGATGGTGAGGTGCGACCGCGACGTCAGATAAGATACGTCGTTATGATGTTGTACGAGGGGTTTCGCCCGAAATGGTCGATCCCCAGAAATGGGTTGCTTGCTCCGCAGAAGGTATCCCGAAATTCGTGGATCCACGGTCAGGATTGCGGAGAACGCACCATCGATTCGCTTGTGGCACGGCACAGCAAACCAAGTATCAAACCTTGGGCAAGTCAGCCTTGGGTAGTCCACCACCAGCTTATCATCTGGGCAGGCAATATGGCGCTTGCGTGTCGAGAGATGGCAACTTCGTATCGTCGAACGATAACGCAGGGCAACCGCAATGCGGAGCTCCCAACGCTCTGTTCACCGCTGACATGCATTCAATTCACACCTTGCTCGGGCGGCTGCATGGCAAACGTAGGACAGCAAACAGAAGTCTCACCGTCTCTCTGAGCAGCTTCCTTTTCACGCAAGGCTTCGTCTGGGGAAGGCGGAGCGCTTCCGCAAGACTGTGTGCCAACAGCTCGAATCGCTCAAGTTCGACGCGCGACCTTCCTGCTCCCCACAAAAAGTGACGCTTCCTGCGCATGCATACCGGACCTGGCGTTAGGCGCCTGGCCCGAAGGAGGAAAGACAGGCGTGCGTGCCCTGCCAATCATGGCGGTAGTGGCACGTCGCGTGTGTGGTGTTCGAGAATCCAGCCGACGGCGATGCGCTTGTCGTGAGACAAACATCAGCAAAAGCCTGCGCGTCAACGTCTACTAGAATCAGGGAGGAACGAGAGATGACTGCAACCCCATCACTCCGACGAACCAATGCGCGACGAAGTAATTCAGCGTTGCCGAGGCCTTGCCGAATGGCAACACCCGGACAAAGAAAAAAAATCTAGAAAAAAAAGAGTACTCACCGCCCCAGGAAGGCCCTTGCAGGCGTTGAGGCTAAATCCACTTGTGATGCTAGGCGAAGCAGGGATGCCTGCATGTTGGAGCAAGATGCCATGCACGCAGCTTCAGATCACGGAAGTCGTCCAACCACTCGCATCGAGCGTGTATGCCCGCTTGGGGAACGGAAGGCGGTCAAGGTGAAAGACAGCTGGAGAGTGTTGGCTCGGCTCGATTGCAGATAGAGGAAAGGAAGTGCGCGCATTAGATTAACGACATAATGAGGTCACCTTGATCGGTGCGCCCGTAAGCTGGCAAAACTTTCGACTTGCACATGCAGATGCATTGGCACTGGTACTGGCGTTTTCTAGTAAGGGCGGGTTGGTTCGTGATAAACCTTCGCGATGGTGTCAGAACTGTGTACATCACAGCACGATCCCCACGGTGTTGAGTTTCGCGAGAGCACGTCTGACGCTCGGGGCGAGGTTCATACTGCGCCCAATGCTCCACGCAGCCAGCGATTCAAGATGGATGCTGAGGGTGCAGGCGCGCGGGATTGGTCGGGCGAACGAGGCATGTGCCAGACGTTGAAGCGGGTGTCCGGTGAGGCCATGCTTTTGCCCGTAGAGTCTTTTGCTTTTCAGGACCTCAACGTCTGCTGCTTGCCGCCAGCCACGGCAGCGTTGATAGGACCGTCGACTTCTCTAGCCCCTGGCGACCCGAGCCAACATGGCAGAGATGGCTCTAAAACGAGTCTAAAAGTAGCATGGCATCATACCCCTACACATTCACTCTTCACGCACGGTCGCCTAGCCAGGCCCTAGTCGGGCTTCTTCACGAGTGCTCCACCTGAGACTCCGTTTCTTCCCTCATCGTGCCCCCCTCCATTCTTCACTGAACTCTCCCAGGGACCATTGTCACCTGTGTTCATCTTGCCTTTCTGCGTGCACTTTTTGTTGTGGTTCTGCAGTTGTCTAGAGTGCTTGCCATCGCTAGCTAGGCTCCCGTCTGAAAGGCAGCCCAGTGGTCATTGCGCAGTTACGTATTCACTGCTCAGGAGGCGAGTCGCGCAGCTTGTGAACGAACGAGTGTCGCCGGCCTGCACCGCAGCTTCCTTCATCCATCACCTCCGCGGTCAGATTAATCGGACGCCTCTTGCAAAGGCCATCTCGTGCTGCAAACGTCGCACGCTACGCCTTGCATACATAACATCCGGCTTCTGGGTATTTGCTGCACAGTCGCTGCGCCAGGTGCATTCCGGGACCAATCGTCGACCCTGGCATCCCATCCATTACAGCAACAACGAATTTGGTTGCATCCCTCCTGCCAGCCTAATAATTTCTCCCTTTCCTGCGAGCGAGCGTCTTTCTTCTCTCGCCATTTCTGCCGTTATTTGCGTGCGACACATTCAACATGGGCTACAACACACGGCGCAAGTCGTTGTCGCTGCCGTCGCTCGGCATCCACCTCCCAGGAGCCTCGCGATCATCCGCGCGCTCACCGCCTTCAACAAGCGACGCCCACCACCCGGCGAAGAAGGTCAAACGCACACACTCCAACTCGACATCCGCCATCACATCGCCGTCCCGCCCAATCGCCCTGCGCTTCGATGAGTCGCGACCAAAATCCTCGGGACGGGTGGCAGACACCCCGCCACCATCGCCCGGCGGCGAGTCCAGGCAGGCAAAAGTCGACACCCAGGGCATCGACGATGAAATCGTCGTCGGCGTGATCGAACAGCTCGAGAAGACGGGCAACCGCCCCCACCTGCTCAAGGAACTGGCCTTGGTTCTCTCGCCCACCATTCCCATTGTCGAGAGGTACGTACCTGCACCACAGGCTGCATCGCGCAGATGGTCTTACTCATGCTGACATGCAACAGCTCTGCGAACCCTGCCGCCATCATCTCGTCTCGCCTCGCGACGTACCTGAAGCGCAATTGGACAGCCCTGTCGCGCTGCCCGCTCGATAAGAAACTTGTCGGCACCCACCCGAAGCGCATCTACTACTTTCTCAGCACGTGCCCGCACCAGCCCATTCCTACAGATGGCGGCAATGCTGCAGCTGCCGCACGGATCATCACGCCGTCGCTGTCGTCCGCTGCCTCCGAGGAGGAGGATCTCGATGCGCGGTCGCGGGATCGCATGTCGCCCTCTCCCGAGCTCGACCTCTCCGACTACGATGAGAACAGCGTCGACCCGTTCTCGAACCAGTCGCATCCTCCGACCACTGCGAACATTGCAAACAACCGCCGCGCACAATCGCCGCCTTTAGAAAAAGACGAGCGCGAGTTTACACAGACCGCCTCGTTCCTCCAGCAAAGACGGAGAAGCCAGGAGCTCGAGCGCGAGCGTTCTGCCAGTGCTTCCGCCTCTGCCTCTGCCTCTGCTTCCGCCTCCACCGAATCTACCACCAGCAGCGATGTCGCCATGGAGGAAGTACACACGAGCATCGAAGAGACAGAAGAGAGCGCAGCGCGGAAGAACTCCGAGATTGCTGTCGCACTCTTCGGCCACATGGACCCTGCTACTGCTTTTGCCCCGAGCAGCCCTGCATTAAAGCCAGTGCTACACATCGAGATGCCTCCCCCGGCTTTCAAGCCTCAGGCGATACAGCTTGACCTTGAAGACCTGGACTGGACCATGAAGAGTCCCGAGACCATTGAGCTCGATGAGCTCGATGTTCTATTCGGCGAATACTAGGTCGCTAATTTCTCACTTTTCGGACCATCTACTCAGTATACGATTTACGAATTTCCTGCACGCGTCTCGTTACTCCTTTCTACGAACTGTTATTACTATCTCATCTTATTCCTTTTGCGCGATCGTCCTAGATTTCGCCGCTCGCGCTGCATCATACACTCTGGAGTGGTTGTTGTAATACAGGCTGGAGTTCAGTGGCTGGTGTTATGGGATCACTGGCGCTGGATGATGACTACTTGTACCATTAGCTATGTTTGAGTGTACGAATGCTGCGTCAGGGATTGGACTCGAGACACTGGCTGTCTGCTAGACACAATCTTGACTGGCGTTATTTGTTTCTGGACTGGATAGGCTAGGCGGGAAAAGCGAACTAAAATGCTCGTGATGGTTTCGCTACAGAAAAGCGCTGAATAGTCAAATTGAAAAACAGTTTATATCTTCATACACCGCACATTCTAGTCCGTCTATTTCATGAGGGGTATTACTAGACTACCGGTACGGCGAGTAGCTGGCGAGCGAGGATGGCCCTTGCATTCACCGCAACTCGACCGTATAACAAAGCGCGACATTATGTAGGCGTCTTTCCTCACTGCACCTAACGTAAAGCTCGATGCACAACTCATCAAGAAAACTGGGGCCCTCACCGGCTCGGAACCTTCGCGCCCAAAGGCGTTGTGGAGCCGCATCGACTCGGTGAACAGATCATCCTTGACTACCAGAGCTTGGCGCTAGGAAGGTGAGGAAGTTGCGGTCGGGGATTACTGCCGCCTCACTTTGGAGGAACAACTGCAAAGGCCGCACAATGCCATTTTAGCGGTGCGCACGAACAGGTGATCTGCCAGACATCCATTGACAATGACTTTGAAGCAAGCCAGCCACACAGTTCGCAGAAACGAATCTCATCTCACAGGTGGCTGGGTGGTCAGATCGCCTGCTCGCCCAATGATCTGAGCCCAAGCACAAACCACAACAGGACGACGCCCAACTCGCATGTAAGAGCACGCCGGTGCGCATGCGCGCGCGATCATTGTTTACATTCTTCCCACTTGCAAACACATGCGTCATTGACGGTACTCGAAAACACTCCTGCACTGCGTCGTGAAGTTGCCGCAGGTTCCCGCGGCTCACGATTTCGCTTACCATAGCGCTGCTACCCGGCTGAGGACATTCGCAATAGTAAAAGGAGAAGGCTGGCGATCGAGAAAGAGCTGCGTATAGGAGAGAAAAAAAAGTCATCGAAAGACCATCGCGATACCAAGACTGGACGTTAACTAGATTGGTCTGTTTTGCATACGTGGTCAACGGCAAGACGACAACCTTCGTGGTCGGCATCGGACAGCGCATATCATTACCGCCTATCTGCCGACATCTGATATTCGACTCACGCCCACACCCACGCCGCAACAGTTTTCACACTGTCTGACGACAAGCTCGGCCACGTCCAGGGGTGGCTCGACCACACTGAAGTGGCCTCTAGTAGCGAAACCGAGTCCTTCCGCACTCGATCACCGCGATCAAGTGTTTCCTCAAGTATCTCGAAGAGGAGCAAGAGAAGGCCTCGCGCAATGTCTGTCGCACCGTCAAGAGTATCAAGAGCAAGGAGTAGGAGTCGGGCACCGAGTATGATGGCTCCGATGGGTCCGGCGCCAGTGATTATAGATGCACCGCCTCGGCATGCAAAATCACCACTAATTGTCGATGTTCCGCCGAGTAGGCCGAAGAGTCGAGCACGGAGTCGAAGTGTGGGCAGGAATGGACCGCTGGCAATGGAAACGCCAGGCCTGAGCGGCGGAAGAGGCATGTTCAAGAGGTTGATTGTTGCATGCGACGGCACGTGGATGGATTCAGATGACGGCAGCAAAAATGGCAAAATCGCGGTTCCGACCAATGTCACGCGGATATCAAGAGCTATCAAAGCGGTCAGTCAGGACGGTGTTCAGCAGATTGTCAACTACCACGCCGGTGTTGGGACGGAAGGGTCAAAATTATCTCGCTTCGTAGGAGGTACGGTTGGGAAGGGCCTCTCGGAAAACGTCCGAGAAGCATACTCTTTCCTGGCGAACAACTACCACCACGGCGACGAAATCTTCCTCCTGGGCTTTTCAAGAGGCGCGTTCACTGCTCGTAGCATCGGCGGTCTTATAGGTGAGATCGGACTGCTCACAAAGAAGGGCTTGAACGCACTACCAGAGGTTTATAACGATGTCCAACACCGCCGAGACGAAAACTACGTTCCAGCACATCCCGATATTCCCTTCACACGGAAACCCAGCGCATCTGATCCACGATACGCACACGAGCTGGAACGAAGAGGCCTAACCCGTCTCGATATTCCTATCAAAGTTATCGCTGTTTGGGATACTGTTGGCTCACTCGGTATCCCACGCATCGGATTCTTCCAGCGCGTTGGCCTGCAAATGCGCGAGTCACGTGCAACGACCTTTTACGACACAAAGCTCGACAACTGTGTAGAGAATGCGTTCCAAGCGCTCGCTCTGGATGAATCGAGGTCGTCATTCGCGCCAGCGGTGTGGGAGAAACCTGAAGGAAATCGCACAACGTTACGGCAAGTTTGGTTTCCTGGTGCGCATGCCAATGTAGGAGGTGGATATGACGATCAACAGATTGCGGATATCAGTTTAGCTTGGATGATGAGCCAGCTTGAACCGTTTTTGGATATGAGGGATGAATACTTGTTTGAGCAAGATGAGCAAAATGAGAAGTACTACAAGAAGACGGAAGGAATAATACGGCCTTGGAGTTTTGGACGCATATACAGCGAACTGACTGGCCTTTTTGCCTTGGGCGGTAGCACCGTAAGTCCTAAGCACATTGACACGGCGTTTAGCGTCTCTAATAAACTTTAGGTGCGCAAACCAGGCCACTACACCGCAGTAGATCCGAACAACGGTAAAGCCACAGATCGCCCTCTCCGCCAAACAAACGAATACATCCACCCTTCCGTCCGGACGCGCTACAAGCTCGAAGGTCCCGGTGTCCAAGACCGCGGCGCATACGAAGCCCGTGGCCTAACAGAAAACTACCGCCTCAACGTCGACTACGGCCCAGACATCGCCAAAGTATCATCCGGCGACCCCGAAATCTTCTGGAAAATCCGGTCCCGCGACACATACGGCGTCCGCACACTCCCCGAAGCGCCCCTCTGGCGCCTCGAACGCGAACTCGCGCGCAAAGACCCCAAAATATACGACTACTACAAGCGCCCGCCGGCCACGCAGACTACAAAGAAGTCACGACGCGCCCCGCGACCCTTGAGCGCGGATATGGGATCCAGAGTTGCGAGCACGTTGGTGAGTCCAAAGAAAATTGGCAGGAGGGAGACGTTCAGTCCAAGATCGACGTTTCCGGCGGAGGATCGGGGGGCGAGGCGGAGTAGTGGGATGGTGGCGGAGAAGAGGACGAGGAGTCGGGCGAGGAGCGCGAGCTTTGATGATCGCGAGACGGTGATTCGGGAGGAGATGCCGCATCGGCGGGAGAAGGATCGGGCGTGGTGGGAGGGCATGGGGAGGAAATAGAGGGCGGTTGAGGCTGGATTGAGAGTGTTGGTGGGATAATAGATGGGGAGGGGGGGTTGTGTAGAAAGAGATGGGATAGTGAGGATGGAGATGAAGATGTTGGGATACCCTTGTGTTTGGCACGACTAAAATTATAATTTTCATGGTATTTACTGGGTCGAAGGACTTAGCAAACGGGCATCGATGGGACCAAAATTTCATTTTGAAATCGTTCAAATATGTTTTCTCATGCTCCAGAGTTATCACATGACAAGCACGTGCTCCAACTTGACGCATGTAGATACCTCCCTCTTTCTCGCCTCTTCTTCTTCCCCATCACTGACAATACGTTGTTCCACTTACCAAAATAGGTTCGTCGGCAAGCTATGTCCTGTCCTCCTTTCCCGAAACTCACTGAAACCAAGGGTATGGCAAGGTCCCGAGGTCCACTTCCCCAAGACACCACTTCCACCCACTTATGCTCCCAAAGAACAAGAGGCACCTATAATCTGCTGTGACTTGTCTCTTTCCAAAACCAGCCAGGAAGAGAATGATGGCTGCGCTGCTGTCTGTCGACTCTATCTAAAACGTTACTATGATGCGCCTTTGACACTAAAAGAATGGAATGCACTCATGATGTTCTGTGTCTCCCCTTTCCAAAACTACATGGAGAGAGACGCATGTGTGTGTGCTGCTGTCTGTCGACTCTTCTACCTACCTCCACTTCTCCAAAACGACACTACACTGCACTTTGCCCTCTCAAAAAATTAAAAAAATAAAGACCACCGACCTGAAATGTTATCTGTTTTTTTTTTCCTGCTAAAACTAAGGAAACTAGGTAATGGTGACGTGGTCGCGTCTACACGCCTGAAAGCAAACAACATGGACGTATATTACTCGAGTTCAATCTCCAATACAATGTGTATGAACCGAGCGCCCAGCGCTACATCAAATTCACCAAGACCGAGACATAAAACAACCACAAACATTCAAAGCCAAAAATTATATACAAGAATCGTGCCAAAAAAAAAGAAAAAAAGAAAAGCGAATGGAAGTGTTTGTGTGTGTAAATACAAAAGCAATACGAGCCAAAAACCGTGGGATATCCAGAGAAGCGAAAAACCATCCAACCCAACCCAGCCACTCACCAACGATCAATCGCCTTCTGCGGCAACAACATATCAAGCACACCTACAAAGCATTCCAAATTCATCATCCTCACCCTTACTTAAAACGTCCCCTCCCCATCCCCACCCTCATGCATCAAAGAATACAGTCCCATCGCTCCTCCAGCTCTCCCTCGGAATGCGATCCCGCAGCCACCCCAGCACCGCCTCCGTCCCCTTCTGCAGTACATTCCAGCTCGGCACGCGGAACTTGTTACCCTCGACGTTTAAGCTGGTCAGACTGCCCTGCAATAAGCCGATCTGCGGTTCAAGCCGCTCGATGTCGTTGTTAGCCAAGTTGACGATCTTGAGGCCGTCGAGAGAAGGCGCGGGGACTTCGCAAATGCGGTTGTCGGATGCGATGAGGGAGATGAGTTGCGGGTAGGTGCTGCGTAGAGGGGGCAGGGTGCCGAGGAGGTTGTTGTTTGATACGTCGAGTGTTTGGAGAGCGGGGGCGGCGAGGAAAATGATTAGCGGGTCGAGGGAGGTGAGTTTGTTGGCGGCGAGGCGGAGCTCTTTGAGTTTAGGGAGGGAGAGATGTGATGTGAGGGCTGTGGCGATGGAGTTTCGCGAGAGGTCGAGGACGGTGAGGAATGTGATGTGCGATAGGGAGGGTGGGATGGAGTCGAAGGCATTTTGCTGGAGGTTGAAATGACGAATGGTGTCTGCGAATGCAAGGACAGCGTCTTCGTCTAGCGAGCTCAGGGTCTTGGATGAGAGGTCGAGCGTACCGGATGGGGTGACTTCCCAGCCGAGTACGTTCTCGACAGCACCTTCGGCCGTGAATTCAGTTCCGTCCTCGTCGGCTTCAGCAAGATCTGCTGGCAACCTGGAAGCAAGATCTCGCTTTATGTCTTCGAAAGCCATGGTCAAGAACTTGCGCTCTCGGAGTGGGTTGGCAGCAAGTGTTAGGTGCTCTAGAGACATAAGCGCGATCCTCTCATCGATTTGTGATATATCGTTGGCCGTGAAGTCAGCAGTACGGAGCTGAGATAATGTTGTGAAGCCCTCTGGGAATGCAGTGAGCTTGTTCTCCGCGACAATAAGGGCCTGCAGATTGGTCCATGACTCAACACTGGGTAATGAGGCAAGCCGGTTCATGGAAACATTGAGCGTCTTCAGAGCGGACAAGTCAATACTGTCGCCATCGCACAGTGTCTTCAACGAACAGTTCGAAATATTCAGCTCTTGTAAGCTGGTCGCAGAAGTGACCCTGAAGAATGAGCCCTCGAAGGGGTTCTTGTTCGCAATGAGCTCCATCAGAGCAGTCTCAAAAAGCTCCATTGGGACCCTGGTCAGCTGGTTGCTGGCGACGTTCAACAGACGAAGACTCGTCAGTTGTCGGATCTCATTTGGCAGACTTGTCAACTTGTTGTTTTGCAGCTCCAGAATTTCTAGCGAGGCCAAGTTGCCAATGTTTGCTGGCAGATCACCTTCCAGCTCATTCTCTGCGATCCTCAATTCGCGAAGACTGGTGATATTTGATATGACATCAAACACATCCATAGAAAGTTTGTTTCGTGTCTACACCCAGTCAGCAAAATAATGTTTGTGGCTCAAGGACAATACTCACAAGGTTCAGTCGCGAGAGCTGCGTCAGACGTGTCAGGCCCATAGGCAGCTCTCGAAGGATGTTTCCATGCAAATCCAGATTCTGGACTGCACCAAATTGGGGGCCACCGTCATCCGAGTCGAGCATGGTCTCAAAGTCGACGTCGGGAAACATGGATTCAGGCAGTGCTTCGAGCTCGTTATCGGCAGCAACAATAGTGGTGAGGTCGACAATTTCGCCCCATGCGACAGTCGTATCATTTGGATCGTACTTGTACATCTGAAGTACATCATCAGGTATCTCCTTTAGGTTCATGGCTGCCATGTTGAGACGTCCATCAATGCGGGCTCCGTCAATTCGCTTGCGCAAAAGAGACTTGCTGCCCTTGGCACCCTGATTGAAGGGATCGTCCAGGCCAAAGTCGAAGCTTGCAATCTCGTTGGGGTCTGGTAGAATTGGGTCTCGTGGCGGGGTGCTCGTCCGCTCTGTCTCGTTCTTGGCGCGGCGCGCTGCCTCTCTGGCTTTTGCGATCTGTTCCCGTAGTGCGTTGGAAGAGCTTGCAGCCTTTGGTGATGGCGCAGCAGGCTCGTCTGCAGCCTCGGACTTGCGTGTTGCCTTTGCCTTCACTATCTGCTCGCGGAGAGCAGCAGATGAGCTTGACACCCTTCGAACTGTACTCGGTGTCCTCTTCACCGGCATTAATCGGCTCTGAGACGGAGTGGCTGACGCCGCGGCCGCAGTTCCTGGAGGTGAGATTGCTTGACCAAAGGTGCCATTCAGCGAGGGACGAGATCTTGGTGTGCGCGCAATCATGCTTTTACTATCAGACAAGGGACGCGCTTTTGGTGCATTCTGAAGATTCGAAGCAAGTGACAGAGGCTTTTTCGCAGTCGACACCGGACGGGCAACCGATGGCGTTCTGCTCGGGGTGGCGGTCGGCGTGGCGACACTGGCGCTGATGCTCCTCTTTCCAGGAGCGGTCATGGAGAGCCTGCTGGAGGATGTCCCAAACCTCTTCGGTGTTGCTGGTACGGACTGAAAGGAGCCGTCGCTTGTGGTGGGCCTGCTGCCATTGCTCGACATTGCTGAAGCCGGGCGCAGCGGCGGCAGCATGTTGTTGTCCGCATTGAAGAAGCTCGACCTCCGCCTTCCCTTCGACTGCGCTGGCGATGAGGGCAGCTGGGACAAGCTCTCTATCGTCCGCTCTGACAGGGACGGTCGCGACTTCTTCTTCGTGGCCACCTCCAATTCCGGCTCCTGTTCGTTCACGAGAACGTATTCTGACTCTGGGTCATTCTCGTAAAAGCCAGCTCTTGATCCAGCCCGTGAGGACGCCCTCGACGCCGAGCGGAACCCATCGAGACTGCCCAGGGCATCATCCTCTTTCGCTGCGTTCCATTGCGCTGGCGGTGGGGGTGCTTTCGAAGTCTGACGAGATGGTGGTCGGGCAAATGGCCGCTTGAAGACAGGCTCATTGCTTGCGGGGGCTTTGGGTGCAACGCCCGGGATGCCGCTCACTCTTCTACTGGAGGGCGCGAAAGAAGTCCTCCGAGATGGTGGTGCAGGTGCCGGTGCAGTCGTGGACACGGAGCCAATGAGAGACGCTCTCGACGACTTCTTCTGCAGCGAAGACGGGGGCTGGCTGGGGCGGGATAAGGATGATATGGATGGCTTCTTGCGCAGCTGCTCGGTGGAGGCGGGCGACCGCAGCTGGGACTGGCTGCCGGTGGACCTTAGGACGGGAAGGCGGGAGGATGCTGGCCTGGGGATACCAGACGGGCGTGGAATGGCCGAGGGCTGCTCCATGGTGATACGCGAGATCAATGCGGTGAGGATGTCCGGGAGCGTCAATGGCCAGCAATGCGTTTCGCCCACTGTCCAGACGCCAGACGCATGTCGATTCGGAATTCGAAACTCGAAACACGTTTCTCTGCTCGCGACAAAATGACCCTGACGGGCTATCAGACTCCCGAACGTGGTCTAAGCGTGGCGGGAGGGCGGCAACTGTCAACGGTTGCCCCGTGAACACTGGCAGTGACAGATGGAGGTTAGCATCACAGAAATCGAGGGCCGAAGGACAGCCCTGGAGGGCCGCCGCGAACCCACCTCCCTCCGTGTCCCACGAGCCCCATCGCACTCCACAACGAACAAGACGCACTGAAGAGCTCCCCGTCTGAACCACCACCAGATCGCTTGGAGACGCATCCCGACCGTGGTCGCATACACGTCGCGACCTCTACACGCTAAGACGCGCATCGACGCGCTCCCCTGCTGCCGCCGCAGTGTCCTTGACCGCCTGCTGTTGACGTCCCCCGCCCTCAGACCACCCACTGCCGTCTTGGACTCTCCTGACTGCACCTGTCGCGCGCATTGCTGTTTGACATTTGCGCATATTGACATTGGCTACCAACGACTGAATTTGCTTCCGCCGCGCCCCGCACCCCAACGTGTCGCGCACCGCTTGGACCGTTTGCGCCTCAGGCACCATGGACAGCCAGCCGCCTCTGCACCACCCGTCGCCAGACGTGCTGATGCCTACCACTGAAGTCGCGGGCCCGGAGACGCCTAGGTATCGCGCTCAATCGCGTTCCGAGTCGGCGGCGCCTGTCAATATGTCAAAGCTACCCTCGCCCGACCGTGTCAAGTTCACGTCTCCCCCACCTCGCACCACGTCCTCAATGACGCCGCCGCCATCGTCGCAGTTGCCAAACTCACGTGCTGCCATGCGCACGCCCACGCCGCCCACTCCCCAGCTTACCTCGCCGCCCCCAACGAGCAAGCTGCCTAACCAGCCCTCTGTGCTCACAGATGCGGCTGCAGCGCTCTACTCGCAAGAGAGGATCGCACCATACTGTCTCATCGTGCCGCGCACGAGCTCAGGTCCATGGTCCACAGCCTGTCCGACATCCTACGCGACGTGAGGTTGTCTGCTGCGCATTACAAGCTGCAGTACAACATGGCCGCCATGGAGAGTCAGGAGTCGGCTAGTCGTATGGCTGTCGAGCTCGCCATGGCCCAGAGAGAGATTGACGTCCTCCAGCAAGCTGAGGAGAAGCGAAGGAGCTCGATGGCTCCACCCGAGCCAACCTACCAGGAGTCTGCCAATGCAGCTAATGCCATCATGATATCCGAGATGAACCGCCACAATCAGATGCTGCAGAGCGAGAACGAGGAGCTCCGGAACGTGTACGAGCAACAGAAGCGCTTGACTGAGCATCGTGAGGGCGAGCTTGCCAGCCTTATCGAGGAGAACGACAGGCTCAAGACTAGGATTCGCATGAACCGAGACCACATTGCTCCGCTCCTCGAGCAGATTGGCGAAAACTCGCCGCGATCTGTGTACGGAACTCCACATCAGCCAACTCCTCGTCAGCGTGTGTCGCGGGCACCTACATTGTCTAGTGATGCGCGGGGCCAGAGCAACTTCGAGGCTCTTCTGCTTGCCGACAAGATGCTCAGCCAGGAGACCGCCACCGCTCCCACTACTCCAGTCCGAGCAAGCATGCAGCGATCGCGATACGGACACCACCGAGGCGCCCAGTCAATGTCATCGCTTCCTCAAACCCCAAACCGCCGCATTGCGCAACCTAGGGCTGAAGTACCGCGCACTCCCCCTGCCTACATTCCTGCCACTATCCCTCAGTCCGCACCTCCTGCGCACTATGGGCAGAAACCAGCGACCGCTCGCCGTCAGAGTAGCAACTCTACCATCACTGCTTCGAGCGTGGATGAAGAGGAAGCGTATACTGACCGGGAAGAGGATGAAGTCAAAGAGTCTCAAGCTAGCCAGATGGCCACGAGTATGCTGCGCAAAGCCCCAGCTTCCAAGATGTCTGCCCCACCTCCCACATCGTCGAACCTAGTGCAAAGCAAGATTTTCGGCCAAGTCAAGAAAGGACATGGTCTTACACGCCCGGGCGAAAATGAGAAGCGAAGACTTCAGTCAACCCCATCCACGGAGCAACTCAGCAGTCCGATGAAGCGAGGACGAGTCAACCCTGGTGTAGGTCTCGGCATTGGCGGTTTGTTGCGCGACTGAACTGGTCCTGATCATTGAAGCAGGGCGCTTGAGTTACGACATCACGACATGTACTGGTATGCGGGGTTGGACTTTTGGATGTTTATGTTATGTTATGCGATACCTGGATTGATACCCTTCTTGCGCACTGCGCTATTGATATTCACACTTTATGGATGGTAAAGCTGGCTTTGGATGGACCGCAGGAATGATTTGTAGTAGCTATAGAACTTTACTCAATGTACATGTGCACGTCTTGAACGTCTTTCACAGAGCGTTGATCAATGCCTTGTACTTCATCATTATTAGCATTCGGTGCCATCGTGCATCTCACTACCCTCCAGTCGTGGGGTTGTGGGTCTGGAGATATGGCTGCCAAGAGTCGTCGGCAAAACGTTGCGCCGCCCACACGCTAGCCCCGTCGCTCTTTCGAAATTCGCAGAACCTCAAACTTCGACTCGTCAGCCCGTACTAACAAACAGGTCCGCCATCAGGTACGCACACGACTCTACCTCTACTGCGCAATCGAACGTCGCAAGACTAATTGTCATTTAGACAACCGCAGCAATGGCGATCAAGCACAACCAGCAGATCCAGAAGAACCATTTCCACAAGGACTGGTATGCGACCCTCAAAACTTTTCGCTGCATCGATAGGCTAACATTCGCAGGCAACGCTACGTCCGCGTGCACTTCGACCAGGTAATTCCCCTCTCACTTCGCTGAGAGTTGTGGCGCCTGTGTACATTTGCTTACGACCCCCATAGCCTGGCAAGAAGAAGTCCAGACGCAACGCCCGTGTTGCGAAGGCTGCCAAGGTCGCTCCTCGTCCCGTCGACCTCCTCCGCCCCGTTGTGCGATGCCCAACTATCAAGTGTATGTGGATGCCAGGAAGTGCTGGAGAAAAAATTGCTGACTTGGATTGCAGACAACCGCCGCGTCAGGGCTGGCCGTGGTTTCTCTCTCGTTGAGTTGAAGGGTATGCACCACAATATGTCCAGCGCAAGACCTCACTGACACCATGACAGCCGCCGGTATCCCCCGCAAGTTCGCCCGCACCATTGGTATCTCTGTCGACCCCCGCCGCCAGAACCTTTCCGAGGAGGGCCTCAAGGCAAACGTCGAGCGCCTCCAGGAGTACAGGAAGCGCCTCATCCTCTTCCCCCGCCGCAACGGCAAAACCAAGGAGGGTGACGCATCCGCTGAGGACGTCAAGTCCGCCAAGACCGCCGAGAACGTCGTTGCCCGCGCTTCTGCCGCTCTGCCCATCAAGAACATCGTCACTTTCGAGGAGGGTGCTATTGGCGACTACAAGGGCGAGGAGAACGCCTACAGGAAGCTCCGTGACGCTCGCTCCGAGGCCCGCCTTGTTGGTGTCCGCGAGAAGCGTGCCAAGGCCAAGGCTGATGAGGCCGACTCAAAGAAGAAATAAGCTATCCATTGAGTGGTGGTTCGTTTCTTTGCAATGCCTTATGAGAAGAGTTTCAAAAGTCAGGCTCACGATTTGGTCATGGGTATTCCCAGCATGGGCGGCGTCAACGGTTAGGTCTGTCGATAGGACAGCATGTGAATGATACCTACTTTGCAAATGCAAGTCATTCGCCCGTGTCAAATTTCGTCCACGTACATCTCTAGTTTCGTGACTCCGTCCGATTCCCCACGGCTCGTTGGTGCAGCTTGATACTAAAACTCATAAAGTGGAAGAGCACGAGACAATTGACATCGTGTTTTACATTCATCGGGATCGCGTATACTTGCACCGAGTTCTATGATTGTGTGCTTCGAAAGGTTGTTGTCAGCTTTAATCCGAGAGGCTCGTTGCCATGACGTTGCGGGGTACCTGCCATCGTTCAAACAGCCCCCACCTCTATCGCAGTTCGATCGATCTCCACTCCACCAACTGCTCAACATCAATTATAGTCAATCGGCTTCGGTTTCAAGTCTGAGCTGACGTGATTTTATTATTTCAGAGGTAGGTTTGCAGCAGGCTTTGCTTTTCAACTTAACATCTCCTTCAAACCGCACGTCTTTCACTCTTTGTCAACAGTCACTCATCCAGTTACTAGTCTACCCCATCGTCTCTGTCATCATCAAGCTCAATTCTTTGTTTCACACATCATACGGTAATTGCCAATTGTTGGTCTCTCCAATTCCCATTCCCTTTGCCACAAGGACCAAACTCAACTCCGCAATGGAACCCAAGGATACAAGCACCGCGGAGCCCGCCACGCCAACAAACACAAACATAAGCCCCATCACCTTGAAGAACAACAACGAAGCGGACGTCCTCTACACTCCACCTTCCTCAACTACAAGCATGTCTTCGGCACCCACCACTTCCACCGGCCTTATAGGCGCAGCCAACATCTCTATCCGCACATACATCTACTTCCTCCCTTACCCGCTCCCTCCCAATACCCCAGTCCCCTACACCACCAATCTCCTCACAAACAACCCCCTCAAACTCCCCACCACCCTCTTCGAACCCACCTCCACCCTCGTCCTCACCAGCCCCGCCAACACCTTCGTCGACCTCCGCTTCCTCAAGCCGCTCACGCCCTCCCCCGCCGTCGATGAGCTCGAATGGGGTTTTGCAGGCCACTCCTCGTCGCGCCCCACCGCGCTCCCCGGCGTCAGCCACTCCACATGGACGCACTTCGTCGACTCGCGCTACCCCGCGGATTCCAAGGGCATCCCCGTCGATGAGGGCGACATGTACGCCTTGAACGACAATCTGACACTCGAGCATGGTCACGCATTCCATCCGCATCTCAAAGCCGTCAAGTCGCACGAGGAGATGTGGGAGGACGAAGACGTTCTTTCAACCGACGCGGGGGGTACGAAGAAGTGTGTTGTGCTGGGCCTGCAGAACGATAAGAAGGGCATCAGGGGCGCGATTGTCCGGCTCGGACAGTATGTGCAGGGTATTGTTGTTATGGGCAACGAGGTCACGGCTGAACAGTGGGAGTGGACGGAGAAGGAGAGTTGGAAGCGCACGAAGAGGGTGGGTAGGCAGATGCTGCCTTGTGCGGTTTTGACGGAGGCGATGGGGATGGGGGTGGGTGGGGTGGTTAGGTTTGGGGAGTTTGAGTGGAGCGTGCAGGAGGTTTGGGAGTGGTAGATGGGCAAGAGGCATCTTGGATTGGAGTTGGTGAGGGAGAATTTTGAGCACCAAACTGGCATGTATAATGTCGAGAAGAACTGCATTTACCTTCAGGCCTTCAGATGAGTGAACCATCATTGTGCTTCCACAGACTTTGTCGCTGGTGTCTACTGACTTGACGGGTCAAGTAGCTGTCTGGCCCTTGGAAGTCAATGGTCTTTCCTCATTCACATCATACTACTTTCATCGCTATGATGATCAACGGAACCTCTTCTTGAAATTATTAGATCGTTTGTTCGACATAGCCTCTAATAGCATGTCACAGGTATCGCCTGATCGTTAAGTTTGGTTCGCGGTTATGTCAGGCTAATTTGAGTTAGCACGAGCACCCAGATCAATACTGCTACTTCATGGAAGTCGGATATTCCAAGCTGATTGCGCTACCCAACAAGCTCTGCTTATCGATCATATAGCTTAATGCGAGCTCAGCAGTTTTTCGACCCCATAGGTGACGCCCGCGCCAGAGCTCGAGGCTGATGACTCTGAGCGGCAAAACGAGGACCTTAAGCAGGTCGACTTTCCGCTGCACGAAGAGGAAGAGGCCGACGACGACTACGAGCTGACCAAGACAAAGAAGAAGGCAAGGTCTCTAAGATACCAGTTAGGAGCAAGACGCCTGTGCAGGGTAGGACGCCTGTGCGAATGCTGACAATTTGGCGAGCTCGCGTACAGGATCACAAGGCGCGCTACTTCAACACCTCATTTTGGTCAGCATTAGTCTAATGTTGGTCATACCGTTCAGTGCCCCCGGTAGGCCAATCTCTGCATGCTATTCGATAGGCTCCAACGCTCTTGACCAATCACGGATATTTTTTAGTCCGATAACTGGTGCGATTGATGACTTGGCTGAGAGTAACAGTTATGTTATTGCGCACGCTTCCGTCTCACATCAGACCTTCTTTTCAAGTAAAGAAGTACTGTCAGAAACTTCATTCTTCGTTTTCAAGCAACTCATTTGGTGGGCAGATACCATGAGTTTCTTCGAGGGCATCATGTCCCCAGCCACGGTCGCGATAAGCGGCACGGTGCTCGTGTCCGCCTTTCTGTTCTATCGATGGCTTCTACCAAAGCCTATTCCTGGCATTCCATACAACCAGGAAGCCGTCAGATCGGTGTTCGGCGACATTCCCTCCATGCTGAAGCATCTCCAAGGATCAAGAACGATGATGGACTGGTTCTTAGCAGATCACAAGAAACATAACTCCCCAATTATTCAAAAGTTCATATTGCTATTTGGACCACCGGTGGTGTTCATCAGCGATTATCACGAGGCTCAGGTAAAGCATGCTTCTTTACCGTCTACTAACGGCACTGACTTTCCCTAGGATATTGTTATGCGCCGCACCAAAGAGTTTGACAAGCCAGATGCTATCAGTGATGTATTCTACGGCATCGCTCCTGAATTTCATGCTGTGAAAGTAACGAGCGAAGCCTGGAGGAATCAGCGCAAGCTACTTCAAGATCTCATGGCACCTGCATTTCTTCACGGAGTAGCTGCACCCCAGCTGCACCAAAATTTCATGGACTTGATCAGATTATGGTCCGAGAAACAGCGACTTGCTGAGGGTCGGCCGTTCGAAGTTAAACAGGACATTTTTGACGCTGCGTTAGAAGCGATCTGGGCAGCTGTTTTTGGCAACGCAGGTACTGCCACAGTCACTCGTAACCAGATCGATCTCCTTTCTGGTCAGAAAAATGTCAGTCTACCTGCCTCCGTGGACCAAGCGGTGGAGTTCCCAAAAGCTCCAGCTCCCGCAGAGTTTCGCGCAGTGCTCGAACTCACCGAAAGCATTGAAGAAGTTATTAAATCCCCCTTTCCCCTGACAACAGGCTTCATACAGCGCTATCTTCCATCCGGTCGTAGGAACCTCCGCATAAAGGCTCAATTCACCGCAAGAGAGATTACAAAGGCCGAAGCTAGAATGAAAGCCAGCGACGGCAAAGAGACAAAGATCACAAACGCTGTCGACCATGTCCTGCGCAGAGAAAAGATGGCCGCTGAGAAGCAACAACGCGCCCCCAAGTACCAATCCACCATCATCAAGGACGAACTCTTCGGCCTCCTCGTAGCTGGCCACGACACAACCTCTACAACACTATCTTGGGCTATGAAATTCCTCGCCGCCCACCAGCCCGTGCAAAACAAACTCCGATCCCAACTCCGCTCTTCGCTATGTGTAGCACACGCCGAATCCCGCGTCCCTTCCGCTCAAGAAATCGCTTCTTGCCAGAACCACTACCTCGACGCCGTCATCGAGGAGATCAATCGTTGCAGCAACACAGCCGCCCTATTCAGCCGCAGGAGCTTGGTTGATACTGTGGTGTTGGGCAATTTCATACCCAAGGGAACGTCAGTCTACTGCCTCGCCGGCGGCGGCGGCGTGCTCCAACCCGCCCACTCTATCTCCTCCACCCTGCGCAGCCCGCAATACCTTGCCGCCGGAGGCGGCAAGACCAAGCCTTGGGACGCTCACACCATCAAAGACTTCGATCCCGAGCGCTGGCTCGTAGCGGACAAAGACACCGGTGAGACAGTGTTTGATGCGCAGGCGGGGCCGCATCTTGCGTTTGGGGGCGGTCTACGGGGGTGTTTTGGGCGGAAGTTGGCGTATTTGGAACTTCGGCTGGCAATTGTGTTGGTGCTGTGGGAGTTTAGATTGGGGGAGGTAGAGGGGGAGTATGGCGGGTGGGAGGCGATTGATCAACTCACGCATAATCCGGCACAGTGCTATGTTAGGCTTGAGAAGGCTTAGATATTTTAACGACCCTTCCGCTGGAATATTCGCGCACAGAAAACTTGATGGTCCTCCATTTGCAGGTGAGTGGATGAGTGATGTTTTAACATCGATGTTTGGTTGTCTTGCCATCAGATCAACGATAATTCTTTGAACCTGAGACGTCGAGTGGGTGAACCTGGGCTCGACTGAACCATTTCAACCATCTCAAAAACGTCTTCCCATCTTGCATCGACTTCCACCTCATCCTCATCTTCATGTACGTCGATGCCCATCCTATTCGCGGTCAACCTGACATCCGCCATCACTTCGTCCATGCTCTCATAACCCGCGTTCCACGCTTTCAACAATACGCTGCCCAGCCTCGCTTCCTCCAACTCCTGATACAGTTTCTGTTTCTGCCTATCCTGCAACCATGGCCGATGATCTCTGTTCAAAGTCTTATGGCCGTCAATGGTGAAGCGTCTGCATCCACCTTCAACAGGACAACACGGTCCCCAGCAGTATGTCTGAGCCGAAGGTGACCGCTCAGTGAAATCGTTCGTCATCAACCTCCAGACAAACGTGGCCCAACGGAACAAATCGTCTTTGACACTTCCATACGCGCTATCGTCAAGTTCGACATCTTCGTCACATACCGACCCTCCTTCTCGGTAATCTGTCTTGTCGCCAACTATATCAGCGCCGATGAAGCCCGTGAGGGCGAGCGAATAGTCAGACCGCACCCAAACCATTTGAGCGCAAAAAGCGCGCAAGAAGACGGACCGCGAGTGTGCGAAGTCAAGTGCTGCAAGGCCTTGTAATGCCCAGCGATACTACAGAGATAGCATCACCCGATCGTTCCTCGTCTGTGTCTCAGGCACAGGCACCTCCATCGCAGGAAGCTGGAAATTAAACACACCGGGCCATAACCTCTCGATAACAACATTGCCGTCTGCCAGCGTTTCGGCGTAACTAACTTGCATAAGCCAATCCATCAATTCCGTGCAAGATTCAGCGACTCACCTCACAACCCTCTTATGCTCCTCCCCCAACCTCTCATAAGCATTCCTCAACTTGACCGCCGGCCAACCATTCAATTCCCGTCCATTGTCATCGTCGAACCACTCGACACAGACGATGATGTGCTTCCCATCCCGGTGCGGCGCACACCACGCCAGGTCGAAGAAGGCCGCATACCAAGTTTCCGAATCTTCGGGTGCGATGCTGGCTTCCAGAGGAACTTTGTTGCCGTAGTATGGTATGTGTTTTCTCTCCTGTGTATGCAGGTTTACTTTTTCTTCGTCGATGAGCGCACTTGGGGTGTGTGTTCTGCCGAGGAGGAGGTAGGAGAGGAGACAGCCTATGTTGCAGCCGTGGTGGTCGTCCATGGTGGGAAAAGGAGAATTGGACTGCGGAAGTGATGGTGGTTGGTATAGTAGGGCTAGCCGAGAACGGTTGCCTAGATAGGCAGCATCCAGCGCGCTAACTTTGTTTTTAGTACACGGTTCGGAGAGAGGAACGATGCATTGTGGTATCACAATGGTGGTGTGATCGGAGCCGAACGACATATCCCAAGATGTAGGGCTATACCTATACTATAATAATTCACAATGCGAGAGACGAAATTTCTCACCGGAACTACAAAACACGATCGTATATATTTCAACACAACTATTTCGGCATATTATATTCAAACCGAATTATAATGGTATAGTCAGTTCGTCAAGGTCGCGCCGTGTGGCTGCGCGAGGCACAAGATGTTGCCTTTCACGGACCTGATCAATCCACTTGATCAAGCCATTGTGAACAATCAATCTTGCCCTTGCCCTTGCCATGTCACACGAGACACATTACCAGTCTACATCACAAAATCCAACACTTCACATCTTCAGAGTTGCCTCTCTAGATATAACACCTAACACGTCGTTCCCTGAAGACCACCCACACTACTCTTCCAACAGAAACCCTCACCACAACCAACTTGCGAAAGCGACACTAGCTTCACTCACACCCTACGGCACAAACTCTCGCAGACTTTCCAGACCAACAATCATGGGCATCAGGAAAACATCTAACAGCGCCGATCAGTCTCGCATGGAGACTGAGGCCGATAGGAAGAAAATGATCCAGAAGAGCCTGTTTCTCCTGGAAGCCGAAAAGGGCGAGTCAACCGATGGCGAGTCATCCGATGGCGAGTCATCCGATGGCGAGGGTGGTGAGGATGATGGCGGCTTTGAAAAGGGCATTGACCTCGGCGATGACGATACGGATGAAGAGAGCAGCGACGATGGCAACGAGTATGAGGAGGATTCGGTGGTGGAGCTTGTTTTCGAGGAGGAGAGTAAGCCGTCGGTCGATGAGGAGCCTCTGCGTGCTATGAAGATGATCAAATATGGAGGACCTGAAATCTCTCAGAAAGCAATTGAGTACCAAGTCCCTCGAAAAGAGATCGAGTACGAAGCTCCTAGGAAAGCGATCGAATATGAAGTCTCTAGGAAAGCGGTCGATTACAAAGTTCCTAGGAAAGCCATCGAGTATGTCGTTTCTGAGCGTTCGAGCGACGGTTCCGAGGTGAAGCAGGTATACCATCACCAGAGCTACAAGGAGTACGCCGGTTATTTGGGCGAGAAGGGGGACGACGATTCTGACAGCGAGAAGGAATACCATGGGTACCCGAGCGAGGAGGACGATGGTACGGACTCTGAGTAGTTCACAAGGTCTCAAGACCTTCTTCAAGCGACTCGTAGTATGTTGTGTAATAATCTACCTCGCGCGCATGAACTCGCAATAGTGTTACTATGGATCGGTTAGCTGTCAAGCTATACTTTCCCAATAAACTCATTCGAAACACCTTATCTAATTACGTCCTTGAATACATCTAATGCAAATCAGACCCATGAGTTTCTTAAATACTGGCTTATAGAGTGGTGTTGATTTGGTTGCGATGCTTTGTAATTGCCTTGTCACGTCGTGCCAGCAGCGTGGATCGAATACTTGTTTACCAGTGCATGTCATGTCACAACACAAAGATTAATGCCCGCTATGTCCCGTAGTTACATACAAACCTCCTTGCCCTACATAGAAGAATATACGAATATCTCAGTACATGTTCCGTGCCGTTTGTGCTCGCTCTTTCCTCTTTCCTTGATGACTAAGAGCAGCTCGGAGTGAAGGAGAACGACAATGTTTTCTTCTAGCGTCTTCCATCCGCGTTGAAGCTTCTCTTCCTCTCTACTTTGGGAAGCAGCAAGAAATGCGCCTATCAAGTATTAGTCATGCAGCGTCATGTAAACAAACAAACCTCGCGATCCAGTTTGTTCTCTCCATTTCACCTTCCACAACGCATGCACTTCGCGCTGTTTGCACCGCTTCACATCTCCATGATGTCGGGCTTTGCTAGGCATGATCTGAGGTATGTGTTCTTCCATCTGAAGTCACTTGAAACAGGCCCTCACATTTTCAGACCAGGAAACTTCCAGAGTACGACTGCCTTTCCAGAGAGTGCCCGCCGACAAGCTGACATGTGGATCTGTTCGTTTAGCTCACTTATCTAGAAGCCTGAAGGTCTATGCGGTAATTTGTAGGTCCAATCATGCTTGTTATGTCTCCTCGTGAGTACAACCTCTAGATGCACAACAATCAACACAACGACCGTTTATAGGTTTAACAGCGGTGAATTTCTATCACAGATTTTCTATCACAGATAATCGTAACATATCTCCGACAACATCCAACTTCCCACCATCCACACCGCCGTCTCCTAGCCCATCATAATCTATTTCCCCCCACCCAAGCTCTTCCCCAACGCCTCCAACTCCTCATCTAGCTGCTTCATCCCATCACCCACATACTCCGCCCGCTCATCCCCACCCAGCATATTCTCCATCGCGCGCCTCAAAACCGCCTGCGCATTCTCGTGGCTCGCAACAAACGCATCGCGCGCCATGCGCAACTCCGTCCGCAGCCGCGAGCGCGTGACCACCGAGTCCACTTTCGACAGCTCCGAGTCGAGAGCCGCGGGGGTGCGCTTCTTCACGGACGCCACGGTACGCTGGTATGTGAGCCATGCGGTTAGGATAGTGGGGAGCGCGATGGGCACGACGGCTAGCATGAGGTGGGTGGAGCCGAGCTCGATGTTGGCGAGGAGGGATTTTGAGGAGTACTTTGAGCGGACGTGGGGGTCGAGGTAGCGCAGGAAAGCGGTTGTCAAAGGGCGTGAGTGAAGCATGCGTCGTCGGATTGGGTCTGGGTCCTCTGTGTATGGAGCGATGGGTGCGGCGGGCTTCTTTCCCTTCTTCCGAGGGTTCTCATGCGCAATGGGCTTCTTCTTTTTCTTCTGAGGTTGCTGCATGGGCCGAGAATGGGAGGACGGGGAGAGAGCGCGCTTTTTACGAATCGTGAAGTTTGTGTGCCTATGCACGTGATTGAGCTGTACTGATAGTTGTAGCTGCATCACGCCATTCTGATCACCGGATGGTGGCACTGAAGCGTCCGCATGTGCTTTATTGATTGCTGCGCTGTCCACAGGAGCATCTGAGACGGGCTTGTGAGGAATTCCCTTGTCCTTCCGTAGCCCACGCTTCTTGATACCCGCGAGGACCTTCTCATTGTACACCGGTGTCTTCCTGCGTGTACGTCGTCCATCTACAAGTCGCTGTGCTACCGTTGATACGAACTCATCTGGATCTTCCTCTGTCTTTTGCGCAGTTGGAAATAAAAGATTCTTCAAACCCGGTGCAACATCCAGTCCATTTGTTGTCTCTTCCAACTCTAAAGCATCCCTGGCGGCTCGGAGGCGGGCAAACTTGTTTTCAGCCGTCTTGATTGCACTCACGTACTCTTCATGTCGCGTCTGAGTGTTTTCCGGTGTCTTGGGACTGTCTTGCACTTCGTCAGATGGAGTAGCTAGTCTCAGTGGCGATGGGTGTATCTTATTATAGCGTGAGAAAGCGTTATTGGCTGCCCTAGGTATCGGAAGTTTCGCTCTACCCAGACGGAAAGCCATGATGAGACTGGAGCCCTGCCATCTCACAATCCTCACGTAAGGATGTCGTTCTGAAGGATTTCGTTCTGGAAGACGGACCTTGGTGTGTCGTGCCTCCTTGCCAATCGCAGGTGAATCCGAGTCGTACGCGTCGAGTTCGCGATCCAACTCATCATCAGCCTCGGACTCGTCCATGGACTCCTCTTCCTCGACTTCCGCCTTCACAGCAACCTTCCGATACTTGACGTAGATCCGGGTATTGACCGCCTTGAGTACAATCCAAAGACGCAGATACTCCCGGATCAACTTGTTCTCTTCCTCATCGTGATAGTGCAACTCATGAGTGTACTCCCCATACTCCCCCAGCGTCTCCAACCACTCCTTCTCGCCCTCTGCGCCCCAAATCTTCTCTCCGAACTTCTCCATCAGCTCATCGACCTCCGCCACCAGCGCAGCCGGGTCGACAGCGACATCGACGACGTGAGCGTCAACTACCCGCGCGTCGTCACCGTCGGAGATCTTGTGTGTCACGACTCGGAGGGCCTGGGCAAGTTTGTTCACCGTCTTGTCCTTGAAAGAGAAATTCGTGCCGGTCTGATGGCGCTTCAGACCGAGATGCTCGATGACGCTGCCGATGCTGAAGGCGCCTTTGGTCGGGTATTTCACGCGCTTTTCCCAGAAGGCGCGGGAGAAGTTGGAGTTGCGGGCGGCGAGGGACTTGAGTGCTGCAGATGCGGCCGATAGATCTTTTCGGGAGACTTTGGAAACTGATTTGGAAGGAGAATGACTGGCCTCGTAATCAAAGTCGCGCATCAGGTGGTCGTTGGCCATGTCATTGTCGGCATCAGATATCTCTACATCCATCTCGCCATGCTGATCGATCTCAAGTTGGTTCGTGGCTTGACTGGGTGCAGCAGACATATTGTCTTCTGGAGTGGATATGGCTTGCTCGATGTTGGCTGGTCGATCGCCCTCAACTGAACTCCCGGCTGTTGTTGTGTCGAGTGCAGCAGACTTTTGCTTTCGACGACGCAATCCCGCGGAAGGTGAATGTCTAGCCTGTGAAGGCAATGCCTTTAAAACAAGTCTACCGTCCTCTGAGATGATAATCTTGCCTTCGCCGTTCATTGTAGGTAATTGATTCTCAAGTCGTCGAGTTGTGTTGAGAAGTGCGTTGTCCAAGAAATCTCTGTTGGGAAGATTCGTACTGTTGACCTAAGATATAGATCTGTGCCGAGTATTGCGTCGTCCAAGTAGTCAATGCCGAGAATTGCGTCGTCCAAGTAATCACTGCCTGAACTGTTATTCCGATGATTCGAATCCAAATTGCAAGCTGCGTAGTTGAGTCAAGAAGCTTGTTATGCCCAAAACCTCTGCTCAGCAGCTTCTCACAGTAGATATGTATTGCAGCATGATCGCTAGCGCATCGAGTGTACCATCGAAAATTAGGCCGTCGCATCTTCTTTCGCGCTCGAACTAGATGTGCACACTAAAATTCCACAGTGCTTCGTCCACGCCTAGGCTTCAGAGTACTCGGAAGACCCTCGATTCACTATTGATGTTCCATGCTCAGGCTTCCTCGAGGGAGGAGAGGTTTTCGATTCACTGCTGGCTGTTCCGTGTCTATGTAGGCTTCCTCGAGGTGGGAGTAACTCGCGAGACTCTCAATTATCTGCTAATATGAGTCGACGCGCCTGTGCTTCCCCGAGAAGGGAGTAGACTCTCGGTTCACTGTTGTCGTGCATCGACTGGCCATCTCGACGTTACACTTCGACATCCCAGAGAAGAGAGAACATGCAAGCTTAACTGCACACAAAGAAACGAATCGTGTTCACACTGCAGAACAGGGCTCGACGGATAGAAGCGGACTTCTAAACAAAAAATTGAAAAAGAACATGTAAGAGTAGGTTATGTTTTGCACGGGCTGAGAAAGCTAGAATGGCTACAAAGACGGGTATATCAAACTTGACGACGTAAGAGAGAAAAAGGAAATCCTTGCCTCCTATATTCAAGACTTCCCTGCCTCCAATCCACCGCCATCTTTCTCGGTCTTCTTCTTCTCCTCCACCGTCTTAATTCCCACAACCTCTACAGGCACCTTCCTCGCCATCGCCCTCCTCCTCGCCTTCTCCAATTCCCACACAACCCCATCAACCGCCTTGAGCAATATCCTAGCATCCTCCAAATCCCGCCTACACCTCTCCCTCTGCTGTTCCGTATGTCCGGGCTCCGTCAGAAACTGCTCAAACATAAATACCTCTTCTTCAATCTGCACCTGGAAATTTTCCATCTCTTGTATAGCCAGCGTGGGATCGTGGGTTTTGAAGTCGATCGTGTTTGATTCAGGGAGCCAAGAGTCTAGCGAGTCGTTCCCAGCGTCAGAGGCGAGTTTGTGTTGGAGCGATTGGCGCCATTTACAGAGTCTGATGTCGATGCCGTCTGCCATGGAGCGGAGTCTGTTGTAGGTTATTTCGCAGAGATGTATTTCTTGACGACGGCGCTGGCGTTCTTCTTCGTCCATTTCGGGCTTGTGGCAGTAGGTATATTGCTGTTGTGCGTTCATGTAGAGCAAGTATTCCGCTTCTTTCAAGAGCGTTTGCTTCTCGGCTTCCAGCTCTTGCATCTTGGCACGTGTGGTGCCCACGTGTATGTTTGCAAGATTCTCGACATAATCGATGGGCGTGACATAGTATGCGCCAATCTCCTGGGGCGGTTCGGTCGGCACGGAAGCGCCTGGGTTGTCTGTTGCTGTTATTGCCTGGGGCGCATCCACTGCATCATGCCCTGGCTTCTCATACATGTCGAATGCAAAGTGCGCCGCGTGCAAGACGCCATTGTGTCGAATGAAATGCTGCATCACCGGATCGAACTGCGACATAAGCTCAAGATCGCTAGCCAGGCGCCAGAACTCGAAAGATCTAGCCCTCAGCCTGCGCTCAAGCCGCTTGTACGCCTTCTGCCGCTCGCCGTTGTATTGCAGGTATCCATGCGCTCCCAGCAGACCCGCGCATGCCCCAATGTTGGTCATGCCCAGGCATCGCGTCCAGCGTGGTATTGCAGGGCGGCGCATGAAGAGCGTTGGTATGGACGCCGCGAATCCAAGTGCTGCCCCAGCCAGCGCGCCATCGTCGACTGTGCGTGTGTCTGTCCAAGCATACAATTTTCTTGGTATGACCTCAAGACTTTTCTCCGATGCCACAACGCCTAAGAAAGCATTGTAATAGTACCAATTGACAGCGGCGCCAAGTGCGCCAGCCCACAAGCCCAGTCTCGCCGATGACCGTATGAACAGCGCCGTCTTCGAAATCGAGTGCGAGGAATGTACTCGCCGTGCGTAACTGGACGCGAAGGAGGTATACGTAGCGGCGAGTGCGGTAGATCCGATGACCGAGTATTGAAGCGTCGCATTGGCACCAAGCGGGTCCGGACGTTTCGGTATGAGTCTATACTGCCCTTCCCCTGCAGCACATGTCAGCTCCTTCCTCGCTTGCGGCCTGTGAATGATGCGGGGCATACCAGGAGGTATAAAGAGGTTCAGCACCATGGCTCCAAGAGCCTCCGCGGCTTCGTAATGTCGTACCAAGTTACCGGATCACATGTGACGGTTTTGCGACAGCAGCTTGCGTGGGGTGGAATCAGTCGCGTTCGAGCAGGTTGTCAAAAGATTGTCCATGGCTGGGGATATGCTGGTTGTGACCGGTGAAAGGCGAGGCTGCGGGTAGTCATGAGGCTGACGACCGCCATCGTTACACGGGACAGCCACGCGAGGAGCGGCTGAGGAGGCGCCGCGGATGCGACATTGTAAGAACCTCTTTCAGGATAGCGTACATCTTCTACGAATTGTGAAGCGACATCCAAGTCAGGGATGGCGGTGATTTTGCGACAGCGGTCGTGTGCATGGGTTCATCTCGTCTCAACTGGGATGCAGGGTCCACCATACTCAGCGTCGCGCCAAGCTATCCTGCAGGTCAGTATCACTGTTCACCACCAAATGGACATCAACTCCAATGTGTCACATGATCGAATGTGAAACATCTTCATTATGAGCTCTATCTCTCTACGGCTCCTTTCCAATACCTTCCAGTCCCATCCTTCCATTCTCATTAGTGGTAATACATGTATCAATCTACTAAGACAAGCAATTTCGAACCAGCGCAAGTGCGCCAAAGCTTTTACAAAAACCAAGCCCAGGACAATGAAGTCCATACATGAAGCAGTACTAGTCTCTCAAACGCCATCGCTAATGTGACCCTCGTGCGGGGTAAGGAGAAACCCAAATGATGCAAAACAAGAAACAAAAACAGACGAAGCGAAAATTGGCATCTACTGCCTGTGCAAAACAATCTTCGCATCCTCGGTGCGCAGGAATTCGAACACGGATCTCTCGACTCTGTTCAGGCCCTCCTTGAAGAGAAATTCTGTGTGTTCCGTCATCGTCATCACGCCGAACGCGCGAATCAGAATATCTTCAGGGCTCATGCCGTCCACGGGGCTCATATTCTTCCACTTCAGACGCATCGCTCTCAGGTCGTTCATCGCCAGCAACCGATCAATAATCGCAGCCGAGCTGGTAGGAAGGCCGGGTTGCGTAGCCAGCGCATGCTGGAGGCTAGAAATTGCGTAGCGCTCTTGCAGCCAAGCAGTCAGGATATGCGTGGTGAGATCATAGTGAGAGCCAAGTTCGGGACGGAAGATGGATTCTCCGTGATACCAAAGTGTGTTGATCCGGTGCAGGAGGCCTGGCTCATCGGGCGGTGCTGACGGTTTCGGGAAAAGCCAGTGCAGAAGCATGGCAGTCACCTCACATTGCAAAGCGCGGAGCTCCACCATGCTGACCGCAGCAGGCCTTGCCACCACTTGAGGAGCTTCGACTGGCTGGCTCTTGAGCACAGTCGGATGACGTGGTTGGTGAGTTGATGGAGCGGGCTGTGGAGCGGGCTGCGACGGAGGTTGAGAATGTGGTGGATGAGTGCTTCGTGGTGCAGATGCGGGCGCAGGTGCGGGCGCGGGCGCGGGCTGTGTTGGTACCAAAGTCATCCCATACGCATGTGCAGTCTGCACGGCTGGTGCTGGTGCGATAGCTGCGTTGGATGTCGGGGGAGGCTTATGAGCTGCGGCCGGCGCGTGGGGAGTAATAGATCTACTAGGTGTTGAAGGAGCCAAAGATCGCCCATGGTGAGCAACGGGACTGCTGGTTCGACTGGGCCCGCGAGCTTGAGCCAGCTGCTGTGCTCGTGCTTGAGCTTGCTGGGCAAAATGGGCATACGTATTAGGTGGATGTTGCTCATGTGCATAATTAGGAGCTGCGGGTGCAGGATGTGGGTATGCTTGATGTTGAGGTTGAGGAGCAACAGGCGCCTGGTGTGCAGGTTTACTAGCTGGAGATCCGCGATGTCCATTTCCATGGGTATCAGTAGATGGGGTCGCAGCTTGAGGTGCCTGGGATGTGGGAGCAGTGACCGGGGGTCCAGCTGATGTCGGGGCAGACGATGACTCTGGATACTGTCTCCCAGCAATAGCATTAATAGCAGCAGAGTCATAGGGGCTGGTGTATGTCCGGGCATCGCGCATGAGTGGTGAGGCATGCTGTGGCCCCCTGGATGGTGGACGTGAACCATCACGTGAAGTCTCTTTCTTCATATTCACAGCAGTAAAGCCGCCGCCGCCACCACCATTCACTGCTTGAAATCCACCAGCTCCAATGGAAGGCGGGGCGCTGGGCTGTCGAGCCGTGCCATTCAGTTCGTTGTTAGAGAGTGGGCTGAGCTGAATCCTAGCAGGTTCAGCGCCATTGGCAGGCGATGGTGATAGATGGGACTTGTGAGTCGGTAGCGGCGGAACATTTTCCATGCTACCATTGGCACCAGGAAGAAGGCTGTGAAGCGACTTGCGCGGACTCTTACTCCTCCTGTTGAGGGGCATCGTGCTGTAGGGACGCTTGTGGGGCGTCCCCGAACGTTCCTCTCCGTCCGATAATGAACCAAATGCTTCGCTCTTCCTCTTCCTGCCATTTATAGGCTTTACTTCGAGATCAGCACCAGGCGTCGCATCATGCCCTGGTGGGGTAAGTGAGTGAGGGGTGCCATGGGGTGACTAAAATTACATCAGCACGTGACCGAAAAGTTTAAGTCAATCAACATACCAGCTGCGACTCGCCGTCGATATCAGCAAGCGTATCGTAATCATTTGCACCCGATGGCCTCTTGAGCTTCATGTTGCGAATGTAGTAGCATGCTTTGATGATGATCCAGCGGTGCAGGTGGATCTTGAGACTGTAATAGGCTTAGCGCGAGATGCATCACCAGCGCATCATCTGAACTTACATTTCTTTATGCTCGGGCTGCTCGTAGAAGAGGTCTTTTGTGTACGTCTTTTTGGCTGAATCTGGTGTAAGCAGGCAGGTCCGATCCGCGTCCTTGCTCCAGATGGCTGGCCCGTAGGTTCCGAGCAGCTCCTCGAGCTCGGTGTCCAAGCTGCGCGGATCCGCGGCAAAGTCAAGCAACGCATCTCGCTCTTTGGGCAGCTCTTTGCTCAGCTTGGTGACTTCACTCGATAGTTTGCGATAGTCTGGGTTGTCGAACTTGGGAATTCCGCGGTTCGTGGTGCTGCTGGAGGCGGACAAGCCCAAGCCCAAGCACTCTGTCACTTCGCGTATTGTCGGATTATGCGAACTGAAAACACTGATCCAGCGCGCGCGGTCCCAGCGGCGCACGCCATGCTCGAGGTCCAATGCTAGATTATCTTTGGAGCTCATGATGACGCACCGGCGACAGGACGGAACAAAAGGAAACTGATGACGATGGCGATGGCGATGTAGATGAGTAGAGGTAGAGGTCTGGGACTGAGATGGCATGTGATGGCGTGGCGCCAAAGCGCGGATGATGTGTTGGGAAGAGAGTTCGGTAGAGGTAATAGGGGATGGGCCACTGTCGAAGTACGTTGGACTAGCTTGTCTTGGAAAAAGTTTCTTCTGTACGAAGCAAGGTTCCAGTCTCAGACGCCCGTCGTCCTACACCGATCCTCCATGCACGCTTGTGCTGTCGGGTGTGTAGGGACGTGCAGACTCCGCGTATCACTGCGAGCGGTAGTCGTGTTCGGTGCGAATGGTGATGAGAAATGTATGACCGACGAGTCGCTCCGTCTAACAGAGCGCCGACGAACTCACGACCAAGAAGCAGCAATGCCGCAATCTGCGCTTCAACCCAGTGCTGCCAGTTGCAGCGGGTGCGAAACAATCCTGCTCACTGGGCCGGCGCATAACCCTACATAGAATACGCGCCCACACAATCCGCACGACTCGGTCCCAATCTTTCTAACGAGGGTAATCATAGCAGCCCGCGCCGCACTTTGGTCCCAGGGGTGAGTGAAAAGTGGGGCCGTGACGCCTCCTTGCTCAACTCTTGTGCGACGCTTGACCTTTATTTGTTGTGATAATGCCATGCCTCCGATAGTCTATCCAAGCGCTAGGTCACCAGTACAGATTCCAATAACTTCGGAAACCTCGTGTGAAATTAATGCTACGCTAGTTACCAAGGTGGGTTAAATGACCCGGGAAGACGCCACCAGTGCCATCAGTGAATAAGCGAGGCTATCACGCTTTTGTAAGAGTCACAGGGATAGCCGCCGTCTTCTATGACGCGGTTCCAAAGTCTTGCACACCATGCACAGTGAACTAGCTTACCTCAGCCGTGTAATCCGGGGCCTGGCCATGCAGCTGCGTACAAATAGATGCGAGTAGACAGTGCCATACGCTCGCATGCGGCGTGGTAGGGCGACTTGGCCCGAGTTTTTTCGTGTGGCGTACGTGGTATGTAATCTCCCTGTCTGTGCTTCTCGGAAGTGCTATCGATGTGACTTACGCGGTATTTAATTACCCTAGCCAGATTTACTCCGCTTCCTGCCCATGTGCAATGAAATTTGTGAACCTTAATCCTGGCCATCTGCTGATGACATGTCAGCAGTCAGCGTCGGCATAGCTACCATCTATAATTCCACCGATCTGACTCTAGTCTACCAATTGAGTATGCTCTCGCGTGTTGCAGCCAAGTTTAGGCACCCGTAAGCCAACGGGCCTGCAGTGTGGGGCCTCGGTCTAGTGTAATCATATGCGAATGCCTTAAAATTTATGCTCAACCTCGCACATGCTGGAGTATTATTGATGTTTGAAGATGACCTATACGATACGCGCCACAACCGTCCCACCAACGCCTCTCCTAGTCGATCCTACAATTCTGCCAGGACAGCTACCTTTAGCCAACATACCACATTGTGCCCCTGCCCTCTTCTTCCTCGTCCTTGCGGAATGCTTCGAGGTGCTCACCGAGCCATCGTACCGTGGCTGTAAAGTCAATGTTCTTCCACTGCATTTCCTTCGCGTACTTTTCGCCGGCTAGCATGACTATAGCTTGTCGCAGAAGCTCGTCCTTGTCAACCACTAAGCCCGGTGCAACACCAAATCCCTGACCGACATCCTCGAAATTGATCAGGATGGTTTCGGTCGCGCCCATCAGCGTGCAATACTGCTGATGTCGTCGTTCAAGTTCGGCGTTTGTGGTGCCTTCGCTAGCCCAGCCTGTGGTGATCAGCAATGTGTGATGCAAATTTGGTCATGACTTACGCTGCTCTGCACGCTCGAATGCTGCCATATGTCTTTTAAGTTCAATCCATGTCAGCAGCGCACGCTCTCGTGCTATGAACACAGGCACGTTCTCGAGCATTTTCTGTGAGTCGGCTCGCACCAGCTCTCGCCATATTCGCTTCCAGTTCTGTTCAAGCAGCACTTCTTTCTTCGACACGCACGGCTCCCTCCTCGTTATAAATATATGAGCGCAGCGCTCTCAAGCTGTCGTAGTCTAGTCCGCGATAGGGAATGCTTGCGCCTGATTGTGGAACTTTCTCTGGCCCTACATCACCTGTCCGAAACCCTGCAACTAGTTGTGCAACGCTTTCGGTGATCTGCCGCTCTGCAGCAGCTTGCTCAGCGAGAGCATGTGCGGGTGCTTTGCTGTCCGCGGAATGCCCATTGGTCGCAGGCCATAAGGAGCTGGCTCCCCTTGTTCCGTTCCTCTCACCGGGAGCAAGTCGACTCCAGACGCCTTCAGCAATATTTTGGTGCTGCTGACCATTTGATGTTGCGTTCGCGCCGACTGAGCTGAAGCCACCGACCGCGTGCGCTGAGGCTCCGCCGTTGATAGCGGAGAACCCGGCTCCTTCGCGAGGCCCCACTATAGGACTCTCACCCGACTCTGGGGGTGTAAGCATTGCGCTCGACGACATCGGGCTGCCTCTTGAGCCTGTGTCAACATCGTGCAGCACTGAATTGGGTGCAAGCGCAACAAATGAAGCCGGGGCTTCACCATTGAGGCTGTTATGTTCAGCTTCAGCCCGTGCTTGCCGGTTCTCTGCCTTCTTCCTTCTTTCGCGATCCAAACGCTCTCTAGCGAGGATGACGTTGCATGCTTTGAGGCCTATCCACCAGTGCAAGAGTTTGTGAATGCTGCAAGGACGGTCAGCCATTACGCCCGCGACAAAACATTGGACCATGGAAATCCATTGAAAACTTACAGCTTTCTGTCTTCCTCAAGCTCGATATATAAGTCCCTTGTATAGAGCCCTTCATCGACACCAGGCTCGTTCGCTGTGATCAAATGCTCTCGATCCCCAGCTCTCCCCCAAATCTTGCCTCCGTGCTTTTCAAGTAGCCCATCAACCTCCTCTTGCAGGCTGTCTTCTTCACTAAGAAACTTCATCAACTCTTCCGGCTCTTTCGGTAGCGTCGCGACGACGTCACCCATGTCTGCAACCAATTCTCGAACTAGTGCCGATTCGAAATTTGTTTTGCCGCGCTTGTTGGATGACCATTTTGCGCGCAAGCCCAACCGCTCGATCAGCTCGTGCATGCGCACTTTGCTACGATTCTTCATGATGTCCAGCCAGTCCTTGGACGTGGCATATGTTATTGATGTGCCATCCATGGCGAGTGCTGTGTCATGCGCATGCACAGTAAGGGGTGGCAGATGGAAAATGCTTAGGCTCGTAGATATGTTGTACCACACTCCCTCAATGCGATGCGCATAGGATGACCATTACGCGACCAAAGTGCCTGTGATGTATAGTGCTGATTCCGCTGAGGTTACATGCAGTTGCTGGAAGTACCTAGGTATGGTACCTACTCGATCGGAAAGTTCCTCTTGTCAGTCGCAATAATCGTGACGGCTGAGAAGTCCGCGAGGTACGCTCTGAACCCTCTAAAGATGTATAATAATACAGAAATGATGAAGAGAGTGTAGGGGATGAAACGGTGAAACCAGGGTGGAGCGACGGCAACCTTGGAAGGGCTCGGTTACAGATTTCATCTGCAGCTAGGCCCAAAACAGTAAGGCCGGGGTAGGATGGAACGCTACACTGATTGGCCACGCGTTGACTTACCCACGACTACAAAATCTTTACGCAGCGTGCAACGTCTTGTCCACAATGCCTGGCCTATCTTCCAATGCCATGTTATGCAGTCTTCATATGTCCGTGGAGAGATTTGCACGTGTTTCAAAACACCGCTTTGCAAGAATTAGCAGTATCTCGGAATGAACACGTCCCCAAATTTTCCACAATCGGCGACTGTCTGCAGGGCTTCAGAATTTTTCGTTTTCATTAGCTCTTAACGCTACGCCTCAAAACCGTGACCTTGATTTGCCATGCACGTGCCATCCTGGTGAGCTAGTAAGGACTGTTGAAGCTATACACTGCTTGATCTCATCAATTCCGTGGGGTTTGCTATATTAGCAGTCTTGTGGTATTGATGTCCATAGCATCTTGAATCCGAAACTTCGAAAAGTGTCCACCACGCAACTACCAAACCGAACAGCCTTAGACGGCTCTCAACTCCACATCCAAAGTCCCCCCAACGGTTGAAGAGGTCTTAGCAAGATCATCTCGCATCCGGTTGAACGCCACTTCAGTTCCCTTGCGACCCAACTGCGTCTTCTTCGCCCCCTTCGGGCCCATGTACGTCAATAACCACATATTCGCGTTTTCGAGGATCGCAGCCACATCAGGGAAGGACTGGACCATGTCGCGTAACACCCCTAGCATCTTGCTGAAGGAATGGCACTCTGCCATGGTCAGTGGGAAGTCACATGCTGCCCCATCAACGTCTACCGTCCAGACGATATTGATGTTTTGGGCTTGCTCGTCTGTCAGATTGATGGCTGTCACAACGGGCGGTGCTTCTCGGTTTAAGCTAGCTTGCAACTCGACAACTTTCTGTACCTTCTGCATAGTCTCATTGTTCCCGATAAGAATCGGCTGGTTCTGTGGGATGGCTGACACAACGAATGGTGTCTCTCGGCTCAAGCTGGCTTGCGACTCGACGACTGTCGGTATCTTCTGCGCAAGTTGAATGTTGGCGATCAGAGCTGGCTGCTCCTTCGTGGAATTTGGAGGACCCGCGGCTTGTAGCTCTTTCTCCTGGTCCACCAAGGGCGTCTCAAGGCTACGGAGAGCGTCTTGGCTGATCGATAGGCGCAGTGCGCTAGTTCCTGTTTTATTGCGCTTGCTTTTTGATGGTTTCCGTTCAATGGGTGCTCTGGGCTTCCGCTTCCGAGCTGCGCGAGGTTTATCTGACAGGAGTGGCCCGTCTGTATCATCCTCTTGGTTGACGACCTGGGCTGAGAGGGTCTTCATTGGGGCTTGAAAAGTGAATGTATTTGTCCCGGAACGTGATACTAAATTGCTCTTCCCCGGGGAATGGAGCGTCGCTCTGATTGTCTCAATAGTACCTATGTCGAGACCGGTATATCGCAGCGTAAGTAGGGCGAAACTGTTGCTGAATTTCAACCCGTCGCCGCCGTTGCCTACTTCGTATGGCCTCCACACCTGGAGATGCTTCGTTGATCGGTCCATAGGCTGAGAGATCAATATGCAGAACATACCCATCTCCTCATTACCGTCAAGGGGCATGATGGCCAGACTCTGTAGATACCTGGTTAGCACTTAGATACAGTCTTTGGCCATGTATGTCTTACTCGATCCTTGACGAAAGCCATCTCACGCAACGTGAACAGTCCCGACTGCGCCCCGAAACAGCCTCGACAAACAGCATCACGATTCATACCCGAACTCCCTAGTGTCGATGGTGGGAATGGTAGACTCATATCGCGAAAATTTGCCTGCAGTTCTCTGAAAGATGGCAGTCCACGATATGAATTTTTCTGACTCTCGGGTGACAAATAACCGATCCAAATGCCACGAGCATAAAGTTTGGGTGCCGAGTAATAATGGCCACTTCCATTTGAGAAGTGGCTGAAACACTCGAAGTCCAGCGGTATTGGTGCCGTCCTAGAAGCTACTGATCTCTCGCGCATAACTGACCGTGGCGAGCGAGGTCCACCGAGAGAGTTCAATCCAAGGCTTGAGTCGCGGGGAGAAGAAGGTGCCGAGCTTAGGGGACTAGAGCTACCGTCACGTGTGGGAGTGGTGATCGTACCCTGAACATTATCATCGAAGTCTAGGCCGACCTCAACTTCGAGTGACCTGTACTGCGGGTCACCTGGGAATTTCCTCGCATTGCGGAAGATGCTGAGGACTCGTTGGAATGTCGCATCAGAATCAGCTGATCCGCGATCCAGGCGTATGCTGCCTGCTTGGTACATGTCTTCAGGAAAATGAAAAACCATGAGATTGCAGTCTGTCGAGATTCGCTCGCAAACTCGATGAAAGCAGTCGTGTGATGTGGTGCCATCAAGCTTCAGTAACATCGATCCGAATGCAAAGACGGGGCCATTGGTACCAGAAAAACCGAGTTTAATCTTGCGGTAAAGACGAAGCTGGACATGGGAGAAGCCAATGTAGGAGCTATCGGTCTCCATGATGGTTTGCTGTCGCCTGGTAGCCCCCATCACAGAGTCATCTAAGGAAGGGTGATCATTCGTATGCGTGTCTTCATTGAAAGTGCGGCGGAGGGTCCTCATGGGGGTGGTCTGGGATGAGGCTTTCGCTGTCGTGAATGCAGGCGATTCGCTGCCGCCAGCGTTCTCCATCTGGGCTTGATAATCGACCCCGTGAATTATCTTCTTGACCAGTATGTTGCGACGAAGCCGACTCTTCAAACTAAAGATCATTAGCTCAAAACGGTACACGACTTCTTACAGGCGTACGTACACCGTGGAGTCACGGGGGTAGACGAGATCCGACTCGTATGGTGTGCCAAATCGAGCCGTCAGAAGATGGTTTCGACTGCCTTCACCTGGCCAAATGAGTGGGCCGTACTCTCGGAGTAGTTGGTCGAGCTCCTTATCAAACAGTGCAGGGTCGTCGCGATCGAGAGTGGAACCTTGGTCTCGGACGAGGATACGAAACAACGAGGGTAGCTCTTCCCTATATAGACGATTGACTGCTTCATGCTTGAAGACCGCGCGAGCGCTTGTAGTGTAGCTACGTAGTCCAAGGCTTTGCAGCTCGGCGTGCACACTTGGGCCTCTCCATGACTTGCGTGCAGCCATCGAGCATGTGATCGGGGAGGCGCGGATTGTGTCTGGTGCTAGATACGCGATAGCAAAGGCGATGTCGCAGTGTGAGGGTAAAGAAGATACTCACCTTGCACTAGTCAGGAAAGGACGGACATGCAACAAAGGTCACCTGACGGCGTTTGTTGAAATAGACCAGCTTTACGAGCACTGTCGGTGAGTGCTGGAGGGCTAGTCAGAGCGTGCCCAGGTGAGTGCGGGCGAAGTGCGAGTCGAATGACGCGATGTAAACAATGGAAGCAAACGCCGCTTCGCTCCAGCCGTTTGAACGCTACTTGTGCGTCAGGCATATCGTCCAATAAGAATTGTCTTTACAAGCTGCTTAGAGTAAGTATGATAAACCCCGACCCATCGAATGAGTTTTACGGTCGTTTTATACCACGTTTGCCTCTGTTCTACATAGCAGTCGCATGACTATGTGTAGTGTACCTGGAGTGTCTCACTAAACGTGACATGTAGTAGTGAAATTGGTCTTCGACGGAGTGCAAAGCTTGTCCAATCACAAATGATACGAATATGCGTGCACCCGTACAATTCTTGTTTTCTCCCACCCCGGCTCCTAGGCGTGTCCTCGAAGTGATAGGACGTACAAACTACCGAAGAGGATCTCACACTTGAACTTTTCGTACTGATAGAGATGGTCCAAGCTCTTGTACTGTGTAGGCGACAAGGCAGCTTTTGAGCGTGCTATCGGTTACGGAAGCCATCTGAAAGCTCTCGGTTTCATCTAAGAATACTGTTAACCTGTCTAACTTCAACTTCTTTTGGAAACGTTATGGTGTGCTAGCAAGTCATCGAGGCTATTCGGGTTCGTACAAGAGATGACAGTTGCTCTCTAACAGTAGATCAAAATCACACGGGGCGCGCACGAACTATTGCAGTACGTAGTGCAGAAAACGCGACAGCGGGGACCAACGTTATCTTAAACCTTCTTCCTCGTCTCTCCATCATGAACGTCATCGCTGACATCCTCTCCACACACAGACACGGAGGCTGTACCCTCGTTGTTGATCGTTACAAAGAAGATGGCCATTCCCGCCCCCAATCCTTCGTATCCAGCGCGCCGACTCCGCCAACGGGCAGCAGAACGCCATGCGGCGTGGACATGGTATTTTTAGCACAGCCTCCCGCGACACAGGACGACGGCATGGCCAGCTCGAGACTTTAGAAAGTCTTCAAAGACATGATAAGAAGAGTCGGACGTCAAAGTAATGCGATATTTGCAAGCACTTAGTTGGTTGTCGATGTCCTGTCACTGTCCAGCGCATCGTCCCACCAAGTCGCGTAAGATGATCATTTCGCGCCTCCGCGAGTCGCGCGATTTGCTCCGCATGCGCCAACCCACCGGTCAAGAGCTTGTCTCCACCACATTCGCTTCCCCCAGTCACCAACCGCCAGGTCGAATGTTCCGATTCGGAGCCATGGTCTGCCTCCAGGCTATGGGATTGGTGCGAAGGCGACCATGGTGAGGCTGAATTTCGGAACGCATAGGCTGCGAGGCGTTCCTCAGCCGCAGAGCGGGTGCACCATATCTCGTGCGGCTTGACCCTGTGCTGGGTACTTGTACCTGCATTGTAAGCAGCTCCCGTAGGTTACAGGCCTGACCTTCGTCATAGTCGTAGTCGTACCTACGCTGCTAGATTGGCAAACATCATTCTCGACCACTAATACGGGCGACGGCGCGTAGCGGTCTCGAAGCCTACTAACCATGGCGGGGGTACCACTCCCGCTACAAGTTGGCTCCCCAAAGACTAACAGGCAGTCTTCGGTCGACAACGTACCAGCTGCTCTGCGCGCGGGCTCGCCCACAGTTGGTCCTCAAGCTCGACCGTCCCTCACGCGCAAGAATACCTCTGGCGCTTCTGGCGCTTCAGACAGACTCTCCCAGCTATTTCCGTCCCGGCCGTCCTCAATCGTATCAATATCTCCTCCGGTTACCGCCGCGCATTCTCGAAGAACGTCTCTACCGTCTCCGCTCACGCCAGCTGCCGAACCGACATATCGCATACCGCGCGCACCAGCACCACCGTCTTTCGCCGAAGACACTTCATATAGCCCTACAGCGAGCGCATTCCATCCTCAGGGATCAGCACAATCACTGCAAAGCGGCAGTGGAAAACGGAGGCTGCTGAGTCGACTATCATCACTGGGCCGTGCGAGCTCCAAAGCTGGGAGGTACAACAAGTTGGAAGATGAAGAGTCTCGGCCAGAGACCAGACGGCTCGGGGGTGTGGAGGAAGAAGACGCTGTAGGATATGATCTGAGCGGTTTCGATGGACTCCCCATGAAGAAGTTTGAGCCGCACTCGAGGATAGCAAATGCGACAGACGGGAAAGAGGGGGACCGTGATTTGCATGAAGCAGGCTACGCTGCCGAATTTGAGAGACTCGAGGCGCAGTTGGGCGCGGGCCTGGATTCTGTCATCGAAAAGCCCTTTACACACAATCCCACATCGCTTGAAGTGCGAAGTCCAAGTCACAGACGAGTCCTGTCTGGCTCCCAGGTCGTATCTGCGCAATCCATGGCAGCGCAGAAGGAAGCCGAGAAGACAGGGGGCATTGTTGCTGTTGCAGATATACCCGTGGATATCAGTGACTTCCATGCAGGCTCCGACTTTGACACACGAAGTATCATGACTACTGATACTGGTCTGGCTAGAAGCGGGCCACAGACCAGCTATTTCTTTCCCGAGGATCCGGAGCAGCCATCGTGGCGGCCATTCTCAATGGGTCGGCCTTGGCTTGCGATGCTCATTCTCATTGCGCTTGCTCTAGCTGGTCTGCAAGAGTTTCTGTGTCAATGGTCTCTTATGAAGGTCAGGGAACACCCCGAGGGCGGCTTGGTATCGTTTGAGAAGCCGGGTGACCTAACTATTACCGAATTCTTTACATGGAAATATGCGCCCATCATGTCCTTCGTCTTCTATGGTATATTATGGCAGATGACCGACTTTGATGTCAAGCGACTCGAGCCATATTACCAACTGTCAAAGAAGTCGGGCGCAACAGCTGGCGAGTCGTTGAACATGGACTATCTGACTTTTATGAGTTGGCTCGTCCCATTGAGAGCCTTGCGTCACAAGCAATATGCGGTCATTTACAGCTCAATGGGCACTTTGGTAGCTAGTAGTCTCGTGCCGGTCCTTCAGTCGGCTTCCATCGTGGTCTACCCACCAAAAAGCGAACGGAGTGGCGACAACACGCTCAAGTCAATCAGAATCGACCCGCCGTGGTCACGCGGGGTATCGGGATCGTTAGTCTTTGTAGCTTTCTCTGGAGCAGCACTCATGTATGCTATGCGCCGGAAGAGTGGGCTACAATCCGATCCGAAGGGTATTGCTGGCATCGCGGCCATGGCAACCAGAAGCCATATTCTTCAAGAGTTCCGCGGACTCGATACCGCGCCTATCGACAAGATCCACAAGCAACTGCGGCATCGCCGGTATATTCTCCATAAGAGCGCACTGTGGCAGGGAGAATTCATCCGAAATAACGCGGAGAAGGTACATGAGCATGGTGCGGATCCTCGACCACTCATGCTTCGCAAGCGTTCTGGTGTACCTTTCATCACCTTCATGGTACTTGTGACGGCGTCCATCCCGGTCTTCATGTTCTACGACGGCGCAGGTATAGTCACAGAGAAGCTACCTTTCCTCATGACTGCCCTAGCTACTGTGATCCGAATGCTCTGGAACACGATGAACTCCGACGTCCGGATGCTGCAGCCATTCTGGATCCTCGCCCAGCGCCACGCACCCGCAAAAACCCTTACGCTCGACTACGCCGGCACGAATCCACTACTCCTCCCTTTCGTCGCCATGTCCAATGGCCACTACCTCGTCATGGTCGTCGCCTTTGGCTCCATCCTAGCCGAGATCCTCACAGTCTGCGTCTCCTCCATAAGCGTCGACGGCAAGAAATTCATCCCAGGCAACGGCGACCGCGACGAAGACGACCCCTCCGACATATCCCGGCACAATACCGAGCAAACCTTCCGCTCCTTCTGGTCCTCCTTCTTCCTCACCATGGCCATCCTGCTCTACCTGATCACCATCGCACTCGTCACCTACGTCAAGCGCTCGCACAAATTCATGCCGCGCCAGATCGGCACCATGGCGTCTGTGCTCGCGTTTATCCACCAGAGCCGCATGCTGCTGCTGTTCATCAACACGGAGAAAATGGACTCGAGACAGATGACGCGGCACTTGGAGAAGACGGGCAAGACGTTTGCGCTGGGCTGGGTGGGGGGCAGGAGTGATGGGGATGACCATTTGGCGATTGATGAGGAGGAGATTTTGGCCGAGTATAGGTACGGGGTGGATTGGACGAAGACGAGGATTTTGGGACATCAGGTTGGGGCGTGGGAGCATTATGAGTCGCAGGGAGGGTGATGAGGAATGGGGGGTTGATGATACCAATATGCAAACACATTCATCACGCAGCGCTTTCAACTTTGCAAATCTTCGCCATATACCAGTCTTTCATTAGAACACGCAGGCCCAACGCAGTCTTCATTCTCATTTCCATGTCCATGCAATCTATACGCCCAAAACGCCCTCTCATGCTTGGTATCAATCTCCCTAATTCTCCCCACCCACATTCGAACTCAGCCAATCCATGCCCTCCGTAACCCCCGTGCCATCCACCGCACTACACGCCACAATACTCCAATTCCGGTCTTTCAACTCGCCCAACCTCAGCGCCTCGCTGATCTCGCCCGCCCCCTTGGCGCCCGGCTGGTCCTGCTTGTTGGCGAACACGAGCAGCGCGGCGTCGCGGAGTTCTTCTTCGTTGAGCATGGCGCGCAGTTCTTCCGAGGCGGTGGTGAGGCGGTCGATGTCTGTGCTGTCGATGACGAAGATTACGGCTGCCGTGTTGGCGTAGTAGCAGCGCCAGTAGGGGCGGATGGAGGTTTGGCCGCCGAGGTCCTGGGATGTGTTAGCGATTTGGGGATAAGTAGGAGGGCGGGAGGAGGGGGACGTACCCAGACGTTGAAGTTCAGCTTATTGTAGGTTACGGATTCAACGTTGAAGCCTATGGTTGGTATTGTGGTGACGACCTCGCCGATCTGATATGTACGTCAGTATATTGAACAATTTCAGATGTCTCTTTCACGTCAACGTACCTTCAGTCTGTATAGGAGTGTGGTCTTGCCCGCATTGTCCTACATTTGTAATCAGCTCCTGCTGCTCAAGTCCTACGCGGAGGTGTGGCGCATACAAGTCCCAGAATCAATATCCGCGTCTCTTTCTTCGCCCATATCAGGTTTTGGAACTTCGACAGGTAGCCACCCATTGTGTGTGTTGTTCGTGTCCTGCGCGCTCGTTCAAGTCGGTTTATATGCGGCGTTCACCGCCGGGGGGTTGAGTCGTTGCGGGGTGCCGAGGGCGGAGAAGTTGGCGTCGTGTGGGGGAAGCTGTGCGGGAGTTGTAGCAATAGATATGAAGCTATCTAGTAGATTCCCAAGAGTCGTGTGCTGATGTCGTTGTCGCTGTCTGGCTAGAAAGTTAGGCGGACGCAGATGCAAACAGCCCAAACATCCCGAGGCTGACGGAGGAACGTTTCACCGAACCGACTTTTGATATCTAGGGTCTACCAGGTGTGTACCAAGGTACCACAACAACAGTGCGCCATGGCTTAAAGTGTCTTTTTTTTCTCGAAGATCTCTGTGGCATAGATATTTGGTTGTAAAGCTGAGCCAAATTACGGAACTCGCAAAGTCGCCCCTGCTTGTTGTATCAACGACCCAGAGTTCGCGCTTCTGACCCAATGCGTGCTGAGTCTGCGAACACTCCTAGGATGCCTCAAGATTGCAATGACCTATATAGAATCTACTGTCTTTGTGCAAGGTTCAATGTAGGCCAGTATCATTTCAACGGCCAACTATAAGCCACCTGAGCACTACGTTCCCAGGGTTTCTTCGATGCTATGAGACACTGAAGGTATACAGGCTACACCTTTGGTAGTTCATTTCGATTTCCTATATTTCTGACCCAAACTTTCCGCGGTCAGCTTGCACTAATAGCTCAGGGTGCTCAGACAAATCCGTGTTACTGCTCGACGAGAATTCTAAAGAGAATTCAACGAGAACCACGGTTTCTGGTTGATCTAAAATATGCTGCTATATAAACAGCTCTCCTGCTCTTCTTTTCCCCTATCCATCTCTATACCATCCCATACATTACACACATTACAAAGTCTTCTCTCAGACAAAACTCTCTTCATACCCCTTCTCATAAACCACAATCACCCACTCCCAAAACCACCAAACATCATGGCCTTGCACACTACTCGCCAAATTCAACGAGCAATTCCCTTCGCTCTTCTCAATGGTGTCGACAGAAGAATTGCAGCGCCAATGCACTGCCAAACGAGGGTATCCTGGGTGGAAGCGAACTTGGAGAGAAGTTCTACTTTGCCATCGGCAGCGCACTGTCTGCGAACGGAGAATGGAACAGCATGACCTACAAGCAGCTAGAGCATGAGGCTCGCGTGCTGGGCTTGCTGGGCCCTTTCGAAAATCACAGCCATTCCGCCTTCAAGCTGAGGCTGATGCTGGCCTGCGAGGCTAAGAGGAATGAGGAGGAGGGAAAAGTGGTTCACGATTAGCTTGGTATCATTTCCGCGATTCGGGTGTTCCAGGTGTTCAGCGATGGTTCTGTTAGCTTACCGGTCATGTCTCATGAGGCCCTTGCATGTTGTTGTCGGTGTCTTTAACCGTTTTATTTCTGCATGCTGACTTTCACACTGTGCTGCATGGTAGTTGTTGCCCGAGTAGGTAGTTCATGATATGGTCACACTTTCACTTTCCACACAACACAACGTCCACATGATCTTTCACTTTTCTGTTCCAACCCCAGCCCGCGCCTTGCATTAGGTCATCGAGGCTTTCACTATCACTCTCAGCACGGCCCAGGAGCCCACAGCTACATATTCTGCATCGCTCTGCTCAGACATTCGTTCTTCTCTCCACACAGCTCTTGGGCTCTCTTCAACCAAGCACTCACGCACCTGCACAAGTCGACCACGCGCGACAGCTACCTTCCAAACACTTCGCTCTCAAAGCCTACAACACACCAAACATACACGCTCGACTATCAGTATGTCTGCACAACAGCAACAACCCGCCCAGGGCTTCAATGCCGCCTCTTTTTCGACATCGCCGGCGAGTGCCATCCAGACCCCTACACAAGCGGTCTTATCAGCTCGCCGCTCCCCTGAGTATACCATCGGCGCTCCTGGACCGTCCTCTCTGGACACTATCGCGCCTCGATCCCGACTTCCACGCCCCATCTCTCCTCCTTCTGTCGAGCACCGGACCACATATGCGTCCGCCGCTGACCGGACTCACAACCGCGGCTACAGCAAATTTGGTTCACCAGCCGGAGAGCCTTTGCCCTCTCAGACTGACGCGTTTGCTGCGTCGGAGTATGCAGTGTCTCGAGCCCCTCCACCTCGCTCAAGGCGCGAATCTACGCCAGGCACATACACCTACGTACCTGGCTACCGTTCTCGCCCGCTTCCACGGGACTTTCGAGATGCCAACCGCTCTCGACGTGAAAACCGTCGCCGAGCTGAACACGGCACTTCCTCCAGCCCTCGAAGCGAAAATAACTATCGCGCTCGCTACGCGGTTGAGTCTCCGCTTCCTCGCCTCCGTCGTGATCAGAAACAAATCATTCCGCCTTGGGCACGGAAAGAAGTTGTGAAACCAGCCTCCCCCCAGCCTGAGAAGCCCCCTGAGAAGAAGTTCGAGCACCCTACTCGTCACCCTCACTGGGGAGGAGCTGCTGTCGCCTCCACCAAGCAGCAGTGTACCAAGCCCAGTGAGTATCCTTACTACGATGCGATCATTGCCGGGCTGAATAGGACATACAACAAGCCAAAGCCCAAGGCTGGAAGCCCTCCTGGCCCTACGAAGATTCCCAAGCCTGAGCAGCGCGCTGCATCTCCGTACCGGCCGGTCCGGAGCAAAGTCCAGAAGCCAACAAGGCCCCACGACAGCCAGAACTACAGCACTTGGAGCAAAGATGCGCTCCTCAATGAGGTCAACCTTCGCCACCTGTACCACGACAGCGAGGACTCGTCCCACCTCGCGTCCATCCTTGCGATGCATGACAAGGAGTTCCTCCGGAAGTGCTTGAAGCTTTCAAACTTGAAGACCTCGAAGGATCTCAGGAGATATGCTGACCGCCTGAACATGGTGGTTTCGGACCACGGTGTCGGACAGTACCAGCCTCTCGTCGAGGAGATGGCTGAGGAGCTGGCTCGGAGGACTGTTTCTCGGCATAACGAGAAGGCGCGCATGTTGAAGAAGGAGCCAGTTCCCGAGACGAAGACCAAGGATCTGATACCAGATAAGAAGATTGTGAAGGCTGGTGCCAAGAAGATTCCAGCCGAAGCTTCACAGAAGACCGCGTCAAAGTCCACAACGGTCACCTTGAAGAACATCCTCGGGTTGATTAGCAAGGAGGTCAACCCCAACGACTCTGGCTACTCATCGCCTTCGAGGAAGCCTTCAAGCTCCCCTCAGGAGCGATCATTGTCAGATGGGGATGACAACCTGCAGAAGCCGTCGGTGGTAGCAGATGAGAAGCCTACAGACAGTAAGAAGCGCTCTCTTCCTGTTGAGTTCAAGAAGGAGACTCAGGCGTCTCCAAAGCGGAACAAGATTACACTCGAGAACGAGATGGAGTCCCGGAAGAAGAAGGCGCATCGAGCGCGAAATGCAACCGCAACCGCCACTGCCACTGCCGGCGATGATGGCGAAGAGATGGAAGTCGACTCCGCCCAGCCAGCGCCTGTCTTCGTGTTCGGTGCGTCCGCTCAAGCCGCAGAACCGACGCCTGCAGCCAAGGAGACTGTCTCAGCCGAGGAGGTCGAGTCCGAGAGCGATGTGGCCGAAGAGGAGGAGGAGGAGGTTATCGTCGCCGCACCCAAGACCTCCCAGAAGCGCAAGTCACTCACCACCGAAGACGATGAGAACGCAGAGCAGCTTCCTGCCAAGGTGGCGAAGCACAACCCGTCCAGGCCAGTTGCTGCGCGGACGAAGAAGGCTGGCAAAGACAAGCAGTCAAAGGAGCTGGAGGGTATCCCAACAGAGGAGCGTATCCCGGGCCAGGTGTACGTCCCATTGCGCGACGGTTCCTGGAAGCTTTCGCAGTCGAGCAGGGCGTCAAAGAAGCCCGCTGAGTCTGCGCTTAAGTACATAGTCAAGTGATATGGGACGCTGTTATATAGACAGTTGCAGACGGGAACACGGGTCGTGTTCGTAGAAAATGGTTTAGTATAGCATTTCTGTGGGGGGTTCATGCATGCAGTCTGCGGTATTTAAAAGATCAGGAACCATGGCGGAACAGAATGGGAGCACTTCGCACCAATAGCATCAACAAATAGCAACGTCATCTTTCATTTATACATCAATCATCCACACAGAGCAGTGCCTTTCAAGCTATTGCCAATATTGAACAGCCCGCTGTGACCTGATACATACTGAGGACATGAATTGTGACGATCGCGATATGCTCACAGAGGCCTGTCATGATTCACAGGAGGTTCTTAGTGATCTTCGACTTCGTTCCGCCCATCATATACCTCTTCATACACGCGATATTGACATGGAAAGGATCAAAAAGACATGACGTGGGCTCTCTGCCCCACTCATCAGCACGATGACTTCTCCAGTAACTGGAGCAGCTCGCCAAAGTCCCAGAGCGGCGAAAGAGGCCCTAGGCATCGCAGAAGTGCTCGAAAATATCCTCCACAATCTAACCCTCGCAGATATCCTTTGCAACGCACAAACGGTCTCGCCTTTCTGGAGGAACTGCATCACCGGCTCGCGCATCCTGAGGCGCAAATGTCTCTTGCTTCCCTCAACCACCGACGACTACACTGCCGACAACATCCTCTACATGAACTTCTCATGCCCCATAGCCGCTTATCAGGACATTCATCCTCGTCAAATCGCCGTATTCCAGTACTTTATAGAGAGTCCACGCCCTGTTCTTCTTCAAATCAGAGGATTCCTGGACAGGGCTGTGCATACACATTTTGACGACTATCTCACATTTATGGCTACGATGTACAGGACCAGCCCGAATGAACACCATCACTTTGATATCAACAGCGGGATCAGGTATAAATTCTGGGCCGCTATGACTCAGGTTCGTGCGGATGTCGCACATCCCTTCATACGCAGGTATATGTGGGCGCCACAGCAATGCTTCTGGACCGGCTATCGTAATCGTCTTGTTCTCCTGGTGTTTGACGTTGACAAGCCCATCACAGGAGACTTTATCGCTCTGCAGAAAATTCTTACCACGTTGAAGCAAATGATCAGAGATTGTCCAACGATCAGCTGTTTAGACGCGCCACTGACTCGGCCCGCTGCAACTACACTGACATTATCTCTACAGCGACCGACAAGTAATGCGTACAATGAGGGACTTGCACGCACTTATTGTAAGGAGCGGGATACGGGCGTCACGATTAGGGACATGCTTTTGCTACTAGCGAGGGTGGCGATTTCGTTGTTTGAGGGATATACGGATCCGCATCGACCGCTTACTATGGATACTACAAGGCTAATGATTGCATGCGCTCGGAGTCTTCAGGCGTTGCTGAAATAAGAGCATTGGAGCGAAAGATGGGTACATGTATGCAACAGGATGGAGAGACAGCTGGAAAGATCGATGTAGGAAAGGTCAGATCAGTATTGAGTACCATGAAATAAGGCCGAATAGTCCTTAGATACCTCAACATGACTACTCACTTTGCATAAACCAAACAAAGCCTCCCCTGCTGCGTCGGCAAGCCCCTCGTTCCCTCAACATACCACTCCTCACTTCCCACAGCAGTCACCGCATAAAACACGCCCCACGGATCCCATTTCCTCTTCACCCGCAACAGCCTATCATAATTCGCCCCATACAAACTGTGCTGGAAATCCGGCTCTTGAACATCTGCTTCGTTCATGTACGCCCCACTACCAGGACTTGCATCCCTCCATTTCTGAATATACGAGTCCAGTCGCGCATGTGACGCTTTCCACTCCTCATCCGAGAGCTCGCGGGTGTATGGTTTGTTGTCGAACCCAGTAGCATGCATGACGGCATTGCGCAAAGCCGGGTTCACAGCAGAATTTGAGCCAGGATAGCTTGCTGTTTCGTAGGTCGCGGCAAAGTTGACGGAGTGGAAACTATAGCCGCCTTCCTCGACGAATGTGCGTATTGAATCCATGGTGGCGCGAAAGACAGTTGAATTGCGGCCTTCGAAGTTGGCGCGAGGAAAGAGACGAGAGCTGAAGCGACTGTTGCTTGTGGCGCCTGTGGGTCCGCCTGGAATGGTGCCAAATTCAGCATACGTCTTCCAGAACAGCGGCTCTTGCATCTTGAGAGGTATGCCTGCATCATTGAGGTCCTTGATGAGTGGTGCGACCAGATTTTTCATTTCTTCGGCTGTTACTCCAGGCTTGGTGATCTGGCTGCGCAGACTGAATGTGCGATTTGGTTGAATTTGGTTGCCAGCTTGCGCCTGTACGTAGTTCCACATGATACCTTTGGCGTTGTTTATACGGAGGTTATGAGAGAAGTATATTTCCATACCCTTCCAGAATGTCGCAATGTCGTTGACGCGAACATTCGACGTTAAGTTGCCTAAGACCGGACCAGTCTGGAACGTAAAGTCATACCTAGCAATGGTCGTGGCTGGATATGCTTTGATGATCGCGGAGGTTACAATACCATAGTTGCCTGACAGAAGATTAGACATAGCTACCTGAATTCCAGCACGACTCACTCGGTCCGCCTCCACGAATAGCCCAGAAAAGGTCGGCGTTTGTATCCGGATCAGCATGAACGAAATGACCGTCGGCAGTAACGACTTCGAGAGCGAGCACTTGGTCGGCCATAAGTCCGTACTTCGATGTGATATAGGAGAAGCCTCCACCTTGCATAAAGCCACCATATGCGCCTACCGTCGGAGATCCTGGAGCCAGAAGGGTGATGTTGTTCTTACCCATGTAACTGTACACCTCCCATTGCTCCAGTGCTACGCCCACTCTTACTGCCTGTCCGTCGTACTGTGCGATCTGTGCTGAAGGCAAGTACTCGAAAGCTTTGAAATGATGTACCCAAACTTGAAGTGCACCACCGCCTGTATTGCGTCCGACCCAATCGTGCCCAGTGTTCCTGTTGCTGTTAGAACCGCCAAATGTAGAGCATACGCGTAGCATACTTGATGGTAAGACGGATGTAGTTGTTGCGTGCAAAGTTGATTGCAAGTTGCACATCCCGAACGCTAGATGCATTGACGACGTATGCTGGATAAGACTCCAGTTTGCAGTCGGACAGCGGTGGTGTGACACCAGAATTTGGCACGGGGCAAGGATTATGGAGTTGCCATTGGCCAAAAGGGACCACTGGGTCCTCTTTTCTGGTAACGTGATTAGCTGCGTAAAAAGACAAAGTCGCGAAATGGCTTACGCAAAGAGTGCACTGCCTTGGTTTTGCCTTACAAAAGTGCAACTTGAGGCGTTCTGATACATGCCATCGTAGCAAGATGCAGTTGGAGGAACGCCGCGCAGTAAAGCACCTCTTAAGCTCACATTGAATGCATTCCATCTCTCTGCCGATGGCCAACTTTCATACCCGGGGAAGCTCTTACATGCTGGCTTCTCGATGCCAGTACCATCTCCGAAAGTGATGTCAGAGTTATTAGCGATGTCAGAGTGCTGCAACTGCACGCTTTCATAAGGAAAATTGAATGCAAGAACAGTATGCGAAAGCAATAAGACGGCGCCGTGAGCCAGGAGAAACATCTCGACACACTTGTCCCAGATTTTGCCTCGACGGGAGTAAGATCTGAGGGATGAGGTGTATTAAGTCGAGATTAAGATATCCTGTAAGCGTGATACTCTGGAAAAACGCTCAAACAGGGGTTACACAGCATTAGAGCTGACAAGTTGAAGAGGGTAGCCCGAGCGACATGGTATAGCACACCTGGGAGGTTGTCAACTTGGGTTCGAAGAAGCGTAAACAGGGCCATCATACTGCCTGAAGTTATGCACAGCACTTTGCTGTCGAAATCAAAAGCTGAAGACAAAGTATAAAGCTTCCGGCTGTTGAATAGGGTGCCTGCGGTTCCTAGCAACCTGCTCACTTTCCCTAATAAGTGAGAATCTGTAGTGCAATAACAGTTCTCCATATTTATTCCCGTATCATTGCGTTATTCGATGTTTTCACTTGACATGGTCTGCCAGATCAACATGCGAGAAATCCGACTGTACGGTGCGCTGTTGGAGACCCTGCAATCGATAGCACTCGTATCCGTGGCTTGCAGGTGTCACACCCAATTGGCCGGCTATATTGCGAATGGCTTTCTGAATGTGTCCATATAATAATGCAAGCACACCTTCGGAAGTCATTGTAAGCACATGTGTGGCTTGAAGCAGACCAAAGATTGTGGGGATCCGACCGTGAGCGCCCAGTACAATGCAGCCCTCCCACACCATACCGGAAGCTCGCTTCGCTGCTTAGTACACCAAGATAACACTGACATGCGGAGAGACTCGTGTTGGGAAGGCACCCAATTGGTAGTCGGCTCTCGGAGCTATAGAAGGCCGTCATGCCTCCGTGGAATACCCGTTCTATCCTCCCGAATCATTGCACATCGGTCGAATCACACTGCGATATCGCAAGAATACCCTGGAAAATCCGACCAGGCAACTACCGAATCATTCTCGAGAAAGTATAAGGTTGGAGGCAAAGACATAACAGCATCAAGCATTTGATGCCTATACTCTAGCACGTTCTAACAAACTCGCAATATCCCATCTTCGAATCTCGACCCCGCTAAGTCATAGTTTTGCAATATGGACGCTGCGTTGAACGAAATTCGAGAGCAATACACCAAGGGTGACGCCGCGGAAAGACAGAAGATCCAGGACCAGATCAGAGATCTCCAATATGATCTATATACGGACTGGGAAGTGATGTTTAGCTCTGCTTATGCAGTGAGTCACGCCTCAACGTCTTTGTCTCACTCTCGCAAGAAGTTGACATTGTGACAGCCTCTCCGCTGGGCTCTCATCCAGATTGGAACCGATCTCAAAATCTTCACCACACTTGCGTCGTCCTCCACCACCGTGTCTCACAAAGAGTTCGTTGACAAGACCGGTGCTGCTCCTACTCTGATGAAGCATGTTCTCCGTTCCATGGCGTCCTTTGGCTTGGTTAAAGAGACCGCGCAAGACACATTCCAGGCAAATCGCGTCACCGTAATCTTGGCTAATCCTCATGTCGAAGGTGCTGCGCCGCATATCTCGGTCGTACAAGCACCAACTACCTATGCTATGCCGCAGTGGCTCAAAGACCACAACTACCAGAACATGGACAGTATCAACGATCTCCCATTTCACAAGGCGTTGAGAACCGACCTCTCACCTTTCGACTACCTCGAGGCCAATCCAGTGCTGATGAAGGCACTTGGTCACGTTATGGTCTTGGATGGGACGCAGAGCTGGACCGAGTCTTACCCAGTCGAGAAAGAGCTCCAAGACTTCAAGCCATCCAACGATTCTGCCGTATTAGTTGATATTGGCGGAGGCTTTGGCCAACACTCGGTCTTCTTCAAGAAGAAGTTTCCGCATATCGAAGGCCGCATTGTCGTGGAAGATCTCCCTTCGACACTCAAGCATATCCCTGACAAACCTGCTGGCATCGATTTCGAGGAGTACGATTTCTTCACACCTCAACCCATTCATGGGGCAAAGTTTTACTACCTTCGCCATGTCCTGCACGACTGGCCAGACAATGACTGCGTCCGTATCTTGAAAAACACGATATCGGCCATGGGTCCTGAATCTCTCATTCTGCTTGATGAGGCGGTATTGCCGGAAATGAAGGTGCCCTGGCAGGTCTCATCGATGAATATGTTGATGATGGCTTTACACAGTGGTATGGAAAGGAGCAAAGGAGACTGGGAGAGTTTGCTGGATCGCGCGGGGTTGAAGATTGCGCATATCGTCAAGTATGATGATGTGAAACATCACTGTATCGTGGCAGCGGTCCCAAAATAGCAAGCAAATGGGGTTGCCTGGCCACTGCAGATCATCAACTTTGACGGAAGTGAACAAGTTATCTGATAGCCCGGAGCTACACACAGTATTGCTAGGCTGCAATTGCGACAGCAAGGCCATGTGTATACTTTCATGCAACATGTTCGCTTTCCATCGTATGCGATAACCTGTAGTAGATCTTAGCTATCTTCGTACATTTTGTTTAGCTCTTGAATGCATATTATTGACATCGAGTTCCTCCCCTGTAATGTGTACTTGTAGCCGCAAATGAAGTGTCGAACAATCTCGCGTTACCTGCCATTCACACCTGGGAAAGCCGCATGTAAGAGCAAGTTCTAGAAGGTCTCTATCCCCGGAGCTTATATCAACCGGTGTCACTACCTAGTTCAATCGGACCATAAAATGACCGCATCGGCTCTAAGCGACAGGAAATCGGGATCTGCCCATGTGGAAAGTGGAACCTGAAGCATCACAGCCCGCTCCCGCGCGGAAGCTAAATGCCGCCTAACCTGTTCCTGGCCATAGTACCCACTCTGATGATCCATCCGTCTCATTTGCTCTGAACCTCATAACGCCTCAAATTATAGTAGTGCTGGGGAACATATCAGTTCATCTATGTGATATAGATCGGCCCAGGTCGTTCCGAGACATGCATATGTGATTACGTATGGCAGGCACGACAGCCAAGATATCTGACCACTGTTGGTTGGCATAGAAAGAGCAAGGCAATGTCTTCTCCCTGCTATTACAAGCGACCTCGCGTGGAGGCTCGATCAAACATGCCATATCCTCAGCACCAAATTGGAACCCTGCCTGAGCAATCCGATCCTAAACACCTCGCTTTCTCGGTAGATCGCTCAACTACTGTCCATACAGTCTTCACTATGATCCAGCTTGACGGCTCATGCGAGTCGAAGGTCGATGCGAGTCCAATGACACCAAATCGCACAAGCACGAAACTATCTCGTAAAGACACGTCAGACAGGCCGAGCACGCGCAAACGCCTGTCCAACTTCTTCACATCGAGACGGCGCACGAGCACAAACCTAAGCAACCTCAAGGCGACCGATAATGCGGACGTGTACAACAGCAGTCCACTGCGCGTCCTCTCACCGCGCGCCACAGATCTCGAGCCCGAGATTTCAACGGCAGAGAAACCCAAACGCCGCTCATTCACGTTCAAATCTCGACAAAGCACAAGGAAATCAACAGCGCCTGCTTCGGCAACAGAATCCGCGCAGTTGACGCTCAGTGAGGCGCTGAATGAGGGCGGTCACATACCTGTTACAGATGCGCCGTGTCTGCCTAGGGACAGCATGGTCATGGGCGGCGTTGGCCTGCCCGCTTCAGCTGTACATAGAGGCAGTGTTGCTGGGCTGCCAGTACGCAGGGACAGCGTAGCTATGGGTAGCGCTGGGATGCCGGGGTCGCCGATGAAAGAAGCTGCGCTGACGAGCCATCCCGTGATCCTGGTGTCTAGCGAATCGAGCGATGAGTTCACGACGCCGACGAGTGGGCGGAGTGTTGATTTGGGGAAGACCTGAGACATAGCTCATAGTGGAGGAGATGGCATAGACTGGCTTGTAGGATAGAAGATTATGAGTTAAATGGGGTTATTGTATGCCAGTGCAAAGAAGCTTCAATATTCATCTTTTCCCATCATCTTTGGTCCAATGTGTGATGAGATCCATACAACGCCAGCCCATGCGGAGTATCTTAAACCTTCAACCACAGGTTAAGCACGCCCTTCGCGTACTCGACGATCTCGTCGCCGCCAAGCTTGCTCTCGCCGTAGAGTCGGTCGACGAACGAGATGGGTACTTCTGCAACTGTGCATCCCATTGCCTTCGCGCGCACCATCAACTCCATCTGGAACGTGTAGCCCTTGCTCTCCGTCTGCTTGATGACCTTCTGCAGCACCTCCTTCTTGTACAGCCTGAAGCTACCCGTGAGATCACTCACGCCCGGCCTAAGCACCGTATCCGCAAACAGATTGGCGCCCCTGCTCACAAACTTGCGCTTCAAGTCCCAACCATACACGCCGCCATTACCCGCATACCGCGTGCCCGTGACGATGTCGTAGTTCTTCTCCTTCTGCACGCGAATCATATCGGCGATGAATTTCGGGTGGTGCGAGAAGTCCGCGTCCATGATGATGACGTAGTTTCCGGTTGCAAATTGCAGGCCGTGGACGTAGGCGGTTCCGAGACCAAGTTTGCCGGCGCGTGCGCGGATCTGGATCCTGGATGGGGAGTAGGCTTTTTGGAGTTGCGCAGCGACTTCTTGAGTGCCGTCGGGTGAGCCGTCGTCGACGATGATGAGTTCCCAGTCAAGGTTGCTAGATATGTAGTCAGCAAGGAAGTCAAGGTAAAGGTAGGGATGCAATTGCTACCTACTTCTCAGTGAATGTCTTGTTCAGCAGCCAAGTTATGATGGGCAGGTTGCGGCGCTCATTGTATGTCGGCAGGAGAACCGAGTACTTGTCCTTCTTGGGTGTTGGTGCCATTGTGAATGTTGTGCTGCGAAGAGGTGAATGAGTGACTGCAGTTGAAGGTGGTGGTGTGGTGGAGTTCCTGCGATCGTCGCGGAGGTGGTCGTGTCGTGTCCGCAAGTGCACTTGGGAGCTTGGGCCGCCTCCTTTTTAAGCCTCTTCCAGATGTCAACTCCAGCCCATCGACATCATGCACCCGACGAGAGCTCTTTTAGCGAAGAACAACTTGCTCATATGCCTCGACGCATTTGGCACGCTGTTCAAGCCCACGCAACCAATTGCTGCGACATACACTCAGGCTGCTGCTAAACACGGAATCCAGACTGGCGGCGCGGAGAATGCGCAACAGGTTGGCAACAATTTTGCAAAGGCCTTCAAAGACGAATCAGCACGTAATCCGAATTATGGTAAACGTACGGGGCTTGGTGCGCAGGCATGGTGGGAAAATGTAAGTTGGTCACTTTGAGTAGAGACAGATTACGGCACAATATGCAGGTGCTGCAATAAATCGTGCGCGCTGTTTGAAAACGACAAGCACTATCCAGCGGCGACTGAGTTCAGCTGTCTAATTTCAAGGTTATTCCAGCATCTCTTTGCGTACTAGAAAGCATTGAGTCCCCTCAAGCTCGTATATAAGATGACAGTCGCTCTCTAATAATACGTTGAGTCGAAACAGAGCGCACACGAATTATTGCAGCACCTAGTGATGGATCCATGTGACTATATCGTCATTAGAAACCACCGGTTGACATTCTTCTAGGTCATTCGCAGTACATTCACGCCATTCTTGAAGCCTGGACAAAGCGTACCACCAGCGTTAACTACTGAACTATGGCAACACTTTTCAACTGGAGCTCCCTACAGCCTATACCCAGACGTGAAAGACTTCTTCCTCGAATTACGCAAGTATAAGGCTACTGGACCCACGGAAGCACTTCCTTGGAAATTCGAGAAGGTCGTGGTGGGCATCATCTCTAACTCCGATGACCGCGCAGTCAGCATATTGGAAGGTATGGGCCTGGACATTAGTCCAAGGCGTGTTGGAAAAACATCCCCTACTACCACACAGAATTGGTCTCGGAATGATATCGATTTCGTGGCACTCAGTTACGATGTTGGCCACGAAAAGCCGGACCACCACATCTTCGATGCAGCCACGTCTTTATTAGACAGAGACGCTCGCCGAGCAAGCAGAAGGACTGCGCGCCAACGATTTCGAGAAACTGTACTTGGGCGATGATCTCGAGAAGGACTATTTCGGCGCCCTAGCAGCAGGGTGGTACCCAGTGCTGATAGATCGAAAGGGCGTGATGGATCGGGCCAGGGGTTTTCGCTTCGGTACGGTAGGCACGACCGACAAGCAAGGCGAGGAGGTAAAGGTATCGATGGCTCAGTCTTTACTTGATCTTGATAGATGGGAACCAAAAGTTCCTGAAAAGACAACGATGGCGGACAGAAAGCGATGGTAGATGATGCGTAGGTGGCATGGTGCCAGACATGGCGTTTTACATCCAGCATGTCTCACTCAGGCTCTTTCTTGACGTCAACGGATGGCCTTCGAAGCTCCAAAATATCAGACAGCTTCACATCACCTTTTCCACCCCAGCCTGCTGTTCCACTTGCGACATCTGGTCTGACGCGCACATACCATCCCCACGCTCTTTTGTCCATGTCTTCTTTGCTGAGAATATGTACCCAGGACTCGTACAAAAGCTCCAAGGCTCCCAGCACCAGACCGAGATTGCGCTCCTTTTCTGCTGCCATTGAAGCTGCTGTCTGTTTCCTAGGCGCGGCTGCTTTGCTATCCTTTGGGGTGTCGAACGCCCTTACGAGGTAAGATCTCGCCGACTGAGCGGTGTATATCGGTAGCTGACTCGACGGAGTCCTGCTGGGACCAGTGGCTGAGGATGTCTTCTTGAGTGCTTCCAGATCCACACCCCAAAGCGCAGGCTCTTTAGTAGTAGGCTCTTCTATGAGTGTAGTTTCTGACGATGGAAGTGTTTCTTGTGTGGAGTTGATAGAAGTTCTCGACTCTTCCCAGTCATAGCCCCATCTTTTCATCACTCGCACGTCTCTGCTCATAATTCTGACAATCGGTTGCCCCTCACCCCAGCCTTCATCCTCGGCTGCTTGCCCGTGATCAAGGCCAATGTGGACAGCTTTGCTTTTACTGTTCATCGAAGTGACTGCTTGGGCAAGGCTTAGTCTACTCGAGATAGGCTGATCCGGCATGGTATACTTGAGCAAGGTCACAGCAAAGGCTAGTACGAGCGGGGCTCTATTGGTGTGTACAACGGTACCTTGAAGTGTCTGCTCGTCACGTTCGGCATCAGGTAGCGCAAGGGATGCTTCCAAGTCAGCAGGGTTGAGCGGTTGGCCATAGGAAGGCTTGGCCCTCTTGGGCGACGATGTTGATCCGGAAGCTGACGTCTCACTCGATTTGCGCTTCTTCGAGACTCGCTTCGCAGCATTCAAAACTTGTCGTGCTATCTTTTCGTCTCCAAATATGCTTTTCAGATCGTCGAATTGTGCATTCGCCAAGTCAGACACACTAGACTTGTTAGTTTGCGCTCTTGATGCGTGTTCACGTGCTTACGTGTTGAGCTTCGCCGCCTGCAAGTCTTTAACCTTGCTCATTGCTTGTGCCAGCGGGACTTTTGCATCCTGGGAGAGAAAGCGAAGCAGCGCCTGTAGATCCTGTGTAGAGGCCATCGTATCAAGTCCAATGCCTGAGTCTTTGGGGATGTGAACGACGAGACTCAGTCCAGTGCTGGAAGGGCCCACAGCTCGACGCGCTAGTAGATCAGTACAGGGATGTCACAGGTCTTCCCCGCGACTTCAACTTTCTACGCGGCAAACCTACGTACACCAACTCGCAGTCGCCAGCAGTCACGTCTGATATCCTAGCTACAGCTCGATGATACACGCCTTCATCTGGCCGCGCTAAACACCTTCATTCTCACGAGTTTCACGAATCTACCGAGCGCAAGACACATCGCCATGGCCTTCAAATTCTCGCTGGGTGCGGCCAAAGGCAACAAGGCACAGCCCAATGCAAAAGCAAAGGCTGAAGAAGAGGCAAAAGAGCGGGAGGATAAGTTGGCGCTCGACAAGGTCATGGCCGACTTTGAGGAGGAGCACAGCGGCAAGAAGGGTATCTTGGGAGAACCAGAGCGCGATCATGGGGATGAAGAGGACATATTTGTTCCTACTGGCAGCAAGCGACACTTCACCGGGCGCCAGCGATCTATGAAAAGCGGGCCTGGCACTCTCGACTCCGAACCGTTCGACGGATTCTCGAGACAAGGCGCTGCAGGCCGACGAGCACCACAAGCGCAGCAGGGATTCGGCAGAAATGTTCCTACACGTCCATCAGGCCTCGATAGGTCTCGGCAAGCAGAGAACGTGTACACGACGCTCGTAGCGAAAGCCTCAAACCTCCCTCCCACAATCGACCCCCACCGAGTCGAAGAACTGTTTGCCGATTATCCATCGCTCAAAGTCACAAAGGTCGAGAAGATACCTCCCCAGGGTCCTGCGACAAAGGGTCGACCATCGGCGACTATGAAGGTGGTATTCGATAAGGATGCTCCGGCGCGAGACCTTGACGAGGCTATGATGAGGCTGAATGACAAGAAATACCTGGGCCGGGGTTACTACCTACACTTGGACAGGTATCTCGGCGGCAAAGCCGCAGATACAGCGCAGGTAAAAGAGCCCTTCGGTGCGCGCTGGCAGGCTCCAGAAGTCCCCAAAGGCTATGCTCCACCTCCCGACCTTGGAGGCGGCAACAGGGACGGCCCGCGCGAAGATAGAGATCAGCTGATCGTCACCGCAAATTTACCGCCAGATGCCGCGACCATCAGACTCATCCACCAGACTATCGAGGGTGTCATACTAGGCGGTATCGAGTTCGAGGCTGCGCTCATGAATGATCCACAAATTCAAGACGAGGAACGATTTGCGTGGCTCTATGATCAAAAACATCCACTCAATCGGTACTATCGATGGCGGATGCATCAGGTTGTTTGCGACACATCGAATGCAGAGATCTTCGACTCACATGGCCTATGGAACGGTCCGACGGAGCCGCTCGCCGATGAGTTCGCAGGAGATCTGGGCTCGTTTGACCCAGTGAACGAAGATTCGGACAGTGATGAGGAGGAACAAAGAACAGCGCACAAGCCCCTACCCATTGGTGACAACTACCCCGGTCGTGTTGATAATGGTTATGGGATACTCAGCCCTCGCTCACGGGCGCTGCTGCTTTGGCTATTGACATCGCTCCCACCCGGAAGCATTGTCGCGGATGACATTGCCGCAGTCTCTGCCTTTGCAGTTGAGCACGCTGCGCACGGCATGGACGAGGTCGTCGACATACTCCTCGCAAATGTAGTAGCACCATTCCAGCTGACAGATGCCAATACAAAGAAGCTGGCGGTAGACACCGAGAGCAAGGATGATGCAAGACGCCTCGATGTACGGCAAGTAACATTGAATGCACTCCGTATCGTGCATGACGTCCTCTTCACAACGTCGAAAGAGTCTGGAGTAGCCTACAAGTACCGCCTAGCTATCGGCACCCAGCTCGTGGAGCGCAAGGTATTTGAGCACCTCGAACAACTCCCCGCGCAATTGGCCATGGGTCGTATGACAGAGAGGAGCTACCGAGACGAAGTGAATGTCATTCTCAAAGTCTGGGAAGACGAGTCGTTCTTTGAAAAAGCTACGCTAGAGCATCTGGACGAAGTGTTCAACGCGCGAGAGAGGCAAAAGGAGGAGGAGGAGCACGAGAAGAAGCTGGCAGAGCGACGCAAACGTAAGCTAGCTGCAAATTCCAGCGCTGTGAAGAAGGCCGAGAAGGTCGAGAAGAACCAGGAGGCCAGTGATGTGGAGGTGGTGGATGAGGGGCAGACTCCCGATGATGTGGCTGAGGAGGTCGGAGAGGCTGTTGGAGAGATGCAGCAACCAGCGCACACACCAGAAACTGAGTCGCAGCCACTTGGTGCTATCATCGAACATCCGGCACCACTGGAACCCACCCCAGAGCAAGCCACGATCCCAGAAGAGATTCCCGGAGAGACTGCAGCTGCACGGGCTCGTAGACTGAGACCCAAGGCAGAAGACATGTTTGCTTCAGATGAAGAGTGAAAAGGTCGCTCACGTGGAGAAGGCGGTGTCCCTGGAGCTAGTAAACAAAGGTTGATAGTGGCATGTCAGCCGACAGGGTGGGGAATAAGGTGCATTTTGTGATACCCTAGACGCGATTCGTACATAGTCAGGAATCGAATACATGTAGTATATAATTTCTGCGTGTTGGCGAAGTTTGCAGGAGCATACCCTCGAGGTCCCTCTTGTCGCATGGCGGTGAACAGAACTGCACCAATCAGACAACCCCGCACCTGATAGCTCGCTTGGTCCAACGAACGCAGACGCATCGTCGAGCCTGACGCCTCGCGACATCCTCACAGTATCCTGCAAACGAGCTCTCGAGGTGGGAGATAGCTGTGACGCGCAAGCCCAAAGCAGATTATCGCGCGATCCCGTGTGCTGGTGTCTCCCCCGTGATTGGCGCCTCAAGGCTACTACGGTTGAGCGAGCTGCTACCCTCCGCTCGGACTCCACAACGGACGGCAGTCGATACAGTAACTTCTTGCACTCTACCCCACACCAAGAAGACGACCCGAGCCCCCTCCCTTGTCGTAGCCCTTCGGCGTACGGCAGCAAACAATCTATCCTAGGGCCGCCAAGTGGGCGCTCTTGCTCCGCATCATCTCCGTATCTCGACGCCGGAGCGCTAGATCTAGCCCTCCTCGACAGTCATGCCTTGCTTTCTCGGCCTGGTGAGTTTTGCTACATGCAGTCTGCGCGTGAGGCTCTGGCTGACCTGACCCTCCCGCTCACAGGCCGTTTCCATACACACGCCCAATGGCCCGCTGCCGGAGCACTCGATCCAGAAGCAATCCAAATTCCACCGCATCACGTCGTACATCCCCGTCCCGCCTGCAAAAGTGCCCCCGGGCGCTACCAAGCCAGAGCAGTCGACCTTTGCCATTTCAATCACCCTCCTCACCCCCGGCCTCCACGTCCCGTACTCGACACCAAAGCCCACGCCAGATGACCAGAACCCGAAACCCAAGGTCGTTGGCGGCCTTCCTGGCTCCGCCGGCGAGCGGGGCAAGTACACGCCTACGATAGCCCCCTACAAGCCTCTGACCACCTCGCCCAACGAGACAATTGCTGCCTACATATACTTCGATGGGAGAGCCAAAGAAGAGGTCGCGACCCTGTTACGGCGCGGGGAAGAGACTTGGGTGAACTCGCGGTGGGTCAGTGTGCCAGATTCGGAAGGTGGAGGACTTGCAGAGCGCGAGTTCCTCTTCCGCGAGGTCGGTCTGGAGCGCTGGCTCAATGGCCTGGATCTCGAAGGTAAAGATAAGGACGTAGCAGCCAAGATTGAGCGGAGAAAGCAGCGTCTAGAGAAGAAGAGACGGAAGCGAAGAGAAGCCGCGGGCAGCAGCGACGAAGAGCAAGGCAAAGAACCTCGGAACGGCGTGCTGCGCTACGGCGAGAACAAGGATGCGCCGGTCGAGTCATTGTCAGGGAACGACGACTTCTTCACGACTGACTCCGACGATACCGACGACGAGGGCCCCGTTCCTGAAGCAGCCGGGCAGATCAAGGTGGCACTGTTCCGCGTGTTGGCATCTGGCGAAATCAAGCGCGGCGAGTACTCTCCACAGTTCGATGCACACGACGACGACGAGCAGAATGGCACCGGAGAAGGCGACGACATCGACCATACAACAAGTTTCGCGAAGCCCAAGACTCTGGATCCAAAGTCTATCAGCACCCAGACAGTCACTGGCATCGACCCTCCCGATAAGCCATATGCGGTCTTTACCTTCTTGTACCGCGGAGAGCGTAAGTGCTGGCAAGTTTGCCTTAAGGAAATCTTCGCTAACAGTCACAGGCCAATTGCGCAAGATGGGCATTCTGGAAGTCGACAAGACCCCTACTGTAGTCTCTCCCGCAGCAAAGCGGAAATCTGGAGCGCTCAATTTTGGCAGCCTTAAGCCCCTAGATGCCGCATCAGGGACCAAGAACTTTGGTGGCTATCGTGACGCCGCTCAGACGTCGCCCAAGTCAAAAATCAAGGTCGAGGACGCCATGGACAGTGATGCCGATGACGAGGACGAGATCAAGGTCGAAGATGACGACGAGAAGGATAATGGTGGCAAGGGACTGTTATCTCCCGAAGACGCCCATCGGCAAGGCGAACTTGCGGAGGGAGTGCGGAAGATCAAGGTACGTCGGTGACTAATCTCTCTCAGCATCCGAATATTGCTAACACTATGATAGCTCAAACGTCAACACTCCGCCGAGCCCCTGGGTCGTCCCACAGCTCCGTCCGCCTCAGATGCATCCGGATCACCGCTATCAGGGACTCCAGTGCCGGGCATCACGACCACGGAAGCCTCCTCGTCCACTAGTGATGTCAAGGCCGAACCCAGACCAGAGTCGAGCATCGCCTCGCCATTCAAGAAGCAGCGTGCCTCTCTCCCCGGCTTTGACGACAATGTAAGAAAGAGCTTAGGCCAGGCGCTCATGGGCACGCCCAAAGAGCGCGGCAACTCAGAAGGCAACATACCCTCCTCAAACCTCGAGACCAAGATGGAAGAAGACGAGGAATTGTAAACACTGGGACATGGGTCTACAAAGCGCCTTTGGGTGAATATGAACCGAACATGACAAATGACAGCATCAAGACTATACCACACGGCACCTGTTTTTTTATAGGGCCACACTGAGCTTTTTCTCACGGCGGGGGAAGCATATTGCGATGAGCTTGGCAAAATACTAGGGCGCGGTCTGGATAGCTATGGACTTGTCTGTTTGGCTGGATTGTCTTTTTCCGAGGTGAACAGGCTTGGACGTGTGTGTGCATCCTTGCGTGTCGTGAGTTGGCTTGGGTGAAGTTACGATTAGATACGACACTATACTACAACAGAGAGATGGCTGCTTTACAGCGCACAGTACAATTACAAGCATTGTAGAAAAGCAGTTTTGGCATGGTCTTGTTCATTCATAAGCTCTGACCCCTTGAGCTCTAAAGTGGTCTGTTTGTATACACCGGTCTAAGCAACAGGCGCTAACTTGAACTCACTCGCGCTCATTTCCCAACCCATACCCCCTCCATCCTTGCGCGCTGCTAACTTCCCTGCGAGACTCATCTTCCGGTCCCGATTTCTCTCGGTGCACAGCTCGTAGACGGTGCTGAGGTTGAACACCATGGAGTGGAACGGCGCGCTCTGATCCACCAATGTCTCCAAGACAGTCTTGGCTTCGGAGATTCTGCCCGTGTACACGAGACACACAGCGAGGTTCTGCGCGACCATTGCGTCGTCCGGGTGCTCGTCGTACAGCGCGCGGAAGGCCGTCGTCGCGGCCTCGAAGTCCGAGTCGGCGAGGTGGAGGAGGGCGGTCAGGGTCGCGTTTGTGAGTGTCGAGGATGTAGCGCTGGACAAGCAGCGTCGGGCGGCTGCTATGTCGCCCACGCGCAGCCAGACTAGTGTTTCCATGATGGCGATGTCTTTGTCCACGTCGCCTTCGTCAGTGGACAGGGTGGACAAGTGCCGGCCTGCGCCTTCCAGATCGCCCATTTCTACGAGGACGTTGGCCACGCGGATTCCGCAATCCCGCAGCCTCGCGCGCCAAGTCTTCTTCTCGTCCTCGGATGTGCTCGCCTTGACGATGTTCTCGCGACACTCGCGTGCCAGCTCGTAGTACCCCATGATGCCCTTGCGCCATTCGCCGTAGCCGAGGGCGCTGAGCCGCACGGCGAGCACGCGCAGGTCCCAGGACACGAGGTGCGCGTTCGTAAGCGGGTGTCTGTAGAAAGCACTATTCAAGTCGCCCAGCAGTTTCGATTCCTGCGCGGCCAGCGCGTGCTCTCCCAGCAGGCACAGACATGCGAGGCGCGTGTGGAACAGGTGGAAGAGCGTCTGGTGGTCGTGCGGCGAGCAGGAGAGGATGTTGCGGGTGCACAGGGAGGTTGCGAGGCGGTAGTGGCCGGAGAGGAGGAGAGTTGATATTGGGATCGAGGGGGAGGGGAGAGACCGGGGGGTTGATGAAGGGTGGGGGGATGGACGCGGCGGGCAGGTTATGGTATGCGGACGGGTCCTGGAGGAAGCTGAAGTCTTTGGAGGGCATGTCGTCGATACCGCGGGAGCTGCCATCTTGGGGGGAGAGAGCGCGGCGGGCGGGGGAGCGCACGCGGGTGGGAAGGGGCGAGGGAGAGAGGTTTGCGGGCGTGAGGGCTGACAGAGGGCCTGGATTACATTGTCAGCGCGGAAGTTGTACGACATGCATTCACGCATTCATCGTGGCCTACATACTCGTCTCCTCTCAGCATCGAGCGGACCCCGCGTCAACTGCCTCGTCAGGGGCGCAACTGCTGCGTTTAGCCAGCTTCAACACAGGAATGTGATGACGGCTGCAGGTTACCTCTCCGTCTGTCATCGCCGGCTGAGGGCGCGCGACCATGACTCCGCGCCCGTTCGGTACTCGATGGCGGAACTTGCATCGTCGGTGGTCTGCGTGCAGCCGTGTCGAGCACATGTCATAGGTGGTTCCCGTCCGAAGTCGGGCTTCCCCACATCTGCTATGCCTGATATTGCCCTAGCGCCGCCCGCGAAGGGCGCTCGAGAATGGTGACTGTGTGCTAAAGCGCCTCAGAGAGGCCGACCAACGAAAAGGCAAACGCCTGCTGACATTCCCTTCTCCCACGTCGTTTCCCTGTCTTACTCCCCCTCTTCGCTCACATTTGTGTCTAATAGTCCTGCGGGACGTAACATAGCTTCTGCAAGATGCAGCAAACACGCACACGCGCCATCCAGTCCCTCAAGGGCTCGCGCAACTTTTCGAGTAGCGCACAAAGAGCCGCCGTCTCACCCTTCAAGAGACCTGCTCAGGCCGCCGCCACCAAAGTCGTCAGGGAAGATGTCAGGAGAACACAGAGCACCGCGGCTGCAGCCACGCAAACAGCGTCACGGACGCGGCCTGCGCCGGCCTTCAATCGCGAAGACTACAATGTCTCGCCATTGAAGCCGTACCGCGCACCCGAGATGGACCACTCGTTCGTCGGCATGACGGGAGGAGAAATCTTCCACGAGATGATGCTGCGTCAGGGTGTCAAGCACATTTGTACGACAATTTCCTTCAGTTCAAGTCATTGAAATAATTTCTGGCTGCGGAATGCGAATATTCAGTCACTAACACATGACTCAGTCGGATACCCAGGCGGTGCCATTCTCCCCGTTTTCGACGCCATCTACCAGTCAAAACACTTTGACTTTATCCTGCCGCGACACGAACAGGGCGCCGGCCATATGGCAGAGGGATATGCCCGTGCAAGCGGCAAGCCCGGTGTCGTTGTAGTCACATCAGGTCCCGGAGCCACCAATGTCGTCACACCCATGCAAGATGCCCTGATGGACGGAACACCCATGGTCGTTTTCTGCGGACAGGTCGTTACAAGTGCGATTGGCTCGGATGCATTCCAAGAAGCTGACACCGTTGGAATCACCCGTGCATGCACAAAGTGGAACGTACTGGTCAAGAACATTGCGGAACTGCCCCGCAGGATCAACGAGGCCTTTGAGATTGCAACAAGCGGACGCCCGGGACCTGTCTTGGTTGATTTGCCCAAGGATGTGACTGCTGGTACTCTCCAGAGAGCGATTCCCATGAGCAGCACGCTCCCTACGTCTGTAAGCGCAGCGACTATCGCCGCGCGTGAGTTGAGCAGGAAACAGCTCGAGGGCTCCATCAGGCGCTCAGCAAACCTCCTCAACATCGCGAAGAAGCCCGTCATCTATGCTGGCCAGGGTGTTCTGCAGACGCCGAATGGACCTGAGCTTCTGAGGGAGCTTGCGGACAAAGCCAAGATTCCCGTAACCACCACTCTCCAGGGTTTGGGAGCATATGACGAGCTTGACCACAAGTCTCTGCACATGCTCGGCATGCACGGTTCCGCATATGCCAACATGGCGATGCAGGAGGCTGATCTGATCATTGCGCTCGGTGCTCGATTTGACGACCGTATCACCGGTGCCATTGCCAAATTCGCGCCTGCTGCCAAGGCTGCTGCCGCGGAAGGCCGTGGTGGTATCATCCACTTCGAAATCATGCCCAAGAACATCAACAAGATCGTTCAGGCTACCGAGGCTGTTGAGGGCGATGTTGGCACTAGCCTGAAGCAGATGCTGCCCCTGGTCAACACCGTCCAGGAGCGAAATGAATGGTTCTCTCAGATCGATGACTGGAAGAAGCGCTTCCCATGGGCCTACGAGAAGGAGGGCGAGAACGGCCTGATCAAGCCGCAAACTGTGGTTGAGACCCTGTCCAACCTTACCGCTGACCGCAAGGATACAACCATCATCACAACCGGTGTTGGCCAGCATCAAATGTGGGCAGCTCAGCACTTCCGCTGGAGGAGCCCACGCACCATGATCACTTCAGGTGGTCTCGGTACCATGGGTTACGGTCTCCCAGCCGCTATCGGCGCAAAGGTAGCTCGCCCGGATTGCACCGTTATTGACATCGACGGCGACTCTTCCTTCAGCATGACTTTGACCGAGCTTTCCACCGCCGCAGAGTTCAACATCGGCGTCAAGATCGTCATCCTCAACAACGAGGAGCAGGGCATGGTTACTCAATGGCAGACCCTCTTTTATGAGGACCGCTTCTCGCACACACATCAACGGAACGCCGATTTCGTCAAGCTCGGTGATGCCATGGGAGTACAAGCGCGGCGCTGCATCAAGCCTGCCGAACTAGAAGAGAGCCTTCAATGGCTGCTCGACACCGAGGGGCCCGCTCTGCTTGAGGTCGTGACCGACCAGAAGGTGCCCGTTCTACCCATGGTTCCCGGCGGCAACGCGCTGCACGAATTCATTCTCTACGACGAGAGTAGGTTTGCCTAATATCATTTGTTGAATCACACATGCTAATCCCAACCACAGATGTTGCAAAGGAGCGCAGAGCCCGCACTAAGGAGCGATCAGGTCGCTAAACGCGCCGACATCCTTTCGATTTCCACTATGTAGTTTAATTTTCCATGTATATCCTTGGGTCGGAAAGGGCGTTGGCTTTGGTCGCGATTTTACCAAATGCAAAAGCTGGTTTAACGATGAGCAAAAAAGTATGATATGAATGTGGCCTCGATATAAGTCGAATGGCTGATGGTTGTGGATGGGTTAGCTCGAACCAAGAATGCAATGAAGAACGAGATATCCGTGGTCACACCAAATATTTGAATCTCGAGCCAGTTTTTCTTCTCTGATGGATTGGAGATGGGTATTTTGAATCGAAATCTCGTCTCTTTCTCCATTCAAACACATCTTACATGGTACTTCTGCATACTGAAGAGAAGATACATAACGCGCTTTTTCACGAATTCCAACATACACCAGCCCTATCTCACACTTCCCTTTCCTTTCTCCTTTCACACAATGCCTGCCCGTCCCACCACATGCTCCTGCAAGCCTCGCCGCAACATCTCCATCTCCCGACCTTTCCGCATCACACGCCTGCGCGTCGATGAAGCGTGCCCCAACGGACCCGCACATATCGGCAACAAAGGCTACGCGGCAAGTCTACGGGCGGTGGCCAGTCAATATGCTCGTGCGCGGGTTGATAATGCCGTGCATGATGGAGCGCGTGTTAGTGCTAACAAGGCGGAGGTGGAGGACGAGGGATGATCGGTACTGATGTGTCTTCGAACAAAACGGTTGTTTGCCGCATGCAGAGCGGGGACGGGGAAGAGATTGTGGGGCGTGGTGGGAGTGTTGAAGTGCAAGATGAGGCGGAAAAGCAAAGGCACTTGGATGGTGGGAAGAGGGTGTGCGGTGTTGTTTATGGGAGTCTGGAGGTTTGAGAGGAGATGAGGATGTTGGAGGGACGAGAGGGGGAGAGGGTAGTTGAGTTGGAGGGAGAGAGTAGTGGGAAGGTATCTGGGGCATGGGCGGAGTTCAGACGGTTTGTTGGGTTGTTGTGAGTTGAGATATTAGCGCGGTGTTTCCATTCAGGAGTGTCTGTGTTTCGTATGTTCGTCGAGGATTGTCGTGCAGAGAGTCAGCGACGTGTATACCTTCACGAGTGTCTATTCTGCGTAGCTTCGTTAATGGCACTCGGTCAACCAAGCGCAAGGACTCACTTGCAGTCAGCGACGGAGATGAGTTCGAGTATGACTTTGTCGACTCGGAAGAACTCTATGATAGCATTTCGTTGTCTCACACACGCATGCCGTACGTTTGGTCCAGATTAGTCCTCCAATGAACGATGAAGGCACGTGAACCGGCATATTAGATGGAGGAGCTGGAATTGATTGGTGGAATGAGATCGTTATATCGGCGATTAACAGTTCCCCAAGGTGAGCACAGCCTCATTTGATCGTATGACGCTGTGGATCGCTTTCTTGGCGAGTGTTCGGATGGGTCTGGATGGTGTCTTTCACCGCTCGAAGCTACGTGATGGAAACAGCATGTACACGCGCAAAGTGCAGGCCAGAAGCATTGAGCAAGGACTTCGAAACCATCCTCATCTCATCAGAGATAACTTGAACTACCTCAGCCACAACCGTAAAGTTTAGTCAAGCGTGAAGTTGAAGTCCAAACCAGGATGAGACAGCCAGCAACAACAATGCATAACAGCCACATCTCATAGGGCATTAAGCTTCCGCTTACACATTCCCTCCTAAGCTCCTAATCTCCCCATCGTCGTGGCGCGAACCATCTAGGATACGTATGTATGCGGCTCAGCAACCATACTCTATAATCGGGCCGACAAATTTCCGAACAGCAATGCGAACATCGCGAACACGCTGTGGCCGAAATGCTACAATCTATCCTCGGTCTATCGTCGCCTCGATGTCCTTGCAGTGGCAATTATCGCGCGTTGAGCATGTTTGGCTGTGAGGTGCTTAAGTAGAGTTGCGCAGCACCCAAAGTACATCCATCACCAACCACCAACACCAAACCCCCAAATCCAGAATGAAGTTCCTCCTCGCCACCACCCTCTTCGCCAGCTCCGCGCTCGCCGCAAACTTCGTCGGCTTCTCCAGCGCCGCATGCCAAAAAGGCGACGGCGCATACGTCCAGCTCTCCGCCTCGCAGATCCAGGACTACGTCGTCAAGAACTACCCGGGCAGCGAGCTCATCCCCACCGCCTCGCTGTCGTTCCCCAACGACAAGTCATGCCCCTCCAACACCGAGGACACGTACAAATATGTAAGTTGCGAACGCGGCGGTGATGGAGCAGAGACTGATGCGATTAGGTGTCTATTCCCCCGTGGCAGGGCGATTACAGTGGCCCGGGCAAGGGTGCGGGCGGGTCCGTTGCCGTTGTGTACTACAAGGAGACGGATACGTACCGCGCTTGTAGGTATATTGCGTACGCGCAGCGTAATGGATACAGGGGCGATTGCAAGTCGTAGACACGCGTGTGGCATGTGTCTGTTGGGAAGGAGGCGAGAGGATGGGGTCAGGAGGTTGGGGTGATTCTTTGTATATATTGCTGCCGATGAATGCGAATTCGTACTTTCGGGATCTTTCCGTCTCTGTCTGGTTGTATCGTGCTTTGTGGATTGTGCAAAGAACGCGTTGGTCTGATGGACGTTGGGTGCCATGTCGACGTCGGATGTCGGGTGTGCCTATGAGCCCTGTAATATTTAAACCCATAAATCTTCAAAGCCAAGGTCACAAAGTGTAATAGCAGCGCTGACTATACGTTCCAAATGCATAATATGGGGTATATTGCATACAAACAACAATACAATGCGTGCCAATAGAAATGCGTGTCAATGTAGGAAAACGAAATGCTCTCCATGCCCCATAGTCCATTCCGAAATCCTGCTCATGCCCATTACCTTTCCCTCCCAAATATGTGTCAAGGAAAAAACGCGGTGAGAAATAGCCCGCCATGTACATAAAGGAGCCGAAGATGCGCAACGGCGACGAAGTGAAATGCGTCGGTAGCTGTGGTGCCTGAACTGGTGTTGAGCAAAGGTCTTTGATCCCTGACTGATCATGGATGATGCGAGTCAGGAGTACCGGGCTGTAACTCGTCATGGGCGTTGTTGTTCAATCGACTCCCACTTGCAAGGAGTTTTTTTTCTTTTTTTTTTCGAGATGTAACTACACAGCTCTTCGTGGTCAGGTAGCTTTAGTAATTTCTGGTCGGCTCGAAAGTTGCGTCGTGATCGCTCGTGCTGTGGTGCCGCCACGGATGTCCGTAGGTGGAGACGCGAATGCGACTCCGTTTGTTTCGTTTCGTTTCGTTTCAACCGTGATGCTTCATGCATCAATCATCGTGTCGTTGTAGTCGTCTCGTGTACCCGTACACCTTCCAAACCTCTCTCTCACTCCCATCCCCATCCCCATCCATCAAAACGCCGCCAAAAAATCCCTGTACTGCAACATCGCCGCGCTCCTCCTCGCAAACAGCTGGCTGATGACATCCATGGTGGTGCGTATGATTAAGCGAGGTTTCCCAGGGATGAAGAGATCCGCAAGCGCCAGCGCCCAGCAAGCGATTTGCACAATGAGCAGTGCAGCAATGCAGACGCGGAATGAAGTATCTTTTGACATAATTGCAATAACGAAGGGCAGCAAAATCAAACGCTCGCGAAAGAAGGGTACTTGAAGAGAGAGAGAGAATGCGTGTTGGAAATGTAGGTGGGAATCGAAATGGCTGGTGATGTGATTTGCAGGTGGGGCGACAAAGTCGGTATACATCAAGTCGGTGTGAACTTGCCATGTTGGCATCTTTCGTTCGCGGATTAGGCCAGACATTCATAGCCGCACTCCGGGGTTCATCAATGTCAGACGGGTGCCATCTTTGTGCTACGCCACGCCCCTTCACTAATAAAACACCGATAGAGACGCCATCTCCCCCGCCGCACGGCGTGGTCTGGCGACGAAGGCAGTCCTCAAAGCGCGGGGACAGCGAGGTTTTTGTCAACTCTCGAGCGCGATGTGCATGTGGCCTAAGATGAAGATGGTTAGTTCGGCTAGGCCTACTGCATGGGTGTGCATCGCCATATTTTGCCCTGCAGCAACCCGTACGGCACCCAACACTTGCACCTCACAGCCATGTTTCGGTTCTTTCTTTGACCCCTCGATCCGATCGTTGCAAAGACGAATAGGTTCGGCGGCGGGGAATAAGGCCATTCTGTGACGTTCTCGCGTGGCTTTCTCGCGACATGCGAGCTAGGGCCAGCGCCGCGGGAGGTCCAGAACCTATATACATCACACGCTTCGGATCGCGCTCCGCCAGCACGTGTGTGCGAATTCGTAAAACAATGGATGGAACTGTCATCTTCAGTTAGTGGACCAGCAAGTCTCTGAAGCATTTCCCTCCCGGCGCAAGATTCGGTGGTATTTAGCTCAGCCTCCGGAGCTTGGTGGCCTCAAGCATCGAGACCCCGAGACCCCGCGCCCGCGACCACAAGCTTGTGAATGCGTGCTCGTTTGATGGCTACCTAGTGATAAGGCCTGCAGTCAGAGTAGACCAGCAAGGCGTATTCTAACCAGGCAGACAGATAAAAATGGTGTACTCAGGGCCTTGACGGCGTCTTTCATCATAGCACAATGTCATTGTCATGGTTGGTATAAAGGGAGCGATGCATCAGCTCACTCGATGCGAATATTTTTTCGAGCGAGAACTTTGCATCCTACATCTGAAATCCAGTAGTGCTTTTTCTCCGCAATTTGATACTACCGAACTACCGTGGAGTTGTCTGGCTCCTCCAAGATCTGTAAGACATACAGTTCCTGCCCCATCAGGTTAGTACATCATGCGGCCCCGAAGTCCAGAACAGCGCCACGAGATACTGTCGTGGAATACTTCAAGTTGCAAGATCCTTCAATGATGGCAGTCGTCGAGTCCTTGTCACTGTCGCACTACTCCAAGTCTTTTGCGCGCATTACTCACCATGGACCAGGAAAAGAAACCAGACGCCATCGTGACGGTGCGGCCGGTACATCTCAGGACAATGAGTGGTGATTCGATGCACCCGAAAAGATTCCGGGACGACGAGGAGGACGAGACTGCGAGCCAGGCTTCCAGTAACATCAGTCTTGAGGAACTGGAAGCTGGAAGGAGTCGACCAAAATGGTACCGTCGTAGTGGGCCAAGCACATTGAAGCGCTGGTTTGGCACAGCAGATCCGTCTAAGAGTGACAAGAGGCGAGCTTGGTGCCGATGGCTGGTGATCGGATTTGTGGTTCTGGGGTTTTTCGGTGTGATCAGTGGAATGTAAGTACAGCATCTTCAGCTGCATCATCCACCAAGACTAATCACGACCAGAATATACGTATCGTTCGTTAGCACATTGATAGCACGACTACGCCCAGCACCAGGCCACAGCGGGCTGGATCATATTGTTGGCAAGTGGACAGAGCCCGACGCGAACGGCGCGTTCAAGTACGAGTGGAGGGACGACTTCAGTCGGGACATCGTACCAAAGAACTGCCACTCACACAACGACTACTGGCGCCGCGTTCCGTTGTATGAAGCGCTTGCAGCTGGCTGCAAAAGCTTCGAGGCCGATGTCTGGCTGACCGAGGATAACGAGCTGCTGGTCAGCCACTCATGGAAGTCTACCACTACGAGCCAAACACTGCGCACACTCTACCTTGATCCGCTTGCCAATATATTCGAGCATCGCAACGTGAGCGGTGCATCAATCTCCGACAGGGAAATTGGCGTGTTTGACGCGGAACCAAACACATCCACCATCCTCCTCATCGACTTCAAATCTGACGGCCACAAGATCTGGCCCGTTCTTCAGGCGCAATTGCAAGCCTTCCGCGACAAAAATTGGCTCACCTACTTCGATGGTACGACTATGCACCAGGGCCCACTGACGGTCGTCGGTACAGGAAGCACTCCCTTCGAACTCGTGCAGCAAAACTCTACCGACCGGTACATCTTCTACGACGCGCCACTGGGATCGATTTCTGAGCCCCAGTACAACAGCACCAACTCTCTCTACGCGAGCATGAACCTGAAAGCAGCAGTCGGGGGCATGTGGCTCGGCCGGTTTTCATCGAAGCAGGAGAGTACATTGAAGCAGCAGATCCAAGCTGCGGAAGATAAGGGGTTGAAGAGCAGGTACTGGGACACTCCATCATGGCCCATCAGCGTGCGAAACAATGTCTGGGCCAAATTGGTAGAGTTCGGTGTTGGTATGCTGAACGTTGATGATCTTGTCAGCGCAACGCGATGGGACTGGGACTTTTGTGTTGTCGCAGGCATTGCACTATGTGGGAAGAAGTGAAGGGTTGCAACATCAGGGGACGACCAGCAACGGAAACACGCATACTGGCTTGAGAAAGCCTGGGGAAATGCATGCCGACGCACCAGCTTCGAGCAGACTGTGCGACATGTCTTGAGCTTCAAGCTCGGCATAGAAAGGATAGAGAGCGCACAGCGCCGCAGAGAAGCCTTATGCACCTCGCCTTGAGCGAGCAAGGCGCGGACCGGCGGCGGAAGACGTGGCCGCAAGCGTTGAGGGAATATCATAGATGATCAGAGACGCCGAGGAATAATCCATCATCGTCGATGTAACGCGACAGTTTTCCCTCGTGTTCGATGTAACTTGTGGGGTAGTCTATCAAGCTACCATCGAGATTTTCGAGCTCGACCCGTCCAAGTGGGAATGGCGTCGGTACCAGTTCGGCAAATCATGGCGAAATTGCTAAAAATAGCGACGAGCACGCGAGCACAACAACGGTAGACTCATCCCATGAACGTATGCAAGAGACAAAGTGTAAGGAGAAAGGAGCAAGTCACTACATTTCCACGACCTGCGCCTCCTGAGCTGAAGTGGTGGCTAGTGCTCCTGTTTGGTTGGCGTTATTACCGCGTTCGGTACCGTGCAGGGGAGGGATTACGTATGCCTCACCCTGGTTCGGCTGTCGAGCTCCACCGCAAATGCAGCCTCAGGAACGGCGAGTCCGAGGAGCAGTACGAGAGGTGGCAGTTGGTTGGAAATGAGCATTGCGGCGGCCTGCAAAGATTCGACAGCCACGTCCTTGCTGTAGGGAGAACGCCTTCAGATTCGGATGCTTCTTCGCGACAAAAGGACCGTTTGACGCCTCAGGTTTCGCAGGCTGAAGGTTTCAGCACACGAGGGTGGTGCATTAATGGAGCCGTGAAGAGTGCTTCTTCGGTACTCGGGAGTGCACTGACGATAGGTCTCTCCATCTTGGGAAGTCCTCACCATGCATCCAGGCCATCGGACTCCACTGCAATACCTGTGGGTTTCATAGCGGCTTATCGATAACGATGGTCAGAGTGATGTTGGCGAGATCAGATCAGCGTCAGGGTTGTTGATCCGTCGTATGGAGGCGTGTTTGGTGGAGAAAAAGTGCAGGCAGGGGACACGTCGCGAGCAGCAGGTGGAGCAATGAGGACATTTCTCCACGGCGAGGGTGATTGTTGGCCAGCGAAGTGAAAAGATCAACGACGGGTGCGGTTTGGCGAGTCTTGAGCGGCGTGGGCAATGACGGAGGGGCTTGACGGTGATTTGCCCCAGCGCCCACTAGCGTAGTTTCACGTCGCCCAAATCCCTGGTGTGGCTTGCCCGTTCCTGCAGAACGAGGGTCCGGGGTCGTCAATGGCCTTTGAATGTTGAGGCTCCTTTAAACTTATTTCTGCACTCACCCTCGCCTTTCGCTCCGACCTCTGCGCCATTGTGAGGGAACCAGAGCTCGACGCTCACTGTCCTCGTTGTATTTTCGCGTATTTCCTAAAGTAGTCGACGGCTGGCCTTCGTTTGTTGCTGTCGCTCCACTGTACCACCACCTGCAACCAAAGGGAACAATTGTGCTCGACACACATTCCTACCACGACCTCCCCTCGACCCCTCCCATTCTTTGGGGAAGTGAAGGGAGCTTTATTATCCCCGCCACAACTCCGCCTCTCCCTGGGTGGTGTTGAGGACTCTGCATATAACCTGTGTTTGAGACCTGCTTCCTTATGACGAGCAATCACCGATCGCCCTCCCAACGGTCTTTCCGCCTCTCCAATCACGGGTTCCAGCCGCTCAACGGTACTGGCGACAACATGGACAACACCAACAACATCCCGCTGCAGACCGTAGTCAGTCACACGCCTTCGCATCCCTCGCCGACGTCCGACAACAATGAGAAATCAGAGAAGACGGGCATGTTCCATAGGGGACGCAGACGAGTTGCCAAGGTCGATTCGAGGACCGGCGCGCCATTGCCTCCCCGCGGCGACCAGCCTGAGAAGACGGCGCTCAACCGCATGGGCAGGGTTTACACCAAGATTCTGAACTTCAGCATTGTCACGCGCTACATGATCTACGTCGCGCCCATTGCGCTCCTCCTGGCTATTCCAATCATTCTGTCCCAGACCGGGACGATTACGACTTCAATTGGCGATACAGAGCAGAAATTATTCTGGATATGGATCGAGATCAGTGAGTTGTTCAAGCCAGGATCGATATATATAGGCTAACAGTTGTCAGTCTGGCTTAGTTTCTGGGCCATGAAGATCGTCGCCCACTTCCTCCCCAACATCTTCGAGTTCCTCATTGGTGTAGTCAGCCCCGGTGTCCGCAAATACGCTCTGCTCTTGCGAGCCATCGAGAAGCCGTTGTCCTTTGTCCTTTGGATGATTGTCAACCAGGCTACCTTTCCCGCACTCGTCCGACCCGTTGCCGGTAAAGCAAGACCAGGATGGATCAGTGTGATGCAGTCGGTTCTTCTGGGTCTGCTGGTATCGACCGTCATTATCCTTGCCGAACGCGTTCTGATCCAGTTGATCAGTATCAGCTACCACCGCAAGCAGTTCGATGGAAAGATCAAGGAGTCGAAGCGTAATATCTACCTACTCGGCGTCCTGTATGACACCTCGCGAGCGCTCTTCCCAGCCTACTGTAACGAATTCGCCGAGGAGGACTACACCATCCAGGATACAATCTTAGATCTTGGGCTCGGTAGCAAGGGCCGCGGAACAGCGAACCATGGCCGCTCGGGCAGCCGCACACCTCTCCATCTCATCCGCGAGGTTGGCCGAGATGCTGGCCGCATTGGAGACAAGATCACATCCATGTTCGGTACCATCGCCTCTGAGATTACTGGCAAGAAGGTCTTTGACCCCAACTCTGCACACTCGGTTGTCTTGACTGCGCTTGAGAGGAACAAGTCGTCCGAAGCTCTCGCTCGTCGCATTTGGATGTCATTCGTGGTAGAGGGCAAGAACGAGCTTACTATGGACGACTTCGTCGAAGTCATGGGCCCTGCTCGACAGGAGGAGGCTGAAGAGTGTTTCATGTCGCTTGACCGCGATGGAAACGGCGATATCAGTCTCGACGAAATGATCCTCACGGTGACCGACTACTCACGCCAGCGCAAATCTCTTAACAGCAGTATGCACGACGTGGACCAGGCCATCAACGCCCTTGACGGTCTCCTGATCACCATTGCGCTCATCATCTGTATCTTCGTCATCATCGCTTTCCTTGCTCCAGGCTTCCGTGCTACCTTGACCACCTCGGCCACCGCCCTGCTTTCGCTGTCCTTTGTTTTCGCCACTACTGCCCAGGAAATTCTCGGTTCTTGCATCTTCTTGTTTGTTAAGCACCCTTACGATATCGGAGACCGTGTCGACATCACCAACGAGCAGCTCACGGTTGAGCACATCGCGCTTCTGTACTCGGTGTTCAAGCGCGTGACCAATGGCAAGACGGTACAGATTCCCAATATCGTGCTTAACAGCTTGTGGGTTGAGAATATCACGCGAAGCAAGGCTATGCGCGAGCAAGTCTCTGTCTTTTGCTCTTTCGACACTTCGTTCGAAGATATCAACGCTCTGAAGCAGGAAATGATTGCATTCGTTAAGGATCCTGCCAATAGCCGCGATTTCCATTCTCACATCGAGATCGAGGTGGCCAGCATTGCGGAGATGAACAAGCTTGAGTTGCGGGTGGAAGTCCTGCACAAGAGCAATTGGTCCAACGAAACCCTCCGTACTGCACGCCGCTCCAAGTTCATGTGTGCATTGGTCCTGGCACTTCGCAAGGTACCCATCGCTGGTCCTGCTGGTGCAGACGCTGCTCTGGGGTCGGCTGACAAGCCAACCTGGTCTGTCGCTATTCCTCCAACTGATGCTGTAGCCGCGTACAAGAAATTCAAAGACGAGGCAGACGCTAAGCGCTTGTACCCTCTCAACAAGCCAGACGACGACAATGACAAGGGCAAGTCCACTAGCACCGACTACCTAGCCAGTCCTGTCGGAGAAGGACAAGCCGTAAACCTTTTGACCAGCCGACGACCAGGACTTGACCCCATCCGCGACGATACCTGGAATGCCCGCGACGATGCCAGTACCATTGGCCGTCCCAGCATGGACGCGCGCCCAGACCTCGACGAAGTCCGCGGTCTTCTCCACAAGGCCAGCAGCGCAGGCAAGCGTAAAGGTGGCACCACACTTTCGCCAAATACGGCCCGCTTCTCCAACGACCTGGGTCGACAACAGAGCATATCGCGCCAGATGAGCAACATGCCGCCGCTTCCTTCCCCTGCAGTAGCATCGCCATACGCGCAACCACCCGGTCAACCACGCAACATGCCGCCCGCATCGCCAGCCTCCATCTCAACAGGCCACTACGAGGACGTGCAGTTCCAAACTATGATCCCACCGCCCCGCTCGAATAGTCGTCCGCGCGCGCCGGCTGTGACTGAGGAACAGGACGAGGGCGAGAGGAGGTGGGACCCGAACGCGGCTTTGTCACCGTCTACTAGCACCAACCCTTACCGCAGTCCCGCAACGTATAAGCGCGAGTAAGGAAGTCAGCAAATGTGTAATGTCTTTCATGTTTTAGTTTTATTAGACTGAGGAGAACTTAGCGTGCATGGCGATTGTCTATAGCTATAACGATGCTCACTTTGGCGTTGGGAAACAAAATTTGTGTTAGTGCAAATCGATCAATGAATCATATTGGTTTAATCGACTTTTGTGTTTATTGCTGGTTGTGTACCGTCAGATTCAGATTCAGAGTCAGATGCGGGATACTCTGAGTGGGGATGTGCATGTGAAATATTTGTCGGTTGCCTATGTGAACTTTGCGGAGCGCTATAATAGTGTCGCCCCGAACCGTACATGGGATCAGATCGCGCTTTTTCTCCGGGCAGAGTTGTGAATACCGCCCGACTCTCGCTTCTCCTGTTGCCCTTGCAGCACATCATAAAAGTTTTCCTACTCGTTTCTCCAAAACGCCAAGAGTGACAGCCTATGAGAAGCGCGTGCCTCTCGCCTCTTCATTTCAAAGAACACACAAAGTTCTTTTCTATTCGACAGCTTCAAGCATCCGTAGGCTCCTTCTTTACGGGAACGCCATCTGCATTCCTCTTTGCCGGTATGACCATACTGCTACTCGGCAGCTGAGCGGCCGGCGACGGCTGGGCTTCCTCGGTCTCCATGTATTTTTCCAGATCTCTAATACGTCCGAGAATATGCGACCCCACCCTCAGTCTACCTAGAAGGGACACCCGTAGCTGTGGGTGTTTCTGTAGAACACCGTCCCATTCTGCCGTGGATCCTACAGTCCGCTCACAATCTAGGAAGTTTACAGCCAGTAGGTTGTTGAACAACATGCGGAGCCTGGAGTCGTGTGCAGTTTGCTCGTACGAGTAGTTTACATCAACTGTTACGATCGAGTGTGGCTCAAACGCCGAAGTATACCGAGCGTAGAGGCGACCCATGGCGTAGTTCTTGAACTGGATAGACCCCAGCCTGTCTCCGAGTACCCAGGCCTGTGCATCGATATTCACACCTGGCTGTGTTGTCGCAGGAAGTGGAGCCTCTAGCGTGTACGTGCCATTGTTGATCCACTCGACGAAGAGTTCGAATATAGCAGGGTCCTCACTGAAGAGAATTATGCGGAGGTTGTGAGAATCATCATGTCCCCAGTTGCAGGCATCCCTCAAGGTCGACGAGTAGTGCGAGATTAAGGCCTTTGAAAGGCTCCATGTTTCCGTGGAGTCATCTATGCCCGTCAAGTCAGGTCTCGCACCGACTACGACTTCTATGCCGGGACCCTTGAGCCTACAGATGTTAGGGAGTTGTTCAGTGTACACTCAATTAGTACTCACAACTGGAGTCGAGAGCGCCCAGCTAGTCTCTTAACTAGCATGGAGGCTTGTGGGGTCGATGATACAGGATGAACACTTGGACTGCCTGTAACGGCGGGCTTTACGAGTTGTGTGTTGGCCAGTTTGTTGTAATCGGCGAGTCTCAACTCTTCGAGGCTGTAGTTGGATAGGGGTGGTTCAATGGTGATAGTTTCGTACTCCTGTGTAGTGCGTGGTCTCGAAGGGTCTGGCTCCTTGAAAGGCACCAAAGTGAAATCCATGGTTCCAGGGCTTGGGGCGATCTTTTTGGCACATGGTTTGCTCAGTAGTTCTGGAGCAATCCCAGGATACATATGCATTAGAGCCGACTCCTTGACCTTGGATTTGTGTCCGTGCAAGCTGTTGGAATCTCCGTTGCTGATAGAGGGCAGCGGCGGAGCAGTACTTGATGTCGGTATGGCAGATTGCAGAGGTCTGTCAACAGCTGCAGGTATCGCAACCACCACGGGACCCGCGCTCGAGAACAGTGAGCTCTCGTCGCGAGTTTGCTCACCGATGTTATCTGTAGGCGGACTGCTTGGTTGGGTTGCTGGCACAGCGCGAGCCCAGACCTCATTGGACACTTCTGGAGTGGTAGCTTGTTCTTTGGCGACATTTCCTGTGCTCTCTGTACGTGTAGGGAAACGACCAAATCGACCATGGAAAAGGCCTAGTAGTGAAGTCAGAGCTGGAACTGTTGCCGCGCTGGTCATGCTGTTACCTCGTGCAGCCTCTAGGGTGGCTGGTGCATTCGCGTAGGTATCGATATTTGAAGCTGCTCGCATTCCGCCACGACCTCTGCCGTGATGTCCGGCAGGACTCCAGCCACGATTATCGTAGCTCATCCTGAGCCGAAGTGACGCGCTGTTGTGGTTGAAGTTGAGGCGTTGTGGAAGGGGAAAGAGCAACCGCACCGCCCGCACGAAAAGAAGCAGGCGCCCTCGACCACGTGCGCAATACGCGATAAGACGCGACTGTACACATTGCCAAGATGACGTGAAAGTGAAAAAGTGAAAAGGACAGAGGAATCACATACAAGCTATTCGAATGTCCTGTATACCTGTCTCCTTCACACACCTCACCCGCACCACACCTAATTCTTCCCCTCCGCCACCTCCTCCTTAACAACCGCATCCTTCTTCACCGGCCTCTCCCCGAAAATCTGACTCCCTACCCTAACCTCATCACTGCCCATTTTAATCGCGCCCTCGAAATCCGCACTCATGCCCATACTCAGCTCCAGCTTATCCTGCTCCCATCCCAGCTCCTGCGCAACCTTATCCCTGACATCCTTCAAGCACACGAAATCCTCGTTCTCCGTCTCGGGCGTCGTTTCCTTACTCCTTGCAATCGCGCCGATCGTCATGAGTCCGATGAGCTCCAAATGCGGACATTTTTCAATGACGTGTTTGCACAGCGCCGTGGTGTCTGCGGGCTCGACGCCGGACTTGGCTTCTTCGCCGGACGTATTGACCTGGACCATGATTCGCAATTTCTCTACTGCGTTATCCTTCTCAATCAGCGCTTTTCGCCCCTTCTCCAGCTCGTTCGCTTTCTTCTCGCTGTCGACGCTGCTGACACACCAGAGGTTGGGTATTTGCTCGGCGAGTTGCTTGCATTTGTTGGATTGGAGGCCACCGATCATGTGCCATCGGATTGAGCGCGGGAGGAGCTTGGATTTCTCGAGGAGTTCTTGGACATAGTTCTCGCCGAAGTGGGTGTGTAGGGGGTTTGGCGGTTGGTGGAGCGCGAGGATGTCGTTTGCGGGCTTGAGTTTGGAGACGGCTATGAGGCGGACCTGGATGTCTGTTAGTCGCGTTTGCGGTTGAGAAGAGTATAGTGGGGGATACGCACATTTCGATTGCTCTTGTTGGCGGCTTTTATGCGAGATGTGATACTCGTAAGGTTCTCAGTAAGCTGTTTGGCGCGTTGGGCATTGATCTGCATTTCTTCGGCCATTGTTGTTGTGCTGGTAAAATATCGCGCGGGCACAAGGTGGACGACGTCAGATTGCGGACTTATCGGTCATAGTGAATGCACCAACGCTCGGCCCGCGTGACTTCGTCTTCACGCGAGGTATCTCTTTTGCAACTTACAATGACATCGTGGTGCTTCCGCCCAGACGTTCCTGATATATTCCCTCTCCCGAATCGCAACTTTGAGTCCGTATTCAGGGGAACAGGCATCAGCTCCGTCACAAGGACAAACCTTTTCTTTCTCCGACTAGAACGTATGACAGATGCAGCAGTTTGGTTTGTACGAGAGAAGGGACGACGAAGTGATCCCATCTTGCCCAGTCGTTAGCTCGTGAAGGCATACGCGATAATGCTCAAGTCCGGACCTTGGTCATCCTCCTTTGCGTTCTTTGTCTGACTCGGTGGATCCAGCTCCGCAATAATCTCTTCCCGCGGCTTTTCGACTGAGTCAAGATGGAAGGACTGTAATGGTTCTCGGGATCCGCGTGTGCCTGTCAATTCGGCCGGTTAGCTTTAAGTATGGTTGGTTCGCAGATGCTGTATTTGGTCAAACCTCAACATGTCGTGGGACCGCATCCCTGACGCGTTGAAGCCATTTTTCGCTGGCACCAAAGGCGGGATCCATAAGCAGGTCGTGGTCTGCGCCCTTCACTGCCTCGCTTTGGTAATAGTAGCTTCGATGTGTGAACTGCTTCACCGCTTCGAACGAGTTGCTGCGTGCGCTCGAGGTGGAAGACCGTCCAGGCAGCCAGCATTCGTCAAACCACTGCCTTCCCTTCTCGCCCACCATGTGGTCAGACTCAGCATGGAAAGTATCAATATTCAGCACCCTGTTGTGTAGAGCCAGTCGGTCGTCTTCCTCCAAGATTTTCGAGAGTAGCGGTACAAAATGGTCAACATCTGACCATAGCATGCTTGGGGAACACCAGGGAACCGCACGTGGTCTGTTGAGAAAGAGCTGTGCATCTGCAGAGACACCGTCCAGATTTTCGGCAAACAGAAGCGAAGTGATGTGCTTCCTTAACTCCTTGACGATCTCCGGATTGCCCAAAGCAAGGCCATGAGAGTCCTGCAACCCGACCGAGGAAGCCGGCGAGCGAGGCACCTCAGCCGAAGCAGAAGATGCTCGAGCGGTTGTGGCTGGGTGAATAGGACGAGAATTTGTGCTCACGAAGCTGCCACTCATACCAATCAAGGGTACGATGTTGTTGTTGACAGCTTTTGCGAGGGAAGCAAACTTGCCGATGAGGGGAGCAGGAAGCTGCGAGGTCACTTGCCACAGTGTGATCTTAGAATGAACTGGACGGACCCATGGCGCGAACAAACAGACGTAAGGCTGATGTGGATGTAAGAGGTGTGGGTACGCTAGCAACGTGTTGAGCAGATAGATGCTGCCACCACTGTGGCTGGCGGGCGAAACATAGGGGATGCTGAGATGTTTAAGGAGCCGCGGAACCATTTCTGCACGAGTTAGCTTGAAGTCAGTCCAGAAGAGGCCTTGGCTGACCGAGCCATATCTGGACTCTCTTCTCTAATGCGATCGCATCGCTTCCGCCAATGCCTGGTCTGTCTACATGCAGTATGCGGACGTTGTACTTGTTGGCCAGTCCGTCCAATGGAGAGTAGCAATAACGCGCACCCATCAAGCCACCGCAGAACAGCACGACAGCATTACTGGTGGGATCCCCAAAGTCAGCATAAGAGAAACGATGAGACTGGTGTCGACCTGTGTCTGGATTTGCGGGGAGCAGAAAGATCCTGTGGAAGCGACGGTCGGAGAGAAACTCAAGCACCTCTACGGCAGGTACATGTGAGCTCATGGCAGAGGGTGTGTTAGTGACATGGAGAGGAAGTTAGTTGTTAGAGCGATTGATAGGGATCATGGCAGCCTTCAGGGCTGAGGTCTGACGAGTGGATCACGTGCGCTGATTCATTAGCAGGTGCAAGTTCACGGGTGGCAGGGACGCCATCTTTGCGCATCTGGCGGACAACGACGGTTCTTTAGAATACAACGTCGGGCAAATAACTCTTCAAAGTGAGTTCCGACGATGTACGCAGCTCGTTCATAAAAGCTAGATGATCATAGTTGGTCGACCATTCAGCAAACCCCACTAAATTTAACAAGATAGCGAGGTTGTGTACTATGTATTCTCTCGAAAGTGCAGAGGCGCAGGTACACCAGAAACAGAACGTACGCACCAGACTAGCCCCGCAGGGATCCCTACACGTGAACAACTCCCCACACCAACATCATTACACCCTACACCTACGCTCGGGTTCGTGTCCAAGACAAGGGGCCCGAGCAAGATAATTCGACCACAAACGCGCTCAATTCCTCTTCTAGTATGGCAGTAGGCGCGGTGCCACACAGCTACTCTAGTTTTTCCGGGATCATTCTCAAACAGATTACAATAGATGGCCAAGCCCTTGCAGAACCCGGGGTAAGATCCATGGCAGCAATATCGGATATAACGTGCATACCGAGATTGGGGATGTTCCTAATGAAGGATGGATAGTTCCTGGGCTTGGATTCATATAAAGATGTAGGTGCCGAAGCTGTTTAGTAATAGTAGAGTCGTCTTGTCTTCGCTTTTTAATTTCCGGTCGACTTTCACGATGAGGTTCATTACAGCTGCTTTTGCAGCATCAATGGTCGGTTGCGCGCTTGCGCAGCCAAGTGCTCCGAAACCAGATGCACAGGGTCGATACACACTCGAGGCGCCGGGTATCAAAGCTCAGTTTATTCCTTACGGCGCGACGCTCACCAACCTTTGGGTTAAGGGTATGCGCAGCTTCTGCATACCTTGGTTTTGGTACGCAATTGCTGACATGTCTCAGACAAGAATGGTGTACAGCGCGACATCGTGCTCGGCTACGACAACACCTCATACTATCGTAAGCATCTGGCCCCAAGCTGACTGCGTATTATCTGACAGTAGTCAGCTGTTGATCCTGGTCATCCTGTGTATAACGCGATTCCTGGGCGATACGTGAATCGCATTGGCAAAGCGCAATACACGATTGACAACGTAACCTACCACACGCAAGGGAACGATGGCCCTAACAATGTCAACACCCTGCACAGCGGAACGAACAATTGGTCGTTTAGGTTCTGGAATGTCACAAAGGTGTCCAAATCGTCCATCACCTTTTCCCTACACGATGCTTCAAACTCGTCCTTGGGCATGATCGGCGACGTGGCGACAAGCGTCACTTACTCCGTCTCTAAGAACAAATGGAGCATCTCTATGGACGCCGTGTCCAAGGACCAGAAGACGCCCATCATGTTGACTCAGCACACGTATTTCCAGCTCGATGCCTTTGCTCGGCCTGACAACCGCACCGTCTGGAACCACACCCTGTACATGCCTGAAGCTAGGCGGGTAATGGAGATTGATGCGAATTCCCTCCCAACAGGTGTAATCGCCAACTCAACTGCCGGAGACATTTCTGACTTCTGGTCGGCACCTCATCAGCTCGGATTTGCGTCAGGTAATGCAAACTTCGAGAACAACTGCGGGAGTGGCTGCCATGGATACAACGGCAACTGGGCCTTCAACGACAAACGTAACAAGAGCGCGACTGCACTCACACTGAGCAGCGCATGGAGCGGTATCAAGGCGGAGCTGGCGACTGACCAGGACGCTGTTGTCTTATATACTTGCAACTGGAACGATGGGAAGACGGAGTTCAAGTCGACGCAGGGCGTTGCGGGCCAGGACAAGTTCATCCCAAGGGACGGTTGCATCGCCATTGAGGCTCAGGACTATGTCGACGGTATCAACCAGTAAGTATTCCGGCGTGGTCGGTTTCGGTTGCATGTGCTAACAATGTTGAACAGTCCAGAGTGGGGTCGGCTGAACAAGCAAATCACAGGCAAAGGGCAAAAGTACCATTGGAAGTCGTCGTGGACATTTGGAACCGTCTAGCGGACAAGTAGCATAGCTCTTATATTAGTTGCATGGATGAGGTTACCTAGGCAGAGAATGAAGCGACATGTGCGTTGCAACAAACAGGTTGGCAACCACGACCCGATCCATGTCCGATCCGGAGCCCCGCGCTCAAGTGGGGTCCAGTGTAGCCTTCATGCTATAGCGGCGCTAAGCTGGGAATGGCAGATGCAATTCGCCCAAAGCACATGATGATGAAATGACGGCCTAGGGATGCGCGAATTGTGGTATGAGATGTTTCCAAGGTTCCTGGTTCCTGATAGGCATCGTGTGTGGTGGTGGTGGTGGTGGTGGTGGTGGCTGAGGCTAAGCAGTAAGCTCAGGTACCTTCCCATAAGCGTGGCTGCATCACAAAGACGCGGGACGCGAATGTCTTGTGTGTTGACTTATTGACTCCCCGCCGCCAACATTGACCAGCTCTCGCTGACATGTGAGAAGTCGTGTGCTGCGCCCAAATCAAGCTGCCCCCTTCCTCTATTCGGGCCTAACCGCCAATTTGTTTGCGATCGACAGCTGTGTGCCAAGCCAACGACATCATCCACCTCCGCAGCCACAACACCAGCACCCCATTGCCAGCCTGTGCCACCACGCCTTGCTGTGTCTCCACTCGCACCTTCCTCTCGTCTATCACCGTCTCCACCCCCACGACGGCAAATTGGGGGCCATCGTGTCTCTTGATCACACGGGGCAGAGAAACGAGCGATAGAGCTGCTATCGGTGGTCAGGTTCCGCTGGGCTGAATTGCATCATGCCCTTGTGACTGACACCCGCTATCTCCCAAACACCAACCTCACCACACCATCCACTCGCCAATCTCCCGCCATAACCACCGCATCCCGGCCCGCACGGACGCATAAATACTGCGACCAACCGTTGGGCACCGACGACAGCGGCCATAGCCAGACCGGCGCGTCCCGCTGGCTGTTGTCTTTGTACCTCTACACACCTTCTCCATCTTCACCATGGGTAACAGCCAGGGAAAGGAAGCGCAGCCCGCCTCGAGAGGCCATACTCGGCGGGCGAGCGCCCAGGGCCCCGCCTCGCCCTCGGCAGCCGGAGCCAGCAGCGCGTCGCAAGAGCGATCAGCGAGCGGCGTGTACAGCTCGAGGAACAACCGGGGAAGCACATCCTTCTTGGGCATTGGAGGCAGCTCGGAGCCACGCGACCCTGCCCTGGAACCGCGGAGAGAGACCAAGGCGGAGCGTGAGGCGCGGAAACTCGAAAAGGAACGGGTGATAAGGGCCCAGGAGCGTGAAAAGAGTCTGCGAGAAGAGGGTGTAGATGGCGGGTATTTGGTCACGCTGGGTGTATATACTGGGCCCGAGGACTACAGCAAGCCCGTCGTGCGGCAGCTCCAGGTATGTGCGCCGTGCTGACTCTCTGACATTCCTCACACAAGCTAGATTGAAAGACGGCTCGCTCCGTTCTGGAAGGGCCTCAATGACCACGAAGACACATGGACCGAGCACCAACTCGTGGCAGTCGTCAACGGTCGACCACTCCCGGCTCCGGATGATATCCCGCCAGAAGAGCCGCAGCGACCGAGCAACCACCTCAGCCCGGCATGGAACCCGCGCGGCTCAGAATCGAATCTCAACAACCTCACCGTACCAATTGGATCGCGTAGCATGTCGCAGAACTCGGATCGGTCAAACACTCTATCGCCCTCGCACCCCGCCTTCTCTCTTCCCTCGCCCACGTCCCCCATCGCTGCCAACTCGTCATCCTCGCCATTCTTCCGTGGACGAGCAAAGACGCTTGCCTCGCTCGCTTCTGGTTCGCGCAACACTTCTCAAACCGACATGGCCCCCCAAGAGCTGAATCTGCCCAAGGACCCTTATGTCAATGGACAGCGTATCGAGGCTTTTTTGTATAAGAATGCCGAGGAGTGCCCCATTTGCTTCATGTTCTACCCGCCACATCTCAACAAGACGCGCTGTTGCGATCAACCGATTTGTTCCGAGTGCTTTGTACAGATCAAGAGGCCCGATCCCCACCCCCCGGAGCACCATGGCGATGCAGAGACTCCAGCCCCGGAACCGCAAGAGGAGAGTCAACTGGTTTCAGAGCCTGCGGCATGCCCGTTTTGTGTTCAGCCCGAGTTTGGTGTCACTTACGAGCCACCTCCATTCAGACGGGGCCTCGTTTACAATCAGCAGGGACAACCACCCCTGGGAAGCGCCACTTCGGCAATGTCCTCTACTTCTTCACTGAACTCGCCCGCTGTTACATCTCCAGGACGCCGGAGGGCCACCTCGCTCGCGGTAAATGACAAGACAGTCATCACAACTGACATGGTCAGGCCTGATTGGGCGAAGAAGCTGTCTGATGCAAGAGCACATGCCTTGAGGCGGGCTGCAGCGGCGACTGCACTGCACAATGCGGCATACATGATGGGGAACATTTCGCAACATGAGAGCCGGTTCGCACTGGGTAGGAGAAGGCGGACCATGTTTGGTAGTGACAGTGCTGGAAGCAGCGGGCAAGGCACGCCTCGACGAGACCGCGATCCATCCACTGGCCAAGCCGGCGAAGCATCGAACGATCTCTTCCCGGGCCGCGGCAGTTCGCGCCGTGGAAACAGGCTTGATGACCTCGAAGACCTCATGATGATGGAGGCTATCCGATTAAGTCTCGCTGCTGAGGAAGAGCGGAAGAGGAAGGACGAGAAGGATGCGGCCAAAGAAGCCAAGAAGGACGGAAAGAAGAAGGCGAAGGAGTTGAAGAAGGCGGCAAAAGCCCAAAGCCGTATAGGAAGCGGATTCCACCCTCTTGACATCGACGGTCTTGACGAATCGGGTGTTGGAAGCTCTTCTGCAGCCGGCAAAGGAAAGGAGGTGGATCGCGCAGTTGGAAATGTGGGCTTCAACCCCATGAACGAGCCCACTTCAACCATCAACACCTCAAGTGCCAAGGATGATCCACAAAAGCATCTCGAGACCAGCCGAGCTCAAATTCAACGGGACACCAGTTCAAGCAACTTGGGGCCATCCGACGCTCTTGAAGATCAGCCATCTCACCGTTCAGCACTACGCAATCTGTCAAACGCTTCTTCTAGCGCTTCTTCGTTCGCAGAATCCTACGAGAACTCACTTCGTCAGCCAGGCCAAGATAGTCTCGCACCCGGTTCAATCGAGCCAAGTCCGAGCGGCTCAGGTGTAAACCTCAGTCAGACTGACACGCCACCACAAGGCACGCCTGGCACGGAACCCATGTTCAACTTCAAGAGCCTCGCTGATTCGATCACTCCTGAGGAACAAGGCGAGAAGGATGGTGGACCACAGTTTATTGAGAATGTCGAAGGCGCGCATGAGACTTCCTCCAAGGCACCTTTAGCTTCCCAGTCCCCCAAGACTGAGCCAACCACACAACCGCATGATTCGGGGCTTGCAGACAGTACTATGACACTTAAGCCGACACTGCCTTCGCTCTCGATTGACAACCAGAACGGAGACGAGATCAAACCAGCGCCGAGAATCGAAGCGGTCCAGAATGGCCATTCCGACCTCGATTCGAAACAGCTTGGCGATGTGAGCATGATAGACGGCTATCATCACCACGCTACTCAATAGCCATCTCATACGGGAGTTACTCTTCCTACTCCTCTTTATTTCCATATATCTGCATTTCACTGGGCATTCACACAGGCGCAACGGCACCGGGCATTTATCGTACGGGTGGCTATCTCTTCATATTTCAGCAGCCGCTGTGGGGATCGGCTGCAACATTTTTTATCGGGCGCATATGAATGAGACTCTTACTTTGTCTTGTTAGCGATACAGACTGCTATGGCAATTCTTAGGCGAGGCTAAGCCATTGAAACGTGGAAGTCTCCAGGGAACTCGGGGACTGTAGTGACGTAGTGAGAATATATATAAGAAGATATTGACCACTTAGTGTTTGCGGTTTCGTGCATAAGCTGAGTGGTAGGTGGACGTTATGCAGTGAGCAAAATGTTGCGAATGGTCAGACTTGCACATGAGAGCAATAAGCCCCAAGGAGCTGAAGGAAAGCCAGGGTAACAAATAATGCCATTAACCATATTCTATTCCCCCTAAAAACTTTTTCCATGCGCTTCCCCCCCAAAAAGGTCGTCTTCTTCAAACTCTCCCCCTTTTCCCATACCCACTAACCATCTCCTCCATAACAAACTCCTCGCTCTTCGTCATTCTAGCCCTGCCTACCCCCTTTCTCACACTCTCACTCCCCCCACTCCTCTCACTCCCATGATACTGATAGCCGTGCGATAAAGTATGTTGTGTCCTCGCGCGCTGCGCTTTGGAGAAAAGCGCTTTGAGCGCGGGAATCGACGCGCACCAGATGCCGACGTTGATTTCGATCTGCGACCATGTATTTATGGGGACGGAGGAGAAAAAGGGGTCTGTGGACTGTGCGAACGCCAGTGAGTATTTCGTTCATATTTGAATTGGGTAGGGGGTAATATTTACGGTCGTAAAGATGCGCACAGAATACAACCGCACGATGCTCGCTATGCACGAGAACGCGCCGAGCGCGAAGATGGCGAGTAAAGCGGATTTCTCACGCCCGGGGCGCTGGATGCTGAGGAGGAGTTTTATCGGCAGGATGAGGATCCAGATGTCGAGGAGGATGTTGGTTGCGGAGGTAACTATTCACATTACATTTGCTTAGATATTGCTGGCGTTGGGTAGATGTCGGGATGCGTGGATACGTACTGTATATAAAGACTGACGTGTTAATGCAGCTTCCAGGTACCATGCCGGTCAAGTCCCACATCTTGTGCAATGGCCGGCATTGCGCGAGTACGACGATGATGCAGACGAGGCAGAAGGTGAGGAGGAGGTATATTGTTGCTTTGCAGAGGCGCTCAAAGGTTTTTTCTGCAGCTATAAAACATCTGTCAGTGGCGTCGTCCACACATCTTTCCAAGCTCTGAAATAGACTGACCTATCCGCAAATAGAAAAACAAGATCGAAACTTTTATAGCGTTCACGCAGAGATAGTATATAATCTCAATCGCATACGTGACTTGCAGCGTCGTCGTCGCTTGTTCGAAGGTAACCTGCGTGCCGCGGAAGCCCATGCCGTTTGCGCGTAGGATGTATATGGTTGCGAGATATGCGAGGGTGAATAGCAGCGCGATTAACATTGTGTAGTCATCATTGCCCATGTTATGCAGGATGACCGCCCTGGTGTATACGCGCAGACTGACAATAATAACTACATATCTTCGTCAGCGAATGGGGGCAGTGAATACGGCCAGCCTTCGTACCTGAAACTGCAGTCAATGCTGTTGACACCCCAACAACGAGATGCTGGCGAGCCAGCCCATCTTCTGCCATATTTCCACAACTGCTTGCTCACACTCAGGTCGAAAGAAGTTCTAGAAAGGTGAACGAAGGTGGATCATGCAAGCTATAACAAGCAGCACTAAATGCCGTGCCGCGTCGCCGTAACACACCGCAGCCACGCGGAGTTGCAGTGCAGGAAGGGTGATTACAGAACGCTCATGCTGACTCTTCCCAGGGTTATTCCCATCATGCTATAAACTTTGCGAATTGACCCGCGTGCAGAACCGAAAACCGGGACTTGCAGCTTACATACATACCCATACCCATCCCCTCAATATGAAGATCGCTGTTGTGCTGGCGTGCTGAAACTGGCCTTTGGTTACTGCGAAGGAAAAAAAAGTCCATCTTTCGCTACACATTGTGCGACTGACCGCGTGTGCCTTGCATGTTGTGGCGTGGGCGTATATTGGTGTTGACAAGTTGGATTCGGAATGTGGGGCACCCCAGGTACAGTAGACGGTAATGGTAAAGCCACATCAGGCCAGCATAAAGTTTACCATGTCAGGTAAGCATGCTGAATGACTTCAGACCAACCTCACGGATCATGGCGGAAAGAATCTCCTGACCCGAAACGTGTTTCTGGCTTCACGAGCGTCTCGCGATGCCTCCGAGGCAATGGTTACACAGCAGGGCGGACAGCATGAGCTGCATCCCCTCTCATGAGCAAGTACCGATCAGGTACCTGTAAGCTGCTAAAAACGTGCTTACTCCCTGGGCTATAATGCAGGAGTCGCCTGCTCATACTCCGCCTGAATCAAGTTAATCAGCAGGCTAAACGGCTCCCGTCCCGCCAAAAGAAATTCCCCATCGTAAAGCTAATCAAGCGTTCGGGACATCCTGTGGGGTTGCCAGGGTCAGCGAGACGCGAACCCAGGGTGCGGAGAACGACGCGAGGGGTGGTGAAACGCCAGGCACGTCGCATTTCTGTCGTGTTTGACAAGTCAGGCATATACATAGACTGTTCGGAAAGTTTCATTTGCGATGTGGATGGGCGCTGAGGTCATTTGGGAACTTTTGTATATGGGTAGGGCCGAGAGGGGCGGGATGTGGGGCTGTTGGTGGAAGAGGTGCGGGAAGGTCGTTTCAACGGCTGGAAGCGAGGGCAGGTTTGGCTCTAGGAGTGTCTCTTGTCGCTGTCAAATGTACCTTGGTATCAAGAGATTTCTCTCGTGCGCGTTGTGTTGAAGGCGAGATGAATTCGCTGCTTGACAAGGGATGACTGGCGCCCAGTCTACGGAGGAAGTTGGTACTAAGTGGGATACAGAATTGTGTATCAACGCCTGCCGTCTGCCATCTCAGATGCGAGGACGCAAGTTAGGTAAGCACCAATGCATTGAGATGAGATTGTGTTTCAAGACCGTCACCGTCTTACATGATAGCCATGTTACAGGCCAGCTCAACGGTTGTTTCTTGCCGTCTTCATACAGACACTGAGTTTTACTAGATGATTTTGATCTCCACTTCAGGACTTATGTTTGACGCTTTCCACAACTCTGCGTCTTGCAACGAATCACGGGTGTAGAGGAGACCAAGTCTCTCAAAAGTACCCGCTTCCTCATCCACACTCCTTAAAACAATCCAGGCCAGCTCGCATTCGCCGTGCGTAATGAATCCTTCAACTTTTAGGATCAAAATCTCGCTGCCGGAACGTACCTGATGCGGACCCTCCATCTCGATGGAATAGTCCCATTCCAGCATTCTTTTGCCCTTTCCTTTGGAGAGTACTGGGTTACGCCTATTCGACATAAAGTCGAATTTTGACAGAGGGCGTGCAAGGGGCGAAGAGTTCGCAGTCGAGAAAAAGTCTGTCAATAAATGGCCAGTTGCCGAGGACAGTAGATCCCCTGGACGAGTTGTATCGCTCCAGACAATTGTTATATTCTCCTGGGAAGAGACACTGAGTAGTTTGCCCGGGCAACTTATCTCCAAGTAAGGATCCACCGTGCAGTGCTGACCTGAAGCTGGATAATGTATCATGCCTGATAGGCAATGTCCTCTAAGAATCAACTCCCCCGAATTTATCTGCCCGGTGGCATCTTCAGCAATCGGGGAGCACATCGCGTTTACTACTGTTATAAACAGCTCAGGTGTGTCGTATTCCCGCATTTGATGAAACCACATGTACCGCATCCAGCCGATGCTCCCCGTAGTGGACGCCCACGACCAGGTCGGTGCACGCCACTCAATGGGTCTGAATCTTCGAGCACGGGTTTTCTCAGGCCTCACATGCCAGGTAAGGTTGTGCGGTAGGGTGTGGCTCCATAGGCCTGCCAAGTAAAGTCCCATGTCGCATGGCATCATTTTCGCCAGGCCTTGCAACGCTGGAAAGATGTCGCTCTCAAAAGACAGAGTCAACCTAGTGTATGACTCGATGATGTATCTCCATCGAATGTCAGCTTCTTTTATAGGCGATTGTGCCCAGTACTTTGGCCACCAATTCTGCGGTCTGTCAAGAGCACATGGGATTTCGACATCGTCAGAGCATTCGCAAGTAATGCCACTTAGGCACTCTAGTATGAGTTCATCATTGGTAAAATGCAAAGTTCGTGGCGATAGTAACCTTTCCTGGTAGGTCCACCCTCGTTGCATAAGAGGCATGGTCCCCCAGTAGAAGTCGGTGTGCTCCAAACGGATCCGGCTATGCACCTCAAATGATGGGGAATCTAGCATGGATACACGCCATGTTCGAGACTCGTGTATGGAGCGTGAGGTCCCAAAACAACCTTGGGTAGAGTCTGCCGATTTAGCTGCTGCTAGAGTAAGGCTGGTATTGGCGTAAATACTGTCCATTTTACCTCCTTCGTGGCGCCAGTCCTCGGCCGAATCTTGGATGATACAGAGGCTGTCTATCCAAATGTAGAAAAAACCCAGCCGATAGGCGAAATCGATAGCTTCTCGGAACGTTCGTGACAGCTCATGCCACGGAATCCTTGATTGGAACTCGGACAAGTTCTGCTTCGTGGTCTTCATGACCGGACCACCGCCCCAGCAGTGACTCAAACATACGTATTGCGCTTCCTGGGCGTTCGGTATATGCAGCCTGATATGCTCTGGTCCACTGATTTTGATCACTCTGGTCGGCAACACACTAGACGTGGTATTTTTGCACATGCCGTGCTGCCTAATACACTGATCGAGCCATTTGCGGACGCGGAACACAGCTTGTTGTGATCCAGTGCCACCAGAGATAGGCTGCGCTATCTCCAGGTCTGACCAGGGACTTGTTTGACCTCAAATCGTCAGCAGCTTACGACTACTCCGCAGAAGAACGAGACTCACCTGGACAGAGCGAGAGCTGTATCCAGCGATCAGAAGGTATATTTAGTTCAGATGGCTGGAGTCTGAAAGCGATCATGAGTGATTTAAATTTCTCTGAATTGACCAACGTGATGAGTTCTAGTCCCTCCATCTTCGGGAAATAGTACTTGATAGCCTCAACCACCACTTTGCAGCTGACGCAGCCGCTCGATGATGACAGGTCCCACTCAGCTAAGGTGAATTCCCTGCCATGGCGATATCGATCCAACCTCAACGCGACCGAATCAAGGCTGAGGCAGACGTTGCAATACCCACGCTGCAGCTCAGTGGTGTTGTCGTTCATGGTGAGGTAGCCAGGTAAAGCACTTGTCTCATCTATATCATAGGAAAACACGATAGTAAAAGAGTTAGACGGAAGCTATAAGTTTGCAAATATGTGAGCACAAGAGGAGCTGCATCGAAAGCGAAAGCAGGGAGATGGAAATCACGACCTCGCTAAAGAAAACAGGGCAGGATTCTTGGGGCGCAGCTGCCGCAGCAGTAGGCTACCATTCTACAGCCCTGCTAAAATCATCATTGGTATCTCAAGAAAACACATGCTAAACAAAACGATAAATCCCTACTGCCCAAACAACAACGCAGTCATGACCCGCGTCGCCTCAAACGCCCCTCTACTCTGTAACAACGATGCAAACGTCTCGGGTACTTTACTAAACGTCTTCGCTGCATCAGCCTCAGTCCACACACTGGGAAACGCAGGCTCAACGGTGACTTGTGATTCTGCTTCACCCGTCCAATCAAATCCGATACGCCAGTTGAGCTTCAGCAGGACGTGCTTGTCTTGGAGGATCAGGCTGTCACGGCCGAGGTGGCGGTTCAGATCTCGTCGCGAGATCTTCGTATCGGGATTTGCTTTGGGGCGCGTATTTTCCGTATCTTCACTTGAGTGGCCGGCAAGAAGATGCGAGAATGTTTGTTCGGCTCGATGCCAGTGTTGCGCACGTTTTTGGGCGATATTCCAGTACGATTCGATGGCCCAGCATGCGTTGCCAAGATCCCGTTGTTCCGCACGCTTGCGCAGGAAGGTGCCGAGTTCTCGCTCCGCCCATGGTGAAAGACGAAGTATGTGCATGTCAATGATCTCGTTGGCTAGAGTGTCGATTACGACCGAGATTTGGGCCGTGAGGAGCTTCTGGGGTCCGACGATATCGATGGTGTGTTTCTGATGTACACGTTTCGAAGACGGCAAGATCTTGCCGCGTGAAAGGCCTAGTTGTGTAGTGACTTTGAAGGATGTAAACATCTCGAGGTATGGTAGAGGATCTGCTAGCTCCACTGGTTGATGCGATGGTACAGGTTTTTCTGGTACCTTGCTGCGTGGTTGTCGTATTGGCATGGTCGAGAATGGCAAGAATGAGCACAGTAGACTAGAGACTGGAAGGGCAGCCTCCACGTCCGCGTTCGCGCCACTGACTTTAGTGATAAAGTCTTGCAAGTCTGTTCGATCTGCCGATCGCAGTGCTTCAGTGGGACCTCTTTGCTGTTCTTTCACAATTTCTTCCGTGCACCTTGTCACCTGTACCTCTAGCTCCGCCAATTCGCGCTCAAGTTTCGCCTTCTCTTGTTTCCTTTTCTCAACCTCCAGGTCGAGAGGCTCCATCTTCTTGGGCCGAGGGTTCATCTTTGCGTCGACGGGACCATCTTCCAAATGGTGAGCAGGGGACGTTACTTGTACGGGTGGTGCTTTGGGTCGCAGAGGTGACTGCTTCACAGGATCCTTCGCACGGGGAGGGCGCTTGCTTGGTGATGAGAACAAGACACCCCGCCGAGGGCCATCTAGTTCCTCCAGACCTCGTTGCGATGGTGTTGTTGGCAGCTCCGGCTCCTCCTCCTCCTCTTCTTCTTCCTCGGCCACCGTTCGTTGCGATCTAGGTGTGGACTTGATTCCTGTTTTCCGCGCGCGGGGTGTTGCATTTGGCACATTTGGACGACGTGCCTCCTGAACCATCCCACTGCGCCAGCTCTCGGCCCAGTGCTTCCTGCATGTCTGTCTCGCCAAGGACATAAGCACGCGCCTGCTTTCCACGACTCGGTCGCGATGGTGAGCCGGCTGAAGTGGGTCGAGATGGCAGAAGATTGGGATAGTTGCGTGCCAGGCTGGCTTTCGTAGGTGATGCAAATGACGGCCTTCGCGCAGGCTTTCTTAGTGGACTTGATTCTCTGTCTGTTGGGGAGTTGGTCCTCCTTCGTTTGCGCGCTGGTTCGTCCATTGTTGTGGGTTGTATTTCTGTCGCATACAAATAGAAAGGACTGTGCAAGGCCTGCGATCTGGTTGAGGGAGTTTCACAGAATAATAATTGTGAGCTGAGTCGCGTGTTTCGGTGGGTTGCAGTGGACGCGACCCGCGCGTGTTGTTGATGAGACCCTGTCGGCGTTTGCGGGCAGCTTTTGCCGAGGACGCAAAATGACGTCTTCCTCGAGCTCACATTCACTCTTTCACTAAGCTTGAGCCACGACTTGCAGTCCTCTTCATTGCCCATTTTCCGAAGCATGATAACCTCATAACGCCTGCAGTATAATTTGCAACTTCATCACCTGTTAGAATCCCGCATGGAACAGATACTGCGACCGATAGCCATGTATCGCAATCTATGTGCCTCGTGCTTCAGAGCCCTCGGCAAGACATCTACCACCCCAACAACAGCTCGTATGGGACTCCAGAATAGCAATCGGATACAGCGTCGATACAAAGGCTATATAGCACCGGCTGGTGGGCAGGCGCACCCCATCGGCGGTTTCTATGCAGGTTCGCCGCCCAAATCGCCATGCCACCAAGTTGACGCTCACTCGACTAGAAATGCTCAAGAAGTCAAGACCTGAGGTGCAACCTCTTACAGAGACAGCGCCTGAACCTCCACCACCCGAGCCCCGACCCAAGACACAGAAAGAAGAAACACTCGAGAAGGCACGCATAGTCTTTGGCTCGAAGCTCGCCGGCCCAGCCGAACGTCGAAAAGAAATAGACGCAGCTTCAAAGATAATCGCTGGCATAACCGTGCCTCCCAAGCCCGAGGAACCGGATAATTGCTGCATGTCAGGGTGTGTAAACTGCGTATGGGATCTATACAGAGACGATATGGAGGAATGGGCGGAGAAGAGCGCGCAGGCTAGAGCAGCCATCCAAGCACAGCGAAACGAGGGTGTAGGATCCGGTCAGATGGTGGCAGGAAGTGGCGTACCAAGCCATGTTGCCACCAGCATGGACGACGATGGTGGAGGGAGCGAAACGAATTGGGACATGGATGCTGGAAACGACACGAGCAGCTTGTTTGACGATATACCCGTGGGGATCAGGGAGTTCATGAAGACGGAGAAGAAACTGAAGATGCAGCAGAAGAAGGCGCAGGAGACAGTTGCATAGTATGGAAGCGACGACTAGGCATATCTTTGAAGCGCAGCAATTGTAGAGCATGCGTATACCCATCAATTGCAGATAGCGCGGTCCCTCATTGTCCACACCAGTCCAGAGCCATTGTTCCAATTTCCATGTTCATCCTCTAATCCTCACCAACATCCACCCCCCTCGCCTTCAGATCCACTCTCGCTTCCAAAATCTGTTGCTGGATCTCCGCATACGCATCCGGTACATCGTTGAACGTGAAGACGCCCCAGCCGAGCTTGAACAGCAGGTACGCGCCGAAGGTGATGAGGGCCCAGAATGGGACCTGTGCAATATTTGTCAGACTTTTGTTCGTAGTAGTGAGAGCGTAACGCACATAAGGAACGACCTCCTTCTGGATCTTCTCAGGGAACGCGACGACCTCCATGAATACCGCGAGGTATATCTGCGCACATGTTAGCTACCTGCCCAAGGGGGTCGTGTGGTGCATTAAATCATACGGAGGTGAGCAGCATAGCAATGCTGATGGTTTGTTGAGCGCGCGTCATGATTACGGTTTCGGTGTGGATTGAGTGAGCGTATGGGGTCAGTGTATCTGGGAGACGTGGTGGTGGTCAAGATGGTATTTGGTGGTAGCTTGCCAGATCGCAAAGTCGCGCCAAGGGATCTTCTCCTGACCTGGGAAAGTGGGGCAGGCGTAGCCGGGTTCGGCAAGGCTAGCCGGATGATGGGGCGATCTCTGGCCTCAACACATTGGATCTCACCATTTTCAAGAAGTAAGCAGACTTTTGAAATTGTGGTCTGACGAAAGCTTCTTGGGAGGCTAGTTCCAACGCAGTCACAAAATACTTGACGCGGACACCAACAATCGAGATATTGATCACTAGTCATAGGCACCAGATCATGGACAGTTGAGCAGTCGCATCTGTAAATTCCAAAGCTTTTTACTTTCGCTCAGTTCAGCATGTCCACAGCTCAGGAATATGAGCCGAATCTACCGGAAGGAGCTGAGAAATCGCTCGTACTGGAACTGACGGGCCAAGACGCGACTCTAGTAGATTTACAAAAAGAGCTGGGAGACTTGCGGGAGGATTCAGATTCGGCGGTACTGGAGAGAATGTACCAATCATTGGCTACATCTGTTGGAAAGCAACGTAAGACATGGAAAGCCTGAACACTCACTTGTTCTAACACGGGTGCAGAGGAGTTCCAAACTCCATTCCGAGAGACGGGGATTCTGGCATTAGCACTGAAGGGTCTGGAATCAAACAGTGCGCCAAAGTCACTACGGAAACAGTACCTAAGACTTGTTGGTAATTGTGTCGCTGACAATGGTACTGGTAGCACAATGCAGATGGAATGGACTCATGGGCTGATATCTTCAAGATCTCAACCGCGAAGTGGTGACCAAGGATCTACAGAAACTCGTTGCCTTAATAACGGACGAGGAGCTGAGCACTATCGCCTTAATCGTGCTCTTCAACCTTTGCAATGACTTTGGTACGGTTGTCTCCACATCAGATATACGACACTCTCCTAATACAAATAGATCCTGCAAAAGCAGCAGCGGCATCTCTTCGCTTGGACGCCACAATCTCTCGCGAGCTCTTCCTCCAAAACGTCCCAGAACCTGCTCTGGACTACGCCGTCGATCTCCTTACCTGGACCACTGGAAAGCTCACAGCAGATCAGCTAAAAGACGAATACTCCCTCGAAACCTTTGCCGGCCTGCTGAAAGTCGCTCTTCAATACGACGAAGACCACTATCACGAATACGTCGCCATTCTCGTGCATTACATCCAAGATCCTGAGTTCCAACAGTCCGTTGCAACCCCAAAATTCGTCGATGATCTCGTCGTCCTCATGCTGGACTTTGAAGCCAGGATCTCAGCAGACGACATCGAAGCAGTATTTCAAGAACTTGCCCTTACCAAACCCGACGAAGCACAGCAGTCGGAAGAGGCAAGCGTCTTGCTACTTTCGCAGCTCATCAACTCCATCTCTGCCCTCTCCGCCACAGATGCATTCGCGCAAAATTTCAACGTCCGCAGTGCAGTCATCGAACGCATTCGCGCGAAACTCAAATACCCAACAAGCAAATCTCCCTCTGCGGTCTGTGCATGCGTTATGCTAGGTAACCTCGCCATGTCAGATGAAGTCTGTATCGACATGGTAAGTATCATGCAACTTCATCTGCCGCTGCGAGATATGTTGTTCTTCGACAAACATTCCGCGCTACTGTACGCCGCACTGGGTTTCCTACGACATCTGGCATTCCCGGAGCAAAATCGCACGGAACTTGGTGATGCGAGGGTCGTTGAGGCATGCCATGCGTACCTTGTCAAAGAAGCGGATGATCCAGCTGTGAGGGGTGAAGTTGCGGCCTTGCTGTGTAAGCTGGTGACCAACAACCCGAAGAACATTGAAAGGGTGGTATTTGACCGGGTTGGAGAAAGCAAAGACGAACAAGGCGAACTACCGCTTGAGTCAGTATCGAATGGACCGACGTGCTTTGAAGATCTGGTCAAACAGTCCCTCGTGCCCGGAAAACCCTTACCGAGCACGTCGATGAAGAACATGATGGTCGAAGCGGGACGGACCATCGTGGCAATACTCAGATATCTGGGAAGAGCGGTTACAGGCGGAGACTTGGACGTCGATGCGGTTCGACTGCGCATGTTCGAATGCCCAGATGTTGCCCGACCACTGGCTAAGCTCGTACGCCAACGCTTCTACGCAGATGCGCGATCAGAAGGTTTGCTAGGACTTGGACTTATGGCACAGAGTCCTGAAGGCGCTTCAAGGGTGATTGATGAGATCAAGGATGATGCTGGACTGCTAGAAGCTATCAAGGAGTTTGCAGAAGGCAAAGATGGTGGTGCTGAGCAACAGGGCCAGGCAGCTGGAAGGGACTACCAAAATGCGGTCGTGCTGCTACAGGCTTTGCAGAATCACTGGGTATGTTCCATGGCATAGAGTAATAGTTGCCGTGCTAACAAGGTCCAGCCTAATGAAGGAGATGGAACGCTTAAAGATCAGATCGCGAGCCTTCAGAACTCGTTGGGAAAGATGATGGTGTAGATCGCTTGATAGCGACTGATGGATACTTGGATCCCGGAAATAATTCTGAATGTCGCCGTTTCTCAAAAAAATAGACACCGAGAGCTTGGAGCAGAACCACCATCGTGATGCGTATGCCCTCGTTGCACCTCAATCGTGATCCAATACTCCACCCCAACGAATAGCACGCCACCCAATTCAAACCCATCAGATTACCCACCAATCTTTCCCATCTCCAGCGAGTAAGCATTCTCGCAACTTCGATGACACGACAAAGTGGTCCGTTGCTCGCTCAAACATACTTTGAAGTTGCCTTGCAGCGTAATCACCTGCGCTGTGATTGGCCAGATCCGCTCTCACCTGATTTCTACTTCTGGCATCCAGGGTCCATAGCTACGTACCAGAACATGTATAAAGAAGGCTTGAGGAGCGCGTGGAATTGATCATTCACAAAGCATTTCAACTGCAATTACCAAGTTTACATCGATTTCTAAATCTTGCTCAACTCCACCAAACTATCAACACCAACTCAACACCACCTCCAAGATGACTTGCTGCGGACGTAACAACGGCACCTGCGTGTGCGCCCAGGAGGCTACATGCTCCTGCGGAAAGCAGCCTGCACTTCAGTGCAGTACGTCTCTCACACATCCCTTCACCCACTCTCATTGCACATCCTAACACTCTCACAGCCTGCGACAAGGCCACCACCGAGAACAAGCTCCCAACCAGCACCTGCGCCTGCGGAAAGCGAGCTGAGGGTAAGATATATCACTCAACATTGCATGACGTATGAAAGCTAATGATGGTGATAGACGCATGCAACTGCAGCCGTAGCAGCGACAACGGCTCGTCGGCACTTGAGACGGACTTCACTAGCAAGAAATAGAGGGAGATTGGGTTGGAGGCGGAGAAAGATCGGGATGATACCAGTTTGAGCATTGGGTGGGTGTTTGGGTGTTTGTGAGGGTCTCTATCAGTTGATGGTTAGGCATGCTTTGAATCAACACATTAACATCAACGTTTGCTTTGTACTACGAGTGATCAACGTAATTGATGTAATCCGCTCGCGCAATGTTCGAACAGAAATTGTCATAAACCTGGACATCGATCGTCTAGGCCGTCCAGACATCTGCATGTGTCGCACGAGCAGCACTGCTGTCACGTGCCTTGATGACCACTGCGCTTCCGAGTTCATACTGATCGCTTTCATGTCCAATACTCCCTCAACATTGGTGCAAATACTCCACCTCGGCGATATTCTCGAGCACTGTCTTACCTCAGAAGCATGGGTAGCACTTTGTGAGGTTGCACGCCCAACGGAGTTTAGGCGGGCGTGCTAAAAGTGGGCTGCGCTGCTTGGCTATCAAAGTGTAGGACATCCAAGACCATCCCACCGCTACGCACGCGCAGAGTGAACAGCTGCATTGCGGCTACCTGCAGCATGCGAAGCTCTCCAAGCTTATGCCATTTCCCCATCCTCTGCATTCTGCTGCCCTGATTCTCTAATTGACGCCGAGTCGCGATAACCGACCCCTTTCGCGAGTCCACCTCCGCATCACCGCTCGTTCGCCGGCACAACCCCTGCCCGAACCCGCTCCCGTCGTCCTCGTAGACCCTCGCCGCCGTCGCATTGTCAGTCTACCCACCAGGCGGAGGACCTGCCCGCCCACAATCGCCAACATGTCTCTCCCTTCGAAAATGGGTGCCGGCGGAGGTGGTGGGCTCTTCAGCCGGAACCAGTCGGGCAACGTGCCCACCATGCGAGGCCTGGTATCCTTCATCGCCGACCTGAGAAATGCGCGTGCCCGCGAGCTGGAGGAGAAGCGCATCAACAAGGAATTGGCAAACATACGGCAGAAGTTCAGAGACGGCGGGCTGAACGGCTACCAGAAGAAGAAATATGTCTGCAAGCTCTTGTACATCTACATCTTGGGGTGGAACGTCGATTTCGGACATCTCGAGGCTGTGAACCTCATCTCGGCCTCGAAGTACTCGGAGAAACAGATTGGATACCTCGCCGTCACACTATTCTTGCACGAGGAGCACGAGTTAATACATCTGGTTGTCAACAGCATACGGAAGGACCTGCTGGACCATAATGAGCTCAACAACTGCTTGGCGCTGCATGCGATTGCGAATGTTGGTGGCAAGGAGCTGGGAGAATCCCTCAGCGCAGAAGTGCATCGACTCCTCATTTCGCCGTTAGTACCAGCTTGCGAGTGGCAGGGGCATAGCTGACAGCACACAGAGCCTCAAAAGCGTTCGTCAAGAAGAAGGCAGCACTAACCCTACTACGATTATACCGAAAACACCCAGGCATCATACAACACGAATGGGCGGAGCGGATAATAGCGCTCATGGACGATCCAGACATGGGTGTAGCACTCTCCGTTACGTCGCTAGTCACCGCCCTCGTCCAGGATAACACCGAGCAGTACAAGGGTAGCTACGTCAAAGCGGCCAACAGGCTGAAACGGATAGTAGTCGACAACGAATGCGCGGAAGGCTACTACTACTACAAGGTCCCATGTCCGTGGATACTGGTGAAGCTCTTGAAGCTGCTGCAATATTACCCACCTCCTGGTGAGTAGCATTCAACATTAAGTACAATGGTAGACTAACGAGAACAGAGGATTCTCATATTCGCAAACTCATCCATGAAGCCCTGCAGAAGATCATGGACTCGGCCCTCGAGATGCCCAAGAACGTCCAACAGAACAACGCACAAAACGCGGTCCTCTTCGAAGCTATCAACCTCGTTATCCACCTCGACACCGAACAAGATCTCATGGTACAAATATCACAGCGTTTAGGGAAATTCATCGCGTCAAGAGAGACGAATGTACGGTACCTCGGTTTGGAAGCAATGACACATTTGGCAGCACGGTCAGAAACGCTGGATCCAATCAAGAAGCACCAAGCAATCATCATTGGCTCGTTACGGGATCGAGACATCAGTGTGCGGAGACAGGGACTGGACCTACTTTACAGCATGTGCGATCCGACCAACGCCCAAGCTATCGTGAACGAGCTCTTGCGCTACCTACAATCGGCCGACTACGCGATACGAGAAGAGATGGTACTCAAGATTGCTATCCTGACAGAAAAATATGCGACCGATGTACAGTGGTATGTGGATATATCGCTACGATTGATTGCCATGGCAGGAGACCACGTTAGCGACGAAGTCTGGCAACGAGTCATCCAGATCGTGACGAATAACGAGGAGCTGCAAGTGTATGCTGCTCAGACAATCCTACAGTACATCAAGTCAGACTGCCACGAGACACTTGTCAAGATTGGCGGATACCTGCTTGGAGAGTTTGGGCATCTGATCGCGGACAACAAGGGCTGCAGTCCGATCGAACAGTTCTTGGCTCTGAGCGCAAAGATGCGAGGATGCTCAGGGAGCACAAGGGCGATACTGTTGTCAAGCTACGTCAAATTTGTCAACTTGTTCCCCGAGATCAAGCCGCAGCTACTGCAAGCATTCCGCGCATACAGTCACTCGCTCGACTCTGAGCTCCAGCAAAGAGCGTGTGAATACCTCACACTTGCTACGATGCCAACCGACGACCTACTACGAACCGTATGCGACGAGATGCCACCTTACCCAGAGCGAACGTCAGCACTGCTGTCGCGATTACACCAGAAGCACGCTACTACTAGTGACAAGCGAACATGGCTAATCGGAGGTAAAGATGCAAACGCTGATATGAAAGAGTTTGGTCTTGCGCGACAAAATACAACCGCCGGCTCTGGCGTCAAGCGAAGTTTCACAGAACCCGTGCAAAAGCCTGGCAATCCAGTTGCGACAAATGGCGCAAATGGAGTCAAGTCTATCTCAAGTGATCTAGACGGACTGGACCTCAATATCGACCCGAGCAACTCCGCGGCTCCTAACCTTGCCAGTGCTGCTCATCTCAGTCCGGACTGGGAAGTCGGGTACACTCGATTACTGCTTCGTGGTGATGGCATTCTGTACGAAGACCAACAGATACAGGTTGGACTACGGACAGAATACAGAGGGCAACTTGGTGCTTTGATTTTCTACTTCACGAATAAATCATCCTTCCCGATGGGCTCATTCACGACATCGCTCGACAACCGATCCGCCGAAACTCTAAAGACCGACGTCAAAGGCCTGCCAGACACGACAATAGCACCAGAGGGCCAAACGCAACAAACGATCATGTTCGAGTGTAGGAACGTCTTCGTAGAGCCACCGACGTTCCGCATATCATACCTTGCCGGCGCGCTACAAGGTCTCACACTCCAACTCCCCGTCCTGCTTCACAAGTACCAAGAAGGAGCGGAACTAAGCGCAGAAGACTTCTTCAAACGATGGAAGCAAATCGGAGGCGCGCCACGAGAAGCGCAACGCATTTTCGGTCTGGTCAACAAGAACCGGACTATGAACAGCGACTTTGTCAAGAAGGTCGTCGCAGGCTTCAAGTGGGGCATCGTTGATGGCGTCGACCCGAATGGAAAGAACATTGTTGGCGCAACGGTGCTGCATACAAGTGAGGGCGGGAAATTCGGTTGCTTGATGAGGCTGGAACCGAACTTTGACACTCAGGTACGTTCAAAGAAATTTGCATGCTGATCATGTCACTAACGATGACCAGATGTACCGCATCACGATCCGCGCGACAGACGAAGCCGTCCCACCAGTGCTCATCAAGGCCATGGAAGACCGACTGTCGCAGGGCATTGAGGGCATGGCCTGAAGCGTGCCATGTACATCGTTCTATTTTTTTTTACACATATGCAATCTTCGATCCCGCGGATGACCGTATAGAGTAATGTTCAATTCGTCAAACCTGCACTTTGCATTCTTTCTTGAAACCCATGTTGGATGTTTGTGTTGCATTTGCGATAAAGGGGAAAAAGTAGGATGACATACATACCCCGTCTAGTTTATGTAGTATGAGTATAACATATATGAGAGTTTTGTGGATGAGCTGGAGATTTAAGAAGAGTATATCGTATTGATACTTATTGGAACTAGATTGTCTTGATGGTCGATACCCGGGCTGCGAGGAAAAGGGCGGAGCACCGCCGTTGTGACTGTACACTCCGCTGTGGCCTCCATCAGCCGCAGCAAGCCACATCCACTTATGCAATGAGCCGCAGATGCAGAGCGGGCGCGAATATCGCCGCTGCCTGGTGCGACCGAGTCGGAGTCATAAAAGATAAACTGGGGATACTTTAGACGCATTCCCATTTTCTTCGACATTCGCCGAAACACAATATCAACTCTTGAATCGCTATCACCAATACTGTGTTTTTCGGACTACACCACTTACTCCATCATAACAACTCACCACAACACTCATCACAGCCACAATGCCCTTCACCACCACCGTCGAAGGCCCTGCACGCCCCTCGCCCCCCACTTCCAAGCCCAAAACCACAACCGATTCACCGACACCAGAAACCAAACCCGTCTACTTCTTCCGCCCCACCCAAGGCAACGGCTACCTCTCCCAATGGTACTGGTCGCCCTTCACCACCCCCACGTCCCCGCACCTCTACGCCACTGCCGAGATGTACATGATGGTTCAAAAAGCGCTCCTCTTCTCCGACCCCACTACCGCCTCTGCAATGCTCGAGACCACCGATCCTGCACGGCACAAAGCGCTGGGCCGCCAAGTCGCCAACTTTGACGAGAAGATCTGGGACGCGAATAAAGAGCGCATTGTCGAGGAGGCGAATTGGTGGAAGTTTACGCGGACTGAAGATGCGGAGGAGTTGTGCAGGATGTTGTTGGAGACTGGGGAGAGGGAGATTGTCGAGGCGAGTCCGTTCGATAGGGTTTGGGGGGTGGGGTTTAAGGAGGGCGTGGCGGGGAGGAACAGGCAGCGGTGGGGGAGGAATTTGTTGGGGAGGGCGTTGGAGAGGATTAGGGGGAGGCTGAGGGAGGAGGGGGGGAAGAAAGAGGGAGAGTAAAAAAAGTTGGAATCTTGAAGAAGAGATGGCATGACTGTTGGCCAAAGGGTGGCTGAGCGATGATAGGATAGTTACTGGTAAAAAGTACACACACGTTGTGTGATCTGCTAATGACACCTTGGATAAGCACTGCATCAAGCCAATCCTTTACAACAGAACGCATTCCCGGCACTTCCTGTGTAGACGAGCATTGGCCTCACGTTCAGCGAACTTTCGCTCCTTCTTGTTTTGTGGCCACGTTATTGGTTCTCGATGAACTTTTGCGCATTTTCCTGGCACATGTTCAGCATCCGTATACACAAATTCGTAAACGAATATAGTAAATACGGAGAACGTGTTTCGAGATATTGCAAAGGATCGACGAAAATAGATTGTAGTCAGAGATTTGGTGGCAGATGGTGAGAGGAATGTTGATGGGCAGTTGCATGATCAAATCTTGCAGCCGGAGACAGGGAGAGGCTTTGAACTGTGAACTATGCAGCACCTAGATTATCAACATCTTCGATACCTAGCATGCGGTTTGTACCCATCAACGTTTACCAGGCACAAGAACTGTATGCGTTCGTTGAAGCCATGCGCTTCAGCGAGGTTGGTATGATGTTGAGTCCGTGGACCAGCCACGCCTAGATACGAGTACACAGACCGCGGGTTGTCTCAAATACATAAAGTTAGAGCTCCGGTGGGTGAATAAAATAGGAATCATCTCCGGGAGATACATGGATGTTTCGACCCACCGTAAGCCAATTAGCGTTTACGAAACGCGGGGAACAAACACGAGAGTCACGTGGACAACGTGGTCACGGCTTGTCAGAACCGCCCGACCTTGTGAGAGGACAACGCGCCACCTACGAAGCCTCGGATCGCGCGTCACTCTGTCGTATACCCGTCCGGAGCATTCAGGATGTCGTCCATGATAACCTTTGCTGCGAACAACGAGTTCTTCCGGAAGCGCAAGCGTGCGTAAAATCCTTGCAGGCGCACGGGCAGACAGATGGCTGACGCGAGTTACAGGAGTCCACCGCGCATGCGAATCGTGCAAGAAGCGTCGCAAGAGATGTAGCCATACGTTTGATGGTGAAGATGTGAGTATCAGACGTGTAGAGAAGGCGTGGCGACCGTCTCTAACGCCATTGCCAGGACGGAAGCTCTACCCAAAGCGGACACGCACCCAATCCAACCTCAGACCCTCTTGTCTATGCCACGACAAATGGACACCATGCTCATGATCCCCGAGTGCCGCGTGTTGACTCGCACAGCCATGGCTACCCTCACTCCACCATGGCCCCACCGCCTCAAAGCCCTGCGGCAGACTCCCATGCCTCTCAAACACCACCCAACTTCCTGGGTTACTTGAACCCAGAGGCGGTTTTGAGAGAGCAAGTCCATGGTGAGCGTGGAAAGCCAGCCCAATCGCCAAGCATCCCACCAATCGGTCAGTGGATAGAAGAGAGGGATCAAAGGCCGCTGTCGACGCAAGGAGGCTCTACATCATCGCGCATCAATGAGACAGGTCCGCACTCCACTCAAGAGGTAAAAGTCTCTAGAGCCCTTCAGCAGTACTTAGACGCTGTAGGTGTAGACATCCTCCCTCCACGCAAGAGCCAAGATGTCCTCCTCGACATCTACTTCTCCTACGTGCACCCACTGCTGCCGCTTGTCGACCAGGAGCTTTTCCTAGAACAGTATCGGCATGGCCGGGAGTCGCGGATCCTCATGCAGGCGATATGTATTGTCGCTTCGAAGCATGCAAACGCGAAGGACTTGCTGGTTCTTGACGAAGATCAGCAGTTGCTCACGCCAAGAGAGTTCTCGCAGAGATTGTATAATGCGGTGATCATTGGCATAGAAGCCAAATTGGAGAAGAATCGCGTGGTTCTTATCCAGGTACTGGCACTGATATCATTACATTGCGAAGGAGCAGATGGTGCCGAACAAGCTTCCATGCACCTGGCGCAAGCCATCCACCACGCGCACACGTTCGGTTTACAATTTGGGCATCAGTGGAAGAACCAGAGTTCAGAATCGCAGGGCAACCTTGAAGACGTCTTCTGGTGTTTATGGAGTCTTGATAAGATCAATGCTTGCATGAATGGACGGCCATTACTTATGCACGATCGAGACAACAGTTTGAGGCAGTTACCGTCAGATCCCGAGAAGAGGTCAAGTCCATTTGGTATATGGTTGCAGATCTCCGAGATGCTGGATAAGGTCATCGACTACTACAGACCCGGGCGATCTGCAGAAGAGACTGGCTGGGAAGGCGACGACTTCCTCGGTTTCGAAGAGATGGTAGGTGACGGCGAGGATAAGCTCGAAGGCCCCATCATGAGTATGTCAATTTCGCTTTGAGCTTTTATACCATTGCTAAGTTCCTACAGGTCTTCTCTCGCTTTTCCATCACACAATGTGCATGGCTGCACACAAGTCCCTCTCGATCAATGCACCAGTCAAATCGAGCCCCTCCTATGTCCGCCAGAGCCTCTCAGCAACCCGAGTAATTCATCTACTTAACGCTGAATCACCCGAACTCCTCCCACCACTCCCCATCGTACCATACGCTTTAGGTGTAGCTCTCAGCGTCGTATACCGCCACTTCCGCTCCCGCCGCCTCAAAGTCCACGTAAACCGCGCAACCGAAGAGCTCAAGCAATGCGTGCACCTCCTGGACCGCCTTCGCAACTCCTGGTGGTCCGCCGGCACAATGGCTGATCTCGGCCGCGCCGTACTTAGCAACGCTGCTGGGCGCAACACGAATGCAGCCAACACGCCCGCTCCAGAACCCCGCATGAGCGAAACGAAGACCGAGCCACCGACACCAACTGCTTCGCATCATGACGCCCCACCGCTTTTGAATCGCTCGCAATGGCCTCACCAACCTGCGTTGGACAATCAGATTGACCCGCGGCTTCAACACCCATCTCATCCCTCGACGCCAATGACACATCTACTTAATTCTATATCTGCACCTACGCCCGGCCAGCATCCCACGAGCAGTGAGCGCGCAGAGCGAGCGCCGATGCAAGCTCCACCCGGCGGCTTTGGGTTTACAGAGACGTCGCCGGACTGGCTGAACTTTGATGCTGCGTTTGAGAACTTCGAGGGCTTGCTTGGGAGCAGTGGCGCGGATTTGAGCAATGAGTTGTTCAGGCCGTTGGGGTATGAGGCGTATGAGGGGTTTATGGATCCCGCGGCGTGAGTAGATTCAGGTTTCATTTTGTTGTACTTCTTGATGTGTCTTACTAGAGCCTTACACGTTTGTACCTTGATGATAAGATCGGGTGAGTAATACACAAGTACTCAAAGGGAGCGTTTCCTTCGATCGGTTCTATGATGACTATATTCCGACTTCAATGCAGCTCAATCTATAGCTGAGTAGACACGCGAATCTGTTATCAATTTGCGTGATAGAAGAGCCAGCTCGTGTCTACATGCGGATGCGATCAGACACATTGCTTGCAAGAGCAAACGCAACAAACTCTCAAGAGAACATCTCAAAAGTTCCATATGGGCAGTTTACTAATAAATACGATCAACTGTACGTAAGTGCGGGTTTATTGTGTTAAATTGAGATGGTGATGAGTGACGAAGTCTCGCGCCATGACGCTTGAACAGATCACAAAATATAAATTATGTGCCATGTAAGCCATAGAGCGACACACTAGTTGAGGAATCTACACGCAAGAGACAATGCATATTTGCCAGAGCACCACGGCATTTGCGGTGCACATGGAGGTGCAACATTACCCAGCCAAACATGCATCGGCCAACACACCAAAAAGCACAACTGCAAAAGCTGGCATGAAATATAGATTGCTCATCTCAAGACAAACAGCCCCATCACACCAACCCGACTCTGCACCCAATATCCGCGCCTCGAGAACTAAAGACGAGAACACTTTCTCGCAGACCCACCTCGCTTACGCACACCCAAGGTCGACGATCATGCATCACCAAACCTCAACCCAGCCAGACCTCAACGACCATTTGCAAGCGGCCCATGCACACCCGTTAGCTGCCCGCTCGAATGTAATTCCTTTTCCTCGCGTGGCGAACATGCGGGCAATCTGTGCGCATGCACCACCGCAGGTCGAGACGTCTGGACGATAATTGGTTTTGAAATGCTCCGATGCATATGCGCGCGCTGTGTCACGAGGATTCGAGGGGTGGATGCAGGATCGGGTGCGCTGTTGCCTAGAGTGCGCTCTTGGAGATACAGCAGTAGGGTGGTGGTGAGCATTGCTCGTCAGCGTTGGGGAGTAGGGGTTGGTGTTGTGTTTCTACGATGCCTGTCATCGATGCCCATGGAAAACAGGTTGGCTGGGGTCACAGGAACGGTTTCGAACGGGTTTTGCTGAGGGCAAGCATTCATGATCTCCACTTGCTATGACCGATCGAGCGATGCGTGCATTACTTTTGCAGCCTTGCAGTTCTCGTCCTTGACCAAGCTAGTCGTCGCGGTGCTACTGCTGGGGCTTAAATATCCACAGGCTAAGCTTGCGAGCTCGCGAGGGTTGGAACACATCGATGGGTACCGCAGGCGGCAATCGGGAAGCTCCTTACATGTTCGGCTGAGGTTGACTTTCCGTTTCGCGACGGCTATCCGTACTCTTGTTAGTGGTGACATGAACGAGAAGAGCTCCCGACTTCCTGCGGGTGGCGCGCTTGGAGACGGTTGAAGCAAGGAGCGATCAGTTGTTCTTCCAATGAGATGGCTGAAGTACTCGTGCCATCTCAAAGTTTCAAGTTCTGTCCTGGAAAGCTGTACATTTACGCGTGGGTAACCCATATGACGAATAACATTTCCTCTCTTCTCGCCCTGTGGTTCAGATGCGACCTGTAGTATGTATGGCACTTACTGTCTCACCTGTCAAGCCGTTGAGATTTTTGTACTCAGAGAGCACAAAGAGGCTGAGTCGCAATCCAGCAATGGGAACCTCTGCCGATAACGCGGAAAGACATGGACACTTCCACCCGCTGTCAGTGTCGCCCTTGTCCTCTGTTCGCAGTTCAGATGTGAGTCGCAACATGCACGTCTCCGTAAAGAATCTCGGGTCGGCGCGTGCTGCCACTCAAGTACGCGGCCCGGTGAGACGCATATGGGAACCCGCCTGTGCTGGGCGTCGGCACGCGTACAAGAGTCTCATCATAGCGTACAGAGCGGCGAATGTAGGAGGGCAAAACGTCGTGTTCCGTCCCAGGAGGGTACAAAAGGGCGCCAGAGACATGCTTCTCTCTGCATGCAGCCTGATCCAGAAGCCCAGTGTCACCGAGGCTCCGCCACCATGTACAGCCCATCGAGGGATGCCCATGGCAAATTGTGAATCTGACCACATGTTGACAGTTAGGGCATGTCGTGATATGTGTGGGGTCGAAGTCGTGTCACGATGAGGACTATATTGTGTTCGGTCCTCAGGTTTGGCTGAAAATGCGCATGTCGACCCATGATTGCCAGGCTGTGTAGCAATCAGCGACAAAGTTAGAGACACGTATGACAAAGACAGCCTAGAGGACTCCGTCATGGAGAAGCTCGTCGTTTGGGTAGTTCGGGTACATGCGAGGCTGGAGCAGAGTTTGTGTACATGCAAGAGGCTGCTTTCTGCTAATAATCGCGTAAGTCGGCATCGAAGCAGCTTGTGATACTGAGTACAATGCGTTGGCGAATGATCGTCTAACAAGATGTGTGTGAAGTTGGAAGTACCTCCCCACCCACTCTGACTGTCAAGGCGTGTACACTCCGTACAGATGTTAGAGGTCGTTCAAGGTTGGCCGTCGCTGGCGTGACGATGATTTGTGTAACCGGCGGGCTCCGTCCATTGAACGAGACGTGCAGCAACGTGGAAAGCCGCATCAACGCGCAGGCCATCAGAAACCTCGCGTGTCGCGGGAGTCGCTTTCGCCGCTAGACCTGACTCGCAATCCTGGTGAGGATAGAAAAGCAAACACCCACCGTTCAAAGGGGGTCGCAAAGACGGCCGCGGCACAGACCGCTTGTCCACAAGGCTGGCATCGGATGCAGAACCGATAACACGGCACATGCCCATGAGAGATGGCTTACCGTGGCACTGTGACACGGGAAACAGCCACAAAGTTTATGGGGCACGGTGTTCTCCTTACATTGAGCCGTCACGGCCTGCAAGCAACAATCCTCACCCAAGGAGCTGTGTCGGTTCTGCCACTTGACCGCTATCATGGGCTCCTAAATGACCGACTTTTAGCGGGACTTCCCTTTGTGAGACGACGTGTGAGCTTCAGCCGGGACTTCGTTAAGCAGGCGGTCAAAGCGGCCTTGTGGCTTGCAACAATTTCTGGGGTACGGATGGAGATCGGGTGGTTTCTGCGCGCCGGCTCCTGAGAAAACAAAGACGATGCAGACTTAATTCATTGGTGTATTGACTGGCGTGTGTCAATACATGTCGCCGCGTGGAAGATGAAAGAATGTCGCAGGTCGGCCAGGGCTGCGAAACGAGTCTTTACGCATCCGGTGAGCAGCAATAGCGCTAAGAAAGCTTCCAATGTCGGCTCAACCTAGGTAGGGGTGCTTGAGTGGCTGGTTCGACTTCATCCTATCGTGAAAGAGAGCCCAGCTGTTAGCCCGGAGAGTGGAACAATGAGTTGATGATTTGGCAACCATGCAAACGTCCAGCATATGGTAGCACTATGTGCAATGCACGCGAAGTCCGGTCGCAGTATATTGAGCTGTCAATGCCAAGTCGCCACAGCGACTGCATGAGATATAGCTCGGTATCATCGGAACAGCTAACATGGGCAAGTTTTGATAATTCGCGGAGTTGGAGAATGTCATGCAAAGGGATGGAGCCTGAGGGATTTCTTTGACGCGGGTGCTGGAGTAGCTGCAGACGGGTGTCGTGATGATTGCCACACCGACGAGCGCAGGCTTGGCACAAATGATTCTTGCCTTTGCAACGCCCGCGGACGCCAGGGTCAGCCATCGGCAGTGCATGGAAAACCATGCAGTAAGTGATTCGCGCTGCTCACGACATTCGGTCATCGCTTATCATGTCTCATCAGATGACCGAATCATTGGCGGCCGCAAAAACAAAACCTCTTTGCAACGGTGCCCTTTTCCATTTGCGTGATCGAGAGATCCTGGTGAAGCCTTCATGCAGATGACTGTGTCTTGTTCGACTAGGGCGCAACTTTTGTTATGCCTCTTGGAAGTAAGGTTAGCCGACGCGGGAAGGCAGAAGCTGGAGGGCCATATGTTGACAGGGAAATCAGCCCATCAACGGCCAGCTGACCGGCATTCAAGCGAAGAAAGTTTCGTAGTAACACCCCTGTATGGCTGAGACATGTCGACAGCTGCCTGCAAGTGATTTGACGATATGCCTCCGACACGGCAGCACTTTCTCGTAGACCTCGTACTGGGCTGCATCGAGCTGGTAAGATTTACACATTAAACAATGTTGAAGGGAGGCAGCCTGGCATAGCCTCAGATCAGTGCTAGACTCCCACTCACGTGGCCTTCGAGACCGTTCTAGCGAGCATCTCAACGCTTCAACAAGATCGACATCAACTATGACAGAAAGCGTCGAATCCCAACATAGGAGCCTCGATCGTGCGTCTTGTCATCAAATCGAAGCACCCTGCATCCGCTATCCGTTGACCTCCGTGCGCTTGTGCCCTGCCCGTCTTAATTTTACAAACACCCGTCCTTGGCCGTCTGCAGACTAGCTCATATCGCAGGGCGCAAGCCGGCTCAATAGTCCCCGTCAAGCCAGACTACTGCACACTACACTCACAGCACGCAGACGACGTGCATGTGTTGGGCCTGGTGGAACCTGTGATTTGCTGACGACCTGAACTGACTGCGTCCATCATCATAAATTGCTGCAGGCAGTGCATGTGGAGGTGCCCAGCCGCGGCGGCTTGGTGGGTCTTGGGTCTCCCTTGGTTGGTTGCTGACTTTGATCTTGCGCAAATGCTGGTATGTTTTGGGACACCCGCACGGGGTTGGCAGGGTATATGGCAGGAGTTGCGCAGCTTTAACGGGTCGTCGTGTCACCTTGCGTAGCCAGGGTCGGTTAGTCGGGCACACCTGCGCATCTTCAGGAGGTCAATGGTGAGATTGAAGGCCAACGAGAGTGTTATGGACCAGAGAAGCATAGAGAATGGGCGAGTTTAGATGTTGTTTGCGGGACGCTCTGCAACCACCGTTGCAATGCCCTTGTGTATCTTTTGATTGATTCTGACCATCGAAAGTGCTGTCCTTTACGATCTCAACTACGTTACAGTTTGAGCTTTGCTCTGGTATCTCTTGAATGAATAATGAAAGCCCATCGAAGGCAACGAACGGCAGTGTTCGATACCACTTCAACTCCGTGCCCAAACGCAATAACCCAACCCCCCAATCGTGAATGGAATATGGACATGCAACCAGACCCATATGCCATCAAGGCATCGATCTGCACAAGTTAAATACAGTATACCAGCGGGATATGGCTGGCTAAGTCTAGGTCCAGGAGAGTTTGGTGTCCTGGCTGATCTATTTTGTAACGCCAAAAGAATAAAACCACACCAACACCTTACAAAACTCGACACCGATATCATGTCGTCGTGACTTTTGACTCAAGGAAAATATAAACACAGCGTGGAGAAGCGTATTTGAAAAGAGAAGCGCCGTATCGTCGTGAAGGCAGAACTTAGTAGACGTGGACAGGCTGAGCCATCATCGAGGGCTGAAATGACACATGCTTGACAATGTTGGCGGCCTGGATGAAAGGCTGGAACCAAGTATTGCCTGCAGGCTGAGGTGAAACGTATGTTGGCTGAGGAACCCGAGAAGAAAATTTGTGAACTGGGGCCGGCGAAATATTTCGGTAAGAAGATGTAGACGAGGCTGAAGAGGCTGAAGAGCAGGAAGAGAACACAGAATCATTGTCTGAGTCTGAGCTGCCTGAAGATGTGGAGTGTTGAAATGGCGCAGGCGAGTAGGCTGGGCCGGGAAGAGGAGCAACAGACGGGATGGATGGAACCTGGTAACATCCGTTGAAGATCTGTTCCTGCGCATAATCCACCGGGCTGAATGGAGGAGAAGGAAGTGGTGATGAGACCGCTGACCTTGACGGTGAGAAGGAGGGGCAGCGAAGGATCATCTCACGAATCTCGGGGATGGTCGCTCTTTTCGCTGGGTTGAATTCAAACATCCTTTGGAGAAGCGCATCCAACTCGAGTGAGATAGGCAGAATGGAGCGCAGGAACTTAGGGTCCTTCATGAATGCACGGAAAGTGCTGTCCTCGAAAGAAGCACGCTTCCAGGGGTTGCGCCCACAAGTCAAGTTGACGAGCATGACACCAAGACTCCACACGTCATTGGGCGCCGAGGCATAACATGAGTAGGCCTTGGGTGCTGAAGTTTGACATTCTATCCCAAATTAGCACGTGACTCATCTTGAGTCAAGAGACGGGCACCTACCAGGTGACATGTAAAACGTGGAGCCGCATCCAAAATCCGAGGTGACGTGGTCAGTGGTGGCAAGTCCAAAATCAGCGAGTTTGCATGTCATGCCCTGGTCAGTGACCAAGACATTTTCCGGCTTTAGGTCCCTGTGGTAGATTCCGATGGAATGGCAGTACTCCACGGCATCCAAAATCTGAAGGAAAGCTCGCTTGATCAGGTCATCGTTGCCAACATACTTGCCCTGCTCTGTGATGTTCGAGAACAAGTCACCTTCTGGGCAGTATTCCATGACAACATAAGTGCAGTCCGGGGCATCCATAATCTTGACCAGTGAGACTACATTGGGGTGAGCACCGGCCTGGTGATGAAGCTGGATTTCCCGTTGCTGAAATTTCCGCTGGCGAGGCTCAAGCCCTACTTTATTGAGTGCCTTCACAGCATATGGAATGTTTGTTTGAATGTCAACCGCTGTGTAGACAACACCGTATGCTCCTACTCCAAGGATTCCAGTAAGTTGTAATCTTCCAGCAAGGACTTGTCCTAGTCGGTCTTCCGGCGTACAGAATCCATTGTGAGTAGGAGATGCTGGTGGCGTCGGGTACATGCTGAGATGGGAGGAAGAAGAAGAAGAAAGTCCTCGTAGGTCCAATGAAGGCCTCAAGGACAATGTTAGAGTACCTGGAAGAAACAAGAAGATAATTCCAAGTGGAGAGTGTCGAAAGTCCTGAATGGAAGTTCAGATTTGAGGAGCGTATTATAGCAATGATGTTGCCTTGGCACCGGTATCAGGATTGGTCAGGTGACCGGCTCTGAGTCAAAGATGTACAGTGGGTACAAAGGATGACGAGGCTTGGACGTGGACAAGGTCGATAGAGAACGATGGGTACGACTTCAGCGAAGGAGTGTGGGAAGAAGGTAGAGGTATTTGGAGGTGATGATGATGATGATGGTGAGGCGGGATTGCTGGTATGATGTATGTCGGTCGATGAACACGGCTGGGTACCAGTGATAAAAGAGAGGCGGCTTCAAAGGGAACCCTGCCAGGTATTGGCTCAAATAAGGAGCCAGGATCCACACCATCTGTAAATACCGACTAGGGTGGTGCATGCCAGCGGCGCTCACGGAAGACACTAGACAGCTTCCAGGAAGCGGCGACTGTGAGGGATGCAAGAGCCACCGGGCCTTTGCCTAGTTCATCCTAGCACATTTTCACAAAGGAGCGATACCCATGTCATGGTCCACACACCCACACGAATCCGCCAACGAATCAGTGGCCTGTCATCGGTGGCACGACAAGGGCACAAAGACCAGAACTCAACCACAGGACGCGGGGCGTTGCCTGCAACCTCCTACGCAAGCCGTAGTGCAGCAAGCCATGCGCGAGAAGAGCGAGACCTGAGCCTTCGGCCCACTTCGCTCCACAAGCGCTCGTCGTCGCACACGAGAAGGCTTAGTCGGATTGAAATTCGCCCCCCCAGTCACCGGCGCAATGAAGGCGGCCGCACCTCGCCCTAAACAGAAGGCTGAGGTGCGGTCATGCCGGCTAGCTCCCTCTGGCTGACGACGTCTCCGAAGTGCACTGGGCGGGGTGCACGGGCTGGGTTCGACGAAAAAGCAGGGCGGCAGAGGACGATCTCGTAACGCCTGCGAGTCTGACTCCGAAGCGGCCGGCAGGGCTTGTCTGCTGTCTGCCTGAACCTGGGTAGCTTTGGTGGCTCAGATTCAGTTTCGGGTGGGTTTCGTATTTTGCGGCGGTTCAAAGTCGAAAGCATGTTGCCTTCCCAATAATGAGTCGTCCAATATTACCGCGTCTTCGACCTGCTGAGGTTGGGCGAGCTGGTGCTGCCAACCTCCAACGCAAAGCGCCAAAAGTACGTTGGCGAACACCCCGTGGAAGTGAAGCTGGACCCCGGGTGGCTTGGGTCAATATCTATTGGCTACTTTTAACCTCGACCACTGCCTCTGAGTAATGCACAGCTTGACTTTCATTGGATGCTTGTGAAAATTTTCGAGAAAAATGTATCTCGTGATTCGCCAATCATGTATTAGGCCGGCCACCCAACTGTCGGCGCAATGTCGCAAGCCCAACCACACCTAAAGTGTGACCGTGTGAGTTGGCGTTTTGCGCATCCCTTGACAGACTGATCATCGTCTGCTGTATGCTGACTGTCTGGACCTTGCGGCATGATCTCGAAAGTCTCCTGGCTATCCCATGGTGCCTAGATGAAGCAGTCTACTGGCCCGTATTTTCGTTAACGGCAAGCGACATGCAGCATCTAGTGCGTGTTTGTCGTCATCCGTGCAGACCAAGCTCTGCGCGTGTCCCACAGCCTAAAATTGAAGAGCGGGAGTTGAGCCATGACCCAACGATCGCCTAAAAGAAATTGCCAACGGCACACTGGCCCCTGCGAGCGGTTCGTTAGGTCTCAAGATGAGAACCGCTTCCAGGGGCGTGGAAATGTGTGGTTTGGATGGGCAATTGAGCCGCTTCGAGTGGTATTTGCTCCATAGATGGCGCTTCCTTAGGCTGACCGCGCGTAAGTAGTTGCCAATAGGCTCTGCTATTCGCGCAGCATCACGCCTCATACCAAATCGACTGCAGCCGGTCTTGGGAGATATTGGTATCCATCGCTGTGGACTTGATGCATGTCTGTAATAGCTCGAGCAGTCAGTGGAGACGCTGTCGAATCTCACATCTTCACCGCCAACTGGCCTCAGGATCGCCCAGACGACACTAGCCCTGGAAAGGACTAGCGCAATATTTTCAAAATGGGCTCGTTGGCTGGCTTCCACGGAGGCCAGCGGCCCTCCAACATTAGGTCATCTGTTATTGTGTGGCATCGAAAGACTCAAGAGATCTACAGCATGACAAGAAAGATCTGGAAACCCTCGTGCTTCAAAATTGACTCCGGCCTGTGGGCTCCAGACATGAGAAAGTGCAGCAACGTGGCGCTCTTCGGTTCGCCAGCAACATGAGACGATCGCCCAATGACGTAAAAGATCACCTCGAGGCATTCACTGTGAGCTGCGTCTGATCAATTCCAGACTCTAATAGTCCACCCAGCAGTCTACCAATCACATCCCATGGCCGCATGTCAGCCTCTCTCGTGTTGCGCTGTTGCAACGGGTGTGGCAACCCTTACGTTCTCCCGCCAACTGCCATGCAGCTCACGAAGTCACACAGCAAGTGCAGCCGCTCTGTGACGCCACTGCTCGAAGCCAATCCTTCTCCCTTCAAATGATTGGTTAGAAGCGGTGGCCCCAAAAATGCCCAAGTCGGTCCGAACAATCTAAAACAGATACCACGAACAACAACGTTTCGCGGACGTTTGCTAACGCGAGCATCATACCAAACCCACCAACTCTATGGTCATCTCATTCATGCCTTGGACTGAGACCCGCCTTTTCGGGTCATTGCCCGTTGTGAGAAATGGAAGATTTCTTGGGCCGCCCTAGGTGGTTCCTCCCCTCAACACGCGTCCACCTGGACCCTTATTTTGGTTGCGGTAGGTACGGTAGATAGCTTCATGCTTGACAACGGAATGATGCAAGGACCCTGCGTTTTATCATGATGTGCTGAAGCTTCGAGCTGCAATCCTGTCATGTTGCAGTGTGGGCATCATTGTGTTGGTTGGGCATAGATCGACCGAAGTTGTACTGTCACATCATACAGTAGACTACCAAAGATCAACAACGCTGGATAGGAAAGAAAACAGCACCTGCGTGCAGTCACATTAGCGATCAGAAGAATTTCCGACATTAAGCAAAGAGTCTATCGGTGCAACTTGAAGTCCGAACGCCATAATCTTTCCACGAGCAAATTTAAATTTCGAACTATCTCAACCTTGTCTGGGACCCGACCATGTGCAACCTTTTGTGTAGTTTCAGATCGCCGATATTGGTGCCTGTTCGGCCGAGTAGAGTTATGCTAGCCCTCCCGTCTATTGTCTTCGGCTTTTGAGTTATCTGGGAGATATGCAGTGAGCGAAATGCTCCTATTCCGACATTGACTGGACTGTTCCACGCTAGATAGAGTGATACCAGGAGCTATGCACGGCTCTGTCGATATGCACCTGGGCAGCCATGTGTTGTCCATCTGGCTTAGGTGTCTGGGTCTCTTGTTCTCGAGATGGCATGTGACATTGGGTGCTTCGCGAAATGATTACACTGGCGGATAATACTTCGAAAGGGCCGGTGCTTTAGCAATCTCACCAGCTACTGTTCACGTGCAGATACAGGTGCAGGCTGGTTCAAAGGTTGTTAAATGCCAACATCTCCTGGAACGCCTGCTCCGAGTGGTGTATTTTTGTAAGTTCATGCAAGACGCATGTGTTTACACAAAAGCGTACAACTATCTTCGGCTATCTCCAAAGTTGCGGAAGCCAAACCTCACGCGCCTACGGCCGGCGGCTGGCTGTACACACATGGCCACGGGCCCATAGCTAACCGCCGCTCAGGCGCTCCCGGTCATCATCAACGAGTTCGAAACAAACTCAGTTTGGAACAAGCTTGACGCCGGTGAAGCGGCGCAGAAACTCCGGATCTTATCAGCTGACGAAGGAATGCAGGCTCAACCACCATCATGGATGTCGCTAGCCAGGCAAAGGAATGACATTACGCCGCCAACAGAGTATGCTTCCCGCTCGCATGATAGAGCAAGTCCGTTGTCCGGTCTCCGATATTGGACTTGGGCGTACTGTGGATGCAAGTCAGCACGACGCGTCTTGTGGGGTGGCCTAAGAAAAGGTCATCGTGGCGAGTTCGATGTCGTCAAGGCGGTTGCATTGCTTCCCGCCTCATCATCATAACCCGGTCCGACGAATGGGAACGGTAGCTGACCGAGCAACAGTGGAGTGTAAACGCTCGTGGCAGTGCAATTGCGGCGAAGCTCAGGAACACGATGCGTACCCTGGTACGCTTTCTTTAGGCGAAACATCAACTCTCCAACAACATGGTCGCATAGAACAGCAGCCACCACGTTGGGACGAACGGGCGCATACGACCTTGTCATGCACTGATCGTAACCGCTCGTGACAGCTGCACAATTGAGGCACGCTCAAGATTTTACCCACAACGGTATGCACGCTGTATGCGGGGACCAAACTTCACACGAAGCCGTGCGCTAAGAATACTCTGAATACATTGATACGGTCTCGTGGTCCGCTTCACGCATCGGATGTTTCGTAACGCTGGTGGCTCATGTAAGAGTGCGGCGAGCTTCTTCGTCATCAGTGGCGCATCGCATATGCGAAACATACATCCACCAACACCAACGCCTGGGGTGAAGGATCGTGAGACCCAGAACGACAGAAGGGCACGTTTTTCTTAGTTTATGACCAAATATGTCTAGACGCCTATAGGAGCGGCAAGGCCACCGATGTTTGACGGCTGATCATGCCCTTCCTTTTTATCGCCCTGCCCACTGGCCTCATAACAGCCAATGCAAAAGCGCCGTGGATCTGATGCGCGCATGGTGGATAAGTACTGGCTGTGCCATCCGCGTTGGAAACTTTTCGATGCTATTTGAGGCTGGTGTCGTAAAATTGCAGACCTGGTCCGCCTAAATCTGACCTACAGTTATCTTTTTGGTCATTCATCACATGCTACGCACGATCTGGAAGTGCTTACTTGGCCGTTCATCAGCTAGATTGTTTCTCGATTGTGTTATCAGTGTTAGGGTCGGTATGACCTAGGGCAATGGACACTGAACGCAATTCAGGAGCGGAATACAGTAGCCTCCCCTTTGATCGTTTTGTCGTGGTTGGTGCGAGAATAGCCTTTTCCTCGCGCCAGATCGCTAAGACTGAACTCTAGAGTAGGATCAGTGGGACTGCTCCGAGCCCTCGGAACAACGTCAAGACCGATGGAACGCGCCTGCCAAAAAGTGGCTGGCAATGACTCGCCTTGAACGACATGTACGTTTCTTTTGTTATTGTAGTTCGGCGGCCGCAACATCATGTCTGATCGTTCGAGGAAGAGATGGTGACTTGAAGTCTACTCACAGCCATACTGGATCGTCCACCGTCCATTCTGACTCGCCAACTCCGGGGGCACATTTTCTGGCGACGTAAGAACAGATAGCTCGAGTGCTCGCTCCACATCAGACTATCAAGGAGCGCAATATGTATCAGTATGTACTCAGTTACGCCAGTCGCAGGCCACATGGACCCGCACCTACTGTACAGCCAGCCTCCAAGATGCGTAGGAAAGCATCATTGCAAGTGGCTTTAAGACAACAGGAAACCCAGGTGAGCGTTGTCTCGTGCTCGACAACGAAAACCTACACGGCGACTGTGACGAAGACTGTACCAAAGTCTTCTGGCGTCTGCTATTGCTTCCGGACATTCGAGACTATGACGACGATCTGGGCCCGGAAATGATTTTCTAGAGCTGCGAGGAACAAAACGAAGAAGCGTACGAAGCTCTTCATAAAACGGGACGTCTGGGGGACGAAATGATCCACCTGATCGATGAGCAGACCTTGCGAGAAAAGTTGATCAAGCTCATCTTTCTTGATATTCATGGCAAGTCAATTTGGTACAATTTGAATGCATGCGAAGACACCATTTGGAATGAAACGTATTACTGTGCATGCGGAAAGTTAACCTGGATGGAACATTTTTGTGTTGATTACGAGTCTCTTTTGGCACCTGGTGCACAGCTTCAGGGGAAAAATCAGGAAACTGTTTCGGCGTCGATGTTGTAGTTTGGAAATCAAAATATTATCGTATCGTTTGTGAGGGCGATACATTATCCAAGTTACACTCCTCTTTCCATCTTCCCTAGCGATCTCATTAAATGTCTGTTGGTCAGAAATCTATTTGTATGGCTGGAAACAGCTAGTTGGAAAACGCTTGTGGTTTTAAGAGGAGTGCAGTCAAATTCGAGTCATGGTATCTTTAAGAAGATTACTCGTAACTTCGTGTAGGACTGCGTTTCGCGCCCATGAATGGCGTAGTAACATACAGTATGGCATATCTTGGGCCAGTTTTCGGACTATCACTGCGCGAAGGTTTCCAAAGTTAGAATTGTCGTATTTCTCGGCGCCGACACTCTAATTTGAACTGCGCTTGTTCTATTAATAGAATGCATTAATTTAAGCGTCGCCTGTGTAATACGATCACAATGTCTACTTATAAACTTAAGGGAAACAGATTTCTCTTGTGAGGACGTTGCTGCAGCTTGTTGTCCAATTCTCGCCGCGAACCCAGGCATGGATAGACAAACGCTGCAGCTTGCAAGATATATATGGAGGAAGCCTTGTATGAGAGCTTGCAACACTCACTCTGCTATCACATTCTGTCGTAACTTGTAACTTGCAGTGTGGACAAAGAAGGCCATGCGTTTGCGGATGTTCGCGGACTACAATATGGACTACGATACATATAAAACCAAGTACATCGTATATTACGCGGCCTGTCGGCTGAAAGCTGCTCTGTAGAGTTACCTAATCTGGCAGCTCTGCTCCGAATGAACCGCAATAACACCGCCTGGTCGCTTGCACCTTCTCAAAACTGCTAGTTGTAGCAAAAGGAGTACGATTGAAATAAGTAGGTGCTTTGTCTTGCTTAATATCTGAGGAGGTATAAGAGAAGCTTTGCTCGCAATCATTACCATCGTACACTGTCCAGCACCACCTTCTCCACCTCATTCAATTTGCTATATCGTATCCATAATGCGCTTCGTCGTTTTCGCTGCCAGCCTGCCCGGTGCATTTGCTCTCTGGAACCAGGAGCTTTGTAAAGGCGCCGGTGCATGCATAGACATAGGTGTCTTGGTCTCATATCCCTTTCGCTGTCCCGATGGTAGCGCAATCACGAGACCTTCCTTCGGGACGGATTTGCAAAAAGCTGCTCTGGCCGGAGCTACTCGAATTACCAAAGAAGAGTTTCCAAAGACGTGTTACGCGGGCAAAGTTCCCAGCGCGAATGCCATATTTGTTGTATGTTCGAATCATTCCGCTCTGGTTGGGATCTGTTATTAACGAAAGACAGCGCACCACGACGCGCAACGGTCAAACTGCCTATACCTTCATCGAAGAGGGTTGTACCGACCCGAACCCAAAGTTCCCTAAGGATTGCTACCATTACACAACCAACGCATCTACGTAAGAACTTTTCATGAACTTTGCCAATCGCATTGGATCTCTAACTAATGATTCTTAGATACACATTCTGCCAGCTAGTCGATGCGAAAGGTGGACAGTGTACCGAGAACCTACAAGCCGGTAGGTGTGAGCGTTGGGGTGATACAGCTGGCCGGACCGAGTGCAAAGATTGGAAGATTGGCCAGCCTGATTTTCCCGATGATGAGTAGAAGTTAAAGCGATCAAATATGTGGTGGAAGACTTGACAGTCTATCTGCATTCTTGAGGCTCCACTTTTTCCATGTGTAGTCTGCTGCATGCATTATATTGACATAGACCTGCTGTTTCTTTCACATACGGGCCATAGGATACTGGATGCTAGCTCTCTTGTCTGCTCAGCCATCTTTCATGATGCTAGTTTCCAAAAATGGCAATCGGTTCTTGGCAAATCGGTTTCTCGCAACAGGAATTTAACAAAACATTCACGTGTTTCAGCAACGAGCGGCCCAGTAAAACCTACCTAAACGCATACACAGCAACGTAGCGCAAATTATCACGATTTGAAGCAGCTTATGGTGATATACAGTATCATTTAGGCTCTTTACTATCTTCTCTATCTTCTATTCCTACCTTGCAGGTGCAGGAATTATGCCCAATCTCATTACAACGCTCGCAGCGTCGTTCTCTGCGCACCCTCTTTGCAGACGCCTCGCCTTGCTCTCACCTACCACCCTCCCTTTCAGCAATTAAGTCGCTTTTCTCACTAGCTGTAAGAGTTTCCTTTGTCTGTACATAGCGTCGCTTACGGCTCTGGCGCTTTGTTGAAGCTTTGACAGCGTCTCAAAGGCGGCTCTTTTCTTCCTGCATCAACACCATATTATGAGCGATCTGCGGAGCGCCCTTACTTAATTGCTTAACCTGCTCATCAAGTGAGCTTGCTAGAGACCCTTGATAGATTTGCATGCGATTTTGAATCAGCGTTGGTTGCGCCTCTGGCTCGCGGGCGTTGCGCGGTCTCTGCGCCTCCTAAGCAGCGTTGTCTAGTTGCGGTGGAGTGTTACAGTCAGAAATGGAAGCAAGGTGGACCGGGCGTATCTGTTCGCAGACCCTTAAATTCTCTACATTCTGAATACCTGCATCTATCTGCCGTTACCAAAACATCAAGTCTTCTCAAAATGCCGCCTAGTCCGAAGCTTAACGAGGGCCGCACTTTCCGTCGTCGATATGTGGGTGCATTCCTTATCTTGCTGGCTTCCATTCTGATTGGTATGTCTCCCTCTTTGATTGCTCACGGTCCACAGCTCTTACTCACCCCATTGCAGGTTTGATCGCGAGCACCGACGGCTCTGCACCATCCGTCGAAGCTTACTATAGCTCACTCGAATCACGAATCGGATACTGGCTCGTCCTCGGTAATGCAAGGCATTGCGGATTGTATGCGAAAGGACAGCTGTCACCCTTTCCCATATCCAAAGCTCAGCGAGCTATGGAAGATAAACTATAAACAAGGCTGGGACTAAAGCCAGGTGACCGAGTCCTCGATGCTGGTGCCGGCTCGGGATACGTCGCTATGACCATGGCGAGACACGGCCTCAATGTGCAGGCTATCGACATCACGCCGCACCACGTCGCTAATGCAAAGAAGAATGTTAGGGGATACGGCCTACAGGACAGAATCAAAGTCGACTATGCCAACTACCATAACCTGAGCCAGTTTCCTGATGCATCATTTGACGGCATTTACACTATGGAGACCTTTGTTCACGCGGACGACCCAATCAAGGTTCTCAACAACTTTAAGCGACTCCTTAAGCCAGGCGGTGTCGTGGTTCTACACGAAGCTGATTTCAGTCGTGATTCGGACAAACTGCAAGACGTGCTGCGACTTTCTCCAAAACACACTTCCAAAGGGTGGCTACGAAGAGCTCATGAAAGTGGCAGGGTTCAAAGACTTTTCCCTCGAAGACCTGACTGATGAGGTGCTGCCTATGTGGAGACTCTTTGGTGTCTTAGGCTACGTGCCTTACCAGATCTTCAAACTGGTTGGGATACAAGACCGGTTCATCAACGTCATGGCTGGCGTGGAAGCGTGGTTAAATTGGGGGGACGGACGTTATATCTCAATTAGAGCCGTGAAACCTTGACGCGCTGTACTGGTACCTAGGCACTTGACTCATCCGTGTCTTGAAATGAGGAATTTGCAGCAGTGAGCATAGGCTGATGCTACAAGATCACTGTTTGACTTGATCGATATATACATCCTTTTACTGTCTCTAGTTTTAAATGTAAATTGCCTGTCTGAGTACATCTCGAGATTTGTCTGGCACTCAACGAAATACGAGATTTCTGGTCAATTGATGAATGAACAGATTGTTCTTGCGGATCTTGGTAACAAGGTCGCTTTGTGCCACTACCTCTATACTGCTTACGATAAGTGAACAGGAAGGCGACGTATTTCCTGATCGCTTCGGGATCTCAAGGACGCTTACGTGCCACTTTTTCCCGCGTGCAGTCTGCAGGCTGTAGCATGCATCATATTGATATGAATCCACTGCTTCTTTCACATATAACCCGGATACTGAATGCAAGTTCTCCTGTCAGATCAATCAGATGTCGAGGTACCGTCTACAATTTGTTTACGCATAAAATCATGTAGTGGTTCCTTTTTCTCTCTTGAACCACTACCTGTACCCTGAACTGGCTACAGGAAGTAACTAATGTTGTTACTCTCGGGATGCGGAGGCATTTCAACGGAAGGAGTAACTGTTTTCAGGTAGCATATTACCGTAAGCGGGCATACTCCAGCTATCTTTGCTTTAACGTAGTAACATCTCCTTACGAATACTCCTCTTCATCAAAGTCACCGAAAATCCAGTGTTCGCGTAGCTCTTGTCGTTCCTGCTCGGACTCGGCTGCTTCGAGTGCATCAGCCTTGAGCTGATTTTCTTTTTGCTTTATCTCGTCATACTGCTCCACCGGCACCCACCCTTCGGGCCCAATACCGACAACATCCCTGCAAGCTTGGAGTTGTTCGTCTGCCTCAATCTGCGCAGCATTGAGGCGCAGGCACTCGCTCACCTCCTCTTCAGAGAAAGCGATAGGGCATAGGGTCTTTGCAGTGTCGTTTGTGCTCGATTCAGAAGTAACTACATCAGCCCAGTTCTTCGTCAAACAAATCAAGTTGGCTTTGAGCGTCACGTTATCTCCTTCCCAAGGAGAACTTGCGTGGTCGAAAAGCTTGCGTCTTAGCGTGCTGAACTTGTACGTTAGGGCGTGGTAGTGCACTGGATTCAATCTTTCGGTGGCTGTGACATAGAAGTAGTGCAATTGACGCCGACGTAGGAGCAAAACTTCCTGGAACTGTTCGCTATCGCTTAGCTCATCGAAATTGGGTGGCACCTCAGGGGGGGTGAGCGATTCCGAGACACTGTCGCCGTAATTCTGGAAGCTGTTTGGTATTCCGCATTGCAGAAAGAGCGGGAGTATTGCGCAGTGTTGCCAGTCGATGAGGCCAGTTATACCGAGATCCTTAGAGATGAAAATGTTGTTGGGCTGGAGATCGGGATGTCTTAGCGTAGGGCGGGTCAAGACACCGTTGCTATCTGATATAAGATATGGCACGGTTCGCAGGTATTTGTCCAGATTGTCTAGGTGCTCAGATGGCGATTGCTTTTGGTAGCCGTATATTTCTCGGCGCAGACGTTGAAAAGGGTGGAGCGGACGACCGAATTTTGTCAAACATGCAATCTCCTTCTTGGCCCCAGCTTCAAGAGTGGCTGCTGCATCTGCGGCTTTTGAAAATTAGCGAGGGCTAGGAGTAGAGGACAAAGTGAGAACGTGTAGATGTAAACGTTTGATCGGAGTATTGAAGAATAGAGCTGCTGCGTACATGGTCCACGATCGGTCTGGATATGAAGCCTTTTACCATGCCACAAGTGAAGTCTTGTGTCAGGACCAATGCAAAAGCGAGCATCGCATGGAGATTCCGGCGTCGGAATGTCGACCTTGTTGAACCCAGCTGGCAAATCCTTGGTGTAGTACAGACTACCACTTGCTGGAAATTCAAGAGAGAAGAGCCGAGACTCCAACTCCACGAGGTTAGTGACGACAGTGATTCTAGCCTTTTCAGAAAGGTCAAACCAGATGTCTCCCAAGTGTGTTCCGCAAACTCGCTCCATGAAGAGGTATTCGGTGCCAGCAGCGTTATCTGACGTAGAAGAGTAACTGTAAATCTTGGGTACTCGTATATCGTGCGAGCGGAGGAACTCCATCGTCGCAACCTCGCTGGCCACGACCAGGTGCTTTGGCTCGGTGACGGGATAAGGGATACGCCCTACAAACTGAAAGCCGTCATACATAGTAATCAGGAATGTCCTGTTGAACCCGCCTTCGGCAAGTTTTACAAAAGAAGCTATATCTTCTACTTTCCGATCAACGGCGGCGGCGGCGAAGCGCTTGAGTTCTGTCACGTTGAAAACACGTCTTCTCTCAGCATGCTTCAGGGAGTCATTCCAGCTTAATTCTACAGTCAGTATGAGAGCAAGTTTAGTAAGAGGTGGTAAACAGACACCCATCGCCCCGATGTGTACTCGAATAGCTCAGAAGGTTCCTCTATTGAGCAGCCGACCAGGGAACGATTCCATTGTGCAAAGGGTCTGCGAGCTTTAATAGGGTTAATCTTTCGTGGCAAGATTTGTGGGCGAAAGCAAAGAGCCAGCAGGGTGTTTGGGTTTCGAGAAAATGACATAACGTGATTGTCTAGAGGGAGGTGGTACGGAAGCAGTCACGAGACTCCCCGCGAAAAGCTTAGCGAGCGGGTATGCTAGGATCATCTCGGTTAGATAGAAGCAGCAGCTTTTATCGTCTATGAAGATTCATATTCGTAGAGACTGACAAGCTCGGTATTGAGGGTACCTATGGTAGATGTCGTGTCAGACGAGTGCTTGTAAACTGAAGGGTAGATTGTGCCTCAAATAGTGTACATGCTGTATATAACGTCAGTATTATCTTTGTTCCCGTAGAGAGGTTACCCAACTCGTGCCGGTGGGATTAAATTAGAAAGAACTATGATCGTCATAAAACGCCAGGAGATGGAAGTTGAGAGCACTGCCGAAGAGCCATGTTCCTCGAATGCTCTACCAGACAGTAGACCCGGAAAGTCGCATATGAAGAACGCTCTTGATCTGCGTCATGACGTCCGAAACATAGCAGGTTGTCATTCGAAAGCAGGACTTGCATTCACAACACTAGTCGGAGACCATATTATTATCATAGCAAAGGCCGACCATTGAACCCCAACTATAATAGTTCGCTTACTCTGCCTGTGTCGTAGTCGACTCCGCATTGTCAGTAAAATCTTTCCAATAATCCTCCCTTGGTCGGAAACGCAACTCAGGGCCTGAATGATCCGAACCTTGCTGATCCTTCATCTCAAACACCTTACTCTGTTCTCCAATGTCCTCTGACATCTCAATGTCAAGATACCACAGCGTTTTGGCGACCGTCACACAACTCTCGAGATATGCGAGTGGTTTCCCTGCGCAGCTACGATATCCGATAGAGAAAGGGGAGAATGCTGCTCTCATCTCTTCCAACTATGTCTGTTCATGCATATCACCTTCTTCAAGGGAGCGCTCTGGTGTAAAGGTCCAGGGATCTGGAAAGTACTTTTCGTTGTGATGAATGATATACACATTCACCCCTATACGCGTTCCCCCGGGAACGGCATGACCGTCAATGACAACGGGACCCTTTCCATCACGAGGGATCTCGCGCCACAGCGTGCTACCCGCGGGTGGACTGATGCGCAGAGTCTCGTCGATACTTGCGCGTAGATACTTGCAGGCTATCAGCTTAGGTCCAGCTCCAATCTCCGAGCCGTCTGCAAATGTCGTGCGAATCTCTTCCATCAGAAGTGCATAGCAAGCTGGGTACCGCGAGAGGTAGAAGAATGTAGCTGCCATGGTTGTCGCGGTTGTGTCGCCGTCTGCTGGAATGAGGAAGGTAGCTTCGGACCACAATTTCCTCGAGCTGAGGCTCTGGCCCGTTTCCGGGTCCTTGTAGTAGCACACAGTGCTGAGGAGATCAGGGCGTGCGTGTTTCTCTTCCTGACGTCGGGCACTGACCATAGTCTTAACGAGGCGGTGGTATCGCAGTACCTGGGGCAGAAGGACAGGAAGGAATAGTTTTTCCAAGTTCAGCTTCTTGCGAAATGGCCATTGTATGTAGACGTTGATGTGCTAATTACTGGTGGATATGGCGTCTATGATCCATCGGTTGACCACATCGAACTGCAACTGCAGGTCATACCAGAATCCTAGCTCGACGGAGATATCGTAGCCAAGCAATTTGCATGCCTCAGACATGTCGACCGACCTGCATTCTTCGCTTAACTCATCTGTATTAAGCTTCTTAGGCATAAATAAGCATAAATAACGCCGAGAACGAAGCGTCCGAATAGACCTTTACGGAAAGTACCGTAGTAGCTATCGCTTATTAAGCTTAGCGCAAGGCGAGAAAAGAAATGACAGAGAGGTGCCAGACGAATAAGCTTATTTCTACTGAGTCAACGCGCTTAGGCTAAATTTGGGGCTCCTTCGTACCGCAACGTGTATACCTAGTTATTAACGGTGGGGTAGTTATCGACGCAAGGACATCAATGTTCTGCCCCTACAAACGAAGAATCTCTGCTAACGACCTCTGCACGGCATAATGCTCTAGGTAAATTCGATTTTTACATGTAAAATACAATTCTAAGGCGTTGCAGCAGGCGGTGAGCTAGCGCATTGACGACCCCTCTACCGGCAATAACTCGGTATATTGCGGTAGTAAGCACGGGGCAAACACGTATTTTTGGGCATCTGTTACGAGATAGCTCCTGCAACTATCTCGTTTAAACCGGCACGAAATTGTCATATTCTCTCTCTCTTACCCTTCAAAACTCTTAATGCAAAGAGCCAACTTTCCTGAATAGCATAGTCTGATCCGCTCCCAGGAGATGCACTTAAGGGGTGGCTAAGCGAGTCTTCGTTCGCAGGTGGGCGTAGTTTAGTATCAATAACTGTTGTTGCGGAGCATATAATCGACTCTTCACTCCCTTGAATGAGAGCTATCTCAACCCTCACAACTAGTGTTAATCCCGGGAAAAGAGCATCTGTGTGGTGATTTCTACGATCTTACAGTGGTACAGTCCAAGGATTTTTGACATGATCAATCTGGAGGAACAAATGTGCCAAAGCTTCACTCACTGCGCGTAGGCTGGTATCAGCGGGGGTACGCCGTCAATTAACGTGCAAGTCAATTCGTTCTGGGCGACCTTTTCGTTTCCGCGCTAATATCCGTGTCAGCATCACGCACTCATTTCGTAAAACGGGCTTACCTCAGTAATACCTAGGTCGACCCTTGGAAATTCGAACACGACGCATCTAGAGTCCCTCTCCGAAAACAGATCGTTAGCGCTGTCGAGCGTGGTAAGGTTCGTAGGACGGGACTGTAAGTACTTTTATAGCGGTCAAATCTTAGCTTCATATATATTATTTGCATCTCCCTTCTGTCACTGCTATCGATTCCTATACGCTCGTTTACCAATTCCGCTTGCATTTACAAGCTGTTGAAGATGTTCATTAGACTTGTAGTACCCGCTCTCCTGGCAAGCGCTGTGGCTGCAGGAAGCTTGTTTGTTGATCGTTCCTACATCGTCCAAGTTGCGCCAGGCGGGGTAAGTTCTTATTGAAGAACATTGGAAGCCTAAAACGTTTGCTGATTCCAACTCTAGAATGTTGCAGAGATACTGAGTGATTTCCCTGCGGACATCAGATTGAACTTGACCAGCGAAATCTTCAGTGGTTGCTCTATTACATTCCGCCAAGGAGTTAACGAAGCTGAAGAGCTTGCTAGACTCCTAGCTGAGGATCAGGTTGTACAAGCCTGGCGCAACAAGAGAATCGCCGGCCAGGATTCTAAAAATGTCCCGATTGCGCCTGGAGTTCCTGCGAAACTCAAATCCAGACAGACGTTCAAACGAGATCCCATGAAGGATACTTTTTCACCTCATGTCATGACTCAGGTCGATCAACTGCATGCTAAAGGGATTACTGGAAAAGGAGCGCGTATTGCTCTCCTCGACTTTGGTGTATGTACTAAATCCTGCTAACCTGGTTTGACAACACTAACTCCAATCTCAGGTTGACTACACGCACTACGCTCTTGGCGGATGCTTCGGTAAACCTGAATGCTTGTTCCCCAAAGGATACGACTTTACTGGCAACGACTACCACGGGGGTAGCAGTGATGATGATGTTCCCCATCCTGGCCCGGACCCAATGGACAGTTGCGCAGTGAGTATTCACTTATGAGTCATGTACCAATAGAACATTCGCTTACACGGGGCTGCACAGGGATATGGAACTCACGCTGCTGGTATTATTGCCGCCCAGAAGAATGAGCATGGCTTTGTTGGAGTTGCTCCTGTAGGTTTCCTCCCGTCCTTGAATCTAAGGATGTCCTTCTAACCAACAGGATGCGAAAATATACCCCTATCGTGTGTTTAGCTGCGACGGATCAACTTCAGAAGATGTCCTCGTTGCTGGCTTTTTGCGGGCTCATGCTGACGGCGCCAACATCATCTCCTGTTCAATGGCAGCACAAGCTGGTTGGAGCGAGTACACAAATGCTGTCATTCTCTCTCGCATGGCAGCAGAAGGTATCATCGTCACCTTTACTGCCGGCGATGACGGCAACTATGGCCAATTCTTTGCCGAGGACCCTGCTGGAGGCAAAGGCGTTGCTGCTATTGCTTCGTTCGACAACACTGTTCAGCCTTGGCTGGAATCTCGATCTCGATACACCGTCAACAATGGCCAAGTACAAGATTTTAGGTACGCAGTCGGCGAGCCTGCAAAGTGGGTACGCGGCAAGCTACCTCTCTGGACTCCATCATCCAACCCATCTGGAGCGAATGTCGGATGCACCCCATTCCCGGATACGACGCCTGATTTGTCCGAGAAGATTGTCATAATGCGACGTGGCGGCTGTGGTTTCGGAGATAAGCTACAAAACGCTATTGACAAGGGCGCGAAGTATGTTATGATCTACAACAACGCACCAGGCGCGTTGTCTCTCCAGGAGGGTTCATTCAATTTATCTGCTGTTGGTATGGTTGAAGCAGCTGTTGGTGAGAACTGGGTCAGGGCTCTGGCTGCGGGTAAAACTATCGCGTTGGACATGTCCGATCCTCATGACGGTCCGATCCAGGTTGTGGAGACGCCAAACACCTTGACTGGTGGTTCAGTGAGCAGTTTCTCGTCGTGGGGTCCGACCTATGAGGCCGATATGAAACCTCAGTTTGGTGCCCCCGGAGCAAACATTCTGTCGACTTTCCCTGTTGCTCTTGGTTCCTTTGCTACCATAAGTGGCAGCGGTAGGGCTTGCTATCATGCTGCTGGAATCTACGCCCTCCTCGCCGAAGCCCGTGGAACATACGACCCGGTAGTTCTTCAAAACCTTCTTGCGGCTACAGCCAAACCGGCGCGGATCAACGTCAACAATGTTTTTGGATCTTCCTTGGCCCCAGTCGCGCAGCAAGGAGCTGGTCTATTACAAGCATATGATGCTGCGTATGCAGTCACAGTTCTAAGCGCATCCGGTCTCAGTTTTAACGACACTGTCAATCTTGTCGACGAAAGTTTTACTGTTTCAAATACTGGACACAAAGCTATCACTTACGAACTGGATGTGATTAGCAGCGCTACTGCGTACACCTTTTCAACGTCTACTAGCCCCGACACGTTCCCCGGATTGAAAATCGACAATTCTTATGCTACTGTACATTTGAGTACATATAAGACCACAGTCCCCGCTGGCGGCAAACAGACTATCATTGTAAAAGTAACCCCTCCACGGATCGATGCGTCCCGTCTTCCAGTCTATGGTGGCTACATTCGTCTTAATGCTACCAATGGCGAGACAATGTCTTTGCCCTATCAGGGCATTGTAGGGGATCTGAGTTCTCACGTGGTGTTGAACAGCACCGCACTCCAGACCTTGCGCGAATCTCCGTCCGGCGACTTTGTGCCCGTTACTCCGCAGAACTCGGTATTCAAGCTATCGCATAAGGATCAGGGCTCGGACGACACACCTTCTCTCTTCTTTTACCTGAGTCTTGGATCGGCAAGGATTTATTTCGATGTCGTGTCAGTTGGAAATCAATCCCGCGTAATCGGCGAGGCCAGCGAGGCCTGGACTTACTTGGCACGTGATTACCCTTATTTTTTCAGGTGGGATGGCCGATTCAAGAATCATACAGCCGTAGCAGATGGAGACTATAAGCTCCGTGTTCGGGCAGCGCGCATTATCGGTAAGGCAGAACGTAATCTGTACGATGTTGTTGAATCGAAGGTCTTTTCAATTCGATGGAAGTAAAGGTTTAGCATCTAGCTCTACAGAGAGCATGTAATCACTTAGCTAATTTGCTTAGAGCCTTTATAGACTTTATAGCTTTACTTTTCTATGTACTAATTGTCAAAATACATTAGTATACTACTAAGATATTCTACTATATACTGTTAACTTAAGCCTGGGAGCGTGGTTATATGCGATATAGTCATCGTACAGGCCAGATAAACGCGGCAAGACGCTAAGCAAACATCCATTTCCTGCTTTAGAAGCATCTATTTCCTGGTGCGATTCCACTCTCATTAACATTCGGAAAGATGTACGACGATTCCCTCCACCTTCCGATGTAACCTGCGATTCCCATTGGCGTTTCGGGGATCATCTATGTTCCTGACTTGTGACCGGCTTTTCCCCGCATCGCGCTTGCCTCGTTGCGTGCAAGCGTTGGCCTTTGCACGCTCGACCTGAGCATTTTCAACTGGGGTCTCCACAAACACCTACATGCTTGAAGAAATATGCCCGCTAGTTTCCTATTCTCCAGGCTTTGGTAGATAGGTGGAGCCGAGTTTTCTTCAGCACGAGTATGGCTATCTCCATAATTATGGGTCTCTTACTTAGGTACTTGGGTGCCGTCATGCGTTATTTAAATATCAACAACAGATCAACTACGGACAGTCTTTTGATCAGTTGAGAAAAAGACATGATACACCCATATGTCAAATGTGTGGCGGCAGCGCTTCTGCACACAGCCGCCGCTACAACAAGCAATGTGATTCAGCTCGAAATTCCCGACTCACCACCAGCTGGTACGCAGTCGCTTTCTGGCTCGTTCCAAGGCTATTCGATGGAGATGGCATCGTTACCAAGCATGGCAGGCAATATTTCGTAGGTACATCATTCTCACAATTACACATTCATTGATGAGTAATAGGTCACCAAACGAATTGTCTCACCGTATGCTCCAAAACCTCAAAGACATTAGTGGATCAGCAGTGCCCATCCGCGTGGGAGGTACAACTGCCAATCACGGAATCTGGATACCTAACCAGAAGGAAGCCATCATCCAGAACTTTGCAGTGCCTGGTGCAGACCAACCTGCAAATGTTACGTGGGGACCGGCGTATCTTGAGTCGTTCAAGACGTTCCCAAATGGCACAAAATACACTGTTGGAGTGACGTTCGACAGTGGTGCTGTAGGAGAAAAAGCCACTATTGCCGAAGCAAAAGCTTTCTACGAGGGCATTGGCTCCGATCTCTATGCTATGGAGGTTGGAAACGAGTTTGATGGTACACGCCCTTCTACAAATATCGAATTGTAAGCTAACATCCCAATGCCAGTCTTTCCCGTCGACCGAGACAATACCACCTGGTCTATCCAAAAATACGTCCCGGAATGGCTCAACCACACCGCCGCAATCGCCACGCGCGTCCTTGGAATCTCATCCCAAAAGCTCTTCCAAGCTGGCGCCTTCGTCGCCCCCGGCACCCTCAATGACGACCTAACCTGGACCGCACAAGCCGCCATCGACCTCGGCATCGCATCCACCAACCTCGCCCGAACATTCTGCACGCACCAGTACTTCGGCGCAGCATGCGGGCCCGTCAAACCCACCATGGCCGGCGCTTTGATGAACCGTACTGCGATGTGGCCATTAATGGCCTATCACGCCAGCGCCTCCGCATACTCCGTATCCAAAAACCTGCCATATGTCATCGGAGAGACGAACTCCATCGCATGCCAGGGTCTCGCGGGCGTGTCTGATGTCTTCGGCGCTGCGGTGTGGAGCGTCGACTACGCGCTGTACGCCGCCTCACTCAACGTGTCCGCGCTGTATTGGCACATGGGCACGGGATATCGATACGCGGCATGGCAGGCTACGCAGAACGGCACGACGGCGGCTGGGCCGCGACCGCTCTACTATGGGAATTGGCTCGTTGCGAAGGCGCTGGGTGGGGGTGAGAAGAAGGTTATCAGTATTGTGAACACTACGACGTTGGCTGGGTATGCTGTATATGCCGAGGGGGAGAAGCTGAGGAGCGTTGTGCTTGTTAATCAGGAGATTTTCAATTCTTCGACGAGTGCGGCGGGGGAGAGGGGGAGTGTGACGTTTCAGTTGCCGAAGGAATTGTGTGGTAGTGATGTGAAGACTTCGGTGCAGAGGCTTACTGGGGCTGGAGCGGAGGTTCGAGAGGGCATTGAGTTTTCTGGACAGACGGTAGCGTTAGACGGCAAGATTGAGGGAAGTGAGTCGAAGGAAGTTGTACAAGATGGTTTTGTGCAAATAAAGGCGACCGAAGCTGTCCTGATCTCATTCGCCGAGTGAGGCAAGTATTAGTCGAAGAACGGCCCGAACATAGATAATGAATTGGCGAGTCTCCTCAACGAGTGAGCAGATATATTGTATTGAGTGCCAGAACACGAAACTCCGTCGAGGGCCTATCTAATTACATTCTAGTATGTATCCCTTACCAAAAACGCCCCGAACACCCCATCAAGATAGCATTTTCCATCGCACCAACCTCCCTATATCCACTCACCACCCAAATTTCTCCACCTGTACCCTTACATCCCTCCCCACCCTCACCATCCCCGCACAAATATTCCTCACATCCCTAACCAGTCCTTCCGGCCCACTCACAACCACCCCTTTACTCCCCTCATCCTCACCCACCCACCCCCTTAGCGCATCCCCCACATCCGGACGCCCAGCAATCTCTGTCGGCGGCGTAATCATCAAATCCAGTCCCCATTCCTCTAGCTCGTTCATCTTGTCCTCCGGCACCCAGAGGCGGTGAGACGGGGCGTGCGTGATCCAGAGGAGTTTGACTTTGAGCGTGGATGGGGATTCGGGGTCGGTGGGGCGCAGGAGCGCGTAGAGAAGCGGGTATGCGACTGCGATGCCGGAGCCACCGGCGATGAGGATGGCGGTGGAGGATGATTGGAGGATGTGGAGGGCGTGGAGAGAGCCGTAGGGGCCGTCGAGGCGGATGCGGGTTGTTGGGTTTGTGCGTGCGTGTTGGAGGAGTTGGTGGGTGAAGCCGGATGGGCCTTGGGCGCGGATGAGGAGTGAGAACCATGCGTGTTTCTTGCCTTCATGTGTCTCGGATTCTGGAGTGGTTGTTGGTGCAGCGGAGAAGATGGTGAATGGATGCGATTGAAGGGCTTGTTTGCGCGATAGAGAAGGAACGGAGATGAAGATGTGTTGATTTGGTTCCCATCCGTTCTTCATGTTTGCTGCAACCAGGGCGGTTTTGTTGCTGGTGTCGACTTCCCAGTTCGCAGAGAGGAGCAGTGTTTCATCGTCTTCCAGGACCGTAAGAGTGGCTGGGTGCGTGGAGGACTTGAGCCACATGCGATACAAGATGCGGTCAATGAGGAAAACCGCGAGGGATATGCCGACATATGGCCGCGAAGTGTAGTGATGGAACCAGAGAAAGACCAGGCCAGCGACCTGTAGAACGATATGCAGCCCGAGGAAGACTTCGTACCACCTCTTCCTGAAACTTCCTAGACTCGTGAAGTAGATGACTTCATATGCGATAAACGCACCCAACCCTAGTAGGACAACACGATTGAAGATGAATTTAATCAACGTGAAGCCAAGATGTCGCAGTAAACCGTACCAAACTGCAAACATACCCGCGAAATGCAGGAATGCCTCGAGGCACATAACCTCGCCCACTCTGCGATGAAAGATGTTCAGGCTTTCATAGGAGTATCCTGTCAGAAACTTGATAGGTTGGTTCTTTGCAGCGAGAAGGTATAGCAAAGGTAGGTTCGCTATGAAGATAATGCCGCACCGGTCGGCGAAGACGAAGAGGTAGAAGAAGTTCAATGGCATGCGGTAAAGGTTGTAAAAGAGTGTCAGGGCAAGCCACGCGATGACGAGCAGAGAGGTGGCGTTTGTAGGAAGAGTCTTGTTGATTATAGGTATGGGACGAGGTTGATACTGTAACATTGATGCGAGGACGTAATATGGTCTCCCATACCACGACATAGTCTTTCGCTGCGATTTCGTGGGAAGTAAAGGGCTCGTTTCGTCGTGCTTCTTCGGCGCTGGCGGTGTGATGCTGCCTTCGATAGTACTGCTCGAACTACTCCAGGCTTCTGTATCTTCTGGACCTATCCTTGTATTATCCATCGCACTCCTTCTCTTCCTCCGATGTAGGACCAGCCTTTCACCCCAATGCCACGCCGTGAAGACCACCAGTATACCCAACAGCACCAAGTTGTACGTCTTCAAGAATCTCCTGCTAAACAAGATCGCTTCCACCATCTTTCTGAACCTCGGATCTTTGCCTGGATCGTCTGGGTCAACCAGCTTGCCCCCTCCCGCCGTTGTCCGTACATCCCAAGGTTCTTCGGTTGATGCGGTCGCGTGGAGCGCAAAGCGCAGGATGTCGCGAAGCCATGGTGTATCGTCCATGGTAGCTGCTGTGCGAGGTTTGTCAAAGAGAGGTTCGGTCGAAGTACCTACATGTCATACCGTGATGCCATGCATGCACTGCATGATCCGCGTGCTCGCGTCATCAGGTGGACCGTATCAGATGCGCGCACATGGCTGTGCTGCGATAAGCCTCGGGTGCGCATACCGTGGCACGCGATGCTCAATGTGGGGATGTCCAGCAGCATCCCTTCGAGGATGGGTTTCTGATACATTCGCCATGTAGCCTTGTATTTTTCGGTATAAACTCAAAGCATGCAGGCCGAACATAGTGATAGGTTTCTGTGCCCAGTCTTTGCACTATGTAACCCAGAACCATGGTTCGAACGAAGTGCAAGATGCTGGTGCAGCCTTGGCACATGTCACAATCACAAAGCAACGGAAGCAAACATGCAGCACAATATGTGCGATTCGAATAGATACTTTTTGACATTCAGGCCTACTCGTTCTTCCACTCAGCCTTCTGCTTGTTCGCAAAAGCTGACATGCCAATCTTCTGGTCTTGGCTGCCAAACAGGCCGTGGAAGACTCTCCTCTCATACTCAACACCCTCGCGAATGCCCAATTCCTGGCTCTTGTTGACTACTTCTTTGCAAGCCTTGACAGCGATTTGGCTGTAGCTCGCAATCTTCTTCGCCGTCGCGAGAGCGCCATTGACGCACTCTTCCGGAGTCTCGAACACCTTCGCTACCAAACCCCACTCGCCCGCCTGTGTTGCTGAGATGTTGTCTCCAGTAAGGATAGTCTCCATGGCTCTTGACTTTCCAATCGCCTTTGTGAGTCGTTGTGAGCCTCCTGCGCCTGGGATTACGCCCAGCTTGATCTCTGGTTGTCCGAAGACAGCCTTCGGTCCTGCGTACATGATGTCGCCCATCATTGCAAGCTCGCATCCTCCTCCCAGCGCGTAGCCGTTGACAGCTGTGATTAGAGGCTTCTTGAGGAAGGTGACGAGATCGGACCAGCTTTCTATAAAGTCGTTGCCATATGCGTAGCTGAATGTGAGGTCCTTCATCTCCTTGATGTCTGCGCCAGCTGCAAAAGCCTTCTCGGAGCCAGTCAAGACAATGGCGCCGATGGATTTGTCCGCCTGGAAGTCGCGAAGGGCTTGGTTGAGCTCGAGGATGAGAGGTGTGCAGAGCGCGTTGAGGGCTTTGGGGCGGTTGAGCTGGACTTGAAGCTATTAGTTCTAGACTTGATGATTTTGGCAGCAATCTGAGCTTCCAGAAACTATGAATACAGCCGTAGAAAATTATTTCACTCACTGAAGCCAACACCGCGCTTAGGTGTCGATACCATTATGTGCTCATACTGCGGTGCGGAAGCATATCCCCGCACAAACCTGGGCAGACCCGTCGGCCTGAACTGTGAAGCAACCCGCGCAGTTGATCTGAATGCCTGCATCTTGTGTGTGATCAATTGTATCCCTTCTCAAGAAACAATCGCTGAGATTGAAGATTACATGGTCAAGTGAAGCTTGAAGCTCTGGTGGGTAGCATCGGCGAACCTCGGTTGTGCCTTCCGCCAAAAGACTCCCGTTCCCACTACGCCGCGTGGGCTCTAGCGTACCTTTTCCGTTAGCGGCCTTCTAGACGTAGCTCCGCCCCGGTTGCGACACGCAGCTGGACTTTTTGACACGACGCCTCAACATTCGCGCCTCCGACCCGTCCATCGACCCTCGCCACCTCCATACCACCATATCCGTATCCCCGGGGAATAACATACGATACGCGTACGGCCAGCAATAGTAATTGCAACCATGGACTCCCCAGAGCCTGATACCCCTTTCGCGGCTGTCACGGCGCAAACGACAAAGTATGGAAGGGTAGGTTATACACGGACAGCCTGGCGCGTTCGCATTCCACCTGCATTCGCATCTATACGATGGATGTGAACGTGATAGAGAGGCATTTTGCTGACAGCCAGCAGATGTTCCAAACATACCTCGACAAGTCAACACCATACACACCATACCGATGGGGCGGAACAGCAACACTCTTCATCCTCTTCGGTTTGCGCATATTCTTCGCACAAGGATGGTATATCGGTACGCAGCATCAGCACTGCAATTGCGCATGCAAGAACCACGTCAACTAACGCGCCACCAGTCGCATACTCGCTAGGCATCTACCTGCTAAACCTCTTCCTCGCCTTCCTCTCTCCCAAATTCGACCCCGCGCTGGAACAAGACGAAGGCATGGAGGACGGCAACGCCAACGGCCTGCCGACCAAAGAAGACCAAGAGTTCCGGCCGTTTGTGCGCCGGCTCCCAGAGTTTAAGTTCTGGTACTCGACCACCCGCGCGATTACTATTGGCTTTTTCTGCAGCTGGTTTGAAATCTTCAACCTGCCAGTTTTCTGGCCCGTCTTGCTGGTGTACTGGCTGATTCTGTTCGGCCTGACGAGTGAGTTCACACACTTTTGAGGTGGCTGAGGCAAAGCGAAATGGCAAGCTAATGATGACGCAGTGCGCCGACAAATCCAACACATGATCAAATACCGCTACGTTCCGTTCACGGTAGGAAAGACGCGGTACTCGGCGAACTGAGCGCTCACGTTAAACTTGCCAGTTCCTTCTTCGATATGCCCGGCGCGGCTTTCGCACGTTTGGGCAGCTGTAGCGCCTTCGATTCTACACTTTAGGGATAGACTTTGTAGGGTTGGGTCCGCCGCTTTTGAATTGCAGGAGCGCCACTGGGAGGAGCATGACTACGGCTGGACTGTCACGTTATGTGTACACGTAGTAAAACGAGCAATTTACATCATTAATATCCATGTGAGGGGCCATGATACTTTTGCTTGGATTTGCAATACAAGTGAAGACTGCTCTTGTTCAATCCTATGCATGGTCGTCTGGGCGAAATCTCCAACGACTATGGACCATTGTCTCGATAGCTTCTGTTGTATGCTCCCCACTACGCTTCTAGACTTCCAAAGCCTCAGTATGGCCAACCCACGCTATGCGCCCTACCCAATAACGCCACCCATGCTCGCGCATCAAACAAAACATCATAAATTCTACCTCCCTCCCTTGCCCTCCTTTTTCTTCTTCAAGTACCCCGCCACCTGCTCCACATGACTGACAAAAAAGCATCTATTCGCATCATTCTTCCACACCAGCACGCCCAATGCCTGCGCATAGCCCATCACATCTCTATACTCGCTCTCCGACCCAAACTCCCGCATCAAATAGCCCGTGGTAACTTCGACACGCTCGCCTTCGTACTCCCACAGGCGGATCTGGTCCATGACGGTAGGTGGCAAGGGCGGGTTAGATTTTTGCATCTGCGGATGGGCGTAGGTGGTTAAGTAGGAGATGATTTGCGCGGACGTGATGCCTGCTTGGACGGCGCGATGGACGGATTCCTTTGTGAGCTTGCCGGAGACGAGGTTAGGAAATCGATGTTGGAGTTTGGTAAACAAGCTGAGGATGGCAATCTGGATCAGACTGTTTGTGTATGCGTAGAGTCTGTAGTTGGTCTCGACAATGATGAAGCCCTTGTTTTGGGCCTTGCTGTCGGGCTTCTCCGTGGTGCCGACGTCTGAGCCGGGGAGGGCGCCGGAGTCGGATGTCAGGGTGGTAGCGAGGCGGGTGGGGTAGAATGTGGGTGAGTCTTTGGAGCTGCGGTAGACGATGCCCATGGCAGAGAGGTCGTCGAGCATGTGGAGTTGACTGGGAGAGAGGGTCGAAGTAGAGTAGTCCTGGCCGAGTTCGAGGGAGCCGAGCATGAAGAGGAAGGAGAGGACTTCGGTCTCTGACATGCCCAGATCGTCGACCATCTTGAGGTATACTATCAGCAGATTCCACACCTGGGCATTCGTCTCCTGCAGCACGAAGCTGAATCCCTCCTTAGTGATTCTCGGTGTCCCATGCACTGTCCTGACCAGATCTCCCGCATGTAACAGCTTCTTCGTCCCAGGCCCGACGTCCATCTTCACGCTCCCTGGCTGGAACCCTGCAGCTCCGCTGACCATGAAGAACAATATGCCCTCCCACTGCTCTCTTGCATGCGCATCCAGAAACTCAATACTAAGCCTCTTCTCCCCTCTCTCGGCCTTCGACGCCGGCACACCAAACGTGCGATGCGTGCCCGACCCTTCGATGGCATGGCGCAAGCTACGCTGAAACCCCGGAATGAGCGAGTACGACAAGCTCTTATCGTCTTCCCGTTTCGAACCGAGGATATGCAGGCGTTCGAGAATATCAAGGGCTTGTACACGTTCGCTACGCGCCGAGGGCTTGAACCAGGCTTCGAGATCGGCGGCGGGAAAAGACGAGGGCATGTAGAGCATCGCCATGACAATTGACTTCGCTGCAGCAGTATTAGCTTTTGGCCACCAGGGCAAATATGTGATACGCACCCAAATGTGGCAACATGCATCTAAACACCGCCAGCACCGTCGACGGCGCCTCATATAGCTTCCTGTGCGTCTGCAGCGGCAGGCCCTGCAGATACTCGAGGGCCTGAATCGATGATGACGCCGACATCGCTGTAGATGTGGGTTGGGAAATAAGTTTGCTACCGTATTATCATGTTCGAGTGATATGCGAAAACATGAGCGCCAAATGTCGCGTAAGAAAAGTCGTCGTCGCGCGAAAGTGAAGGTCAAAGAAAGGCGTGGAGGTTGCGACCTAAAGTTCCATGACGTGCCAAGTGGGCGGAGACGAGCCCCACGGTTCCGCTCCGCCCCTAGCTAGTGCGGGAGATGCGGCTGCGATTGCCGAGTGAGATGTCGACTGCACACCTCCAACAGCAGGAGATAGTACTAAAGATGTCGGCTACGAAGTTTGTGCGCTCTGTAAGCTCTAAGATCATATCGATTAGTCTGGAAACGTGGGACTGATCAATCTCCCAGGTCTGGGAGTCTTTCCGAGCCAATTCTGGTCTGGAACCAAGGTGACTTGATCCTCGGGTATAGCTTCAACATTGCTAACCAACAACGCCAGGCTACTCGATGGCGTACGTAGTACCCTAGATTTTCGCCAATCGTACTGATTCCCAAGTAGCTCCGAGTAACCTCCGCAGTCCCAGGCCGTGTCAAGTTCGAACTGGACATCCAGAAAGAGCATACCGTCCGTCCTGATCTTCTGTGTGTCAAAGATATATCACTGAAAAGTTCCAGAATCGACTCAACATCCTCCATGGCGGAACGATAGCTAGCATGGGTACGATGATTACCGATAGTTTATTACAATGATTCTGACTGTCACAGTCGACCTGGGCGGCTCGCTGGCCGTAGCATCTCGCGGCCTGTTTGCGACTGGCGTCTCGACTGATTTGAACGTGACCTACCTTTCATCAGGTGGTAAAGTGGGTGACCTGATACAAGCCGAAGTAACTTGTGACAAATGTACGTGTACCTCTAATTGTACCTCACCTGCGCCTTCGCTAATACGGTAATAGTCGGCAAGACTCTTGCATACACGTCAATCAACTTCTCGAACAACAAGGGCGAAGTGTTTGCCAGGGGCAGTCACACAAAGTACGTGGCGCTTGCTTGGAAAGATCCAAACAACATTGTTGAAGAGCTCTCGCCAAAGAAAGTAGAGGGAAAACCATAGAGATTTGAGCGATGATATAGATCATTATGTTCATTGATGCGTGCTAGACATGTGCTAGTGATGCAATCAATAGCGTCAATCGATTTGCCACGCTGTACCGTCCGTGGAGGAGACATCTGTATTCCGTACATGACATCCACGTCCTCCACCTCGTGATTGAGAGATTGAGAGATTGCTTCGAAATTTCCAGTATCATGTAGGTAACATGCTTTTACTTGCGGCGTGCCCTGAACCAATCCCACGTCCCTCTCCGTGCAGCTCTGTCATTGACAGACCTAAGAGCTACCAGGGGACATCTCGGCAGCCTGATCGTCACCCGTGCCCCACCCCTTACCTTTCAGCAGATTGACAAAGCTGCTTTTCCGTGGGGTCAGCTTCCTCATGGCTCGGCCAAAGGATCCTTTGTTATCGGTCGGCGGGTTGTCGTGCTTACGGGGTGGGTGCATCGGATACTCCGCGCTCAACATTCTGTTGTCTTTTCGGTACTTGTACTCAAACTCCTGTATACCATAATTAGTACGATACTCATCGTTTTAGAACTCTGGGTATGTAACGTGCCCATAAGCTGTTGGCTGCCTGCTCCGTGAGACATAGGTCGCGCATTTGCGCGAAGATGTAGCACGCTGCTAGCTTGTCTTGACTCAGTCTGCACTGGCCCAACTGGCCTTCTGGTATATGCGTCGGATCGAGCTCAGCCGTCATAGCTTCCGTACGCCAATGATCGCATCGGGACTGAAAACGGCCTGCCCAATATAGCGGTGGCATGTAATCTCGAACCTGAAGGTAAGACTCAATGTCAGCGCTGTCTTCATATTGTTGATCAGAAATGGACCAAGGTCGATCGTTCTGAGTATATTGTATACCTGTCAAGGATTCCGTTGAGGGTTGTGTTGAGGTGGCGCTCTGTAGTAAGGATGTCTTGTAAGGCCACGACGGCTGCGCGACGATGCTATCAGAAGAGGTCGAGAGAGTAGGTGATGTGGGATCGGCCTGTGCTGCATGATCGGGCACGGTAGAGAGGGTATGCTTCGTCTCTTCAGGAATGGATTCGCAGGAGGCAGCCATCGAATCCATCTTGTAGCGATACGTCTGAAAAGAGGGTGCTGGTTGGAAGAAGCTTGAGAGAGATGGTGTCCCGTATTGATCGGGGATGGCAGGTATTGGGGGCAAACTTTCCGTGCTTGTTCCATAATTGTGGAAAGTGAAGGAACGTGGAAGTCTCACCTCATGGTTTGCTGCTGCCAGCGCACGTGAAGACCTCCATATCCCTCCCAAACCGTTTGGCGTGTTCAGTGTTTTCCTCTGCTGTTCCTTCTCTGATTTCAAACGCGGTAGCTCTGGTCTTGGGGTTTCTGGTAGTAGTGGTGCTGGTGTGTGTTTTCGGGGACCCACTCTGGGCTGTGCAGCCGGACTACCTTTTGTAAGTGAGGGTTGATGCCCCCTTGGTTGTACGCGCTTGGCGGTGACGGGCGTGTGCTCGGCGAGGTTCGAGCTCATGCGTTTCTTTGCCATTGTTGGAGTGCTCTCGTTCGGCTGTTTGCTAGGGCCAAGTGGAGAGTCTTGAACAATAGATTTCCTGTTCTTCACCGTCGCAGGCGCTGCTAGGCTTTCTCGCTTCAGGTCTTTCTCTATGATCTGAGAGCGTCTCTGGCTGATGCGATGCTTCGTAGGTACGTTCTCTTGTAGAGTAGATTTCGAAGTGACTGGAGTGCCTGCAGGTTTCTTATATCCTGCTTTACTGGAAGGCGCATTGTGTGCTGGCTGGGGTGAATGCGCTGCCTTCACTAGATTAGGTGTTGTACGTGATCTCACTGCCAGCTTCGAGGGGGAGCCCGCGCTGTCGGCTACTGGAGTACGGCGGTTGACAACTTGTGGATCGCGTCGCGACATGTGTTGAGGAAGATATTGACGTGGACTGGAGACGCGTCGTTCCGAGAGCGGAGGGCTCGGTGATGGTATCTTAGACGGTATTGCGCGCAACTTGGGGTCGGCGACAACTGTGACAGGCTGGAGCTTGATCGTCCTGTCCTGGTCATCATAAGAACCGCCCGAAGCGGGTCCAACTGGTCGTGGTAGAAAGCTCGTCGTTCGTGAGCGAGGCAGTGCCGAAGATGTCGCGTTGACTTGATCGTTCTTCGTAGTATCCTCGGGCTGAGTAAGTGTGTCAGGTTTCAATGCCTCAACAACTGGCCTTCTTGAAGCTGCCAAATCGCGCGGTCGTGAAATAGGCGCGTCGAAATGGGGAGAAGACCCGTTTGCTCCCGAGGCCGTTACTGCAAGAGTGGGTTTGGAGGCAAGGTGCTGACCAGGTGTAATTTTTCGTTGAGATAGAGGATTGGAAATAAAGGCGAGGCCATGGCTGAGCGTCCTCCGGAACTTACTCGTGCCGTGAGGAGCGGCATTGCCACCTGTGGGCTGTTGCTGGGACACCTTTCTGCCCACCATATCTACCGTCTCTTCCTCGCCGTGCTGAGCTGCCTCCCACTGGGCGCGTATTTGCTCAAATGTTGCTCGGTCTGGATACGTTAGCATGGCTGCGGCGTGGAAAATGTCGACGTGGGGGAAGCACTTACTTTTGTTGTGTTGTTGATGGCACGAGGTGAGCAAGCTGGTGGAGGTGAAGAGGGAAGGCACGAAGCAGCTACCCCCGTAGCAACCACGACGTCACACAGCAAAAACACGTCCCAAGGTAGAAGAGTGCGAAGTGAGAGGATCTGGCAGGCGCAGCTGCAAATCTGCTATGGCATGGAATAGAAGCGACTACAAAATAAAGGGTATACAAAATTCGAGAAACACAAACCAATCACGCCACGCTATGCAAGTGTTGAATATCCAGCACTACCTCTATTCACTCCGAGTCGCTATCGACGATGAACGCGCCTCGTTTCCGCGCCATTGGCCGTCTTGCAACAGGTGTCGCTTCATCTTCCTCATCGTCATCGTCCGCCATCACAACATCTTGGCTTTTCACTGTGATAGATGCAGTAGCTCCCGTTGTGGTGTCTTCATCACTCTCGTGTACACCATTGGCGTGCTGCGATGACAGCGGAGTGTCGGTAGCCTCGTCCTCGACTTCGCTCTCGTCGTGTATCATATCTCTTGCCGATAAAGACGGAGCTCTACTGCTAGGAGTTGCAGCGTCCTGAACATCCTCGTCGCTATCGTCGCTGTCTGCAAATGGCTGCGCCTTCCTCTTAGGCGGAGTCTTACGCCTCTTGGTCCTAGATGTTGAATCCTCTGCTTTTCTTTTCTTGGATGTGGCTGTCTCTGTGCTGCCTGCTGTGAGCGATTTGCCGAAAGCCTTCATGATCTCTGTTCGAAGTGCTTCTTCGCGCCGGAAGAACTCCATGTCCTTGTCGTCGTCATCTTCTTCATCCGAGTCGTGCACAAATTCAGTACTCTTCTGCTTGGCGAACTTCTCGAGCTCCTTTTTGCGTCGAGCTTCGGCTCTGCGGTCCTTCTCCTCGTCATCCAACTCAACCGGTGTGCCAACCCGTTGACGTCGCTTTAGTTTCTTCCGCTCACCATCAGGTTTCCTCTCCGTAGCTTTGCCGGCACGGTATTCGCCATGATCCTCTTCTACTGCATTCTCTGCTTCTTCGTCATCATCGTCAAAGTCTACCCGCCGGGTCGAGCGGCGGGCTGCCGATGCTTTATTTCGGATGAGGTCCTCGGGTCCCTTGCCATCTTCGTACGTTGGCGGATCGAACTCGTACTTGCGAAGTAGATCGATAGCAAATTCTAGATCCGTTGACGTGAACGCTGAGGGGATGATCCACGTCGCGTCGGGATCATGCGCTTCGCCCAGCCTGGAGAACCCTACAAGCGTCATAAGTAGTCGCAGCTTATTGTCCTTGAACATCGCTAGACGGCGCTCTTCGCTGTCGGGTTTGACAACTAGATCTTGTTAACTTATTTCCGTTTTGCTCCAGGATCGCACTTACGAATGGACGGAGGCTTCGGGGACTCCTCCTCGGTATTTTCAGCCACCTCTTCACCTGCCGGCCGCTCGGCAGCCGCCAGCGCTTTGCGTGCCTCTTCAGCACCCTCCCATGCCTTACGCTCCTCTGCTGCAGAGATGAGGATGTCTCGAACCCAATGTAGTGCATCCGACTTTGCCTGGTTGATCAGTACGCCAACGGCGACTCCAATCTGCTCTGGCACTTCCATGCCAGGTTTAACTTCGAGCTCCGCCGGCGCACGTGGTGTTGACTTGGTGATCTCACGATCATAGCCATGATCGAGGAAAAACAGTGTGGCTGGGATCTTGCTAAACAGCATTTCCACAACAAGCTCTGGTCTCTCTTGAACCTTCTTGACAACTTGTCTAAAGAAGTGCCTAACGAACTCGTCCCACTCCTTGTATGCAGGCGATTCTGGGTCTAGCCCACCCGGACCCTTCATCATTTTGGTGAACAGCTGAAGTATGTCGACTCGGCATAATAGAACACCAAGCTCCATCTTGAATGCAACTCGGTGGAAGAACCGGTGGATCCGTTTCAGTTGCTCGGTATCGAGATCGCTGAAATATCTGGCGAATGCCACAAAGGTGTCGACGCTACTTTGATTGACAAATTTTGCTGCGAAACGTTGAAAGTCAAACTTGCGCTCTGACACCGTCCGCTGTGCTTGTTGTATGTCCTCGGTGTCTGATACTTGGCCCTCCTCGTCACCGTTGGCTCCGTGGGTCTCGGCTACCTTCTTCTTGATCTTACGAGCACGTCGCTTCGACTTGACTTGCAGGTCCACGTTCTGTTTTGCATAACGTTCCAACATCCGCAAGAACACGTGCGAAAGTTCCGTGACCGCGTCCAGGTAGCCAAACCCTTGACCGTTGTATGACCGTAGAATCATGACTACACGGTCGTGGGTCGATTCTTCATAGAAGATGCGGTTTTGAATGTTCTCGGCAATCTCTTGGTCGTCTTCTAGCGCCGATTCCGACATCTCGTGGACTGTGAGCAGAATCTGGGTAAAGCACTTCATGCCAGCATTGAGATCCTGCCATGCCTTTTCGTCCTGGCTCTTTTGCATGAATCGGTTCAATAAGATGAATGTCTCTTGGTTCATGACTTCAGCTACCAGACCGTAGCTCTCGTCCTCGGCAGTAAGGACGGCAGGATCTTTTGGATCAGCAGCTCGCTCTTTCATTGTTCGCCGCCGTGCACACTCCGCTCGCAAAAACCAAGATGCTAGGTAGAAGAATTGTCGAGAATGCCGTATCTCGACTCGCTCGGTCTCGCGCTCGATGGCCTTTCGTAGGTGTAAGAAGAGCGGGTTGAATGAAGAATCGAGAAACTCTTCAACGAACGCCTTGATGTGCTTGCGAGCGGAGACAGTCAGTGCAACGGGCAAGTCAAATTCTTCTCTTTCTTGCTCTCCGTCCACCTTCTTGCCGGGGCGTCTGGGCTTGTTCCACTTCTTCGTCTGGTCCATCTTCTGCATACTAGCCTGTGCTTTGCCGAGCACGTCCTGACCAGATATTGTTGTCACCTTCTCGTCGTCGCGCTTCACCCAGATCATGGTCCCAAATCGATTGTGCCGAGTTGGGGCATTCCGAGCATATCCTGCAAGCATTGCCTTCTCCTTTTGCATCAAGTTCTTCAGCTCGTCCGCGTTCTTTGTGCCGAGCTTCTTGTCTTCCATGAACAGCTTCTCTGCATCAATGCCCTTGAGCAGGAAAAACAGTATCTCGAGCACAATCACATCCTGCGCTACAAAGTCTTCTCCAATGCTCGATGCAACACTCAGGAGGACCTGAAATATGTCCTGCTCATGGAAGGTGTCGATGGTTGCTGACCGAGACACTTCAGCCTCGTCTATGTCCATGGGGGCACTCGTTGGTGGCGAAAGCATAGCAATATTTCGGATGAAGTACAGCGCGATACGGATTATGCCCTCGTCTCTGGGAGTTCGTTCGCGCAGTGGCACGGCCATTGAGGGCAGGGCAATCTTGACGGCTGTCTGTAGCGTCCGGTCGCGGTCGAACTGGAGGATCGCTCTCTTGTATCCGATCTGCGCAAGCTGAATGTACGGTCCATGTCGGTGGTGGTTGACGGTCGCTTCGATTGGGTCGATCTCGAATGGCCATGTCAAAGGCACGAGGAGTTCCACTTGCATATGTTAGCTATGAGAGTTTTTGGGTGTGAATTTTACCTACAAGCTGCAACTGCGATCTTGTGCCTCCACTTGTCCTCTATTGCTTTGGGCGAGATTTTCGCAAGTATCTCTAGCAAATCGCCTTTGACGAGGTTGGCTTCCGCCATGCATCGTGCCACATCTCTTCGATTGAGCTGTCCATCGCCAAACTTGAGCCATTTTCGGAGGTCCTTCAAGCATAGCAATGCGTCGTCCCCGAGGGAATATGTGCCGTCGTCTCCAATTCCACCAAGCTGCAGGCGTATTAGTCGAAATACTTCAAATGTTGTGTATACATACAGCTGTAATGAGACTGTGGACATGAGCACGAATCTCAGGGTCTACCGGGTCTTTTGCCCAGTCGTCCAGCGTTGTTTGAGCCATTGTGGTGGGTGACGGTTGGAGTCGTTACTCCGCGTCGCGATAGCGTCCAGACGCGTCGACGCGTTAATTGATTCATGCGACAAATGCAGCAAACCCGCCAAGACGAGGGCTTCCTCCCGCGACAGGGATGCTCCCCACGTCATGCCTCGGCTACGACTGCAGCGGCTTTCATCGGCCGCTGCATGCATCACATGTTTTGAACGTCGGCGTCGAGAATTCAGAAGAATCTTTGCACATTACACAAAATGTTCTCCGCAGCATCTAGGCAGGCTATTCGAACTGCGACCAGGCAGCAATGCCGTGCATTCAGCAGCACACCTTCAGTAGGAGCTGCTGCGGAAGTGAAGAAGCTTGGTGTCATTGGAGCGGGACAAATGGTGAGTTCTGTGAAAGGGAATATACTGGATGTTGACTAATGAGCCCAGGGTCTTGGAATAGCTCTCGTAGCAGCACAGAGAGCATCAGTTCCTGTCAAGCTCATTGATAGCTCCCAAGCCTCTATCGACAAGGGCCTCAAGTTTGCCGACAAGCTTCTCGAAAAAGATGTTGGCAAAGGCAGAATCTCAAAGGAAGACGCTACAGCCGTCCGTGAGCGAATTACATCTAGCATCTCCCTTGAAGACTTGTCAGATGTCGATTTCGTCATCGAGGCCGTTCCTGAGATCCCAGATCTAAAGTCCAAGATCTTTGCCCAACTCGCCCAGATCTGTCCATCGCATGCCATTCTCGCAACAAACACATCGTCAATCAGCATTACCAAGATCGCGGCCAGTACTTCTAACAGCCCCACTGATCTTTCCGCGTCGTCTCGCGTCATTTCAACACATTTTATGAACCCCGTGCCCATCCAGAAGGGTGTGGAAATCATTACCGGGTTGCAAACTTCGCAGTCCACCATCGACACCGCCATCGCTTTTTGCCAGAAAATGGGCAAGATCGCATCGCAGTCCGCCGACAGCCCGGGTTTCTTGGCGAACCGCATCCTCATGCCTTACATCAACGAGGCCATAATCTGTCTGGAGACAGGCGTCGGCACCAAGGAAGATATCGATAGCATCATGAAGAACGGAACGAACGTGCCTATGGGCCCACTGCAGCTTGCGGACTTCATCGGCATCGATACCTGTTTAGCGATTATGCGCGTGTTGTACGAGGATACCGGCGACTCCAAGTATCGGCCCGCGGTGTTGATGAAGAAGATGGTGGATGCGGGGTGGTTAGGCAAGAAGAGCGGAAAGGGCTTCTACGATTACTAGGCTCTTGCAAAAAGAGCGTGAATAAAACAAAATTCAAAGAAATGAGTTCCGAACCGGCGAGCCTGTAGCACATCCTGTTCAGCTTCGAGGATGCCTGGGGTTATGTTTGTGAGGCTTGACCCAGGACTTCGTCCCTATCCCACCCATGCAACAACACTTGCCGGAGTACCTCAACGCTTTTCATCGAATAATTTGCCGCTGATGATACCGCGGTAGATCTAGTGATATTAGAATTACTCAAATTAGGTCAAGACTATCCGACGGAGTGTGCGTACAAGTCCCGCCCCGGCCTAAGAATCAAGTTCACCACCATCACTAGCGTGACAGAACAATGTGAAGCAGCACTATTTGCCAATTTACTTTGAATATCACTGCCCTTTTCAACGGCGCAATTTCGCACTCTGACTAGTCTTTCCGATACCGTATGCATTCATTCCATGGTACTTGGACCGGGAAGAGGAGAAACCCCGGTAAACACATCGCGCACTCCTCAAGAGCAACAATATATAAATCTCTCTCCGTCCCCAACCTCCTTCTTTCTCCGTCAATCTATTTAACAAACAGTAAATACAAAACAGCAAAGATGTTCATCCGCAAACTAACCCCGCTCCTCGCTCTCTTCTGCCTCCTCACCCTCGCAACCGCCCAACTAGTCCCCACCACAAGCGCAAACGGATGCGTGGTACGTTCCCCCCTTCCTTCCAATTCCCCTTCCCCACGTCTTACGATCTAACCCCACCCCCAGTCCGGCGCAGTGGAATATTGCAACAAACAAGTCTGGCCCCCAGGCAGCCCGGACCTACACTGCATGTCCGTCTCCGACACGCCCTGGAGCAACGAAATGGCACTCATGCGCTCAAAATGCTACTGCCTGCGCAAGGACCTGCAGCAGACGTGGTGGACATGCTTCTACCAGCAAGCAGCGCTGTGTCCGAAAGACCAGGTGACGATGAGGGAGATATGGCGTGCGTATTGCCCGTTCCTTCTTCCCTTTATCCGATACTCTCTTGAAACAGGGGAATCGTTGGAAGTGTGCGCGGTTTTTGACTGACGTACAATAGATCAGGAATGGGAAGTCCACCGCTATCAGCGCCGCTTGTATTGTCTGGACGACTATAAGCCGTCGCCGCCCTGGCATCTGATTAATAATAATTACATGAAGATGCACTATAATATGCTGCGTCCGTATCAGTACTCGTATGAGTTTGCGCAGTACAGGGTATGTTTGCTTCGTGTGTGCGGTGAAAAGGGCTGTGCTAACGCGGATAGAAACGCGACACGAATGCTACGGAGCGCAGATTGGCGATGGTGTGAAGGCCATGATCATCATGGAAATGGGGTGATTCGGGCTCATAAGTTTGGAGTATGTTGTTCTAGGATCGGTAGGGCTTTTCAGACAAGGAGAGACTGGGTGTAGATGCATTGCGGTGGGACATGCACATCGCGTCCGGGAAACCACGTCTGTGCAGAATGAGCTCCAATACAAGCACCTGTTTGCGTTATATACACATTGAATTTCTACTTTTGTTCTTGTGGGCATTGCCCGTACTAAGTAAGGACCCTGAACCACATAACCATCCCAGGCTATCCAGCCAATCCGATGCAGTAGCAAGGCCATTCTATCACAACCCTTTGCAAATGCCCGGACGTATAAGCATGTCGAAGAACCCCTCCTAGATAGCATTCCTCTTCTCTCTGGCGAACTTTCCGGTGTTCTTCTTTCGCCATTCTGGCAGACCGTTCTTTGTGCCGCGTTGCTCGCTGTTCAAATCGTCCACTATAAGCCCTGACTCCATCATCGCCTCTCGTCCACGGTCGATCCGATCTCTCTCCGTCGCTGAGAAGCTTTTCCATGCCAGTCGTTGTGCTGCCTCACTCTTTGTGATGTTCTTGTTCATTTTCAACTGCATGTTATTCTCCTCCGATTTGCGACCTTGGGTTGCCTTTGGAGGCGCACATACCATGGGGCCAGGCACCTGTAAATTGAGCTTTGGGATTGAAGTTAGGACCTTTGGGAATCGTTGCCGCAGCCTGTCGACTCGTGGTGAAACGTCGATGTGTGGTTTGATGAAGTTCGGCTCGGAGGACGTGGTCGGACTCGTGTAATGCCGCATAAGCTTCAACTTGTACGCTTCGCCAATCTCCCTGCGTTTTGGGAACGGCCCCTGAAGTTTTGGTATCCATCGCCGTGCTGCCGCTCGACGGATTGCCAGCGCCCTTTGGTCGTCCTTGGTAACCACTGGCTCAGGTATGGTCACTCTAAGACTCATCGTCTCCGGCGGTGTGCTCAAGTAAGACGTGTCCCGTTTGAATTGTATTTCCCTACTGGAGATGCATGGTGTGTCCAGGCCCATTGGGGGAGTCAGCCGTCGCCTCTTGTTTGCATGAGCAGTGTCGTCGTTTGCCGTAGAAGTTGGCGGCGTGGGCATGCCGAGACTGCTGTTGAAGACTTCTGAGTAAAACTGGGCGTCGTACTTCGTCATTGTCCGCTTCGAGATTCTTGCTGGAGTCTCCATAGTCGTCGAAGAGGATGTGTTGTAACTGAGATAAGTGCTTGTTGTAGCTGACGTTTTGGTGGCTTGAAGGAGTGTGTTGTAGGTGTTGAGCTCGTGGAGCGTCGGTACGCTATAGTGAGCTAGGTTGTTATTGTTAGAGAAAGAAGCTGGGGCCTGACTTATAGTTGAAGTAGGCTTACTTTGCGCTAACGAGTGAGGATGAGGCTAAGTAGTGAGTGTTGCTATTGAGGCTATCGGCAGCGTTGCAGCCGTACGTGGAAACTGAGTAAGCCCAGAGACTGGCGCTGGCCGACGGTGTTTGTAACTGCGCCTGAGGTGAGTCGTTCTTGCTTGTTTCGAGCTTCAGCCGATATTGCGTCGAGATGGCGAGACACCAGTGCAGGAGCGTTCGAGAAAGATAACAAAGCCTTTGTTGCCACCTTTGTCAACGCACGCCACGCTCAAAGGCGATATCTGAGTGAACTCAAACATTGTGAAGCCAGGTGAGCAAGAATTGGTAAGATGGGCGTTGGGCTTCAGTATGGCAAGTGCATTGCGTAAACTGCTTCGCACATGTTTAACACCTTGGATTCGGTCAACTGCGCTACACTACAATTAATTTGCGCTAGATGAAACGTATGAAAACATGGGAGTTGGGGTTCGGAGCGTGTTCAGTAGAAGACAATCACATCGAAACTTGGGACACATTAGTAAGGCTCGGCATCAAACACGGGAACTTCAAATCTCGCTGAACTTTTGCTCTCTCTTACCCGTGCCATCTACCTTGGCTTCGCTTGAACTTACTGGCAGTAGCCCCACCCGACAAACGCCGCCCAACCTGCCCTCACCACTACTCCTCCTCGCTCTCCTCGTCCTCACTCTCACCTCTTAGCTTTTCGCAGCCACAAGGCCAGACGTGGTTGAACATGTTACCGCCATACTTGTAGTTGAAGCCGGTGTGCCACCTCTCGTTGTCGTCCCAAGCCTCCTTGATAGAAGTATCCATCTCTTCTCCTTGTGCAACGCCTGGGTAGCCGGGATACTTCTTGTACACGAGAGCGCGAAAGTCAATGTATTCATCGTGAAGGATCAGGTCTCCTGGAGTGACCTCATGGCCGCGTCCTGTGCGACGGTCGGGGTCGTTTTCAAAGTCTCCACCGCGGCCATGTTTGCCGTTCTTGAGGAAGGGCTTTTCGGCACGTAGAGCCTGCGGAGCTTGAAACTGGGTCCGGTCATGCGGTATGGCTGTGTCGTGAAGGACATGCTTCTTGGTATACGGGTTCGTGACTGCAGTCAGGACCCTATCCTCTCCCTCTTCTGGGAGGTTGACCACCCTGCTGGAGGTGCCCGCGTTGTCTGGATGCATGCCCAGATAGGCCATCTTACTCTCCATTATCGTATTGTGGGCCTTCAGATCTTCAGCCTTGAGTCTAACCTCTTCCTCCGGCGTTTGCTCCTGTGCTGCGCTGGAAAGCTTGGGAATGTTGGCGGTCTTGCTGAACTCTGCCATCTTCTCTTCGATCCGGGACTTGCGGCGCTCGTCCTTCGACTGGGCCGTGGGTTTTATGTCTGTTGCGGCTGATTGCTTAGCCAATCTTCCACGCGCTTGATGGGCCTTCAATTTCTTTATTATTTGCTCCGAAGTCTGCGCTGGCTCGATCGTGTTGTCACGTTTGCGTTTCGTACCTTGCTCCTCTGGAGTGCGAGCATGTATTCTACTCTTTACTGTTCGTCCCGGGCGCCTATCAATGGGCGCATCAATGGGGGCAAATCCCTTCCCTTTCCCCTTGTAGGTCATTAGTGCAGGTGTAGAATCGGTCCAGAGGGCATCCTCCGCGGGCACTGTTTTTGTCAGTACATGCTCATTAAAGCCATGAAGTCGCACTGTGACATACCTATTAGGTCCAATTTGCTGAGCGGATTCGGACCTAGCGCATAGGTTTCCTGCTCCTCGATCCAGTCCGCCATCTCAGCTTTAGTTTTGTCTGCGTCTTTGAACCATTTCCTCGTAGTCGCGCCAGCATACTCTCCAACAAGGTCGAGTAAGAAGTCGGTGTTTTTGTTGCGCAAGCTGCTCGCGAGACGGGCATGTCCCCTCTTCTTACCGCTCTTCTCGTACAACGGAACCTTCACGCCGTTCTTCTCATAGAAACGTAGTCCTGTTGCTCTTGGAGAAGCCTTCTTCTTTCCAGACCTCGCTTTCGAGCTGCCAGAAATTGACGGGCCAGAAGCACCGGCGCCTCCTGTCTTCTCCTTCTTCTTCTTGGGTGCGGTCTTGCGCTTCCCGCCCTGCTGCGCCAAAGAAATCGCATCGAGGTCATCGATGATGTTGGTATGCTGATTCTTGCGTGGATTCATGTTGATGATCTCTGGCGGTTGATTTGGAGGAGAAATCGGTAGACGGTGGGTGACAAAGAGAAGAGAAAAAAACATGATAATCAGGGCTTTGCGTTTGTCTCAAAATCCCGCACAATGTGGTGAAGGAGAATAAGACAGTCAAACAAATGAGGCGCCCGCACAATGCAATTGTTCCCGCCATAGTGAGCTTGTCTCTACCGCGAGGAAAGTGCCGGAAATCACGACGCACAGTTCTGTATCGGTGAGCTGCGGGCTATGCATGGTGGAACTCGAGTTGTCGAAACGTTGCTCTGAGTGGAGCAGACTTGCACGCCGCATCGTGCCACAGCCATTTCATGTACAATGTTGAGTATAAGCGTTGTAGAGATGGATTGAAATAATGATATCGGAAACGTGACATGGCCGCAGAGAGTATGATGGAAGAGACACAACTGCGCACAAATCAATCGAATCCAGCTTCACCGTCTCCATGAAGGCGGTGATGTAGCCGTAGCGCCCATGCTTACTTTGCTAGATTGCTCCAAGGGACTACAACGCCTTATGTATGGTAGTGAACTCTGAGAAACAGACAACGTGGAAGGTTGATGTTGTAGTGACAAGCATGTGCGATGTGTGGAAAGGCTGCATCGGAAGTTGCTGCCCATTCAAGGACACAGACATTGTAGAAGGAATGGAAGCAGACTTCAATATGTAAGGAGATGGAGAGTAGGTGCAAATATGATGGACGATATACTTGACCAGCTCGGTGGACGGGCTGAGATGTCAGGAGTACAGGAAACGTCTGCTTGTTTTCGACATGTTGTCTGACAAAGGGATTACGCCCTTGACGTAACTCACTATCTTAAGCATCGATATCAGAGACGGTATAATGTCATTCGTTGGAAACCGAAGTTCAGATGAGAAGAGGCGTCGTGGTGCCAAGGTAACCTAAACAAGCATAGATACCCGACACGCGAAGTGCCTCGGCAAGATACCCGCCTCACGACTTCTCGGCTCGACCGTCATATGTTGCGACACGCCATCAAGCCTCCGCTCCTTTCATCGTACGCAGCCATACGCAAGAATCTGCCACTGGGCAGCAACCCGTCACCATGGTTCGCGAGGACCTAATAACCTCTGCTGTAAGTCGCTTCTCCTGGAGTAGCAACCTCATACTGACGAATTGCAGGTCTCGTGTATGTCGCGACCATGACCACGCTCACATGCTTCCTCCTAACCGCTCTGCAGTCCTCCAAGACCCATCTGTCGCCAGCGCGCCTCTCGACAAGCGCATTGCGTTCCTCCAGTCGAAGAATCTCACACAAGAAGAAGTCGACGTCTCTCTTGCACGCGCCGCCGCCGAAGACCCCAGCCAGCCTCCTCCTCCACCGACATCCGCACCTCCCAACTATGCATACAACCGGCCGCCCCCATCAGCGCCCGCCTATGGCTATCCACAACAAGGCTACTGGCAGCAGCCGCCACCGCCTGAGTAAGAATACCGTGACGAGAATAAATGGACCGACCGTGCTAACACAGCGCAGACCGCCGAAACGCGACTGGCGAGACTACTTCATCATGGCCACGGTCATGGGAGGCGTAGGCTACGGGCTGTACTTCACAGCCAAGCGCTACATTGCCCCCCTGATTCAACCGCCCACACCACCACAGCTAGAGCAAGACAAGGCATCGATCGACGACTCGTTCAAGCGTGCCTTTGACCTTTTGGAGCAACTCAACACCGACACAACCGCACTCAAGGCATCGGAAGAAGCTAGAACGCAGAGACTAGACAATGCGCTCGGCGAGGTGGAGAGCGTATTGACCAGCCTGAAGGAATCTTCCAAGCGACAAGGAGACGACAACAGGCGCATCGAGGATGACGTGCGTGGTCTGAGAGACTTGATCCCCAAGGCCATGGATGCGCAGAAGGAGTCGACCGACAACAGGCTGAGGGAGCTCTCGACAGAGCTCAAGAGCCTGAAGACCCTGGTTGGCAACAGAATGGGTGCCGGACCAGCCCGGCCAGCTGCCCCAGCAGCCAGCTACTACGGCCAAAACCAGCCCCAGTCACAACCCGCACCAAACGTCAACGGCTCATCCGGCACCTCGACACCCGCACCACAGCCTACCCCTGCCCCTGCGCCAACAGAGCAGACAAATGGCACCAGCACATCCGAGGCCCAGGGAAGCAGCACCACTGCATCCGCCTCTTCTTCCACACCTACAGCAGAGAAGGCTGCACCTTCGTCATACGGCAGAGTCGCAGGGGGCCGCGCAGCCATCCCAGCATGGCAAATGGCGGCCCAGAAGAAGTCCGAGGAAGCAAAGAAGGACACCAGCGAGAGCGGGACAGTAGCAGAAGCCAGCCCCAGTTCATAGTTCCTGTATACCTTCAAGTCACTTCACTTCACCAATCATGTACTTCATATCTCATCCCATAGGCCTTCAGCCCGTCATGCATTATTATCCAGTCTTTTATCTCATACACCAAAGTCCTCCAGCTCATCTCATCTCGTCCCTTTCTGCTAAGCACCTAGTTCTGCAGGCGCTCCTGCTCCTCCCTGAGAAGGTGAGCCCAATCCACCATGACCCTGGCACCCTCGCCCTCAATCATCGGATACACCTCGCGAAAGCCGCTCGTCTGCTGAGCCCGCTCTGTCTTCCACGTCTCCATGACCGCCACGCCATCACACTCCTCCCCGTGAACAGCACACTTTGGTGCGCGCGCACCTACTCCTTCTTCACCCATCCTGCCTGCATTATACGCCTGGTTCAGCGCCATGCTCGCGCGACGAGGTCGGCCGCTGCCAACCACCTCGTTGCGACCATACTGCGGGGACACCATGGTAGAAAGATCTGTGTAAGTATAAGCATATAGGTCAAGCATGTCGGCGAAGAGTGTGTGCGTGCCTTGGACTGTACTGGGAATCTGCAGATGCGATGTACTCGCGATCGGACGCAGGGCCGGCGACACAGGGCGCGAGGGGAACGGCGTGTTGACGACAGAGGTGAGGCGCGAGCCAGGCAGCGAGTCGGACAGAAAGCGCGCGTGGTCGTGCGGCGTGTTGAAGGTTTCGCGCGACAGGTGCGGGTGTGCGAAGGCGAGTATCGAGGACATGCTGGGGCCCGTAGTGGTGGTACGCTCGCGGTTCAGAGACGTCAGGGACGGCGAGGAGTCGGAGTGGCCCAGGCCGGGGATCGTGGACTTGCTGGCGAGCGAGGTAGAGTTGCCTAGACCGTCGATGTTGGACAGTGATATGCCTCCGGACTTGCTGCGGTTGTGGCGCGTAGCTAGGTCAGCGAGGGAGAGGGACGAGTCGGGCTGCGAAGATAGGTGCTGGAGCTTCCTGGCGAACGCTGGTACGGGCTTGCTGGCTAAGTCGGACGAGGATGCACGGTGCAGAGCGCGCGGAGCGGTCAGGAGCCCTTCTGCCATGACCATAGACGCGAGATCAGTCGTTGAAGCCGGGGTGACGAAGCGCATGGAGCGCGGACGAGGCGTATCTCCTGTGGCGGCGAGTACACTCAGATCAACCTGCGAAGCCTCTCTGCTCGGCGCTCTCGAGGTCCCTCTCGACAATACCTGCGCAGGAACCAAGGCCGTAGGATACGACACCTTGGGAAGTTCTCTGGTAGCGCGTGAGCTGTTCCTCTGGGCAATCGCCAACTCCACCCCTCCTTCATCATCCACACACGTCTCCGCCTCCAACGTACGCCGCACCTCCTCCTTCTCCCTGCTCTTCTCTGCTTCCGCCTCCTCCCAAAACACCCAGCAACTCTTGTCCAGCGCCGCGATACTCCCCTCCTCCCTCAATCCCTCCGCGCAACGATCGAAAACAGGCACCGCCCCCTCCATCTCACTTACAATGCTAATCCCGTATTTGAACTTGAACGGCACGGGCGCAATCGGCTCGCCGCCGGGGAAGCTGTACAGCTGGTGACCGCGGAAATGGTACGCGACACCGAGTTGGAATGGATGGTGGCCTTTTAGGCCGGAGATGAAGACGCGCTTGGCCTTGGCCATGGCCGTGAGGTGCGCTTCGCGCTGCTCGGATTGCTGCTTGTGCAGCGCGCGGGAGGCTTTGCGGTCCATGGTGTCGCGGGGCATGGTTGGTAGAGAGAGGAAGAGGGGAGGAAGGTGGGCTTTTTTGAAGGGGACTCGACAAACGGGCTCCGTTAGTGCGGTGCTGCGCGTTTGCAAACGCATGGGGAGAGTGTGGGAAGGGGTTTTTGGTCGGGAGGTGAAAGGGCGGGTGGGGGAGCGGACGCGTGGTGACGGTGTGTGATCGGAGGAGAAGGAGATGGGGCGAGAAGGGAGTGAAGATGTACACGTAAACTTATCAGCTGAGAGAATTGAATAGAACGAAACAATACTGAAGATATCCAGGCATAATCGTTGACTGAGTGAAATGAATAGGAAGAAAAGGCATTGAAGATGAACAGGCATCTTGATCAACCGGGAAATACGAACGGGAGGAAAAGAGAGTAAAAACTTCCAGGCATATGTATCAGCTGAGTGAGACAAATAAGACTTAAAGACACTGAAAATTATTTAGGCATACAAATCATGTTTCAAAAACATACACCCTTAGATGACACTGACGACATACAGGACCACGTATAGTCTCTTACAAACATACACCAAAAACGATGCGAACATATCCAAGGCATCCTATCGCATGTGGGACAAGCACAGTATCACCATCTACTGCCTCCCAGACGACGTACCATCCTCCCCACCAGCAGTCAAATCATCCACATCATCACCCGGCTCAGTGTATGTTCCTGCCTTCTTCGTAGCCCCACGAGTCCGCTCGTCGAGGATGTTGGCCTTGTCGATAGCTTCGTTTTCGTCCTTCTCTGCTAGGAGTTAGTGGGATAGAGAGAGAGGGGACTGGGAGTCTGACCGAGCTGCTGCTCCGAGTCGCCACCATTGTCGTATTCGGTAGCCTCGATGGCAGCACTGTCACTCTGGACGGGGATTTCACTCTGGCCGGTGCGCGACTTGTAGTCGTCGTCGGCGACGGTACCAGAGGGAATGTCTGAGGCGGACATATTGATTGTGTTGTTGTGTTTGGGTAGAGGATTTGCTGAGATTGATAGTTTGTGGATGGAGGATTGGAATAGAATGGCTTGATGCTGGACGAAAGTGGTAGACTGCTCCGTTTAAGTAGACGACAGATGTCATCGTACGTCATGCAGATACATGTCGTATAGCAAGCCTCTGATAGAGCGAGAGTACTAGTGGAAAGCGTGCCTGGGGAGTGAGATCGGAAACGATGGCATAATCACCTTGATGACAGCATCAAAGGTCGAGCTCAGCAACTTCACGGGCCTCTAAGGTGTCTGTGGAGAAAGCAGACTACCATAACGAGACAGGCACATGGCGATCCGACGTGCGGGATCCCACACTAACGGAAGCTATTTTGTAGTGGAGATGTGTCGTGTCGCTAGCACTGCATTGTGACATCTGCGTCACTATGCGATCAATGCTGGTAGAAGAGCGTGCCATTGCGGTTGCAATTAACTCGACATGACGATAGCGTCCAGTCATTAAGTTGGTACTCAGGATGCAAAGAGAGCAATAAGTTGCTTCGAGGTTAAAGATTTGACGTATACTGGTAGTCGACAATACCAAACCGCACTTCAACCCTGCGCGTCATTCTTTCGCACAAGCAGATCTTCACTCGTAACCCTGCCGACGATTAGCTCACTCCAGCACAGACATGATATGCAAGGGACAAGGACAGCCATGCGGCTTCGCGAGCTTCAAACAAGCCATAGCAGCGACAGTCGACGTCAAGACGTCAGCTAGCGTCAGGGGACCGATGGGGCTCTCAGATTAGCGAGATCGATCGAACATTCGCATCGGAATCCCATGCAAATTTCATGATGTCGATGGTAGAAGCACGGAAACTTTGTTCGCGTTGTGGCTGGGTTGACGTTAGCTCTGACGCGAAAACGCGACTTCGCGAGGTCATGATATCACGAGAAAACCACTTAGTTTTCCTCTTCGGGACAAGTGCGGATTTGCTTTGGAACGTCGTTGGTGACATCAATTGGCCTATGCTGACGCCTTTTGTCCTACGACAGAAGTTTCGGTTCGATCTAGGATTCGTGTGTTATCTTTTCCTCCTCAGCTGACCTGCTAGCATCTCAAATAAGCCGCATCGGTTTGTGTCAACGCGAAACAATGCCTGAAATTGCGAGGCTACCGGGTTTCATTCCCAGATGATGGACCCAAGTTGTATTCCGTGTACCCAAAAGCTCAAGATTTGGGCAGCATCTGGTCTTGTTCACCGTTTAAGCAAAACCGATCATTTTCTTCCCACTCAGAATCCCCCCCACGTTCCGCTGCACAGCATCGAACCTGACAGTACCACAGGACTCGCTCTCCAGGTGATTGAAAAGAGCTGCGAGTGCACTGAACTCCCCTCCACACGCTCTACCCGGGCAATGGTACGCCTTCTCCTTATGCACTGGCGAGTTGAGATGCTGATTCAAGCTCTCAAGCTGCTCGAAACCTTTGTGACATAGGTAGCATTCATAGCAGCTGCGGTTATAGTTGTATGATGCCGAAGATGCTATGATGGACGAAGAGGTGTCGTGGTATGTCAGGAGTTTCTTGGTGATGACGTGTTTTGGGTCACGGCGTCGAATCTCGGCGAGGATTGTGTCGCGGTTAAGAGAGCGAGCTTGAGGACATGATCCAGCCTCAAGATGATGTGTGACTCCCGTAGCTGTTGCGAAGCCGCGCTCGCAAAAGCGGCAGGTGATATCGGTGCCTCGATGGATCTTGCTATTGAGATGCTTGTCATTGTTAGCGTATTCAGTCGTGATGTTTAGACGTAGAAGAACCCACAGCCCTGAGGTTGTTGTCGTTCTCAAAGCCTCTCTGGCAGCTCACACACCAATGCTCCCGCCAGTGGTTTTTGTTGTTCATATGCCGCTTCGCATCCGCGAAAGTCTGATAACAGTTATCACAGGCCTCGCAATCATACTTCGGACCGTAGTGTCCCTCTTCTTGTTGGTGTTCATCGAGGTCGTCTTCGTCCCAGTAGCAGTCGTCGCAGAAGTCACACTCCCAGATGTGACCGACTGCTTGCATGTGTTGCTGTGCAGCATGCAAACTTCCGAACCATTTGTCACATTTGCCGCACTCAGCCATCGCAGCTCTTGCAATTCATAAGGTCAGTGCATATACCCGGTTATCCTTGGACCATCATTAATGCTTACATGTCGAACTTGTTTGATGCAATTCCGAGAGCTGGTAGACACTGCTAGCATAAACTTCAATGGCGGTAAAGTGGTGGTTGATTTCTATCTGGCGATGCTGCGTCTCCGGCAGAGGAGGGGAACAGAAGTTGAGCAAGTTGGGGGTGAGGCGCCTCAAGAGATAACAGCGATTGCGGGGAAGCAGGACGACAACGCCAGCCATCCTGGCTCCTTCTTGCAGTTCGCCAAGTTGACAAACAGGGGCATTCACGTTCCCGCGCCTAGGACGACAACATTAGTGGGTGCATGCATCTGTGTGACATTGGAAAATGTTGTGTATCATGCGACTTGTCGTTTCCTGCTTGACGGCGCGAATCATGCGCGAAGTCACGAGACCCACCCCTGACGAAGAGCAAACTTTGAGTGCAGCGACCGATATGACTTTGAGGACACAGTGCCAGGCTCATGTGTCAAGTAGAACGTAAAGACTTTTGATACGCATCGGCGCATGAACTACTTCTGAGGGGTATCTATATTATATGAACTGGTCTTCGACGATTTTGGGGCACCCGACGTGATAAATCTCACGTGGATACCGTCGGAGGAACATTGAAAGTGCTGAGCGAATCGAAAGCGACAAGACAACACGTGTCAAGCGGGCTGAAAACCGTAGCCTACTCGTCGGCAGTCTTCTTGGGTCTGCCCCTAGAAGGAAATGTTAGCGTTGACAGTGAACGGAAGAGCACCATGACATGCCTCTTGGCTGTGGCCTTGACCTCGCCATCAGCGGCGGTCTTCTTGCCTCGCTTTGGCTTGGGAGCCTCTTCAGTCTCTTCAACGTCCTCGTCCTCGACCTCTGCCACGGGCGCAGCCTTCTTGGGCCTACCTCGCTTTGCAGCGGGGACTGGAGCTTCTGCTTCTTCATCGTCTTCTTTCTTGGCAGCCTTCTTGACTCGTGGCTTCTTTGCCGCTGGGACTTCCTTTTCTTCCTCATCGGCATTCTCTTGCTTCGCGGGCTTCCTGCCACGAGCCTTCTTTGCGGGAATGACCTCTTCCTCGCTGTCGTCTGCTTCTTTCTTTGCGACCTTCTTAGCCCTGGCTTTCTTGGGCGCAGGGGCTTCGTCCTCGTCATCATCGGCGTCCTTGGCCTTGCGACTACGCTTCTTGTTGGACTTCTCTTCGGCATCGTCATCTTCGTCGTCTTTCTTGGCCTTCTTCTTGGTGGCCTTGACACGGAAACCGTTCTTGCCAGGTCGGTTCACCTCGACATCCTAAGGATGTTAGTGAAACTGTTTGCACAAAAATGAGTGAACGAGATTCGCATGCAGCGCAAAGGCTGATGTAACACTGTGTGTCACTTGAGCAGATGACCTACACCCTTCCAGTCCTCATCGGGAACGTGGCCGTTTTCTAGGGCAAACGTGACCTTCTCCTGGTACTCAGCAGGAACTTCGTCGAAGCCGTCAACCATGTCTGTGTCGCCGCCTGAGCTCTCGATCAGATTCGCAATTTGCTTGGGCGTAACACATCCCCTGAAGCTGTTAATAGGAGAATTTTCATGTCATAGTGAGACATACCAATGCCTGTACTGCCAGCTTGTATGCTCGTTGATGGTGATCTGGATGGCATAGCGAAATTCTCCCTTCGTGATCTTGATGCCGGCATCTTTGCACTCCTTGTTTGAGCAACCTGCACGATTGTTCGGCGATGCCTCTGATGTGTCATTAGAATTAAGTGATTTGAAAGAGCTGCAGAGAGCACAGGCTGAGCAGTAGGATAAGCATCATGAACTTACCAATGCGAGAGACAACCATGTTTGCGGATTGTTCTTTCTAACAAGTAAGGTCGAGGACGAGTTTGGTGAGAGAAAAATAATCAAACGCGTGCAGATGAACGCCTTTAAGTAGAAGCGCCCGAAAGACAGACTCGTGGTGAGGTTGCTGCCTTCGCAAAGAAGTTGTCGCGTTATTTGTCGCGGCGTGTTTGCGCGTCTGAGGTGTGTCGTCAGAGTGCAGGCAGCGGCAGCTGGGAGTGGACCCTGCCGCGGCCAGCTAGCGCGTCTCGCATCGTTGACGGCATGACAAGGATCTCAGCCAAAAAGTTCGACCACCATGGGCGAGGAAGAGCTTCACTCCTTTCCTACGTTCGCCACCCCCCAATGAGCACTGCGCATACCTGTGTTCGCAGCGCCCTCACCCAGGCATTTCGACCGTCTAGCTGTGGAACCGCTGCTTCCTATTCTGTCGCCTCATTCCTCGTCCCCGCGCTCGCTAAACCCTCAAGACGCCCAATCTCATCTGGAAGACGCCGTTCAAAGGAAACCTCGCAGCGGTCTGATGATACCATAGCACGTGCAAACGATGCAGCAACATTCCAGTTACCACTCAAGCCCACCGCGCGGTCGCCCAGATCGTGCATACCCCTCCCACCCCACGGAGCTCGCAATGACATGCAACACTGGCTTGCAGCCATTGACCCGTTCCTACCGGCCCATCTACGACGAGACCAGACCGATGGAACTACAAAGACCCCTACGGTGACACCGCTCGACCTTGCCATTGTGATCAACGCAGCCCAAGATGTGTCTTTGGATATACTGGCCTTTATGGGACTGGTCGAGGGCCGCTGGCCGGCAGTCATCTGGGTGGCCAAGAAGCTTATAGAAGATGGAAAGCGGACAATCGATCCCCCACCACAGCTCGACCTGTCAGTAAATATCATATTGCCAGAGTCGGAGCGACTATCTCTACACCGTCTTACAGAAAACCCCGTCCGCACCGAGCGAGTCCCGCCCTTGCGAAAACCCAAGGCGAGTCTGGACAATTTTACCTCCGCCCCTGACTCGATAAATCTGCGCCACGTTGCTGTGAAGCGCGCGCTGGGGCAACTCTGGAGAAGCTTAGGGAGTATGATTTTAGCCAGCGCGGAGAGGAGCACTCGAGAGGCTCCGGTCATGCCTCATGTTTTGGAGATTATCGCCTTCCTGCACCATGTTGGTCTCATGCCGGATTCTATCTACACCTACCGTCCTCACGAGAACAAGTACGCGCTTCAACAGCCTCCGACGCTTCACATGTTGTCGTCCAAGATACTGACCGCGCTGTCCGACGCATCCTGGAAGGCACACGAGGCCTCTGTGAAATCGGCAAAACCTGGCGCGAAACCCTCATACTTTCTTGGGCATGAGATTCCTGGCTCCCGCTACAGGGTCCATGTCACCGAAATAGGCCCAGAGCTGTGGTTGGAACTCGTACTCTGGTCTTGCCTCCACGGCGGCTGGACAGCGGACGGTATTGCAATACTGGAACAAGTAGCGTCCGAACACAAGGAGCATGGCTGGGGCCTGATCAGCTGGCGGGAGATCATGTTGGCTGAGCAGCAAAACTCACCATCACCTTCGAGACTATGGAAGCTGTTCCCAATGAACGGCGAAGCTGCTGCGAGTGATGCGGACAGAGCGCGATCCAGGAAAACCATCAGCAGCGAAGTCGTCACTGCATTTGTAGACGCTACGGCGAACAAAATGCGCGTTGGCGTTGGCTTGCGTGGCTCTAACCCAGAGGTCGTCGTAAAACAGCTCAAGACACTAAAAGACTTCCTCGACGTGAACAACCTCAGCTTGGGGTCTACATCTTGGGATTCAGTCATTGCTCGACTTATAGAGTCAGGAGCTTTCGTGCCTGAAAAGCGCCCCGAAGCCCTCCTACGCCTCTTTCAGCTGGCCACCGGGTTCGGTGCAGAAGTCACTACTCTCAATGCTTCAGCGACAACCAGTGATGAAGTACATTATTTTTTTGAGCCTACAACTCTTCCACTCAACCTGCTCCACCGAACAATGCGGGCATTCATCAACAACGGGGATCTCCAGGGCGCAATGACCACATTGACGTTGTTACAGCAGCACACCGACGAAAATAAGCAAAAGTCCTTGCAGCAATTCTTCGAAATGCTGAAGAACGACACGCCAAAGCAGGGACATCCTTTCACGAGCAGTCTTCCACCAGTTGACTTCCCAGCTTTCGAGGTCAGCATGCCTGTTCCTCTACGCGCCAGACTGTTGGACTTGGCTACCGAGTCTGGGATGCATGAGCTAGGTCGCTGGCTACTATTTGCTCAGGACATTGATGGTCCTCTGATAGGACGCGATCTGTACAACCATCGAAATGTCGCTGCGTCCATTGTGCGATTTGGCACACTCTCTGGCGAGAATGATCTCGTGATGGATATCGTCAAGAGAGTCGGAACCTGGTCCAAAACCCACGGAGAGCAGCGCATGCCTGCCGAGGTCCTTACTGCACTTCTCTGCAGTCAGATCAAGCTTCATCGATGGGACTCCGTGAAAGGGATGGAGCAGTACATCGGAGATGCTGCTGGGTTCAAGCCACGGCCAATCATACTATCGACTTTTGCCGCAGAGCTTCTTCGACTATCTACAGGGCCCGAAGAGGAGCGGCTGAAAACGCAAGATGCGTTCACCGATCTACTTTTTGCTTGGGAAGATCTCATCCTGGGCAATATTCGCAATGAATTGCATTGTATATTGGCAATCATGTCGACTACGGATGACATGTGGAAGGACTACTGCTCTCAGTTCTTGGCCTTCTCTTCACGTCAATACATAAAACTCTCCACAGACGATTTTAACAAAGTGCTCAGCGGTATACTCGATGGTTATGGAAGCTCCAAGGCCAGAGCAGCAGTGAGCACTTGGTGCAATATGTCATCTGCCGCATTCGAAGCCCATCGAGCTCCTGGTGGACTGCTGACCATGCCGCGCTTCCAGGTCGGCAAAGGCACTGAGTACGCAGAACGGCCACCTCACATTGAACTGATCCAAGAGTCAGGCGCAAAGCTTACCCTACAAGGACGGATAAGGCCTAATCGTCAGACATTATGGGTCATTTTTCGCAAGGTGCAAGAGGAAGTGGAGCAGCGCAGGTGGCAAGGGAAAGAGTTCTCCGCCACTGAGCATGCAGACGTGCGCACGACGCTCAGGTGGGCAGCGCGCCTACTGTACAAGCTGGGCTACGACTACGAAGACATTTCTCTCGACATGGGCAGTATTCTCGTAGAGCTAGCCGGACTTGAGCCTCCCGCGGCCACTAACGATCCCGAAAGGCTCGATGGTGCTGTACCAAGATTTGGAGAATACGCTTCTGCCAGCACGCATAGACTAGCTTTCTTGTAGATATTTGTTGCGTAACATCCCGAACATACATGCTAGGGATTCATTTTCGACCAGGAATCAAATTCGTGGCTGGGGATCCGCGGTTTTGTCGCACCTCCTCGGTCACGCGATACTATATATGAGCATTTCAGTGCCTGCATGTACCTCGCTATGGCGACGATGTTGATGTGTGTCCACATTCAGGGCCCCACAAAAGTCTTCAGCACGAAAACAAAGGCATTTCTGCTCCTACCCCACTGGACTGGCGACTCCGAAGCGCTCAGTGAGGGGCACGTGAGCCAACCAAGTTTTTACCTAGGTACATATTTTTCTGTAGTGGAGTACAGGGATTCTCGATTCGAGACCCCTGAAGCGTTTGATGCTCATCATACTCCCCATTGCGACTCCACCCTGTACCAGACAGCTGTCAAAGACCCCAGACCGCCTAGAAGTTGTACGCCGTGAAAATACTTCAGCGCCAGCGTGCGGTGCATTGTGCGACTATTCACAGGCGAGGTTGGTGTTGGCGATAGACGGAGCGAATGGGAAAAGCTACCTGTCCGTAGACGTACAGGAGCTATGTCCAATCAGAAGCGTAAGGCTGATGGCCACGTTGAAGATCTTTCGAGCATCGCAGTGGAGTCGGAATCTCGTCCAACCAGTGCACTGTGGGCCACTTTACCTCGATCCACCAACGGCTTGCATCCTGCAACCAAACCGGGTAAGAGCTCAGCCTCACAAAGCGGCTCTGGGAGAGATCAACGTCTTTGCAATGTCAACGATGAGGCCTCAATTGATGCTCTGGCTCTACAAGAGGCCTCCATATCACAACTGTACAACCCCAAACCTTAAATTATCTGATACGCAGACGCTGTCTCAGGGCCCAGAACGCGCATTATCACAAGCAACGGCCCGCTGCTGTCGTACCTTTTCAGGTTTACACCACACTCACCGACTTTTGGTCCCGGCGCCAGTCGCCCAAAGCGTATCGATAGACGTCTTAGCACCACCTGGAGGGGCAGTGCTGGCGACGTCAAGTCACAGATATTTTGCGGAGGGCCAGGGCCGTAGTGAGAAACGGGTAAACGTGCACTGTTTTTCCACGAGATGATCACGATTCTTGTGCACAAGTGATATTAAAATGACGACGCCCCAGAAAAATGATGTGCGCGCACTGGTAAGCGCAGCAATCTATGTGGGCTGTCGTTGGTTGCGCGATGCAAGCCCGGCCTCCATTTTGCCACGGGCCAATAGGGGCCGTATGTTGCTCGTTCGACAACTTTTTTAGCCTCCGGGGTTGCTTCGTCGCTGGAGTTTTGCATGCGGTCGAAGATTGAGTTTAAGTGGGCCCATACGTACTTTGGCCGAGGAGGGGCACGCGACTGTGAGGTAGAAGAGAGCCCTCACCAAGACCGCCATGATGGGATGTTTTTGGTGTCGCAATTCATGTTAGGCTGAATAGTTGATGCCGCCATGTCCCTGGTGTAATTGGTGTGCAGTATGACTCTTTGTGGGCTTTTCGCGAGCCGTCGGGAGTCAGAGCATGCCCTGGTCAATTCTCACCGCTGCGCTAACGTCCCCTAGCGCCCTAGCGCCAAGCGCCTTCCTAAATTTCCATATCCCTCTGCTTCTGCCCACCCGCACTCCGCAAACCACACAGACACCAAGTCGCACAAGAAGCATAACCAGAAGCACAATTAACCCCATCCATATACATCTTCGTCGAGACAATGCCGCAGGCAATCGCTGAGTGCTAATTTCCCTCTGGGTGGCCTACATTTTTTTTGTAGGCCATCCAGCCGGCCAGCTCGCGAGACTTCAACTCAACGACGATACACATCCACGACTGCGTGAAGCACACTCTGCTCTCAACCGTCTCAATCAAGTGTTTCTTCGTCCGGCCTGCACTGCACACTACACGCATTGTCAGTTCCTCCAGTGCCATCCACGAACACGACGACCCGCTGTCAGCTCTACCATAGTCAAGAGCCCGGCCCCTCAGTACAACACATATCTAGTCGACCAAACGCTGTCACTCTCCTCAATACGACATTCTCCTCCTCACTCAACCCTTCTACGCAGGGACCGCACCACTCACCCATCCCTGGACCTTCACCCCCGCAAACTCTACAGCCACGAGATCGGCCAAGAAAGGCCCACACCGATGGCGCACCTTACTTACTCGCGGTCGGCCATGTCCGACCTTGGTGGACATCAACACAAGGACCGCAAGCTCATGCAAAGCGATACCACTACCAAAGGACGCTACAGCGATAGCCAATCAGGCGCACAAGACAGTGCGCCAGGCAGCAAACACCGCAACGAATCGAGAAGTGACGGCCAGTCTCTCACTGGAGAAGCTACAAATGAAGACGATGAGGGAGACAGTGAAACCGCGCAAGACGGTGAACAAGATGATGATGAGGATGAACCAGCGGCCCCCGCCCCGTTCCGCGGTCTTGGGAAGGGCAAAGGACGAGGAAAACGCCCTGCCATCCGTGTCGAACCTGTCGAAGATCAATCGCAGGAAGAGGATGACGAGGTCGTATCCCTTGGAACGGGGCCCAGCTCGAGTAAGCACCCGGTGAGCCAACTGATCATGAACAACAAGAAGCGCACCTTCAGCAATCTGTCCAGCACATCTGTGCTCTTTGGTGACGACTCCACCGATCAAGAGTTTCCCAGACGCAAGATGGCGCGCAAACTAAGCAATGCGGTCACGAAACCGCTACTGACCTACAAGGCAAATGAGGAGGACCTTCATGAAAATGCCATCGAGAGCGACGATGAAGACTATAGCGCACTCAACCTCATCCCTGATGATGACTCAGATGTCGAGTTGATGGAGCAACAAGAAGAGAGCTTCATTCTCCAAGAAGAGCAGCAGGCGACCACCCTACTCAACGAGTTCCGTGACGCTCGCCGACTCAGCCTCGAGAGCTGCATTAGTGACAATATCTTCGATGTCACTGCGCCACTTGACGACGCATACATCTCCGGTCTTCAAGACTACGGCTTTGCCCAATTCTTCGAGCCAGAGGCTCTGCCTGCATCTCCCGATCCAGCGGTCAAGAGAAAGTATTCAGATAGCTCCACGAAGCGTGTTCGCTTCGATGACGAGGTTCAAGTATCAGATAGCTCAAGCTCAGAATCTTCCGAGCTCGACAGCAGTGTCTTTCCCGATCTTTTCCTTGAACAAGACAAGTTGCCTCCCATCTTGCACCAGCTTCTTGAGATCGACAATGACGAAGATGACGGAGACTTCGCTTCTCCTCAATCTGACGCATCGTTCTGGGACTACGGCCAGGACGAGTCTCGCATCACACCAGCTGAGCAATCAGACGAGACCGATAATGACTCGGCTGGCTCCAGTGGCTATGATTGTATGATTATGCCCCACACTAAATTTACCTTGTCCACTAACATCTCTTCGTAGCTGACATGGGTGATACCACTGACGAAGAAGACTTTGGTACTGACGCTGCGCCACGGACACCTGTTCAAGACAGATCCGTTCTGCGCCAACCAGCCTCGGCGCCTGGGTCACGGGCTGCGACCCCCAAGCCATTTCAGCGCAGCTCCCGACCTACTGGACGCCAGATACCACCTCCTCGTGGTATCTTCATTCATGACGACAGCACCAAAGCTATTGCTGTCACTAATCGTGCAACCAAGACGGTCACCTTCTACCGGCCTCGGCCAGCCATCATTCCTTGGATACCTCTGAATGGATACCAAAGCGGTACCAGCAGCACCGCCAACAACAGTCCTCGAAATTCGATTGCACAATTGAATGCATCCGACAGCGAGAACAGTAACGAAGTTTTGAACAACGCTCTTAACACCGACATCATGCTCACTGGTATTTTTGGATCTGCGCCTAGTAACAACGACTTCTACTTCGGTAACGAGAGCATCGGTCCACCTGAGGCATTCTATCCTTTTGTCAGCATCGGATCCAATGGCAACATGAACCTCATGGACGATGACGAGTACGATGACTCTGAGGATTTCGAAGACGACTTGAACATTGCCGATTTCATGGACTTCGGCTCCGACGGTGACGACACCGATCTGGAACCAGACTTTGAAGATACCGATGTGCCAGCAACTCCAGCTACGTCTCAAGTGGCGCTTCATGGCTCAACCCCTGCTCAGCCTACGCCGATGACCGAGACGCCAGTCAACCGTAAGAGGACGACTTCGGACGCTATGCTTCAGCACTTCGACCGCGGTGTCGTCACCGCTTTTCGCAACAACCAGAACCGCTACCGCGACGTCGCATCGCTTCCGCAAGATCCTGCTGCGCGCGCTTCGGTCTCGCGTCCAGTCCGGTCCGGCAAGTCTGCTGAGGCTCTCATCACACCTCTCCGCAAGCGTTCCAAGTCGAATCGGATGACCCGTACTCCTATGCACACCGGTTCAGCTGCGGGCAACCAGAGCTCGCCACTATCAGGCGTTACAAAAGCCACCTCCAGGCTGCAGAACTCCATGATGGGCACACCTCGGAGGCCTCCCCCTAGGATGGGAACCTTCTCTTAAGGCAACATGGCCTTCATGACAGAATTGTCACAACGAACATCATCTGCCGTAGATGTGGAGTGATGAAGATCAGGTGAGAAGTTTACGGGATCTCCTGGGGAGATACACGACGCTACGATACCCACGACCTTTTGCTTCCCGCTATTTTGCGGCTTTGTTGTTATTACGAACTTGATGATATCCTTGCATGCATATCTATCAAATGTTCTTGGTACGTTTCTTTCACTAGACGGACTCAATAAAAGTGGGAAGGGGACTTTCACCTTCGGAGAATGTTCTGCGGAAGCGACGCCAGCAGCTTCTTCCGACCCTCGCAACACTATTTCCTTTTGTTTTGGAGCGTTCCTTTGGCTATACCAGTGTTTTACTTTTGAGCGTTTAGTATCCCCCTTCTCTCCTACATCAGCAAGGATCGAGCTTGTGGGACGATACTATGTACTTGGGCGGCACGGTCTGAAGGGTTTCATAATCTCCGGCGTTTAGATCTACTGTTGTAGGTCATGGATGGCGTTGAGACAGTGGAACTCTTTCAGACGTCACGCCACGCTTCTTTCATTTGTTAAGGGGATATTGCACTTTCGGTGGCTTTGCGTGTACGATTACTAGTCACAATGATAGTGTTTTACTGCAGTTGAGTACATCCCCCTGATTACTTTCATGCACGATCTGAATCATGGCGCCATCGTCTATAACGGATCCCAATGCCTGTGCACATCTATCTGAGCACTGACCATCAGCTTGGAGCGGCTTGCAGATGGCGCAATACAATGCCTTGGCGTGGTGAATGGCTCAAGCGTCGGCCAGGTGCGTCTGTGCTCAAACGACGTCACACCTTCGCTCGCATGTGATGATTGACGTCCGGTGAACATTACTGCTCGACAACGCCCGATGCCTGCAAAGATCTTGCGATGGAGGAGTTGAAGGACGACTATCGTGAGGGCGAGTCATTTATGCAGTATGCCATAGTACGTTAATGCCTACACGCGCTCTTTGCACTGCAGCACACTAGAGACAATATTCTCCGAAATGATGAGCGCATCACAGTCACTCATACAACTTGAATTTAGGACACGCTCTTACTACCCCTACGTATCGCATCTTCGCCGGCATTGCTAAGAACGTACCTCCGCGGGATTCTGCTGTTCATCACGTCCACAATCCTCTTCGCCCTCGCTGCCGTCGAGTATACGTCATTCTACTACTCCTACATACCCGTGCGCGGCATCACTACACCGGTGTATCTGCAGTTCGACCATGGCAGTGCTACGAGACATACAATACTACAGTCACACGATGTCGCGACGAAAAACTGGCCGTACGGTATCGCAAATATACCCGGACTTGTGAGCAGGCAAAAGTATGATGTCGTTGTTGAAATGACCGTGCCGAGGAGTCGAAGAAACCTCAACGCGGGTAATTGGATGGTTGGGTTAGAGATGCGCGGTCCTTCAACGGCTGCGGGCGGCATCAAGGGCATGCTCGGCTGGGACGAAGAGTGGGACAACACCCAAGGAGGGGTCTCGGGAGCTCCGACGCAGAATGTAGATGCTGCGGGATTGACTGGTACGCCGACAGTCATCGCGAGGAGTAGGAGACCTGCGATCTTGACGTATCGGAGCTACGCTATCGAACACGTCCATCGACTACTTCGCCTGCCACTGTATCTTCTCGGATGGCATACCGAGTCAGAGCATATTGAAATTAGCATGATGGAATCTGTAGAGTTTGACAAGGGCGCGCGCAACGTGCCAACTTCTGTCAAAGTCGAGCTACGCTCCAGCTACCCATTGGAAGTCTATACCGTCTCAGTCCGCTTCAGCGCGCGCATGGAAGGTCTACGCTGGCTTATGTACCGATACTGGCTCACCTCTGCCATCACCGGCACCACCCTCTTCTGGAGCGTCGAAATGAGTGTCCTGCTCTTCACATGGGCCATCTTCACCCTCCTCTTCAGCAAATCAGACCCCCACCCCGGTCATAAACAAATCAAACAAGAATCCGGCACCACGACCCCCAAGCGCGAAGACACCGAGCCTTCAACCCCCTTCTCTGAAACCTCTCGCACGTTCCCATCTCTATCGTCTCACCAGCAATTGCAATACCAGGCCCCAGCAGTGCCGAAATCCGAACGCGACTCCCCCGTGCTCGAAGATATACCGACCCGCGAAGAAGCGGAGGCGGATGATGAGGATGATGATTTCGTGCTGGAAGAGCCGCTGCCGAGGACTGGGGAGAAAGATGGTGGGTTTACGGATTCGGGGATTGGAACGAGTGTGGAGAGTAGTTTTGAAAAGGAGAGGGGTTTGAGTCGACGCAGGAGTGGGAGGAGGAGTGGAGATGATCGGTAGCGTCGGTCGGACTCTGCGCCGCCACCAATGGTGAGGGTGGGTGGAGATGAGGTAGATGGGAGGAAGAGGGAGAGGGTGAGGGTCAGGAAATGTGGGTGTGGTAGGTTGCATTCACATTGATGCCGGGCGTGCTAAACTTCGCATGTCTATCTTGTTTCAAGCACAATGTGCAGACGAAAAAATAATCCGCTTTCTGCAAAGCCATTACTATTCATCATCTTCTTCAACAATCACAAGTCCAAATGTTAACGCACCGTGATGGAACATTAGAGCTGATTGGTCGGCCAATCACACTAGTCGGGATCTACACAGACCTGACTGTCTTGCGTTCTTGACACTTACAATGATATCACGACATGCAATATACGACCATGAGAAACGAAGCAGGCTCACCCGTAGAGTTTGTGTCTCTGGGCATGGTCATTCTCGATGACATTAGTATACCAAAGCGAGAATTAATTCGCGACATTGTTGGAGGTTCAGGCGCTTTCTGTATGCTAAATGGCTTCCACAACTCCTGTCGACCATCAACCTGATTCACCGTTTTAGCAACGTTCGGCTACCGTCTTTTCAACTCAAAGCCGCGAAGCCAAACAGTAGGCTGCCTTGTACTTGCGGGTAACGACTTCCCTGCTCCCGTGCGAAAGCAGCTTGAAGAATGGGACATGAATCTTGTCATAAAACAGTCGAGTGATCGACTCAGTACTAGGGGATTGTTGGAGTATCAAGATGATACTTTTGGACGTACGGTGTTCGCGCCAACACTCTAATACCTCGCTAATTCGACTAGCAAAAACGTTCAAGTACACTACGCCTCCGCTCAAGTCAACACCAGTCCATCTAATTGACACGCCGTTGATACAAGCTGGAGCGATTCACTTCTTTGCGACAGCAGAAGAGATATTAGTCCAAGTCCCCGAGCTTTTGAAGCTCCGCGGTGACACGCGCCGTCCGTTCATCGTCTGGGAGCCCTTTCCAGCTTCATGTCGACCGGAAAACAAGAACACTATACTCGAAGCGTGTCAGCACGTTGATGTACTTTCACCTAATCATCTTGAGTTCATGGCCTTATTCGAAAACACCACCAAGACTACGGCATTCGACAAAGCGGAGCTGGAAAAACGTGCAGTTGACTTCGCCAAGTCAACTAGGACTGCCATCATGATCGTGCGATGTGGCGAGTTTGGGTCGTTGACTATAAGCCCGGACAATCAGCCTTTTTGGCTTCCACCTTTCTACGCCCAGGGCGCTAAGGAAGTCGTTGACCCGACGGGCGCTGGTAATGCGTTTCTGGGCGGATTTACTGCGGGCTGGATGAAGACTCAAGATGCGAAAGAGGCGTCTATGTATGGAAGTATTGCGTCTAGCTTTGCGATTGAACAGATTGGGTTGCCGGTACTTGGATCGGAAGGGGGCGAGGAGGTGTGGAACGATGCCCGGATTATGACCAGACTGGAGGAGTACAGGTCGTTGTATCTTGGGGGGATTGACATGGGAAAAGACAGTGATTAGCGTGTTTGAAACAAACAGGTCAGTAGCCCTAAGAGCCAGTGCAGAAAACTGTCAGACTGTAAAGTCTCAGCGTGAAAAGAGATGCTGCAGGTTATCATCTACAATGGAAAGCCACTAAGGTGCCTAAACCTATACGCAAGACTTTGCTATCACGATAGAAGCCTTGCTTTACTGTATGAAACTCTAGGCTATAGGGTAGCCTGCTGCTTGCTGCACTCCTGTGACTTTCCTTCGTACATGACAACCTGCGGTATGGGTTTTGTTAATAGAAACGTAAAGCAAGCATAATTTACGCCACAAATGGCAAAAGTCCCTAAAGAGAATGAAAAATTCCTTTCAAGACAGTGAAACGATCGACCTTGCTAACATGATCTACCACCGGCTGTTCTTCGTGACATTAAGCTGGCAAATCACTCAACCATTCACTGCTATAAAGTGACATAACACAAGACATTCTACGTCAGGAGCTCATCCGATTACGGTCTCTATGGACATTCGTCGGCCTATCTAATATATTTCTGCCTGCACATGGAAAGCCCGGAAACTAGCAAGTCGGTCGAATTCGATGCAGAAGGAGCTAAAGTAGCTTTGCATATCGGAATTCGTAGAATACTTCGGGCCAAGCGGAAGTTCAAGGCAGGTCGGCTGAACGAGACTCACCTAACCTAGACTACTGTACTTGTTGTACAGGGTGGTGTCCGAAGGCCAAGTCGCACCCTGGATAGCGCAGTCGATCAGTCGCCATGAGTTCCGATAAGTTGAGTCTAATTCTTATTCCCAAATCTGACTTTTTGAAGCGCCGGTTTACCTGCAAGAAGATTGATGCGCGACGGCCCGACACAGTCAGACGCGGCTCCATATACTCATGATAGTTAGAATCATCCGGGACACGGCTTGTTCGGCGTCAAATCCTAGTCTACACAGCACATGCATCCGCGTATAGAGGTTGGTTGCTCGCCACATATTAATCGCCAATGTCAGCACGCAGCTCGGATACCCCGGTAGAGCCGAGAGGTGCCGTTCTTGAATCTGTTGAGACTTGAGAGAAACAAAATAATCTCGCACTTCAACCCTACTTACCCTATGGTATGTCGCGACTCGCTTGAACGCCCTCGGTACCGATGTCGTCCGGTACGATTCGACCTGCATGCACATCTGAATGCGATCGCAACAAGGATCTTACGCCTATGGTCATGTCGGCGAAATTGTGGGGGAGGGTCAATTGAAGGTGATGCAGCCAATCATGCTCCCATGGCCAAGGCTTGGTGGGGCTGGGCAATGGATGCGAGCGTAGCAGCGGTACGATGCTCGAGTATATTATAAGGTGGGTTAGGCATGGGCGGGATGGATCAGCGGTTCTGGGCTTTGTTGATCAGAGTGGTTTTCTAGAAGGAAGTTTGAGTTGACGTTTTGCTCATTCTTCTTTGACTGCCTGGTTTTCGCCTTACGTACCAGAGGGTATTTATATTTTTTGAAAACGGGAGAAGAGAATCATTTAGCTCGAAGTAACAGTATTTTCGGAGCCATGGCTTCTAGTACGGAAGACATCGAGAGCAACTCCAAGGAAGCAAGCGCCATCGAAGTCGAACAGGCCCCTGCTGCCAATGACAAACGAGACGTCAACAGAGTTCTGACCGACGAGGAAAAGAAATTGCTCAGAAGAGCTACGTAAGTATGCTGCAACCAAATTTTGGATCATGAAATGACTTTACTATAGCATGAAGACAGACTGGCGTCTCATCCCCATCCTCGGCGCATGCTACGCCATCAGCGGTATTGACCGCGTCAACGTATGATCTGAAAAGATTGAAATTCGTAATGTCTACTCATTATGGTGCACAGATATCCGCTGCACGCATCGCAGGCATGAACCGAGAACTCGGCTTCAATGTCGGCGATCGCTACTCCATCGCTCTTCTTGTCTTTTTCGTAACATACTTCATTTTCGAGATCCCAAGTAATGTCGTTCTGCGAAAGGTTGGTGCGGCGAACTGGCTCTCCTTTCTATGTTTCGCTTGGGGACTTGCAGTGTTTGGCGCGGGATTTGCGAAGAAGTGGGAGGTAAGTGATGTATCAAAGCTTGAAACATGCGGTCTTGGGACTAAAAGAGCGTGCAGGATATCGTGGTTTGTCGCTTATTGTTGGGTTTGTTCGAGGCTGGTTTCTTCCCAGGCTGGTACGTGCCGTGACGAAGGAGTCATGGGAGTAATGACTAACAGTGCATAGTGTCTACCTAATCTCATGCTGGTACACACGCTTCGAAGTCCAGAAGCGCCTCGCAGCATTCTACAGCATCAGCGGGATTGCCAGCGGTTTCGGCGGACCCCTTGCGTACGGCTGTATGCAACTCAATGGGCGGAATGGCTGGCTTGGATGGCGCTGGTAAGTCCACTTCTTTGAACAAAAATCAACAATCGACTAAAATACTGCAGGATCTTCATCATAAACGGAGCCATGACCATATTCCTGGCCCTACTAGGTCGTCTCCTCATAGTCGACTTCCCCGACAAAGTCTACAAAGCACGCTACCCCTTCCTAAAGCCCATTGAAATCCAAGCCATCCAAGACAAACTCGAACGCGACCGAAGCGACTCCGAATTCGACGAAATCAATATGGCTAAGCTCATGCGCGCCCTCGCACGCTGGGAGCTCTGGGTCTTTGCCATGAAGTTCTTCGCCGTCACGGCAATCTCTTACGCATTGGCATTCTTCCTTCCCATCATTCTTCAGAGCATGGGCTACAGTACCGGAAAAGTGTTCTTGCTTTCAGCGCCACCCGCTGTCGCAGCTATACCGTGGGTACTGCTTTGCTCGTGGGCGGCAGACAAGTGGAAGTTGCGAGCGCCGTTCATCGTGCTGCAAGCTCTGATTAGTATTGTGGGTCTGATGATTGTCGCATATGCGAAGAACAATGACGTGAGATACTTTGGTATGTTCATGGGTACTGCGGGCGCGGGCGGGAATATCCCGACGGTGCTGGCGTGGCAAGCGAACAACATCCGTGGGCAGAGTTTGAGAATGTAAGCGCGCTATTGCGACGAATGTGCGAGTGTTTAGGCTGACGTATTCTCCAGGGTTGCATCTGGTCTGCAAGTTGCCTTTGGCGCCATTGGTGGCATCTACGCGTCCACTGTCTTCATGGAGAGGGAAATCCCGACCTATCGGACTGGTATCTGGGCTGTGACAGGGGCGCAACTCTACCTGGTTGTGTCGACGTGTGCCTTGGTGTTTCACTACTGGCGTCAGAATAAGAAAGCTGGTCGCGGCGAGATTGTAATCGAGGGGCTGGAGGGCTTCAGATACACATACTAGGTGAAAATAGGGTTGATGTTACTCAATAAATGACTGAGTTTTCTGAAGTGATACTTGATTAGCTTGGGATGGTCAAATAAGGACGGAAGTGACCATTTGCCCATGCAGTATATGGACATTAAAAACCCCGTTCTGTATGTGAATTGGATGAGATTGTGAAGTGCGATGGAAGACTATATGTCAACTCATTTTCTATGACAACTGATCTCATCTAAGATTTCTGCGACAACATCGCTCTAGGCTTTGGATCACCCCAATCTTTACCAATGTGATGTACTTGTACATGCCTAAAGATCCGGAGTCAGCAATGATATAAAGCTTACCTCTGCAGATCATCAGGCGTATATTACTCATGATCATGATCAGGACACCACGGACATGCATACCCAGGAGCTTGATGCTTCAAACTGTGTCGTAGCATGTCGTTCTTGCGCTTGTAACCTGTGTCACCTTCACTTCGCAGGGAACCTTGCACGGGGCAATAATGAAGCCATTTTTGTAGATGGGCGATTATGTATGAGCTTAATTACGTCAGCTAAGTCTCATAGGCGTTAAGACAGATCACATTTGAGCAATTACTTAGTTCCAAAAGCGTCTGCGTTGCAAAATGGGACATTTTCACCGACAGCGGCCGGATTCACGGCGTGTGATCAGCGCATTCTTGACACGATGTCGAGATCTCGTCATCATGCCGAGGCTGGTTACAAGGTCTACTTTTTGATCACAAACTCCATCTCAGCACACATCAACAGAGCTCTAAGATCTTGATTTCTTGAACTAATGTATCACGCCTTGATACCTGCACATCAGCTCTCCACAAATACCCCCCAGCCTGGTTGGGTCATGCCCCACTGGTCTCAGCTGTGCAGATTTAAACGCGAATCAAGAAGATTGCCACCGCTTTGAGCAGGGTCTGGACCTAACTGGCGAGGCGCTTGAGATGATGATAAAGAAGAACTTGCTGGATTATTTATCAGGTTCACATACGACACGATGTGTGGGAGACAGTACCATGTTTGGAAGAGCCATACTGCTCCTCCTTCACCCTCTCTACCGTACGAGCAGCTTCCTGCTCACGAATTGGAAGCAGACCAATGCGGTGGCTCTCTTTTTCTCGACGGTGATTCTCTCGCTGATCCTGGTCGGTAATGGTATCGACCGTGCTGCCTTCACATTGTTAGACGTAAAGAAAACAAATGTAATTGTACATTCTAAACTTACCGTTTTCTGTAGAGACGACTTGCTGCGATCTGAGCCGGTCCGTGAGCCATGTTATCGCGCTGTCAACAGCACCGAATTTCCGTATTCTGTTGAGTCTGATGACTGCGCCTGGGTCGGTGACAAGAATGAGAGCGTGCTGATTTTTAGTATAGACCTTGAGTTCTTCCAGATAATGTTCGCCAAGAATAACATCGTGGGTCAGACCGTTCAACAGGAAGAAGTCTATCATGGCATCCACCTTTGTGCCAGGAGCTTGCTGGGTATTGAAATGTGTTGCGATCGATAACTTTGCTCTGACGAATCCCTGGCACGTTACAATGCTACCATCAGCAAGCTCGATCAGTTCTTCTGCTGGGTAGATGTTAAAACCCCGGGCAGTGGCAAAGCTGGTCGACATGAGATCGATTTCTGACCCGGAGTCCGGAGTTGCTGCGGCAAGTTCATTGTCGATCTCGCATATGAGATGTTTTCTAGGTATACCCACAGAAAATACCCTAGGAACTCGGATAGTCGAGCGTGGGATCTTCATAATTTTGTTCCTGTGTAAGGTCATGATCTGGAATTGTTCGAGGAAAGATACACCCATTATGACTTGGGACGGCAAATGTCTGAGCACGTAGAAAATAGCTGACATGTGAGGAAGTCCCATCGAGGACTGCACCGCGAACGTGAATTCGGCGCAAATGTATCTTTCTGGAAACACAAATGTACCATCTGCAAGAAGAAGGTAGAATCCCGGTGCAGCTGACTCACGCATTTCGTATCCTAGAGCTTTCGCAATATCTTTCGATATCAAGTTCACGTCAGAGCCAGTATCTGGGCATGCTAATATGGTTGCGGAGCAAATAGTCCCATTGAATTTGAGGGGAAGGGTAGAATGACCTCTTCCAAGCACACGGGGATTAGGAAGCAAATTTTCTCCATTGTGAATCTCGGCAGGCTCCTCGTCGAATTCGATAGATCGGTAAAGTGTCGTACCAATTGAACGAGCAATCTGGGGGTACTGTGGTGCCATGTGGTGCAGGAGAAGTGTGTCAGCCAATTGCGTGGCGTGGACTGACGGATGGCAGCAAGAGCACGACTTGGCGAAGTGAGCGAACCCATTGGTGACCTATGCCTGTAAATATGTATGCACTTCAATACTTTGTATACGTTCATCAGGTCGATTTTTACGTACAGGTATGTCGTCAATGTCTAAGGGTAACCAAGAGCGCGAGTCTAGGTCCCAAGCGGTTGGGATTGGTGATGGACAGTCATACCGAGACGAAAAAGCCTTGGGCTGAACCCGCCGAAGCTGAGGAGATTTCGGTGCTGCGTCGAGGTCTGGATCATAATAGGCACCTTCATCTTGTATGTCTTGATCCATATCTTTGATGACTTGTTTCGTGTTCAGTCCTTGACATGTTCCTTCCTCGACATGCAAGAAAAGGTCAAAAGTTGGCAGAGAAAGTACAGAGCGAGGCAACGCGGGGTCTTCACTTCTAAGCCACAAGCTGCGCATCTGTCAGATGCGGGTGCACAGCCTATTTACACAGCCCAGATCTCGAGGTTCGTCGCATGGTCTCTATCACCAGATCTCTCATCATTCGCAGATGCGAATATCGCAATGATGGCAACGGACAATGAAAATAGGATTTACCAGCTGTCAGGCTACCCTTCGCTTGCTGCCTTCATTGCAAGTGATCGCGACCGCACGACCCTCATATACAAGCGCTTTGACGAATTAGCAGCACGAAATCTGCTGCACCTGCAAAGTGAACTTGCAGACCTTCATGCGCAACAGCGTGCATTCGACGAAGAAGACCTTGCAGCCGATCTGGAAACAAAACAATGTGCACGCAATTGGGAATCCTTCAAAAAGGCTGCGGCTATGGGTGACAATAGACAAAAGGAAAGATGGGCATTGATGCTTCGCATCCGGGAAACGATGCAAGAATACCGCGAGGCTCTGTTGTTTGAGAGCACGTTAGCAGCTCTATCACGACCTTCCAAAGGCATCATGTGTGCATTCCGGGAAGTGTTCAACAACCAGACTGATGGGAGGGGCGAGCCTTTCCCAACCTTGGGAGGCCATGGTGCTGCACTGTATGATGATATGGATGACCTGGTTGCGTTGCGGGTGCAGGAGACTGGAGATCGTCTGAAGGACTTTGCGCATGAGCATTTGGCGTTTCTATTCCCCGTGAGTGAACCGTCTTCCAGGGAAACCGGTTTCATGATGAAGAATGAGAGGTGTTGCTGATGCAAAGAACGTAGGATCGAAAGCGCGCTAGAAAAGGCATCGCCTATGCTTCGGACCGAGCCATTAGCTCCTTCGTAGCGTGGTTCAGCACCTTCCTTGCGGCTCTGCTGTTGATAGGTGCAATTGTCGTACTCTACACTGTGCACTCTCCAGACTGGCGGCTGGGATTGATAGCAACATTCACCACGTTGTTTGCTGGTAGTGTAGGACTTCTCACAAATGCGCGAAGAGCGGAGTTGTTTGCGGCTACAGCAGCGTAAGTGACGACAGATCCAGGTTCAAAACCACAAATACTGATCGAGGTGATTGTAGTTATGCCGCTGTGCTCGTTGTGTTCGTTAGTGGAGATTTGGGAGGAAGCCAGAATGGTTGATGGTCAATGATCTGCCGTGGTGTATTAATACTACTATCGCTCTTACATCCGACCAAATCCCATAAATGTTGAATCATTAAAGAACCGCCACGAGTTTCAGATAGTCACTTTCTGCCCTTGGAAGCTCTCTCTCCTCCCCCAATTCCTCGGTTGTCTCTTCAAGAAAGCACCAACAGACCCAAGATAGCCCTCATGTCGCAAAAAGTATGCTTGTTTTGTGCCCTTGGACCAAAAGCGGATGGCATAAGAAAGCGTGTTCATGGTCTGAGAGTGTCCGCCGATGAATGACCCGCCGAAGTATATCCGCGGTAGGCCATGCTTCTCTGCGTGGAGATAGGCGATTTGGCCGATGTTGTTTGAGACGGCGTAGAGTAGTGAGCGAGAAATGTCTTCGGGTCGGAAAGCAGCAGCGGGGTGGGGAAGTTCGGATGAGCCTTCGACGTGTTCTGCTTCTTCGCGGCGCTTCATGTCGCCATTACAGCCGTCTTCTGCGTCTCGTTCTGCCGCGCGCTTCATCTTGTAGACTTTGCCGAATGATGAAGCAATGTGCGTGCTCTTGAGGCCGATCTTGTTGTAGGCTTGTCCGTAGATGTCTCCAACAAGCAGATCAACGGTTGAGTTATCACCATTCTCCGCAAGCCTCAGCCATGTCATCGAAGCTCCTCGCGCCTGTCAGCATGGAGGAGCAAACCCCAAAGAGTACCGCCCCCTAGCGATGTACCGCCAACACGTTCGAATTGCCTTGGACCGGAGACTTTGACCATGGAGACACCAGAACCGATGTTTACAAGCAGGTATGGGTAGATGTTCGGTGGGTCGGGCGGGTGTGGCATGAAGGTCATGGGCTCTTCTTCGCTGTAGGTGAAGACTTCGTCGGGGATCTCGTTGATGAAGAAATCGAGGCCTTTGGGATCGGCTATTAGTATCAGGTGGCTAGTAAAAGAATTCCACATCGTACCTATTATCAAGCATTCCATCTCATCTTCGCGCTTGACCTCTACGCCAAGCGCTTGTGTTATCCTGTCGTAGTACTTGAAAGCACCGCCACCCGTCGCCATGACGCACAGGTCTTCGGGAGTCGACCCATTGTTCTGTTTGTAGTCGGCCTGCAGCTTGCGCATGAATTCGATGCACCCGTCTATCCGATCGGTCTCGAATTTGAGGAAGTTCAGCCGGCCGCCAATCGCATCGTCGCCGGGTTCGCGCGAGAAGTATACGAGTTTTGCGAGTGATCCACCAATCTGCAGTGTGGCTAGTCAGCCTTCTTCGTCCGTGCTGGGGAGAGGGTGAAGGATTCTTGTGGTCGCGTGCTGCTGCTAAAGGAGCACACGACCACATGACTACACTCACATCAAGTGCAATATGGCTTACGACTGCCGTGTGGTTTGGCAGACGGATGTCCTTGGGGTCGTGCTCGTAGTCTTCGCTTTGTGGAGTGCTGGGCTGCTCCTCGTCGACGATGAAAGCGCCCTGGACATTGATGCGCACATTGCCAGGATGTAAAATAGCTTCCTGGATATCACTCTGCACCGTAGTCCGCCTTGGACGTCCAAATGCGGGGGAAGACGGTATATCTGCAGGTTGCGCACGCGATGCGGTGTTGCCGGTTCCACCCGTCGTGGGGTCGAGCTCTGCGGGCGCTGGCGACATGGATGCGGAGGTTGACGGTCTGCGTCTTGGCTGCAGCTTCGCTCTCTTCCTACAATTACGCACGCTTCAGCGGACGTCTGGTGGAAATCTGAGATTGTGATGGTTGGGCAGTATGGCGAGCTAGGAAGTGAAGTTGCTGATAGCGAAGAGACTTCCATTTGTCCGCTTTGTGATGGGTCTGATCACCGTGGGGGAAGACGTGATATGAAGTTCTGCGCAGAATAGAGCCCAAGCAGGTCAGCAAAGATTACAATCTCTTGCTGTGCGCAGAGGTGCGGACGAGGCCTAATGTATAGCGACTCCATGTTCTCGGTGCAATGGAAACACGTTTCGTTCCGCGCGCTGATACCCGGCATCAAGGTTTCAAGCTGTTAAGCTCGGTAACTCGACATGGCGGCCGATTTATCGAACACGGACATCCGAGGATTTGCTAGGTTGGGGCCCCGTGGAGGTGCACATTGCCACTGCCGAAAGAGGGGTCTTGTGCAGCAGGACTTCATCAAAAGTTGATGTCGATAGCTAAAGAATTTGTGGGAATCCCGCACATTCAAGAGCACGCCTGCGCTCTCAGAATGTGCTGCCATTTACAGCAAAGTCCCACGTGCTCCAGTTACTTCACTACGTCATTGACTTGCCTGGACGAGACACTAAATTGCAATTAGACAATATTGAGACATGACAGGTAGTACTTTGAGCTACACCCATATCGTACGCGGTTCTTGGGGTGTCACGATGCAACGCCCTTCAATCGTGTAATCATTTTTGATGACGTCGTGCCTCCGTTACTCTAGACCTGCAGCTTCCACGCTCACGACCACATTCCAATTCTTCAAACTCAGCCAGCCCACAAACGCAGCTTCCGGAACCACCACACCATCCCCGCAATCTTCAAACCATAGGAATTTCAGCGCCATGTCGTGGATGGACTCATGGTCTCGCCCTAACAAGCACGCAACAACTCCGCCCCCACTATACCTCACAGTCGGCGACTCAGTACCATACTGCCACAGCTGCGGCCGTGTCATCGGCGAGCGACGAAAGCACGGCGGCTCAGAAGTCAAGTACTGCTCTGCACGTTGCCGAAACAGCAAACCGGGTATCACCGACCGTAAGATCGAAGCCACATTCGCCGCCTTCCTAAACGGCGCTACGCCGGAGTCCCTGAAAGAAGAAGAGGAAGCCCAAGAGCAAGAACAAGAAGCCCAAAAAGAGAATGCAGCCAAAGACGCCGATTTCGGCAAACACGAAAAGAAACACAAGAAAAAAGCCTCAAAATCAAAGACCGTAAAAGGCGACCACAGAATCATCGTCGAGTGCGAAACAGTCCAAGACATTGTCTTCCAGCGCGAAAAAGACCCCGAGAAAGTCTACGGGCGCCGGAAAAACCGCAAAGCCCGCTTCGTCATGGAGAAACCTGAGGATTGGAAGAGCGTGGACATGGTCGACAAGCCAACAACATCTAACTCCGTGCAACCTACTACTTCCCTCACCAGCGAAGACGAAGACTCGGAATCAGACGTGTCAGAGCAAGAAGGCGGCATCGTACTTGAAGACGCTAAAACACCTGGTGATCCCGCGTTGCCAGATCAGGTCGAATACGGGTATGGCAGTGGTAAAGTCCGTCCCCCACAGGATCAAAACGACGTCAATGGCAGTGTTGGCGGCGAAAAGGGCTGGGCCGAACGCATCCATGAGACGGACGACATGAAGCTCAAACGCCGCGAAGGACAGCGGCGCGCTGATGAGCGCGAGATGGTGCGAAAGGCTGCGCGGCGCGGATGTGCGTTTGGGTTCAAAGTTGAGGGAGAAGAGGAGAAGAGGAAGTGCGAGGCAGTGATGAAGGGCGCGGTTGTGGAGGCGAGTTTTGCCAAGGGGGAGTGGGGTGTGCGGTGGAGGGAGAGAGTGTAAGAGGGAGGGTTGAAACATGTAGAACGACGTGTAACATTGTAAGCCAGAAAAGTTGGCGCTGGGTATCAATAAGAAGCAACAAGCCACCCTTTGCGCCGGCAGTAGAATCACTACTGCAAACCACCCCAACCAGTACATTTACCATGTGAACCCCTGTGCGAGCAGTGCCTGCCCATGAACGCTGCTAGGCTTCACTATGTCCTCGAAGCCAGTCATGAGTCCGGTGCCAGATCTACATTATACATTAGCGCAAGCTCTCTAATTACAAAGATGACTTACTTACTTAATCATGTTGATCGCCATAGTCCTCGCCTTATCCTTGAGATTGACCTGCGTGCGCTCCTGCAGCAAATTGTATCCATGATCGGCATCATGTCTCAATATAGCAGAGTACTTCGCAGGAAACAAGCTCATGTACTGTGCAAAAGCATCTTCTTCCTCAGTCGTCCAGTCCGTACGTTGTTTCCTCTCATTCCGGCGAGCAAGGGTTGGCGCAGCGATGTTCTGCTTTGCAAGTTTGCGTTGAGCCTGGTAAGTGGAAGGTGGTGCTTCTTCTGTCATATCAGGCGCTTCGTTTTCAGAAATAGACTCATCCTGAGTGGGTCTTCGCCTGGGCAGTCTAAGAACGTCGTCGTCAACTTCAGATCGCGGCCGAGGTTGGTGACTTGTGGGCGCGGCAGATGATGTAGGATCGATGCGGACTTTCTTCGCAACTGGTGCTTTTTGACGACGCTCTTGGACCCGGGCGGTACGATCTTCAGTCTCAAATGCATCGTCCTCGGATTCAGACTCTACTTCCGCTGGCCGTGACCGTTTCCTGTTTGATGAAGGCTGTGCGCGTTGCTTGCCCTTGTCCTTAGTGGAAGGACCCGGAGTTGGCTGAGAATCGAAGCCGTCCCCAAATTCAAGGCTCCGCGCGCCAGCTTGCCGGTCGAAGATCGAAGTGGCGCGATTCTCTTTCTGGGGCTTGACTTTCTTAAAGAGCTTTTCAGCAATGCAGCTGAACCTCGTTGGTGGCCCTGCAGGTTCTGGCTCAGCCTCGTCCTCCAGATCTGCTTCTTCTTCAACTTCTTCTTCTTCTTCTTCTTCTTCTTCTTCTTCTTCTTCTTCTTCTATCACGACTTCTGGACGCTCAAGAGGTCTCTCGTCTTCCAATTGCTCCTCAGCAAGCGGTTCATCTTCCTCCTGTTGCTCCTCGTCTTCTGCCAACAAAAAGGGACTGGTTATCATCTTGCTGATCTTGCATCACCGGTAGCTCATCCTGTGCTTCCTCTGCTTCCTCACGTGTGGGCTCTTCCTGAAGGCTCTCCGGTACCTGTCGCGCAGTGCTAGCTTCAGAAACCCTCTCTCTTGACTTCAATAGATTGATGGCATCCATGTCTATCGGTGCATTCGGGTCAAATTTTCGGCTGCTTCGTCGACGGTCTCTTACGAACGATGTTCGTTTCCGGCGTGGCGACTCTGGTTGGTTCGAGACTATATTCGGCTGCTCAGTGACAGCTGGGGGGGTGTCTATCAGTTGCTTAACGTTCCGTACAATTGCTGTAGGCCCGCCGATCTCATCAATGATACTGAAAAGTTCCCTATGGCGATGGCGTACCCAGTGCAGGAGTCTCAGAATTGTAGCCAGCCATGGGAATTCGGCACTTAGCCCATCTAGATCTACAATATCATCACGTTCCAGGGAGTCGTCACCGCGAGGAAAGAATCGCCTGATTGCGCTGATACGCTCGCTGACCCTAGCTTCGAGTTGCTGCGGCAAAGCCGAATCTTCGCCCCCTAATGCTTGTATATTCCAGCCGCGGAGGAGAGAACCCTCGCCGCTTTGTGATGGTTCAGAGCGGTAGAAGACTTCTAATATTGTCTCATCCGGGATTGAAGTCGCCATCGCCTGCCGATTTTTCGAGTACTAGAATCGCGAGCTGTGTCCGCAGCTCCAGGGCCAGATCGAATGTCTCCTGTAGCATGCCACTGTCTCCAGCAATCGTTGATACAATTTCGCGCTCGAGTGAGCGCATGAACTGGCTCGGGAAAGAGTTATCGAGCTGCCGCAATGCGTTCCAGATCTGCTTCTCACTTCTGTCCGAAGGGATCATCTGCTTTGCGAAAACAAGAAGATTGGCCATGTACAGAATCAGGTCCAGGCCCGTTTGTGCTGAGGCGAACTCCGGGTGTGCACCAAAGAGTACGCGGTGCACTGCTTTGACGTGAATGTAGCTGTGTTCTTCGCTCTTATAGTGCTTCAGGTGCACATTCAATTCGTCATTGAAATCGCGGTATTCCTCCGTGAAGTCCGAATCCGGCTTCTGTATCTCCTGGATGTTTTGGATATCGTCCTTTTTGTTACCGCCGTCAGGCGCAAGGTGCTCAAGAAACTCTCTCGCTGATTCGCAAAGCTTTCGCATGTGCTTGAGGATATACTTTGGCTCCAGGAATTCTGCCTCGATCATACTAAATGACGAAATTGCAGTAGTTCCGGACATTTCCGAAGCAGCACCAGGAGAGCGGTAAGTTATGGAATGTTCGAGCTGCGTGTGCTTTGGTGTATCTGGAGCTTCCTGAAGATCGATTTCCTCCTCAACAACCGTAAGGTCTACGGCATGAAACCGTTAGCAACAAGTATTAGACACTCAAGCTCAACGGCTTTATGAGATATGCGCTTCATCTACACAAGGCGCTACAAGGTAATCACTGACCTGCGGCGGCCTCTTTCACAGGCCTGCGTATTGTCCTGCGCGTCGTTTGTCCTTCATTTTCGCTTTCATCAGTTACAGTCGCAACGCTCGCCTGTCGCGCACTGCGCCTAGTTGGCTTCGGCACTTCAAAGACTGGCTCGACATCGCGACTTGCGCTGCGCATACGGGATGCGCGTCCAGGTTGAGGCGTGCTTGCTTTCGACGGCGGTTGCGGGGTTGGTGTTTTGCGCCGGCTCGCGGCCCGCACACCTCTGCGATCGGCCATGGTATGCTCGATTGACGCGTCAAAGGTGGTGTTGGTGCATGCGATCTAAGTCGAGGTGAAAGTGGTGGAGTGGTGATGCGCCAATGTTGTGGTGGAATCCACGCATGATCGCGGACCGACGGGTGTTCACGTGTGGTTCGCCGTTGCCTCATCCGGCCTTAGCGCCATCTCTATCTTGAACTTGCAACGGACACATGCCAGGAGAAGGGGCGATCCGCGCAGAAACCTAGAATGCAATGTGTTTTACATCGAGACACATTCAAGACAGTCGGCTATTTCAATTGTACCCTCTCACAGTTCTTCAACATGGGAGTGCCCCTTTACTAGCGCCGAGGCGTCCATTCGGTGTGGCAGTGCCAACTATATGACAAGTGGGCTGTCTGCACGTACCCCCTTGCGCGAATCCTAGTGAACCTCTTCCAACGCCAGCGGCCAACATCTCGTACTTGACTTTAACAGCGCTTTTTCACCGCTGATTTCGAACCACTTTCTTCCTTCTTCCTTTCCGCCAATTCGACTTCGCATCTTCTTGTCTCTCCTTCAGATCATTTTGCTTTGAAGCATCTCACCGGCACGCTCCCTCGTGAGCCCGACGCACCCCGGCTCAGCAATCCATCGCCACCACCATGAGGTTACAACATACACGGGCGTCCGCCCTGCTTTTGCTTCTCCCAGCGATACAGGTCATTGCCACCTCAGTTGCCGCAGCGGATGAGAAGCCTGTTGCGAGAGCCGCCGTTCCCGCATACCAAGACGTCAGCACCTCGCCCACCCCTTCCCTCGTACCAACGCCTAACGGGAAGGGCACCAAAGATGCGCCATTTGATGGGCAGGACGGGATGCCGCACGAAGGCCCGTATATCAACGATGATCCGAGTCCGACGAAAAAGAAGCCAGCAATTGTGGAAGAACTAGGGCCTAAGAAGACGGCCGCTGTTGGTCCGTCGAAGCCTTCGCCAACGAAGGAGGTGCTCGATGGCGACAAAAGTGTGATGCAAGACCCAGACAGGAAACTCGCAACGGGCAACAAGGGCACTGAGGGTGGAGTCTCCGCCAAAGACAAGGAGCGTCTGGCACACGAGGACAAGACTGGCGAGAAGCTTGAAAAGGTTCCCGAGTCGCCAAAAGAAGCACCACCACTACCACATGACCAGAAACAGCTACAGGGCGAAGCTGTACCATCGGACAGCAGTTCGCGTGCCGCCGGCGCAGCCGGTCTTGAGGTGAGTTGATAGTCTGGCATTGGAAGCTAGGCACCCATGACTGACAAACGTATAGAAACCCACCAGCCTCCCTGATAAACCTCACAACGTCCCACATCCCAAGCCCGATTCGCTGTCTGACAAAGACCCACTGGATACGACGACAAAGCCGAAGACGCCCGCCTCGAATCTCCCAGGCGACGAGGCAGGAGGTGTCATACAGCCTTTTCACTCATTTATACTTTCCTTCACCATGATTATCTTCTCGGAGATCGGTGACAAGACATTCCTTGTGGCCGCACTGATGGCTATGCGACACCCACGATTACTCGTCTTCTCCGCCGCCTTCTCCGCACTCATCGTCATGACCGTCCTCTCTGCTGTCCTTGGCCACGCAGTTCCATCGTTGCTCTCCGAGCGCTTTACACACTTCGCAGCGGCTGCATTATTTTTGGTTTTCGGCGTCAAGCTCGTGAGAGAGGGTCTTGCCATGAGCCCCAGCGATGGTGTGGGAGAAGAGATGCGTGAGGTGGAGCAAGAACTTGAAGAGAAGGAACAGCTCGCGCGAGCAAAGAATGGACACCGCAAGTCTTCCATCTCACCATATGCACTCGAGGGCGGTCGAGGCGTGCGACGCTCAAGGTCGAACTCGAGACTTCCAGCCCCGGCCCGCAGCCCTTCTTCTTCACCAGAACGAGCATTGCCCTCCGGCGGGTCGGGTGTTTCCAGTGCCCTAGGAGGACTCAACAATCTCTTTTCCCTGCTCCTCAGCCCGGCGTGGGTGCAGACATTTGTCATGACCTTCCTTGGAGAATGGGGCGACCGCAGCCAGATTGCCACTGTAGCTATGGCTGCAGGCTCTGACTACTGGTGGGTCACCGGAGGTGCTGTTGTTGGACATGGTCTTTGTACAGCAGGAGCTGTGATTGGTGGTCGCGCAATTGCTGGGCGCATCAGCATGCGTAACGGTAAGCATATACTGACTACAATCTTGGACGCAATGCTAACGGAAAACAGTCACTCTAGGTGGAGCCATCGCCTTCCTTATTTTCGGTGTTATCTACCTGTTCGAGGCTTTCTACCACGAGTAAACTTTCTGTCGCAGTATTGATACACGAGAACAAGTGAAGTACTGATCCACGTGACTGAGCTGACTAAGCTTAGGAAGTAGACTAACGTTTCTCTGTGATCTATTTGTATATTTAAGCTAGCTCTTCTAATATATTAGAAGAGCAGTAATCTAATATAATCTTTTATCTTAAGTTTGCTTAGCTATAATAGTTATAAGCTTAGCGCTATAGAATTATAGAGTTAATTCTCTACTATGCATCTTATATTTACTAAGTACTTAAATTAATTATTCTACTACTCTTATTCCTCTTAAACCTCTTAAATTATCCTAATAATATTAGTCTAAATAGACTAAACAGACTAGATAAAACTTCCTTCTATAGTTACTCTTTAAGCTTATAAAGACTAGCTAGCATAGTATATTTAGCTTAAAGTTTATGCTATTAGAAAGCGAATATAGAACTATGTTAATCTAGATAGCCTATTGCAACCTAATCTTCTTAATAACGCTTCTCTATACCTAGAATTATCTACTAAGCTAGTTAAGCTAAAGGATCCTCCTGCTAGAGCTACTAATAAAGCAAAAGCTAATTATAAAAAGTCTTTATAAGAATATATTAAAGATATTAAAGCCTATAAAGTTTTGTTAGCTAACTATAATAAGAGAGTCTAATAATAGAAAGTTCTTACTACTAAATAGTCTTAAAAAGCTGCTATACTTATAAATCTTTAAGACTAGATTATAAAAATAGTCTTACTAGACTTTCTTAAGCTAGTATAAATTAGGCTTTCCTAAATAGATAACTTAAGTCTCTAATTATAACTTAAACTGCTTAAAGATTAGCTAGCTCTAAGTAAGGCTATAACTTAGAATTAAATTAGATAGAAGTACTAAGCTTATCTAAACAAAGCTAAGCATAGCAGGATTAAGCTAGAGAAGTAGTTTAATAAATAATAAACTCTCTATGCCTAAGCTTAGACGTACGACGTTCTAGAGGTTAAAGAGACTATTGCTCTTACTAACTTTCTTAAGGCAATTATAGCGAAATACGCTCTAGAATAGGCCTAATAGAAATAAGCAGAAGTTATAAAAAGAGCATCTCTTAGAAAGAATAATATAATATTAGATAATATTGCTATAGTGTTTAATGCTATACTAAGTAAGCAATCTAGAAACGCTAGAAAGAGAAAGAGACTATTAATCTTTGCAGTACTAACTCTAAATAGGCAAACTGCTTAGAGTAGCTTAACTAGAAAAACTAAAAAAGGCCTAAAAGTATGTCTATGCATTAAACTAAACTCTTAAAAGCCTTAATTAGATAAGTTTTATTGCTAGAAACTAATTAACTGCCTTAAGCTTTAAATAGTAGTAACAGGATTAGCTTCTAGCAATCTAATTAAGCTTAATAATATAGATAAGAAAAAGATCTTAGAATAGTATAATAAGCCTAAATAGCAAGATCTCTGCAAATAGATTAAAAAGTTAGGTTAGTCTACTACTCTAAGAAAGAAAAGATTAGACAAAGATTACTCTATTACTATTTAAGCAAGCTTAATTAATCTAACTCTCTTTATAAAGAAGTTACTAGAGATCTATAGCACTACTTTTAATTAGCACTTACTGCACTAATCTATAATTCTTAATAGTAGAGCGTACGTCTACCTAGTAAATAATTGCAGTCTAATTAAAAAGAGAACGTTTATTAAAGCTATAAATAGAGAGTATATTAAGGCAGGAATCTAACATTTGCCTATTAATAGTGTTAGTACTTAGATTATAAGAAACCTAATAATTAGACTAAATAGGCTATATATAGTAGACTTTATACTTACTAATGTAAAGGTTATTAAAGGTTTCTACCTTAATATCGTCTTAGAAGCAAGACTTTAAGATTAGGGAAACGTCTAGTATACTAGTTAGGATTAAACTCTCTAATATAGTAACTTATCTAAGAATAAGTTACTCTATACGCTTATTAGAAAGTATAACCTTAACTTCTTAGAATTAATTAAGTCTTCTTATTCTCTAGTCTCTACTATTATAAAAGCTGTGCTAAGATTATATTATCTACAAAATAGAAGTAGTAATAAGCAAATATAGTACTAATAATTAGATTATCTTAGATAGAAGGCACTGCAAGCTCTAACTAAATATGCATAAAACGTTAAAATTACTAGTATTAGAAGAATTAATTATAAATATTATGTAATAGCATATGCCTTATAAGTAATCTTAAGAAGACTAAAAGAGAGATTACCTTAACTCTTCTATTAGATCTTATAGGACCTATTTAATATGCATTTAGGACGATTAGAAGAGCAATAGTTATTGCTAATAAAGGATAATTATTCTAGAAAGATTAAGAATAATAATCTTCTATTAAAGTCGCTGCTTAAGATTATAAAAGTTATTAAAAGGTACTACTAGAGAGTAAGAACAAAATATAACTTTTTAATTATAGAGATATACTAAGATAGTAATTAGGCAACGCAACTATAGAGAGGATAATTAAGATTTAAGAAATAAGTAGATAAAAATAAGATTGCTATTAAAGCTACTCTATCTTATACTTATAAGCTAAATAGCTTAGCTAAGCGTATAGGATAGAAAATAATTATAAAGGTAATAAAAATGCGTATAAGCGCAAATCTGCTTAATAAGCTTTAGCTAGAGATACTAGATACAGCTGCTTAGCTTTATAGAATAAGCCTAATAGTAACGCATAGATATTAATGTACTAAATAAGGTTCTTAATTTCTAGTTTTAATAATACTTTAGGTACTATAAACTAGCAGTTATTTAATTAAGAATAGCTAATCTACGCTTAAGATTAGAAGTAGTATATATGCGTACAGCTGTTAAGCTTATCTATTAAATTTAGATTAGGCAGCTAGTATAAAATATTAGTTTTTTAAAACTAACTCTAGAGGTTATATTAGATACTTAGTAGGCTATTAAGCCTTAAATATCTATAGGATATAGATCTCTTTGCTTAACTAGGTTATTATAACTTATAATATTAGGTTTAACAAAAGTTATTTCTTTTAAGGAAAGAATAATAAGAATATAGAAAAGAAATTAGCTATTAAGATTACTAATATCCTGCATAATAGTACAGCTAGATAATCTAGGTCTTTAAATTAAAGATAGATTATACCTAGAAGAGCAGTAAACTAATAATATTAGAAGAGATACTAAGAGCAATCTTAGAAGTAAACTAATTATATAAACTAATTAGATAGCTAGCTAACTAAATAATTAGAGAGTTATATAGGAAGAAACTGCGTAAGATAATAGTATAGGCAGCAATTAACTAAGAATTTATGCAGAACCTCTAAAAGATTAAAATTAGCTTATAACTCTAGAATCTACACCTAAGCTAGGTAATATAGAGAGAAACTTAGAGCTTAATGCTTAAAGTATAGAAGAAGATAGCTAATAGTAGATGCATCTAGCTAGTAGAGCTAGCTCGTCTTACTTTAGTAATTAGATTAGATTATAGAGAATAACACTGCAGCGTGTTACCTACTCTGCTACTTAACTTAGAAGAACTTAACTTAAACACTCTAGATAAAGCAGATTAGTTACTTATTTAAGCATACTAGCAATTATAGTAAATAACTACTTCTAATTTAGATATAATAGAGCTATAAGCTCTATACACTTAGAGAATAAGCTAGAGGTAATAAGGCAAAGCGCTAGAAAATAATTAAGAAATAAGTATCTACTTACTATTGCGCAGAAGAAGAAGAGATAGTAATTAAGATAACTAGATAGAGAGTATAGATACTAGAGTATATGCACTAATTGCTAATCTAGATAATAATAATAGTTTATAAGCTAATTTTCAGAATATCTTCTTACTAGGCATAAGAAGAGCATAGGACGATTAAAAGAGTTATAAATCTATAAACGCTGTAATAATAGTAGCTACTCTAACTAATTAAATACTAAAGTTAACCTAACTATACTAAAACGAGCTTCTAGACCTACTTAAGACTTAGAAATAATTTCTCTAACATAAATATAAGATATAGTTTAAAGCTATAATAAGATAAGAGATTAAATAGCTTTATAAGAAAGATACCTAGATAATTTAGCTAATAAGCGAAGCAATAATCTAACTAATCTTATTAAAGTAAGTTTAAATCTATAAGTTTAATTAAGATAGTATGCTACTTAAGTGCAAAGCACGTATAGTTATATAAGAAGATCTTTAAGAAAAAGACTTACTTAATTTAACTTACGTAGCAACTTTAGCAGTAAGATTATTTTAAGTAGCAATAGCTATAGCTGCCCTACTTTAATCTAGAAGTTATATAAAATAACGTAATAGAAGTATTTCTTAATATAATAATTATAAAGGAGAACTCTATGCTATATAAGCTTTCTAACAGTTTTAAGGAATCTAGAATATGCGTTAGGCTTAATTAAGCACTTTATAGTATAAGAGACTTACTACTGCTATAGTATAAGAAGTTCTTAGAAATACTCTAATTATTAGGCCTTATCTTATTAAAAGAAGAACTCTGCCTCTTCTTTAATAAAGATAAGAAAGTTCTAATACTTTTCTACGTTAATAATATCCTTTTGCTATATTATAAGGCTTATAAAGCTTTTGCAAAAGACCTCATAGATTAAGATTACTATAAAGTATAAGATATAAGAATAAGAGCTAGCAGAGTAGTTCTTAGGCATAAGAATTATTAGAAACTAAGAAAAAGAGAACAATTACGCTAGTTTATAATATCTATATTAAGAAGATTATAAAGAAGTTTAACTTAAATTAATAGAACCTTTCTAGCTACTTCTCTACTATTAGAAGAGCTTAAGAAGTTTAAGAGAGAAGCTACTAAGTAAGAAGTTAAGCTTTACTAGAAAAAGGTTAGATTAGCATTATATACTGCAATAATGCTGCGCCTAGATATAGCTTTTGCAGTATTAGAAGCTATTATACTACCTAACTAATCCTAGCTAAATATATATAAGCATAATTAATTAAGTTATTATATACCTATATTATACACAATAGAAAGCAATCTAATACAGCAATTATAATAGTTCTAACCTTATAATATATAGAGATGTATTATTTGCAGATAACTTAATTACCTAGCGCTTATCTTATAGATATATAGCTATGCTCTTTAGAGAAGCTATTCTATAGAAAGCTGCTAGGTAAAGTATAGTAATAACCTCTATAACTAAGGCTAAGCTTATTATACTTAAGCATATTGCGAAGGAAACTATTGCCTTAAAAAGATTCTTTAACGAACTTATATTTAATCTAGGCGATTTATAGAAGATCTAGTGTAATAACTAGCAAATAATTAGACTTATTATTAGTTAAAATAAGTAAATTACTACCTATCTTTAATATATTAACATATAAAACATATAGCTTAGATAAGAATATGCAAAAGAATTATTCTTAGTAGAGTACTTGCTAATAAAGAAAATGCTAGCAGATAGACTAACTAAAGCTTTTACTTATTAACAATTTAATTACTTTAAGTAGCTTCTAAACCTTAAGGATATATCTAGATTAGTTATAGTTAATAAAAGTAAGGTATAATAGCATTAGCTTAATTACTATTAAAAAGAGCCTTTAAGACTAAGAAAGCTTAAGTAGAGCGAAAAGAGGCTTTTTTAACTACCTGCTACTCTAAAAAAGATTATTTAATCTAGCATATTTATATAAGAAGTAAGAAGAACTATGCCTAAAGCATTAAGAAAGAAAAAATTTGCTTAATAGTAAGAAGATTAAACTAAGATACTTAGTTAAGAAGATCTAAAGCTATCTGTATAAGACGTAGCAAATTCTCTATAATAAAAAGCATAGAAGTATAACGCTTATTATAATTAGGTTAAGCTAAGGTATAGTAGCAATTATAAATATCTAAAGTAGTAGAGAGTAAATCTCTAGTAACTCTATAGTAATTAAGACGCCTCTCTTACCTTACTATCTTATTCTTATATAGAACGAAAGAAAGCTTATTACTCTGCTTAAAGTAATGCATATCTTTATTATCTAATAAGTAGCAATTAGCATAGCTATAGCTAGAGTAATTTACTAAATTTGCAATAGAGAAAAGGTTAGTAGTAGAGTTATCTATACTAGGAAGCTTAAAGAAGAATAGATTAGGTAGTAGAGTAGAAGTACTAGGTAGTATAACTTTCTTACTACTAGTTAAAGAGATAGCAGCACTACTATAGTTAGCTTAATTACTACTACTAAACTTAGAAGTAGGAGAAGTTAGCGCTAGTTAATTATTATAAGCACTCTAACTCTAAGCAGCAGCAGTAAGCTAATAATTTAACTTAACTAATCCTAGAAACTTAAGAATTAGCATTAGAAGGCTGCTAAGACTGCTAAGAAGTTTAGAAAGAAAAGTAAATTAGACCTTGCTTAGTCTCTCTAAAGGCAGGACGCTTTAATTAATCTTTATAAGGCTTTGCTGTAGTACTAGTCTTAATAGACTTAACTATAGCAGGTTAAGGAACGTCCTTTAGATGCGCCTCTTAATTAGCCTTATTCTTTATAAAGCGCTCTCTTTATTTAATATAAAGCTTCTTTAAGCGCGCTAATTTATTAGCCTTAGCCTTCTTAATCTTCTTAAGACTAGATTAAGTCTTAGTAGCACGCCTATTAAGCTCTCTTACCTAAGCTTCTAATTTTAATAACTTAAGATTAGCCTTACTATTACTAATTATTATTACTAGATTAGAGCTAGTTAGATTAATAGTGCTCTATCTAGTGTTACTTTATAATAATAGGCAGAGTATTAAATAAGAATTTCTACTTAAACTAAGACAGAAGGCTTATACTGCGCTTCTATAGAGAGAAGCATTTTAAACGGTTAGTAGTATCTAGAATCTGCTTAGTAGGTAACTTAGAAGGCTTAGAGATTAAAATAATTAGCCTTAGTGCTATAAAGGCTACTATTTAATCTACTTAAGCCTACTGCCTTATAAGAAAAAAGAAGAATTTAATCTATAAAGGTTAGTTAGAGTAGCCTTATTTCTTCTCTTCTCTCTAAGCGCCTTTTTAGGCATAAGAGAAGTAGGATAAATAGGCCTATATAAGCTGCTTAAAGAGAGACTTAACTCTAGATTAGTAGAATACTAAACAGAGCTACTAGGTGTAGCTTAAGCTAGTTAGAAAGAGACAGCATAACTAGAACAAATTAATTTCTTATTTATGCTAAGAGAGATATTAATATAATCTATTTAGTTATTAAAAGCGACTAGAGCGTTAAGATTAAAGCTAGCTAAGATTAAAGCGCTCTTATTATTAAACAGCTTATTAAGCATATTAGTCTTATAACTAAAAGGCTTAGCCTACTTACTACGCTTAGATTCTAGAGAACTAGAGCTTAGGCTAGAAAGATTGCTAGCAGGCACTATAGTCTTATTCTTCTTCTTATTATCTTAAATAGAGGCCTAGTAAGCAGATACCTTTAAAGAGGTTAAATTAGTTAAGAGCAACTTTCTATTAGAGCCTATTTTCTAACTAAAAGGATCTAAATAGAGTTATAAAGGCATAAGTAGCGCAGCTTTCTTTACGCGCTTAGAGGTTAGATTAGATATAGTAGTTTTAGATTAGTTGCGCTTAAAGCTAAATAGCTTATTATAACTAGCAATATACTTATAGACCTTATCTATAAGCTTATTTTGCCTATTAGTATACTTAGAAGTCTGCAAAAGATTAGTATAGAGCTGCTATAATAAGATTAATAATTACTTATAGTTATAGTTAACGTATTATCTATAGCGTAGTTATACAAAGCTATTATCTTAGTTATAAAGAGATTAATGCTATAGTATAATTAGTATAAGAAGGTAACTAAAATAAGATAAAAAATATACCTTAGAATGCACTGCTTAGAATTATAAGCAGTATAACAATCTAACTTACTACTCTTATTAATATATTTAAGCTTATTCTTAGTTAAGTTACTTAACTACTTAAGGATATAATTAGCGCAAAGGCTCTTGCAGAATACACTATTAGAAGGCTTTAATAGAGTATCTAGAGCTAGATCGCTCTTCTTAGAAGCTAACTTCTGCTAATTAATTTAAGCTAAGGCGCGTATGCCTTTTAAATCTAATATCTTAGAAAACTAAGCAGCGCAAGCGTTCTTAAGATTCTTCTTCTGCGCTAGAGTAGCTATTTTTCTCTTTTGCTGCAAAATAGCTAAGTTAGCATAACTAATAGCCTAGAGTTTAAGGCAATTGCAGTGCAGAGTGCGCGTAATATACTTAAGCACCTCTTAATTAGTAGGACTTATTAGAGCTATAGTTAGTAAGTTAAATTCTTAAAGCTAGATAATAAAGTATTAAAAGATTATAAAGCGCAGAGTAAGGTATTAATATTACGCGCGCTAAGGCTAAACGCGCAAGTTAACTAATCTCTATAATAATATAATAATAAATAGATGCTTACTAATTAAGCGATTAAGGCAGAGCAGGAGCAGAGTAATAGCTTATTTATATATATACTACGTAACATTATCTTAATTAAATAGAGCAATTAAGATAGAGAGTATGTTACAGTATTAATATATGAGAATAAGTAAAGTACTAATCTACGTAACTAAGCTGACTAAGCTTAGAAAGTAGACTAACGTTTCTCTGTAATCTGTTTGTATATTTAAGCTAGCTCTTCTAATATATTAGAAGAGCAGTAATTAATATAATCTTTTATCTTAAGTTTGCTCAGCCACAACACTTTCGTTTTTCAGCATTGCACGGCGCTTCGGTTTGGTATAGTCGCTGCTAGTATTGCCAGAAGCAATGGGCAACCACGACAAACATGTGGACTTTCACTGTAATTTTAATTATACTCGCGGTCTATCACGAACACGACTAAAAAGCGTTACTGGCGTTGGATAGATGCGCATCACTGAATGGGTCATATGCACTCATTTTCCACCTGAGGTTCTCTTTCGTTTATACGTGCACTTTACTCATTCGCTGCCATGCTTGTTGAAAGACCCTGTTGAGGTCGGAAGAAGGCAACAGTAGACTTGATGCCATGGCGCTTGCATTGTCTAGTGTACAAATTTGGCGACTAGCATCTGCAGCCAGTTGCAAGCGACCGGCAGGGTTGCAACATAAATAAGAAGGCCGCAGAATCTCCAACGCTTCTGATTCAGGCTCTTAGTTGGCTTGATCTTACGTCGCTTGCCTTAGTCGTGTCACCCAAACCTGGAGCTACAGCTACACACTGCCACCTCAAACACACTTGTACAATTACAAGCCTCTTTTTAACTCGCTCAAGTCTCATACTCGGCTCTGGCATAGAAGAGTTACAAAACCAGTGCGATTGGAAAAAATGACGACGTCTAAACCCCTCATCTTCTACGACATCTCCTCGCCAATCCAACCCCGCTCGTACGCGCCCAATCCTTCCAAAGCACGTCTCGCGCTGAGCTTCAAGCAAGTGCCTTTCAAGTCGACCTTCATCGACATCCCCGACATCCCCGAAGTGCGCAAGGGCCTCAACTGTCCAGCGACGCGAAAGTTTGATGATGGCTCAGACTATTACACGCTGCCTGTGCTGCAGGATCAATCCTCAAACAAAGTTATTGGGGACTCATATGACATCGCCAACTACCTCGAAGACACCTTCCCAAACTCAGGCGGGTGTCTGTTCCCCAAGGACTCGACGGGTACTGGGCTAGACTACGAGAGCCCAAACAAGGACACGCAGTTCTATGCACCCATCACTACCAATAAGGGCTCGAAGAACGAGGCGTATGCGAGGTTCAATCTACACGTCGATGCTACGTTCTCGGCGAATGTCATTCTTGTCACGCATAGACTGCCTTTTAATCCAGAATCCGCTGAAGCTACGAAGGCACTGTTCGTCAAGCGCGCACATATGAATAGTTGGGATGACATGTCTGTGCATGGTGAGGCGAGAGAGAAGACCAGAGCTGGGTTTAAGGAGGCACTGAAGTCACTTGCTGAACTGTTCACGGTGCATCAGGGTGGGCCGTATCTGGAGGGCGAAAAGGCGAATTATGCAGACTTGATTGTGGGAGGATGGCTCAATATGTTGTCTGAGACGATGCCTGAGGACGAGTGGAAGGACTTCAGGACATGGCATGGAGGCGTGTTCGCGAAGCTGCATGATGCGTTGCAGGAAAAGTATTATGTGTGCGAATAGGGGGCGTGTAGTTTGGTCTAATTTGTACTCAGATAGGCTGGCGAAACAAGCCGATGATAACATTTTGTTCGCGCATAGTCACTCAGTACACGAATTCAGCGTCTAAAAAACTATTGTGGCTCTCTACTTCACCGTGGTGAGGAGGGCGATGTGAGTGTTCTCTGATTGGTCTGTTGCATCCCTGTGATCGCCGCGGGAGAGAGCTGGTCCTTGCGCGTCTTCAAGCTTCACAATAGCAGCGTACAATAGCTTTCCAAAACCAACCCTCCACTTTTGCTTACTGTCGCCTCGTCAGGTCGCAAGGCAACTGCAACACCCACAAGTGACACGCCAACACCATCGCATATTCCTTCTTCCAGACGCCGGAACGAACGGTAGCAACGCGACAGCTTACCTGGGTATCCATCGCAATCTGGACCTTGGATCCGCCAGTCTTCGTCTCACTACAGGACGCGACTCATAGCTGCGCGACTCCAGGCGCCTCGAGATGGTGTCCACAGTCAACCCATCCGTCCCGCGACGCGAACTCCCACGGCCACCGCCGCCAGCTGTTGTGGAAGCTGAGCAGCAATGGGTCTTCACAGAGGATGAGCTGTTGCAAGCGCCGTCAATATTAGACGGCATGCCGGCCGAGGAAGAGCGCACGCTGCGGCGCAAGGGCGTCAACTTCATTCTGCAAGTCGGCATGATGCTCAAGCTTCCACAGACGACGCTCAGTACCGCTGCTGTCTTCTTCAACCGCTACTTGATGCGCAGCAGTCTGAAGCCACGGCCGGGCTACAAGCCGCTTCACCACTATGTACGCGATACTCTTGTCATCCATGGCGAACTTTACTAACAAGTGTACAGCAAATCGCAGCGACTGGCCTTTTCCTCGCTACCAAGGTCGAGGAGAACTGTCGCAAGATGAAAGAGCTCGTTGTAGCCTGCGTTCGAGTCGCGCTGAAAGACCCCAACAAGCTCGTCGACGAGCAGACAAAAGACTTCTGGAAGTGGCGCGACACCATTCTCTACAGCGAGGATGTTCTGCTAGAGGCTTTGTGCTTCGATCTGAACATCGAGTCGCCCTACAAGACCATGTACGACATGCTCAAATACTATGGCGTGGAGCACAACAAGAAGCTACGAAACTCGGCATGGGCGTTTCTCTCGGACTCAGCATCCACGCAGATGTGCCTACTTTTCACATCGCGCACCATCGCCGCGGCCTCATTGTATGCAGGCGCACGCATGGCAGACGTGTCATTCGACGAAGACGACGGCCATCCATGGTGGGAGATACAGCACGTCAAGTTGCGCGACATTAGGAGAGCGTGCAACCTGATGGCCGATCTTTACGAGAAATCTCCAGACAAGGACGGCGAGTCTAACATGTACGCCGGACTGAGAACGCCCGAAGGTGGCATCGACTTTGGCGACACGCCAGGCAGCATGGAAGGCGTGCAAAGCTCTGCGCCAGAGGTGCAAAGCCAGCCGCCAGCGAACGGAGCGGAGAATGGAGGCGCGACCGAGAGAGGGTCGGAGGAGGGCGAGCTGGATGGCTAGAAGCACACCAAATTGCCCAGCTCCGAACTTACCGTACCGGACTCACCATGTATTCAGCTTCTCGATACCCTTGATAATTGCGTCTATACCTCCTCGCAGACGCCAGAGCCGAAGGAAGTGTCGCCACTCCTGCACAAGAGCGTGGGGAGACTTCGCCACGGCAAACAGTAGCTCGACCGTAACCAGAATAATATTGCCACAACATTCTGCGAGCGACGCGGCGATGAAGTCTACTAGGTCTCCCCCGAACGCAATGGAAGTGGCTAAACGACATGCCACATTTTTATAGTACCATGGTGCCATTATCGTTCTCAGGCTGCGATGCATGACAGGCTCCATGTCTGTTGTCCAGAATTCGATCATCACTCTCGGTACACCTCAAGTCGCTATCGCACCTATGGATAGGGTCAACATATCTCCGGTGCTTGGACGTGCTTGTTCGCCTGTGTGAGTGGAGTATTCAGAAGCACAGGATGTAGTCGCAAAGTTTCGGCCATATCAGACATCATAGCTAGAAGTTCTGGCTTATGCAACGCTTCGATAGTTGGCATATGGCAGATCCCGTCGAGTCTAGCATTTACGACGTTAATTGTAGTATAACTATCATGTCACAAATCAAGCATATTAGAGATCGTAGTAGTCAGCTAGCTATACTACTGTTCTATCATTAATGAATGAAGATAAATTGCCAGACCAACCTACACATTAAGGACAGTCAAATGGAACAAAGATGAACCGTACAAAGCAACTACGATAGACAGCTCTGGATGCCTGAAGCTATACACAAAGTCTTGCCGTCGCAATCGAAGCCTAGCGGTACTGCGTATAGCTTTAGGCTGTGAGGTTGTTCACTTCCCGTCGTAGTTGATAATCTGTGGTACTGCATCTTGAATCAGGTCGCGGCCGTTTGGACCGTAAACGAGTCATTTCTGCAGATGGTGAAGTGTGTATTAGTGACCAATGAGATAGATCCGTCTACGGGTGTGTGGGTGTGTCCATCATGCCGAGGCATCTTTTCATGATCATCCCAGGGGCCATATCCTTGCAATCTCTCCGACGTCAACACTGCTTTCGCCACTGATACCCCTTCTCTCCTTTCTCTCGAGCTGATCTGACCTGGTCATATTTCCCTGAATAAACGTCGAAGAAAAAAGAGCAGGTCCCTGGAACCAAGACATTAAACTCCAGTACTTGAGCAGTGATCCGCGGAGCACCGGCGACATCATGGACTCTTCACCCTCATCGCTGCTGAAGCTGCTCCTTCCCAAGACTCCATTCTTGATGAAAACGGCCTTATCACACACTCTCTCCCTCTCAGCCACATCCTCAAAATGGGATCTGCGAACAGCCATTACAGTCAACCTTCTGCGGGAAATGACCGGGCCCAACTCCGCTCCTTCATCCATCACCAAAGTCCAAAACCTGACTACCAAGGATCCCGGTGTCAAGGGTAAAGTATGGGCTAGCAAGGTCAAACTTGCAGCTGCTGAGGAAGATGATGTCAGACAATTGATGTTTAAAGCGATTGAGGACATGGGTACGGGAGAAGAGCAGTGGACGAAACCTGAGACGCAGCCTCTGGAAGCGGAGTGGAATGGCTATCGCGCTGATGCAAAGGACGATGAGCCTGAACCTGCAGGCATGAGCGAGAAAGAGAAATATGAGGCCATGATGAAGGAAACGACATCCAAGACCACCGTCCTATATTTCCACGGTGGAGCGATGTATCTCCTTGATCCAGCCACATACCGTCCCACAACCTCCAAACTCGCCCGAGAAACCGGCGGAAGAGTGTTCAGCGTCCGCTACCGTCTCAGCCCTCAAAACGTCTTCCCAGCCGCCTTGTTGGATTGCTTCACCGCCTACCTCAGCCTCCTCCATCCACCCCCTGACGCACCTCACGCCCCCATCCCCGCCAACGAAATCGTCTTTGCAGGCGACTCCGCCGGCGGAACATGCTGCACCGCGCTTCTCCAACTCCTGCTCCAAATCCACCGCACGTCTCCCAACCCCACCGTGACCTTCCACGGCAAGGAAGTAGACATTCCACTCCCCGCAGGCGTCGCAATGACGTCCCCCTGGGTCGACATCACCCGGTCCCTCCCTTCCATTGAAGCCGCAGCAACGCTGTACGACTACCTCCCCGCGCCCTCGGCCACCGACAAGCGCGAATTCGTGCCCGACGCCGTCTGGCCTGCGAATCCCCCGCGCGCGGACTTGTACTGCGAAGCCAGCGCGCTGACACACCCGCTCGTGTCGCCGCTCGCAGCGCAGGACTGGTCCAACTCACCCCCACTGTTCTTCTCCGTTGGCGAGGAAATGCTGCGCGATGAAGACGCAGTCTTGGCCCAGCGCGCTGTCAAGCAGGGCGTGACGGTTGTGTGGAGAGAGTTTGAGGCGATGCCGCATTGTTTTGCGATGTTACTGGAGAGTAATCCGGGGGCGCCAGTGCATCAGAAGGAGATTGGTAGTTTTTGTAAGGAGGTAGTGGAGAAGCCGGGGTCTTTGGCGACGAATGGCGTGTTTATCGAGGCGAAGACATTGAAGAGGAGGGATGTGGATGTTGGCAGTGGGCTGACAGAGATTACGGAGGCGGAGGTCGAGGGGTATATGAAAGCGGGCAAGGAGAGGATTGAGAGGAAATTTAGGAGGGGCAAGGAGCCGGAGGTAAGTCACTGACATGTTTGTTGTGTGTTCACTACTTTACTGACATTTGATAGACGGAGACTAGGCCGATGTTGTGATCAACACTGCTGATCAAGATAGAGATACTATACCTTAGCCTGTATTTATTCACTCATATTTCGACAGTATGACTGTAAAGCATGTCAGATCTGGCTTTTTGTGCAATTGTCATTGACTTCCAGGGCAAGATCCGAAGTCTTCAGGCAAAACCTGCGGCCCAGATTGGAGGCATATGATTTACATGTCAAGTTGGTGTGCACAGTCATGTTCTTTGAACTTGAGGTAACTCTACCTCTTGGTCTTGCCCAACACCATCTGATCATGTTATGAGATGTATATCTTCTCCTCCTCAGCGGACACAGTATCTATCTGAGTCATAGTGCCGTGTTCGCATTGCCATGTAGAAGACACGTCACTATTGACTGTCGCCGGGCCGACCAAAGATTCGGATCACGGGACTGCTCGTTTGCCTCGAAATTTTGCGCTCGATTGTTTAGTTCCTCTGACAACTTTCTAGACTACCGGGTTTTTCCACCTGGATCTGCCCACTGACTTGGGTCGTGAGGACACGCAAGCTTTTGCTCAATCTAGCTACACCGATTTCTTCCTTCTAAAAGTGTGCGGCGCGTCAATCACCGACATCTGCCTCGCCCCGCCATAATGCCACTTCCCTCCATTGCCCTCGATACATGTCTCCGCTACAAGACCGGCACCAAAACATTGCATCTGTCCCTCGCTCTAGCACCCATCACCTGGATTACAGCATCGCCCAGTATTCTACGATCTGATCAGCACATCATACATATTCAAGAGGAATACATTCCACTCACACAATCACACGTGGTCTAATACAATCATTCAAACAATTAGCCACAAACTCAACATCCACTATCTCATACTTCCAAAAACATCACTTACACGATCAAACTAGTTCATCAAGTTAGCTATCTCTCATGTAGAATCGATACATGCAAAGGACAATTTACATCAAACTCTGGCGCCGGGCTCAGACACACCCGGCAGGTGTCGATGCACTCTTGCACACTGCCGCATGCATCGGGTGGGAAATTGTTGCAGGATCGCTCGCAGTCGTTGATGTCTTGACATATAGCCAAGGGGAAAACCGGGTCGGCGGAAAGTCCGGAAGACAGTCTGGCGATGGACAGGACTGCTGAAGTGAGGGTGAGGATTGAGAATCGCATGTTGGGGAGCTGGCAGCAGAGTTCGGGATGATTGTTTACGAGGGAGGATTCGAGCTATCATAGGTACTTATACGCCTAGCTTTGGTCAGGATTTGGTCAAGCTGGCTGTTTGGCGAGCATTTCTTTATGTCTCATATCGCCGATTCGCCTCACTGTGTCGTTTGCAGTCAGTTTGGCGTACAGCCATAAGATCTTGCACGTGGGGACTCGTAGTGCAAGATTCTAGATATCAATTGCTTGGTAGTCAGCATGGTTGGGATGGAATCCTCTTGCACTAGGAAAGCGGTCAGCATTTTGGTGATGGAATCCTTCTATACTAGAAAAGCAGTCAGCATGTTTGTGACGGGGCGTTCTCGCCACCACTGACAGCGCTCGATTTGGAGTTTACTGCAGTTAATTGCTTAGGTACTTGACGTAAGTGCCCATACTCTCCGCGGAATCTCAAACGTTACGAAAGACTTCGGAGTGAGGACGACATTACGGCAAAGCCGGCGACTGGGTCCAGGAATAACCACTGAAGAGCATCTGGAGGCATATAAAGTGAAGATTGGGCCCACTCAGTCCTGGTTATTTTCGCACCCTTCCAGGCTTGTTACTCTCTCAGACGCAAAATCGCAAGTCACAATGCGTTCATCTTCCATCTATTTTGTCTTGACGACTATTTGCTCCGTTTCCTTGGCTGCACCAACTCTCGACGGCGCGAAGGCAATTGCAAAGCTTAGAGGCCTGGAGACTCAAGACGATCCATCGGCGCAGTATCTTGTCTGCTGCACTCAGCTTTGCACTCAATGTTCCAGTGTGGGCTGCGTTGTAAGCTATAGCCTATGATATTCGCTGGTGTCGAATTTCACACTGACTCAATTTGATGATCTAGGGAGCGGTCCCGACGGATTGCAATGACTCGGTTTACAATACTGTAGGTTCCCTGGATCTAGTGCGAGGTGACTTTTGGCTGATGTCCGATGGTAGTGTTGCACTCTGTGATTGGTATGAGACAGACTGGTTGAGATGGAGAAGAGCGTTTTGCACTGCAGGAGGACACGGATAATGCCTGCTTAATCTGAGCTTTGACGAACTATTAGTCTAAGCTGCAGTCAAGCGACGATCGCTCCTATGTGCTAGCGAACAATATCTCCATTATCACATCTAATGATACAACATCGCGGCACACCTCGCTATGTCACATGAACTTATGTTTGTAATATGACATCGTTAGGAACTCGCTTATCAGGGCTAATGATATAATTTTCCACTAACACATATAGCCGCCTAAAGGATCTATACTGCGTTGTCGCAAAGTGATTTATCAACCTATCATTTGTGAACCTGACGTAACGTGTTGCTTGGCCGTGGCAGATGCGGACATAGATCATCCGTAAGCAGCAGACCTGGGTATATGAGCGGCCTTATACCTCGTGCAATCGATTGCGGAATTGTTTCTTGACAAAGCTCCTATCCACATCAAAAGTAAAACGAAAAAGAAACCCCTCAAAATGTCTACTTCCAAAATGGTCCATGAGCTGACTTCGGCTACTTTGAGGCCATTTGTGGAGTCAAACAGTGTTGTACTTTTGGCTGTACTTATGTTGCCCCAGTCAGAGCAATGTCAGGCGTTCGTGCCTGTTTTCCACTCGGTCAGTGATAAAATTACCTTATATTTATCGAGCGATCATAGCCTTTAAGATGCTCTCGCTGATAAGATATGGAAGATTGCCGAGGCGTCAGCCGAGAAACCAATTGCTTTTGGCCAAATCAACGTCACAGGCAATTGGGATGCCGTGTCATCTTTTGAAATCGCAACATTTCCGCATATCATGTGTTTCCAGGGCTTCGACAGCCACAAAACGTATAAAGGAGCGTTCACGAAGACAAGGTAGGCTTTCACGCCAATGGTAGAGTTCTTATCGTTCACTAAAGCAGAGAAGCATCATGTCGTACCTGGATCGCTTTCTACAGTTTCCTGTGATTACTCCAATCGATGCTGCCAGTTTGCCTTCGTTCAAGAGCAGCTGCGATGCTGTGGTAGTCGGGTACACTGGCTTGGAAGATCCTGTTTCTACTACCCAGTTCGAGAACTTAGCCAAATCTATGCACCCCGAGCTTGTGTTCGGCGTCACTGACGATTCAGCTCTAGCGCAAGCAGAAGGTATCAAAACCCCTGCAATCGTGGTGTACAACAATGCTGCCAATGAACGAGGCGCACTACCCATTACCGGCGATATTGATGAGCTAAAAGCCAATATCCGGAAAGCAGCCTTGCCCTTGATTGTCGATTTGTACCCTGAGATTCATGAAGATCTGCTCGATGTAAGCAAACGTCCAGTTTCAACAATCCTTTCTGACTGCGCATGTAGATGGGCACACCTTTTGCATACATCTTCACCGAGCCAGACAGCGCAATTACGGAAGACTTCCATGTCGAGCTTGAGCAGCTGGTGCGTCAGCACCGTGGAAAGATACAGTTCAGCATTGCTACAGCATCGAGAGTCCCGTCCATCGTGCTGGACATGCATCTACAGGCCTCGCCCTTGCCTGCCCTTGCTATTCGCGAGCCCCTTTCGAATCTGCGCTACCCAATGCTGGCGTCGACGACCGCAAAACCTGAAGCATTCGTCACCGAGGTGACGGCCTTCACGAGAGACTACCTTGCTCTGAAGCTTCAACCCACGATCAAATCTGAACCTATCCCGCCTTCCTCACCATCTTCTCTGGTCAAGGTAGTCGGCCAGACTTATGCGTCCATTGTCAACGACTTCACACGCGATGTGTTGCTTATATTTTGCATCGAGGTTTGCGCGCCGTGCGATCGGCTATATCCGACGTTGGAAGCACTGGCAGAAATGTATCGTGCGGAGGAATCGCAGAAGAAGACCACAGTAGCAACTATCTTGCATGACAAGAATGATACTGGGCTGCGGCGCGTACGAGCGTTTCCGACGATTATGCTCTTTCCAGCAAGGGATAAGGGCCGGCCAGTGAGGTTTCTGGGGGACAGAACGGTGGAGGCGTTGAGGGACTTTATTAGTGCGAACAGGAGTTTATAGATTTATGATTTATGAAGGGTTTGAAGTATGAGGATTTTTAAATCCGATGCAGAGGACATGGACGAGGTACTGGGCTCTCGTGAATCTGTTGCAGAGTCTGATGGTTCTGTGTATGAGCCCCGTTCTGACGAGTCGGATTTAGAGAGTGGGGACTGAAAAGAGGAGTTCGAGCATTGGAAGAAGCATGGTGGAAGAGTGGAGTGAGAGCGCAGCCGCGAACCTGGACTGTGGTGAGCGCGTGCGTAGGAGGTTCCCCACAGGTGCTACCTCCTCTTTCTTCTTCCACCATCAGTCTTTGCAGCAGCAGCAATGGATGGACCTGAAGCAAGTAGAGACCGAGTGTGCAGCTCAGTAATGATAGATAATTTTGACATATGTAGCTGTGCGATATTCGTCCGGTTCGGCGCCCTCCGCACTTTCCGTCATTCGCGATACCAAAAAGGTGCAAAAAAGACGATAAATCCAAAAAGACAATCTCACCAAAAAGAATGGACGCTGTGGGAATTGAACCCACGACCTTTCACAGATGGGCACGTTGAAACATGCGAAGCGAACTGAACCGATGTTAGAAAGTGACCAAGAGAGTCGCAAAGCGGTTCAACATACAATCATACCCCTAGACTGGGAATCGTTAGAATGCCGATTGGGCTAAGCTTGGATTGGAAAGTATCTTACCCAAGCGCCCGTTATTGGTTGTTGTGGCAAAACATCAAATTATCTTATATATAGAAGTATATATATGAGGTGGGAAGAAGAGGGGCGAGAAGCGCGTTGATAGCGATTGTTGATGGGAAGGTGCGGGGCACTTTTGAAGGATGATGTTATCGTGGTGGGGTAGGTGCGCGTTGTGACGGAGCGCGATGGCCTCTACCTGGAAGACGAACAACACAGCCTGTTTACTGCGATGCGCAGAGAATAGGGTAGAGCTATGCAATCCTACATGTGCATATGTATCGCTCGTTGATACTTGGTTAGAAAGCTTCCATGAAACATCAATCATCACTTCGCAGGCGGGACATCACCTCTCAGCACATCACAATCACACTGAACGACGACCAACTACTCATGACCATATTCATACTCATTTCATTTCATTGCAGACTGGTATAATATGTCTGCTTCCCTTCCCCTGTCATCTACATGCCCTCAGCCATGCTTCAGTCACGTTTGACCCGTTCTTGCCTCTATTTCTTGCTCGTAGTCTCCTCCGCATGCTTAGCCAGCGGGTGGGTAGGGTTGCTGCTCAGTCCGCTCTTTGTGTCATCGCTCGACTTCTCCGCGCCCTTGGCAGGTGCGCCGCCCTGGTCGTTGACATTGCCCGTGGTCTGGCCAGCTTGGGCGTCGGACTGCCTCTCGGGCTCGGGGGACTGGCGGCCGGCGTTGGGAGCAGACATGATGTGTATGTGAAGGTCTGCGTGGATTAGAAACGTGTTGGAAGGAGGGGGAGATGTGGTGGGGTGTACGGTTTGGTTTGGTTGTAAGAGGTAGGTCTGTGTAACAGTGTTAGCTATCTGGCATACGGCGTCATCTGCGTAACGTACCTTTGAGTTGGGGAACTTGGTTGCTTGTAGAGTTGATTGATGTAATTGTTCAGAAGATGCAGTCCCTGCTGCGTCTTTTGACATTGCAAATGCTCGCCCCACGACTGACGTCACAAGCTCGGATCAGGCAGTTATGCACAACATCGACGTCAACGCGTTTGCGCGATTTGTGGGTTCTGCTCATATTGCTTGCATGCTTATTGATGCGAGACAAGGTATATTTTCCGGTGGCTGTAGGTCTGATGTCGGGCGGGAGGCTGGGTTCGGGCTCCAACTGAGGTTTACATCACTTCGGTCGCAACCGATAGGCACATGTCAGAGACATTTCTGCTTTACGCTATCAGCAGCAAGCTTTATGCATTCGTAGGTATCGATATTGTTCATTTCATATCATCGAGATCCGCGGAAGATCAACTCCTCTTTCCCATCTCCACGTCTCCGTCGGCCCCTTCACCATCGTCGTCCCACTCACTGCCTTTCAACCTCCTCCCTATCCACAGACCTGCAGCGGTCGCCGCACTAGCAACAAGGAACCACCCTTCGAACCAACGTTCCGTAAATGCTGGTTCTAACGGCGCGCCCAATGCATCACCAATCTTGCTCTTCATCTCAGGCGGAAGGTTACTCCTGAGCAGCAGCGCAGAGCTGATGACATACGTTGCCGCAATTTGTGAGATAATGAGAGCGAAGTTGGTCTTGGTGTGTTGCAACACGCCAGGCACAACGCGCGCAAACAAGAAGAAGGTTTGCAGGACGCTGTTGAACGACAAAAGCAGCATGACCCCGGAGAGCAAGAAAGAAATTGTGCGGCTCCATGCTACTCTGTCGATTGTGGGATCCCAATGTTTTGCAAGTAGTGCAAGGAAGTTGTTGATAGGGTCGCTGTTGGAAAAGCTCGTGTTGGGCGAAGAAAAGCGACGGAGAGTGGTGACTGTAGTAGCTGAGATGCGGTATGCGCAGTATATCGCAAAGACAAACGAGAACATGTTCACGATGCGCCCAAAGGCTGTGTGCGAGCGGAGCTGGCTCTGTCGCCGGTTTTGCAACACGGACATGGAGTTCTGTAGCGTCTGTCGCATCGTCTCGAGACCTTGGATCTCGAGCTGTAATGTGTTGCGCTCTTGTGTATCGGGGTTCCCACGGATGGAGCCTACAACACGGCTCATAAAGCCTGCCTGGGGATTGTCGCAGAGCTTGCGCTCCACAGCTCGAAGTCGACTTTCCTTGGTGAGAAGCATGTCATTCGTAGCCTGAATTCCGGCCTGTTTGCGAGCAATGTCCGACTCCGTCACCTATCTCTGTTAGCATACGCCAAGTTCATGGTCAAGGCATATCACAACGTACTGGACGGTACTTGACACCGAAAGTCTGCCAAAGCGAGGAAATAGCTGCAAAGCCTGCGAGAGATGCCATCAAGCTGATGCCAATGATGCCGATTCTTTCAAGACAGCCTTCACTGAACGTATGTTCATGCAGATATGACTCCTCTTGCAGATACGAGCCCAGGAGTCCTCTCCCGAGATACCAGAACGCTCCTAGCCATGTTGCAAGTCCACAAAACTCCAGCACCCAAGCTAGCCGCCGCTGGCCCCTCTGGCCTCCATTCGCATTCAGACCGGTCTTCGATACAACCGAGTGTATCTCGAAAGCAGGCGTTACTACGATGAGGAGGAATAGTAGCGATGGGAGCGTCAGTTTCAAGGCTAGTGTGCGCGTGGCGGGGTTTACGGTGTTGGCAATTTCGCAGAGGATGAGCTCGGCGAGCACTGCAGACAGCGCGATGTTCGTGGAGAAGATGATGCTTGCTAGTGATCTTGCGCTTGGCCGTAGGTTCTTGATGAGGGATGACCTCGCGCGCGCCGCGACACCCGGGAGATGCGCACCATCATGCGCCTTCCGATCGTGACCGGAAAGTATGGGAAACAGCTTTTGCGATACTGCGACGGCGACAAAGAGAAAGGTGAGCAGGAAAGGGAGCGATGATGCGATGGTGGCCATGGGGCTCTTGTGGCGCGCATATTCGGGGACGCACTCATCGCAATCGTCTTGGAGAGGCGGTAGCATAGGGCTGGCTGTCGCGTGGTGACAGAAATGAAGAGGCAATCTGTCGCTATCTTTTCTTCTTGTACACAGGGAACGGTGTTACATCCATCGGACAGAGACAACGTCGGCGCATTGGAGATGTGTGGCACAGATGAAGTAGGTTACAACGGTAGCAAGGGAGGCATGCCTCAGGTAGAAGCCGTTTCGGCGCAGTTGTCACAACGTCATCTGCCGATCAGGGACCGGGGCAGCGGGGCTAGTCTTCAGTTCAACTCCGGAGAACGGACTGTTTCGTGTGCATGCTATTTCAGTGCTATCACGCACTAAGCACTGCTACTTGAGATTGCTATCTGCTGTATGATGGGTATCCTATCAAAGATTGAAGCAGCTCCTCTCCATCGCCGAATTCTAACATTCTCGGCTGAGTCAGCTCTGCGCATTCACACGAGTTTGAACATCTGTCGGCTTTTAGTATTTTCAAGTGCCATCAGATTCCTTGTGCACCCTGCTGGGATCATCTGGATCCGTCACCGTGATTGTCGGTCCAGAGCCGATGTTTGTTGCGGTGTCCAGTGGATTAGCATCCGATTTGGTCATGGGACTAATCCCATCAATGTCAAGGCCGCCACGTCCTTGAGCAATTTCACTTGCTCTTGAACCAGGTGGCGCAGTCCTCACACCTCGATCCTCGTCGTCGTCGTCGTCGTCGTCCCCACTACTTGGATCATCGCTAAAGTCCGGGCTATCCAGGTTCTGAAGGTGCGGACTCTTCATCATAACGCCCGGACTGCGTGGGTCGTCGAGCAAGGTACTAGCGTTTGTCTCCTGCTCGTCGTCGCTGTCTTGCGCATGCGCCACCTGCGCCAGAGGATGCGAGGTATCAGTCGCCGTTTTGTTGGTAGCTGCTGCCAGTGCCAGTGCTTCTTCATCGTTGGCGAAGAAGCTGTTGCGCGGGCTATTGACGTCGATAAGACTCTCACTCTTCGCGAGGATGTCTCTGTAACCTTGTCGGTCCGGATCATTCGCACGCTTGCTCCTCGCCTTGTCGCGCTTCGAAGTAGGGCGGACGACAATGACAGGTACCGGGGAATGCTGTAAACAATACTTGGACACGCTGCCAGGTAGCAAGCCCTGGAAACCACCCAAGCTCTTTCCTCTTGTTCCTACCACAAGAATGGCCGGCTCATAGAGGTTGATCTGCCCATTCTTAGCATTGAATAGATGTACCCTGGCCGATGGAATGAACTTACCATGTCATCAATGACCTTGTTAACCTTGCCAATAGAGAATTCCAAAATCAGATTGATGGCCTTGTTGTCGTGATTCCGGGCTTGGATATCTCTCATGGTGGATTCGGCTTCTGTGCGGTAACGCCCCGTCTCCACACTGCGGTCACCCGCAATCGCGTCTTCCTTCTCCACTACCCGTAGACATACAATTTCGTCTCCATCGTCGACAAGTTCGTTGATCAGCCATTGCAGCGCAAAGACCGAGTACTCGTTTTCGTCGAAGCCACACAAGAACGTCCGGGACCGCTTGGTGTATTCGTAGTCTTTGTGCTTCGCTATGAGTGTGAATGAGCTCTCTTCAATGAAATCAGCCGGTTTGTCGAAAGTGTCGAATGACACACGAGGCTGAAAGACACTACGAATTACAGTCAGCTACTGATCCGTAATGTGAGGGCAACATTGAGGAACATGAGAAGGCGGCCAGGCCTGTTGCTCGCTACTAGAGCCACCCGCAGCCTGTGAGGCATACTTCGCCATGCTTTGCCTCCATGCGCAAGATCGGGAAGCCGATATGCGCCGGAAGTGATGGGGAGAGGTTCATGTATAACCGGCAATCTCGGAGGTATAGCTACAGACAACCAATACTTACGGGGGAGGTGGTGGTGACGACAGACGCCGGCGTTGACGCGGCTTCGGGCTGCCTCTGGGCAACGAGGAATTCCTGTGCGCCAGGAACTGTATAGACGGCCGACGTGGTTCGTCCATGCCAGGACTTCTGCTGACTGGCAGCTGCAGAGGGCTCACTGCGTAGCCCACCGATGTCTTGTGGGGAGCAGGTGATGCATTTCGTGCTTGCGTCGACGTGGGGGATGCGCTCATTGCGGTATCGTGAGAATTCTAGAGGCACGGAGGCTTCGGGTAAGCCCAATCGCACGTCCTTTGAGTGTGTGAGAGCTCCGCTGTTAGGATTCTTGCTGGTAACGTGGGCTCGTGCAGGACGAATGATGCAGTGCGCGCGTGGGCTGCTTGGCGCGGGGTACACCACGATTGCAAGCCCCGGAGAATTGGTTTGAAGAATGAAAGTAGAGATCGTAGTCTGGTGGGCTCAGCGAGATGTTATTGCAGTGGATGAGCACACTGTCTCAGCATAAAGCCCGCAGGCTTGGCTGCTGCGAAGTCGCGCCTGCCCCAGACGTGATGTTCAAATGCGCCCGCCCAACGTCACCTGCGCAGACCCTTGCACCCGATGGGCGGGCCTGACACGTGAAATTCGCTTTAGCGGACCAGAAAGGACAGGCTTCTGGGGCACTACAGGTTCTCAACTACGACGGAAGGCGGCCAGATTGACAGCCTGTCCACTAGTCCGAAGCTATACAAAGTATCATTAGGGTTTCGAGGTTGACGGAAAGGCCCCGTATATAGCTTCAGGCTACCTACGGGATTCTCCCGTGTACTTTCCGTCTTGTCTGGCAGCTCGTAGTAAATCATTGTTCTGTGATTTGCCCTTGCGAGCTACGTGAGAAGAACCAATTCATTATCGTGTCCAGGTCATATCTATATATCTACGGATGGGAGACTGGTGCTCAAGCCAAAGACTTGACGTCAGCCTGCGAGAGCTTGCCAGCACCAATGAGACGCTGAGCCTCGTCTTGGAAGATCTGCTTGATCTTGCCAGCGTCCTTTTCGTTGTTGAGCTTGGCGGTCAGGTCAGCGAGCTCTTCGTGGTCGATCTTTGCAATAATGAGATCAGTGTCGTTGAGAGCACTGTCAATCTGGGCTGCGGGAGCGTCGCCACCAGCATGGAAGTAGTTGGCGTCCTTGACAGCCCCACGGACCACACGCTTGTTCTTCTTCGCGGCGTTCTTTGCGGCCTCCTTCGCCTTCTTGCCTTCAGCCTTTTGGGCCTTCTCTGCCGCGTCCTTCTCAGCCTGGAGCTTGGCTTCCTCCTCCTTCTTTTTAGCAGCCTCCTCAGCAAGACGCTTCTCCTCAGCCTCCTTCTCCAACTTCTTCTTGTTCTTGGAGGCGTTTGCCTGCTGGCGGAAAAGCTTGATGCGCTCGTCGAGGGCTAGGGCGTCGTCTACAAGCTTCCTGAGGCGGGCAGTGTCTTCGGTCTTCTTCTTGCGACGGGCAGCCTGGTTCTTGCGCTCAACGTGACGCTTCTGGTCGCGGTTCTCGTTGTCATCCGGAACGTCCTCGTCCAAGTATTCGAATGTTCGCCAGCTGTCAAAGTTGTACCAGAAGTTGTAAAATTCCTCGACTTCCTCTTTGGAGCTCTTGGCGTTACCGAGCTTGGGTACGGGCTGGTTGTTGGAGAAGCGGCCCTCTGCCTCGAAGACCTTGCCCCACATCTTGTAGAAGTTTCCTTTCTGCGTCTCCTTCTTCGAGGGAGGCTCGACATCGGCGGCCTCGTCGACGGAGTCGAATTGCCTTCGTCGCACAGGGTCGGACAGAACCTCGGTGGCTTTCTGGATGCACTTGAAGAACTGGTCGCCCTCGTCGCTACCAGCAGCAGCCTTCTTGTCGGGGTGATGCTTGAGCACCTTCCTGCGGTGGGCGCGCTTGATCTGGTCTTCGGTGGCACGCCATCGCAGGCGGGTTATGCCAAGAACAGCGTAATGGTCTTGGGACTAGATACAGGTCAATACGCAATGTTCAGGTCAGGTGTAGGTAATCTTACCTTCCAGTCCTTGGCCTCGCGCTGCAGCATAACGGGGTCCTCGGGCTCGTCAATGTCATCCGGGTCCTCATCTTCGACTTTCTTGACGTTGGCCTGTGCCTGGATGCGCTCATCCTCGGAGAAAGTGCGCTTGTGGCGCTTCTACACACGCACTGTTAGTAAAAGCCGTTGAATCTATCAGCATAGCACGTACTCTGCGGGCATAAGCCAGGAAGTGCGGGCCAACAGGCTCGATGTTGCGGTCGGTCGCAGCGCTGAGCTGGCCGACAGACTTGAAGTCCTTCTCGCCAGCCCAGCCTTCCGGCAGGACTGGCAGCGGTAGGCTGATCTCCACGGTAGACGCCATTGTGTCGTGCAGTGGTGGTGGGGAGGGACAAGGCGATGCAGATAATTTTTGGCGGCAGGCCATGGCCCCAGCCTAGCGTTTTGCCGAAGTCAAGCATCCCTGCCGCGTTAGGGCCCGCCCCAGGATCGTCTCAGAATAGCGTGGAGCTGGCCCATGGTTACAGGTGTGCATTGCGAACATGTCCATGTAATTCTTGTCATTTTTCACGTCTTCAGTTCTTCGTCCTTCCTAGCAAAGTTGGTCCAACTCCATCATGTTTCAAGGCTTCCAGGTATATATGCTGCAATCACGTCCCTGATGCAAGCTGACTTGAACACCTAGCGCATTCGAGGTGCCATTGATGCTCGGATAGCAGAGGAGCAGGCAAAGCAACGGACCAGCCCACAGTCGTCGACCCCCCCGCGATCGAGCTCTACGGCGCGGCGTTCAAGTTCACGCAATCTCTCGCCCTCGAAACGATCCGCACGATCCAAAGATGGCGACAGCAGCAAGGCTGCGCCGACCGGCAAGGGCCCCGATCCCTCAGAGTTCGACCCGGAGTTTGTCATAGGAGAGGAAGATGATCAGCCGAGCCGGGCAGCGACTCCGCGACCAAAGGAGAAAGCGCTGCCCACGGAAGGCGCGGCGGAGAATGCCAGTGAGAAGAAGGACGACGACAAGGAGGCTGAGGCCGACGAGAAGCCAGACAAGGCGCCCGAGATACCGCCAGAAGTCCAACTTCGCTTGCGCAAGCTGGACAAGCTAGAACCCAAGTATTCTGGCAAGTGCACCCGGCCCCGAGTGGTAGGCAACACTAACATCCTGCTCAGAACTGCTCCGGTCGTACCGCATCGCACACGCCCGCATCGGCGCAATTGAGGCCTTCGAAGCTTCATTGCGCGAGCACACACCTCTGACCTCCATCAGCGATACCGCCGCCTTCGTCGAATACCTCGGCCAGCTCAACGTCAAAAGTGACATGCTCATGGAGGAACTCAAGCGTGTCTCCAAGGAGCGCGACGACATCAACAAGAAGCTTGAGGATGCGGAAAAGCGCGCGAAAGAGTCCGCAGAGGAGGTCGAGGCGCTGAAGTCCAAGGCGGCAGTAACCGAAAATGAGAAAGATGACACGACTACAACATCCGAGTCAATCGCGCCTTCCTCCACATCCAAGCAGACTGACGCCACAGAGGATGAGGAGTTCTTCTCGTACGACAGCGAGCTCCCCCGCCTCCAATCGCAACTGCAAGAGAGTGAGGAGAAGGTCGGCAAGCTAGAGGAGGAGAACAAATCACTCAAGAGCGAGTTGTCTACAGCCCAGGAGTCGGCGGAATCTTTCATGAAGAACCTCGAAACTACCTCTAATGACCTCAACACATTCAGGGACACACACCAACGCCTGCAAAAGGATGCTGACGAGCGCGAGAAAGAGCTCAATGAAAGCATTGCGGACCTGAAGACGCGACTGGATAGCGCGGAGAACGACCTGGCCAAACACAAAGACGAACGCATCCAAGACCAAGGGACCATCACCGAATTGCAAAATAAGCTCGAATCTGCCACAAAAGAGCTGCAGGAGCTACATGCCAGCAAGGGTGAAGAGCTTGTCCAAGAAGATCAGGTTCAGGAACTCCGTAGCCAGGTTGAGACGGCCGAGGCAGATTTGTCTAAGCTGCGCGACGCCCATGCAAAGGCCGAGAAGCGGGGCGATACCCTGAACGGGCTTCTCAGCAATGTACGAAGTCAGCTAAAAGAGACGGAAGCGAAGCGCGACGAGGCTCTGGCTAGCCTTGAACAAGCAAAGAAGGCTCTGGACGCAAAACCGAAGGAGGAGAGCAAGCCAGCCCCGTCTCCTCAGCCGCCGACACCCCAGATTCAACCCGTTGAGTCTGCCTCTTCCAAGAGGAAGAACAAAAAGAAGAAGAAGGGCGGACAAGCAGCGAATGCCATTCCCTCTGCGCCTCCAAGTGAGGCTGGTGATGCGAACGGGATGCTCAGCCCAAGGGATGCCGATTTCTCGTCCACTCAGCTTGAAGATGCACAGAAGACTGTTACCGAGCTCAAGGCAGACCTCGAAGAGAAGGTTGCGGCGATTGCGAAATTGGAGAGCGAAGTCGCCGAAAAGGCCTCATCATTAGATTCGCTCAAGAAGAAGATGAAAGACCAAGACGACCTTCAAGAGGAAATTGAGACTTTGAGACAGGACCTGCTTGACTTTGGCTCGGAGCACACAGACGCCAAGGATAAGGTGAAGCAGTTGCAGGCAGAAAAGGCCGCCCTTCAAGAAAGCTTATCGAAACTCGAGAAAGAGATTGCTGAGTTGAAAACCGGCAAGGCATCACAGGAGACATCCGAGGAAGAGAAGAAGGCATTGACGACTGAGTTTGAGCAGCTCAAGGCCAAGGCAGACTCTATGCAGACTGATCTGTCGCTTGCAGAGCAGCTCGCAGCGTCGCGTTTCAAAGATCTTACAGACATGCGGGAGGTCTTGCAGAAAGCTCAACCAGAATTGAGCTCTTTGCGCAAGGAGGTAGCAGAGCTGCGCAGCACCAAAGACGAGCTTGGGACAAAATCTGCTGATTTGAGGCGATTGGAGGGCCGCGAGAAGGATCTCAAATCTGAGATTGCCTCGTACCGCTCTCAGGTCACCGGCAAAGAAGCTGACATCAAGACACTCAACGAGAAGATAAAGCAAGAAACAACGCAGAGGCTTGCGCTCGAAGAAACTAATAGGAAAATCCAGCGAGACTTGCAGAACTCCGAGGTCGAGCGGAAAGATGTTGTGGAAGCCCGAGACAAGCTTACTAAGGATCTGGCCAAGGCGCAAGATGAACTGAAGAGTTCTCGCAAAACTCTGCGTGACCTGGAGGAAGAAGTGGCTAAACTCACTCGTGAGGCTGGCAGTCTACGGGACGATCTTCAGCTCAAGTCTGCTCAATATGCGAGCGCGCAGGATCTCATGAACAGCATGCAGGACCAGACACAGGAGATGGGCACTCAGGTGAAGGAGATTCGCGCTAAGAGTGAGAGTCTAGAGGAAGAGCTTGCGGATGCTCATCGTCTGCTTGGTGAACGGGGCCGTGAAGCAGAGACGATGCGACGACTACTGGCTGATGCTCAAGGAAGGGCTGATGCCCGTGTGCGCGAGATGCAAGAGCGACTTGACATAGCGATTGAAGAACGAGAAAGGGCAGAGGAACAAGCTAGCACTTTCAGCAAACGCCGTGCCAGAGAGCTTGAAGAGCTCAAGCAGAAGGTTCGCGACGCTGAGCGTGCCATGACCCGTGCAGTCGAAGACAAAGATGACCTTGCGGTGGCTGAAAAGGAGCTACGCAGACAAAAGGAGGACATGGAGAAGCGGGCTGCGCAGGCTAGTGAAGAAGCCTCTGATGTCAGGCTTGCTATGAGCCAGCTCCGGGATGCTTTGGATGAGAGCGAGAAGCAGGCGCGTGATCTTGAGAAGGAAAAGGGCGATCTACGACGCGCATTCGATGAGACTCAAAGCCGGCTGGAGAAGCTGCAGAAGTCGAGCAAGGTGCGTTTCTTTCCTTCGTTGTTCAATGTAGGATACTAATTTGGACAGACTATGTCGGAAGAGCTTCGATCAATCAAGGCGCGAGGTCCAGACTCGACTGCCCAATCTTCCAGGACCTCAGTCGAGTCGACACGATCACGTCTGGCATCTCCCACACCCAGGCCTGGCACAGCTTCATCGCAGACAGCGGACGGCGTCGACTACGTGTACCTGAAGAACGTCTTATTGCAATTCCTTGAGCAACGAGACAAGAAGTACCAGCAGCAACTGATCCCCGTGCTGGGTATGCTGCTGCATTTTGACAAGAAGGATGAGCAAAAGTGGATGGCTGCAGTTTCGGCCAAATGAGTGAGGCTCCGCCAGCTGTACGGAGACGGATCGGGATGACTTGCATCTCTGTGGTACCAGCGGATTGGGCTTGGTTACTGGGTGCGACCCTTGTTTTTGCATAGCGACTGGCGTCTATTGGGGTCTTTTTTCTTTCTCCTGTATCGGTATCCTGTTCGGCTAGATGCAGCATCTGTGGCAATGTCTCAACTGAGGCGCGCCACACTCTCCCCGTGTACTACTTGCAATATCGCAGTCCAAAGTGCGATGAGCGCATCAAACACGAGTTGACGCTGAGAGACTCGAGTTGTGTAGCATCAGGCCTAGCAACAAGGTGATTGTTCTGGATTTTTTTTATGCGACGATACGATGACCTGAAGTTCTTTGATACATTATTGAGTTCTAACTTGATGTAATATGGTGTTGCCGGATTAGCTTCGAGGCCTTTTGAAATTTGCGCTGCCCGCATCAAGAATTCGCAAAACCCTCGAGCCTGACTGTTCATGTCATTCGGTGCAGCGGGCAAAACCAAGTGGCTCGTGGACGAAGCCGTGCAGTGAATCAGAAGCGTCGTGGCCCAATGGGCCTCACCGAGTTAGTACCGCGCTGGCTGAAGCATGTGGTTGAAGGTTATACCAAGCAAGATGCGAACAAGCAGACGACGTCATCGCCATGCTAGGTTTCGGGGAGCGTTCCTTAATTCTTACCGCTCCTCCCGGAAAACAAGGCGTTAGCAAGAATCCTGTTCCTGACATCGTTTCCAGTCGCAATTCTCCGACTCTATTATCCTCGAGAAACTGCGCATCGAACCCGCAAGCGAGGCGCCGTCTGAGAGCATCGCACCCGTGCCAGCACCCCACGCCTGAACCAATCAGGAGGCCCAAGGCGCAGAACGACAGGCCCGCGAGGGGAGCGCTAAGCCGATCACCCAGCAACATTGAAGAAATCGAGCGCAGTGCAACGACAGCCATCTGCGCGTGGCATAGCCTGTGCACCCCTAAAGCCCATTCCCCAGCATTCGTCCATGAGCCCGGCGGAACGCGTCGAGATTGCCTGAGACCGCAGACCACAGCCCGCAGATTGCAGCCCACCAGCCCACCAGCCCTCGAGCCCTATAGTCGCTCGCTGCAGCCCAGCGCGTGGCGGGGAAGTGCATCGGCACCTGCACCACCACAATGAATGGCACTGATATCAAAAAAGCTGCCATCAACAAAGCCAAAGCTGTCGCTCAGGCCGCGAATGGAAACGGCGGCAAAAAGAGGCGGAAGGGCCAGGACCTGAAGCCCATTATCACGACGGAGCAGCAGGCCAGCCAGAATGCATCGCCCTCGTCGACAGGGTCCTTTCACTACAAGTACGTCCCAGTCCCTCTCCCCCAGCAACACGCCCGCCCGCCCGCCCCACTGCGCCTGCGCCCGCGCTTGCTCTTGCTCTTGTCATAGCACTTCTCTTTTTGCTTGCTGCGACCAACTTTCACTATACTGACCTCGACCCCGCAGTGTGCAGAAACACGGCCTCTTCCGACTCAACCAGCACAAGAATGTACGGCAAACCAATTGAGCCACTCGCCCGACTCTTCGTCGTCATCTGTGGACGAAGCGGGAAAATACCGCCGACGAAGAGGACTCGGAGGACTACTGCAAGGGCGGCTACCACCCCGTGCAGGTGGGCGAGGAGTACAAGGACGGCAAGTACACCATTGTGCGCAAGCTCGGCTGGGGCCATTTCTCCACCGTCTGGCTCTCCCAGGGACAACGCCACGGGCAAGCACGTCGCCCTCAAGGTCGTGCGCTCCGCTGCGCACTACACCGAAACCGCCCTCGACGAGATCAAGCTGCTGAAGAAGGTCGTAGACAAAGAACGAGAAGCACCCCGGTCGCGCACACGTCGTCAGCCTCCTCGACTCCTTCAACCACAAAGGCCCCCAACGGCGTGCATGTGTGCATGGTGTTTGAAGTGCTCGGCGAGAATCTGCTGGGCCTGATCAAGAGGTGGAACCACCGCGGCATACCCATGCCGCTGGTCAAGCAGATCACTAAGCAGGTGCTGCTTGGCCTCGACTACCTCCACCGCGAGTGCGGCATCATCCACACCGACCTAAAGCCCGAGAACGTCCTCATCGAGATTGGCGACGTCGAGCAAATCGTCAAGACATATGTCAAAGACGACACGAAGAAGGACAAGGACGATAACAACAGGAATGGCAGGCGGAGGCGGAGGACACTGATCACTGGGAGTCAGCCGCTTCCCAGCCCGCTAAATGCGAGCTTCAACCAGGCAGACCTCCAGCACTTCCCAGGCATGGGAGGCCCACAGAGCCTCAACAAGGTGGTCAACGAAAACACAGGTATTGAGTCCCCCACGATTCTTCCGAGTCATTCTGTTTCTCCAGATGGGGTTGTAATGAGTGGTGCTTTAGCTACTTCTTCATCCGCCTCGAATCTCTCCATGGCAGAACGCCTCGGTCTCAAGCCGGCCGCCAGCGACGACGATATACAAAAACAGCGCGAAAAGACCGCGTAAGTCTCATTCTCTAGCCTTTTAGGTATCAACTAATTCCAGACAGCGACCTTCTTACGAAAGAAGTATCCGGCATCAGCCTCGACAAAAACACCAACACATCCTCAAAATCAGATATAGAGCAGGCCGCCGAGGCTGCGTTCGAAACAATCTCAGTCAAGATTGCAGATCTTGGAAATGCCTGCTGGGTTGGACACCACTTCACAAACGATATCCAAACCAGGCAGTATCGGTCACCAGAAGTTATACTGGGCAGCAAATGGGGTGCCAGTACTGATGTTTGGAGTATGGCCGCAATGGTAAAACGCCCATCTACATCTCGAGGACGACATGCTAATACGTTTGCAGACCTTTGAACTAATCACTGGCGACTACCTCTTCGACCCACAATCCGGCACAAAGTACGGCAAAGACGACGACCACATCGCCCAAATCATAGAACTTCTCGGCACCTTCCCTAAACAACTCTGCATGTCCGGAAAATGGTCGCAAGAAATCTTCAACCGAAAAGGCGAGCTGCGAAACATCCACCGATTACGACACTGGGCGTTACCCGACGTGCTTCATGAGAAGTACCATTTCTCAAGCGAAGAAAGCAAGAAAATCGGAACGTTTTTGTTACCCATGCTCGAACTCATGCCCGCAGATCGCGCGAATGCGGGAGGCATGGCTGGACACGAGTTCTTAAAGGACACCAAGGGTATGGAGAATGTGGATTTGGGCATTCCGGTGGGCAGCAAGGGTGAAGGAATCGAAGGCTGGGCGACGGAAGTCAAGAAGACGCGGTAGCTTGCCGATTTTGCCAAAGTCGATCGTTGTTGAAGGGTGGATATTTGGTTATTAGAGATGTGCGATGAAGATGGGGAAGAGTAGGGAAATCTTTTGGTGTCAGTAACGACATATGACATCGAATGAGTGATTATTCTTCCTCTTTCGAGATTCTCTGTCTACTTTGTCCTACGTTTGGAGAGCTTGTTAGTTTTCACAGACAAGCAGGCGTTTTCCTTGGGGTTTCGGTATCTAAGTGCATGGGATCTTCAAGGGTTGCATAGAGAAGCATATAAACTAAACTCATGTCCCATGTCACGTGCTTCCAACATCTTATCCATGGGTGTAACGAGTGGATGACGCATCTAGCATCGGAAACAACACATCATCTTTGTGGCTTGTAACATAAACTTTGTGCCCAGCAACATTTATTCATGCGGCACTACTCCAGCCACTCCACGCCATCGCACGTGCCAATCTGATTGGCTACGAAAGACCCGCGCCGACGTCTAGCCGTCATCCCAGACGCCAATGGACTCAGCCTCGATGGGACGGCTTGGCTGGTCTGGATGAAAGTACGTGGGTCCCAGAGATATGGTCCAGACCTTAGCATCGACATGTTGAACATTGAGATTTTGGGAGTGAAAGAGAACGGTGATGGGAAATTGGGGAAGAGTGTAGGGCAGGATGGTTTGAACGGCGAGAAAGAGCTGGATATGAATGTTGACCAGGAAACAATGCAGAGGAATGGATCCGCATCACAAGCTTCCAACGATGCCGACGTGATTCGACATCCCAACGGCAACGATGTCGATGCGCTTCCGGACAGCATCCAAGGACTCCAAATCGCAAATGACAACTTTCGAACTCCACTTCCTCACTACACTCCCATCCCATCCATCTCGCACACCCTGCCTAATCAACGTCCACCATTCTCCCGCGCCCCTTCAAGCCACATCGCATCCAGCATAGCACCCAGCATTCAACCTATCGACGCCCACGCTGAAGCCCTCCGCCGCCTCGGCAAAGCAGAAAGAACCGTAAAAACCCTCAAACGCCGCGGGTCAGACGAGTCCCTCTCCTCACTCATCAGCTACTCCATCCGCCGGCCCAGCATTCCTCTTCCATCAAGACCCGGCACGCCTTCGCTCGCTGCCCTCGCTCACGTGCTCGAGGAAGCGGCGCAAGAGGGAAATCTACCGCTCGTCCAAGCCCTTGTGGGCCTCGGCGCGGATCTGAATTTCCGCTCAGTCAATCGGATTAAGAATCGGCGGCATGAGGCGCTGAATCTTGCTGCTGCGGGTGGCCATGGGGATGTTGTAGAGTATTTGATGGACAAGGGAGCGACGTTTCATGTCAGTGAAGGAAAAGGAAAAGATGGATTTGACCCGATTGATTACAAACTACTCGACGTCGCGTACGCGGGCTTTATCGATGTTGCGAGGTATTTGGTCGAGAAACGAGGCGCGAATCCGTTTGTTGAGTATTGGCCGCGCGAATATGCGGATGCGCAGAGGACGGTCTACAGACGCGTGACAGGCGTGCGCGTGCAGCAAAAAACCCTCTTCGACGCGCTGGCGAAATCGAGCAGTGAATCCCAAGCGAAAGACTTCTTGAATCTCATCATGCAAGATCCGCAGATTCACTCCCACGATGGTGGGCGAGTAGGACATACATCGACACGCCCTTTCACGCCTACCACCCGGCATGACGCAAACAACCCACTCATCCTCCCTCCTCAGCACTTTCATCAAGTCAGGCTGGTCTGAAACCGTCGAAGCCCTACTCATCACACACCCGGACCCAGCGGCGTACGAAATCCCCGACAAAACATCCTCCGAAGAAGGCCAAATTCCCAGTTCCAGCATCCAGCGCCACATCTGGCCCACGCACGCCCTGTCCCGCGAAACATGGCTGTACCACCCGCAATCTGCGCTTCGCATACTCAAAATGCTGATAAACCTGCACTTCGACACATCCACCCCGCAACACACGCCAGATGATTCCAGCCCCCGCACGCCTCTCGCGCGCTGCATACTCGCCAACTCCGCCGCGGGCGTGGATGCGCTCCTCTCTGCAAAGCCGGATCTCCGGGATACAGACATCGCAATACGCCTTTTACTTCCCGGCGAGGAGTTTAGGGAATGTGCTGCGAAACCGCTGGCGGCGGCGCTTGTGCAGGACAGTCTGGCTTGCGCGCGAGTCATATTAGAACACGGTGCGAGTGTGCGTGATCCGGCGTTCGGATATTCGAGTACAGTGGTGTTTGCGGCTGCTCATGGCATTACTGAAATCCTCCCGGAGCTAGTCAGCAAGGCACCTGAGTTGGTTTCGGAAGCGCTGGAGGTGGCCGTGAGGAAGGGGAGGGTTGGGGCTGTGGAGGTTTTGTTGGAAGCTGGGGTAGAGGTGGACGAGAGGATTTGGGATGTTGTGGTGGAGTGTGATAAGGAGGGGAAGGAGGCGGAGTATGATAGGATTAAGAAAGTGGTGGGTTCGAAGCTGGGGAAAGTGGAGCTGTGAAGGGATACTCATGAATCCCGCGCTTGTAGTTCAACGTAATTACAATACGATAGGCTCAATGAGCTTATCATACACTACAGCCTACTTCAAGGTCAATCACTTGCCATAGTAAAGCTCTAGGCAATTCTCCGTCGTAGCTCTAGACCCACCTATCCACTCTCTGCTTCTTACATCGTAGGCGTAGCTAATAGTACTACGCCACACTGCAAGCACTCCACTCTCACTCACACGAGTCGCTTTGCCAACTGGTTGGATCCTCGGGTGGATAGTGACATGGATCATCTCGCCAGCCCTGGCAGTGTAGCTGGCTGCGCCGACAGGACCGGTTGCCTTTCTAGGTCCTCGTTCGAATACCACCCCGTCGTAGGCTAGATGATTGCTTTGCCAGTAACAGCGGATTGAGTCTTGAGAAAGCGATACTATTCTCCCACTCGGGAGGTTGGTGCGTCAGGAAGCATTACAGGTATTTGGTAAAATTAGTGTCCGTCTTGCATCTACATGGCAGGATCTAATAGTCTTTAGAAGCACATCTAGGATGCTCTAAAGGGGCCTGAATATACACGCTGCTTTGAGATGTCTTATCTTGCTTTGCGAAGGGGTCTGAATCTAGCTAGGATACCTCTTAACCCCTTCTTGTTGGGAGGAGGTGGTCGGGAATTTTGCTGGGGCCTAGTGGCGATGTCAGGGCATGTACAGGGTGGATGGCGAGGGGATGGAGAACGTAGAAGGCAATACGAGAGTTCATTTTCAGTATTATTCAGACTTGATGTTCGCTTCACATGGCATGGTTATTAGTCGGGGGGGTTGTGAAATGCACTTTATTCTTCGTTATGTTGAGCTGCTACTTTGGACAGCTGAAGCGAACTGCTACCTGTCTGTATCAACTCGTATATCTCCACGTGCTGTAACCTGGAGTAGACCAAGATTATGCCAATTGGTGTGAATGGACCAAGATTGTATGTCAATCATGCATCCAGAGTGTCAATACGCTCAAGATGTTCCAATGCCAACACCGATTGTTCAGCTCTAGCCAAATGGCATACGGACGTTGCCATGCTCGTCTCCAAACATGATGCAGCCGAACATGTCACGCCACTCAAGCCCAAACATTTCCTCGAAAGGGTTCTCGAAACTAGGCTCGACTTCAGCCTGCGGCTCCATTTGATGTAGCTTGATGTCCTCATCCCGTGCCTTTGCCTCATGGATGACATGGTCGTCATCCTTCTCGATGAGCTTGCGCAGCATGATGACGGCTTCAGGGAACATGGCTCTATTTATGTGAGGCCAAGTGCCCAAGTGGCTGATCATCTCGTTGATGACAGCGTTCATGCCGAGACCGTGGCCGAATTTGGATATGGGGAAGTCTTGAGGAGCATTCCCGATGCAATGCTTCTGAATTCTGCCGAGGATTCTGATGCATTGTAGGTAGAGATACATGATGTCGAAGTTGAAAGCATCTTCATCGCGCTCGACTGCATCCTTGAAGGCGCGGAGCGTTGCAAGTGACGACAAGCTAGCTGCCTTGTCCAGGCCAAGCGTGTCCCTAGCCATTGTATCTGCCATCACCGTAATGCTTAAACCAGCCGGACTCTTCTTCTGGGCCGGCTTCTTGTAGTGGTTATCGATTCGTACATGACCCAGTTCCGAGCAGCGCGCAAGGTATTCGAAATGGCGGATTTTGCCTACCACCCTGTAGCGTCCATCGCTGCCGTTTCCACTCTTAGGGTTTTTGTAGTCTTTTGCGAACTTGACGAGCTTGCCTTTTGAGTCGAGCACCAGCAACAGGGACCTTCTCCTGCAGACCAGCGGTGAACACATCTTGTACCTTACCAGTGGCGCGCGCCGTATCCGCCAGCCATTGTACAAAGTTTTCCGTGCTTTTTGTACTTTCGATAGGTGTCCGCGAGCGGAGGTAGGGTGCTCATCGTCTTGCGCGTGAGCTGATTGCTCAGTGCCTGGACCGTCAGGTGGCACTATTGTATGGCGAAGAGGATACTCAAAATATCTGCTGGTTGTAGTCGGTGGGCAGAGACTTACTCATGGAAATAGAGAAAGTGCGCGAAGTCATCTGGCACATTGGTCGGCCCGGCAACCCGGACTCAACGGTGGTGAGCTCGCCTTCACCTTGGGGCAGTCCTGAAATTTAGCTGCAATAATAAAACCACATGCACGCAGAACATGAATGAGATATCTGCCAAATATGAGCGTATTGTGCAGAGGCACCATACTTCACTCACGGCGGGTGTGAAAGGTGAGAGTGGACGTACCCCAAGCAGCCCCCTCGACCGCAAAATACACCTCACCTCACTGTCACCACTGATTTTTGGATGTCAAAAGACCCCATCCACCACCCACCTTCCCTACACACAAAGAAACAAGCACAATGGTACGTCGTCTCCTTTCTTTCGCGCGCAAATCCCACGGCCAAACAACCATTGTGGACAGAATGGAAATGTAAGGGATTGTCAGCATGGAAGTCGAGCTAGTTTACGCGAAAGGATGCAGAAAGAATACGTTATAAGCCAATGTAGATTCCAGGAGGACGTGAGAGCTTGGTCCAACGCGTGATATGAGGATGTTATTGATACTCGTAGGAGAACTTACATCCATCCAAGCTCTACCACACAACCATCCAAACCAATTTCACTTGAATTTTCTCCACCGAAGAATCCCATCCAGTGTCTACCAAAGATACAGCCCAAGGTGACGCGCCATCCCTTCCAAGTTGTCCGTCTTCCTAGGGATATTGATGAACTCTGCATAAACTCATCACGAGCCTGGTCTTCTAGGATAAGTTCCTCCGTCTTGAAGTCGGAAGCTAGCGCACGATACTCATATGACCCATGAGTAGAAGGTAGGTCCCAGGTATTAATCCAATCATTTCGGGCTCTCAGGCGAGTTCGGACCTCCAAAGATGGCAGCAGTGGACGCGAATTCTGCCTCGTGTGTCGGGTTGCGTGGCAAAGCTACGATACACAGCTCGGCGTGGGTGCGAGCTTAGGATATATTACCTACACGCTCGATGATCTGCTGAATGAGTGACCAAGCTTTGGGATGTGTTCCAACGATTCCATAGAAAGGGTCCTGTGGAATTGAAGATGACAGAAACGCGTCTACTGCAAAGCACGTGTAAGAATCATGAAGAATGTCAGCCTCAACTGTATTGGCTCGATCTATTGTGTTCGATACGACGCGGAGAATCTGCATGGCGATTATGCCGAGAGTCATGGTGTCGAAGCCAGGAGCGAGTTCATCGGCCTTCATGGCGTCATGGTATATTGAAAGCGTTTGGAGAGGAGTGAGGCCCCTGTTCGTGGCATTTTGAGCTGCTCTCGGAGACTTGATACTTTTGCTCAAATCTTTCAGGTGTCGCCGGACCAGGCGTTCTAGAAGGATCACTGGCTGTAAATAGGCAACATCACCAGGACCCTGCCTACATCGAGTCATGCCTTCATGGCGGTAGTATTGCTGAACAATTGTAGAGAATATCGAGAGAAATCGGGTGCTCATATGCTTCATTTGCAGATTGGAAGATGTGCTACTCTTCTGACGCTCTCGGCGTGCCCTTTCACTTGGTCGCTCACCAGTGACTAAGCCTAGGCGCTTACAACAGTCTTCCAAATCTGTTGGCCGCTCTCCAACGAAGATCTTCGAAACGCCCTGCTGTTTTATGATGTATTCAAGATCGGCCCACTTGCAGTATGGCGACAGTAGTTGCTGCTGGAGCCCCGCGTTGTAGAGATGGCACGAAAACATGACACGCTCTTGATTACCCGCCGAAAAGATGCCGAAAAGATGCATCTGGGTGAGAAACGACTCGATCGTGGTGCCGCATGCAGCAGGATGATTCTCAAAGAAAGAAACCTCTGCACCGGACGCCATTGCTTGAAGCAGATTTTCAACTTCAGACTTGCACCTGTCATACCAGAGGTGACCTACGCGGTCAGAATACGACTTCGTGAAGTCAATGTGAGCCTCAAGTCCAGCGCGGAGTCTGTCACTTGTTTCGAGAAGCTTTTTGTAACCTCGACGAACTCCAGATCCTAGCTCTCGATGCATGTCGATGAACACTTGAAATGCGAATACAACCCATGAAGGCGCGTGTCCTTCAGAATCTGCAGCTTTGACAGCTTTGATTAACAAGTCGTGTTGCTGTACTGTTATGCCTTCGATGGTCTCAATGCGCATCATTGCGATAAATGCTTCTAGGCAATGCTTCATGTGCGATTGCTCTGCCTCAGCAGTCTGGCTGTTAGGATTCTAATGAATGTTTAATGTCTCTGGGTTCTTGAATAGATGCCCCGTGAAGTATATATCGAGTCTTTCCTTGCGGCAGAAAGTTTCTGGAGAGAGCTTTAAGTCATCCAAGATGTACCAGCGCGAGATGTCTTTCGAAATAGAAGGATTATCTGTATGTGTCCAGTCGTTAAGGTAAAGCAGAGCTTCGACCACCTTATTGTGTGTATTGAAATCAGGATAGTCGATGAGGAAGGCTTCATTGATGCGGCGTAGGATTTCGATCGCGACGTTCGCCGTGACACTTGCCGTGGCCAGCGTCACCCTTCGCTCTTTCCATTCACGCCAACTTCGATGAACGAAGAGTCGTATGGCGATGAGGTCTTCCAGGAAGCAGAACACCGCGAATGACCTCTCTTGCTGTCGTTGCTCCGGCGACTGTTCGATGACATACTTCGTGGATCGTGTAGCTTGCACGGGGAGATAAGATGCACCCGAGATAGGCACTGTATCTTCTGCATCTTCGATCTCCTCTGCGAAGAGATATGCGAAGATGTTTGAAGGATCTTCGCGATAGATCTGCGGTTGGCAGTCTGTGGCGGTCGGGCGTGCGTCGTGACCAGGGCGCTTGAGTGTGATGTAAGCGTGCTGCAAGATATCAATGAAGTACTGATGCCCTTCATCAGTCTTGGTGTTCTCGTTCGACTTCTCAGGCTGGTATCTGTAGAATGCTGCGCACTCTTTCCGTGCCTTTATCACATCCCATAAAATGATCTCAATGTTCTGGGACATCTTGATGCCCGCCTTGGAAAGGATCGCTACCAAACCATGGAATGAGCTCAGTGGGATCATGGCATGGCGTATCGAGCCATTCGCTTGGCGAGCATCTATGCGTGCTTTTCCTTTGAGTCGCGGACCTTTGACTAAGGGATGGTCGATGTTCTGATACTTCGCCGCCGTTGTCGCCATCCACGAAACAACTATAGCGCTTCCTTTCTTGTATCGCTTGTATGTGTCAACCAGTAACGAGGAGACCTCCATGATGTGCACACTGTCAAAAACCCGAAAGCGTCAGACATTCACTGCTTGGGATTCCAGTATGTAGTGGCATATCGGTCGGCCTTATCCATCATCTCAGACGCGAATCACTCCTGACGAATTGAGCTATCTATTAGAATATCTCTCATGCCATCTGTTAAACAGGATGTAGTAAAGACGGCTGTCCTCCAACCAGAGACTGCCCAGAGTGCGAGTTGAAGCCGAAAGGCTATACAGTACTGAATCAGACAGGAACAGCTACAAAGCAGCGACGTCTCACTTCAGATGATAGCTACAGAGCGAATTGATTTGTGTCAGCCGCGTTCCATGCGAATAGCACATAAGCGTGCGATCTAGAAATGATTGAGGTCCACCCGTACTCATATATAGTCATACGAGCTCTAGCTCGTGGAGAAAGGAGCGGGTAGTCGCATGGTTCATCCTTACCATGTTCTGATAGTATGTCCGGTATGTCAGGTTTGAACAGAGCGCACACGAATTACTGCGGCACCTGCTTCCATGGCTCCTAGGTGTGCCCACGATATTATTGCATTTCCAACAGCGACGTGATGACCGAATTCAAAGACGGAGAATGATAAAGTGGCGTACTTGCAAACTGGGCACAAGATGACCATACCATGTGTTCACAATTGTTGAGTTGATCATCTTCCTCAAACGTCGTCGGACCTCCGCATTGCGCTAAACCCAATCTGTCATAGACCGGGATCATCTAGAATCTCAAAATCTACCAACACCACCACGCAACCACCGCATCGCCAGAGCTTTGCAACATCCACATCCCACAATGAACCTCTCCTCCTTCCGCCCGGTCTTCCGGCCATTTAAAACATCAGCCCGCGTACCCTCCGCCACCCCACGCCCCACACAATGCCTCCAGCAAAGAACACCCGCAACAACATCCCAATTCTCATCAACATCACCAATGCAAAAGCGCAAAAAAGGCCCCGGTCAAGATCCTAGAATCAGTACGTCTCCACAAAAAAATACTGCATACACCATACACCCCACCCTATAATACGCCTCAAGACCTTTCTATCAGATCCTCACCACTAACACCACCACCCAGCATCAATCCGCTACCACCTCTCCCACCCGCTCACCCCGCGCCCCCTCCACTTCTCCCGCAACCGCTCCCTCCGTCACTGGACCATCCACCGCGCCTGGCTCCTCTTCCTACGCAAGCGCCGCGCCGCCGAGCAACTCGAGCTCGAGCGCCAGTACATGTCGATGCGCGCCGCGTGCGAGCACCTGCGGCTCATGGACAGCCACGGGAACCGCGTGGATGAGAGCAAGGCCGGTGGGCAGGGGCCGGATCCAGGCACGATTGGTGAGGGAGGCAAGGATGTGGGTAGGTTGTATAGGAGTGCGATGATCAAGAGGGGGATTTGGGGGAGTGTGCCTGTGGAGTATGCGCGGTTGCAGACAGATTATCCGGGCAGGGAGGGGTGGAATCATGGGTGGACGAGGAATTGAGTGGGATGAGGTGGGGGAGGGTGTATGATATGTGTATTTGGTTCCAAATGTCCATGTACGAGGATTTCGCAATGTCAAGACCACGGTGAAAAGATTGTGGAGCAAATAATGTGGTATATGATACGATTAGCATTTCCATATACGGTTCCATCTCCTCATGCTCTCTAGCTGAGCCCCAAAACCCCCCTTCTTGCTAACAGCAAAAATCTACCCAAAAGCCTAAAATATGCACACAAGATAGTAATGAGCGGAAGATGATGGGTCATCATCGTCATTAAAAGGTGTTTCTCGGGATCCCATGCTGAATATGTGTTCGGAACAAAGAAGCAGAACAATTCTCCATCCACAAGGCTTTTCAACTAAGCGCTCAAAACGCCTGGATGATTCAACTCCGTAAGAACACCGCCCAATGCATTGACGTACGAAAGTGTGGAGTTCGACTCCAGGAGGGTGGGTTGCTCATAGGATAACGCAGCAGCCGTTAGTCTCCTTCTTGTCGACGGATAGAAGGGCGGCGCGGGTGGCAGCTTCAAAAACGTCGTCGACACCATCTCCAGTCAAAGAGCTGCACTCGAGGTATTTTCGAGCGCCGATCATCTCCTTCATATCACTCCCCTGCTTCGGCGTAGTGAATCGGAGAGACTTTTTGCGCATTTCCTCCTGGGCAAGTGGGTCGTCACGAAGATCTTTCTTCAAACCAACTAGGATAATTGGCACCCCTTGGCATCGTTCGCGGGCCTCCTCAGACCACTTGTGCTTAACGTTCTCGAGCGAGTCCGGCGAGTCGACGGAGAAGCCGATGAGGAGCACGTGTGCTTTGCTGTAGGCTAGCGGGCGCAGGCGCTCGTAGTCTTCTTGGCCAGCCGTATCCCACAATGCTAATTGTACAGACTTTCCGTCTACTCTGCAGTCGGTTACGTAGTTCTCGAATACGGTTGGGACATAGCGCTAGACGACAGTAAGAATGTAACGCGAGCCAGTAAGATTGAAGGGGTACCTACCGTCGGGAAGTAGCCAAGTGTGAATACGCTCAGTAAACTAGTCTTGCCGCAAGCACCGTCGCCAATGATGACTAGCTTCCTGTGGTCTGATCAGCGTCATGAAGCAGAAGAATTGTGTCACGTATTCGGTGAGATGGTATGAAACGGGCTAGAGATATTGAATGTCGAAGCGTAGGAATGTTCGGGAAGCGCGTCGTCCAAGCAAAGCAACGACTGCGCGCGGGTCGATAAAATGTGGGCAAGGGGACGCTGTAGGCGTTGCTATTTTTAGGCGGAGTGTCTTCCGACCAGGATAAGCCAATGCAAGCTCGGACGCAAGCCGGGGTCTGCAACAGCTACGAACGAACTATGGCTGCATGTCCAGACCAGAGTAGCTCGATGGAAACTGGGACGGACGAGAAGGTGGGCGGACCGCGCGAAAGGGAGAAGAAGCGAGAAAAGACGAGAAGTGTCGCGCACGTGCAAGAGCAGCGACATGCAGGCAGAGACATGAAATGCAGACGATGGAGGGTTTGGACCAGGGTATTGAGGATTGTGAATTTGACTGAGACATTTACGTACCTGCGCATGACGGGCTCGCCATTCTGCTGTTGTGACATGGTGACTGCGTCGAGTAGTGACTATTGCGATTGGACAGTGTGCACTTGGCCAACAGGTAGAAGAAGTCGTCCAGGTAGGAATTGGCAGTCGGGCGTGAAGCGAGTGATGTCGTGCAAAGAAGTGCGAGGTGCAGAGGCAAGTGTGGACTGTGGTATGAAATGTACGGTCTTCCAAGAAGCGCGCTACGTGCAGCGAGAGTCGGTGTCTGGCGGCGGGAACTGGTTGGTCTGGTCGCGGGAGGTAGCAAACGAACGCTTCTCAAGGGAAGACTAGTGTCGCCCAGCGAAGGGTGCCACAGAAAGGAAGCGACAGAGTGCGGGCGAGCGGTGTGCAGTGTGCAGTGTGCAGTGTGCAGTGTGCAGTGTGCAGTGGTGCAGGCGGAGTGCGGCGAGGAGAACTGTGACAGAGTCGAGGGGAAGGGGAGATAGGTGGTAGAGTCCGGGTCGCAGAGCACGAGAGGCGGACGAGGGCTTTAATAATGGACTGGACCGGGGCACGCGCGCGCACGAGCTGGGGCAAGCGGCGTGTGGAATACGGCGGGATGTGGGTAGCGTGAAGGGCGGGAGACGTGTCGGAGGTGTTGAGAGCTGCGATGGCTGCTGAGCTGAGAATCCCGACTGCGCCTTCCTTCCCTGAGCGGCAGCCAGGGACGCTGCTGCCACTGCCAAGCTCAAACCGCCGCGCTAGGGCTGGCTGCTACGTTCCGCCATCTCAACACCGACGACCACAGGCCGATTGAGCAGACGACCCAGACGCCATATTCTCTCCACCGCCCGCTGCCGCCCCCGAGCGGAGAGCCTGCCACCGACACGCCCACGCACAGTTCGTGCCCTGCCCCTCCCATTGCCGTGCCCTCATCACTTTTGCTCCCTCGCACGACCCACCCTAGCTCCCGCAGCAGCCATATCTGCGCCTGTCACACACCCGTCACAGCCAGACACTCCCCTAACCGTCTCTGCCCAGTATCTCTTCCCACCCCAACCCCCCGATCCATGGCCCAGGGCACCAAGGCCCCCGCCGCAGCGATGCCGCCCAACAGCTCCGTCCTCAACATGCCAGCCCTGAACGCCGTCAACCGCAAGAAGCAGAAGCGGCGCGAGAAGGAAGCCGCGAAGAAGGCCGCCCAGGATCCTTCGCCGCCCGCGACCCTGAGGAACGGTGTGTCGAGTGGTTCCACCCACTTGCCTGCCAATGCAGCCCACACCCGCCAGCCCGCACCGCACTACGACGATCCCGAGCTAGACGACCCACAGTACGACGACGAGGACGATGCTGATTTCTACTCGGACGAGGAGGCGGAGCACTATGAGCATGCATACGGCACGAATGGGCACTACCAGCAGGGCTACGCGCATGCGCCAATACCCAGCAGCAGCAAGAAGCCGCGCAAGAAGAAGAAAGGCGCTGCCGCGCATCCCCCGCACGCCTACACGCAACACGTCGCACCGCGCCATAGCCCCGCACCCAATCACTCCATGGTGACCTCAGGCTCGAAGAGCATATGGAACACTTCGACGGTGGAGGAGCGGGAGCGCATTCGCGAGTTCTGGCTATCTCTCGGCGAAGACGAGCGCAAGTCGCTCGTCAAAATCGAGAAGGAGGCAGTTCTGCGCAAGATGAAGGAGCAACAGAAGCACTCGTGCAGCTGTTCGGTGTGTGGGAGGAAGCGCACCGCTATCGAGGAGGAGCTAGAGGTCCTCTACGATGCATACTATGAAGAACTCGAGCAGTACGCGCACCTCCAGCAAGACGTTGGTCGCTTCTTGCCTGATGCTAATTTCGGTCATGTTCGCAGTGCCCCTCACCCGCGACCCCTGATGACCACCCACCCGCCCCCGGGCCCCTACGACGATGAAGAGGAAGACGAGTACTCTGGCGAAGACGACGAAGAAGACATATTCAAATAGTGAGATATCGTCCGACGGCGACTACGATTCCGAAGACCGCAGTCTGCCCCCGCCAGACGCCGCCGACTTCTTACGATTTGGGAGTAGTTTGACAGTCAAAGGTACATGGAACTCGGATTGCACGTGGAAATATGCTGATTTCAGGTCTTAGGCGGTATTCTGACAGTCGCAGACGATCTGCTGAAGAATGACGGGAAGAAGTTCATCGAGATGATGGAGCAGCTTGCCGAGCGTCGAATGCAGAGAGAGGAGGAGGCTAACTTCCATGCGCATCCGAGCATGCATCGGTACAACAGCGCACACAACCATGCCCCGCAGCCAGAGGAGGAAGAGTACGATGACGAGGTCGATGAGGAGGAAGGCTTCGAAGATGAGGACTACGAGGAGGATGATGAGGATGAAGACGTGCGTATCAGTTTTTGGGTCTTTTGATTTGACTAATAAGGTGCAGGAAGCCATGACCGAAGAGCAGCGAATGGAGGAGGGTCGACGGATGTTCCAGATATTTGCAGCGCGAATGTTTGAACAGCGCGTATTACAAGCCTACCGAGAAAAGGTCGCCGCCGAACGGCAAAAACGGTTACTCGAAGAACTGGAGGAGGAGAACGAGAAGAAAGACCAGAAGGAGGCTAAAAAGGCAAAGGAAGCCCAGAAGCGAAAGGAGAAGAAGGAGAAGCAACGGCAGATCAAAGCAGAAGAAAAGGCCAAGAAAGATGCAGAGCTCGCTGCGAAAGAGGCCGAGCTCAAGGCTGCCGAGGAGAAGCGCTTGGAAGAACAGCGAAAGAAGCGAGAAGAGCAACGGAAGAAGAAAGAGGCAGAGCGCAAGGCTCAGGAAGAGGAGAAGCAGCGCAAGGAAGCTGAGCGCCAAAAGCGGCTGCAGGAAGAGCGTGACCGACAACAGGAATTGGAGAGGAAAGCTCGCGAGCAGAAAGCGCTGGAGAAGAAGGTCAAAGATGATGCCAAGCGAAAGGAACGGGATAGAGCGGGAAGCCAAGGAGAAGGAGGCTCGGGTAGAAGAAGGCCCACGACGACAGCCAGCGCAAGGAGCGTGAAAGTACGAGCCAAGGCCGAAAAGGACCGTACACGTCAAGTGACGACTTACAAGCCCGCTGTTCCCTAATAGCTGTTCTCCGGAGCAACGGAAACCGGTCTCAGCCAGTAGCTCCTCGCGCTACCACCTTCAACTGCTGTGAAGCAAGACCTCCCTCGACAGGTATGCCGGTCACCACACGGTATACTTTCCAGCTTTGTTCCCAAGGCACCAACCCCAAGTCGACCTCGACAGACATCACGGCAAGGCTCCCATGGTTCCTCTCCCAAGACTCCGCAGGTCGCGCCTGGTACCAGCAAGTCCATGTCTCCTACGTCGCAAGCGCAGGGCAACATGATGCCAAAGTCTATCTTGACTAAGCCGGCAAACTCGCAGCACGCGGGTCATCATCCGCTAGGCCAGCCGTCGTCCCCGATGCCGCCAATAGGGCCCCCGCCTGGTCTATCAGGGCCACCGGGATTGAGTATGGGTCTGCCTCCGGGGCTGAACGGCTTTCCTGGTCCAGGTTCAATGCTGCCGAACATGATGAGTCCGCGACCAGGCATGCCCTTTTTCCCTCAGCCGCCTGTGCCTCAAGCATTTCGTGGATTTCCACCACCAGGCATGGCAGGCCCTCGGGGGTTTCCCATGGACGGACCGCCAGGTCTGGGACCAATGCCAGGATTTGCCGGACCTAACCAGGCACCTCCATTTGGAATGGGCCCACCAACACAGCACTCACGGCAAGGGTCAGGGTCGTTCGCCAGCATGGATGTACCCATCTCAGCGCCATCGGTGCAGCCAATCCATCGACCAGCACCTATTCAGCGGCCTTCTAGTGTGAAGCCGCACGACAGCAACAAGCACGGTCAAGACTCTGATGTTGATGAGTTGGCAGATCACCTGGGCAGCAAGGCTTTACTGGACGAAGAGGACGTCCCTGAAATCCCTGATCGACGGTCAAGTGTGCAACAGCATGGTTCGATGAGGAGCATGCCCATTGGCTTCGGATTTCCAGACGCGCCCAATTCGCACCAGTCTACTGCATTCAATGGCTTTGGCAGTGCGAACACTGCTAGCATCTGGGGCACGCCACCATCGCAGGCTTTCTCGTCTGCTGCCGGCCCATGGGGCAATTCACCGACATCTGGCTTCTTCACCAATCCTCTCACAATGAGTTCACCGCGTGTGTCAGACCATCGCGCTCCGAATGAGCCACGCCTAGTCTGGCTTCGTCGCGTCATCTGCACAGTCTGCAAAATGCTCTCGAGCAGACACGCAGGACCAGATGGGTTCATTGATGCAAATGAGGTGCAGCAGCAGTTGGATGCGTTCCGGGATCCTCGTGAGCCTGTGGTAACACAGGAAGAGCTAAAGGAGGCCTGCGACATCATCGATGGTACTCATAACAACGGAGGAGGGTCGCTTGAATACAAGAACCTTGGTGACGGACGTCTGTCGCACATCAAGTTTGTTGACACGACAGGCCCGCCACCTGCACTTGGTGAGATTGGTAGTCCTATTCCCAGTCACAGCTTGCCGGTTGCTGGCTTTGGCGGCCGCTTCCCCGGTCTTGGACCCCAGGGCTTCTAGACACAGTCCTCGGCCCTTATTCCTTTGAAAGCAGGTCTATCGATATCTGGTACCTGCGTTGGGGCCCTCTCCTGACTTTAGGTAGTTCTTACATCTTCCCTTGAATGGAAGACAAGTTCACTTTTCTCGTGAACCACTTCTTGAATTCCATTCGTCATCATGCAACTAGTGATGCTAACGTGCTATGTACTCAGCTGCATATGAGCACGGGCACCTACTGCCTATTACTGTGTTAAGGTCTTGGGTATACGGCCTATTCTGTAGTCTCTTTCTGTTATTACTTTACTGCGTTGTATGCATCTGCTGCTTGTAGCATGATTCTACTTTTGCCTGAAACAATGAGCACGGGCATTGTGGTGGACGAAGAGCGGTCAGCCTCCGCTCAGCTCCACAACCCCGCCATCGCGCGACCAGATGCAACCAGAAGATGCTGCCTCTTAATTTTTTTAATAAACGACCAAGCTGTCTGCTAAAGAGCCGTCAATACTAACCATTGACGGTAGCGTCAGATTCCTTACGACCGGAAATAGCACGTGGAAGAAGCAATAGCTAAAGCTATTTTCAGCATCTGCTCAGGTACAAGTGTAACGTCATTAGAACCCGGCAGGGGTGTCCGACTAATCCCTGCTAGCGCGGACGGTAGCGTGGAGGGGCTCTGAAGCTCCATATGCACAGCAATCCTCCACCTCTTGCGAGCGACTTGACTTTTTGGACCTCAGCAGCAGCAGCGCCGCTCACATCTACGCATTCTCCAAGTTTGACTGTTGGCCCGAACATCGCTTACAAAAAACAGACGGCACAATGTCCGATCCTATCATTGATGCTGCGCAGAAGCACCCGCCGCCTGAGGGACTTGTCTACACCTATGGCACCGCCGGAGTGAGTATCGCATCCTAATACAAGGAGCGCCACTAATTGAGCAACCACAGTTCCGAACGAAAGCGTAAGAACTCTTAATTGCCCGACGCAAAACTCACCAAAGAGCCACCGCTAATTTTAGCAGCAATGTCCTCGACTCCGTCTTAGTCCGTGTCGGTCTCATTGCAGCCCTTCGATCTCGCAAGTTGGACGGAAAGTACATTGGGGTCATGATCACAGCTTCCCACAATCCTCCCGAGGACAACGGCGTGAAGCTGGTAGAGCCAAAGGTGAGACTGTCCTTTCGCTTGATAGTATCCGGCTAACATTTGCATAGGGTGACATGCTGGAGGTATGCCACCATCCTCCAATTTTATACCGATCACGGCGGCTATAAACTGACACTTTTACACAGGAGTCATGGGAGGTTATCAGCACTGAGATGGCCAACCAGACTAGCCCCGAGGCCGTCTCGAAGTACTACCACAAGATTGCGGAGGAGCAGAAAATCGATCTCAGCAAGCCCGCCAACGTTGTTGTCGCACGCGACACCCGTGCTTCTGGATCAAGGCTGCTCGGCTGCTTGTTGGACGGTTTGAAGGGTGCTGGAGCTGAGTACAAGGACTATGGCTTCCTGACAACCCCACAGCTGCACTACATGGTTCGCTGCCTCAACACTGAGGGCACATCCGAGGCCTACGGTATCCCTACTGAGGTCGGCTACTACGAGAAGTTCAGTTCGGCATTCAAGAAGGCTATGGGTAGCAGGAAACCCAACGGCGGCTTGACCGTCGACTGTGCGAATGGTGTTGGTGGCCCTAAACTCAACGAGCTCATCAAGTACCTCCCCGCAAAGGAGACTGGTCTCGAGATCTCCGTCACGAACGACAACGTTATTAAGCCAGAGGCTCTCAATGTTGATGCAAGTCTGCCGGAACTTTAGAGTGTTACCTTTCACTAATGATGAATCAGTGCGGAGCCGACTATGTCAAGACGAACCAGCGAGCGCCACCTTCCTCTAAGACTGGCCCCGGCGACCGCTGCTGCTCGCTCGATGGCGATGCAGATCGTGTCGTCTATTACTTCAAGGACGAGCAGAACGTCTTCCGATTGCTAGACGGTGACCGCATCGCTACGCTTGTCGCATCTTTCTTTGGCGATCTAGTACGCTCGTCAGGCCTTGCTGACCAAATCAAGATCGGTGTTGTACAGACTGCATATGCAAACGGCGCAGCCACGGAGTATGTCGAGAAGAACCTCCGTCTTCCTGTCACCTGCACGCCTACCGGAGTAAAGTACCTCCACCATGCCGCTCAGAAGCTCGACATTGGTGTCTACTTCGAGGCCAACGGCCATGGCACTGCCATCTTCTCTCAAAATACCCTGAACATCATCCAGAGCTACGAGCCCAAGTCACCTTCTGAGGCAGAGAATCTCGAAATCCTCCGCGCTTGCATAGATTTGATCAACCAGGCTGTCGGAGATGCGCTATCTGACTTCCTCCTTGTCGAGGTTGTCCTCGCACACAAGCGGTGGGGTCCTCAGGAGTGGCTCGCAACCTACACTGATCTTCCGAATCGTCTCTCAAAAGTTCTCGTGAAAGATCGCAATATCTTCAAGACCACGGATGCCGAGCGAAAGCTCACAAAGCCTGACGGCGTCCAATCCCAGATCGACAAAGAAGTCCAGAAATTCCGCCAAGGCCGCTCTTTCGCTCGTGCCAGTGGCACCGAAGATGCAGTCCGTGTCTACGCCGAGGCCGCGACGAAGGCCGAGGCTGAAGACCTCGCACGCAAGGTTTCGGAGATCGTAAAATCCGCGGGTGGTGTATAGAATGGCACCCCGGTACTAAAGACTCCGCGCTTGGTGTATGGGGAAAAGAACATGGCCGTGGTTGTTACCGAGCGTGATATTTTCGAAGAAGCATTGGCTGCAGAAGAGGATGATCGTGAGGGGGCGTTGGAGTATTCGTCGGCAAGGGAGAGCTTTGACCTGGAGGACTTGCATCGCGTTTTGGCGGGAGTGACTACAATGGAGAGTCTGGCAGGTAGGTGGGCTTAAGGCGGGGGCAAGATATGCACGAAAAGCGATCCGAACAGAGAAAAGTTTTTGGCACGGATCGAATTGATACAAGACATTGGCGATGGTTGGAAACAACTTTAGCACATTTCGCAACCAAGAAATAGCACAAAAAAAGCTGCTTAGCGCCCACTCCTGGTTTTGTCCATACAGAAAATTGACGCAGGGCTTTTGCAACAGAGGGAATTCAGAAGTACTACCCGTGGTAGCTGTTTTCCTGGTTCGACTACGCCACTAGGAGAGAAGTATTTAAAGTGTGTCTCCTCTTCTGCCGCTCGCTATCCTTGACTAAATACACGCCCGTACAAATTTGATTTTCAGCAGGTTGCTCACACACACAACTTTTTCTTGCTCTCTTTCACCTCGACAACCCAATCGGGACTGCAGCGCGTCAAGAACGCGTACGACAAACGCACAACGCGTCTCTTGCAAAACATCAGCAAGCTACCGACATAAAAATTTCTCTCAAGCCCTTTTCCTTGCAGGAAGCCTCTTGACTTCTTAACAACTACCCAGTTGTACGAGTCAACTGCACCAGACAAGCCGCAATGGCTCCCAAGGACACCTCCAAAATCTCTTACTCCCGAGCCGACTCAGGCTACCTCTCCGACCTCATCTCCTTGGCCCGCGAAAGCGATGAGGCCGCTGCAGCACTGCTCACATCCTCTCCGTCTAGGTCTAGCAGTAGCATGTATGTATCCCATCTGTATCCCATCTGCATCCCAGCCCTCGCATAAGCTCATTCCAGCGCAGCGAGTTCACCCTACGCACTTTCGACGACACAGACTGGAACGATGTAGGTCGTTCAAGCAGGCAAGTCACCCGCCAGAACAGGCAATGTAGGGCGATTGCCGCGCGCATCAAGACGCCCACGCGTTTCCCCATCAAGCCGCTCGCGGGGACGATGGCGCGCGCGAGGAAGGAGGTGGAGAGGATGGCGGCGAGGAAGAGTGGTGGAAGCTTTGCAAGGAGCGTTTATGCGCAGCCAGTGGCATCGCAGCCTATGGTGTGCAAGATGCAGGATGGGAGTAGCCAGAGGGGGCTTTGGGTTGATGGGAAGTGGTTTTTGCCTCACCAACCTCTGCAGATGGGATCTGGATTCGCAAAAGTTCCCACGGGACCCAAGAGAATTACTATCATCAGCCGCGGTACGGCAGAGAGGGACTTCCGGCCCAAGAGGATCGTCTTGATCAACCGCGATGGGGCTGCGGAGAGGGAGTTTCGGCCTAAGCGGATCGTCTTGATTAATTGCCGCCCTGATCAAAACAGCGCTGTGGTTGAGGATAAGATCGAGCCAGTGGTTGAACGGGACGACCTCCAGCCAAAGAGAATTACCCTCATCAACCGCTGTACGGTGGAGGAGAGGGACTTCAAGCCCAAGCGTATTGTCCTTATCAACCGCCGTCCTGATCAAGCCAACGAGAATACAATCAAGTCAGGTGGTACTGAATGTGCTACATCTGGCGAGAAGGAAAAGTCCCAGTCTGTTGATGGCTTTGGTCGGACTCGCGCTGCTACCAAGAAAATCCGCGAGCAGGGTCTGGAGTTTGATACTACGAACAAGATCAGACGCAAGCGCAAGAGCGAGGATTCTGTACAGGGCGTGCGACAGGGCAAGATGTCGAAGCTGGACACGAGCGAGTGAACTGTACCCCGGGAAAGAACATGAGCTTGGTAGGATTCGGCGTTGTTAGCGTTGTGCAAGACCTAGGACCGTGGGCCTGAATGTATTGAGCGCGTTGACCAAGTTTAAAATAGTGGTATTACTTTGACGCGGGCGATGGTACTTCAGAATGAGTTGTGTCATTGTCAGCGAGATCGTTTTATGGTCGGTTTGAAGACATAGAAGTCGCTGTTTCGCTACACGTTTAGTAAGAACCACTACAAATAAAAGCAATTTCTAGATTCAATGTGTCGATTTCGAACGAGCTGTGCGAAGTTTTGATAAGCGCGGCTTTTTGCATGAGGCGAATATCTAAACATGGCTCGGTGCGGGCTAAGAGATCAAGTAACCATGGTCGAGCAGCAAAACACGGTCATCTTATCGGCCAAGCTATGGGCGTTACAAAAAGCAAAATCACAGAGTCGGTACTTGTATCGTCGCGATTTTCTGGGAATTGACCTTACATAGACCGCAACCGATGAAGTGAGGGCTGTACATTCCTGTGTCACCATTACAAGTCGTCAACCTTCTCGAAAACAAGGATGTCGAACGACAACACGACGCTCAACGCTGAGACCATGGCTACGCAAACTGCAGAGCCCGATCTTCTCGATCGCATGCGCCGCTTGTCTGTTGGATCGAGCACCTCTTCGTACTCCCTCATCTCCGAAGCCCCAAGCGTCCTGTCTCTTGACACCAACGGCTCCGTCAACGGAGGAGTATCTATCAACGTGCCCACTATCGAAGTCCTCGAAACTTGTCTCGAAGCACTCACCACCGCCGATGACAAGCTAGACTCTTCGATCTACCATGAGGCAAACACTAGTCTCGCAGTCCAAACACACACATCCGACCAAGAACCAGATGTATTAACGAAAGACACCCAATCGCAATCGCCCAGTCCATACACATCCAACCAAGACCCAGATGAACTATCAACAGAGCCCCAGCCCCCCTCACCCAGCCCCTTCTGGCTCCAATTTCCCGGCTTCGACCCAGCCCCTACATCCCCCTTCAAGCAAGAATTCGCCCGCCTATCCAAGCATCAAAAGTGGACCCAGACCGAGCGACGCGAGCAACAAGTCAAAGCACTCGCAGCAGAAATCGCACACCATTATGGTACACACTTGAATAAGTTGGACCGATGGCAGCAACTTTGTGAAGATGTGGGTGTTGATGTTGCTCCGAAGTCGGTGACGCAGTGTCGGAAGGTTCGTTCAACAAAACAGGCTCATGGAAATTATTGCAGTAGGCTAACGATTCCTAGATCATGTCACCCGTAATGGTCAATCTGTACAACGTGCTCGACCATCGGCGCAATCCAGAGGTCAAGGTCTTGCGGTTTCGGTCGTATGGGCAGTTTGTGAGGTATACGCGTGCGGGGCACACGTTTCCGAGGGAGTGCGCGAAGGGGGATGGACTGTTGAATGTGTTTTTGAGGAAGATTTGATGTGGGGTTGGTTAAATACCGTACACGAAGCTTGCGGCGTCAATGATGTTTGTCTTGAATTTCGTTCACTGCTTGGTCCCAGGCGGATGTTTACGGGGCAGAACTTGGGGGATTTTACACACCGCTTTGAACAGTTGGTTCTCGATACTCCAATACACTTTCAATAACATGAAAGGTTGTTTCACAGCTTTTACCCTCCTACATACTCAGCCCTGATTCATGAAGCGATGAGAGCTGCCATGCATCAGTGATGGTTCACATCATCGCGGGTACTCACTGCTTCCATTCACCTTCATCGCGCGCAGTCCTGGTACACTCTCACTTTTAAACTTCAGTGTCGTTACAACATATCAACACCACTGCAACCTCAACTACGCGTGAAGCTATCGCTCGAGATGGGGGCGTCCGTACAAGTTGACCGATGCTCAACAGGCTCTACTCAACAGCTGGACCGAAGGCACTGACTTTGAGCTCGACATCCATGACAGTCCGAAACGCCAATTCAACCTTCTCGCCAAGCTGCTCGGTTGGGCTGGCGGTGAGGAGCCGTGGAAAGCGAAGTGGCTTCAGGCTTTTGATGAGATCTATGTCTGGCGTGCTCTCGGTTAGTAACGAGCCTATGTGCGCAATACTCGGTCTTCGCTGATATGGCAGTTGTCAACTTGGATGTTTCCAGTGCTAGCTCTGCACTGGCCGCTAGCGATGATGGTACATCTGTCTGGCATCAATTCGACGGTTTCATGCCCAACCCAAGCGCGCCCTTCAGCAATGAGTTCTGGCGTCTCTCTAGGCACATGGGCTGGGACAAAGTTGAACGTCGTCTTCACCGCATTGAAATCTTCAATGATGACTTCGAAGATCATTATGGCGGTGATACCGGCGACCTGGACACTTGGCAGAAGCTGTGCAGTGTCTGTAACATCGATCCGATCCCGGACACTATTCCTGGTTGTATGGAGGTACGTCCGGCTTGTCGCCAGACTTGCAAAAATGGCGATATCTAACCTGTTATCAAATAGGTACTCGAGAACGTTCTGGCTAATATCTTTGACGTTCTCGATAACCAGCGGACTGGTGTTCCTGTGCCACTGTTTGAGGATTTCATGGTATTCGCCAAAGACGCCCTCAAGCCGGGTCGCACCTATCCGCTTGACATGGCAAAGAGAGATACTTTCCTTCCGGTCTTCCTAAAGGATCTGAGTCCCGCTTATGGCAGTGCCTGAGCTAAATCTGTCATCAAAAGGGCAGCTGGCACTACACAACTCTCTGAGTCTGCGTTTAGTTTCGTACACTAGGAGCTTTGTTGACTCTTGGGGAAGTCTTTGAGTTTGTCTTCTCGGTCCGTATGGTCGGAAGAAATCGTTCGAGCTCGTGCAGAACACTTGTAGAAACGTAGGGGTGACTGACTCTCACGTACTAATCCAAAAAGGGTATTTTGCTCAACCATCAAAGTGTAGACCTTATGTCTATAAACTTACCGCGTGGTGTATCCCAGCTGACCAGTGAATGCATTCGCTGTGGCATCTATCTGGGGAAAGCTTGAACCCATTGTGATCTTAGCAATCAGTCTTAACATGAACTGCGTGCAAGTGCCCTCATCTTCACCATCATCGCTACTATCAGCGTAGATTTCGTGATCTAACACTATATGAAAGCTCACAAAAAAAATGTCCACTCTCACGCAGTGACGTAGTGTGCCCTTGGCACGTGTGTCTCATTTATCAACACCCGCCTGCGCTGCTACGTTCACGATTGCTTTGGGTCCGCAACAACTTCTGCATCTTGAGCCGGTCGCCAAATTCTACCTCAAACATAGAATTCAGCTAACAGTCATCGTCTTGCAGGCGTAATGGCTCGTCGCGGTAGGCCCGCCCGCAAGGGTAGTCAGCGTGAGTAGATTGCCCGTATCTATCCTGCATACCTGACGATTCATAGACGGGGGAAGTGTTTCGCTGCACACCGATAAATTCCAGACCACGTCCTCCTCTTCATCGAACGAATGCAGCACGCTGTCCGTATCCGATACTGATTCTTCTGAGCATGGCAGCAGCTATTTCGCCCAATTCTCCGACTTTGAGGAGGAACCTGGTGCCAGCCTAACGAGCGAGATGGCGCGTCTCGCAGTCCAGGAGAAGTGGTCCAAGAAGGAGAAGCAGCGCCAGCGTCTGGATGCCTTCGACGCCGAGTTTGCTCGCCACTTCGGTATCGACATGGGTAAGCTCGAAATGTGGCAGGAGATGTGCTGTCTGTGCCGAATTGAGGATATCCCTACGTCAATCACTCAGTGCAAGAAGGTATGTGTTCGCGCAAACACACTTGAGACTGAGACTAAGTCCTGATCGTGTGCTAGGCGTTGGCCAAGGTCCACCTCAACATCTTCAACTTCTTGGATCATTGCCGCAACCCTAAGGTCTTTGAGCTCAAGCTCTTCCGCAACATCTCGAAGCTTCGCGAGTACACCGTTCCCAATTTCATCTATCCTCTGAAGCGTGCGAAGGCAGACACGTTCATTAAGGCGCTTCTGCGTCCGTTCGGCTTCACCCATTACAAGTAGGGAGCTTGAAAGCCCGCTTGCGTCTTTCAGGCAGACGAAGGTCATTGATGTGCTTATTGGTCTTCTAAGACATCTTCCTGCCCTTGCTCTGAGCTGATGCCGTAGGGAAAGGCATTGTGGAGCATGACAAGGCATCATTGGATCGTGGAGGGCTCCATGGTTCTGTCCTCTCATTATGAAATGAATAAGGAATACATGACGCGCCTATGAGGCAAGCTATTGCTTTTCTCCCATGTAATGAGAAAGTCTGACATTGCATCAACTGAAATGAAGATCATCAGAACAAACTTGCATCTGTACTAGAGACAAAGACGTGAGCATATAGAAGTGCGACCCATCGCATGTGTGATCAGCCACAGGATAAACTCAAGATAACCATGCCTAAGAGTACCGATCCAGGAACCGCCGACTGGGTTCGCTCAATTCAGCCGAAAGGATGGGTTTAGCAGGGCGCTACCGAGGAAGTCATGGTTTTGTCCAAGGTGGGACACGACGTTGTGGCGATGCACTCAGCGCGTTTCGATCTGCGATGGCATCTCCACTTGTATTGATGACAGCTAAGCTGCATTGAGGCTTCGTGCTACGGAAGAAGCGCGTTGGATGTGCTGGCGGCATGTGAGATACCAGATCAGGAATGCAATCATCGATGAATGGTGTGAAAGTTGCAGATGATGTCCGGACAGGCCTCTGGACCCTTTTAAAACTAAACTCTGTATGCACTAGCGTTCGCTTGGCGTTAGCGTTCCCATCTCACCCCGCGCAAGTGATCACTCACTTGGTACACCGCGTATTAGCAACCCTTGATGCAGGAAATATCCCTCAAGGCCACCTAGCCTCAAAATGTCGCACTTGATCCTCTCACTAAACCTTCTGCAGGGTTCCAAACTTACCTAAGCTCACCAAACTTTAATATCAAGGTCTAGGCAGAACACTTCTCACCCGCGACATCACGACGCCTGCATGGCGACGCTTGAAAACGAGAGCGTCAAGCTCAGCGACGGTCGCACACTGTCCTATGCCATATATGGCAGCCCCGTTCCCCGCAAAACGATCATCTACATGCATGGATTTCCTTCCTCGCGCTTCGAAGGCAAGATATGGCACTCGGCATGCACCAAACATAGCGTACGCCTCATCGCGCCGGACCGCCCTGGCAGCGGCTTCTCAACCTTCCAGAAAGCCCGCTCCATACTCGACTGGCCCACCGACGTCATCGCGCTAGCCGACCAGCTCAAGATACATGAATTTTACGTGTTAGGAGTATCTGGCGGCGGACCATACGCGCTGGCCTGTCTCAAGACTATCCCGAAAGAGAGACTCCTCGGCGTGACGGTAGCCAGCGGCATATGTCCCCTCAAATTCGGTACAGCGGGAATGCCGGTACCAACTCGTTTCCTGTTTTGGGCCGCGCCATGGGCTACGGGCCTCACATCTTTCTTCTTCGACAACACAATGGGCAAGGCAGCACGGGACAAGGACCCCAAGGTACTCGAAGATCTCATGAGCAATGAGCCCTTCAAGCGACATCCCGGCGACGTTCTGGCCGTCAAGGATCCCGCCAACTGGCCTACCTTTGTCGCCATGACGAGGGGAAGTTTCGCGAAGAGTGGCGAGGGTGCATCATGGGAGGCGAAACTGTACGGAACCGAATGGGGTTTCGAGCCAGAACACCTCACTGTCGTGGACGATGGGGTGCCGCTTACACTGTGGCACGGAACGGAAGACATGAACGTTCCGGTGAGTATGGCAAAGAAGACGAAGGACATGATCTCTGGCAGCATCCTGCACCTCAAGCAGGGCGATGGCCATATGGACTACGTATTCAGAGATGCTGATGAGATTCTTGGCGATCTTGTTGAGGAGCAGGAAACTGAGCAGTACGTGACTGTCAGTAGCCCAATCAGCGTGTAGGTATCTTCGGCTTTCTTCTTTTCTTTTTCACAACTTCCAAAGGTCTACTTTATAATGTCTACTCAATAGGAGCTCATTGATGATATGATCAAAAACCAAAGTGTGAACTTTCTTCTCATCTGGTGAAACTCTATGGTACAAGCGTCGCGTGGGCTGGTAGCGTTCCATGGTAGAAAATCCGTCCATCATAAATCCTCCCCATTGTACTCGCATAGCCCTATATGATTTAGTTCGTCCTGAACTCCCACCTTCATATCCTGAAGACATCCAGTACACCTGATCATATTCCAAACACGCAGATATCACAGCGCGTCATACAACTTCAGCCCACCTTATCAAACTACACCTAAAAGGACACCACAGTACGTTGTATACCTCGAGCCACCACTATCATGTCTGACATAGTCAAGGCCATGCAGTTCAATATAATCTTCATCGCCATTGGCCTCCTGACAGCCACCTCATCCGCACGTCGCACAAAGACCAGCTATACAGCCACCGCGGCGGTCATTATGACTAGGCATGTCTGTGCGGATTTGCAAACTGCCTTGGAGTCTGAACTCTTGGTCACATACAGGCCTACGGTCAAAGTCCCTGACGAGACCAAAGTTCCTCGGATGCCGACGGTAATGCGACCTCCAATTCTAACTCGGATAATGACTGAGTGGTCCGACTTACCCTAAGTTTGTGGTCACTCCGAACTACTGGGGGTCTAAAAAGTGTCAATAGGTTCATGTTCATAGACAGCTCTGAAAGTGTGAAATGACTGAGAGTTGTGATAAAATTCAGTTGTTCAAGGAGGGTTGCTATCATATATATCTGCAAAACAAAATAGATCTCCTTCATGCCTACATCATTTACCTGTTGTGTTCCTCTAACTTTTGCTAGAGCTTCTCGGGCTACATGACTCCAGGAGCACATGCAATGCTGATGTCTTGCTTTCCAAAGTCTCTGGTTCTTGTAAGAGCCTCAACATGTTCCGCATGATATTTAGCACCGTGTCACAATAAAGTTCCGGGACCCAAATACACCGTGTCCCACCAGATACCCAGCAATAATGTGTATTTATCGATACTAATGTATGAGCGGACCACTCTTGCATCATTTCCCCACTCCGAAGTTACCAGCCGTTGTGCGGCCGAGCCAGATTCTGCACCAGACACAGGTATATAAAGCCCACATCCTTTTCTTCCTTTCTTAAGTATACTTACTCGATATCACCCCAAACACTTGTAACCCACCAGATCACAGTTTCAACTCTTCAACATTCACAGTACGTCGTATACCTCCAGCCACCACTATCATCTACACAAACTACCACAGACCATGCAAGTCACCGCAATCACCCTCGCCGCTTTCGCGGCCATGGTCTCAGCCGCTCCCCAACTGATTACCGGTACCACCGTGATCACCCAGACCACGACTTATTTCCACACCGTCACTGCATATCAGGGTGCCAATGGTCCAGTCGTCACTAGCACCCAGACTCCAACCACAGATGACTACCACAAGCTCTACTTTCCTGATATCAGCACGCCGACTCCGCTGCCGAGCAACTGGCCCAAGACTCGCTGGATTTGGTAAGGTGGATGCATGCCGGGAAGGGGGGAGGACTGGATGATGTGCTTCTGAAATGCCAGCCGAGCCATGAGAGAAATGTGGATGTGGCGCGGTGAACAAGTAAGGAAACAAGTAGAGTACTTTCACGGTTGATCAATTCGATCTCTGAAGGACATGGTGAGGAAAAGTTTTAGTCTCGAAAGGCTCATCGTAACTCTCTAGCCGAGCTCTGAAATTTCCACTTCGACTTAGGAAAAACGTGCTATATCCTTATCTTCAATGCTCCTTGTGCCAATCGTGCGATGCCTGCGCCGCGGTCCTCGCAGAGACCTTGAATAGCGGCGATCATGCTAGCAAACTCTTTGAGCAAGGCGGACTCCTTCTGTTAGGCTTGCTAGCATGGCAGAACCCATCACCTTGACGGATAGTCGGTCAACTTACCTTTCGCACTTGCATCACTTCGCGGAACGTGTCCATCATCGCGTCAGGCGGCATTGCCCACAGGGGAAGTAGAAGTTCGAGAAGTATAGCCAAGATTTGAAGCGATGTGGTCAGTAGTGTTGTTTGGGGGCGAGGTCAGATCGCAGAGGAAGTGGAGGCGGAGCGCGGGAGGTTACACTGGCACAATTTTGTTTGTCTCGACCTTCACCACTGCGCAGCAGACAGGTTAGTAGAAGTTGGGACTTAAGCATTTCAGGGCCGTGACAAAAAGAGACCTTTGCTAGATGAGCTCTTGTTCCAGTGATTTGTAGTGTGCTATTCTATTTGTTCGCCGATGCCCGGATGTGCGGCCATTCGCCACACGTATTACGTGCACCCGGGAAGGCTGCAGCCGCTATATTGTAGCCTCTGTGGCAGAAGTATTCTTGAATGATCGCTCCATATTCGTGTAACTTCGCATCGCCTCAATCTTCTTCCCTTCGCAGCCAAAAGCCTCAGAGTCTAGTCGGCCTGATCTTCGTTCAATCCGATTCGTCATCCGAGTCCTCAGTAAATGCCAATCTTCCCCTCACACCACAAAGATCAGCCAGGTTATGTAACCTTTCAAGCCTCTGGTTGCGCCCTTCGGTGCGCTCCGAATACACTCGGTCTATGCGCTCAACAAGGGTGACATCTCTCCTGGTCAAGTCTTTCACAACTTCGTCTAGCCAATGTAGTAAGTTGTCCATATCTGTTGTCACCAGTTTCTGGTATTTACCAGCGGCGGTAATGACCTGATCGCGATCGACCGGAAGCTGGATTTCGATTTCCTGGTGGCGCAGATTGTCGTACCGAATCTTCAAGCCAGATCTGCGCGTGGTACAAATGTTCTTCAAAGCTCTTAACTCCTGTCGCGCGTCGCTTGTCCTGTTCATGTTGGCTTCCTCTCTGCTCACTTGAGAGTTGGTGGCTGCGCGAATTTCTTTGCTCAGAATGTCGGCGATTGCGTGTTCGTTGACGAGGCCGCTTGTCCTGAGACGCATAGCTTTCAGTTGCTTATCCTTCTCGTTCAGATGCACCTGCATTTGTTCCATCTCGCTTATTAGGCCATGATTGGCTGTTTTCTGAGCTCTGAACTTATGCTTCAGCTCGGCATATCCTGCGTCCAAAGCCTAGATATGATTAGAATCTGCTTCTATTATTCAGGAAGACGAGTCGGAATTGATGACTTACTTCGACTTCGTCCAAGACCAGTGCGCGCTCATATTCTTTCTCTCTGCTCAACAGGCCCATCTGGTAAGCATGTGTCTTTTTCTGCATTCGATACCTTCGACGGCACTCTTTGACTTGATCGAGTCTAGTCGCTTGCGCTGCCTATACACGCATTTCTTGAGCTTTCCGCGTATGTTTAGAACGTATTTTTTTTAACTCACAGTTGATGCTTGTACCATAGCTCTGATTTCTCTGTGTTTCTGCGTCCTCAACCGGTACATTTCATAAGCATGTGTCCGCTTCAGCTGCTGCACCTCGTCATAATGCGCCTGCGCCATCTCTGCAATGGCATTTGCACAACCACAGTCCAACCTGCTCGTAGTGTTGTCAATGCTGCTGGTTTCTTGGGTACGCTCTATTTCTTCCTTCACGGCCTGTCAGTGAACTGTGACCGTATCGCGGCAAAAGTTTCGTCGTTCTTACCGCCCGCACATGTATGCGGTCGCTCAATGTCTCGGCCATATCTGTGGCTGAGAAGTCCCTGATCAGTCGTGATTGAATTTAAGGCTAGTTTTTGTGTGGGGTCGTGTTGGTGGGAGGGCTGCGGAGATCGGAGGAGAGGGGCGGGCGATAAACGCTGGCGCAAGCTGCGCCTCTACACCTTCACTGCTGGGAAATGGCAACCTAGCAATCTCGGAATTCTAACTCGTGTACAGTCATCAATGTTGTGTGCACGTTGAGTGGATGTGGGAGATCATTGAGTCGCTACGATCTGTGACTTTTTAAAACTATATTGCTGACTCGTCTCCTCGAATAACCAACCGCTTTGGTTGCTATTCGTGACTCCTCAATGAGAAACGTGCTCGATGATAGACGTCATTTGCTCCGTGTGATAACGGGAGCGGCGGCTTGCGACCTTCTCATCCGCTCTTCTCTTTGCGCATCTCCTCTTCGTACTCCTTCTGGGGACCCAAGAAGTCAAGCTCACCCCTCAGCTTTGTAGCGACCTCCAACTCTACATCCGCTTCGTAAGCATGTCCAATCACAGTACTAACCCTGTTGACCATCTGTGCTTTGTCGTGGCGATCGAGCTTCTCAAGCGCCTCCGCAAGCTGAATGCTGCCGAGGTTGAGCGCCGACACGATAGCATTGCGGGCTTCCCACGCAGCTTCCTCCATCTGGAGCAATTTGTCCACGGTGAACTTGACAGAGTCATGCTTGACCTGCGGCGCCAATGTTAGAGACATTGCATACTGATGTCGCACTGACATACCTTCTGAGTGAGAGCTATCATCTCCTCCACGCACATCTGCTGGAGGGCTTCTTTGAAAGCTCCAATGAACTAGTTCAGGTCAGACCAAGTTGATCACGTGTGTCCCGGGAACATACCATGAGGGGCTGGCCGGACGAGGCTTCGTGGCCGTAGACGGACATCTTGTTCGTGGGTATGGGTTGAATTTCCGGTGTAAACCAGTTATTTTTATATGTTGTGTGCGATAGAAAAAGACTCAAGTGGGAAACTTTTCTAGGACAGTCAAGCTCTGGCCGCCTTTAACCTTCATCTTGAGCGTTTGCACTTCTGTTATGCCGCACTATAGCTCGACCAATACAAAATTTGCATCATGCCCTAAGTTAGAGAGCGGAAAACTTGTGCAAACCCCCATGTGACATGCATAACAACTGAAGTGCACTGTGACAGAACAAAATGCTTGGAGACTTAGGTTGTAACAGAGACGAACGATTCTGTCACAACGTTGGTTCAGTTCGAGAAGCAAAATGCTGCTACTTTGCTTCCAACATCAAATTTTCTCTCTTATCTCTATATACAATTACTGCAGTTGGCTGTTGCGGTCGACCATTCAGTCAACTTGTCGTGTGTGTTTGGGTGCTCTTTGTCATTGTTCAGCCGTCGAGTTACTCGGGAACAAACTCTCTAAGATCAAACCGTAGGCCTCCGCAGCCTGTACAAGCTCATCCTGACTTAAGCCCTCATTCGGCGTATGTGCAACCTCAATTGTGCCCGTCCCGAAAAGATATTTCTTCTCCACCTGCGGCAAGCTTGGGATGTCCGTTCCATAGAACACCGGGGCGATCTCCAGGCCCTCAACATCGGTGTCTAGTATAGGCGCAGGATACGTCGCATTTGACCAGATAAGGCTGAACGTAGCATTCGCTTCTTCCGCGCGAGTTATGAGCGGCGAAAGCATGCGAGTGATCATACCCTGAACCGTCGACACGGCATCGTCTTCAGAGCGCGAAATACGTATCTGGACACTAGCATTCGCTGCTTCCGGAACGACGTTACCTGCTACACCGCCTCGAATAAGCCCGGCATTGAGTGTCGTAGCTCCGAGGAGTTCGCTCTGCGGCAATGCGGGCTCGAGTGCATTTAGGACAACGATAGCTTCAGCGAGATAGTTAACCGCTGAAATGCCCAGCCATGGATAGGCAGAATGAGCGGATTTGCCCTTGACGTCGAGAGTCAAGCCAAGGCTGCCCTTATGGCCACTGGCCAATTTGCCTTCCGTAGGTTCACCAAAGATGCCGGCGCGGAAGGTGGTGTTTTTCGCATACGAGGCAAAAGCTTTCATACCGGCGCCACCGGTCTCCTCGGCTACAACAAAGAGCATACCCAGCCGGGGAGTGTTGGATCGAGATTGGAAGAATTTGTGCGAAGCGATGATCATTGTTGCTACAGGCCCTTTTGCATCAACGGTGCCGCGGCCGTAGTGGAAGATCGTCCCATTTTCTTCACGCCTTTCGAACGGGTAGAATGGCGGTACCTAGTCCGATCAGTAATAAGGAGTAGATGTGAGTGGTGCACGTACTGTATCAATGTGGCTGGTGATCAGTACCTCGGGCCATATACCCTCATCCTTGAGCGCGGATGGATACGCAAACACATTGAACGTGCTCGTGTTCGCAACCGGTACTTTCTCAACATAATATCCAAGCTCTTCCAGGTATTCTGAGATGTAATCTGCGCACTCTACCTCATCGCTCGAGATCGAGGGTATGTTGACTAGCTCTTCGTGAAGTTGAAACAACTCGTCTCGCTCCTCGGAAGTTAAAGAAGGTGAAGCAGACGGCGATGGTGTTACAGACGATGCCGACAATGCCTGGGATGCTTGAGGTGCAGCATTTATGGAAGCGGCGAAAAGGAAACCCAGGGATAAAAGGTAGGCGGCCATGACAATCAGATCGTGAGAAGAGAAAGTAAAACGTTCTGTGGATAGGAACAGGTGATGCCCTTATAAGTCACACCGTTTTGATAGCACTGAGTCGTCCGCCGACTTTTGTGTCCACTTCAATGCATGTTCGGCCTACGAATGAGATAGTCGTCATACCGAACGCTTTGCCGTTCAAGGTATGTGAACACAGAATTGGCTTACGTCGCCAAAGCCATACTAACAGTTACTAGGTAAAACCACTCTGCTAGACTCCTGATGGGTCGATGATCCATCATGATGCTCCCTGAGGCGACCTTGGCATACTCCTCTTTTGCATCCGCCTAGAATTTGGACGATAGCGAGCGGCTTAATACCTGAGCGAATGCTTCAGTTTACGTAAAGAAAGAGGAAGAGTTTATAAATGCTTGCAACACTGCAGAAATCATAAGTGGGATATTGAGAGATGGATGTTACCGCAGTGCGGGGTCGGTACGTCGATAAGGCCTTCCTTGGGAAGTCTTGGAAGTCTCCACTCACTGCAGACGTCGGCACTACCTGCCGAGCTTGTCTCCGTCTTCAAGGTATTATTCCGTGGCCGATCTATCGTTTGTCATATCGTATACATAATAACATTGTATTTATTACATAAAGGAACGTTTCCTTGGTTATATCCCAAACTTCAGGAATTCTCCTCACGAACACTCTTCACTAAAATCACCAACCCCTTCCCTGCAGACCACTCCCCATCAATCACGGCTTTCTCCAAAGTGGATTCCCAAGCGCCAGATGTCCGGTAAGCGCTCTGCGGCTTGACCCATTTCCACATCAATTTTGTATTCGGCACGAGCCACCCATCGTTGTTCTCGCGCAGCACCTTGATGCTGAACAACTGAACTTGCGTCGCGTCTTTCGCTTGTTGTTCCGCGAAGCTTGTGGAAAGCTTGGAGATCATGTCCGGATCCGCGGAATGCGTGTGCAAGTCAACGATCTGGCGAGACAAGAATCCAGAGAAGTCTGCTTCGGGGCATGGAAGAGTCCAGGTGCCATGGGGCTTGTGATCCTGGAGATACTCGATCTGAACAGCGCTTAGTTGCGTGTACATGTGGACATATCGTGCAGTGGCTTCAGGCGGTGCCCAATGGCCGATGAATGTTGGCAGCGTGGAATTTGTAGGGACAACTGCCAAAAGGTCGAGCGTTTCGCTAAAGCGCGATAAGTCTGTATCCCCGCTCTAGGAGAAGTTAGTCATCGTTGTAGGAAGGGATGAGGGAGCAGATATTGGGACAACGGTAATGGTTGGTATGTGTAGGATGGGTGCATCCGGAGGTTAATCCAAGGCTACTTACGAAATCAAGATCAATCCTTTGCATAATGAGATGTAGGAGGTAGCTTGTGACGCCAATACGTGTTGCGAAGTTGTGAGATTTACGATGGTGGAAAAGGGGTCTGCGTGGGAAGTGTAGGGTACTATACTTATACATGTTTCTGGCCAATCATAATTTTTGGCATCCTTGACCATGACTGCATCATGGCATCAGGTGCTTATAGAAGAATGATGTGGAAGGTCCGGTGAGGCGACATATGACTCAGAAACAGCAGAATGGTATTCTTAATTCTCAAAAGATCTCCGCACAAGCTTTTACATCATGAGCAACGAAAGACGGTGTTTTATTCAACTAAACGAATGTGGAAGCACAAAGCTCTAGCTAAGCCAAGCGCTTGAGATACAAAGTCGTACAGCTCGATACAAGATCGCAGAGGTACTCAAGTCAAGCTAGGGAGTTGTGCACTACGTGGATACATGATACGATGTCTAAGTACAACGCCGCACTCGAATGAATCCCGTCTAACAGTCTCCAGGAGCCGCAGTATAAGGCGGCGCACTCTCCAGCCCATACAGCGCAAAAGCCAAATTCTGCCCACCAATATCCTCCACAAATCCATCTTCTCCATTGCGCACGCACTCACTCAGCATGTTCCTGCAAACCGGCCCCAACTGGTTCTGCGAAAAGGTAACCGATCCGCATGGCCAGAGGTTGGCGACTCCAAACCCACAAGTCCCGGTTTCGATTTCTTGGATTTCGAGCGCCGGGAGAAGGAGGTCTTCGGTGCTCTCTTCTAGGAACGTGCAGAGCGCGTCGCAGTCTTCTGGATCAGCGGCGATGCGCGGGGTGAGGCAGCTGGATACGGGGACAAGGGCGTTGGTGCTGTCTCCGGTCTTTGCTGAGAGGCCGGGAAGAGGCGTGAGCTTGAGTTCCAGTGGCTTCATGGATGTGAATGTTGTTTCTTTGGTGACGTTCACTTTGCCGGACGAGCGATAGTTGGCAAGATTTCCCTTGCTCGTGAAGGAAATGTTGATGTCTCTCTGTGCTTCAGGGTTGGCTACTGCTGCGCCAGAAGCTAGATTGGCTGCAAAAAGCATGCAGAATGCCGCAATGTTCATCATGATGATGTATGGAGGAGGATGATTTCGCAGGAAGGCGGAAAGACAGTGGAGGGTGGAAGTATGAGGCTGAATACTTGAAGCTCTGCAGGATAGAGCAACAGAATGTGAAGGACATTGCTGCCTTTTATGCTGAACCCACTGCTATACAATTCCCGAACTAGCATAGTCTCGTCCCTGAGACAGACCCAGCAGATTTGATTACCTCTCTGACTGCTTTCACAGATGATATCATCGCCAACCCGTCATCATGTTGGCCAAGGTCGGGATCCTGTTCTACTAAAGTCTGGTTGGAGTGACCAAGAGGATGTTTCCATTTTTCCTCATCCTCCGGTCAATATAGGGTTTCTTGCTGACCACCAAGATCGTATCCAGCTTTGAGTTTCAGTAGGCTGCAGGGTTTGCATGTGGGTGGAGATGCTAGACATCGTGCTCATCTCCGACTCGCATGGTGGATGTAGAGAAGTTGATTCGTCTGAATCAGACGTGGTACCTCCTTGCAAATACGACGGGACGCCTGACAAGATATATGCTAATGCGCGAGGCAGTGTTACAGAAACTGCGTGAAGAGTACAATACGATGAACCTTGATATAGTCGTTGTTATAACGAACAGTAAAGATAGTGGATGGACGAGGACAGATTTTCTTTTCGCTGATGGAGAGAAGTGTCTCAGAGGTCATGCACCGTACCCTTCACGAGCTCAGTATCTCGTACTTGGGAGTTGTGAGCACAAATGCAGGTTCGGCTACAGCGGCCAAGCTGTGGGTACCAACGGGGCGTCTGTCCGGCCGGCCCCGGGAGTTTATGATAATCCAGTTCGGTCGGCGTTAACTTTGCAGTAATGATTCCTGGCGAATCAAGACTATACATATATCATCTACAGGGCGTTAAAGTTCAGGCGTCCTGAACATTAGGTGGATACATGTGTGGGCCAAGTGTCAGAACTGAAGGTCTGTCAGATACACACTAGTATTCGATACATGTCAAGAGTTTACGATATTCAGCTGGTATAATCCCGATTTGATAGCTGTGAGTACATGATACGTTTGACTTCTCCAGGTGCTGGTACTCCCTTGTAGTGATATGCACGACGCTATAAAATATCTGTTGTCGATATCTTCAACATCGAGATCGTCGTCTGAATCTGCCCCCTCCTTCTGGTCTGATATGGCCGTGACATCCTTCGGAAATCCTCCTACGGAACATAAAGCCGATCCACTGCTGCTCCCGGTGCTAGTACCCTGTCCCATCCTTGCCATCGACGATTCGGGTGTTTCTTTTTAGACATGCTTCCCGATCCGTCAGTATAGTTTGCGCAGAACGGAGGAACTGGGCGCTCGGCGTAAGCACCCTGCAAGTAAATGGCACAGTGTTTGGAACCTTCATAGGATCTTCGAGATTGGATTCTGGTAAACTTGAGCTTTGGACAAAGGGACCGTTTGACTTCCTTGCATCTTTTGATGCTTGGGAGCAGATTTTGTCATGGAGTAATCGCTCAGGAAGAAATGGGTACCTCCGTACGTTGAAGGGCCTTGTGGGGCGTGACGACCCGTGCTGTGATGAACCGGCGATCCCGCTTATTTGCTGACCCGTCCGTCCCGCCTTGGGCTTCTTGGGATGCGTGGGGCGGAGAGGGCGGAGTGAGCTGGTGTTGCGCTGGGCAACGACAGCGTACTGTAAAAGCAAGTGAGTGATACCGTACGTATGTGTACGTAATCAAGTGGCTCTATGTTTCGCTGACGATTGTGCAATTCTTAAGTGGGATTTGGGCGGGGGTGAATACTTCGATAAGGCATTCTTGGCAGCCATGGCAGCAGTCTTGGAAACTTCCTCATCGTCTCTAGACGCGAACGTTTCAGGACATTTACGTGGGTATCAAAGCATTAAGTCGGGATCGATCAAATGGCGTCAAGTCGGGGTCGGTAACATGGCATGAAGTCGGCATCGGTTACATGCATCCGGTGTGCTCGTATCGAGTTGTAGATGTGTGTATCTACTTGGTCCGTGATAATGACCTATGCGAGCAACGTCATGCTATTAATTGACTGCTTTGAGCTTGCACATCAACGGCTTCTTCTCCCACAAGATAAATGTCTGCTGATCCTCCCAGCCCTCACTCTCGGGGTTGAGTTCGAGATCAAAATTGTACAGAATCTTCGCCATGACCAGACGCAGTTCATGATAAGCCAGGCTATTCGCCATTAGCACAAAATCTCTTCACAATACAAGCTTGAGACTCACTTCTTTCCTACGCAATCTCTCGAGCCTATGGAGAATGGCTGTAAGCACTGTCTCTGATCGCCTTCGAACCTCGGGTCGCCCAGCCACCTCTCTGGCAAGAAGCTGTGTGGGTTCCTGAAGTTGTCCGGGTGGCTATACATTGCAGCCTGTGGTATCATGCAAACAGTCTTCGGTGGGATGAACTGGCCACAAACTGTGCTGCCGTCTTCGGGGGTTGTTCTTGGAAGACCAAGGGGTACTGGAGGGTACAGTCGGAAGGCCTCCTTGATGCAAGCACCGAAGTATGGCAGCGCAGCGAGTGCCTCCATGGTCATTTCGTCGCCGGTTTTGAAAGCACTGCGGACCTCTTCCGCAACCTTCTCCATGCATGCAGGGTTCTTCAGCAGCTTGTATGTCAGGCCGGATAGTAACGTGGCTGTAGTTTCCGTGCCCGCAATCATGAACAGGGACGCATTCGAGTCCATCTCGTCTCTAGTGAGGCCTTTGCCCTCTTTTTGACCAAGCACAAGGTCCCACAAGTCCACGCCTTCAGTGTCGCGACCTTTTTCAAGACGCTTGGTTACGCGCGTGACTGCGTATTGAAAATGCTCGAATCGTCTCTTGTTTGATCCTTTGGGACTAATAAGCTTGAAGATTCGCCATATATTGTCGTAGTTCATGAGGATGCTGATTCTGCTTGCAATCTTGATGCTTGAGAAGATGATGCTGACCCATGGATCGCTATGAGATTGGTCAGCACGTGTCATTATCAGAGAATAATTGGACGTACTACTCTGCGTTTTCAAGCATGTGCAGAGGTTCTCCGAAAGTCAAATCGCCCATGATGTCAAAGGTAGTAAAATTGTACATCTTCACCATATCGAAAGGTTTCTCCGAGTCTTGCACAATGCTATCTTTTAGCTTCGCAACAAGCTGCTGGGTGTATTTCAGAAAGAGTGGCTCCTGCTGCTTGAGAGCACGGTCTGAGAAAGCTGGGGTGAAGATCTTTCGCTGCCGGTTATGGTCTGCGTCGCGAGCCAGGATGAGATTGGGCGATCCATTGACTGACTGGCCATATCGTTGCCAGGTCTTGTGGGGGACGGTACCGGGAGTCCCTTTCGTACCATGACCATAAATCTGCAGTTGGTCAGCACAAGATTGCAAAACGCCTTGATGGGTTGTCCGGATTCTTTGCAAAGAAGATCAATGTTTCATCAGCGGTGTGTGATTCGGTGGATTCACTCACGTCTTTCCACGAGTTTGGATCCGTGAAGCTAAGCTCATCAGGATTAACGCGAACTACGTGACCGTACTTCCGGTGCAAATCAGCGAACGAACGATGTTTGTCACCAGTCCACACTTCAATGTGTGACTGAAGACGAGTAGCGGCTCTGAGCTTCGGTCCTGGAAACTTGCTGAGCGGGTGGAAGTAGATGCGCTGAATTCCTTTGGCGATGAATTGGACGACGAACTGGCCTGTTTGTTAGCGACCAGCTAGTGTAATGTGAGATGCCATGAACCGGGTCTACACACAAGGACAACAGCGATAGCAAGGAGCTGCGATATAGACACACTGGAGAAGATCCTCGCCAGTGCGGATCTCCCTTCTTGTGTTGTAGACGACATGATGGTTGTGGATAAATGTCACGTAGGGGAAGATCGGGGGCTGACAGCGACGCTTAAGTAGAAGAATGGTTAAGCTCTAGGATCGGCACTAGGATGGCATCGGTGGGGCAGAAGACATTTGACCTATGCCACTGGTCGCCAGTCTATCCTCGGAACATGGGTGTACAGTATCAGACGAAGCGATCACGGACCGTCGTGATCCCGAGGTGACGATGGTAACCAGTGCGTGGTTCTAAAGTCGAAAGGTGGTTGAGGATCGACTGTCTTCTTCAACTTTTAGACAGGAGACATTTGGCATTAAGCTTGTATGTACGGGTGTTTCGATACATCACTGCCGACGGGGAAGGGGTGAACCCCGTCCCGCTCGAACTCTGACTGGCTCGGGGGTAATCTTCGTCCGCTCAAACATTTCGCAAACTTTGCTCCGTTGATCCGCATGTGCGACATGATAGCGCGGTATGCAGGATCTAGGAGTGACACGACTCAAAGTGGATCGCGGGGATAGACGCGTCAGTTCTGCCGACCCTCCGGGGCGGTGTAAGCGCGAACAGTGATGCTCTGATTGGTTGTAGCTAACCACGCGAAATCGTGACTTCGCGTTGAGGCGTTCCTCGAGACATCAACCGCCGTCTCGACGAATCGATGCACACAATGACAATGGCGACCACATCAGCACGCAAGGGCTTTTCTGCTCTCCTCAACGTGTCTGCATCATCACGAGCTGCACCTTCCGCATATCGGATATCGCACCGCAGCATCTCTTCAACGGCATCCCGCACAGCTTGGGTTTCTTCCTCCAAAGCTGCACCAGCAAGCACAACCTCAACCGCCAAGCCCTCCTCGACTACATCCACTGCAGCAACTCCCGCAAAACCAGCCGCTTCATCTACAACCACATCAGCCCGAGCAGCAGCAGCAGCAGCCCCCCAACGCACCGTCACCCCATCCTTCCCCGCCACAGAGCCCCCCGTCCCAACCCACCGCAACAACTCCGCCGACGCCGCTGCCAATGACGCACGCTCCAAACGCTCGCTCACCGACGGCCTCTCCGACGCCCCTCCCGAAATCGACGGCGTGCCAGCAATCGACTGGACGCGCTCGTACCACGGTCTCGGCAGCATATCTTTCACGCCCGAGCAGTCAGAAATCCTTCTCGCGCCCACCGTCCACGAAGACGTCGAGGTCAAGCCCGATGGCATATTATACTTGCCAGAGATCAAGTACCGCCGGATATTGAACAAGGCGTTTGGGCCGGGAGGCTGGGGGCTGGCACCCCGAGGAGAGAGTATTGTTACGGGTAAGATTGTGACAAGGGAGTATGGATTGATTGTGCAGGGGCGGTATGTTTTCTCCTCACCTATCTAGCTAATTGCGAGACTAATGCAAACACAGCCTCGTATCCATAGCCCGCGGCGAGCAGCAATACTTCGACCCCGACGGTATTCCGACGGCAACGGAAGGGTGCAAATCCAATGCGCTAATGCGGTGTTGCAAAGACTTGGGTATTGCGAGTGAATTGTGGGATCCCCGGTTTATTCGCGAGTTTTCGAGCAAGTTGACGAGGGAAGTGTGGGTCGAGCATGTGAGCACGAAGAAGAAGAGGAAGATTGTGGTCAGGAAGGACGATCAGGTCAAATACCCGTTCAAGGAGGTGAAGGCGTAGATACAGATGTGAATGAATACATGAGATACTAGAGACGGTGTACGTGTAGGATGTATAACATATAATGGCATGACGCTCTCAAGAAGCGGGACAAGCTTCAGAGCTGGCTTTTGACAGAAGATGGCATGTGATACTGTTCGAGTAAGAATACTTCATTGGCCGTGCAGGATACCAGATGTACGCCCTAAGCATATACGCCATGTGCCTAACCAGGCCACATAAATCTATCATATGTCATAAACGCCTCAGTGTCCCAAGCCAGACATCTGCCTCCACGGATTTGTTCCCTAACGATCTCCGAGATCAAAGCCCGAAGTTCTCGCACGCGACTGTCCCGGCTCCTTTCCATACGCGAGCGGGTCCTCTGGCACCTCTGCGCGCTGCCAATTCCACGGCATCCAGCCCGAGCTTGTTCGGCGGTCCCAGCGGCGGTGGTGTGAGTGGGTATGGCGGGCGCTCGTTGACTTCGTCGCGCTCGATTCTGTCGAATTCGACTTCGCTCTTGTTTCGTGATAGGTTGCCGCTGCTGCTGCTCGCCCTGCTGTTGTCGTAGTACCGGCTTCCGCCACTCTGCTGGGAGCGGATGTTGTCTTGCTCGCGGTCGAATGCTTGCAGCAGGGTTTCGAGGCGCTGACGCTGGCTGGTGACGTAGTTGAGGCGGTCGTCGTTGTTGCGGATGTTGTCTGGGACGAGGTTTGATGCTGCGCGGCTCAGATCCGAGGCTTGTGCGTCTTTGCTGCCTGCGCCGTAGAGTGCACTTGCTCCGCTCAGTGCTTGGTTCACGAGGCCGTATAAATCGTTGGAGCCGCGTGCTGCAGGCATCTGGAAGCGGCCCATGAGGCTCTGTGCATATGTCTGCCCAGCCGGCCTCTCGGGCTCTGGGCTTCGTGGTGCAAAACCCAACACATTGGTCTTCACCCACTCGATTCCCATCTCAACATACTTGAGGCCAGCCGACTTCGCTCGGTCATGACTCTCGCTTATGAAATCGTCGATCTCGCGCTCGTGGTGGTACAGGAATGGCTCGATGTACTCTTGGTAGAGGAAGGTGGCGCCTTGCGAGCCTGGTAGGATGAGGTAGAGGTGGGCGAAGAAGCGGAACCAAGAATAGAAAGGCACCCAGCTAAGGATGAAATCAAATGTGTTCTCGACGACGGTGAAGGCGGAGAGGACGACAAAGTAGATGAGCCATGGGGCTAGGAGGGCGGGGTCCGAGGTGTGGAGGGCTTTGTAGGAAGCGAAGATGGGGAATAGGACGGTTGTAGCGACGCTGCCTACTAGTTAGCTCTTTGCCCAGACTTTGAGATGAAGCTCTTGATAGCTATTCGCGGGAATGCGGGGGCGGGGCACGTACGTCAGCGCGTCAGCGACGAAGCCAAACATGTTCGCAGGCTCGTGGCTTCGTGGTTTGTGTTGGTTTAGAGGCAGTAGAGAGTGGAAAGAGAGCACATGCACAAAGAAGGCGAAGGTCGCAAGCTCAGCAGCTTGGGCCGGATACAAGTGGAGGCTGATGATGCCCGGTACGAATCACATGCATCGCTAGTGGCGATCTACGGCACGCTATCCGAAAACGGGTCTCCCAGTGCCCGAGACACTACATCTTCACCACCACAGTTACCATCACTCAGCCTTTCATTATCGAGATAAGAGACTGCAAGTGCTTTCGCGAGTAAACGATGGCATTTGCAGGTAGCTAAGGCGAAATCGAGTTCTGCAACGGTATCACCACTCTTGTGTTAGTTCGTCTCCCCAAGGTTGAAGCTTGTCATTCCTGCACTATCGTCGTATAGATCAATGTTTCGGTGCTGACACGAAACTCTCTGAAGATGCCGGGTAATTGCTCTGTACGCAGCGACTTGTCACGAATCACCAGGCACCATGGCATGGTGCTCGGAACTGAGGCAAAGGCGTCTTTGGAGACAGCCTTGAAAGCTGTATATTGACCATTCCATGAGGAATAACATTACCACATATATTCCCAATGATCCCTCATCTCGAGATGTCTTTTCTACTTAGCGTACGGAATTCAGGTCCAAATCATGGTTCGCAGGCACCATCGACGAGATTCCAGGTCCCACCAACACCTGACCAGGTGCAACGAGCCATCAGGCTGAGACATCTAAACCTTCGGCTCAACCTCAATGCTCGAAGCACGACCAGTTGCAACCTTGAGGTTGCCAGCCTCGATATCGGCTTTGATCTGGTCAAACCTCCCTTGAACCTGTCCAGCCTTCCAAGCCGGGATGCCCGAGTCGAACACGATATCCATTTCCTCAAGCGTGCGACCCTTCGTCTCAGGTGCGGTGAGGAACATGTGGATGAATGCGACTGCGTTGAAGGTACCGAAGATCATGTACATCTTCCAGTTGATGCTCCACAGAAGCGGCGGTACGGCGAAGGCTAAAATGCAATTCCAGGTCCAGTTGCTTGCTTTCCACACTGTTAGAAAGAGAGATAATCTTGAGAAAAACAAAAGGATTGATGTTCGTACCTGTAGCGAGCGAAACTGCCTTCGCGCGGACCTTGGCGGGGAAGATTTCCGATGGGTAGGCCCAGGAGGTTGGGCCCCAGGTCGTGGCAAAAGTGGCGACAAACAGATAGGAGCATGCTACTATACCCTTGGAGACGGCGCTATGCTCCTTGGGAACGACCCAGGAGATGTCTTTATCGGCCTTGTCTGGGTTTGGGTTACCGTAGGATGCCTGAAGTGCACCAACAGTGAAAAGCCACACTGCCATCAAGAAAGATCCAGTGAGGAGTGCAGGGCGTCGACCAAATTTGTCGAGGTAAAGGATAGCAGGTAGAGTCATGGCGACGTTGATGATGTACTGAATGGATGCAGTGAGAAGTTCATCGGCGATACCGGCTCCACGCATAATGAAAACAATATAGTACCTAGACTACGTTAGTAGTGGCATAACAGACAGAATACGAACGACCTACATCATGATGTTCATACCGCACAGCTGCGACCACATCTGGATCGACATGCCGAGAATAACACGCTTGATAATACGAGGCTTTATGAGAGCGCCGAAGCTAGTCTCGGCCTGCTCGCGCTCAAAGCGAAGAGCTTCTTCGATCTCCTTGTACTCTGCAAGGACAGCGGGGTGGTTGATGTCGCCACCACCGTGGAGATTTGCCAGGACCGTTAGAGCCTCCTCCCAGCGATCCTTGGAAGCGAGCCAACGAGGAGAAAAGGGGAAGAAGAACATGCCGATAAGAAGGATGGCGCCAGGAACAGCTTGAATGCCCCAAGGAATGCGGAAGGCTGCAGTGCCCTGTGTCGGATTCTTTGCGCCGCCATCATAGAATGATGAGCCATATTGAATGAACTACCGCGAGGTTAATCTACGTTTTAAGCACACTGCTTCATAAGTCCGCTTACGTATTGGATCAGAATACCCCAGGTGATGGCCCACTGTTGAAGGGACACGACACGGCCGCGGATGTTCTTGGGGGCGATCTCTGCCTGGTAGACAGGGACAATGGCGGAGCAGACACCAATAGACCAGCCACCAACGACACGGCCGACGCAAAGGAGAGGGATACCATTGGATGCTGCCTGGAGTATGGCGCCAATCATCCAGACCAGAGCGGCGATTTGGATAGCAGTGCGGCGCGAGAGGTGATCAGCCAGGAAAGAAGAGCTTAGCGCGCCGACCAGTGAGCCTGCGGGCATAGAAGCCGTAATACCACCTTGACGATAGCCGCTGGGTTGGCCAAAGTAGTTCTTGTAAGCCGCCGTTCCTAGGACACCAGACATGGATGAGATGTCGAAACCGAACAGCCCACCACCAATGGCGGCGAAACCGCATATAGCTAATCGTCATGTTAGATTATTGATGTCATGTTACATGGTATTGATTACTTACCGTAGACATTGTAGAAGGTCTTCATCTTGCCGAGCGGTAGCTCAACCAGTTGGGTGGGGTCAGAATCAACCTAGGTAGAGATGGGTAAGAGAGGAGACGAGGCTTCTTATGGAAGTAGAGGATACGCGACTATACTAGCCGGGTGCCGCGTGAATGCTTGGGATATGGTCAGTGCGCAAGCTAACCCACGGCAAACGAGCGATTTCCGGGGGTGTGTCTGGGGTAAGACAAGGATGAAGCTGTGCCTCTCTTGGTGACTGGGTTGCGTAACGTGTTCTCCAGTTCTGTCCACTAGAAACACGTTGTGGCCCGGGAAATGGCCCTTGCTGGTTGGCACGCGCGTGGTCACATTGGCACATGTTGGGCAATCGGCAACGTCCTCGATATGCTGGGTAATGGGGACGGAGCTGCCAAGACGGGAGCTCAGTACACATCGACGGGGCCTAGGTGAGAGTGTTGGAACTCAAGCTTACTCAAAAGCCACTGATTCTGTCACACAGAATGCAATCTGAACAGTTGTTGATCCGTCTATAGTATGTCCAATGTGCTTGGAAGGAGTTGGCCCGAATTACGTTAGGCATCTTCCCTCTTACGGTAGAACGGCCGCTACGCCTTGGTCTTGGCCGCCATCATTTATCGATGTATCTCTAATTCAAGTGGTGGAAGACCTCCTGGGGCTCCAACAAATCGGCCTGAACTTGAAGAGTACCTTGAAACATCCACCAACCGATCGGTTGTACTTCGGACAAGAGAATCGTCACTGGACAAATCACGAGCAAATCCCGCCACGTAAATGCGGACTCTTGAACCAAGAGTGCTTGTGTCCCGCGCATGGTAACAGTCAAATGGCATACATTGGCTATGGCACATGTTAAGGCGTCCAAGATGCAACAGTGTCTACCCCAATACGGAATGGGATTCTGTGGCCGCCATCCTTCGACGTTGGACCTTCTCCGCATGATCGCTGGCGCTGCGGCACGGCCTTGAAGGCTTGCGGGCCGATCAAAGCCTCCGCAACTTGAACAATGTGGGGCGCATCGCATGCTTCTTTGGGAACTGTACGCGACGCCTCGGTGAATTGCCTTCCGATAAGTCACGATCACTGTCGGGCGTAAAGCATGGCATGCGATCCTACGGAGCCGAAATGAATCCGAATATCCATAGAAGACATCCATTTAGTCAACAAATGACATCCGGGGACAAGAAACGCTATGGAGGAATTTGATCGCGTTACTGCAAATAGTGTCGTTCCAGCGACTAGCTAAGAGCTATTTCAGGGAGTAAACAGTATCTTGGCAAAGTATGTTATGCGCTCGTCATACGTCCCTCAGGAGTACAAGCAGTAAACACGACCTCTTCCTCCAACATCACCAGAACTAGATTTACAAGTACACCGATCGGTTCGGCAGTGTACGACACAACTGGTTCCAAGCGCTTCCTTATGGCACAAGCTGCATGTCTCACCCGTTAAGCACTTTCAGTGGCATGCCGAATCCTTTTTCAGAGAAATGGATGTGATAGAGCAGATGGAGGAATTACACAGAAACCTAGGTAATGTTGCGCTAGAAGCCACTGGACGTATTCTAGTCGATTGCCAAAGGACCGCGTCAGTGGGCTGTTGTGTACCGCTCTAACTGGAGAACTGGTAGTACAACGCTTCACCGGACAGCTGTTCTCGTTAACAACGCTCGGAGGTAGTGGAACAGACACTCGCTGCCATGCGCGGAGAGGGTCGAGTACTAATTGAATTTCGAGAAAAGGGTCCTAGGGAAACTGTACGGCTAGCAGTGCAACCAGAGCTCCGTCTGGATGGCAATATTTTGATTTAAAAAAATAGGCAACGGATAAGGCCGCGACGTTTCTTTCTCTCTCAGCGGCTCTCTGTGTGCGCATTTACAAGCCCCTCCTAGGTTCGAGAAGAGCATTCGCGAGTTAGGGAAAGAACACGTCTTTCTTCAAAAAGAAATTGAAATTGAAATCTTCGTTCGGCGCGTTCCGTGCTGCTCAAGGCCCATTCTGGAGAGACCAGAGAAAGAGATCGACACGACCTTTTTGTATAAGTCTTTTCATCGTGTCACACCTCCGAAGACCACAGTCGAGATTGAAATAGGGTATCTTGCCTTATCGCTAAGTTCACTGCGTCTTGGTAGCAAGATGGTTCTTCTAAAGTGGACGAGTGGCCACTGATGTCTTTGAGTGTGCTCATAGCCAAAATGTCTTTTTGGCGACGATGACGGATAGAACGAAAGTCGAGAAGCCGACCGATCCGATTCATGATCTTCTCGTTGTTGCAATGCCGAACTCGGATATATGCCCGTGCGTGTTTGGTTGTTGATGGCAGTCTTGTCGTTGGTCGTCCTTGCCTCGCTCGCGCCAGCCTCATCTTCATTGCCCCTCGGCTTCTCTGCTTCCGACAACGTCTTCAGCTTCAGCAGGTATCCCTTTCTTTCGCATATCGCGAGCATGCATCACACGCCATCGCCACAAGGCAAGCATGGCGGTCACGTCGTTGCTGTCAGATTCCCGTCTTACGATGGCTATTCGCTGGCCGTCAGATGCAGACTAGCCAGTAGCACAACGCCAGGCCTCATCACCCCCAATCGCATTGTTGATCACAAGATGGAACACTTCTAGCGCCATAGCATCTCTACATCCCTTGAAAAGAGTGTTTCTTCTGTTACACTACATCAGAATTTCTCTTCGCCGTCCTAGCCAGGTCCCGACTATTGGAGTGGCGGAGATGGGCTTGACTCTCCTGCATAAGCTCGCGCATGAAAAATTCATGTTTGAGGCACATGAGTGTCTCCATACGACAGCAGAAAGATGCGACTCAGGGGATACACTAGCCTACCGCCGCAGTGGTCATACAAATATTAGGTATTGCGTGTGACTGAGTGCCCTAGCATTTCTGGAGGATGGCAACGCAGTCAGCTCAGCACTTACGTCGCTACCTTACGCTTACTGCTACCACCATTCAGCCATACCGCCCACGCATCATCTTCCGCGTCTCGTGTGACATCGCTTGAATTGCGGGAACATTCGGTACCACCCAAAGCACATTGCAACAAGTTACCACTGGCAACCTACTAACATTCCAAAACTTCGGATGCTCAAAACAAGTTTAGAGTGAGCAAAAAGTGACTTCTACTACGGACTATAGCAAGAAGCACATCACATACTTGGCATCAGCTGGACTCCCCGCCGAGTGAGGCTCTGTACCAAGGACGTTAATCGAGCGGTGTGGTACACCGCATCTCCGTCAACCAGGACAAAAGACAAGAGCCGGCAGTCCACCTTTACCACAGTCACAAGCAACATATTCTTCGAAGTCACCTATGAATATCACACGGACGACTATACACACTGGATCACCGCGTCTGCTTTACATTCGTTGAAATTACCATCGCCTCGACTACGCCCAGCCGACACGAGCACAACCCAATCGAAAGACAACAGCTATATCGGAGGCCCTGGAAGGAAACTACTTTGAACAAGAAGGAACACTTTAGAAACAACAACCCTCCTGAACGATCGGACAAGTTTTGCAAGTAGTATATCAGGCTATCCCCGAATCATCTTCAAGAAGCCATGCCTCACGGAATCTCCAGCGCCATATTTTGCCGCACCAGCTTCACGACTTGCGATGTGTTCCTCATGGCGCTACCGCATATTGAACCGCACAAGATGCCTTCACCTGAAGAGCTGATCGAGAGTGTGAAGCCGTGGTTTCTGGACGCCGAGACAGTGTGGTGGCGCAAGGCGTGGCTGGACTGTCGATGAAAGCGAGGTATGGGATGTGTAATCCTGGCCGGGCGCGAGGTTGTTCACATTGGGTATCATTAATACAGGGCGCTACTTTTGCTGCTAGACATTTCGGAATATCACATATACAGGGTGTTAGAGTGGGATTATAGCTCAGGGAAAAGGGGCACATAATGACAACCCAAAGCGATAAGCAATGGTACAATCTCCCATGTCCATGTGCATCGTTGTAATCTACTTCACTATCAAAAGTGATGTCTTGATAAGGAAAGGTAAAACCCAGAATCAAAACATTGTAGAGAGGGCGGGAATATAGCGGTTGATGGTTTCACTATTGCCATTTTGATGGGTGTGTAATCTGCGTCAAAAGGATGCATGGAGGAAAGAATTTGCGTGAGAATAATGGTCTTCGAATACAAGAGTTGTACGTGCATGTGCAACATTGGAGGGTGTATTTGCATCTCACTCTCTACACATCATTTATAATCCCTAGCGTAAAAACACCGATTGATATCAAGCGCCTGTGCAATGCCTCCCTACATTTGGTATCTTTGATCATCTTCTGTATTCAAAAGCCCGACCGGAACGCCGCGATGAAAAACTCCCCCCGTCCACAATTCAGTGGGGACTCTAGACAGCCGTAACGGGCGCATTTCCTTCGCCGAGTACCCGCGCTACGAAGATGTAGAGGAGCATCGACCCGATGACGACTTTCCACTTATTCCGGCTCAGCCAGCCCTGTCCCGCATCTCTCGCTATTTGCGCGTCCTGCACTACCGTCGCGCTTGCGATGGGCCTTCTCCGGAGCCCCGCAACGTCGGGCGAGCAGTTTGGCTGTGTAGATTGCGCGGGCTTGGTCAGTCCGGTCGCGAGGTCGATGCGCTTCTCCTTCATCCACTTGAGGTTCTCCTCGTCGATTTCGGGCCACTCGAGGCGGAACTTTGCGCCGCCGTCGCCGGCCTTGATGGCGCCGACACCTCTTGAATTCGAGCCTGGGGTAGCCGCCGATGCGCCGGGAATGGGCTTGCTGCCGCCGCCCGTGCTGTTCCACCACCGTGTGCGCCTAGCAAAGAGTTTCCGCTCCTGCTCGGATGCTCGTACGCTGCCGGTCGTCATCTCCTCGCCGGTCATGAAGGACAGCAGGCCTGTGAGGATTGTGCTGACTTCCCATGCTGGGTTGAAGCTCTTGGGATGGAAGTCGCTTATGGACAGACATAGCCGCGTGCTGGGCTGGAAGCGGCCACTGGGTGTGTGCATGCGGATGGCGGGCGGTGCGAAGGGGTAGTCTGGCGGGAACATGAGGGTGCCCCAGTACTGGCCGCCCTCATATGGCGTCTCGGGCGGTCCGGTGAGGATGTAGTGCCATTCCAAGATGTTGGTTTCGCTGGGGTGGGCGATAATGTAGGGCGGAGGCGATTTGGAGATGGCGGCGTATTCTTTTGTGAGACGTTTGGTTGCCGCGGGGGTCGCCATTATGGTGTTGTATGTGGAGGAGAGGGAAGAGGTTGAAGGGGCGTTGGAACTGCTGACGGAGTCCGGGCGGATGAGATGGCGGATATATGCAAGTGGCGCAACAAAGAGGCTGTATCGCAAACAACTATACGCTGCTCTCTTCACTTGTCTATTCGGAGCGAGAGAAGTCACCAGAAGGTGCGGGCTGGTGTATTAGCATCAGAGGGAGCGGGAAGTGAGAAAGGCGGAGACCCGTCGGGTGGTTGGCACGTGATGCATGGATGACGGTGTCCAAACCGCGCCGGGGTTCCGCAGTCGATCAAGTTCTGGCGCCAAGCTTTGAGCTGGAAGACATCAACAGCTTCAATGGCCGCGCCACACGAAGACGATGTGAGTGACGACAGATGTCACATGATGTTACCCACAGCTAATTGCTTCACAGGTCTTCGAGAGGCTGAAGAATAAGACAGATCAGGCCGAGTGGCAGCGCAAACAAGATGAGCTCAACACGCGCCTGTACGCTCAGCAGCACAAGTCGCAGGAGAGGCTTGGAGAGCTGGTAGGCGAACAATTGGGTACAGAAGAGCTGGTTTTGATGTCCAACAGATCGAAGACAACACCTCGCTTCCCGTGACGATATCGTCGGTCCGCGATTCTCCACGCCAACCGAACACGCAGAAGTTTCCTCGAGCGAGTCGTCAACCCTATTCTGAGCGCGAACCGTGCCGAGCCTTACACGCTTGAAGAGGCACTCAAGGAAGTGGGCGAGGCGACAGAAAAGCTGAACCGCTTTGGTAGAATTGCACGCGACAAAATCCTCCAGACAAGTCTAACACCACCCAGGTATCTTCAAGTCGCCCATCTCAGTCTACCTCGACCGCCCGAACCAGTCCATTGCATCATCTTCTCCCAGCGATGTCGATGTGTACATCACAGCATACGAGCGCGGCAACTACACCATCAAGACCGGAACTGAGGCCGGTGCATCTGAAGCAGACGCCTATGTACACGCTGAGCTTCGGAACTTGCTCGGTGGGGCGGAGACACTCAACGCACATGGATCGCTCGGAACGCGGACGCGGTCGGCTTACTCGCTCGCCTTTGACAGCCCGATCCTGAGCAACCCGGATCTCAAGTTCCAGGTCAACGGTTTTGCAAGTTCGACGCTGAAGAGCTGGGCAAGCCACGAGGAAGTGCTAAGAGGTGGAACCTCGAAACTGCTGTGGAGATCAAAGACTGGACATCAGCATGAGCTCGGCTACTCGGGCGTCTGGCGACAGGTGACCAGTCTGGCGGAGAACGCATCGCCTACTGTACGAGCAGACGCCGGCGACTCGTTCAAGTCCAGCATCACGCACGCATGGACAAACGACAAACGCGACTATCCCCTCCTGCCTAGCAGCGGTTACCTCATGAAGACCGTCTCGGAACTCGCTGGTTTCGGCGGCTTGAGCGGCGACGTAGCATTCTTCAAATCAGAAGCAGAGTCCCAAGTCGCCCTCCCATTCGGCAACACGGGCATCACTCTGACCGCTGGACTACGCGGAGGTCTGATCTACCCGCTCGCTCTCCCCGGTCAGAACCAACCCCAAGGCTCCCGCATCAACGACCGCTTCATCCTCGGCGGCCCCAACAACGTCCGTGGCTTCCGCCTCGCTGGCCTCGGTCCGCACGACGGCTCGGATGCCGTAGGCGGTGACGTCTACGCTGCGGGCGGTGCATCTCTACTCCTCCCCGTTCCCCGCGTTGGCAAAGACACACCCCTCCGTCTCCAGGCCTTCATCAACGGCGGTCGTCTCCTCTCGCTCAAGGGCCAGAAAGGACAACAGACCAGCCTCTCCCAAACTTTCGCCAGTTTAACAGATGAGCTGCCCAGCGTCGCAGCGGGCATCGGCCTCGTGTACGCGCACCCAATCGCGCGCTTCGAAATCAACTTCAGCCTCCCACTCGTCGTGCGGGCCAGGGAGGAAAGCCGCAAGGGCCTGAGTTTCGGCGTGGGAATTGAGTTTTTGTAAAGCACGCAGGGATGTATGAGGGCGGGGTGTAGATATGTATTAGTAGTAGATCGTCGTCTTGAAGCATACTGCGCATCATTTTATTTCCGCAACTCTATATCCAACCTGCCCGATGGAGTAAATCCTCCTCCAAGCCATCGAAAACAGCACTTGAATGGCCGAGGCTAGTCGGCGGCACTACCTTCTAGAAGTCTTTGGTGTGTGAAGCACTGAACCCTAATCCCCATTGCAAAGTCCAAGTCGATCTTCGGAACTCGGAACATTGACACATGAATCGCAACCGCCGACTTTCCAGTCCAGGCAAGTTTGCGGCTGAGGCGTTGATTGCAGTGGTTTTCCCGCCCCAAAGCAAGTTTTGAGGTGCCGATGTAGGACCTTAGTTATGCCGAGTTGGTTGAATCTGGCGGGAGGGATGCATGCCGAGGGCCTGATGCAGGTTGGCATGTGGAGGAACGTGGTGATCAGGGACACTTTGGGATGGGTGGGTGTATTGCTTTTTAGCATGTAGTTGGGTTGGAGGATTTGCTTTTTGCAGTCCGGCGTGCGGGCGTGGTGTTGGACATTGTAAGTTGGGTTGGGTAGAGTGATGATAATCGCCACTTCAACCCTTCGCGCACTCCAAGCTCAAAGTCCAACGGTATTATCCAGAGTCGGATGTCCTGCCCCATCACTACAATAACATCGGACCCTAGGACCTACTACCCACTGTCACGACGTCACGAGTCGTCCGTGAAAGTTCGTCTACCGCATAGCGCTCCATCTTTTTTCCCCTTCACCCACCAAATCCGGCAAGTCTTTGCGGCTACTGTCGATTACAGCGGATTTTTAAGTTGAGCGTAGAAGAGTCAGTAGTAGCTTTCGCCCGGAAGTTGGGGCGCAGTCTTGCGTCTCATGACTTTTTCCCGCGACAGAGTTTCCCGTGCTGCGGAACCGCGCGGATAGCTGGGAAAGGGAATGGTTTTCGGCATACTCGATAGAGACATGATTTTGTGCGTTTGTCTCTAAAGTTCAATGCAGTAGAATGTCATTTTGGGAATGGAATAAGCGAATTGCAAGTCTCTGTTCAATTGTAGCACTCGTCCTGCGTCCAACGGTAAGCTGGTTCAACTAAGCCATACAGGGTCTGGTGAAGACGCCAGCGGGGTCCACATTTCAGACCCTCTTTGTTGCGTGTCACACTTTCCCTCCGACGAAACAAACATATGGCTGACACTACTCCACTCTACTCTGGGTCGCAGATCTTTAGTAGCAACTTTCCGTGTTTGCTGTCGAGTGCACTGTCCATTGGTAACGCAGGTGTCCCTTTTGCTCAGTCCGATTCCGGAAACCTACCATGGCACGAGTTGTAAAGCTGCCAGTCACCACTTCGCATATGCAGGGTTCGCGTGATCTGCAAGGGCTCCCGCTGCGCCAATTGGGTGGCTGAAAGCTTCGACGTAGGTGATCAAGTACCTGTGGCGACATGTTGTGGCACCTAGCTGTCGTGCCTTGTATCGTCCCAGGGTGCTTGTTGCGAATATATAGAAGCCCCCACAAGCCCTTCGAAGAAACACATCTTGGACAATTTCCAGCCTTGGATTGCTTGGGATCGCGCCGTGCAACATTTCATTTATTCTCGTTTCGGAAGATCAATTATACGAACCCGTAATGCAGTTGTCGACTTTTGCCTTCTTGGCTTTGGCAGGGGCGTCGCTATGCGCGGCCCTGCCGACAGACCTCGCAAACTTCCTACTCGTGACGACGGCGCAGGCAAATCCCGGTGCGAATACGTCAGACTTGAAAGCTGTATCCGCGACATCACTATTCGTATGTGGAACCGTTGCATTCTTGGCTGTCTATCTACGAGACACTCATAATCTTAGGACCCGTTCAATCAGCCCGGCCTGCTCCTGCGCCTCACAGGTCCCGGCTACAACTCTCTGCCGACTTTCACAATTAGCTCTGGGACTCTGTCCACAGTTGCTCAGGCACCTTTTAACGGTGGTCCGAAGTTATACAACAGCACTGTAGTTGAGGCGGGCAAGCAGTTGCAGTTCGTGGCTGCCGTACAACCGACGGGAAATCTGGCGCTGGACGAGAACTACCTTCTGACTGTGAACGGAGAAAAGAGTGGTTGGACGATCTGCGATGGGGCTCTAGACACCGACGTGTTGTCTTGGAAGGGAACTGGAGAGGGTTGCGAGGCCACATATTTGCATGCGGTCACAAAGGCGCCGTACTAAGCGCACATACATAGCGAGTAGTAATGTCGCAAAGCATCATAATATTCATCGGGCAAAGCATAACAAGTCTAATGAAGGAATAACTCCACCCAACTCCAATCACACGCTCCCCACCAATTGCGGTCCCTCAAACACCTTCTTGGGATCATACTTCGCCTTGATATCCACCAACTTCGCATAATTCTTGCCCCAGTAGCGCGTATGCGCCTCACTGTTGGTCAGGTTCGTGTCCGCGTAGTTGATGTACATGCCATGCTTGACCAGCGTGTCTCCCGACTCTATCGCCGTGACCCAGTCGTTAAGGAAGGACATCATCTCCGGCTTGTACACGCTGTTCCCGAAGACGCCGTCGTTGAACTGCATCTTGAACGTCGCATTGCGGTGCGCATAAGCCGTCGCATCCGCGCCTACTTGCGCGATAGCAGACTTGGCTCCGCCGTGCATGTCGATGAGCAGGTACCATGGGCGCGAAACCTTGCGCGCTGTGCTGAAGTAGTAGTCTGCGAGTCCCTTCAGGGCTTTGTCGTTCAAGTAGTCGGGCATGAGCGACTTGGCGAAGAAAGTCTCGTGGTAGTCGTAAATTTCTGGCTGGGCAAGTGGACCGTTGGAGAATGAAGTCAATGTGTTCATCCAGCTCTTGACTGACACGGTGCCAGAAGTAGTCGAGACCCCAATTTTGGTGAGTAAGGGTTTCATCAGCTTGTCGAACTCTGTTCGGTTTCCGTAGTAGACACCGGTGAACTGGTTGCGGCCGACAAACAGGCGCATGTTGAGCTCCGGGGGTTGCGTGTTGATGGTGAAGTCTTGAAGAGTGCTCAGGATATTGACAAGTTGGCTAGAGTTCGCAGCGTTTATGAAGTACTCAAAAACCAGATTGTTCTCCGGTGCATCAAAGGTCTTGAATGTGAACGACGTGACAATACCGAATGCGGCGCCAGCTCCACGAAGAGACCAGAAGAGGTCTGAGTTCTCTGTCGCAGAGGCAGTGACAACGGTACTGTTGGCAAGGACGACATTGGCGGAGACCAAGTTGTCAAGCGTGAGGCCCTTCATGCGTGAGATCAGACCGTAGCCTCCATGAAGAGACAATCCACCGATACCGACACTGCAAGTGTATTAGCATTTCTGGTTTCTGATGCAAGGTCTGCAATTGAATAGACTTACCCAGGACAAGTTCCATGGCTCATGGCCTGCTTTCCTTGATCGTACAATGAAAGCGCAATGTTTCCCAGTCTTCCACCCGCTCCAACGACAGCGGTATGTGCTTTCTGGTCAACAGTGACAGTATTGAACCGACGCAAGTCGAGGACCAAGTGGCCATCCTCCCCTCCGAGACCATGTGCGCCATAGCTGTGACCTCCTGATCGCGCAGTGGTAGGCACATTGTTCTTCACACCGCAGGCCACGGCATCTTGAACATGCTGAACAGTTTCCGGAACTGCTATCGAGGCTGGCTTAAATGGCAGGCGTAGGTTGAAAGGCTTTACGGCCTGTGTATAGTTACTCGTGCCAGACGTGAATACTGGAACCTTGGCAGTGCTAAGACAGTCGCCAAGTGCTGCACGCTTGTCTAGAGACAATGAAGTAGCCGTAGTGAGAGACAAGTAGCTGGCTAAAGCCAGCCATACAAATTGAGCCATTGTAGTTGATTGTGACAGAAGGATGGTGTTACTGGAGGTCCAGTGCCCAGACTTGTATCATTATGTATCCATGACGGTTCTTTAAACTCGCCAGCCAGACCCCTAGGATGCTGACAGTCAAGACGAATACCCAAAGTACCCAGTGATTGAGCAATGTAGAATGTTGGGTCAGCAGAGTCTGGTGCCAGCTATGCTTGCCTTCCGAGGGTTACCGGCTATAGGGATCGGCACCATTGCCCTCGATACATGCAATTGTAAACGGGGTGCGGACCTCAGCGCTCCTTTAATCGTTGTACAAGGTATTCTGGAAGGGTTCTACGTTGCTGGCGGTGGCGACGAAAGTACCATTTCTGAACTCATATTGGTTGGCCAAGATGGAACTGGGGGCATGGTGATATATGCAAAGCGAATGGAAGTGCTAAATCCGGTATTAAGTGTATTAGTGCACCCGTAGGTTCGCGGCGCAGCGGTTGCGTTCCCGGGCTATGAAAAGAACCAAGAGATCTCCAAGTCTGGGGAAACCAGGGAGCACATGAGGCGCTTTTCATCTACCGCATTAGTGTTTGGCCGGGATCAGCACCTGGTTGAAACGAGTAGTGCCGGTCCGAAACGAACATTTATATTGCGATAAATTGCCCACGTTGAAACTTTATCCGCTGGCAAATATCAGTTGCCGAGGAAGAAGCGGTACTCTGCACCCCAATCCCAATGTATGGGCATGTTTGTTCATTCGGGCAAGGCTGATCTGACGCGTGTTTCATCATAGCACTTCCAAGGAGCCGACGCATTACGCGTGACCCAACGCGAACTACCACCGAGATGAGCAGGGAGCTTCAAAGAATGTATACATACCGTGGGCGTGCTGCACAGCTGAACGGTACACACCGCACTCATTATTCGTCATGTTGCCCACACACTCAGTCATTCTTTTTGGAGGCGTTGCGAGCGCAGCGAACTTGTGGGCGACACATTACTCTGGCACACTCAACTACCTGACATTCAGCGGAAAGTCGTTGACCTTGACGAGCTCAAGCAAGATCGGAAACAACTTGCCGAGTTGGATCACCTACGATAGCGCGGGCAAGGCCATTTACGTGCCCGATGAGGTGTTCCAGGGCCCATCGACAGGTTCCCTGGTGTCCATGTCCATTGGGAATAACGGCACTGTAAAGACGACCGGAACCGGAATCACACCTCAGGGTGTGGTCGCCAATACCCTGTACGGCGGAGCGGATGGCAAAGGCTTCATCGCAAATGCGCACTAGTAAGTCATTTGCTCGAGATGTGCGACCATATTACTCACCGACACTAGCCAAACGTCGCAAATCACGACTTTCAAGCTGCCTTTGACTGGCGGACAGCCGATCCAGTCGATCAAGTACACTGGTTCAGGTCCTAATCAGGGCCGCCAGGAGGCACCGCATCCCCATCATGCATTTGTGGACCCAACTGGAGACTTCCTGATTGTCCCCGACCTTGGCACCGACAACATCCGAATCAACAAAATCGATAAGACGACTGGAAAGCTTACAGAGTGTGGTGCTGGCAAGCCGGCTCCTGGTTCTGGTCCTCGACATGGAGCTTTCTGGTCTCCAGCGGGAGCCAGTTCGCGCGTTCGACGAGCAGACAACACATTCCTGTTTGTTGCCAACGAGCTCGCCAATACCCTATCTAGCTGGGCCGTTACTTACCCAGCGGGGGGTTGCTTGACGCTGAAGCTCAAGCACACCCTGACACCTTACCAGGGCAACAGCACCGCCGCCCGTGGTACCAAGCTTGGAGAAGTCAAGGTCAAGGGCAACTACGTCTACACATCCAACCGCAACGACAAGAAGTTCTCGCCCAACGACTCGATGACTCAGTACACCATCGCTGCTGACGGTACCTTCACTTTCACAGAGAACACATCCTCGTACGGAACGTACCCCCGCACCTTCGACATCAACAAGGCCGGAGATTTCGTCGCCATTGGTGATCAGACTTCGTCAAACGTCGCCATCGTCGCAAGGAACCCGACCACTGGGAAGCTCGGTGAGCGCGTTGCTGACTTGAGGATCGGCGCGACTGGCATCCCAGAGAATGAGGATGGACTCAGCGCTGTGGTATGGGCGGAGTAGGTGGACTTTTACTTTTCAGGAGATGATATCGGCTTTTTCAGCCACATGATACTGATCATATCATGTATTGCAAATTGTAAATAGATCAAAGCATTCGATTCAAGATGGATTTGTGATCGGTTGACGCGTGAGACCTTGTCCAAGCTAAACAGAGCGTGACGCCAAGCCACTAAACTACCGCTCGCCCCTTCACACAACAGGTCGATGGCATCACCACCTCTTTGTGCATCCAATACACATCATAACCGCAGTTCCAGGAATCTACGAAACCTTCAACATCCAGCCCAGATCAACGTCAGCTCGTTATCTGCATCATCACAAAACTCTGATTCACTTTTAGTGCTTGACTCATCAAACAAATCAACAATATGAGGACCGACAACTATCTCAATCTTTGCCTTGACCAGGCTGCGAAGAGTCCTCTTCGCTATCGCCATGGCGCTATAATCGTTCGCGGTGGTAAGGTCATAGGCCAGGGCTACAACGATTACAGGACTGGCTTTGACGGAGGTGCGCTGAAGACCGGTCTGCTGCCACTGCGCTCTTTGGACGGTTCTGCTATTGCTGAGCTCAAGAAGAAAAAGCTCAAGTCCAGGGGACACATGATAGAGGTGGCTGTTCCCGCGGCTGCGAAGACCTTTACGCCTTTTGAGATGACAACTGGAGGCGGCAAGCTGGCCAACACGCCTCTGTCGATGCATTCTGAGATGATGGCAATCCAGTCTGCGCTTTCTGCTGCTAGTTGCGCGGCTTTCACTGCTGTCTCTTCCCAAAAACCGTGCTTCAAACTATCGGGTGATTCTAAATGCAAAGCCCGGCTACGACGTGAGGCAGTCAAGCTATATGTCGAGACAGTCTGCAAGTTCGCCGCGGAGCAGCACACCGTCGAGTCTTCTGTTCAAGAGTGGCGATTTGAACAATCTGCACCTAAATCGGGCTGCGCTAAGTCTTGCGTTTCACGACAAGGAGGAGAAGAACGTGGCGTCGTCAGCAGAGAACAGTATGAAGAAACATCAAATGAAAAACGAGAAGACGAAATATCACCATCATCACAACATTGGCAACAATGGACAACACGCTCACAAGCGCTCACAGCATGCACATAAGTTATCTACAAAGAAGAATCTTGACGCCATAGAGCTCTCCAACGCCAGCGTCAAGCTCAAAGATGTAGCTATTCAACCTGCTTCGAAAAAGAACGCACACAAAGCTTCCGCAAGTCCTTCCCAGGCCAAGGTAATCAATCCGCATGCGCATCTCTAGTCTTTGGCTGACTTATTGTAGGCACGCACGAAGTCTCCTCCATTACCATCACAGAATGAGTCCATGTTGATGCCCACTGGACAGACTGGTCGCAGTACCAGAGACCGGACCAAGCTGCCTCGCCTCCATGGTGCTGACCTATACGTTGCAAGGCTTGGCTGGACATTTCAAAGTTCCGTCAACGAGTCGGTCGCTTGTTGTGTAGATTTAGATGACGGTGCACAAGCAGAGTCTCCGCCGCGTCCGTCTACTGGCTCCCTTCACGAGGAACTGCGGAACCCCGACTTTGAAGCCAAGCCAGCACAGAAGGCCCCGAGTCGCGTCGACGAGACCGAGCCATCCGTGCATTCATCACGACCCTGCTATCGATGCATCTCGTTCATGGCATCAGTAGGCATCAAGCGCGTCTTCTGGACAACGGGTTTCGGGACTTGGGAGAGCGCGAAGGTGCGAGACTTAGTCGATGCGCTTGATAACTTAGGGCTGGAGCAGCCTTCGAATGCTGCTGCGACACTCAGCAACGTCTTCGTCACGAAGCACGAAGTATTGATGCTCAGAAGGACGATGGGTGATAGATAAGCTTGAATATTTCAACACGCGTGTCGAGCATGGACCAAAAATATCTTTTGTTATTAACGATCTCATGATCTTCTGTTCCCGTGGCTAATATCGTTCCCGTCCGCGCAGCCACACCGCATGCCGTAGGTGAAGGAGAGCAGTACCCGCTCTCGCTTACCGCAACGGTGGAAGACACATAGATACTGAAGACACGCTTGCAACAGCTCACTAAAGCTCTATTCTCCAATCTTCCTCCACCATTCGTCAACCTCTGCCAATAAATTACTCGCGAAGTCTCGGAGCACACAAGAGCAACACTCTCACTACCTTGCCAGCATGCCTCGCTTGATCGGCGATGTTTTTGACTGGGACGCGGAGCCAGACTATGAGTACATCTCTCCTGAATTCGCCAACGACTGTACACGACTTCCGGTCGATACGCCAGCTGATCGGGCGCATCTCATCCACATGGATAGCTACAATCTTGCGGAAGCAGAAGAGGACAACGGAGATACCCGTTACGACGTCAAGCTTTGGGATGCTGTTTGTACCATGCTGTTCAAGGTCTCCACAGCGGTGCTCGATCAGTTTCTGGACTCACAGACATTCCAACTGGTGTTGGAGCTCGATTGTTCGACTGAACCAAAACTCATCATCTCGAGGCAGGGACGTCAAGTAATGGTTCGCATTATCCCCTCACCAGCTACATACTCTCCACTATTGAACTTTACCACTGACTATGCTTCAGCGCAGGTTGGCCACTACATCTAGTACGTCCATGAGAATTTTCTCGAGTTTGACGCCCCTGTCCGCGCCCAAATCAACTACGACGGTTCATGGAAGCTCATTTCTGCCACGTGGGGCAAGTACACCAAAAACAATCTGGAGGACGCCTGGAACGAAGCCTACGTGCGTAATTCCGTGTGAGATTGCACGGTTCTAACTGAGGCGGGTTGCAACGAGCATGCACGCAAACTCGGCATCGAAATCTTGAACCCTGAGTGTTGGGACGTTCGGAGTGGCAGCAAGTGGGTCGTCAATGTGACCTAAGGGCACGCTGAGCTGTGTAGCATCAAGTATCATGCTACCAAGGCAGAGAGATCCAAAAGGGAGTTGCTTCACACATAGTGAGAGGAGGAAACCATCCTCAGCGTCCAAATATCAGATAGATTCATATGTTATTTAGCTAGGTAGTCTTTGATTCGGGGCTTGCGACCTACCTAGTAGCGATAGACAGTTTCTCTCCAAATCAAAAGAAGCTCAAATAATGATCGAAAAAGCCAGATACCTTGCTCTTTTCCCGGGCAAACTTGCAGGTGAGTTTCGAGCCTCTATGGCGGCGAGCTGCCGGAGCACGTGGATCTCGCCGTTTGCTCGAGCCTTTGCCTTCACCTGTGTATTGCTGCTCACCGCCCGTGCCTCACCCAGCATGTGAGTCAATAGCAAACGCTATGCAGCGTTCGCACGTGACCCTCGCGCAAGGCTTATAGATATATAAGAGAGACGAGGCCACATCCCTCTGCAACCCAACCTTGGAACCTCAAACCCTTCTCTAACCTCTTTCCAACCACAAACATGGCTGCACACACAGTTCAGTTCAGCAATGCCTTTGCTGCACTTCCGTCGACGGCTCCCGCCAACCACCCTCACCTCATCGACCTCGCTACCTACACCCCGCCACATGCAAACAGGCAGACAAACATGAAGCTCCCAGATGCTATAGTTACTATGCTCCACCAGATCTCCCCGACTGCTCTGGGCGACTTCTTGGATCCAAACAAGGCTTCATTCAGATTGATCCAGACCTTCAAGGACAAGCGCGAGACCGAAAAGTTGGTCATCGCAAAGAACGGCGACAAAGTCTTAGTACGTATCAGTCAGTATTGAGCCATGGTCGCATTATTCACTAACATGTCAACGCAGGTTGGTGTCTTCACTGAGCACGCCGAACAAGGCGGCTGCTTCGAGTTCGACAATCTCGTCCACTTCACCGTCGCTCAGGACGGCAGCTGGGATATCACGTACATGTCGTACCGTGATTACTTCCGCCGCAATTGGGCTTACGTGTGGGCGGGACAGACCGTGGACTTGGGCTTCGGATTTTGTAACATGAAGGCTACACCTCTTAGCGATCCGGTAGACTGTTGGAATCTCCTGCCGTTCCAACTGGCGGACAATATCATGACGAACTGTCTTTGGGATGCGGTGAGGTCCGACTTCACCATTGTATAGCTCGAAGGCAGACAGAAGCGGATACAGGGAACGATCATTGCCATGAGCTGAGGCTCGTGTAGCATTGGGATCTAAGGAATCTGGGATGGCCACGAGCTGGGACTCGTGTAGCTAGCATTGGGACCTAAGGCGTTTGGGATAGACATCAGCCGAGGCTCGTGTAGCATAGGTACCTACAGGATATGGGATACCTCGGACAGTTCAACTCAAATATTCAAGCCCTGTGGCTAGTCAAGACTAGCCACCAATTCCAGGAAACTGTTGCCGTGTAAGTAAACATGATGTCGCGCTGAACACAACTTAGCCCTATAAAATGATCTTCATGTTCAGCCTGGTACTAATCAGCGTATATGACATTTTGATCTTTTGTTTTCACGACGCGATTGTGTTCTTTGAGATGCACAAAATGTGTTTCGTGACTCTTTATGCTCCCCGGCCAGATGCTTTGTTCACCCTTTTGCACTGCTCTAAATGCTTTGTATCATTATATCAATCATTCAAACGCTTTTGATTACCAGTGTCTGGCCTGGGTTCTTCTCTGATTGTTTGCATGTCTTCATTGGGCTAGGTCATTTCCTCCTCACAGTCGCATCTGCCTTAAAAACCTCATCAGACGCGCCTCGATCGCGTCATCGCAGCTTTGGCGCCGGCAAGCTTCTCCAACCTCAGCGAAACCTTTGAAATTCATGTTCACACCTCAACATCATAAGCGTTGTCTTCACACCTCATCCTCACGTTCACACCTCACTTTGAGCATCACCACTCACTCCAGGCCCGTGCGCCCTCTGTTGTATAATTAGATGAAGTTGCCTCCAGCGGTAACAAGCCTCGCTCTACGGTTTACCTCACCTCCACGCATAAGAACTCTCCGTACAATCACGATGTCTACTCCCCTCGAAACCTCAGCCATGGATGTCGACGGCAGCAGTGACCGTGGCCGTAGCAGCCCCTCATCGATCCGGAGCGACTCGAGCCAAATCTCTTATACCGATGACTACAAGACGCTGCCGTCGAGTGGCCCGGATAGCCATGCTCACATTATCGACCTTAGCTACTACGCAGAGCTTGCCAAAGAGGACGGCATGATTAAGCTTCAAGATGCAATCGTCACTACACTATTCAGTGCATCACCAGAGACGCTCGCAAGCTTCTTGAGCCCTACGGTGAACACGTTCAAGGCTGTCTTTGGCAAGAAGGATGTGCAGCTTGTGATCTGGCGCAAGGGTCTCGAGGTCTTCGTAAGTGGCCGTGCATTCATGGCAGGGCAGTTGCTAACTACTTCATGAAGGTCGGAGCATATGAGAACCATACCAGCATGAAGTCGTTCCGCTTCGAACACGTCGCTGGCTTCCTGATCGGATACGATGGCGCGTGGCACCCCAAGGTAACGGCTAGCAATGCCTACTCCAGCAGCAAGTGGCCTGATGTTTGGGCAGGCAAGTTTGAAGACCGAGGTGGCGTGGCCAAGATGACTGTGGAGGTCCAAGAAGCAGCAATGGCTGGGCGCGCATCGACTCTGGCGGAGTATATGCTCAACACAAAGTACTGGGAGCTCAAGGCAGATATCAAACTGACTTGAGAGGCGGCTGAAGAGGAAGAGCATAGCGTTGCTTGAGTGTAGATGACGGCGTCTTTTGATGGATCTTGGGCCCTATCGTTTCGAATATATTTAGCAAGTAGGTTGGACGTGCTCACAAAACATGTTGGAGCATGGAACGGATGGCTGGAGTTCTCAAGGAACAGCTGCGAATGTCACCTGAAGACGGGCAGATACATGCGACGCGCATCGAAATTTACAAACAATATATCCAATGATTCGGGAGCCATGCTTTGAAGTGCCTGCCACATATCACTACAACGTGAGCATTCGCATTCTCTCGTAGGATGCACAACGGATGATAACATGGCCTGATTACAAGTATCACATGCTTACAATGTCGGACAGTACGTGCTATGGGTAGGTTACCTAAAGTTTGCGGTATCGGCATTTGACGATGTTCTGGAGATGGTGTTGTGGGGAGATCTGGTAGGCTTAGGTCCACAGGGCGACTGGGATGGTGAAGCGAAGGTTGTTGCGGACGCGGGATCCAATCGCTGGTCAAGCGCGCCGCAACCACAACTCCAGGCCCTTGATTCTCACCTCCACCACCTCTCCAGCCCACAACCCATCACTTGCGTGCCCTCGTCAACACCGACTCGACTCGCCAGCCCCTGCGATACAACAGCTACTCGGACCCGAACACGCCCCATTGAAGACGCCTTCGAGGGTGTTCTTGACATTCAAACACGACGGCAAACACAGCTTAGCTAGCTAGCAAGGAAGCAGTCTCGAAGATGGTGGGCAAGAAGTCGGGCAGAGCCCAGCTGAAGGAGGAAGGTGCGGCCGCGCTTTCAATCGTATACATAGCAAAGAACACCTACTGACAGCATCCCAGGTCTCGAGCGGACCGACAACAACATGGACCTCTCGACGTGGCCCCAGGTCAGCATGATCAACCAGAAGAACTACTACACAGAGTTCCTGAAGCGCGACGAACAATTTCTCGCCGTGCGGTACCCCAAAGACGAAGAACGGGCGCGCATAGTACAAGAGGCACGGGACAAGGATCGCGCACGCGCACTGGGCGTACCACAGGCAGCAGAAGGCTTGACCCCACAGGCGCCAGAAGAGACGGCTGAGGATGCGGATTTGTCTTTCGCTTCACGGACAGACATCTCGAAACTCATCGTAATACACCCCGGCAGCCAGAACCTCAGGATAGGTCTGGGATCAGATGCGCTTCCCAAAACAATACCCATGGTGATTGCGCGGAAGTGGAAAGAGAGCGAATGCGAGGAAGACGGTGGCGAGCCGAGCCCTAAGCGGTTGAAGCTCGAAGGCGCGGTGCCGGCAGACGCCCTTCCTGAGAAGTGGTTTGGCGAGGATTTCGCCGACCAGTACATGGCCATGTCTTCGGAGCTGAGGACGCGCATGCGCTCGAACAAACGCAGAGTATTGCCAAACTCGAAGGATCTGGTCATCAACTACAACAGGCGCACGCCTCCCGACATCATCTCGGAGCACAATGACATGGATCGCATAGACTGGACAGAGCTGCCAGCAGACGCGAGTAAAGCGCCCGACTTCTTCACTGGAAGCGCAGCGATGCGGATACCAGAGCACTCCAAACCCCGGTACAAGCTCTTCTGGCCAATACGGAATGGCACGTTCAATGAGAAGGACTATGTCGACCGCAATCAGATCTACCACGACCTTTCAAAGATCCTTGAAGAAGCATTTAAGAACCAGCTCGGAATCAAGAGCATGAAAGACCTGGTCAACTACAAATGCGTCTTCATCATACCGGACTTGTATGAGCGCCAATATGTCACCATGATTCTGGACATTCTGATACGAGATCTTGGACTCGGCAAGGTCTGTCTGCAGCAAGAAAGTCTGTCGGCATCATTCGGCGCAGGCTATGGTGTCACGTGCGTAGTCGACATTGGCGCTCAGAAGACGTCGATATGCTGCGTCGATGAAGGCTTGTGTGTCGAGGAGTCGCGCGTTAACCTCAAAATGGGCGGCTCGGACATCACAGAGACCTTCATCAAGATGATGCTGTACGGACACTTTCCATACGCGGACATGAATCTCAAGCGGAGATACGACTTTGTGTTAGCAGAAGAGCTCAAGCAGAAGTTCTGCTCCATGGACGAGGGTTCCGTCACAGTCCAAACTTGGGACTTTCATCTCAGAGCATCGGGCCAAGATACGCGCAAGTACACCTTCAAGACTTACGACGAGACTATGCTCTCGGTCATGGCAAGTCACCTCATCCCCGATCCTCTTTCCAGCATGCTAACAGACTCAGGGCCTCTTCAAACCCTCAATCTTCGACAACACTAAGAAGCTCGAGAACCGTCGCAAAGTCGTCCCACGCTCCGTCGACCTCTACGACGGTTCGCCTAACGACCCCATCTCGCAAGCCCAAATCGCCGTCCTCGAAGCTTCCGCCGGAAAGCCCGTCGTCGCAGCTGCCACCAACGGCACCACCGACTCCACCGCCGCAGTATCCACCCCTCAACGCCCCGTTCCAAATCCCTTCAACCTTCTCGGCCGCTTGACCGAAGCCGAAAACACGCCTCGCTCCTCCGTCGCTGGCTCCCCCGGCCCCGACGGCGCCAGCACCCCGATCCCCGACCGTGACACCCCCATGGGCGACGCCGAAGGCCAACCCCTCATCTTCCGCGACCCCGTGCTCGAAAAGACCAAACTCGCCGAAGCCCGCGACACCGTCCTACCTATCATGCCCCTCGACCACGCGATTCTCGAGTCCCTCGCCCAAGGCGCGCGCGGCGACGACCGCAGGCTGCGCGACTTTTTCGGCGGCATCATGCTGGTCGGCGGGGCGTCGAAAACACCCGGGCTGCGCGAGTTCATCGAGGCGCGACTACGGGAGTTGAGGCCGTTTTACGGCAAGGAGATTCTCGTGGGCCCGCCGCCGCGCGAGTTTGATCCGCAGGTTGTGGCATGGAAGGGCGGGAGTGTGTTTGGGCGGTTGAGCGGGCATGGGAACGACAGCTGGATTAGTAAGAGCGAGTATGACATGCTTGGGGCGAGACTGTTGAATAATAAGTGCATGTTTGCTTGGTAGTGGGTCTGGAGGATGGGATTGTTGTATGCTGGGTGATTAGGGCTGGAGAGTACTAATTGCGATTGGGCGGGTATAGCGGGATAGTGCAATGCTGTGGTATTAAGAGAAAAGATGGATATCACAAGGATGATGGAAGAGTGCTGTATGTCGTTATGCAGGGTGCGAATGTATGGTGCTGCGAATTGTCTCGAGTCCACATCCCCCACCTCACCTACTGCGTCCAAACACAAGTCACACACTTCAAAATCGCCATACAGTGAACCGACAGGCCATGCAACACCTCGACACCACCGTATCAGGAATCCATCCTTCCTTCTTCTCTGCACTACTATCTCCAAACCAGTCGTGCCAGAGCGAGTATAGCTAGCTGATTAGTCGCAGTTCCGGATAGCCCGGAACCAGCCCTGCGTAAGCCGCCGCAGCGCCTGCTACTATCGGTACGCAAACACGGTACCTACCCGTGTATTAGGCCGTGCTTTTTCCTGTTGGAGGCGCTAGGAAAGCTTGAGGTGTGGCCAAGCAGCATGCGTCCAGGTATTGGATGACCTCAACTGTGTGCTGCTCATGGGGTACCTTCCTGAATTGGGGGGTGGGAACGAGGTGGGAACAAGATGTGGGGAACAAAGATGTGGGGAACAAGATGTGGGAACAAGATGTGGGAACAAGATGTGGGAACATGTGTCGGGTAGTTGTGTCGGTGGGAGGGATATCTAGTCAAGAAAAGCTCATGGGATTTGACTATCTGGGTGTCTTCATGTAAAGTGCATGGCAGAAGAAGGGTTATGCTTTTTCAACTTGTCTTGATTCATTTGTCGAAGTGAGGACATGTTGGCAGTGGTAAGTCAACCATGTCTGCTCTCCACTGCGAGCATTGGCGGGTTGTGCTTTTCTTCTCGGATGTACGAAAAGCTCAAGGCGGGTTCAGCAGCGAGGTGAAGGCACTGCTCCGATTGGGCCGGAACGATACATTTCCTTCAAGGCGAAGTCGCCAGGTACGACCGGATCTCACGGAACGACGACCCAACGGATTGGCTCACAGCCTTTGCTAGGCTGGATAGAGGTTATACAATGCAATTCTGGTGTTTGGGGGGAAGATCGACGTGGTATGTCTTTGCTGCGATATGCGAACATCAGTCCACTTGGACTCGCCATGCTCAGCTGACTAACACTCTTTCTCGGGCGCCGAGATAAATCACGAGGGGGATGTTCTCCAGTCACCTGCTCCGGGTGGGCCCGTTCTGTTCATAGACCTAGGCAATGCTGCAAGTTCATCTATATCTTGAGCCCTATCTCGGCAGCTTCCTGATCGCAGAATTCGGCCATTTCGACGTCTTTGATGCTGAGACCTTCCGGCCGGTGGGTGGTCCACTCAATAGTCACCCTGTTGTATAGATTGGACCACGAGGGATGATGTTTCTTGGCTTTGCACTCGTCTGCAACAATCGACATGAACTGCCAGGCTTTGGAGAAGGAAGTGAAGGTGTAGGCTCGTGTGATGCCCTTGCCTGATGCTGACAGCTCCCAGGCCGATAGGAGTCTCGACGCTCGTTCCGGGAGTTCGGGAGGCTGACCAGCAGAGAAGATGATGTTGTCATGCGATCTTTGGAGTGTAGCTTGCATCTTGTCGGTCTCCGTGCGACCTGGAGAAGTGGAGTAGAATTTGATGCTTGTTGATGGTGCAAGTGGTCTTGTTGGTGTAGCACGACGTGTCAGCCGGAGCTGTAGACCGCAGTCAACCAGCGCATGGCGCCAACGCTCGCAAGATGGCTTGTGTAATCTGGCACGTCCTCATGTCAGACGAATTGTATTCTGAGGTAAGCAGCGCAGCCGTTGGATCCACGTTCATTTGTTGGCGGAGAAGCTTGCAGATCCGCTCAGACGCATAGGTGAACAGGACTCACGGGAGTGCCTGGAGCTGGCGTCCAAGTCTGAGTGGTGTCATCAGTGCCGCCATGCTAATCCAAAATGGTGATGTTCTGTGTTGCTGATGGTTTGTGTTGGAGACGGTTAAAAGACGGCAAGTGCCATGAGATGTATTCAAGCCAATCACAAGAAGTTTGTTGGTGTGCGAAGGCCAGTGATTTTGGTTACACGATATGAAACAGACTGGTGATACAAAAGACGTTGACGGGTGCAGTGGCAAGACCAAGACCTACGTTCGCGAGCCTTGCAGATGTGCACGGACTTACAGACGCCGTCATTTGGCTGCTGCCTTTCCCCGTATTCAGGATCGTATCATTGAGAGCTGCTGTGCCGCAATGGGGCCAATTGCTGAAGCCTTCGATGCCCTGAGCCGGACCCGTCAAGATGGCCATCAAGTGCACTGCTGAACTGCTAATGCATGTGCACACCTGTTGCAAGATTCGCTAGCCACACGAGGAATGGACTCAAAATGCATGCAGTCCAAGGCACAACCGACCTAGCATCCAGAGTAGTGCCACCACTGTCCTTCGTAGCTAGATGGAGGTTTGCGGCTTCTCCGGATCTAGGATCTCGTGTGTCCGTCTACAGTCTGCAGTCTGGATGGGGGTGGCTCCGCTGACCATACGGACCGCTCTTTACGGACAAGGTCGTAGAGCATTAGTCAGCCTGCAGGTTTCGCAGCAGCGGTCTCCTGCCAAACATGGCGGTTGCATGTGCAGGGTATTCTACGAATGGGCAATAGCTGTATCGAAATGCATTGCAGAGGGAGTCTGTCATTTGGGGTGGTGGAATGATGAGGGCCGAGGCCGAACAGATATGCCGCCAGGACCGGCCGCCGATAGCTCATCTGCGGTATAAGAATCGCGGCGCCCTCACTTAGTCACCCGTTGCGTAATCCATCTCACCCACCAAGCATAGGTAAGCACACTTCCAGGTTCCCGCGCGCAAGGCCGCTCAGTCGCGCAACGACAACGTTGTCGCAACATCTGCACGATTCTCTTGGCATTAGTCGCGATGATGCTGACGTCCTCTTTCCCTCTGCGCAGGTCGCGACTTCCTCCGCATCCACTGCGCCGACGTACCTTACTGCCACCAACTGCCGGATCATCGCGATCAAGACTGCGACTATCAGCGTACCATACAGCTCCAGCTTCGGGGTCGCGCGCATTGAACACAGCTCCCTGCTGTCCTGATTGAAACACCAAGCGGCTCTTTATTCCACTACACCGCACGCACTTGCTTGTGCCTCGCCCAAAGCATTGTGAATGAGCCGAACACTGTATCCATCCATCCGCAGTGATACTGGATACAATACTATGCAGCAGCCTGCTCAGGTAAGCAATGCTGACAGATTACAACGCCGTCGCCCTGCTGACTCTCCGGCGTAGGACCATAACAAGCCGACCATCGAGATGAGTTAGTGCGCCCTCTTGTTGCGCCTTGCGATTACTAACATGTACCTCGTGCAGGCTTAAGAGAACACCTTCTCGCTGCAGGCGCTGGTCAGCCTAGCACCCAGCCTCTCCCCCAGCACTCGTCTCCTCAAGGTCCCCCGCATGCAATTGACCCGGCTATCGCAGGCCAGGCGTACCAAATGAGCCAAGGCGCAATCGATGACGGCAACACGAGCGAGGGACGCTCAAAGGGACGGAGAGAGCTGTCGACCTCTAAACGCGCTGCCCAGAACCGCGCCGCCCAAGTCCGTATATTCATTCGCCGAGGAAACATCATGCTAACGCCTCCAGCGCGCGTTCCGTCAGCGCAAAGAAGAGTACATCAAGCAGCTAAAGGACCAGGTCAAGGAATTCGAGCAACTATGCGAGCTGTACAAGACTCTCCAGACCGAGAACTACCAATTGCGCGACTACATTATTAATTTGCAATCCCGCCTGCTCGAGACCCAGGGCGAAATTCCACCTGCGCCCGCCGGCGTTGATCTAAATCGACCGCACGGCGAGCCCGCCAACCTCAATCCGACCCAACCACAGCCACCGCAACACCCACAGCAGTCCGAACAACAGCCGCAGCCCCAGGAGAGTTCGAGTAGTAACAATGGCGGACTATCTGAGCGACAGATTGGCGAGTTGCAGATGGCTGCGCAAGCTGCTGCCGCTGCTCAACACGGCCCAGCTGTAGGCCACAAGCACTCCAACTCAGAGGACTCGTACGACTACGCCGAAAAGCGCCAGAAGGCAGACGGGTCACCGCAAGGTCAGCTCTCTTCTCCTCCTGCGACTTACCCCGACCCAAATGCTTAAGACCGGAGCAGTCGTTCAAGCGGCGCACGGCTTACCAGCTTAGTAGGTACGGCATCTTCCGGTGACTACGATGCTTTCGTCGACGAGATGCAGCAGTCCACCAAAGTGGCTGCCTAGTTCGCGGACTTTGTCCAGCTCTCCTGACCTTGCCATGTTCGATCTCCAGTCTGTTTATTCCTTCGTCATATCCCATGTTCTCATGATGTCATGCATAAGTGCCCAGGGCTTGCCTACAGCTCGGGGCGGTGTTTCTACAACAAGGCGTCTGGGATGGGTGGATACCATATGTGCTCGTATATCTTGTATTTTTCTCAGCCGTGTTTTATTGGTGTTCTCGAAGAAGAGCGGTCCTGTCATCAGTAGAGCGTCTTCTGCAGTGCACGCCTATGTACACGCATTGAATCAGGGACGTTGTTGCTATGCCGTTCGTCCACCTGCAATATTCTAGAAGACGATGCCTCCTTCACCAAAGTGACCTATGTGCCCCTATTCCAATCAGTACCAACTGGTCCGCTCATAATGATCGAAGGGTCGTCGTTTACGTGCTGTTCCAAAGTGGAACACGCTACTTTCACCTGCGCAGCCGTCACACGCAAACCCAACTCGATCAACAGAAACTCACAACAATCGTGCATGTGTATGTAAGCCAAAAAAATCTGAGGTTCTCTCATAGGAAGTTCTGTAATCCGCTCAGTTAGCCTCTGGGGTTCGCCCTGGGCGCCAACTCGATGGTCGCTTGAGTCCTATCGTTTTGCTGTAATGGTGGCGCGAGTGTTCGATGCTCTGTCGACACGCATTTGGATGTTTTTTTTTGGTTCTGCAGGATGATAGGACAAGAGGATCAAAAGAATGTAATGAGCAGAAAAGCATCTGTACAGAGTGGACGTGGAGTGCAAAGCCCCCGGGCCTGTCACCATTCGATTTTGTCAATATCACGTGATATTTTGAAGCAAACATCCTGAGATCTTCAGCGTCGTTGATAGCACTCTTTTGGCGTGCCACAGAGCAGTAGAGATGTTCTCAATGCTTGTGTATCCACGTGTTGCCAGTTGTAAATGTGTTTCTAAGTCGCGCAGCTGAAACCAGTCGACGGAGTAAGAACATGTGGCGCCGAGAAAGTGGCATGCTTGCAAACAGAGACAGTGAAGGCCCATGCCAGGGGTTCGGAAATCTGTCATTACAGCGAAAACTTGCCATGTTGTGTAGGAAACGCAGTGTTTGAGTTCATAAGTTGGCTTTGGCATGGAAAGCACTTGGTGCCATGAAACCTTGATGCGTGAGATGTGGGGTAAGACATCAGCTCTCATAGGTAGCGACCAGCTCACAACAAGTCCCAAGATGTAGAAAATCAAGGCCTTGGAGAATGATGGCAAGGCCAAATGGAATAGGGTCGTAGACGTTCAATTCAGGTACAAGGTCCAGATGCAGGTGAGCCGTGACAGCGCTCGCGTCCCTCCAGATGCCAAGCACGGAATCACCCGTGCTCCATGGTGAGCGACGTTCACAACCACCACAGCCAAAACTCATCCCCAACCGCACCATCTCCACCTTCCCTCCCCCACCCGCCGCGCACGCGCTGCTCACATGGACACGCCCTTTCGATGAGCCAGCAACATCCCTGGGGTGCCCCGAGACACAATCAGAGCACACGTTTGACCCCCATATCCACCGCCGTCGCGCAAGACCAAGGCAGCACGCCCTCGCCCAGCGCCTCGCGTCCCGCATACTCGCCCGCCAACACCAACTTCCCGTCTCTACCGCCGGCATCTTCGCGCCTGGTGGGTAGCCGCAAGTCTTCAGCCGCCTCCTCGACCTCGTCGGCCTTCTCGCCCGCAGGACAGCAGCTCCCCGCCAGCCAGCTGCTGTCCTCTCGGTCACGGACCATCGCCCCCAACGCCGTCTCGCAATTGGCATCCTCCGCCGCAGCAGCCGCTTCGCAGGGGGGTGGTGCACAATCGACCAGCGGCGGAGGAGCCTCCAAGCTTGTCCGCGCCTCGCCCTCTCTCTCCACCTCGAGTACCGTCGGCTCACCCAGCGCTGCCTCCAACTCCACCACCACGGCATCGTCACAGAGCCTCTCCCGCATCGTTATTGCCCAAATATTCCTGCTGCTCAGCCAGTTCGGACCGCTCAAGGACGACAAGGACCGCTCAAAGTGGGACACCCAAATAGAGCAGATCAGAAAGGTATGTCGCTTGCCGCGCTTGCGTCTTAGCGCGCTTCTCTCCCTGTCGCTATCACTATACTAACGCGCCGCCCAGCTCGTCGACGCACACGGCATGGAGGTCTTTTCAAAGTACTTCCGGCGCCTGGTGCAGAACAATGCCGCCCACGTGTTCGGTGCCGGGGCGCGCAATGCCGACCCCAATGGCAGCTATCAGATTCTCGCGACGGAAATGCAGAAGCTGCGCAAGGAGCCCGAACAAGCAGACAAGATCGCTGAGTCGATAAGCTCAAGCGAGGGCGATCTGTTTCGCGACTTCGACCTGGCCGCCTTCATATCGCACTTCAACCTGGATGCGCTGGCCAAGTCTATGCTGGCGCTTTCGTCGAGGAGGACGGAGCTGCGACCAAAAGGTATGATGAGCACATTCGTCCTGGGCCGCACAAGCTAACATTTTGCAGCTGACACGATCATTTCGTCCATGGGCGACGAATTGCTGATAGCGATCGCGCAGCCGACCCAGGGCGACGCTACGAGCCCCGATTATGTCGCCACACTCGTTGAGCGATTGCTCCAGGACCCACCCCACGGATGGGACGACGACAAAAAACTGAGCCTGGTGTATGCGGTGCAGATGCGATATCAGAGCATGCAGATTGCCATACCGGGGCTTGTCGAATCGAAGCTACTTCTTGTCGAGCTCACAGACAGCTCGCGGAACCCTCTGGTAAAACTAGTGCAACGGGCAGGTCCACAAGGGACAGCGACAGTGGAGGCGTGCAAAGAAGTGCTCGCACAAGCCGAAACACGCGATATTAGCTACCAGCAAGTGGCGACCGTCCTGCTGTACCTGGTCCTGTCCACAGGCTACAATGCAAAGAATTTTGTAGCCGCGCTACGAGAACACCGCGCAGGGCAGCGGTTGGACTGGCAGGACGTTGTGCACGCCTTCGACCGAGACCACCTGCGCATTGAGAAACACCAATTTCTCGACATCTACGACGCGCTACTTCCAATTGCGCAGGACACCGACTCTTTTGACATCCAGAAGTTGTGGGGTGGTACATGGCAGCACGATCTGACCCATCTGTACTTCTTGTTGTGTTTTCTCCGATGTACGCCAGAAGAACTGGACGTTTCCGCGATTCCACGACTGCGCACCTCGTACTCACTCGCTACATTCGAAAACGCCTCGGACGATGTCAAAGCTTTTGCAGAACAGGCAGCGAAGCACCCGTTTGTCTCTCTCGATGCGACAAGCGCTCTGTTCAACATGATCTTCCGCACATCTGAGACATACCACACAGCGCAACTCATGGGCATACCTGATATGGTTATCAATCCACACACCGCAGAGTTCCTGGTGGCAGCAGCCGCAGTACCGAAGCCTTGGGGAGCATTACAGGAGCAAGCACTTAAGCAGCTGTTTGATCCTTACTTCCACAAGAAACTTCCGATCTACAATTTCGTACTTTATGGGCTTTGGCAACAGGATCTCCAGTGGCTGATTGAACGATTCGTGGACGCGTATAGCACAGACCCGATGTCGCTCGCCCTGATCTTGGAGCACGCAGAAGCGAATGGCTGGCTAGACTCTCTGATCCGCAGTAACACTGACATCAGCTTGGATCTTGCTGCTCAAGCACACGCGCGAGGCAAGTTCGAGGTCGAGCCTTGGCTCCAGCAGACGTTCGATCAGGCCGGCGCGCTCTTCCGTCGCATCCTCACTAACTTCTTAAGTGCTCGCGCTGCAGAGGAGATGCAGCGCGTCCGCGAAGATCACCCCCCACTTAGCATGCCGCTTGCTGTAAAGACGGTGTACCCTCTATTATGGTTTCTTGCCGAGTGTGGGTTGCCAGAACAAGAACTATTACCGCTTCAGCGAAACTGCATCCAGGCATACCCACGGCTAATCAACTACGGCGAAGGCGTGGACGACGTGATTGATGCCAACGGTCAAAACGGCAATGCTCTGCCGGAAGATGCCGACAAAAAGATGCAGGAGCATTTCAAGAACATGTACAGCGGCGATAGCGACGTACGCGACATCATCTCGGCGCTGAAAAAGTACAAGGAGTCCCGCGACCCTGCTGAGCAGGAGCTGTTCGCGTGCATGATCCATGGACTGTTCGATGAATACAACTGCTTTGGTGAATATCCTTTAGAAGCCCTGGCCACGACGGCTGTGCTCTTTGGCGGCATCATCAACTTCAACTTATTGTCAAGAATCGCACTTCAAGTTGGCCTGGCCATGGTGCTCGAGGCAGTTCAAGAGTACAGGCCTGACGAGTCTATGTATAAGTTCGGACTCCAGGCTCTACTACACTTCTCAAGTCGACTGCACGAGTGGCCGAATTACTGCGATCAGCTGCTGATCGTGCCGGGTCTTCATGGTACAGAGATCTTCACCAAGGCTGAGGAGATCGTGGGACAACAAGTCGGCGAAGTCAACGGCGACAACCATAACGGGGTTGGTCTCACCAACGGTAATGGCATTGAGGACGCCCTACAACAAGAATCAGCTGTGCCCAAGTTCACTTGCCTCCATGTGGATCCGCCCCTGCGGCCAGATCTATATGAAGAGCCTGACGAGGACGTACAGGACCGTGTCTTGTTTGTCCTCAACAATGTGTCCGAACGCAACTTGCGCGACAAGATCGCCGATCTCACCGAGGCAGTTGAGGAGCGACATCACCAGTGGTTCGCCAATTACCTAGTAGAAGAACGTGCCAAGATGCAGCCCAACTTCCAGCAGCTGTACCTCGACATACTCGCGCTCTTTGATGACCGTACTCTCTGGGCTGAAGTGCTTCGCGAGACGTACGCCAGCGTTATACGACTCCTCAACACCGATTCCACTTTGGGCTCAACCGAGCGTGGCCATCTTAAGAATCTGGGTTCATGGCTTGGTTCTCTGACAATCGCTCGCGATCGACCAATCAAGTTCCGCAACATATCGTTCAAGGATCTTTTGATCGAGGGATATGACACCGACCGCCTTCTCCTTGTGATACCATTCACCTGCAAGGTCTTGGTCCAAGCAGCCAAGTCTACCGTCTTCAAGCATCCTAACCCATGGCTGACGGAGATGCTGGGCGTCCTGCTGGAGTTGTATCATTTTGCCGACTTAAAGCTCAACCAGAAGTTCGAAATAGAGGTTCTCTGCAAAGGACTAGATCTCGACCACAAGGAGATTGAACCGACCAACAGCATCCGTGCACGGCCTCAAGTCGACGACGAATTCCTTGGACCCATGGTCACTGACGGCATGGAAGCTTTCGGAGATCTTTCTATCATGGGCCTGAATCGCTCGCGAGGACCCAGCGAGCGCTTCTCCTCAGCAGCTATCACCGCACAGTTGCCTGACTTCACCAACCAGCTCCAATACCCTCCATCAGGAAACAGCGGTGTTCCTCCTGCAACCCTCAAGAAGATTTTCCTGAATGCGGTGACGCAAGCTATCCAGGAAATCATCGCGCCTGTTGTAGAGCGATCTGTCACCATCGCCGCCATTTCGACCTCCCAGCTTGTAAGCAAGGATTTCGCTATGGAACCCGATGAGGAGAAGCTCCGCAATGCTGCACATACCGTCGTCAAGTCTCTGTCCGGTGCTCTGGCGTTGGTAACTTGCAAGGAGCCCCTACGCATGAGCATTCAGAACAACATCAGGGTGAATGCGCGAGACTTGCCCGAGCAAGCTCTTCCAGAGGGCCATGTCTTGATGTTTGTCAACGATAATCTTGACCTTGTTTGCAATACTGTAGAGCAGGCTGCTGAGATGTCTTCCATGGCCGAGATTGATATGCAGATCGAAGACAACATCCGAGCACGTAGAATGTTCCGCAGCACCCGACCAAACGAGCCTTTCAAGGATGCCAACATCAGCCAGTGGGCTTTCTACATTCCAGAGCCATACAAGCAGACAACTGGTGGGCTGAATAGGGAGCAGCTAGCCATTTACGAGGACTTTGGAAGACAGTCGCGAGGTGTACCGCATGCAAACAATATTTCCCAGGACAGCGGACGACAAATGCCTGACATCTTGCAGGAACAGTTTGCTGCTGTTCCAAATCTGCCAACGCCTGGTGCTGCACCAGCGGAGCCGCGCCAGCCCACACAACAAGCCCGGCTTCAAGCATCACAAGCACCGCCCGCACAACAGCAGCTCAACGGCTACATGGATGCGGCTGGACCAGAACGCGGTCAGCGTGGTGCCGAAGAGATTCTCATTGAACTCACGCGTGTTATCAAGGAGGCGCCTGAGGAGCGCATCAGTGAGCTCCAGCCCGGCACCAGCACGATCCATCATGTGTTTGATCAACTCATTTCAAGCATTGAGTTCGCGGGACCCAACAAGGATAGCTGGGCATTCCGCATTGCCGGACAAGTCACAAACCATCTCTTCTCAGACTCTCTCACTCGTTTGGAGATCGAAGTCATGGCCCATTTGTTGAGCCACCTGTGCCAGCTTTCTGTCCAGACCTCACGACAGGTTCTGATGTGGCTTGCCACACTTCATGATGATGACCGCATCTTCAAGGCCCCAGTCATGATTGCCTTGATGGAAGTAAGCCTCATGGATATCCCTCGACTCAACACAACGATCGCCAAGGCTATTCAAGAGCGACGTATCGCAGCCGTTGAGATGTTGGCAAGTCTGCTTGACGAATTGTTGCTCAACGAGCACCCGAGCGCTTTCCGTGCCGACTTCGCTTTGACTATCGATGCTCTCAATAACTGGCTAGCAGAGGACCCGTCTTTAGAGCTAGGCAAGAGAGTGATTAATAGCCTACAACCTTCCCCTAGCGATCTCTCCATGACCCCGCCCGCAACCGGACAAAAGGACCACCTTGAATACGTTTTCGAGGAATGGGTGCATATGCAACAGCAATCAGACCTACCCAAGAAGGTCACGATCGCGTACATCTACCAGCTTCATCAACGGAAGATTATGGAGACTCAAGAAACTTCAATCGAGTTTATCCGTACCTGCATCGACTCCTCTGTCATTGCTTATGAGCGTGAACACTCGCTTCCGTTCGGAACAGGCAATGAGGATCTTGCCACGCTCAAGATCGATGCGCTCGGCAAGCTGATTGTTGATCTCGTCAAGTACCAGGGAGATCAAGAAGGATCCGTCAAGGAGAGCAAAGCACGATACCTAGACCAGATCCTTGTCGTCGTTGTCCTGGTTCTCTGCAATCACCACAACACACGAGGCGATGCCTTCAACCAGAAAGTCTTCTTCAGGCTCTTCTCCACAGTGCTCTTCACATTGAATGACGCTGTCAAGGACGAAGCTCTGGCCGACCACAAGGCTGACTTATTCCTTGCTGTTGCCAGAGCTTTGCTGATCCTACAGCCGGGTCACTTCCAGCGGTTCACATTCGCATGGCTAGCGTTGCTTGCACACCGCATCCTCATTCCGGCCATGCTCGAGGAAGGCCAACAGGATGAGCGCTGGGATGTATACGCCAAACTTATGGAGGCTTTACTCGTCTTCACTGGTCAACTGATCAAACCGACTGGAGAATCACTCATGGCGCAGCAGTTCTACCGCGGTGTCATGCGCGTACTGCTTGTCATCCACCATGACTTCGCCGAGTTCCTAGTCGAGAACCACTTCAGGTTTTGCAACAGCATCCCGATGCACTGCACCCAGCTTCGTAATTTGATAGTTAGTGCCTATCCATCGACCATCACCGAGATGCCCGATCCGTTCGCTGCAGGTCTGAAGGTCGATCGACTTGAGAAGAGCTTGCTAGCGCCAGTGATTCGCGCTGACATCGATCAAATGCTTCTCGATGCTGGTGTCAAGACCACTGTGGACAGTCTCTTGAAAGGCTCTGAAAAGCAACAAGATGTTGAGAAGCTCCTCCAAGCAGTCCATTACCCAGAGCCCAGGACCACAGCTTTCGAATTGCCAACCACATCAGACCCAGCCCTGATCCATGCGATTACCCTATATATTGGCATCACCACCTTGGGCTCTGAGCCCAGCGTGCCCCAATTTGATGCTGAGGGCCCGGCTGCCAAATTTCTCGAGACTCTGGTCAAGGAGTTTCAGCCAGAAGCTCGCTTCCATCTCATCAGCGCGATCGCCAACCAGCTTCGTTTCCCGAACACGCACACTCACTTCTACAGCTCCGCGCTTCTCCACTTGTTCGGCGTATCTGACGGTGATTCACGGCAGGTCGAGATTCAGGAGACCATCACCAGGGTGCTTTTGGAGCGTCTGCTAGTCCATCGTCCTCATCCTTGGGGACTCATCATCACACTGCTGGAGATTTTGAAGAACCGCAACTACTCGTTCTGGGAGCTGCCTTTTGTCAAAGCAGCACCTGAGGTACGTGGCTTGCTACGCGGTATATTTGTACTAGACTAATGATTTCGTCAGGTCGAGCGACTTCTCAATGCGCTCTTTACGCATGCCCAGCAGAGCCCCCGACCTCTTGCTTAATCGCCTTCACCCGGCGCATACATACAGAGCCTTAGAATAGCGGCTCTGCTTCTGTCTAATCATTGCATTCGAATGCACACATCGTTTGTGGATCAAGTACTCTCCACGTATTAATCTCATGGCTCTCCTTTCCACTTTCATTTCGATATCACGAGTCTTTTCGGCTGGCAGGCATAAAAGGAAGGATCCTGGTAACGTCATGGACAATGGAATGGTGCCACGAATGAACAGGGGCTCCGGCTTTTTTATCTCCGATTTGGCGATACTCAAAAAGCACGGCGTTTTCTCCACGGTGGCAATTGGGGACATTTTCTTATATTTCTAAAGATGCGTTACTAGTTTCCTCACTATTGCGCGCGGTGTATTTTTGCCTGCGCGGTTCCGTGTAGATTAAAGCATTTGTTCGGCGAAACCTCTTTTGGGAAACGGCAATAGCGGCGAGACGAAACGGGAAGTGCATATTGTAGGTGTAGGATACTCATGAATGGTGTTTGCTGCTTTCAGAACCACGCGGCTCAGACGTGATGTATTGCACCACGTGAAAACGCAGACTCGAGCTTTGACAGCGGGAGCAAGACAAACGAGCGTGGGTCATGGGGTACCCAAATCAATTTACTGTTCCCTCGACATTCGCTCGCGTGGCGAGCCGAACGCTGCGTTTTTGCAGTGGAGTGTGACCACGCCCATACATCTATCTTAACAGTAGTTCCAGCCCAACCCAATCACCACATTGACCTCCACAACCTCTCTGGTTACACCAACTGGTCCTCCGCCTCATGGGACACACCCGATCCACCACCAATCCCCATGTCGGAGCTCAGCGCCTACCCAGCTCTTTACTTCTTTCACTCGGCCCTCGCTGCACCGCTTGTGCTGCAAAACCTGCTTTCATCGCCATTCCCACTCAAGCTTTGCAAAGCAAGGCTATATGGCTATATCGACGGCACCAACAGCACGGTCATTTTAAGCTGCGAGAATTTCGGCGAGTGGGCGCCTGAGCCGAAGGTCACTGGGGTTGTATTCGAGGTTACGTGTGAGCGGGAGGAGAACGTCTTGAGGGACTATGCTGGCCCGGATGTCGAGGTCGAGGACACTAGGTTCGAGTCGAGGAAGGGGAGTGTGTTCTTTGGGGTGAAGAAATTGGTGCATAGGAATGCATTTGTTAGAAAAGACGTGGGACAAGCGTTTGGGATAGAGAAGAAGGAGCAACATGTGTCAGACTCGGTACCCGACCTCGAAGGAGACGACGAATGCGACATCTTCGAGGCTTTGCGCACCGAGTACCCCTCTCCCGCTACACCAAAGGAGCATCCCGCAAACGCCGAGCAAAACTACTTTATCACGCCAGTCAACGCCCCCCTAGGGACCTCTCGTCAGAAATGGAAGAACAAGGCTACACTGAGCCAACAATGGGACTCCGGTCAACCACTGACTCGAACACGCACGGGCAGCAAACCCGCTGTCTTCATCATAGGAGACGATTCCGAGGAAGGCTCATCAGGTGTAAACACTGGGACTCACACAGGTGCATATACAGCCAGCATCAAGGTTGAGACAGAACACGCTCCGTATTTCCCTTTCATGAGCACGGCACCATTTGCATCGAGTCACGACTATACCCAGCGCCACCCCAGCACGCTCTCCTTCATCACCAGCCATCCAAGCGTCGACGATGCTGCCCAGATTAGCAGCAATACCTTGCAAACGCCCCTCGTGCGCCCGCACTCATCGAACAACCTGGCACCGGATCCCGATCTTGATGCTGCTTCGAGACCTAAGTCATTGACGTCTTTGCTCAAAGCTTCTTGGTCTTCGAGGTCGTTGCTCGAGAAGATGGGTATTTGAGGTAAGGGGGAGCTAGGTGGAGGGGCGGAGGGCGGCGATGCACCTGGGAAGCTCAATGGCGTGAGGAGTTTGGATGCCGTGTATAAAAAGTTGAAGAAGTAGGAAAAGGGACACTGTATGGCTTGTGATGCTGCTGAGCGGCGAGCAAAATCTGGAAATAGTTTTGGAAACTGGAGATGTGGGTGGATAATGTCAACCACAAAAGATTGGCGTACCTTAACTCACCGGGCCTCTGCGTTGTGGGACTTATTTTTGTGCCACTTCACATATCTAAAGGATTTCCACTGATGATTGCTATCAATCTTGATTTATGTGTATGTTGCACGTTAGGTTGTGACATTACACGCCCAAGGGCCTAGTTAGGCCGTTTTCGGATTTCGATGTTACGGATTTGGATGTACAAGGGACCAAGTCGATGTATCCGCGGTCGTAGATGTTGGGGTGGTGTGGCGAGGAGATTATCGGGATATATGGTAGCGATGTAGATGTGAGGCGACTAAGGTTACTTCGGTACCAACTTTTTTAGAGCGAGCTATAAGAAAAGTCTCCTGACACGGTGGACTAGAAAAATAGTTACACGACCCTGATAATGGTACGTAGACTAGCGCAGCCCCATGTAAAAACCACAACTACATGAAGCACTATTTATATGTGCCTCCAAATTTTCGCTCCGAAAACTTCTTCACATATGCCCTACCCTGTCTCCCCCCCCCCCCCCCCCCACCGAATCTGTCCTCTCACAATCTTCCCCTAGCATGGGCGAGCACTGCTATGAATCCCGCGGCCACCCCCGATTCCCCACTAAGCAACGACAGACCTGGAGCTGAAGAAGAACCCGCCTCAGATTCAGAAACAAGCTCCAACTCCTGCCCCTCGGAATGCTACGAGCTCCAAGCCTTCCAGGAATGGGACGCGGGCGAACAAACCCACCGCGTCGCCTTGCTGATCTTCGAGCACGATCACAAAATGTCACAGCCCCATGATATGACGGGTCTGATATTGCAGCGCATCCGCGCATTCCGACACGTTCCCTCTCCGCTGAGGAAGGAGGTTGTGTTTGTCCATGGGCGTTTAGTTGCGGGGTGGAAAGGGTTGAAGAGGAGGGTGATAATGAAGAGGTTTCTGGAAGTGATGGGCGGTGGGAAGAGTAAGAAGATGTTGTAAAGGTTTGGATTGAATGTGGTATTCTGGAGAAAAAGAAGAGGTGGGACGGTCGACCTGCACGAGAGTGTAAGACTCTTGTAGTACTAAAGGGGCTAACGCAGCCCAAAGAAAAGAAAACAGAATAAAAGAAACATCATAGCATCTTGAAAACATCCAGCCCACACTTTCGCGAAGACGTCCAACACGCATCATGGACATGCGAAGACATCCGGCCATACCCGTCAGACCGCATATCCTCCCACTCACACGTACACAAATGTCCATCACCTTATTTTTCAATCAGTCTCCTCCCTCTCCTCGCGCTGATAATACCGCGGCCGGCCCCCCGAATTCGTCCGTGCCGCCCTCGGCCGCCTTTCCTCGTCGTCTTCCCGTACTATGCGCATGATTTCTCTCGTCTGGCCGTCGAATGTAACGATGATATGGTCTGGGATGCGCGGCATGTCGGGTTGTGATGAGGGCGATGAGGAGCGGGATCGTGATGACGAGGACATTGTGTTATGGTGTAGGTAGGTAGCAAGGCGATGTGATGTGATGTAGCCAAGAGAAGTGTAGCTTGTACGCGAGTGGATGTGTAGTTGTACGTTGTTGTGTGATTGCGATCGACAATGCAGTGTAGTTGTAGAGATGTGTATGTGTTTATCCCCAACAAGCAGGAGATTTTGTGCGTTTATGTTTACTCGCGTCGTAAGCAAGATATTTCTTGGATGGATGCGGGCTGGTTGTCGGGCCAGAACTGCAGGTATAGTTAGGGATCAAGGATCACACTACCGACACCGAGTGACATGTTCTCCACATACCTTGAATTAGCACACCAACCGTCGATATCAATACCAATAAATGCACCCCTGAGTCCTCCTGTCAATTATTTTAACTTCTTCAAATGTATTGTTTGGCCATCTTCTGAACCACGCAGGACCCCCTTTCAATATATCTGCACGAGATCCATGTGGCTGTGCGACACAAGGGATGCGCGTCAGCGTCGAGTCGTCATCAGACGGGACGGCTTAGGCAGCCGGCGAGACACCTCACGCACGCTCGAGCGGGATTTAGATCTGCCGCACAGTCCGTTGGAACGAACTTGCGCATCATTCAAGACATCTGGTGCGGTGCTGCTATTTTCAGACGAGCATTACGAGTGAGGCGAATCCGTTAGTTCAATTGCCACGCAACTCATCGACTGAGCCACAAGCTGGATTCCAACGTTGCGAAAGTCCGATGCGAGTGTGCGCCACAAGTGCATCTGAAATCAAGCTCTCGCGTGCCTTGCGCCTTGCTTCAATGGCATGGGCAGGTTTGTGGGGATGGCCGCGTTGACACTCTGCTCGGGTCGGTGCCGCGGCCAAATAAGGAAATACTTGGGCGCATCTCCGAGAGAACCGGTATGGCGCGGGCTCGTGTTTCAGGTGAGCGTGACGACGCTGTGGCTTGCTTGTGATCCTTTGAATCCTGCTCAACGAGGGATTTGAAAAATCTTGTTGGATCTGTAGCGGACGAGACACCGAGTTGCAACTGTGCAGGAGTAATACGAGACGTTGCAAGCTCGTTCACGAGTTGGTGGCTTCCAAGGGCCGAAGTAGCGGCGAACGTTACGGGCCGGACATGGCTCCGGCTGCAACGACGTCGACTCAACTTAACTTCACGAACAACTCCATAGCACATGTGTAAGAGGCCAAAGTGTTTTCATGCTAGAGATGCTACTGTACAATATGATCGCTCTGTGGCGACCCTCATATCCCAGAACGCCAACGCTTTGCAAAACATGCGAGATCCAGCCTCGTCGAAACACCATCTTCATCGCTTTCATCGCCGTCTACTCGACCTTCGTCTCTCCGCTCTTCAACCCCGTAACCAACTGCTTGCCCATCTGACGGTTGATTTCCTTGGCGTAGTCGGCCATGCGCATCTTGTTTTGCTGCTCCTCGCTTTTGCCCTCGTACTGCTTGTCGGAGTACGGCGGCGGCGCGTCTGTGTACTGCGTGTACTCAGCGGCCAGCGTTATCGATGCCTCTGATTGCGCAGAGTCATTGCGAAGTGTTGGTGCGTGCTGGCCTTGATATGAGGATTTGGTCGTCGAGGCTTTCGACGAGCTGGAAGGGTTGCGAGAAGCGCATTCGCGCTCTGAGATGGTGACGGAGGGGTAGCTGTCCATTCTGGTTTGACTGGTTCTTCTTTTGGAAGAGGTTCGATAAAGTGAAGTATTTGGCTGTTTGGCTTCGAAGACGAGATGGTATGTATGTTAGTGTATGAATGCTGACAGAGATTTCTCGAAGCTTATGTCTTGTATGGATATAGCGGGCTTCGTATCCTAGCCAATGACCGACCCGGCTTCCACCAAACATGCAAGATTTTGATCACACGCCTGTTTTTCCCCCCAGGACATGGCAATCTTGTTTCTGCGTCAGCCTGCGCGTCACTGCCCAGGCGTTCTTTGTCCGCTTGTTGTCCGCATCAGGCAATGATAGTTGCCCAATCAACGATCGTTGCCGTATCCCGGCCCAGACGTGACGCTGCACAGTCCGCATGCAATTGATCCGCAGGCCGTATGGCAAGTTGAAATCCAACACGAGCGTTTAAGGGTTCAGATCGTTTGCGGGGCGGAAGGGAGGAGAATGGTACGACTGAGGTATGATGTCATGCATCATGGTTTGTACAAGTGACGCTGATTGTTGGGAAACAGAAGTGGATGGCATTGCGACGAGGGGTATCATGATGAAGTAATATCCAAAATGATGCGAGGCTTGACAAGGATAGCTGGGGGAGGTCCGCGAGTGTGACGGGAGACAGTCATACACACACACACCCGTTTGTGCATGCGCAAAGCACACGGGTCACCCCTACCCCAGACTGCTTCCACTTTGCTTCGGCGTTCACACCCGGACTACTTCCACTTCATCCGGCATTCATACCCGAAGTCCTAGTTGCTTCTTATCGTTGAGCACCTGCGGTCCACCAGGAGGAGCGAATGCAGGGTCCAAGGGCTGAGATTGTGGACACAAGCCGCGAATGGCGGCCACTTGACGAAGGACAAGTCACTAGACACTCCCTCATCATTGCGTCGAGACCGTCATGATCCGTCTCCTTTCATGTTCCAACCAATCTCTTAACCTTGCTCCTCAATTTCTCCACGCCCTTCAAACTCTTCCTGTTCTCTTTTTCACGCTCTAGCTCAATCTCAGTCGGCGCGTTGAAATTCCCACTTAACCGGGATCCATAATCCGCGCTTGAAAATCGCCTGGGCCGCTCGTCATAATCGTACGACGGCCGCAAGTGAGCCTGATCAGCGTGAGAAGGAGGTTGATGCGAGTCTGCGCGCTTTCGCGTAGTGCGGTTCTCTGGGATGTCGCTCATTGATGCTGCTGGTTGTGAGGATGTGACGTGCGAATGAGGCATTTATGAACACATACATTGCTCATGTTTGTTCCATTGGTCTTGTTGTTTGCGCTCTTCTGGTTTAGAACCGCCTGGCGGGACGTAGCCTGCGCTCTGATAGAACTGCAAATTCATGTCTTTCGCAGGTATGCTTGCGTAGGTACGAAAAAAGGGTAACGAGTGACTATAAAGTAATCAAATTTAACCTCACACCTATTGCTCCTTCATGGCGCAGGTGTAAGTCATTTCCATGAACGTCATCGACATTGTTCCCAATCAGGTGCAGTTCGGAGAGGATCCTCGGGTCTCGGAAAGCTAAGCCCCACCACAATCATAAACGGGACGCCTTGGCTTACACCGCGTTCCTGTGTGATCCATCATGAGTGGTAGACATAGCGTAAACTTCAACGCAGGGTCTGGTTAGCGTGCATGGCCGAGGGGATCAGCGCATGGCTGTGAACTTGAGATCTTCGATTCTTTGTACAAGTTGTAAGACCTACTTTAGGCGACCATATCTCACATAGGTCAGATGATATGTTGCATGCAGGCCTGAAAACACGCCGGTGAGCCTTTTACAGTTCTAATGTGCCGATCCTGCTACCAACGCCGCCGCTGACTCCCCATGGACCTTCTCCAACTCTCCGTCGTACCATTGCCAGCACGTCTTGTCGTCCGCCGTCTTCTTCAAGCTTCCGGCCTAGCGCCTTCAGCACGTCGAACTTGGCCATCGCAACTTGGTATGCGGCATTCTCTGCATCGCCTAAGCCACCCACCAAGTTTGAAAAGGTTGTCGCTGGCTTCAATAATGAAGGCAAAACTCCGCCGCTAATGCTGGGGTCGAGTATTACATCGGTGCCTGACTTTGGAAAGCTGCTGAGGCGAGCGAAAGTTGTATCGCTCGCAAGATCGAGACCTGGGACTGGCTCCGTGGACCACGACGACGTGATCAAGGCGCGGACAAGTGCGAGCGCTGCCAGGGCGTTCTCCTTCATGGCAATAGTTTCAATGTGCGATACGATGTCTGAGAACATGTTGGGTTTCTTCGAGTAGAAGAGCGCGGTGAGAAGGCGGGCATAGCTTGATTCGCTCTGTCGGCGCTTTGGATCTGACCCGATGGATTCTACTTTGGGGAAGGTGAGTTCTTCTTTCTGTGGGCCATGAAAGACGGTAGCCAGAGTCTTCAGCGCATCCGGATTTGTGCGCGTGATTGGCATGTCTAGGATTACACACTCGTCCCAGACTAGACCTGTGCCGCGACGAGGGATCAAGGTGGAGCGAGGCATCGAGGCGATGATGTCCAAAGTGCTTGCTTCACACTTGCGGATGTTGCGATGAACATAGTTTCGTATTATCGGCATATCGTCACTGTTCTCGAAATTCTCAGGGTAGGTCGAGGCATAGTCACTGATATACTTTGCCGTTCGACTGCTCAGAAAGGAGTGTTCGATGCCAGGGGTGTCGGAAGTGTGGAAGTCGACGATGCCTTTATGGATGCCCTCGTTTTTGACAAAGTCTAACGACAGGCTTGAGTCGTAGTGTCTACCATATGTCAGTACACGGAAGTATGTTTTGCTGAATGAAGTACGTACGTGAGGTGTGGCGCAGTGTTGACAGTGGTGATGAGTACACTGAAGAAATGGATGAGAGTCATATGCATCAGCATGTCGTCTTCAGTCTCGACCATCTTCAGCGCAGCATAATGGAGCAATCCTTGGCCGTCTCTCAAGCCCACTTCGCGCTCGATCTCGACGACATGCGATGACACCAAAGTATGCCAATCTAGCTCACCTACCCGTGGTAGCCATGACAGCAATCTAGCTTGAGCAATGGTCTTATCGCGTTTACTCAGAAGAGGTTGTGGATGTGTCTTCAGCTGCTTCAACGAGGTGTAGTGGTAGTATAACGAGGCAATGTCTTTGTCGCTGAACAACCGCCGCCACATTGGTCCTGTACCGTATATGTGTGATGGGTCTTGGGATGAGGTCAACGCAGGCTCGTTTTTCGAAACTCCAAGCAGAGAGATGAGAAGCTCCTCTGCCTGTGTGGCGACGCCTGCATCCGGGGTACATAGCCATAACCGCACGATAGACAGCATAACGGTAGGTCGATTCGCCAACTCTTGGGCATCGACACTGTTGGCAGTGGCTTTACCAAGCAATGTGAGGAGGAGTCCATGGAATGGAGTCGCTTGTAGATCGAGCCCGATCTCGAATTCGACATCCTTGATGTCCTCAAAGCGGTATGGTTGAGCAAGCTTGATGATGAAATGGGTCAACGGCGATGGATCCTGCTGGAGCTGAGGGAGGAGTGAAGCAATTTGTAGAAAGAGAGGCCGTGTCTCCTTCCATATTTCATTCCGATATTCTGGTGTGCTTGTGAAGAGTTCGGCCTTTTCGAGCAGCTCTGTATCGAGTGGCGTAGTGGGCTCGTCTGAGACTTTCTGTAAATGGGTTGAGAGGTCGCCGAGGACTACCGGTGGCATCGCCATGTTGGGAAGTATGTATGTGAGCTGCAAGGGTTGGTATGCTATGACAAAATGTCGGGTAGCAAACAATATGTGGTGATGAGGGGTTGTAAGCCTTGTGGCGGATCGATTGCTAGAAGAAGGTTCCAGTCCAGCTCATGTGACCACGCGTCGACGAGCGACACTGATCAACTACTTGACGCGTCGAAAGGCAGTGATATGCACGGATATCGCGTGTATGTCAAAGTCGGACAGGGTTTAGCGGGGTGGTGAGGGTGAGGTTCGCTAGCGGTGCCCCACCCGTGCGGGCCGCGGGTCGAGCTGCGACCAAAGAATTTCTGACTCCACAACATCTTCGATTCTCCGACTCCACGATGCGAATTCAACGCTGATTGGAACCATCCGAACCGCTCTCGATTGCCAGAGAAAATGCCGCCAGCAGCAAGAGGAGGAAGAGGCGGTGGGCGCGGCGGACGTGGCGGCGCATTCAACCCGGCGCGTGGGACTGTGACGATCGCTGGCACAGAGCTGAACTGGGACTTGACTGGCCTCGACATCCAGAAGGGGCCAGCCGAGCGCTTTCCTGTAAGCCTTCCTTTGTCTTATCGCGACACGTCACGCCTGGACATGCAACACCAGCGCCCTCTACAGCTCCTGCTACAAGCACCGCTCTGCACAGCTTCATATCATGTTGTTCCAGTCGCAATGCTTCGCAAGCAGCCCAAGCCGCAGTCGGGCGCATCTCCCAATCACCCACTAAGACGGGAACAGGAAGCACCTCCTCCACAAGCACCCCCTCCGACCGACCACGAGAAGGGCATCACGGCGCATTATCTGGCCGTACGCGATCGCATACACGAGGGGCCTTTCTACACGATTCTGAACGATGGCATGAAGAACGGCCTCAAGAGGAAGGCCAACGAGATTGCGCCCACGGAAGCATCGCTGTTCAACCCCTTCACCGACAACCAGACGTTTTCCGCAAAATACCTAAAAGTACGGAGGCGGCTCCCGAAGCTGGATGCGCGGCCATATGGTGAGTCGAACTCGCGTTGCAGGAATGAAACATAGCTCAAATACATCAAGTCACCGACCTCTTCCCCGCCGAATTACAGCCCATCCTCGAAGGCACTCGCGGCGATGGCAATACCTCGAAGAAGCGCAGAACTCTCGGCGTCAGCAAAATCAACACTGTCTCGCAGATCGAGCGCATGATCAAAGCCGAGGTCGACCGCACGAAAGAAGCAGAAGCCAAAGCGGAAGAAGAGGATGAGGACGCCGAGGAAGAAGAGGAAGAAGCAGAGGAAGACAAGCCCGATGCAGTTGATGAGGATGATAACTACTCTGCGGTGTCGACAGATTCGGAGGAGTCGGATGACGATTACAACGCTGAGCAATACTTTGATAATGGTGAGGACGATGATATCGACGATGCGGATCCGTATGAAAACACATATGAATGAGTCGCTGCATGTGACGGCGTTTGGGATAGCATTGTACGTGCACGTTGCATGGCTGGCGCTAAGTTGAGTAGATACCCACTTTATTTTAATTCACCAACAACCATATCTCATCTCGAATTGGCTGCATTCTTTACGCAAGTCTCACATGTGCTTACCGCGAGAAGCTATCGGTATGAGTGTATTACACACAGGGGGCCGTATAGCGCTGTATTGTCATTTACGAATACAGTACCTAGCTCGATCATGACGTATTGGTCTCATCAATCACCAGTATAGTTGCGTTCTAGTCTTCGCCCTTAACGTCGACTTTCGAATCTCAGTCTCACAACCCTGCAGGACATCTCGAGAATGCAAAAGCGATGGAAAACAGGCCGTGGTGCCTTCTCTAAAAAACTTAGACGTAAATGAGGGCTTGGTGGGCTACAAAGAAATTACTTCGGTGCTCGTGAAAGAATTCGCAACGGCGCGTCACTTCTTAGTCTGCCTCGGTACCATACCATTACTACAGCAAGATCCGATTGGCTACAATGAAGACGTTGTCCATGTGAAGCATGCCATAAACTTCACCATCTTCCAGCTGCATCCTCTCCCACCATGGTTATCCAGACTGTCGGAATAGTCGGGACAGGCGTAATCGGTGCTTCATGGACCGGTCTCTTCCTCGCTCATGGCCTGCGCGTACTTGTGGCCGATCCAGCTCCCGGAGCAAAAGAGAAGCTTGAAAAGCATCTGAAGGCTATCTGGCCCACTTTGCAAAGTATAGGAACGAAGAAGAGGTACATATAGTCAGACCATGTCGCGAAACCATTCATGTCAGGCTGATACATGTATTCTTGTATAGCGCTTCACTAGCCAACTACACCTTCGTCGGCGCCAGTCTCGGCCAACACTACAAGAAGGTAGACTTTGTCCAAGAAGTCCGCATTCACCTTTCTCCTCCCCACACCATACATACTGATACAAAGACCCAGAACGCCCCAGAACGCCCCAGAACGCCAGAATTTAAAGCAGTCCCTTTTGGCCGAAATCGACTCCTCCGTTCGCTCAGACGTCGTCATCGCATCCTCATCCTCCGGCATACCCAGCTCCCGATTCATCAGCAAATGCAAAACTCCCGAACGAGTTCTGATCGGGCATCCATTCAACCCCCTCAACCAGTGGAAACGTACACGTAATTGGGAGAGAAGCCGACAGTCCTGATACACATATCAACATCGGCGATGTATCGATGTTCTGCGACCGTAGAGCCAAAACAAAGCCATAAGGCTGTTGCGTCTTATCAAAGGAGCGCAAGAACAAAGAGGACTTTTGCATCGCAACTAACGCATACTAAGAAACTGTATAAATTCAAGCTATTGGATGAGCTATGTACTGCTATAAACTGTTCACTCATAGTCGTCGTCTGCAACCTGAGCCTCCGAGTACTCATCGAGCTTGCTCAGACCAATCCGTCTTCCACAACCACAACCACAAACCCGGGCTATTATAATTGATCATGATTCCAAAAGGTGTAATAATACCATCCATCGGTATCAGATCCACTTTTGCGGGATGCCAGTACTGCACAGCAATTTGACCAGTGCTCCTCTCAACATCCAAGAATATTTTGTGAAGACCCGCCTCTGAGTGGAAGTTGTTGGATCGCAGTACAAGTCTTGCTTCGTCTGCCTCGACCATTTCAAACCGCACAAGGCTCTCAAAAGAACGGCCGTAAGGGAAATAACCCATGGGATCTGGTCCGCCCTCGTGTGGAAATCCATCTTGATGGGGACCGCCTATTGCGGCAAATGACCTGGATGGTGAATTCATTATGCCGTGACAGCCAGTCCATGTGCAATGTGTGAAGAACTCTGGGCTGGTCATGACGCCTAGATGGCACCTACTGAAAGCCTCTAAGCTGTTGTGCGTGAAAGGTCGGGGTACAGTCACCATAGACAAGAGTGGTATTGACAGGGCTGATGGAGGTTCGTGGAAACCGTCAGTGCTTTCCATGGCAGCAAAGCGAATTCGGAGGCGTGCGCAGATAATTCCAACCGCTCTGTTGGCGAGAGCATGGCGGATTGTGACGTGCTTATCTTGTTCAGCTGGGGAGAGCTGTGTATTGTGAGAGACATCGATCGGGAGCCATGACACCGACTCTAGCGAATCTTCGATGCAGTCTGGAGGTGCTGGAGTCGAGACATATCGTATAGTAAGAGTGAAAGCAGCAGCTTGTGCTCTACACCAATCCGCTTGAGTATTTGCATACACCCTCTCGCTAGACAGCGAGAGCAAGTTCATGTCCTGATACGCATCGACGGAACTGTTAAATACGGAGTTATAAAGTCGAATCAACGCCGATGCGTCTTTACTTAGAATTGCGGGGTGACGGGACGCAGCGACTTGCGGTAGCCACATTTCGAGGTCCTGGGTACTCCAATTGGAAAGAGTAGTGGCCTTCGCTGCAGCAACCGTGTATCGTTTCCAAATATCGCTCTTGCCTTCGATAGCAGTCTCAACGTGGTAGAAGTTCTTCTTAACGAGTACCTGCCACACAGTCCAATCATCGCAGATCTGGTAGACTAGGCGGTTGACAAGGACAAATTCTAGAGCTGCTGCGCATAGTAGCTCGCAACATATCTTGCGGAGAAGCTCCCTCGGGAGGCTGACTAAAGATGGCTTAGACATATCTAATGATGGTGCGGCAGATATCTGTTGTGGATGTTGAGGTAGGTGATCAGAAGGTGATTCGGACGTTATAGGCAGTTTTGGCGTTTGATCTTGAGCATGAAAATGCTTCGCATTTTGACTTATATGACGGGGACAAATAAGCTATGCGGCGCAGCTAAGCGCTGCGCCACTCGTGATTTATTTATATTCCTAAAGAACTGCATTTAGCGCGACGTCCGCAAGATAAGCGAAAGAGCTATAAGTGGAAACTGTATCACTCTTGCGATATGGGATACAGTAGAGTTAGTAGTCCGCTGTTAACTCTAGCAGACCGAGATCGTTGATCGTACTGTTTATTCACTAGCTTGAATGTTTCTTCCGTACGTGTCTCCGCAAATTATCCTTCCTCGAGAAAGCCTCCACACATCCCGGAACGGAACAATGAAATCCTGTCGTATCTTCCTGACTACTGTGCTTCGCACGAACGTGCCGTCGGAGGTCCGCCTCGAACCCGAACGCCTTCACCGCACACCCCACGATTGAACATTGGAAACGCTTCTTGTGAATTCGGAAAATGTGCCTACTTGTGGAATTGTCAACCATGATTTCAGAGTAGAGAGAGTGTATATGCCTACTTCAGTTCGTACACATGGAGGTATTCCTTTCCGCAAGTATCGCAAGCAAGTAGTGCAGGCGTGGGAGAGATCGGCGATGACGCACAGAGAGCTTCCGGAGAGGCGCTGTTGAACGAAGTGTTGGGGGTAACCGAAGTGGCTGGAGAGCTTGTTCGATCACACTCGGTCTTCGAGGTCGTTGAAGCGCAAGAGCCGGGGCTCTCAGCACTTCCAGATAATGAAACCACCTCGAATGATTGATGATCGTGTGGTTGGTATGACAGCAACCGTTGATGTTCATGGAAAGAAGGTGCATTTTGTGAAGGTGGATGTACGCGATTTAGGAGTTGGATATAAGGCTGATGAATAACAGGGTTTAGGTCGTACTCAAAGGCGAAAGGTGAGAAATATGTCTCGCCTTTTAAGGAGAACGGGTTTTGGGTATGGGGACTATAAGACTTCTCAGATCGGTCGTCGTGTAAGCAGTCTTCGTTCAGGATGTCCTAGGTTCTCTTTAGGGTGCGCCAGTCGTGTCGCTCAGGAAGCTTTCTTGGGCATGAATAAAAAAGCCGTGAATATGTCCAGAAAGCAAGTTGCTTAGCAAGAGAACAAAACAGAAGCGGGAAGGCCTACGGCTATATGCTGAGTATTGAAGAGGCATGCCACGAGGCTGAAATGATAGGCCTCAGGTGTCTACGTCAGGCCTACATGTTGTCAGCCAATTATGTATGATTGCCTCGCTGAAATGCATCCCCACGTTCGCCAAGAATGTGGCGCGCACGGCTGGGGGCGTGCTGGCTGGAGTGTACGGCTGAAGGCGTGTAATGCCTCTGATACCATTTATTCCTGTCTGACAGCCTTCTACACATGATATAATCGGTGACCCGCTAGGGCAGTTCAATATGATTTTTTTCATGTGGTGTGTATTGAGCCGCTACGCTGTGGGCTGCATGGAGCACTCACAAGCTGTATTGTTTACAGCTCTCCGTCTACCTTCTTCCTCAATGAGCCTTACCCACTCATCCGCAAGCTTCCGATCTCCCAGGATAGCTTCACTTATCTCCAGAAAGTATCCCTTGAAACTTTTCCACAATCGTACATCGTCTTCAGTATGACCATAGAAGTGCGGCCGCGGAAAATACGAGTCGTTCTGGTAGAACGCATGCACTGCTCGCCGAATACCTTCTTCGCTCTGCCCCATATCCCGCACGCAGTCGTAGTCCAGGATCCAGATAACAAGCTCCTGCTCCAGTCCTGCGATCATGAAAGTAGGCGTCGATGAATGCTTCGAGCTTGCTGGCGCGAAAACGAACTCGACATCGTTCGCATCGACATGTGCGCGCCAGTAGCAGTGTGCCAACGCTTCGGCCAATACCTGGACGACAGTGTTAGTGTCGAGGCCTAGCTCATGCATCTGGTCGATATGTAGTCCGTAATTCCGGAGGTTGAAGAAGGTCGGAGGTCGCCCTTGTCGTCGTCGCTTGCCGGTGTAGATGCGTATCAGGCAATCTTCGTTCTCTCGACTTGCTCTCGTGGTGACTTTGATGGCTTTGGGGCAGTACCGCTCGATGAGCATGTCGCGGATGGGCACTGGAACGGAGGGGATGCGCTCCTGGAAGTATGCTCGGCATGCTGTTCGATCACTCGGGAACTGCTTGAGGTGGGAAGTCCACCATTCGTCTTCTGCTTCGATGATTTCCATTGATTTGGGTATGCAAAAGCGCAGTTCCAGTCCCGAGGTTCCCTTGTCTCTTTCAGTTGCGGCCGCGATAACACGGCGGTGCATGAGCTGGTCGTTGGCTACTGAGCGGCCTCGATTGCCTCCATCTTCGCATTTGACCACCCAATCGACGTTATCGGGCGTCCATATGCTGCCACAGCAGCCTGCGCCGATGCAGCGGTACATTTTGGCTTTTATATCCATATTGTTGTTTGTGTCGACTGCGGCGCGAATACAGCTGGTTCATATACACCTCTTGCATTGTGCTATGGTACGCTCCATTGTCGTACCATGGTAGCTACTTTGCGTGACTCAACTTTGACTATTCTTACCAAACTTGTGAGACACGAGGAAGAGGTAGCAACCATCAAGACTATTGTGTGGGTTGCAATGTCGACGAAGTCACACCGCACCCGCCGCATCGTGGAACTTGTCCACCGCGCTATCAACATCACAGAAAATGAATCATTCGCTACTATACCTAAATTGCATCACCAACAGATCACACCGTCTACGACAGACTTCAGGATACATTTTTCGTTCCCTGAAATCGGCGCCTTTCCTCTACCAAGTCAAACGCACGGGTTCGCCCGGGTCTGGCAATAAAGCCGATGCGTTTCGTTCTGCGTGCGTGCACGTGTAAGATGGGAAAGTTCAGCCTGAAGTCCCTGAATCAAGAAGTGGTTTGGGGTCGGATTAGCGTATTCGCATCACAAGCGGTTTCGGATGCATGCCTGAGGCTACGATTGACACAGCCTTTCATCTCGGAGAATCTTGGCACTGTACGAACGATTGACAAGAAAGACGGGCTGCTCAACCCTTCGCTTGGCCTCTCGTCCATTGGCTGCACTAGACACGGCTCGTGGCGTCGACTACGGATGTTGGAGTGCCGAAGAACCTTAATGTCATGGTGTACACAACGGGAAGACGACGACCCGCAGAAGAGCTGAAGTCAGCAAGCAGTGTCCTGTGTAGCAGCAGGAACTGGTGCTTCCTTTTTGCTGGACTCGAATGCCGATGTTCCAGTGATAGCCCCACAGCCCGCCCAGATGCTGACGGGATGGGCTAAGAATAGAGACGGGTCCAACAGCCTTACGGCATTCAGATGTCGATACTAGGAAGGTGGATAATGCAATGCGCGACCGAACTGCGAAATCTTCTCGACGAACTGTTTGCGCATAAACAAACGTTGCGCAAAGACGCTGCAGAGGTTCGTCTGGTACTAAAGTCAGGGCCCAATGTCTCTGACATCATCCGAGGCGCCGCAGCCTGACGCGCGGAATCTCTGGGCGGTGATGGTGCATGGCTAATACATCCTAGATAGCCACGGCACGGGGGCCTTCCGTCAGCGACATAATTCCCCACCTCTGCCTGACAGTTTCCTCCCTTCAGCTTCCGTCGGACCCAAAATACAAGAAACATCGAAGATACGCCATCGCAACCGGCAAGATGATGACGAAAAAAACATCCTACACGAGCATAACGCCCATCCCGAGCTTCATCCCGCGCCAGCTCGCGATTGACATGCTGCAGAGCCATGGCGAGATTATCGAGCTGAACCCTCTGGTCACGGGCTACGAGGCAATCAAGGCCCCACGGAATGCGCCCGCCGACGAGTTCTATGCGACGTGGTACGAAATCACACAGAAGATCCAGTACATAAAGGGAATCGGGAAACTGGGCAGCGGCGCAATCAAGTTCAACGGATGCTTCCACGACATGCCCTGGGGCCTGCAAACACACACATACGCCCCCGCCGGCGTCGACCTGCGCAACAAATGGCAAATCTGCGGCAACCAGCCTGGCGAGCCCCCAGTGGCTCAGGAACTCGGACTCGGCGCGCCCCCCGAGGGCCTCTACCTGCGCGAGGACATTGAGATAAAATGCAACGTCACCATGATCTCCTTCGTCAAGAAGGAAACGCAAGCAGCCTCGAAAAAAATGGTCGAGCGCCTCATCAAGAAGGCAGAACTCCTCGACGCCGGCGTCCTGCAGGGCATGATGGAAAACGGCAAGCTCAAGACACACAACCCCGCCGACCGCCGCGAGAACAAATACAAAAGCCCCCAGGGCAGTCCGTCGCAGCCGTACCAAATGCCCATGAGCCCGACGCGATCACCGACATTTCCTCACCACGCACAACATGGACACAGTAACAGCCAGGGCCATGCGCATCACGGACACAGTAATAGCCAGGGCTACGTCCCGCCCCAGCATCTCCTCGGCGCGAACAATGTCGTTATGGAATTACCCGGCGATTACTACCACCCCCCAACATCCCCTGGCCTCCTGCACCCCGCCGACCGCACATCCACGCCCTCGTCAGACAGCACGTCGCCGAACCCGCAAGACGCCCGCTGGTCACAAGTCTCGCACTCATCTACATCGTCGCGGCCGAGCTCGTATGCGTCGGATGGCATGCGTAGTCCGGGGCTCGAGCAGAAGGCGTTTGCGAGCGAGTTGCCGACCATGGAAGAGACGAGAGAGGAGCACGATACGAGGAGGCAGGGGGAACAGAAGAGTGAGGTCAAGTATGCGTATAATCCGCAGGACTATGCGACGCAGTATGGTGGGCATGGGAAGGGGTTTGTGCATGGGCAGGGAGGGTATCAGCCGCATATGAGGGAGGGGTGGCAGCGGTGATGAGGAGTTTGCCTTGGACGACTTTATATTCACGAATTTCGTATTGTATGGCGAGGCGTTGGTTGTTTTGTTCGCGCATAAGCTTGTTCAGATATCCCCGGTCGCTTGAATTTTATCTAGAAGGGAAGTGGAGATGGAGGTATATAAGTAATCCTTATTCGATGTCATTGAAGTCGTAGCACTCATTATCATATCCTGCTGAGCATGTTTCCCCTACTCATCCACAACAACACCCACCCCTCCCCCGTCCTTCCTCACCCGAACCTCAACCCATCCCCCTTCATCCACCCGCACAATCTTCCCATCCACACAAACCCTCCTCCACTTACCTTCTTCCTCCGCAAACTCAATCTTCAATCCCTCAATCGCTTGATACCTCACCATCTCATCATGTACATGTTTCCCGCCCTGATACGCCAGCCCCATAATGCGCATCGCCTCGTCGCCACTCGTGGGGCCAAAGTACACAAGATGCATACTCCCATCGAGAGGCCTGGAGTCTGGCGATATGCAGAATGGGGCTTCGAGGTTGCTTACCAGTGTGGCGAGGGTGTAGAGGTGTTTGCCATCTGGCAGATTTTCCCAATCGCCAGAAGGAGTGAGGACGGAGACTTGGCCCTGGTAGGCATGTGGCAGCGATCCATCATCCGGATACAAAGCCTCCTTCGCGGCCATTTTAAATCTATCGATCCCGAACTTGCGGAATTCAGACGTGTCGCTGTCGGCGACGAGAGAGGCGTGCATGCCCCACGACACCACCACCGCACCGTGTAGAATATTCCCCTGAGGTAAGACTTCCTCCTTTCTCGCCTCGTCGACGAGAAGTCGAGATCCGGGCGAGAAGGTTGCGGTGAACGTTGGCAAAGGTTTACTCTTCCTGAACCCCAGACCTTTCAAACCCCAATCATTCTCCCGCCCGGCGTTGATGCTATGATACAGGGCATTCGCCGTACCCAGCGGGAGTAAGACGATTTCTGGCGCCGCCTCAGCAGTTACGCTTGACAGTCCGTTTACGAGGTCAACGACACCGCCGTCCCCTGACGCCAGGATAATGCGTTGCGCCTCGCCTTGCCGGGCGGCAGGGAGAAACATATCGCGGGCCAACTCCAAGATACTAGTCTCACTCGTCGTAGTGTGAAGCTCGCACGCCTTCACGCCGCCAGGATGAATCAAGTCGAGAATAGGAGAGACAACCTTCTGGAAGAAGGTTTCGGCCTTTCTGTGGCCTGAGCCCGTGGAGAGGATGATGTGAGTTTTTGGAACTTTGGTAGTTGAGGATGAGGTTGGTGCTGATGGTGGGGTCTTGCTGAGGTTGATAAGCTTTGGGGGATGAGCGGGATTTTCCTCGTCGTCTTGCAAGTGCGCGACGACTTCGAGTGAGCCATCCAAGGAGGGTATGGTGACGGTGAATTGCTTGGGTTTCTCGGTCGTCTTGCTGTCTTGGGCGTCGGTGTCGGCCATGTTCGCGGTAATTGGTATCTTTGTTAGATGACTAGTTGTGCCGAGATTGAAGCGTATTCGATTTATTGAGGGATCCACGTGGTTTAATGGAGGTGTGGGGTGCAAGGGGCTTTCATTGCGGATTTATCTAGTCTATCCATAGTTATGGTCACAGACATGCACAGAGCGGGTCCCGCAGTACAATTGGCGCTAGGCTGGATACGTCATCCCATCTGACAGCTCAAGACAGTTGGGACGAGCAGAGACATGTCAGCGCAACTGGAAGTTTTCGATGCGTTTTCCATCTTGACCGCGGAAGATTTTCCTGATAGTAAATTTTGGTAGTGAACACACAGCGGCTATATTCAGCCACAGTCTATAATCAGTCTATTCTCGCTCGTGTTACGTCATCCGTGCGCTCCGTCCGCACTGGGCTGCCGCTCTTTAACGTCAGCTCAGCCACGCGAGGTCAGCTCCGACACGATTATCGTCTTCGCAGCACAGACACACGCTGCAAGACCGCCTACAACCTCCGACGAAGACATTCCGTCTTCAACCCTTCAACGCAACCCCATTGCCGCGGTCCACTGCTGGTCCACCCCAGCCGCGCAATCGCGCCAACATCCGCAGCCTCAGGCACCCGCATGCGCCCGTAACACTATTCCAACCTCCCACCGCCCACAATGAACGGCTGGCTAGTCTTCATCATAATCCTGCTCCTCATCTTCTCCGGCTCCTACTTCGGCTGGTACTTCTACGCGCGATGGAACGCCTCGCGCAACGGCCTGCCCCCACCGTCCATGAACCCCATCACCGCCTTTAAAAACCGCTCCTCAGGCGCCGCCGCATCCAACTACCCCGGCCCCGCGCCCACCGGCATCAAAGGCTTCATTGACACGCAAATCCGTAAATTCAAAAACAGAAACAACCGCACCGCCGCCGGCGCCTACGAGGAGCCTGGCTACAACGCCTCCCGCGGCCGCGGCGCCGGCAGCAGACTCGACCCGGACGAGGCGTGGAGTGCGCGTGTCGGCGACGAGGCGTACTACGAAGAGCAGGAACTCGGGCTTCACGAACCCAGCTCCACAAGCGCGAATCCCTATGCAAACACTGCCTACGCGGCGCCGTACCCGGGCATCGAGGAGCCGGCGCGCGGACGCAGTCGCCAGCGTGACTCGTACGACGAACATCTGGACGGCAGGAGCGCGCATTCGAATCCGTTCGGGGATGACAATGCGGCGAGTTTGAGGGGCGTTAGCCCGAGGCCGTTGGGCAATGAGGATACGAGTTACCATGGGGGTGCGACGGCGCAGATGCCCGCGGGCCCGAGCCATAAGAAGAGTGGGAGTCAGGCGCCGAGCCCGACGGAGAGCAGGAGGAGTATCTTCAAGGAGGACATACGGTGAGGATGAGGAATGTGTGAAGGTCTGTCTAGGTGCTGTGCGACAATGGTAGTATTTGTTCGATACCAAAATGGCGAAGGGGCGTCTTGGTTTTTTTTCTCAGAGATATATATGCTATGATGTCTTTGCTGTTCTGCTGCCTGAATCGAGTATTTCATCTCACGCTTTACCTGCATCGATCCTTCTCCGATGGCTCAAGTCGTCTGCGGATGCTTTTACGAAGTGATGTCAACTAGTGTTGGCTCTTCGAATCATACAAAGAACCCTTGCATATATTCGCCTATCGTGCAAGGCTGTCCTCTATAGCATGCGCCAAGCCGCCTCCTCTAGTCTGTATCCTCCATCGACCTGCGTCAAGCCTAGATCTCCTCGAGTATGGTGTATTTTACACTGCCTCTTGAAATTCTGAACAGGCTGAGTGGAACTCATGCAACAAGACTACCACGACAGTCTATGTGTAACGAAGACTGTGAAATAAGGCTGCCAATGACTATGAGAAGCGGGACTGCTACGTCTTATTCATATGATGTAGAGACTAGTTTCGTCTCACGCATACGCCCAGTCAGCTACATCTCTTGATAGACAAGGTCTCGGCAAGGCGTCGTTGGAGGGTAGTAGTTAAAGACGGAGATGGCTCAGCCGTCAATGAAGAATGCTTATTCGTGAAACTTCATGGCCGTGCCGCAGATTTGTTTGTGTTTCCAGTGTCGACCAAAGCTCAAACAGGTGGGATCTGATCACGCTCCTGTGAATCAGCCCTGTCCTTCCTTCTGATTCACTGCGTGCATACACCTTCTCTAGCTGCGGGATGCAGGGTCGCGGCACGTGCTCGAAGTGAATGCGTCTCAACCTCCACACCAGCCTCCAACATTCGCTGCTTGTCCTCCGACACTCCAACAACTATTACCACGCACAACAAACCCACATATCCAATAAGCCAAAAGTCGTACAACAATGTCTGGAGCCGCTCCCCAAGGTCCCTACGGACCCAACAACCCCCCGCCGCCGCCAATGGGACCTCCGCCAGGCAAAAGCGGACGCGCGCGGGGTCGTGGTGATAGAGGCGAGCCTCCGCATCCGCAAGACTCACAAACGTCCAGCGGCCCCGGCCGGGCATTTCTGAATAGGAAGCTCAACAGCAGACAGCGCAGGAAGTTCTTTGAAGCACAAGAGAAATCAGGCGAGGGCCGAGGCCGTGGACGAAGCCGATCCCCGATACCCAGACGAGACCAGGAAAGCCAAGCTAGTTATCGCGAGAGGTCTCCCATAAGGTCTGAGAGCGACAGAGGGCAGTTCGTCAGTAGATCGCCGCCTGGCAGCGGGCGTCGAAAGAGTCGTCTGCGAGACGCTCGCCAGTATACGCCTGATCAGATTGTCGACGAGACGTATGGGAGATTGTCTCCGCCAGGCAATCAGAGCCGGTATACGAGCGATCAGACTGACCGCCAGCGGACGAACCGTATCTGGCCGCACGAAGAGCAAAATTTCTCGGGCCGTCATTCAGGTAAGCAGTTTGGACGATCATGTCGGGACGCTCTTGAGAGCTGGGATCAAAGAGAACCGACTTCTATAGACGAGGAGTCAAGCGCACAAGCTGATGATATACATTCGCAGACACGTACGAGCCAGCAGGTACAATGCCTCAACCTCAAGCTTCGGCACCTGCTTGGAGTGGAGACGTGAACAAGTTTGGTACTGCGCTAGCTTCAGGCCAATACAAGGCAGCATACCGTATTGAAGATGAAGTCGACTGGGACGACGACGAAGCTTTCGACGTGCCAGGTCCTGATCCGGCATTGAAAGCGTCCAACGCCCATGGTTACGAAGCCCAGCAGACAACGTATGGAAGTGCATCACGCAACCATAACGCACGAGGTCCTGAGCCCCCGGCAGCTTTCGGGCGGGAACAGCACGATCCGAGGAATGCAAGGTGGGAAGAAAACCATGGATGGTCGCAGCCGAAGCAGAATTGGCCTATGAACAATGAGGAACAAATTCCGAGAGCAGTATTCAAACAGCGCAAGAAGGGCAAACAGGGCATGGGAGCTCCTCAACGCCAGTATATCCCGGACCACAATGCCGTCCAAGACAACATCTCCCAGCGATCGTTCGCGGAAGGTATTGCTATTCACTCCACGGTTCCAGTGTCGGTGGCCATACATGTTCCGGAAACTGCATTCGACCTGCGCAAGTATGAGGCGGATATCACTAAGCTACACAAGAGCCTTCCCAAAAATCGGGCCTATCGATTCTTCAACGGAAAGACGGCGCCGTACCAGTATGGATCGACGTCGGTCCACGACCTGGGACTATGCTATGTGACATTCTGCACAGATGGTTGGTGCGAGATGGGTGCAAAGTGTGCTTGGCGCCATCATCCTTTGACCAAAGCTGAACGCGAGTGGATAGCGCTGAAAGGAACGGAAAAGTCCAGGGCATTCTTGGAGGCTTTGCCGCGGCACTGGGCCAGCCCTGAGGTGCCGCTTCCGGGTGCGAACATGGAAGAGAAGAGGTTTCAATGAAGGAAGGTGGCGTAGACATGCCACGGCATGGTATTGAGATGAGAGCCTCCTTCTAGTCGAGGTAGACCTGGAGGCCACAACGCGTGGTGTCGGAGGAAGCGTATTAGTATTTGGTGCCCCAGCTCATACTTCAAAGGACACCACCTCTTGTATAAAACCAGCCTCTGATATCATCTTCTCCTTTCAAACAGATCATCATCATCTTCCCCAGTGTATCTATATCTTCTGGCATCGCATCCCTCAAAACTCCAGAGAAATCCAGCTCTTTTACAATGAAATGTCTCTGGTTGTTCCAAGTAACAGCATAGTCAAACGCGCTCTTCGCACTCCACAGCTGCGCAGAGATGGTCATTTTATATCCTAATGCGCGATCCTCGTTGCATGACTTGAGCTGGCCGCGCATGAGTTGACACATGGTGACGAAATGAAAAAGAGCGAGCACTGTGCGCCGTAGTGATTCACGGAATATGTAGGCAGCCCACGAAGCGCGTGCGACGGCACTCGGATAAAGTGATATCGAGCCGGTAGGGTCTTCTTGATAATCAGTAAGACTATGAAGCGCATAGGCGACCTCGTTCATGCATGACAGTAATGATTCAGCTTGGCTGTACAGGCTGATGTCCCCACCGAATACAAGCATACTTTGATACAGCATGAGGGCGTGCGCTCTTGCTAGCAGATCGACGGGTTGTTCTGGAATTGGGGAGCTGATGATCGCTTCTACATGCCTCTTGATGAAGTTGGCGATGAAGTCGTTGTTTATAGTGTTCTTGGCGATGTACAAGGCGCAAGCTGCATAGGCATCCTGAAGGACTTGAGGCATATGCTCCTGGTATAACATGGCATGCTGCCAAGGAGTGCCATTTTGTTCGACCATGGCTCTCGGGGCAAGTTTTAGTTGCTCGATCGGCCATTCGACGCGTGATTTTGCGAAGGGAGAAAGACACGAGACTGAAAAAGTATGCGGTTGATGATGAACAACTCGATTGAGAGCCAGGGACTGATCGTTGGGCGAAGTATATAGCATGTCTGATAATGACTCCAGAGATGCAACGGCGGTACCAAAGTCGAATTCAGCAATGTTAGTGTCGGTTGGTAAGCCGAAATCATCGGGTGCAGAGGCATGCTCAACATCTGCATCGATTGGAACAGACGGGACACCGTACTCGTTTCTGCCATATGCAGACTCATCCGAGATTGACGTAGATTGCACTATTTGTCCACGTGGCTGTGGATAGCTGCATGTTAGGCGCTGTTTCACACATCGCCTGCAGCTGGGATTGCCAAGGTCGCATTTGCGCTTTCCTTTGGCGCATTCGGAGCAAGACTTCTGTCTGCCCTGGGAGTTTGCCATTCGGTCCCGAGTGGGTGGCATCGTGTCCGCTTATTGCATCGTTCCAGTCGCCGTGAGATGGCTGATTGAGCGCAGTTTGAAGTCTACCCAGGTAGGAATCCCACGCGTCGTCCGTGGTGATCTCGCAGCCTCGATAGCCTCGCCAGTTTTCCACAAATTTGAGTCACGTATATAGTAATACGTATAGCTTCAAAGTGTTGTTTTGGTGGAGACCTGATGCCCCTGGCGAGAGTGAAGTGCAGTAGTGAAGCTTGACGTTGCAAGCCTCTGGGCGCTCACGAAGTTGGGGCTTGGCGCTGCGCTCCTGCATCTTCCGCACGAACTCCCTTTCCCATCATCATCAACATTAACATCATCGCGTTCGCGTTCTGGGGCTTTGCATCCTACCTCGATAAATCCGAGAGTCTCTTCAGCATGCTTGGAACAATCATGTCGTCCTAATCCCTTCGTGGCGGACCTGATATCTCTCCACCGCACAAAATGCGGAACTCCGCAAGAGGTAGCATCAGGCGTAAGCAGCATGGCTAGACGTGTTACATCAGAGCCAAAAACGGGCAATGAGCTTTGGTGAATGCACACCGATGCCTTTGTCGAGTCCGATATACGCATGTAGAGTATATACGAAGCGACACAGGAAACGTATAAGAGCGATTGTATGTTAAGGGAAGCCCACCGAGTAGATGCTTATCACTCCGCGACAGATTTTTAACCAGTCTACAATTATCTTTTACCTTAATCGAAAACCATTTATCTACAAGTCATGACTGACAAGATCATCCTCGTAACGCGGGCGACCGGTTCCCAAGGCAGAGGTACGTAGATCGCCCTCGGAAACGACACTCCCCCTGTAGCTTGGAGCTATACACAGTATCACCAGGTTTCAATTGCGTCTGCAAGGCTGAGTTTGTCGCTTCAGGCTATAAGATGAGCTGTCACATGCTGCGTCCCATCCGCCTTCTTAGACGTCCACTGACATTGCAACTCTTAGCTGCTATCGCTCATCTTGTGCGCTCTGGATGGAACATACGTGCTCTTGTGATCGATCCATCCAGTGATCGCGCTATCGTTCTCAAATCATTAGGGCCGCAGGTCGATTTGGTCCAGGGCACATGGAAAGACCCTTCAAGCATTGAGGCTGTCATGCGAGGCTGTCAAGCCCTGGTATTCATCCAACGCCCATCCTTTACTGATGACGCAGAGTTTCAAGAGGGTCACGTTATTCTGAACCTTGCTAAGGTCGCCGGAGTCCAACATGTTGTTTTCTCCAGCTCACTCGTGCTCAACAACCCGAATGCACAGGAGGACATTGGACACTTGTCCGCTGCGCCCGCCGCGTTGAACAAAGCGCCCGTAGAAGACCTCGTAAAAGCTTCTGGCATGAAATGGACGCTGCTGCGCCCTGGATACTTTATGACCAACCTGCTACCTCCGGTTGTCGACTACATTTTCCCGGAGATCAAAGCAGGCCAGATGAGCAACAGTTACGGTCCGGACTGCATCTTGACGCTCGTTGATCCAGATGATATTGGAGCTTTCGCTGCCGCAGCGTTCAACGATCCCGGAAAGTTCGACGGGAGAACGATTACCATTGTTGGAGAGAATGTTCGATTCGACGACATTGTGAAGGCATTCTCCAAAGCCACTGGCCGCGATATAGAGGCCATCTACCGAACAGAAGAATAGACAAAGAAGGAGATAGCAAACCCCTTGGTTTCAGGGAATGTTATGCGCATTGGATTGTAACGTTTGGTGGACATGGATGAGGTGCTAGGATGGGACGTACCGCTCACCACCTTCGAAGAATTCTTGAACAAGCACAGGCATGAGTTCAGTAAAGTGACATCTTCCGAGAGCAACTCATAAGTCGGAGTGTTCGCTGGTATGTACACGACAAGCACCAAATAGGCACTGAGCGACCGCCAGGCACTAGCATCATTCGTGGGCTTCTCTACAGTCGGGCGGTTCAATACCTCACATATTCCAACATTATGTATGACTTCAGTTAGAGTTTCATCATCAAGAAATTTACTATTGGGTCTTGAAGGCCATTTAGCCTGCTGTGACAGTCAAACGAACGCATACAGTGGACAGTGAACGCGGATTGTGGTAAGAAGTGCGACGTATATATTTCTCGATCGCTTTTTATTCTCCGAAGCTAATTGATCTCACGTTGCCTGACTTCGATAACATGTATTACTTTTTCTGAGACTCAATGGCGCAACTGGGGCATGATTGCATATCACCCGTGGTATTGAACCTATATGGAGGCGAGACCTTCTTGGAGTATCCTGTTCCGGAACATCGCTTCGCAATTCTTGATTACCATTTCCTCGGCCCTGGTGCCATACCGCATCTTCTCAAGTGTCCAAGTCGGTCCGGCGGGCATTCTGCCACCGACGGTAACGATACACCGCGGTAGCTGCAACGAAGATGGCGCCCAGCTTGAGAATCTGCGCAAAATCTGTGGCAAGCTCCTTGGCGATGCTCATCGTCGGTACTTCAGGCTTCACAAGAGCTACCTCGCTGTCGGGGTCTGTCTCGCTCCCAGCTTCTTCGCCCTCAGTCGATCCACTGCCCTTCCACCAGGTCCATACAGCGGTGCCGGCCCAAGCTAAAGCGGCTGAAAGTGTAGGAAGGGCGCCAAAAATGAAGATGCCATAACCGCCCATCATAGCGCTCTGGCATATCGCGAATACAGAGCCCGCAGCCACACTGCCGATGCCGGACTGAATCCCTGCTGCCGTGCTTGCTAAATTCATGTCAGTAAGACTCGCGATACCAGGCATTGGTGCCAGTCTTACCTGCAGCAATTCCAGCCGTCGTGAATCCCATGGCTCCGAGTATAGCTGGCGTACTGGCAAGGACCGCAATGAAGACGATGATCGCTGCCGTCTCTGCAGGGTGAGCTTTCATCCATGTCCCTACTTCCTTTGCGACCTCAATTACTCCGAGTTTCCGTAATTGGCTCACCGCATTCGCAACGGCATCGTGAGCTCGAGAAGCTAACAACTGCACCTTGTTGAGGACGGCCTGGAAGGCGACTTGGAATGGGTTTCTTAGATGCGCAAGTTGATTGATAGCACTTGACCGGGGAACTTCGTCTCGGGGATCCGGTAGGGTACAGCTGTCACCATCGATAGAGCTTGCATCGCTGGGAGCAGAGCTGTGCTCACTTGTTTCGGATTCGGCGGCATCAAATCCTTCGGGACGCTCTGCCTCAGACGATGAGAACAAATTGCCCATCTTGAATAGCGACCGCGGAGACTTCTGGATGGTCGATTTGCGCGTGGTGTTAGCGACTCGAACCTTCTGTTTCGGTGGCGCAGCCGCGGAGGTGGTGAAGATTAGCGACTGATCACTGTGAACGCTAGCCTGACTAAGCCACCCCAACACACCTCTAAGAGGTTACTTTGCGTTTTGTGTTACTCACTCATAAATGGAGTCTTCTACCGGACGGTAGGAGCTGAACATGTCGCAATGTCCATTGATGCGATCATCCTTATCAGCACGTTTTGTGGACTCCAGGACTTGAGTTTGCACCTCAATAGTCATGAACAATGACATTGCTTCGCATTCACCTCCCATTGTTATCACTGTGGGTCCATTGTTTCTTTGTCTCAATTCTTTCATTCACCCGGTATTGTTCTTCAGCAACTTGATGAAGGTACATCTCAAACAAGACCCCAGCCCGTAGACATGACCCAATATTCCACCTCTATCATTCGAAACAACCGCACGCATAATCGCTATAGTGACATTTTACAATGGCGCCAACACTTCGCAACCTCCCTTCAAGACAGAATCGGGGCGGGTCTTTGCGCCAGCAAGCCAAAAACAACGCCATCTCACACATCAGTCAAGGCTGGCCTCAGAAGGCGATCGGACGGCAAACACGAGGCCTAAGTCGCCCAAGGCTAGAGTGTTATCGCCGCGAGATGGTCAAGGCATATCTCCATTGCCCACGCATCCTCAATTGGATCAACACTCATCAAACATTGCGGTACCGATGCGCATATCATCACGACCGCCGTCATGTCCCAGCGCGCAGATGCCCAAGTTGTACGTTCAAAAAGCTTGCTGATGTGTATTGGGACAAAGAAAGCACCCAAGCAGACATCGACAACAAAGTCAACGAGCTCGATGAGGCTGCGTTTTGGGATAGGCTTCCATTTCCCTGGTGGTCAGGCACACACACTATGGAGGATCCCTCGCAATATGCTGAACATCTTGTCAACGCTTTCGTTGGTTCGAATGTCGCAGGTCCGAACTTGCAAGCATGGACGGATGAGGCGGATGCAATCTTCTTCTTGGACCTCGCCTATACAGATACCTGTGCAACAGATGGCTGCGGTCGTGTTACAACTCCAGCCATTGGTGCGAACTCCCTGTTCCAGATCTCCCTTCCGGAGACTGGCACTATTGACTTGGATCAGGCCATTAATGACACCATGAGCGACACTACTGAAAAGAACTGCGACAATTGCTCTCCAGCAGCAAGCGTCATGCATAATCGGGTTGCGCAAATTGAAGCTGCACCCCAAGTGCTCACCATGCAGCTAAGACTGCATCAAAACGTCCTTACAAAAAAGAAGGATAAGAAAGGAAAACCCATTGCTAGACTCTTCAAGGTCGACACTGTTGTCAATCTTCGGAAAACCCTCGACTTGACTCGCCATCAGACCAACAAGAGTGTGCCGCTCAAATATCGACTCCAGGCGGTGACAAGTCATTCTGGGACCACCCTAAACGCCGGACATTATATGGGTCAAGTGCGGACATCAAACCGCACCTACAAAACGAATGACCGTCGAGTGACGCAGACAGCGCCGTCTATCTTGACCGAGTGGCCGCAACAATGGCCCGGTAGAACCATGGATGATGTCAGGCGCAAGATCCCCGCGACAAGAAAGAGATCGGAGGAGTTTACTCCATATGTGTTAACATGGGTTATGACTTCGGGAAACTGAGTTTACTTAGGTGTCCTCTGATCTGATTTTGCAACACCTCCGTGAATCTACAATACGTTTTTTGATAGAACTATCATTAATGATGGTACCGCGAAGGACTTCCGGATAATAAAACATGCTCTGTATTTTCAAGCTACTTCAAGGCAGATCGCTGTACGCCTGCTGTATGTCCACTGTACAACCTTCCAGTGTTTATGTTTCCGTGCGGCCGCTTAGAGACTGGCATACGTTAGCTTGGCTTTCTCCTCTGCAATCAACTGATCGATTGCGTCGTCGAGTGACGAGCCTCTGATGAACTCGGACGGTTCATATTCTTCTCCGCCGCCGCTGTTCTCCGCAATGACGGTATCAGTCACTTTGAAATCATCCACGAGCACATCTCCGATTTCCTGATGTCCCGCCTTGATGTGCTCCTCGGTGTCCAATCTCGTGCTAGCCAACTTGTCCAGAAGCATCTGCCGCTCGTGATAAGTCCAGTCCGCAAGCATGCAAAACGCAAGCTTGGCCTGCTCGGTTTCCTCTCTTGCTTTCTTTGCCTGTTCTCGAGCCCTCATGAGTTCTTGTGCCAGCTTTACGCTGTGTTTCATCGCGCGTTCGTACTGCTCCATGCTGACGTAGCCCGACATGATTTGAGGTATAGCTTGATGAGGCAAGGTGTAGTACGGGAGAGCTGGGCGATTTGACAATTCGACTGTATCAGTGGAAGTGAAGCTCTGACCTTCCTGCGAGGATGCAGTGTCGCAATGTGGGATGTCCTGTGTAAGGAAAGGAAAGTCTTGAGGTATGGAGCCAGTGGTCGTGCCCTGACTCAATAGACCTGGCAAGATCCAAAGTGGCGTACGCTCAAAAAGGTATGTTAGATGTCTCTCTCGAGTTTTGCAAGGGCGTGAAACGTACATCTTCGGGCACATTTGGTGATGCGCACTCCATTGGATCGCCTGCCATTTTGCACTTTCCTCCAAAAGCTTGTGGTTTGTATCGTGGAGGTATCAAAAACACTGAAGCAAGTTGTGGATTTGCGAGCTCCGTGGTATACGCTAGTGCGTTTGCCAAACGTACGCTTGGATCAGGTGACTGGTCCTTCACTGCCCCGTCCCATGCCGTCCGACAACAATACTCAGCGATTAATGTGAATGAGATAGGCAGAATTGTCACAGCATCTGTATAGTTATGTAGCAGTCTCGCTGGCAATTTCAAAAATCGGGAGTAAAGATTTGACATTCACGTCGAATGTTAGCTGCTCGAGAATCCCAGCGATCACACTGTTGGTCTTACCACCAGCCAGCACATGAGCTACATGGATTGGTTACCTGAGGTAGGATATGAGTGACGATAGTTCAAATTCAAAGAATTAATTACACGTCTAGGAGTAACACAAGTGATATACGGTAAAGAAAACAACGGCTAAAAAGCAGCGAAGCTACCAAAGCAAAGGTATACAAGAATTGTATGCGTGATTTACACATGCAGTCTACGATGACACAGAGATACTTTTGATCAGCTAACAGAGCCTAATGACAATTAGATGACTTCTGAAAAAGGTAGACAGCTTCAGCTTCATGTACAAATCCAACGTCGTTCATTACGGCTTGTCGCTAGAATTTCTTGCATGCCAGATGTGGTTTGTCCAGTTGTCAACGCGACCAGTGCTACCTAACTTGACATGAATCCCGAACTGCCTATGCATTGTTTACCCTAGCCAGTTATCATCACAGTACAAAGCAAACAAGCGGCGGAAGTACATGACATGATCTAGACGACATGATCTAGACGACATGATCTAGACGACATGATCTAGATTTCTAGCTGCGAGCTTACAAAGCTCTCCCTGACTAATCTATGGGCATACATGACATTATGAATTCTCAAACGACGCTTCATACCAGCCCGAGGCACTGCAGATTCCCTCGCGCGCGAATTTTCTTAATCCCTCCAGCGCCCGTGGATATTCAACAAACTCAAAAGCCTCCCAGTGTAGTCAACAGGCTCACGATGGCAGCCATGGAATGGCAAATTGTATCGAGCAATTTCCTTATCAAGGTCGAACTTCTTCCCGCCTCTCATGTCAAGGTAGCTCGGTTCTGGCGCTAACTCCAGCCCTTCTGCCAAACCTTCGACGATGATTTCAAGCTGGCGGAGACTGCGCGGTATGCCACTGCCCTGGATAATGACCTGCAGGGGCAATGATATATTGGGATTTGTAACGGGATGTGCCGTCGATGCGGATGATTCTAAGGGTGGTGAGTCGTTTGGAAGAGGGAGTGTGGCGTGTTCCTCTTGGATTGAGAGTACCATACCGAAAGCTTCGTGCTTCTTCAAGGGCAGCTTCGTGCCTCGTTCAAAAGTAGGCTCTTCCGATGTCTTGAGTGAGCTGAAAGCGAGACGTACGACTTTCCGAGCAGTGGAAGTAAAAGCTTGAGTTCCACGGATGTCCAACGGCAGTGCAAAGTGCAAACTTGCTGCCGCGCCTTCTTTTGGTACTGCAGGTTGGTCATTTACTATGGCCAGTATTTTGGCATCCATAGCGGTCTCGTCCTCGTCGCAGTTAAAGATGAGAACGCGTTGGAGGTCCATGCCTTTCATCACGCAGTCTACCGTTGGGAACAGCATGACGTCCCCGGCATATTCAGTGTCCGGATCGACACCTGTGCTCGCAATACCCTTCTGAGCGCCTGTATTGTCAATGATACACTCTAGGTTCGGCGTGTAGGCGGCGTCAGACGACACACCTTTTGGGACAGTATGCTTTTGCGCTCCGGTACTCGTAGGGAAGCCGACTGCTTTCGGGGTCTCGAATGGCTCCACCTGAAGTGCGACGAGTGCAGCTTCTCGCTCTCGAGATAATGGGCATGCTAGAGGTGATTGCTCTGGTGGCACCCACTTGGTCTGTCGGCCGATGCCTAGCAGCCGATGCTCGAGAGGTTCCTCAGTTACTTCAACATAGCAGTCTTCATTGCTAGGGTCATCTAGATGTGTAAGAATCAAAAGCTGGTCTTCTTCATGTTCTTCTTCTTCTTCCTCGTTGTCCTCGTTCTGTCCTTCCCCGTTGTCCTCGTTCTGTCCTTCCCCGTTGTCCTCATCCTCTCCTTCTTCCTCGTCGTCTTCGTCACTCTTCTCATCATCCTTTTGCTTTTCCTCGTCCTCATCCTTCCGGACTGCCGCGGCTTCCATGGTCCTGCCCTTTTTCTTCGGGCGAGGTACGCGCACATAAAGTATACGCCGATCGAGCCGTCCGCCAGGCCGACTCCGTACAGCTCTGAGAGAATGAGAGCCTTCCTCCTCTGAATCTGGAGGTCTCTGTACTGGCGCTGGGATGGGGTCGTTCTTTACAGCCTTGGCTAGTAGGCACACTGAACTGCCGGCCTCCTCTTCGCCAAGATCTCGCTTGCGCTTGAACATGCTGCAGTCTTGGGCGATATTTGGGCTTCTCGGGTGTGTGAGCTCGTTGGTACTCAAGGGCTGCGCAGTGGGTAGGATATTCGATGGGATGCGGTTGAGAAGATATCGCGCGGTGTAGAAAGATTCCATTGTGGGCCGGTGCAGGCGCAATTGCACTTGTTGGGATTGAGAAGGCGAGGCGGCTGACGCAGAGGTGCAAGATTCCAGCAATGCTCATTTCTTCCCGCCATTCTACAGGCTGGCTGAGGCGCCTGCCCGCTCCACGGGTACCCGGCTCGTGAAAGTCGGCGCTGGGCGGGACAGATTGAGACTTCTGAATGCCTTCACATCTCATCTGGCCTTGCTGATCTTCATCAAAATCTCTGCAGGTCATTAGCGCGGATATATCAAACGTACATGGCCAGGTTTAGCAACAACTCGTAATCGAACGACGACAGGCTATCGTACAAGCTGCTGAACGAACAGTCTAGGAGCGCTCCTACATTAATTTGAGATCTGTTTATGTTGAACCCTTAAATCTTTCCTTCACTCTCTCCGTTTGCATCGCCCTGGGGACGTGTGTAGATTACCAATCCAAATAGCAGGTACGAACATGTTGGCATCGCAAGAAAAGGCACCTCTTGCCATATATGTACGCTGCATGGACACCTACGGAACTCTTTTTCAAGGATTCCTAGTTAGCCTCCATGTTCTATTGTGTTCACATAGCTTATTATCAGATACTTGAACACATCCAGGCAAGGCTATCATGTATAAGATCTCAAGGGAGACGCGTTAGATCTTACTTATATGACTTATTCTGTACTCACCTTTTGTTAATGCTCTACTGTGTTGTATGCATCTGCTGCTTGCAGCGTGATTTTACTTTTTCTTGAAATAATGAAACGACCAATTGCGAGCTCTGATCCTGAAGGCTGAAGTCGTACGCTGCAGTATTGAGGCCCATTCATGCTGTGTTTAATACACGTACGTCTCCCGGACGTGCCAGTATAGTCCGTGTTGTCACCGCGCCAGACACTCCATATGCTCCCGAATTTACTTTCCTTCCCACAGTCCAGCACAACGGTGCACCCAGGCTCAAGTCATGTCTGAGGAGCAACGTTCACTTTGTCTTCACTATTATCCCTTTCTCCGATAACCGGAGCTCTGATTTTTGCTCTTGCCGTGCGTTTGTTGTGTTGAGGGATTTGTTACGTCATCCAAGGTGAAGGAGGAAGCGACGGTGAGCACGAGTTTCCCTCACAACACGCTCTTGCCCTCACCATAAAAACTCTGCTTCGCCCCGCCACTTTCTCTTCTCTTACACCTCACTTTCCACTCCCAATTCTGCTACAAAACCTCGCTGCATCATGACCTCGACTCGCGCTGAGATGGCCCAGCGCCTGCTGGAGTACCTCGACGCCCAGGTACCCACGCAGCTACCGACAAAGCCGCTTGAAAAAGCCTTCGAGAACATGCGTCGTGCTGAGGCAGTTCCTGTCGCTGCGCTCCACAGCATCAACGAAGCCGACATGCGCCATCTCTGCGCCTACATCAAAGCCAATTTGCTCCAAGAAGCTGATCGAAGCCGGAACATCGTCGACAGCAAAGCCATTCCTGCGAAGCCGACAGCTACGCTTCCTTTGCCCTCCGTCAAACAGTGGCCGCTCCATCCTGTCACTTCAGCATCATCAGCGCCTACCCTACCACCGGCACCTTCCACGAAGCCGATTGCACCGGCTCCCGTACAGCAATCTCGTTTTTCTAAGCCAACTGCGCCTGTGTTCCATCTCGCAAAGCCGATGAAGGTGGCTCCAATGCTTCAACCTCGTCCAAGCTACACCAAGAACAACTGGACTGGCACTAGTCCTGCCGTAGACCGGGACACTCGAGATGCTCCTGGAAGGCGTCATGTCTTGGGAACCGTGCCGAGATTCACATCGCAGCTGCCTAGGGCTACCTGCTGGCCATCTGCGCTGCGAACCACGAAGATTTACAAGCCATTTCTCTCCTACGCGAAGGGCGACAATGGTGAGGTTGAGCCGTGGAGATATGGTTCGAACAACCTCAACAGCCTTGGACTATGCTTCACCACCTTCGCGACCAAGGCTTCTTGTCCTCATGGCGGCCAGTGCGACTGGCGTCATAGGGCGCTGTCCGAAGAGGAGCTGCAGTGGCTGAGAGACATTGGCAAGGGCTTGTACAGTAAGCACCTTGTCGGCTACCAGACGTTTGGTGTTGATGTGGTCGAAGACACTCAGTGGCCACACTGAGTATGCGAAGCCGATTTTTCGGGTCCCATTACACGGGAATACACTAGATACTGATAATCAAATTGTCCATGCAAGTACTTGAAAATTTTGACCTTCGTGTGATCCTGACCCCAAGCGAACGTCTTGGTCTGGCCTTTCAAATGAACGATCAGCACGAAAAGCAGGAGGTGCAGTCCAAAGTGATTGCGAAGGCGATGCGTTCAATAAAGCTCGACCATGTACATAGCAGAAATCAGAGAAGTTAGGTGTAAATCTGACTCAGCGTAAACATTCAGGCTCTAGCATCAGTTGCATCACTTCGATCTAGTTGGGCTTCATCATCAGCCGCGCAGTGTATGAATTAGCGTTAGATAAATATAAGCGCCATGAAATTGACCATGACGAGACTTCAAAGCGTCGTGACATTAGTGGCATGGATCAGAACGATGGTCGCGGTCGATACAGACGCCCGTCTGCACCCGGCAGTGACATCACAGATACCGTACATAGATGAGTAGGGTTATCAAACATATGAAGAATAAAGGACGGTAGATTGGGCACATTTATTTCGAGTGCGAGTGTAGATGTACCACGAGAATGAATTAAATACGAGCTACATCGACAAATTGACAGCCCCGTCTCTAGCCTTCCACCCGTCACCCGCAACATTCTACTCCTCGTTAAGCCATTTCATCGACTTCGTTATCGCCAACCAAAGCGCGATCTGCAGCGAGGCTCTGTTGGAACTCATGAGGCCCCGAAGTCGTAGCTGATAAACGGATAGCAAGTATTCGCAGCTGAAGCCAGTCACCCCGGAACGATCGCAAGGATCGCATGGAGTTAGTCTGGGCCTTAATCACCTCAGATCGCGCCACCATCTTCTTGCGTCGGTGATTTGTGCGGTGGAGCAGCTCCGGATATTCACACTACGAAGAGGTGGCTTTTGCCTGCAAGTTTGCCCTGTGCCGGAACTACCAAGGCCGCCGAGGTAAGCTGAGGTGAGCTTAATTCGTTGACAAGCCATGGGGAAAGAACTGTGCGGAGCTCAAGGCCGTCCTATGGTGATGAGACATCTTTTCATTCTTCATCTGTGCGGCTGAATGCCCGGAAAGAAGCACGACCCAGACTAGAGTCAACATCTCTTCATTCGCTCCCGACTCCTTCTCGGTTAACATAACCGAACTCCACACTGTTGAGCCTAGTCAGGTGGACTTTTCATCTGATTAACGCAGGAACGTCGGAAGACCTGCGTGGAGGTGGGGCGCTGGAGTTGCGAGTCAAGCACAGCTTTTGGGCACTACAAGCAAGAATAAGGTGGGTTATGTCGTTCAACCACGTTTTGAAAATTTTCATGTCCTTGCGATGGTCTCAAACTTTTTCCTGGCCATACCCTACAAGTGTCAACCTTGTCGGCGATGCGGCTCCCACCACGTGAAGACATTCTCCGTTGCAGCTGTTTAAAGTTCAGCTTTCAACCTTAATGAACCTGATGGCCTGACGATCTCCGAGACTAGCGTACTGGCAAGATTCCAGCACACGATGCGAGGTCACGAGTGTACTGGCACGGAAATTTTAGGCGGCACTGGGCGGGGCGCAGAAATTATAGTTGCGGAAGGACTCAGTCGAAGCGTTGGAAGACGAGTCAAATGGGGAAAGTTTAGCGTTCCCGAATTCGGCACATGCCATGCGGGTGGTGGCTCGCGCCTGACCATTCTGGGAACATGCTGTGAACACCTCACCCCTGAAGTTCGATCCAAGGTCATCCCAACAAACATGCAGTGCGACCCAACCCATCACGTGTCATCACCATGGGATTTCCGCATGCGACCAAGCAGCCAAGTATGTCTTTGCAGATGATCATGCAGAATCGAGGGGCGCGACACGAACGCGTGAGCATGGCAGCGCGTGCGCAGTGTCGTGCAAAACGCATCACCGGCACCTTACCCTGCAACGTGATAGGGAGGAGACACTGATGCGCCCAGTATTGGAAGATATTCATGAATAATAAACTAATGGATTAATGGATTCTATGCGCTGGCTAAAGGCGGTACGTACAGCAAAACGCTTGACAAGAAAAATCACACGCGCTCCTCAGAATCTACATCTACGCAGAAGATTTGGCAGCCTCGATGATGACGTCGGAAGCCTTCTCTGCCAACATGTACAGAGGCATGGCGATGTAGGTACCAGGAATCTTGGGGAAAGCAGAAGCATCGACAACACGGAGACCATCGATACCACGGACTTTGAAGTTGGTGTCAAGGACGGCCTTCGGGTCGTTATCGGCGCCAATGGGGCAAGTGCAGGACGCATGGTGACCCCAGGACTCGTACTTGGCAAAGGTCTTGAGCTGCTCGTCTGTCTTGACCTGCTTGCCGGGCCAGACCTCCGAAAACTTGCCGTCAAGTGGAATGAGGTCATTGAAGGCTTTGCGACCGTACTTCATTCCCTCGACCAGGGCCTTGAGGTCTTCCTCGCCACCAACGTCAAAGTTTCGCTTGCGGATATCGGGTACGTCCTGTGGGTTGGTGCTGCGCAGGGTGACGGTTCCGGCGTTGTTACGAGACTCGGCCTTGAGTACCAGCCATGTCCAGTGGTTTGAGCCGTCGGTGGCGTTCTGGAAGAAGTTGGGGTAGTAACCGTTGAAGTAAGCGGGCCAGCCAGCAACAAGAAGGTCTGCGTTACCGTTGGGCGAGTTGCTTGCCTTCTTGGTAATGGCGATGGCGACTCCGTTGGTGGCGTAGACACCCTTTCCGATTCCGAGGGGGAGGTTCTCCCACTTCTCCAGGCATGGGTCGTGGTCGCCCTCAAGGAAAGTGCAGCCGTTCAGAAGAGAGAGTTTGCTGGGTGCCTGGCCGATGACTGGAACCTCGTAGCGATCCTGGAGATTGGTACCGACACCTGGAAGATCCTTGACGACCTTGATGCCGAAGCTCTCAAGCTCCTGCTTCGGGCCGACACCGGATAGCTTCAAGAGCTGGGGAGTGTTGAAGGCACCGGCAGACAAGATGACTTCGCGGGTGGCTTTGACTGATCCCTTGTCGCCTTTGCTGGTCGCAGATCCGGACTGACGACGGGGATCGGCTCCATACAGAGACCTTCCAGTGAGGAAGTTGACACCGGTCGCTTTTGGCTTACCGCCGTCTACCTGGGCAAAATTGACGTTGGTGACAAGGGTGTTGAGCTGGATGTCGAGGTGGTACTTGCGGCTACCATCGCTGTTCCTCGCCTCCAAGACTTGGTGAAGCAAATCGACAGGTCCAGCGCGCTTGTATTCCGGGATCTTCATGGCCAGAGGAACTTGCCACAGACCTTCTTGCGAGTCGCGGTTCGGCGAGGGGTTGTTGATGTCGCGAAGCAGAACCTGACCGAGGCCAGTGACAGTAGTTAAAAGATTTGAGAGGAGGTTCTTGCCCATGCCTGAAGCAGCTGCCAGGACCAGAGAGATGACCTTGAGGTCTTGGACAATCAAGGTCAAGTCGGTGAGCGAAGTTTCGAGCCAGCCCGAGAAGCCATGGCCAACGATGCTGCTAGGGAGATAGCGGGATCTCTCAATGCGTTCGAAGTACTTTTGCATGTTCTTTGGCGCCCATGAAGCATCACCAGTGATACGTTGAATGTAGTCCCAGTCGCTGTTGAACGGCTTGATAGTAATCAAAGCGTTGTGGGCGGTGCAGCCGCCCATGGATCCGACACGAGGATAGAGAGTGCCCAAGGGTTTGGCGCCTGCTGGTGGCTTTGGACCTGTGTAACGGGAGCCATCGGGCAGTTCATATGTGAGCTTGGCATCCTTCGTCATCTCTGCTTCGTCGTCGAAGTGCTTGACAAAGTAGTCCCATCGCATCGGTTCATATTCGGCAGCGACAGAATGTAAAGCCGGTACATTGTACTGAGTAGTATTGGTCTGGTCGTCGCCAGCCTCAAGGAGGAGGACTTTGTAGCCAGCAATAGCCAGCTTGGCCGCAAGGGGAGCACCACCCGCACCAGAGCCAACGACAACGTATTCGTAGTCTTCGAGAGTGGTGATGGAGGTAGAATTGGTTGCACGCTTCACATTGGCGCCACGGTAAGGAGTGTGCTCTGCGCCATCGCTGTATACTATGTCAGCGAGTCATTCTCGGAAAGGCGGCTATCATTCACACATGGAGGGAAGCAACATACATGATGCGCGAGGCAGCCAAGGAGCTGAGCAAAGAGAGGACGGAAACAGCCTTGAGAACAAACATGTTGATGCGGATTAGAGTTTACCTAAGAAGGGCCGACCTTAGAAGTAGAATTATAACAAAAAGCGAACGAAGATATACACCGCGCAGGGGAGCGGAGAGGCGAGTATGAGGACCAAAGTATTGGCGCCCTGGCGACAGGACTTATACTGCAAGCACCTGCAGCATGGACATTGAGTTCGAAGGCTGCATTACGAGTCGTTAGCGGTGAGTGAGTTCGTGATTGAGATCATCGGACACACGCCTCTTTGGCGCGAAACATTTTTCAAAAGCGGTCATCCCTGCCCTGTAGACTTTGGCCCATCTTGCCCAAAGCTGATGTGGTGGTGTGCACCGTGCGCGAGTGGATCCAACGGCATGGTAGACGTCCCCGCACACCGCGTTGGACCCTTGTCAGATTTGACGAATTACAGACAGTGGAGTGGGCCACTCACGATCTTCCCTGGTCAAGAGATTAAGCGACGATCCTACGGGACCGTCTTTTAATCTAATGGTGAGGCTGGGCAGCCTGTGCCTCGAACGTGCAGGGAAACGGGCCGACCAACATGCAGGCCTCTATCGTGACAAGGCCCACTGAGAGTCGATGGGCAAAGGGTGCTTCGGGGCTTGAACTATCCGTACTACACTGTAGTCTGACTGTGTGAAGGCGCTGCCAAGTGCAATTGACGCACAGTTTAGGTGTGTTTTGACCTCTTTATTCCCGAGGTACCTGAGTCTTTCAGCGGCCCAGCCGCTGTCCGCATCCAATGCAGAGAACAGGTACCGATTCTTACCCTTGCAACTGCTCCACCTCCAACTTGGCATGTCCTCTGGATTAGGCGTACAGTTAGTCCCGCTTTACTGGTAACGTTCGCATTGCGGCAATGTCAAGAACGGACCATGCTCCGCAGCGGGTGGCTCGCCCAGGTCCACTTCTCAGAACCCTCTTGCTCAACGCTCCATAACTCGGTCTGACTGCCTCTCCTTACCGGAGGAACATCGGTCTATCTTCAGTCACTGCAAGCTCAGTATGAGGTCCTGTCGCTGAAGTATTCGACAACTGTGTGGACCATTACCAGCAAGGTTTGCTATTCATCTGAGACTTAGTACAAGACTTCGCTCGTTCGTTCTTCTTCACGTTCCTATACTGTGCTATCTTCTGTCAAAGCCTGCGCCACGCCACACTTACCTCAAGATGCTGAAAATTGTGCTGGCGCTTCTGGCAGCTTTTGCGGTGTCCGTCCAGGCGCAGAATCCGCTCCAGGCTTTGGCTGAACATATGCCCAAATGCTCAGTATGTCATTATCTCGCACCAAGAAATGCTAGATCTGAAGCTGACCAAATTACTTAGCTCGCTTGCTTCGTTCAAGAGCTTCCACTATCTACCTGCGCAACCAACCTTACTTCAGCCTGTTTATGTAGCAATAACGCCCTCAATCTTGCCGTTGCTGCCTGTTCCAAGCAAACATGTACCATGTACGAGCTTTTGCGTAAGTTTTCAACAAGTAATACACCTGCATTCACCCGCTTACGTAGCGATAGAGACAAAAAATGTAACTACCGCTGGTTGTGGAGCTCCTGTCCGCGTTCACGGCGGCGACTTCACTGCCATTGCAATCGCTGGCGCTGCGATAGCTGTGGCAGCTTTCCTCCTCCGGATGACGGCCAGTCTTGGGAAGCATGGCCGTCAGGTCTCGTGGGATGACGTTACGATGGCAGTCGTCGTTGCGCTTGCAATCCCTCCAGCTGTGTTTGCACCCTACTGTAAGACATGTCCCACCTTGAAAATTCTACAGTATAATTAACAGCTGTACAGTGGTCAAGAACGGCCTTGGGCGAGACATATGGACCTTGACGGATGTACAGATCACGAATGTATTATATTACTACTTCCTGGGAGAGATTTTCTACGTGGTGGCCCTCGGCATCTCCAAGATATCGATCCTCTTCCTCTACCTCCGTGTCTTCCCGGCCAAGAACTTCCGCATCCTGACTTACAGCGTCATGGGTTTATCAGCGGTCTATACCATTGTTTTCTTCATTGTGACCACCTGGCAGTGTCGGCCTTTGAGCCTCGCCTGGACACAATGGGATGGTCTTCACCCAGGAACATGCAACGACATCCATCTTCAAGGCTGGATCGCGGCCGCCATCAACATCTTTCTCGACATTGTCGTCATGGTGCTTCCTATGAAGCATCTCGCCGCACTGAATATGAGCTTGAAGAAGAAACTCATGGTCATGTCCATGTTTGGCGTCGGTATATTTGTCGTTGTGGTATCGGTGATCCGCCTGTATTCTCTGATCCACTTTGCCAACACCGAGAACATCACCTGGAACTACGTCGACGCTGGCATGTGGAGCTTGATCGAGATCGATGTCTCTATCATCTGCGGGTGCATGCCTGCTTTCCGACTATTGATTGCTAAGATGTGGCCAAAGATCAGGTCAACAATCGATGCAAGCAAAGGCACATCTTCAAAGCTATCAAGATTTGTCGAAACCAACAATTCTGTGACTGGAACCACCGATAAGTCCGCTCGGATCTCCGTCAGACCCAAGGGGAGGGACGAAGACGATTTCATCGCACTGAAGGACATCGATAACGACAGTGATAGGGCCATCTTGACGGAGCACAAGCATGGGGAGCGAACTTCTCACACCTGGATCACACAGACTCACACCGTGGAAATCAGTCGCGAGCCAGCATCCTCAAAAGAGCAGAGTGCTGATGATCGATCACAGGATTGGCCCATGGTGATAGGAAAAGAGCATGTCTAGAGGAGAGTCCGTCAATTTGTAGCGCGCATACCAAAAGCAGGTTTTTGGTCACAGTTTAGATACGGCAGCCCCAGGGTCTGGAGTTAGGCACATATTTAATATAATGATAATCGCTCGTTCACCGAACGTCATGAGCGTAACTGAATTTCTGCTTCACTATCGGGCTCGAACAAAGCTGTTGGAGACGCGCAACGTATACCCCAAGATGCTGAGGGCATCATGCAATGTCTTGCCGAGCCGCGTTGATTATCTTGGGGTACGAAACAACATGGGTCATCTTTGAGAGTCAAGAGAGGTGACGCCGGTGTCCTGTTGCATAAGTCTGCTGTATGCGGACTCTGGGAGACGCGCACAACTTTTGATGATACCCAAACGGTCCCGCCAAGTATCTGATGGTGAGCGACCCGCCAGGATCATCCCGAATGCAACATGCGCTTGATGATCATGAGGTAGGGGAGCTCAGTGTAGCATCCGCATGATCTTTCCCAAGCGAGGTCGTACCATACAAGTGGAAGATGGGCATATTGATGACTGAATAGGAACTCGTCTGATGGCACAATGCCGAGGTCAACAGAATGTACAGAAAAGTGTGTCAGTACAGAAAAGTGAGTCTCGAATTCCGGGTCCTAGCAACCAATTGGACTTGTACGTTGTTCGAAAACTTTAGACTGCGTAGTCCATACCCATCCCACTGGCGCTTCTAACTGCCTAGATTGATGTGAAAGGGACCTCGGGAGTGCCAGAGGGAAGTCTAGATTCTTACCCATCTTCCCGTGTGCTGTCACACTTTTGGAAAGATCGTCTTTTGCTCTCTCTTGGTACTTGTACGTCAGCTTGGATACCCCAGCTCAAGACATCGCTCGATGACTAGGGATGATGCTGCCACTATTGCCCGATAACACGTTACCACATGCCCGCTGGATTCTGCTGACTTTCGGCAATTTGCGCCTAGAAAGACAAGCACTGATTATGGCGATCTAAAAAGAGGGGCTCCCGTCGTCTGGCAGAATCCATGTAGGTAGCACCTGCACCTGTGGGGTGCGTCAAGAGATTTCGCCATTATCTCCTGGCGCTGAAGTTCACTTGAGCATGATTCAAGATGCCACCCGAGAATGGAACTCACGCGTCACTGTACTCCTTTTTGAGGCCAGGGGCCTCATCACGTTGTCAATGCTGAGATAACACGGGTGAGCAAGCCTGTCCCGGCAGCAAGTATCCATTGCCAAGCCGTGTTTGAGGACCCATAGGCCCTGTTACCGTGGGGAAAAGAAACACGAAAGCCGGTGGACCTATCTTGCGCCAAAGGAGTATCCCTTGCGTAGTATGGTGTCAGTTGCACCGACACCATTTTGGCACGGGAACCGACATCCGCCCCAGCTTAGAGCATATATGGATCGGAACAGTGCCTAATATGATCAGTACTAGATCCGGTAGTCTGAACGGGCCGTTGTCGGGCCATTTCCACGAGCGCATGTCGATCTACGAATTTCGACCATTTTAGACCCTGTCGACGGATATGTGTTTCAAGTTCCGCGAAAAGGAATCGCGAGCTGTGCCTCATTTCTTTTTGGGACGATCACTTCCATTTGTGTCTGCCTTCCAGAACCGTTTGAGCACGCATGGCCCGTGTGCACTTGTCAGCGCTTGCAGCGCTCTAGTCGATCTGATCAAGCATTCAAGTCATCTTCTGTGAAGCTTTGCAGAATATTAGAGGTTTGAGGTTTTTGCGACAGATTTTGGGTATGCGCATATGGTTTGATATGTCCAGGACAGCGTTAAATTAGAAGTCTTGAGATGAACTGCTAAGAGGAAACACGCAGTCCACATCTTCACATCGTCGAGTACACACGTGTAAGCTTGGACGTGGCATGAAACAAGAGCTGCTCTGTGCGTTCCCACGTTTTCTTCTGGGATTGCTCGATTGATGACGATTGGCAGTTTTTGGCCCTGCCGTGTTGACGAATGGTCCCGACACAGGGGGTTACCGAAGATACTCCACAAAATGAGCAGGACCTGGCTCCATTCGTTGCGGCTCGTTCACAGCTCACCGCTGACATGTTCCCAATCTCCTTTTACATGTCGATCTATTGGTCCAAACTTCAATGACAATTGACCAACTGCTATTTTGCTAGCTACAGGTACCAAAAGCTCACCTCATCTTTCGCAGTCCATCGACCTCGCCTGAGCAGCATTGTTGGCACTCAAACTTTGCGATGAAGCTCTCTTTCGCGGCCCTTGCTCTGTCATCGAGCAGTTTCCTCGTCAATGCTTTCCCTGCTCTGGACACTGGACACCTCGATGGCCTTACACCTGAGAGATTGAGTGCTGCTATTAGATCAGTTGATGAGTTCAAGGCTACAAAGAGGTTTCTCGTAGACGTCACCAAGCCTATCGAAATCACTGGTAGACACGCCTTCAAAGCGCCTGGCAGATTCGATCAACGTGGACCTTGTCCTGGCCTAAATGCGTTGGCGAACCATGGTTACATTTCTCGCGATGGCATTACCAGCTTCGCAGAAGTTGTGACAGCTGTAAATCAAGGTTTGTCTTGACATTCATTTACTACTAGTCAAACAAAGCTGACAATGTGTGATCCAGTGCTGGGCATGGGCATAGAGACTGCACTCATACTTGGTGCTATGGGTACTGTCTGGACAGGCAATCCACTTTCGTTGAACCCGGGTTTCTCGATCGGCGGCGCGGCCAATGGTCCCGACAACATCTTAGGAAATGTTCTTGGCCTCCTTGGTGTGTGGTATCTTGCGAACTACCTCAATGAACATTATGCTCATATCTCACAGGTGATCTTCGTGGCCTTCAAGGTTCGCACAACTGGATCGAAGCCGATTCTTCGCTCACGCGCAATGACCTCTACGTCACTGGAAATGCATGGACTATGAACACGACGCTGTTCTGGGACTTTCACGACCGTGCTGACGAAAACGGTGTTCTTTCAATGGACCTGTTGGCGGACCAAGCTGCCCGCCGTTGGAACGACAGCGTTTCGACGAACCCAGCGTTCTGGTATGGCCCCGTTACTGGCATGGTTGCCCGCAACGCCGCTATGTTTTTCCTTGGGCGTTTATTGTCAAATCATACTGCCGAGCACCCTGAGGGTATCCTCACCCAGGATATCTTTAGGAAGTTCTTCGCGGTTTACGAAACTGGAGATGGCAAGTTTGAGTATCGTGAGGGTCACGAGACTATTCCTGCCAACTGGTATCGCAAGCCAGTAGAATATGGCCTCGTACCTCTGAATTTGGACATCGTTAGCTGGATCATGAAGCATCCTGTTCTTGGCAGGTAAGTTCTAGCTCTATGCATAACCCGACAGGCTGATCATACATACTAACACCAATGCAGCATCGGCGGCAACACTGGCACTGTCAACTCCTTTTCCGGTCTTGACATGCACAACATCACTGGCGGCGTGCTGAACTCAGTATCTCTTCTTGAGAACAACAACCTCTTATGCTTCGTATTCGAGGTACTCAAAACCTTCCTCCCCAACTCGCTCTCTCCGCTATTGAAGACTCTGGAAGTCCCGATCAATTTGATAACGGACACTCTGGCAGCGCCTATCTTGAGTCTAGCATGCCCAGCCTGGAAAGACATGACAGCTGGTGGTGAACCACTGTGGGATGCTATTCAGCACTCGTTCGAGGGGGCGAGCAAGGCAGGATCTGGTCTGTGAAGTTTCCACATTCAACCGCAGAGGGAGCGCAATCGTCGAAGGAACTCAATTGTTTACATTTAATTAATTACAACCATATTTCACAGAGCACACCCTGGTGGTGCATGACTCACCTCAAATCAGTCAGAAGTCAATGTGATCAAGAACAGGGAACCTTGGATGTCCCTTTTCATATACCAAGCTTGATCGTGTCTAATGGCATAGTGAAGTCAGTCATGAAATATACCGGATACCGCAATGAACGGCTCATTAGGGCTAGAACGGAGCCATCTCGTGATCTAGGGCAAACACCAGCTTGATACCCGTGATGTAAGTAGGGGTCAATAGTGTCACCTCTCAGGCACCTCGCATGACGTCTATGTTAGAGAGTATGTCTAGGAAAGTGGTTGCGGACATCTACCGACACAAGGGCCTATGGGTCATGTCACCAGGAACATCCTCGTCAGGAGCAACGTCTCCGTCCGGTGGCAAATCAGTACCCCAGGCGCTTTCGAACGTCCACTCGATTTCCACTCCCGCTCTTTTCGCCTTTGAGTATCCGACTTGATTTGACCAACCATTTTCGTCCTTGATCTCCGAATGATTCAGTGCGCCTTTCCTCAAACCTTGACCGATTTTTTCCCACGTTAAAACCTGTGAATTACGAGCCCGACTGCCCTGTTCCTCAATCTCCTCGAGGGTGCGGTGATAGTTCTTCACTGACCGAGTTGCCTCTGTACGCCAGGATGAACTGATGAACGTTCCCATGCGAGGTGAAATCTGAGGCCGTAGATGTGCACATGTTGATCCACAGTTCGCCGAGGGGTCGTTATTGGCAGAGCAAAGGAAGCATACTTCTCTGCCGCACTCTTTTAATCGTAGAAAGTGTTCACGGATTTCGATGCTCGACTTGATATCCTGGGTCAGAATCTCTTTTATGGTGTTGATACGAATGGTCCGCTTTGAGTTGGGCGCTGTCCATGCTGACGATACCGGTTGTGCTGGAGGTGCTGGCAATGCTGACTCTTCGGTAGTTTCAATTGGTGGGTAAAGATCCAACCATGTCCGGCTTACTGATCCAGTGTTAGCTGGAATGATACGACGTTCATGGGAACGCTTCTCGAACATACTGTGTGTTGAAAGCAGAGTTGCCGATAAATCTTCGACGGAACTTTCTAGCTTAGAAGCAGTAGTGTATGGCTGCAATGGTGCGCTAGCTAGTCCTGCAGACATTGTGTGGTGATGACTTGTGAGGTGACCTTTCGACTTTTCGAGAGAGAGTCCTGCACTGTATGGTGAAATGTAAGTAAATGTTTAGTCCCAGTACAATGCAAGTTGTATTCTCTCTTGAATTTTGAAGTATCGCGCATCTCCACATGACAAGCAAAAAAGTCCAAGCAAAAAATGAAAAGACAAGATATCGAAACAAGGAATTCAGAAATAAGATGGCGTCTCCAGCTTCCCGAGCTATTTCTACTTTTTTGCATGTCTTGCAGACCAAAACTTACATCGCCGCGGATATCACCTCAATATGTACAATAGTTGGACACATCGAAGCCTCCTCTGATGGTGTAATATTCGAAGACTCGGTTTCGACGTTGTAGATATCACGCTCTAACATCGCACGATCGTGTACTTTCTTAAGTCTCGATTACTCTGATTCTGAACTTTGAATCGGCATGGCTATTATCGGACGAATAGAACGGCGGTAGACTAGTGAAATACTCCATGGTACGATGCACAGAGCTATTTAGACCGAAGTTATGATGGTGGTAGACAGCAACCGAATGCTACCGCGCTTGATGGAGAACCTATACCAGACAAGATACGAGCAAATTTTGCCCACGGCTTGGGCTCATCCACTAGCCCATCTGAAGCCACACAATGGGCATGTCGCATCTCAAAGAACACAGAGTCTGACGATTTGCAGGCAGCGAAGGTTTCGTGGTTGCATTTTATTCCGGACGCGTAGCTGGAAAGTTGGTCGCGCTCCCGTGGTGTACCACGATTCCAAGACCGTCACCCCAACAACAGCGAACACGCACGTAGATGCCCGCAAACGAACTTCATAAGTACAGCGGCGTTTTCATGAAATCTAGCGAGACACATCATGCGCATCGTTCTTATTGCTGTTTGGATTCATGTCCTCAGTGTACTTGCTACGCCAACAACCATCTTGATGGGATACACTGACTATTTCCTCTTTGACGTGTCCTTGCAAGAATTTGTGCTCGCACATACAAGAGAGGAAGGAGCGGTCGCTGGGATAGATTGGTGGTGGGACGGATGCTGGGTGGCGCCAGATAAGCCTTTTGGCTTCGAATGTATGTGTTCATCCTCCGTCACTGTACACAATTTGACCAAGACAACAAGTTCTGAACTCGTGCATTCGTCACGATTTTGGCTACCGCAACTATACAAACCAAGGCCGCTGCAGATGAATAGACCGGAAGCACATTGACGACAATTTCGAGAAGGATTTGCACGCGCAGTGTGCGAAAAAGAAAGACGGTCTCAGGCGTGAAATTTGCGAAAGGACCGCTTCAGGATACTACCATGGGGTGCGTATCTTTGGTGGAGCCCGCTTCTGTGATCGTGAAGCTACCATCTCAATATTGTTTCCGAGCGAATCTTAGCGGAGGCCCTTGGAGTTGCTTATTCTTTGTCACTTGTAGCTTCGACACGTCGCATGGATGCCCATCAAACCCTTCTAGAAGCAGTCAGCGTGCTTACCAGGGGTCACGCTGCACTCCAGCTTTTGTCAAGGTCTGCAACCCCACAACACCCTTCGTATCCATCGCGTCGATCGTGGTGTTCCAAATGCTCCCCACATGCCCCAAAGGTCAAGCAATCTGAAGACCTCCCCGGCTGGAGCGAACCGAGCCAATGAGGGTGCATTCACCCGAGCCCGCGATATTGATCAATAAATGCTCCGCAAATGCCGACGTTGCTCGGTAGTACGAGCACTACGCTTCTGGTATGAAGGCAATATGAACACTACGGGGTGTGGTACTTGTGGTGGAGCTGGCAGCAGTATCTCGAAAAGGTTGTCTGGATCACGCTGACCCGAGGTGGAGAGTATGAAAGCAACAAAGACGGCTTCTCACACCGTATTTTTGCTTTGTGCAAGACTCACTCACTTTTGCCCCGGTGGTATTGTCTCTACACGTACTCGTATACTGTTTCGAAAGTCCTTATGATCCTTCCAACTCTTCTTCTCGCAGGCCTTGCGCAGGCTCTGCCACCAAAAGCAGAACCAGCTCACTATCTGGAGTCTCGTCAGTTTGGTGGTAGCGGCTTCACCATGTTGCGATTCGGCTGTGCTCAAGCCGTCATCGACCGTATCGACCCTTTGGTCAACCCCGGCCAGGCTCCGTCGCCGCACATGCACCAAGTCGTCGGCGGCAACGCATTCAATATCTCGATGGCGTCTACAGATGTTTCTAAGCTTGCCTCGTGCACCACGTGTGGCTACTCTGAGGATGTAGGTCACTGGATGCTGCAGTTTCTCGGACCTTGTAATACTAACCGCTTTCACTGTAGTTGAGCAATTACTGGACAGCGAATGTGTACTTCAAGGCTCGCAACGGAACTTACAAGCGTGTTCCCCAGATTCCCAATCGAGATCTCTTTAACGACAAGTACACCGGAAAGACCACAGGTGGCTTTGTGGTATATTATGTCTCGCCAGGCAAGGGAAAGACGACAGCCTTCAAGCCTGTATGTATTCGACCAGACGGTGCAGCACGGTAGACTGACACAGATTTGATCAGGGATTCCGTATGCTCGTTGGAGACGCCACCAACCGTGTGAGCAAGAACAGGAAAACACAGAGCTGCTTCCGTTGCTACAGCTCCGACAACTTTGGAGGAGATAACGCTGCTCCTTGTGCCGATGCCAAGCTCGACACTGAGGGCTTCCCAAAGAACGCATGTCCAGGTGGCATACGCTCCAACATCCTGTACCCAACGTAGGTTACTGCGAATGTATTGGCAGATACACCACTGACATCTTCGCAGCTGCTGGGATGGCGTCAACCTCGACTCGCCTGACCACAAGTCGCACGTCGCGTATCCCATCGAAGGGCCTGCCGGCTTCTCAGGAACTGGAATCGCTGGAAAGTGTCCATCTACTCACCCGGTCACTATCCCACAAGTCATGCTTGAGGTGAGTTTCTTCCCACGACACTCCACGGGTTGCACTAACAGCTGCAGGTTGTCTGGGACACCCGCAAGTTCAACAACAAGGCTGAATGGCCTGCCGATGGCTCGCAGCCCTTCTACCTCAGCATGGGAGACAACACTGGATACGGTCAGCACGGAGACTACGTGTTTGGGTGGAAGGATGACTCGCTCCAGAAGGCCATGGACGATGCCAAGGGCTGCATGGGTGCCAGCTGCGGTAGCTTGAAGACCCAACAACCCGATTCTGGTAACAAGTGCTTGACCACGAACCGTGTCAAGGAAGATGCCGATGGCTGGATGAAGAGCCTCCCAGGTATGGAAGGAATGCCCATGTAAGGTGTCCGTTAGTTGCGCATTGTGCTCTTCGTCAAGCTCGGTGGCTACATCATAGATTTGTTCCTTGCAGTAGATGTTGTAGTGTTAGTTACGCCTCAAACCTTTTGCCTCCATACTCCTGATCATGCTCGTCTTGGGCTTCGCGTCGCGCGTCGCGCGTCGCGTGTCGCGTGATGCCTGGCCATGTCATGACTATGGTACACGAGAGTCGCCATAAAGGTCGTATATATCTCTACAAAGTTCCAACAATTACATGCTGTCTGTTGAAATGAGGTTTCTTTGAAGGTCATTGGAGCAGATAGTGTGTAGCAACATTCGAAGTTTTGTGCAAACCACACACGCGTCATAACACCTGGGCAGGATACGCTAGGACTCATTTGGTAAGGTTCAAAACGCGTATTATAACAAGACCGAGTCCTCCTCCTGGTACTCCTCTACAGTACAGCAAGACAAAACTCAAAAAAAGGAACCCTACCTTATGATGATACGCTGCTTCTTTTCCTCCAAAAAACTTTTCACATAGCACCCCATGAGCACTGTGCAGAGACCTGAGCCACTCAAGCTCGAATACCCTTATTTTTGCTGCTTTCCATACATGTTTGATGTCCCAAAGAACCCGATCCTACATCTAGAGCTTGTGACACTTAGTTCCATGAACGAAGATCTCTACAATACATTAATCACGATTCACCAACTCCCGAGGTCTTTCCATCACCGTCCCCATCCAAAAATACGTGTATAGATGTGAATGTCCAAGCATGTCTTAAAAATTACAAAACATTCACGCATCACCAACATGTTTTTTTCATGTTGCTCCAAAATCTGCAAAATCCGCATTCATGTTGCCCGTTTATAAACATACTCTTCTACAATGTGCCCGCACTAGCCAAAAGTCCACGCATGATGAGTATGTCTTCTTCCGCTGATCCAAAAGTCTTCGAAATCTGAGGTCATGCCGGCCCTTTGTAGACATTTTTTTTCCGCAAAATGGGTCCGCATCTTATATGTACACGACTTTGCCCTCGTTCCTCAGAAAGACGGCCATCGCCAACCTATGTTTGCTGCCCCTTTGCCGACAAAATCTCATGCAGATGATTTCGATAAAAATGCACATTTAGAATTTTTAGATTTCGTGCTCCAGAATACTTCAAACCAACCTGGCACAAGCCAAACTGAAAATTAAGGTTATTCACATTAAGAGTCTTGTCCGGACATGTTATTCTCTCAACACCGAAAGACAAGACTTGGAAAACTTATGATTGCTTCCCCTTCCTGCTATCAAAGATATAAACTCCGCTCGTCCAGCCCGCTTTCTCACTCTTTATCAATCATACTCAGCACTTCTGAAACGCACCAAAAAAGACCTTTCTGCTTTCGCATGTGCTTTTCCAGCTGCTCCAAAACATACGCTACCATGTCATGTGCATCGGTCCGACGTACTCGTGATATTGGCACAGTGCCAGCAAAACATCCTGGATGGATTACGGAGACTAGGAGGCAGAAACAGACTCAGACACGTATCATGTGTTGTTCTCAACCTCCTTGCTTAATCAGTGTTTCCGTGGGGCACCAGTATCTATAACACTCGCCGTCCGGTTCCTGTGCTGGATTGCTGTAAACCGTAACATGTGACTTTCACTTTATCACTAAAACACTGTATTGTATTGTTAAACTTTTCATTATCAAACTAGACTAAGCTAAGAAAGCGCCTATCCACCGTTCCCTTTCCTTACTTCCATAACCCGTGGGAAGGACAGAGGAAGAAAGAACATCCTCCCAAAGGTCAAGAGGATATCATCGTGAGAGCCTAATATTACAGGATCGTGGAAATGATTCATTTTCCACCGAGAGAGGTTCGTATCGTGAAGATCGTATCGTGAAGTGTCAGGAAGCCGACGTCGCGACTTGACTTGATTGTCGAAAAGGGCGAGCCATTTACAACTCATCCTTGGCCTTCTTGGAGGCAGAGCTGGCAGAAGCGGCGGCCTCCTTGTAGCCCTTGTCGGCAGACTTGGAAGCGGCAGATGCGGCGCTTGAAGCGCTCTTAGCGGCAACAGAGGAAGCGCTGGCGAGTGACTTGGAGATCGAGGAAGACGAAGAGGATGCTGCTTTGCCGGCAGCTCCGGTCAAAGAGCTGGCGGATTTGGCAGCGAGCGAGGAAGCTGAGCTGGCAGACGAGGCAGCGCGGACGGAAGCAGAGCTGGCGCTAGATCCAGCAGCATCGGTAGCAGAAACGGCAGAAGCAGAGGCGAGGCCGATCTGGGCCTTGAGCCAGTTGGTGGCACCGGCAAAGCCGTTGGTGGCAGCGTTGTACTGGTTACCGGCCTGGGAGGTAGCAGCGCCGTAAGCAGACTCGACAGTAGCAGATGCGCTGTCACCGTAGAGACGGGCACGGTGCTTTCGGGCGAGAGCAAGGAGCTCGTTGCGCTTGGAGCCCTGGGGAACCTTGATACCGTTGCTGTCAGCCCACTGCTTGATCTGGCTGTCAGACCAGGAGTCTAAGAGAGCGTCGCTGAGGCTCTGCTGGGCGGCGGCGGCGGAGGAAGAGGCCTGAGCGTAAGTGCCCTGGGCGTTCTGGCTAGCAAGGCGGGACTGGCGGCGGATGCTGGCGATCAGAGAGTCGCGAGTGGAAGGCTGAGGCGCGGGGGTAACCACGGGCATCGAGCCAGGCCTTGAGGTCAGAGTCAGACCCAGGAGGAGTAGAGCCAGTCACCGGGGTAGGCAGCAGTCTCGCCAATCTTGTCAGCGGCGGCCTGGGTAGTTCTCGCGGACAGCCTTGATGAGAGAGTCACGCTGGCGAGGCTGGGGAACAGGAATGCCGTTCTTGTCGGCAAAAGCCTTGAGCTGAGAGTCGGACCAGCTGCGAGTTGTTAGTAGATGTTGCTAAGATGGATATGGTGATACATACGAGTCGAAGATCCACTCCTTGACGCTGCCATAGGCCTGGTTTGCAGAGTCCTCAGTCTCGGTCCAGTAGACCTTGACCTGCTCAGCGAGACTCTTAGCATCCTTCTCGGTACCCTTCTTCGCCTGCTGGCCCTTGGCGGTCAGGTAGTTGGACAATGACTGAGCATCCCAGCTGTTGTAGGGGGTGATGATCTTGTCGTTCCAGTTATCCTGCACCGTCTTCTGGAGGTTCTTACGGTCCGAAGGCGATGGGTGGGGAATGCCGTGGTCTGACAGCCAGCGCTCGAGCTCCGTCTCGTGCCACTTGTCGTAAACTGCTTCTTGAGATTAGCTGTGTGTCTTGGTATGAGTGGCTGACGTAGAGCTTCAAAGCTGATGTCACACGTGACATTGACAAAAAAAGAGCTCTACGCTGGAGAACAATGCTAATGGAGGGGGACTTCACTGTACGCACCCGTCTTGCCAAACCAGCTGTTAGCGGTGGCCTGCGCCGCGAGCGACACCACAAGGGTGGAAGCAAGGGTGAACCTCATATTGCCGTGTTATGCCTGGTGAATTGTCTATCTTAATATCGATAGATGAATTGAAGACGAGGATTGTGTGTTAGGGGAGGGCGGCAATGGTGTAAGGGTCGCAGATCTAGAGCGGAATGGAGCTTATAAGAGGGGAGGTGACGGGCGAGCAGAAAGTTGTCGTCTGGGTGACGTAGTTTGCGGGAGACAGACAAACAAGGTCAAGGCGCGCCTGCCTAGCGCTGCAGCCAATGGATTGCGATGACCAGCAGAAACCGCGTTCTGATTGTGGGCGAATTGTGGCCTCGCTGTCACAAGCCATGCAGCTCGCATCTGCTGTGGGCTTAGAGGAACCGCTACCAGCATTCTGGGCCTTCCACATCGCTTGCAGACATCTCTCATGAAGTCACCGTCGAAGAAGACACATTGCGAGGCGCGCCTCTGACCGCTCGTACGCTGTGCGATGTGCGGCGCGGGCATGGCATTTTGAAATTTCCCATCACGATGGCGATTTGCGGGGATTCGCCCCCTACGTCATCACACAAACAAACCCATGCACAAAAGTTCTGGAGCTCCACAATCACTGCATTCTTGTCACAGTGGTGTTCGGACCACGCGCAACATGTCAAAAGTGCCATTGCAGGTGTCGATCGAATTGAAGTGTTTGATTCTCATAGAGTTGGGACGCTGGCCTTGCGTCAGTGGAGCTGCATGCACAGCTAACAGTGCTTGACCTTTCCCCTAAGCCTCCATTCTCTGTGCATAACCTGTTGTACAAAGTAGCGAACTAGGTTTCACAAGCCTCACGGCTCGGAGTCGCGTCCTCCTTGACCTTGGAGGCGTGTTAGTAATGTATCCCATGGCTCATGCGTAGGTGGACTTACCAGCCCAGAACTTCTTCGGTACTTTGTCTTTGGTGTTGTCCTCCTTGCTAGCCTGTTGATGTATCTTCTCAGTCCTCTGCTCCATTTCCTCGTTGTGCCGCCTCACGTCCCCGCTCTGCTCCTCCTTTGGAGGCGCACGTTCGTTGAGGATTTTGGGTTGCGCACCTTGTTTGCTGGATTTGCTGCTACCGTCGTTGGATTGCGACTCGGATGCTGATGATGACTTCTGCTGCGAGCTGGAGCCAGACGAGCTGTCCTCGTTGGGCGAGGAAGAAGACTTGCCCTTGGCAACCTTTGGTGGAGGTGGTCCAGGGTGCTCGAGGTGCTCGCTCCGGTTCTTGCCCTGCTTCTCGGGGGTCTCACCAGCTGGGTTGCCTGCACCTGAACCGTAGTCCGAGGTTGCAAAGCGGACTTGCTGACGAGCCCGTGGAGCCGCGAAAAGGGCAGGGCGAACAGCCGCTGAGCGCATCAATGATGCTGATCGAGTAAGAAAGCTCATGCTGTGGAATGGGTGTGAATTGATATTGAAAGTAAAATTGCAAGGTGCTTGTATGAAGTTCCAGAGCTCCAACAACAGGCGTAGGTTGTCGTGCTTTGGAGCTACACTCGCGTGTCCCAAGCTCCTGGAAGTGACATCATCATCACAACAAAAGGAGATCTCCCCACGTCACTCCAGTTTCGCATCTGCAAGCCTTAGTGGATATCATGCAAGCTGACAAGTTGAGCGAATTATCATTTCTATCCAAAGTCCGGTAACAACACTAAAGTGGGTATCTCGCTAGTAATAACTATCCGAATCCAGTATATCCTATCCCTTCAAAATGCTTGCGTATGCTAAAAGAGTTGCGATGCAAGAACAAGAAAAACCAATCCCCATATATACTTAGTCAATACCAATCATGGTACCGTCGCATCTCCAGTCGTCGACTTCCACGCCAACTGGCGCAGTGTGAATAGCCTCGTCATCGATGGAAACGTGACTGAGCCAGGTGCCAACCCTGTTTTGACCGCGCTTAGAGCCATCGCGGGATAGTCCAGCCATTGCGGATGCGGTAGCAGTGGATGGACGAGTCGTTGGTGGCGGTGCTGGCTGTCGCTCGACGCGACGGCTGAAAAACGATGCTCGAGGAGCAGCGGAGCGGGGAATGGTGCGTGCTGCTACGTTTGCTGCTGGGCGCATCGTGTACGATTCGTTCATGTGATGCCCCCCTGCGTTGCCCACGGCATATACTTCGACAGGAGGATCTGCACGACGTGATTGCGATGCTAGCGGTGGGGGGTTAATGTGGAGATTTTGCATGTGTGACGAGAGTCTGCGTTCTGCTCGGTCCGGGTCTCGGTCTCGTCCGCTGCGTTGACGAGTCCTCGTGCTTGAGCGGCGTACTGGTGGTGGTGACGGTTGGTCTGGAAGTTCGATAACTTCGACCACGTCGTGCTGGTTCTGAGCGTAGGGGACGCGCATGTCATTGAGGCGGTCGTGGTCTTCGATATGCTGGTAGTTGAACCACGGGCAGTTGCAGGTCTTCCAGGGTGCTGCACAAACCATGCAAAATTGGGCGGTGCATCGACTATGTACTGTCAGTGGTTGTGTCATGGGACTTCAATGATCACGCTTACCATGTCATGTGGTTGCAGCCCTCCTTGAGCTCAACCACAGCCTTGCAGCTGTAGCACCTCTGCCAGCCTTGCTCCTTGGCCATTTGCACCAGACGGTTCGTCTCGTCGTCCTTGGGACATTCGCGCTTGGAATGGAACTTTTCATTACATAGGACGCACACCTTTGTTGAGCAACTGCCACAGCGAGCATATCTCCTTCCGTAAGTTCGATCCATGCGAATTCGCGATGGCTTGATCCATTGTCCGCATCCTTTGGTTGGGCAGTAGAGTCGATTTGCGGTGGTGTATTCTTGGTACTTCTTGTTCCACAGGATCTTGAATTTGTCGTCAAAAAGGCGGTCGGCATATTTGAGCGGAATATGCTCTGTTGTGCAGCATCGCGGCGGCATATGGGCTGGATCTTGTACGGAGAGTGTGAATTGGCGCTTGAGGCACGAATGGCACATGCGGTGTCCACATGCGAGCTTGACGGTCTTGTGTACGGGTAGCTCGTCGTTCATGCAAACGAGACAATCGACCCTTGAATAGTCAGCATCGAACCCGAATCGGGCCGGGAAATACGTACATAACAACCTCCTTGTGCACGGGGGTCGAAGGCAACCGGGGTGATTTGGCAAATAGGTTGGCAAAGAGGCCTCCAGTGCTGCGGCGCGCGACATCCCTTGTGGAATGTGATCTTGAGATTGGCGGTGGAGATGCGGGAATTTTGGTGGTATTTGTGCGTCGTACCGATTGCCTGGAAGCCAGTCCTCTGTTTGGCTCGCGCGCAGACATACTTCTGTGTACGGTCAGCACCTGCGGATTGATGAATTGACCAATTCTCCTACCTGCTTAACTTGGGAGCCTCGCCGCGGCGCAAGGAGGCAGTGCCGGAACCCGACAGCGGTGTGTAGGCCGTCCGATTTGAAGAACCTCCTGCTTCACTCCTCTTCCGCGTCGACGATCTGCGAATGGTTGTCTCTTCCACGGCGGCTCTAGATTTTGGCCGTCCATACACAAAGTCGGCGTCTCGGTCGTCTGCAGCCACTTCTCTCCTTTTCGACCTTCGGGTGCCTTCTCGTCGCAACTCTCGGGGCGCCTCCTTTACTCGCTCGCGCCTTCCTTCCTGTGCCATCCGATCCTGGGTGCGACGGCGCTCCGATGCTGACTGTGGCTGTGAGTAGTAGGACTCTCGCCGTGCCCTGAGCTCGTCAATATCCAGTTCGGCCTGCCGTCTTGCATCGTCAGCACGGCGGCGCTCTCTCCGTTCTCGTTTGGCGGCGGCGGCGGCTTCGTCTTCGGCTATCTCGCGGGATTTCCGGCGGCGATGTCTGCGTTCACGCTCGGCCTCTTCGTCGTCGTGGTATCGCGTGCCCCGTTCATCGCGATTTTTAGCCATGCCCGGGGGTGCAGGGCTAAATGGCCAGCGGAGCCAGCCTGGAGCCAGCCTGTAAGTCACAGGCACCGGCAGACTCTGATGCAGTCGTGCAGGCGGGTGCAGTGGAGGGGCGTGCTGTGCGGAGGAACCGGTGGGTGTGTGATGGCGAACAATGAGCGCCTGCAGCACAGGTCGAACTTGACCAGACGAAAGCTGACCACTCGCACGGGGCAAGCCGTCGGCGGTGAAGCACACGCAGAAGAACGGTGTGCCCGTTGATCAAAGTGCCTGCCAGCCCGTCCACAGGGGATCTCGCTTAGGCGGTTAGCGGTGGCAGGGATCCGCGTCAGGCGTCGATGGACTGGTGCCAGCTGTCTCAGCCGTGCGCAGATGATGTCGTGATGCTTCTGGAAAGCAAGCGGCTGTGGGATTGCGAGAGGATGCCGTGTCGCGCACTGGACGAACAGACGAAGCGGCCGACGATCGACTTGCAGTGCACTGCCGCTCAGGGCGCAAACTTTGGGCAGTGTTTGGCTGGGATGACTCGCCACAGAATTGCCATTGGTATATTGCAGCCCCTAAATATGCAGGTCGTGCGAGACGACAGCGCCCAAGTGCAGATTTTGATCCTCAGTCCTTCTCGAGTGTGATCTGTGTGGAAACCTCCCACTTCTGGCCTCCACTCCCGTAGTTACCGCCCAACCGGTTCCGCACCATACTGCCGATCCGATCGCGAAGACGACCAATTTCCTCCAAGTGTCGTACGCGCAGCTTGAGGTTGGCCTGGCAGAGTCCGTAGTGTACTTGCCAGAATTTGGCCTCTTCTACACTGCTGACTGCCGGGTCCGTCTCGATATCGTACATGACATCTGAGACGCCCGGGCCGGCGTAAGACATGAGGAGCATTTTGCCCAACGTCCAACCCTGGACCCAGCCCAATGCCACCATGCAAAATGCCACCGAAAAGGAGAGTGTGCGGTCTAACCACACGTACATCTGAATGCTCAGGAGTGGCAGGAGCAGTAGCAGCGCCGAACATGACAGAGTGAGGAAATGCGACGGGTTGCTGAGCACCGAGGGCAGGTTAGCAATGGCGCTCAGTCGCATAACCTTGCCAATGCGAGCGTGATTCTTCAGCAGGACTGCCGATACAAGCGTAGAGACAATGCCACTCAGGGCGGCAAGATCAATGCTGCCAGGAGACACTCGCTCGTGCGCGTCTGCGTGGTGCGCTTCGTGTCCGCCACTGTTCTCCAGCGCATGTGTCAGGCCATGCGAAATCAGATCGAGTCCCATAAACAGCAGTCCAACGGACATGCCCAGTCCTGCAATCACCTCCAGACGCTCAAATCCAAACGGATGCCGTATGCTAGACCGCTTCCAGACTTCGAAATTTGAACCAACGTCTACCGCGACGCAGAGAAACGCCCCGAGCGCATCGTAGAAGATGAGCCGGGACAGCACTGTGAGGGCCAAAGACTCGTGAGCGCCCCATTGCACAAGACCTGCAACTACCAGATGGCAGAAGCACCAGGCTAGGCGCAACTTCTGGTCTTTGGACATGGAGGATCGATACTCCTTGAAGGTCGGGATGGGTAGAGATGCGGGGAGCTGCAGTGGAGCGCGTGGAGCAGGTTCGAGGAAGATCTGGTGGGACACACTACTGTGCTTGTACTTGTGTCCGCGCCTGCGACCGATATCCTGCGATGATTAGAATCATTACGACCAGATCTACGGGTAACATACTGTTTGCTTGTTCGCTGCCTGTGGGCGCCCAGGCGCGTAGGCCACGGGCTGGAAGTTGAAAGGATTGCGAGAGCTCTCTGAACCGTCTACATCGTTCGTTCCACTTGTCATGCTCGCCGGAGTGTACGGGAAAGTTGCGCTTGCGGGCGTGTACATGGTGGGTGTCGCGCGCTGAGAAACAGAATCGCTGGGCCCCAGAGTTGCGAACTGCTTTGATGGGAACGTAGCCGACATGGGCGAAAGCGCGTTCACATCGTAGCCCAGCCCCCCAGGAGATAGTTCGCCATCGAGTCCTAGACCCACTGGCTGCGGCGCGTCTTGGTCAGGAGGCGGTGTTGGCGTGCGTGGAGGCCGCGGAAGGGGCATGTTCGAGGCCATGCTTGTACGGTAATGAGCGACTATAGAGAATGGCGATTAAGGGCAGCTCAACGCTATGCGATCATGATCGTGGGCGTGAACGCGGCGTGACCCCAGACGGCAGGTGGTGGGGAGATTGAGGGATGTCTTCCGTATGCGGCTGAATGCGGACCCCTGCAGCCGTTTTCTCCAATCAAGCCCGCATGCAAGGACCCGCCCTCCACGAGTGGCACCTGTCGCCATAAACACGACGCTGCCATTACAATCAACGCCCATCTCTTGATGCGAGACATGAAAGGCCTGGGCCGAGAGGTCTGAAAGTGGAGGTCAGTCGGTCATGGATCTAGACTACGCGCATTCCAGTGCAGCTGGCGTTGGTGGGCCATTTCAGGGCGCTGGAGACAAATTGGGTGAACAGACAAGGCGGCCGGATGGTTCGCCCGAGTCTTCAGATTCACGCTTGATGATGGATGACGATCCGGAAAGTGAGCATGTGGATGCTCCCGAGGAAAAGCCGTCTATTGCGTCTGCTGTGCATTGGAGAAAGAGAACAGGATCATTGCGGCAGGCAGCCATGGCGAAGATGCGAGAGCGGATTGTCGTCACACCACCCATGGCCACCGGCACGGCACCCTCAAAGGACGTGATGTCTCTAAGTTTTGGCGAAGATGCGTCGGATGAAAAGGGAAGGCGTTTACACAGTAAGCGTGCTCTGTCTTCGCCGGCCGGCAATCGCAACCCAGAGCAAAGCCTACGCTATGACCCGGGGTTTCTCGCTTCACCATCAAACAGCAATGCGGAAGGACCGTACGTTTCCACCACTGACGAGGATGATGTAACAGCTGCTCTCCACCCAACAGCCTCAAGCAGCAACTCTTCCTTCGACTATCCGGCCGCAGTTCCTGCAATGTCTCTCACCCGGCGTTCCCACCGCGCTGAGTCGCGCACTTTTCACACGGATGTTCCACCCCTCATGGACTCTGACCTCGAAGACGATGATTGGGACTACAGCGAGACAGAATGGTGGGGCTGGGTCATACTCGCAGCAACATGGATTGTATTTGTCGTCGTCATGGGCTCATGCTTCGGAGTGTGGAGTTGGGCGTGGGATGTGGGTGAAACACCATATGCACCACCCGATCTGGAAGACGATGACACTTTGCCTATAACGGGCTACTATCCAGCATTGATGGTATGTACAGCCGTTATGAGCTGGGTCTGGGTGGTGGTGGCATGGGTCGGAATGAAGTAAGTTGACATTGTGCACACATTCGGAGGACGTTACTAACTTCCAAGATACTTCCGACACGCCAAAGTGGTTGCAGACGACGGATAGCCATTGCGAACCTAACGGACATGTATCAACAAAAGCATGCATGAAATTTGCCGTTTCGGCACACCGACAGATTGCATCTATTCTCGGCCTCGCTAAATGCATGCGCGAAACGACCAATATGTTCCAAACACTAAGTATACCAACTCTTGTAAGCCACCACACAGCCTCGCCATTACATGTCTTACTCATATGCTCACAGGGCATCTCAGTTACCCCAAATCACGCTGCAGGTGGATTTGGAAAACTGTTACAGGACAAACGTACTTGAGTCTCTCGTGCCGTCCCTGCTCACAGCGATGTCTGCCTCGCTCCCAGCCGTGGGGCGCTCATTTCGCTGCATCTTCCATCCGCTCGGTTCACCCGCGTGCTAACTGCACAAACCCTCATTACCGGGCGAACGCACTTCTCGAAGCTTACCGAAATGGCTCAGAATTTTTCCGCTATGCTCCCGCTCCAACCTTTGTGGTATCCGTGCAGGGACATGACTTGTTGCTGCAATATAGATAAGGTAAGATGAGGCGCAATTTCCCGTGCCAGGCCTTTCGACATGACGTTCATGAATATAGACTGACAACCACAGTGTATGCATTGCAAGGAAATAATGATGGCTTTACGCAAGAATCCACAGAGATGTTGCCAGGAAATAATGATGCCACCAGTAGCTTCGACTAAATTCTTACCCATCACCATCGAGATCAAAGAAGCTACGGTCGTCAAGAAAAAGCGTCAGCTTCCACCTCAGCGCCGAACAAAGCGCTATGTTGCGGACGCACAGCGACATAAACGAAGGACCTCTCTCGCACAATTACCTCGGCCGACGAACGACAAACCCTTCCCATTCTTCAAGTTGCCGCGTGAGCTCAGAGATCAAGTCTATGCATCACTTGTAACTCGGACGGATTGCAGACGCTCCGTAATCTCAGCTGTATCTCTCCTTAGCGACAAGAAAGCCAAACGTGCTGCTCAGGCCAAACGTGAGCGGTTGAATCGGAGGCGCATTCTAGATGGAAAGTCGCCGGCCCGCACGCGAGACTCTGAATCAGAACCGATTGTCTATCTGAAGCTGCTGCAATCCTCTCGAAGGTTGTACGATGAAGCACAAGACTACCTCTACAGCAACAACTGGTTCGCCCTTACACTCGACAAACTTCCTTCCACGACGTTCGAGACGCCGTACGGATGGAACCTCTCCAGCATCACAAGACTGCAGATCGAGATCCAGCTCAAAGATGCAGCACATATGAACAGTTATGTTGACTGGACCGCATTCTTCTCATCCTTTACTTCTTTGCGGTTTCTACACGTCGCGCCCACCTTCCACCCGCGATACTACGATTGGGCTTATCCGGAACTGAGCAACTGGACGGCCGCGCACTACGTCCACAGGGCTTTCTTCCGCGAACTGCTGGCAGCGATACCGAGCCATGTCAACATCAATTTTGGAGACATCACCGATGGGAACACAGATTTACAGTTGCAGGGACAGGCTATTTGCCAGACGGTTGTCGCGAGCATGTACGCAGAGCTTGGCAGACGGTAACTGCATGTTATTGAGGCAAATGCGGCTGCGAGCAGGCATTGACAGTGCACATACCCTGCTCATAGACGGATCAGGCGTTATATTCATGCTTTCGGACGGCCCACACTTGAGACAAAATTACTATAGAGGTCTCATAATTCCTATTGTACTTGTACCTGTATACATACTTATGATATGACGGCTTCCTCGACGATAGACCAGTGCAATCATATCAAGATATAATCCGATATCATATTTGCAGATGAATGAAGTATGAAATTTGACACCGGCAGGCAAAGGAGCCGAGACAGCAGCGCACAACGTGGCAAAAATTTCGGCGAGTAACGAGGGTGCATCAACACAGGGGTAAAAAATAACATTCTCCCGCAGTCAATCAGGCATATCATGTCTGTGGATAGACTTGGAAAAAGCCAAAAAGAAAAAATATGTTTCAATCCTGCTAATGCAGGCACTCAGGATGTCCCCTTCGTGGATCGAACCTTTGGAAGTTGTTAGAACGTGGTTCTGGGCGAACTTGAACTGTGCAAGTACTTACACGATACCTCCAGATTTAGTGACTGAGACTTCAGTCTGGCGCTCTCCCAATTGAGCTAAGGAGACTGATCTCTGATCTTATTGGCTGATACTACAATTGTACATCTTATACACTACACGACCCAAGCCCGTAGGCCACAGTTGACACTTCCAAAGTCAGCCTGGTCATTTCGGCACTCAAATTCCCAATTGACCCCGCTGCTGTGCGTAAGGAATTGACAGTTGGCTACTTTGGGCTTAGTGTACCGAGGAGGCCCGCTCGCTCGCTCGCGTAGCGGACTTCCGAAGAGCTTCGAGCTACAAGCTCTCGTTGACATAATATTTCTTCCAGCTTTGGGTATATTGCAACACAGCCGAGTACAGTGATCTTCGCAAATATGCAGCCTTCACCTCTTGCCAACCCATTAGCTACCGTGTCCCAGCTCGAGACCTCGGGTTCGCTGCTTGACGGCATACCAGCCGATCTCGAGGACTCCGTTCGCTTTGCTGGCGCGAGACTTACACAAGCTGCTGGCATACTTCTTCGGCTACCACAGGAAGTTATCGCACAGGCGATTGTAGTGTTCATGAGGTTTTGGCTTGGCCCGGACGGTGGAAGTCTCGTCGAGTCTGGCGCAGAAGTACTTTCTCCCTCACTAAAGCTCACTCCATACTGACATGACACAGCAAGTCTCGGCATCCTCGCTCTACCTCACGACCAAACTCTCCGCATACCCAAAATCCCCTCGAAGCATCATCAATGTCTACGCCTACCTTGCGTCTTTCCCATCGACCTTCCTCGAGCCGAGCGAGTTGCAGGAACAGAAAGCAGAAGCATACTACGTCTCCGAAAGGCACATACGAACGTCGCCGCACTACTCTCTTCACCACGGAACAAAGAGTCCTGCGCACGCTCGGCTTCAACGTCCACGTCAATCTTCCATACACACTATGCATAACCTACCTCCAAGCTCTCGACGTCTTCACGCACCCACGGGCTCCAGAGCTCGCCAAACGCGCAAACGCATACCTCAACACCGCGCTGCTGAGTCCACAACTCTTGTTTCTGACTCATCAGCCGCCACAGCTGGCGACAGCGGCGATCTACCTCGCCGCGAGGGAAGTCGGCATCAAGTTGCCGGAAGTCGAGTGGTGGGAGGTGTTCGATACGGACAGAGAGGAGCTCGGATTCCTGTGTGTGGGCATGTTGAGTGTAGATGGATTCGCGAGACAAGAGAAGGAGAAGTGGGAGGGGAAGAGGGTGCCATTGAAGGTGGAGGATGTGCAGCAGGAGATGAAGAGGAGGGATGCTGAGGAATAGGACATCGATTCAAGAATACGACAGTAATCCTACTGGAAGGGAGGACACCAAACCCTGGTTTAAAATTGAGGCGTCCTCGATGTCGACTCACCAGCACTGTGCAGACCGGATCAAAGACCACCCGAAGCCCTTTCACGACCTATAGTGAGAATCCGCACAATGTCAGACCAGGCTACCTCTACACCGCAGAGCTTTCCCCAAGATTCCTCCGCTTGGCAGAAAACCTTTGTTGCACACAAACAGCCGTACCGTTACAATAGCTACGCCCCGGACCCAACAATGGAATACACATCCAGGTTCAACCGCATCAACCCAGAACGGTTCGCGTCAAAGATGCCTAGCCCATCTCACCGCCAAGCAACATATCGTAAGACACGCTTTGAATGTGACGAGCGAGGCAAGCGTCTGATCAAGCTTTCTCAACTCAATACGAAATCCGGACGAGATCTCGCAAGCTCATACCAAGCTTCACACATTGAGCCCGGCGCGCCCCCAAACTTTTCCCGTCCACGACCAAGTCTGCATCGGAAAACTTCGTACTGTAGCGAGAATAACCCTCCCAAGCCATATTACCAAGCTGACCTGGCCCCAGTAAGTAGGGAGGTACCGACACTGAAGTGCATGTATTGTGCGCGTACACCGTCTGATTTAGACGCTCTGCCGTCGCAGCGTGTTCGTTGCGAACCGTCACTTCTGTCAATTACTACGGATAGCACTGGAAGACATCAAATTGCGGTCAACCCTCGTCCGCGCCCTGCTGTGTCGCTGAAGCGGACACAGGCCGTTCGTCGGCCCAGCACCGTGCGTGTCTCCCGTAAGCCTGTAGCACTGCGTGCGTGAGACCTCTGACGGCAATATGCGGGACGTCTTGGATGATGCTGGTGCGAACAGGGCGGGCACTGCGCGGCGCTTTAGCTTTGAGTGCAAGCCGGAGAAACTTTCAATGGGCCCAAAGACTGTCCACGTTCCGGGAAATGGCGAGTATTTGCCTGTCAGTCTACCGCCGCGCCACCAGCCATGTCATACAGGTTATGTACGCGAACCGGCACAGACTTTTGATGAGATTCTATGGCGGATGATATATGCTGCTTAGGGGTGACGCAGCTTTCAATGTGTTAGTCATACCTCAAGATGGTCACAGTTCCTGGCACTCCCCAAATGTGTCGGTCATAGCTCAATAGTTACACCTCTTACAAGTCATGCTTTGATATCGGATTTTGAGTGTGCGATATATTCATACAATCAGACTCATGCACAATTAGACTCACGCAAGGAATGGTATAAGTTGACATCTTCCACACAGCTAGAATGCAGCACAAGGAATTAAACAGCCTTCATTTACGTTCATCACTAGAGCCCTCAATTCAAATCACGAGCCACCTTAATAAGCCGAACACTGAGAACGTTATGTCTAGCAGCGAAATACCGCAGGAGGATAATAGCTTCATATGGCTCGTTAATCGCCGTTCCGTCGACGATGGCGAAGGCAATGCTTTCGTAGACGGACCATTCTTAAACACCGATCACGATCACACTCTTATTTGTGCTGCACTACGGCGACACGGCATCTCAGCCGATGATTTTGGCAGCATCTTGCAGCGTCTGTTCGACCCCAGGAAGGCGCGGAAACCGCACAAAGAGTCCTACGGCGCGAGCTATAACATGGTCTCACTCAGACGTGAAACCAAGCAAGATGTAGCCAAAGCTATTCGAGCAACTGCCACTGGCGACGGGCTAGATCTGTATACAGTCAGAATCCCAGCGACGCAAGGCCCTGATGGTGAAGATTTGGCCGAAACCACTCTTGACTTTACTACAGAGAGCGTTTTACTGAGTGGCGGGAAGTACTTCAATCTTGGCTTGAACGCAAACCCGCCCAAGACTTTCCTGACCTTGGCTGAAGCCATTGAGCATGCTAGGGTGCAGTTGAAAAAAGGCATAAATTCTGAATACGACATAGCGTACGAGGGGTTTGAGAAGCCAATCTGCCGTGTTGCCGCCGGTGGAGTCGACTGGGAACCTCTCTGCAACAGGGCCTAGCGGCCAGGGCCAGGCTAAAATTGCTTTCTTGGTGCTTGATGGGACAGGAGTGCTGGTCGGGCAGATACAGTCGCTTGGTGTGTTTCTCAATAGGGTAGTCACTATTACAAAAGTGAGAGTGGAGCGAGATAAGAGGGAGGATGTATATGATTTGTATGTTTAGTTAGGTAAAGATTTCATAGAGCTATCTGAATTACATCTTCCTTAGCAGCTATAGCAACTGACTGGCACAAACGCCCCACTCCAACGCTTCTCTAATACCATAGCCGGCTTCACTGGGCCGGGCGTTCATGCCTTTTAAAGCGATGAAGTGATCTGACTGTATTTTCGATACTTCCTAGCATTCAGAGAGCCATAAAATATTTTGCCCATGATGTCTTGTATTTGTATGACAAAGAGATATGTTCTGTGATTCAATTGACTTCATCTAGTATACATATATGGAACCATCCAAACAAGCTGAATTAGACGATAAATCGCTAGGTGTCTACTATAGGCAGAATCGACTTCACTATAGATACCAGGTGAACACCTCCTTGAAACTTGTCTTTGATTATTCCATGCGTCATTCCTTGTTCAGCCTCAGACTCATATTCCCGAGAAACCCATTTCAACCCATCCTCCTTTGTCTCCATCTCCATCACCTGCTTCAGTACGTTCCTTGCATGAGCAATAGCGTCGTATTTTCGGAGAAAGCTAGCGGGGCGTCTGGATATGTTGCCCATGTTGAAATTCGCTCTCCCAGGTTTGACAAAAGAATCGACAGTATCTTCGTCTGGAAATTTGCACGCGTGTTCCGTACCATAGACTTCTGTCTCCGGCTGGAACACTGTCCAAATCTCAAGAGGCTGTTGAGTAGTCGCTGACGCAGCAGCCTTTGCGACCTCTTCATTGAATTCTCGTCGCATAATGATCATTTTTCGGATATTGGCCTTCGAGGATAAAGGTACTGTACGATCGCGCGTGCTTTTGTATACTGTGTCAAGTATAGTCTCTTGATGTTGGCTAGCGATTTCGTGGCGATCGAGTATCTTTCTTAGTGGAGCCATTTTATCATTATCGTTGGTGTTGACAAATGGTCCTTCCACAGTCACAATTGAACCCACGCGAATTGATAACCATGAAAGATGGTAGCTTTGAAGGGCGAGCATTCGACAGCTGAGACATTTTTGTATTTAATGTTATACTAAATCTGGAAAAGTGATTAGATTGCGGGTTAACAAACTCCACTTGTCCAAGACGAGGCTTTTATACTTGCAAATATGACTGTTTTGCTTTGTGACACAGTCTAGCATTTCTGGCGATACGTTTCAGACTACACGGACTCATCAGCGGGAGTTGGTCATGTTCTTGTGTTCTGCGCTATGACATAACTATTCTCCCTGTGTCATACGAAGTAGAGATAGAACACGTCGCTTCGTCACTCTTGAGCTCCGAACGCGCGCTTGATACTTCTTTCCTATCAGCTAGCTGTCTTGTGAGATCTTGCAGTGAACGATGTCATTCCGGAAAATTCCCACTTAATCTTACTGCTTTGCAAGTCTGATAGTTCGTGCATATTACACAGCGACTCACACGTGTGTCAAAGCATGACTAAGTATAGCACCCGGCACTAGAAACTACAGCCTATAATTCAGTATTCGAAGATCTTGATTGGGTACTCCGGACTTTCCCGTTTAGAGACGTGGAGCATGTTAAACTCCAACTTTCCAAAGGAACATACCTAGGTAGCAAGCACGAACCAGACACCTCCTTTCGGGCCTGGGTGAGGTGTAAAAGCCAAGGATAGTATACGGAAAAAAATCAACACATCGGTTGCCTTTTCTGACAAGTCGGTATATCTCGCATCCCCCATGCCGGTGGCTTGCAACCAGATAATCAGGCACGTGCGTCGAGCTCCATTGATTGAAGCAAGGGAGCTTTACATCCGGTCCCACAACCGCTATAGGCCTGGGAGCCTTCAAACTAGATGCTGCCACGGTATCGGATCTCAGAATCTGGTTTATATTCTATGTACTAGATTAAAGCTGATCAGATGGCTGAAAAGACTACATTTGACAAGATAAAACATTGTGGGTCCGCAATTTGCGCCGATGGCGTTGATGAATTAGCACGCGCAACTTGTACGTACCGATCTTAAGTACGACTCACTGATGCAACTTACCGGTGCGTACGTTCCTCTATGTTGGCATGGTCACTGTAAGACTCCTCGTGGCGACGAATGCTTGGATCACCTCCTGAAACTTCGACTACAGGCTATGAAATAGACGAACATAAGGTTACAATGCGCGGGAATTTGTACAAAAACCACGGGGGTAAGATACAGCAATAGCCTGCACCTTTCCAAAGAATTGCTCGCTATGTCTGTTCAGAACACTCTGCGTACTAGACGGCTGGACCTCCCACTTCTATTTTGAAGAAATCATAGAATTTTATGACATGGTTTGTTTCTTACGTGTTCTATTTAGAATCTATTTTCCTCATTGCCACCACATGCTTTGCAGCACGAATTAGAGGGTCTTGAGGACCAACCACCACTGCATACGACAGATTTTGTTCAGTATCAGGCCAAATTTCCGTATCGAATTCTACATCGGTGTTCTTCTTCAGCTCGGCCTTCTTCTCATTCAGCACAGACTGCACATGGTCCCAAGCTTCTTTATCGCTAGCAAATGACGAGATAGGCGTTTTGAAAGAGCCTAAATTGAAATTGCTCTCGCCAGATGTGACGGCCGATTTGATGGTATTCCACGAGTCTGGTTCATCCATATCAATCTCTCCAGCGGGTAGTTTTGGCTGGTACACGATCCATATTTCAATGGGCTTTCCTCCAGTCTCCTGGAAACGGTCGTTATACTCTAATCTTACTGTGACCGTGTGCACATTTCCAGTGGACGACGACGGATAGGCGAAGGTTTGGCCCTCCGACATCCCGTTCCTTTCATTTTTTGGATATATGAAGTCTATGATGAATTTTCCATACATGGCCTCGATCTTTTCCTCCTTTAAGATACATGTAAGGTGCTCAATATCTTGGTTAGTTCCGGTGTTAAAAAAAGGGCCCCCGATCTTGGCTTCTGACACGGGTGAGCTGTGGTAGTATAGCCATGCAATTTGATGGCGTGCTGAATAAGTGGCAGATGTCATTGAGATGTTTGAACTTTGTATGCTTGGGTGTATCTGTATTGTGTAATGTGGTGATCGTTCTCTTTGTGTTTGGAGCTTACAATACAAATCTCAGTCGAAGCTTATATACTGAAAAATGACTCTCAAAAAGATGACTACAAACATCGGTTCAGTCACTGTTTGTAGGACTTGGTAAAGCAAAAGCTGATAGACTGATAGTCATCGGTATGAGCAATGCAACTCTGACGCTTCATCTTTTGAGTCGATTATGAACAATGATAAAAAGTCTTCATGAGAGTAATAAACTCTGAGCCTAAGCTGAGATATGACTATGGCGTTGCGACTCACACTTTTGCGTCTGACCATAGCTAAATCTGGCACTAGTCACTCTTACTGACACGTGAGAAAGCTAGTATAAATCAAGGCCCATCAAATAATCTTCAGGATTCGCAACCGCCATACTCCATTATCCATATCCCGAAAACTCAATTAATATCTGAATCAAATTTCGTTTCAGCATGGCCAGTGCGGACCAACTCACTGAGGATACCGTTCTTTGGATTGAAACCAAGATGGCTACGGAAGACGCTTCATACGTTAGTGGCCCTTTTGGAATCACGAAAGATGGCCTGTCTCGTATCCACGGTGTACTTATTACCCGTGGGCTAGAGATAGCTAGCTGCGACAAGATACTTCAAGCATTCTCTGACGCAAAATTGACACCAGTGAGCATTAAATTCACTCAGGATGGTGTGGAGTTCGACGTTTCATGTAGATCCAGAAAAGAAGAACATATGTAAAGATAGATAGGCAATGTGACTGAGATTACTACCTGTATCAAGCATGGATTCGTAAGACACATAGGCAATGAAACTTACGCAAAAGGTATACCTACAAAAGAAAAGGTGTGAATGACTGTAATGCAGCATTGAAAAGTTCATATACATATCTATACAATCGTCACATCTGTAGAACAAAATTGCCTTCTAAAAGGACATGATTCGTTCGACTCATGGCTGAGTCTGGTACCAGTCATAGGTACAAGCACTCATACAAATGCTAGTACATATTGCAGCCTACCATGAGGTATTCAAATCTCTGTATTCAAATCTATCGGTGCTGTCTATACCCACAAGACCCATCTATCAGCTAAATCGGATCTCCCCTCCTACATGGCGAGCAAAACCCCAAACACTGACGATGTCGTCGTCTGGCTAGAAACTAAAAACGTTGAGCGGAGAGCTACATACGTCGATGGCCCGTTTGTAACCACAGAAGATAGTCTCTCTCATCTCCGCGACGCACTTGTCATGCGCGGCTTTAGTAGAGCCAATTTCCACCAATTCAAACAAGCACTCCTGGATACCAATCAGTCATTACTCAGAGTCACAATCAACGAAGTTACATGTGTATTGGAGATCAACAAGGTCATTGCTGAAGTCATACGAGCGACCATAACGGGGTCCCCAATTGATCTTTTCACCGTCCGATGCCCGTTTCTGCCTAAAGATATGTCTGTGGACGAAGTCCATGAAGCTACTCATTCTATCACCATCAGTGGCGGCGAACGTTTCAATCTTGGATTCGCGATATGGACGTTCTTAACGCTTGACGAGGCTGTCGAGCATATGAATGAACTGCTTCAAAAAGGGTTTGAGAAGGAAGAATACCATCAAGCATGGAATGATGGTTACCCACGCGGTACGGGACAAAAACGAGTAGTGCCAATCAGAGAGGATCTTGGAGTACTCACTGGGATAGTAGCGTCGACTTATACTGGTGTGGGGATGAAGCTTTGGAAGATGGCAACGGTGACTAGAATACCGGTACAGAAGGGGAAGGGACAGGATGATTATGACTTACGCTCGGAGGAGCTTTCTGGTCCTTTACTATTGAAGTGGCGTGAGTTTTCCAGGTAATGTAGAGCTAAGCGCCAGGAGGTCTTTGCAAAAGCATGTAGTATAATTTTCAGTCAGGCAGTATCTCACCAAGCAGTTTCATTCTTAATTTGAGATGAGAGTGTGGTGAATAAGTCGTAAAGTGAATATTATGAAAATTAAGAATACTACTATAAGGAATCACGGACTACATGCGATACGCCTCAGCGCTACCTCCTTCCGCCTCCACATCAGCAATATGAAACAGCAGCATCATGTCTAAGTTCTTATGAAAGATGGTGATCTTGTCAACAATCTTGTGCCCAAACCTTGACAGCACTCGCATATGTTCAAGATGACTTGATCCGAGGTTCCTACGCCCGGGTATTATGTATAAATACCTCCTGTTCCTGCCGACATTTATCTTTACCAAAACAAAAGCTCTTCTCTCACAAATGGACACCATGGGAGTGACATGTTGCTCTGACCGCCGGACCAAAAATCAATTCCTTGTGCTACATGTCTTTTCTATTCCAAAATTTCACGCATCAAGCTTGATGGCTCGGAGTGGGTCCAATTCTTCCGCAAATGCTACCTAAGTTGCGTCTCAAAAATTTCATCTTGCAACGATCCATGTTTCTGTCGCCCCTCCTCGCGACTCAAAATCACCAGCGGTTACCAGGGATGTCGTCCTGCGCTCCCATCTCGTGGGCTCGACGAGAGTAAATATCCCTCTCACCCCCGACTCCTCTCCCGCACAAAAATCACACTCGTGTCTTTCCACCAAAAGGATCTAAACTAAAAAAGTCATATTTGCGCCCTCGCGCTTCCAAAAACCACGAACACAAAAGACTTATGTTTTTCCCTCCTCGAAAGTCTTAGAAGACAACACGACCAAGCGCATCAAAAACCAAAGATGCAATGGATAGATTTCCTATGGAAGCACTCCAAAAAAAAATTCACAAGTACCCGATGGCATTCTCTCCTTCTGGCGGGATTCTACCAAAACAAAAGGCCAAACATAGTGCTATGCTTGTTCCGCGCCTCTCCCACGCTTCTCCTGGATCGAGATACATAAGCTCCTCAAACATTTCTCTTTCTTCCTCTTCCTCTCCTACATTCACACACTCTCTTTCCAGAAAATCTAAAAACAAATCGCGACCAAACTGATGGCTGTGCCCTCCCGCTTTCCAAACCCTCAATGAAGCGAGGGATGTCTGTCTTCTCCTAGAAATTCCAAACAGTTCTACTTGATACTTCTAAAAAGAGACAACCAATGCGCACACATGTGCGAGAGCGTGTGCCACAATCATTCGGATGTTCCATACATGACTGCCGTTCTCCAAGTCCAGACACCAAAAAGTACATTGGCGAACTGTCATGTTTCGTCTGTACTTGTTTCAGCATTAGGCGCAGGAGGCGCAAATAGACGCTGTTCATGGCGGGTACTGACCCTCCTGTACACTTACACAGCTCTCCTGTGCGTTCACAAAAAAAAAGAAGGCAACAGCAAAGACATACATTGTGCTTCGGCATCTTGTCCGCTGATGAAGACGCAAAATGCGGATGCTCATGTTCTGGTCATGATCAAGGCAGTGAGGATGGCGATGGTGTTGATAGTGATGATCATAATCATGATCATCTCCACCAAATCAGTGACAATGAAGCCCAACATGAAAGTCCTACAACGATAAGTCGAAAAAACCACGCCAAATTGCCATACAACCACATCATCCACACAACATCAATGAAGGTAGCAGCAAAATCATGATTCTTTGCACTAAATACATGTCATTTCGCCCAACCAATTCATTGCACGCTCACTCAGTGTGCACAATGCTATACAAGCACACCATCTATAGGCCTTGGGAGCCTGTTAGCGCGCTCGGCGTTCTTCAGACGAAAGTTTAAATACCAAGAGTAAATTCGACACCAACGTCAATGTCACGGGCCATCTTGACGACCTTGGAGAACTGCACAGACTTCTCGGCGGCGGCTTGTAGGTCGTCGATGGAGAAGATCTTGAGGCCGGAGTCGTTGAGCTGTGATGTGTTAGTGTTGTAGCATTCCGTAATTTTAATGTGAACGTACCAGCTTGTGTGCCGCCTCCATGTTGGTTCCCTGCAATCTCGCAATGACGGGGGTCTTCAGGTTCATCTGCTGGACGACCTGGATCAGACCCTGAGCGATGGCATCACACCTGACGATACCACCGAAGATGTTGACAAAGATGGCGGTAACCTTGGGGTCGGATGTGATGAGGTCGAAAGCCTGGCGAATAGCCTCGGGTGTGGCACCGCCTCCAACGTCCAAGAAGTTAGCGGGAGAACCACCGTTCAGCTTGATAATGTCCATGGTGGCCATGGCAAGACCGGCACCGTTGACGAGGCAGCCAATGTCTCCGTCAAGCTTGATGAAGTTGAGCCCGACCTTAGCGGCCTTGACCTCATCGGGGTCCTCCTGGGTGAAATCCCTCCACTCAAAGACCTCCTTCTGACGGAAGTCGGCGTTGTCGTCGAATCCGAGCTTGGCGTCCATGGCGAGAACCTGGTGGTCGGTGGTCTCGGACAGAGGGTTGATCTCGATCTGGGTTGCATCCCTCTCCATGAAGACCTTGTACAGCTTCTGGATGGTGTCCTTGGCATCCTCGATGCACTGCTCTGAGAAGCCGAGCTCGGTAGCGATGGTGCGGGCGATCTCGTCGGTAACACCAACGTGGATGTTGATGGGGGTGGTGATGATAGCCTCGGGGTTCTCCTTGGCGACAGTCTCGATATCCATGCCACCTTGCGACGATGCGACAATGACGGGGCCTTGCGATCCACGGTCCATGAGGATGGCGAGGTAAAATTCACGGCGCGCAAACTTGCGCTCGACGATGAAGACGGCGTTGCAGAGACGGCCAGCGGCTCCGGTTTGCTTGGTGATCAGCTTGTGGCCGATCATCTGGTCTGCGAGGATGGCGGCCTCGCGGGGACTGCATGCTATGGTCAGATATCGGGCATGGTGTAGTCGGTATGGTTGGTAGCATACGAGTAGACGACTCTGACACCGCCCTTGAAGCCGTTGTCAAAGGTACCCTTTCCACGACCTCCAGCGAGAACCTGGGCCTTGATAACGGCATCGTCACCGCCTGCGCGCATTAGCTTCGAGATGCCGTATAGCTCCTCAGATTGGCATACCGATGCTCTTAGCGACCTGCTCAGCCTCTGCGGCGTTGGTCGCAACACCACCCTTGGGCACGCCAATGCCGTACTGGACCCTGGTCAGCCTTTTGTGTTCCCGTGTCCATATCCTACACCGCGGGAGTGCGTACCGATTCGAGCAGCGCGGCGGACCTGTATTCGTGGATCGACAGACATCTCCGTTGCTGGACTGCAGAGCGCTTCACTGTGTTCTGCCGCGAGGTGTCAGCATTCCCTCCCAATTGCGATACACCCTGCGTAAGAGGCTTTTTGAACTTGGCGGAGTTGCGGTGGGACATACGGCAGCGCGGAGGGCGTTGGCCAGCGGCCGGGCGCGGGCGAGGTTGTACATGATGTCTGATCTGGCAGACACACGACGGGTATACGGAGAGGGGAGAGAGGTGACGTTGGAGCTGGGGCAGGAGCTGCTGCTGTTGCTGCTTCACGAGGTTGTTGCGGACGGCTCTAGCGCGCCTGCCGAGAATTTACCGGGTCTCGAAAATGTCGCGGCCGGGAACATTCAATGTCCACCCCAGTCTGCTTGACTGAACATCAAAAGTCGCGCAAAATGTCCAAGAGAGACAATGAGGGCGACGTGCTCGCAAATAGACTCAGCCTGGGGCTTGCGAAGAACCAGAAGCTGCTAGCATCATGGATGGGCACACAGCCAGATGCACAACCAACAAATGACATCGTTAAAACTGAAGAAGAAGATCATGAGCTGAAGCAAGATTTCTTTGGCCACGACCGGTATGTCTGACATGTCGAGAACGTTCGTCATTCACTAAAACTACACAGGCTTGGCGTTGGCGGCGTATTACCCAACGAGATCGCAGATGGAAGCTTTACTAGGCGAACCATCACATCAAATGACAAACTTCTGGAGCAACTGATTGGAAAGAAGAAAGCAAAAGCTCACATAGCTGCAAAGCTTCAAGCTGAGAGATCTGGTGCCCAGCCACAGTCTAGGCCTGGCAAAAGAGAGGTTGCCAAAAAGGAGGAGAGCGATGATGAAGAGGAGGGACGAGCGGCCACGTTCAAGTCGAAAAGGAGGAAAGTTGCAAAGACCAATCCTGTTCCTGCATCAGACGACGAGGGCGATCTGGAGCAAGACGCCTTGAAAGAAGCAGCACAAGACAAGCCCATCCAAGGCGAAGTGCAACCGCAACCAACAGAAGAACTACTGCCTACCAAGAAGTTCTACGACGACGTCGAACTGGAACCTGTTGTCAAGAAGAAAAAGGCAATCCCAAGCAGAGGCAAAGCAAAACCAACCAGCTATCTCGACGAACTGCTAGCCGAGCGTTCGAAAAAGAAGCAAAACAAGAACAAGAACAAAACTACCACGGAGGTATGACCTCGGTGGCGGATGATAATAGCGTTTTGAGCATTTCAATATGATACCCATTCTACTCCCTCACAATCAAACTCGCCATCCCCATGCCCGTCCCAATACACTTCGACAAAACACCCACCTGCTCGCCCCTCCTGCCCAACTCACTCAACAACGTCGCCAGCATCCTCCCACTCGTCGCGCCCAACGGGTGTCCCAACGCAATAGCACCACCATTAGGATTGACATGGTCCATCCTATCCTCGAGACCCAGCTTGCGCACGCAATACAACGCCTGCGACGCAAACGCCTCATTGATCTCCCACACATTTACATCCTTCGTTGCCAGGCCCGTGTAGTCGAGTAACTTGGGGATAGCGACGGCGGGCCCAACGCCCATCTCGTCGGGCTGGCAGCCGGTGACTTGTGTGCCCGCCCACTTTCCGATGATTTCCTTCTCGAGGCCGAGCGCGATGGCAGTGCTGCGGCGCATCATGAGAGCCGCGCTGGCGCCGTCGGAGACTTGACTGCTGTTTCCCGCTGTTGACGCGCCGTCTTGGCTGAAAGCTGGCTTCATGGTAGCAAGCTTCTCGATGGTGGTGGTTGGCCGGATGCCGTCGTCCTCCTCGACTGTGATGGTCTTGACGTCTTCTGGCGTTTCGGGCTCGATGCGGCGTGTGGTTACGGGCACGATTTCGTTTGCGAAGAGGCCGGTTTGACGCGCTTTGGCGGCGAGGTGGTGTGAGCGTGCGGCGAATGCGTCTTGGTCTTCTCGCGAGACGCCGTATCGTGAGGCTACGTTCTCGGATGTGACGCCCATGTTCATTATGCAGTCCCGAGCTTGCTTCACTGGGCTGTCTTTCAAGTCTTGCCAGAGCTCTGTGGGGATGGCGCGGCTGCCGTAGTTGCGAGTCATGCTCTCCATTCCACCGCCGATACCAATGTCTATTTGTCCAACAGCAATGGCATTTGCAATGTTGGTTACGGCGTTCAATCCTGAGGCGCAGGCCCGGTTCGTGGTGCTGAAGGATGTGGTGGTCGGAATGCCGACGTGGTTCGCCGCCATGCGGCCAGCTTTTGAGCCTCCAAGCTCAGCGAGGACAGTGCCGATGCATACGTCGTCTATCTTTGCAGGGTCGAGGTTGGGAAACTTGTTGATGGTGGCTTTGAGGACCTAGACAGCTGTTAGATGAGAACCAATTGGACAATTCTAATAAACATACTGCAGCAAGCAATTCATGGTCGTATGCATCTCTTAAGCCACCCTTCTTCGCTCGTGTGACAGGTGTGCGAAGGGCGGAGAGGAACACGACATCGCGAGGGTTCTTCTGAAGGATGTTCTTGAGGCCTTTTTGCGCGAAACCTGCCATTATCAAGTGTGAAGTGTGAATGCAGCGCTAAATGAGGAAGAGATGAATATTACAGATGTGGCACACGCGGATATGAGAGGTTCAACAGCACAAGAGGCTGGAGAAGTTCTCCATAGCTGCCGCACGTTTCCATGGCTGTTGCAAGCTAGAGCTCCCGATGCTGGAGTTCGGCAAGTGAGCGCGGGGCGCGAGCTCGGCTAAGCTCTCTTCCCCAGACAGCATAGCGGAAAAAGCACGGAAAAGCCTCGGAAATGTAACGGGCTTTTGTGCCGGGAAGACTGGGGGAGAGGCTGAAACGATGCTCAGTCTCGAAATACATTCAGTCAATCTAACATGAGTAGCACTACGTCCAAAAGAGACACCCGGCACAGCGAAGGCGCGCACCAACCTTCCCAGAACAGATCCTGAGCCATGTTCTTACATTCCCTCCTGCTGCCGTGTTTTCGCCGCCTGCCGCCAAATGCTCCAAAATCTCAAAGAAACGTGTCAGGGGTGCCGTGACGATCGTGTCATGATTTACGCGGCGGGGTAGACGAGGCGGAAGACGTCGTTGAAGACAAACCACTGCTCAGCATCCTTCCTGAGGTGGAAGACCTGGGTGAAGGACATGGGCTTGTCAGAACCCTCGACCTGATGTTGTGTTAGGATACAGGATATGGGCACCTTTACAGTCAGCAAAAACCTACCAAAAGTGCGCCGGTGACCAGAACAACGATGCCGTTCTCATCCACGGGCTGGCAGTCGACAGTGTCGGTACGGTGCTGTATCTGCTGGAATGGGAGGTTCTTCTCAAGTGAGTACTCATTCGGACTCCGCGTCGGCGCATGAATCTTACCTGGAGCTTCTCTACGATAGCCGGGGCTCCCATGATGCCCTGGGCCTCGAATGTGAGCATGGACTGGTCGCGCTGCAACACTCATGGTAAGTCTGTGTTCCTTTGTTGTGGTGTTCCAGCACGTACGTAGAGCGCCGCAAGCTCGGCACGGTTCCTGTCGAAGGTCGCATAGTAGTACTCGACGAACTGCTCTAAGGCGCATGTCAGTCTCGACCGAGGCGTGAATCAGCCGCTCAGGGACTCGGCGGCGAGGCTGGCGACGTACTGCCAATTGCATCAAAGTCGGCTGTCCGTATGGTTAGTCGCGTTGCGCAAACATGGAGGGGTAGCTGCAGTAAAGCGTACCCATCTTGAAAATGGAGTCTGATAAAGCTGGGGTTGTCGGGCGTGTGTGTTCTCGTGTAGCGCGCGATGGCCAGTTGGTGAGTCAATCTGTGGTATTGGTATTTCCTTCGAGGGAGTCTGGCGGGATGCATTCGACGGGCTGCCTTGGTGGGGCAGCTGCGCCATCGGCGGTGGCCCGACATTTTGCCGGGCAGCCTACTAAATCTTCTTCGCGTGCTAAACCTGCGTTTCTTCACTCTCCAACGCGCAGTCAACACGTCGCATCCAATCTGATGCCTATTGTCGTGGCAGCTTGACACGCGCACGCCACCTACTGCAATAGATTACAGGTAAGCATTCACTACATCCTCCTTTCGCTCTATGATGATTACACTTCAAACGATAACTTCCGAGACTACACGTCGGTGAAGTCCAAAAAATTTCAAGCTCAACAGGCTGATCGCGCTCATCTTTTTCTATGCATCGCACTGCTGTTTATGTATACATGCTGACGATGAAAAGGTCTACAGGTCTGATGCGGAGCCTACATCATCGCCGGTCAACGTCGACTCCTAGATAGACTACATGCGCCACACAATATATCCATGCCCCATACACACGCTTCTCTCGCCTTGTGATGTTTGAATCTCGCGCTCTACAAGCCCTTCTTCTGGAACGACTTGACTGTGTCGACGATCGACTGTTCAAACGTCTTGTACTTGAGACCCAGTATATCGATCGACCGCTTGTTGTTGTACTTGTACAATCCCTTCTCGGGCGTGCCTTCGGGGTAGTCTCCGCCGGGCGTTGAGTCGCTTGGCAAGTCCTTGAACTCTGGGAAGTTTTTCTTGATGATCTGGCACATTTCCTTGTTCGAGAAGTAGCCGGCAGTTACAAAGAAGCGCTTGTTGGCAGCGTCAGGCTTCTCGAAAGCTGCAACATGCGCCTCTGCCACATCGCGTACGTCCACCCATAGGTGTACTCCGCTGGCAGGTATCTCGTCCTTGAATTTGCCTTGTGCTGCGTATAGGATGCGCTGGTTCGAGGTGTTCATGTTGTCGAGGCTGTCAAGGGCGTGGACCTGATCATGTTAGACGATGCACAGAATTATAGTCGTGATGAACGTACAATAGGACCAAAGACCATGGGAGGGTTGATGGTGGCAAGGGTGAAGTTTGGCTTCTCCTTCTCGACAAAATCCCACGCAGCCTTCTCAGCAAAGGTCTTGCTGGCTCGGTAGCCCATCATCGGATTCTCGGTCGCCTCTTCTGGAGTGATGGGGTTCCAATCCGCCTCTGAGTACTCGTGGCCTGGCCAGAAGCCCTTGTCTCCATTGACGATGGATGCGAAAGACGAAGTGATGACAACATGCTTGACAGACGGCGCGCTCTTCTTGATGGACTTTAGAACTCCAGTGGTTCCGATGATGGCGGGGTCTAGCAGGTCCTGCTGCTGTGAGTCACGTCTTGTGGTGTACAGACTTCGAAGCTTACCTTCTTGACATCCGTGACGTTGAAATGGAACGGGCTCGCAGTGTGCAAAACAGCTTCGAAAGGTGGGTCAGACACTACCGCCTTCTCAAATGCGTCTGGCTGAGCGATGTCTGGCACAATAGCGAAGCCTAGCTGGCCTTTTTCGACATATTTCTGGTAGGACGCCTTGATCTTGTCTGCCTTCTCCTGTGTTCGGACAGTGGTGACAACCGAGTGGCCGTGTTCGAGGAGAATGTCCAAAGTGTGAGCCGCAATGAAGCCGCTTCCTCCGGTGAGAAGTACTCGAGTCATCGTTATGGTAATATTTAGGTTTCTATAGGACGTCTTCGAATGGGCTTGATGTGAGAAGTCGGTTATGTCGAGTTATCCACGCCCATGAGCTGGCGAAACCAATAAGTATTTGTAGACCCTCATAATCCACCTAGCGCGGGGTAGCTCTTCCCCGAGCTTCGGCATTGCGTCTTTTTTGCCGCAGATAAGTCCCATCGAGTAACCTCGATTACAAAATGCTCCTTGTGGCAGGGCGTTATGTCCGTTTTCCGTTACGTCCCGCAATCCAGACTTCGACCATGACATCATCATCATCATTAATGGTGCATTTCCGGAGCTTGCTGCTTCTGGAACTTTGCTCTTCCTGTCCGTGGATCTATTTGCGTATGAGTATTCTGGAACAGCTGTTGATCTACTGCATCGGGAGTCTTCTTATTCTTGCTGAATGGGTTGTGCAGCTCTAGGAAAATGCCACAGCAGAGCCATAGCTTCATGGTAAACACGCGATTACAGTTGTTGCTGCGCTGTTGCGGAATGAGGGTCCGTGGCTAGAGCGATACTATTCGAAGATCTCTCCTGTCTCAGGCTATTCCAGATATCCAGATGTGTAGGTGAATGCTCGCGAGATGCTGTCAGATTCATCGCGTGTCTGAGGCTGACCCTGCCGCAGCATCGATGACGCTAGTCAGGATCCCTCTTTCTTCGCTCGAGGCCCCACCATAGCTCAAGCTGCAGCCCACTTCGCCCCCTCCGCCACCTTCTTGGTCTTCCAATCCCATCAGACTTCGGACTCTTTGCCATCGTTTACCCGAGACCAGATCCAAATATGGAAAAACCCCAGGGGTCATCAAAGGGTCTCTCGACGTCCAATTCAGGTGTAATTGCGGGGCTCGAATCGGAATGAGGGGCAGCTTTCTCTACTGTGTGGGCGTCTGTTTCGTCTCACTATCTTCCTTCACACTATCTTGAGATACATTGAATATGTCGACTGCAAAGAGAAGCCCACCATTCCGCGCTGAGCATGTTGGCTCCCTGTTGCGACCACAAGAGCTTGTCCAAAAGCGCTACGATGTCGCCTCAGGAAAAGCTACGCAGGAGGATCTCGAACCATTAGAGGACAAGACTGTTGCAGAGGTCGTCAAGATGCAGCAGGGCTGCGGTCTGAAGGTCATCTCGAGTGGAGAGTACACAAGGTAAAACTACGCGAGTTAGCACATGCACGACTGGTCGAGCTAATACAAGCTAGGCACATGTTCTGGGGAACATTCTTCGAGACCCTCCACGGAATGAAAGAGCTTCAACTTGGCGTGCTTAAGGGCTATGACAAGGATATCTTCCGAGCATATGCTCCGGATGTCAAGTCGTTCATGGAGGCCAAGGAAGTACCCAATCATGTTACCGTGTGTGTCGACAAGATCCGCCACCCAGGCGTTTCTAGCAACCAGCGCGAAGTAGATCTGATGAAGAGCCTGCTTCCAGAGAGCGAGTGGAAGAACATCAAGATTACCATCATCTCGCCATCATGGTATCACTTCCGCTACATGAACGGGAGGAGCTTTCCCAAGGAGGTGTACGCAAACGATGAGGAGTATTTCGAGGACTGGTCGCAAAGGCTTACCAGGAGGAGCTGAAGATTCTGCACTCTCTGGGCATTAGGAACATCCAGATCGATGACCCGAACCTGGCATACTTCTGCTCGCAAGACATGTTGGAGGGTTGGTCCGCCGACAAGACGAACGACAAGGACCGCCGACGAGATGTTCGACTCGTACGTCAAGTTCTACAACAAGTGCTTCGAGCGCCCCGCAGACATGCACCTTGGTATCCATCTCTGCCGTGGCAACTACGTTGGAAGCCGTCACTTCTCGGAGGGCGCGTACGACAACATCGCGAAGAAGCTGTTCCAGGACCTGAACGTCGACACATACTACCTCGAGTATGACACACCCCGCGCTGGTGGTTTCGAGCCTCTCGAACACTTGCCAAAGAACAAGAATGTCGTTCTTGGTGTGATTACATCGAAGTTCCCCAAGCTCGAGGACAAGGATGAGATGATTGCACGTGTAAACCAGGCTGCCGATTGGATCGCGAAGGGCACCGGCCAGTCGCGCGAGGACGCGATCAAGCAGTGTTGCGTCAGCCCACAGTGCGGTTTCGCATCGCATGCCGAGGGTAACGACCTTGGATACGAGGACATGAGGAAGAAGCTACAGCTGGTGAGGAGTATCGCGGACGCGGTGTGGCCAGGTGAGCCATAGATTTGCAAGGGATTGCGGAGTTTCAGGGCGAGAGATATGTGCGAGATCACGGTTGATTCAACCTATTGGAGCATCGGGAGGCGCTGAGATGATAAAAATGCCTATTCAACACGGCGTTTGTACAGAGGAGGCGGCTGTATAAGATAACGAGCCTTGTTCTCGAAAAGTGCTTCAAGGCTACGAAGCCAAATAAACGAAATACAGGAGCTTTAGGGAGTCTTTCAGCATTCAAATGATCATTATTCAGTCATACTCAAGTCATCGACAGCCTGAAGTGCGCTGTGAGTTTTGACGGCGACTTACTATTCTCCAGGCACAGGTCAATCTCACCTGTGAGCAGACCTTTGCTCTCGCAGAACACTTCCGGTCATTTTCTGCATCAACCTCGTGGTTGTAGACTCTATGTTGATTGACTTGTCTATGAACTGAGAGCGTAGAGTTAAACTTGTGGATCCCATGAGACGTCGTGCGAGACTGTAGAGATGCTGCGAAGTCAGCCTGTCATGAGAAGGCTAAGCCGTCTTCCAGTGTTCGGTGGAACGTCGGTTCGGCAGAACATCGGCTTGGAAGTATAAGTACTCTTCCAATCGTACATACCATCGAACAGGTATGAATGCTAGCTGCGCCTTGAAACTCATCATGAAGGCTATATCGAACGCCGGGAAGTCTCTTGCAATTTCTTCCTACATACACGACTCGAAATCGCGGTTTGATGCGTGTTTCGCGGAGTTCTTTGCATCGGTGCACTTAGTTTTGACGTTCCGAGGCTTGGCGCGCACCCCACCCGATTCCAAGGTTATGGCCGTTCCCCGTGCCTCCGCCGCGCACTCTATCAACGTTGTTGGAGGACTGCTCACGTGCCATTATGTTCAGCCTTGCCCCGAAAGTGATCTCAACACCAGTCATCCAGACGCAACATTGTTGTCGGACACATACATCTTATCTTTTGGGTGAGTTATTTGTAGAGATTCTTTGGCCCTAAAGCTCGAATTCGACCCGATTGCTTCCAGGCTAACACTCTGTAGCGACAATGATGTGCCTTGGTCCATCACTAACAATGGACCATCACGACAACATGACGGAGATGTTGAATGTGATTTGATTAGGAACACTGGGCATCGTAATGATTTTCTTGTCGACGAGTCCGCTTTCACTTCAAGTTTGAGGTACGTCACAGCACGACGAGCTTGACGGATCATGATCTTGAACAACGCGTCTGCTTGCTGAGCATCGTCTCCCATATTTGCTGACTTAGTATAGTTCGGGTTCTTCCTCGACAGTACATCACACCGCAACTACATATGATCATGGAACAACCAACTTTGCTGCTTTCGACTGGGTTGGGGGTTTCTCTGAGCAGCCTGGAAGCTATGAAGCAATGCTTCCGCCCGACTGTGCCGATTCCATATATAACTTACCACTCTCTATGGTTGACGGTTCCAGCTGCTCCGACCACTGGCACACCAATTTGCAAGTGGACGTGGTTGGAGCGCCTCACGGAGCTTTCGCGCGTGACACTGTCGAGCCATATCTCCTACAATGCCAAGACGGATTGAGCATAGAAGATGATGAGCTCGACACAACCCGCACCCTGGACATTTCCAGTCACAATTCGTTGCCGGAATTGCTCTCGTCTGCGGCCGTAAATGTCAGGCCACAGGGGCTAGGGAAACGTTCTCTCACACGAAAGGGAGAACACCGGCAGTGCAACACATCTGTTTTTCGAGAATGGCTTCATATTAATGGTTTAAGATCATACCCTAGTCCGGACCAAATTGCAGAGCTTGCGGCGATTGCCGGAGTCACTGTGAAGCAGGCACGAAATGCCCTTAGTAATTTCAGATCCCGCATGCAGCAGAGTGAGTTGCCTTTGGAGCCCGGCACCTTTCTAATGTAGTAACGTCATGCGTAGAGCTTGGAGAAAATGAGTTAAGGCAATGTCACACTACAATAACTCCGAAACGCAAAGGTAGAAGACGACACGTTTCGAGGTTCGACAAATCGCATCAGACAGTTATACCTTCACCATCCCATGCCTCTAGCAGAAGTGGGCTTGACGCAACCAGGGCATATCATTGCACTGCGTGCCCGAAATCATTCGAGACCGCGTATAGCTAGAAAAGACATGAACTAGCTGTGCATGGCTACGACGATACTGAATGGGTATGTATGCTCCTCGGTCCTGTTACTCCAGAAGGAGAATGCGTGTTCTGTCGCGATCCTGTCGAGGACATGACTCACTTCGACATGCACAACCTTCACGACTGTCTCGAAAGCAACATGCACGAACGGAGCTTCGCCCGCAAAGATCTCCTTAAGCAGCACATACAACAGAAACATTTTACAGACACGGAAGAGTCGCTCTCGAAAGCCTTTCAAGTTCCTCAAGCGTGGGAACAAGAGGTGGATGCTATCAACATCAATAGCGAGGCGCTTTGGTGTGGCTTTTGCACATATATGTGCGATTCCGTTGCGGATCGTATGGAACATGTTGCTGATCATTTTCGGAATGGCTACGATATGGATGGGTGGGCTTATCTAACCATGTGACCCCACACATTCAGACTATGCTGGCCGTGGTGCAGGAAGCTTAGGATTTTGGAATTTCTTTGTTTATTACTTTCAGGGTGGCTTTCTTAGAGCCCACAGGGAATTCTTATCATAATTCACGACATATGGAGACTTCACGGTAATAGAATTATATCATCAACTGGGCCTTTACAAACCCCTCAACCTGGCGTGCTATGATTGAAGTAGTATCATTACATAAGTTTTCAACCATGCAGTCTATCCGGTTGGAGGACCCGGAAATGTTGGGGTTGTTGGTGACGTCGGTGAGGCTTTGTAATAATGCTGTGCCGCACGGCGTGGTCATGACAGTAAGCACTACAACATGTCGGCCAGCTGCAGCAACCCATCCCTAACGATATCCTCTCCGTCATCTTAATATGCGCATCCTCGTTATTGGTGCTTCTGGGCGCGTCGGGAAGCTGGTTGTCCAAGATGCGCTTGCACGAGGTACGTGACGCGGCTCCCTCACTGCCTAAGACCTTGGGTGGTTTGGCACGAATTGATGATACGCAGGACACGACGTGACAGCGCTGGTGCGGGATGAGGCTTTTCTTGAATCCATTACTACCTCGGCCGCCAACAGTGCTCTTACCGTAGTTCAGGGTCAGCCTCAGAACCAAGGCGATGTCGAAAAGGCTTTTACCGTATCTGGAGATGCACCCAGCACCGTCGTTGTCACCCTAAATAGCGCACGCGCCAGCGACAATCCCTTTGCAAAACAGACATCACCACCGACGCTTATGCACGATGCCCATATTAACATCCTCACGGCCATGAAAGCGCACCGTACCCACAAGATTGTAACACTGCAAGCACACGGCGTCGGTGACTCGTTTCCAACACTCTTCATGGCAGTGAAGATGCTCGTGCGCTACTCCAATATGGGCATCGGATACAAAGACCATGAGGAGGTGGAGAAGCTCATCAAGCAGAGCGGTAAAACATTCGTCCTTGTCCGCCCTGCTCGCTTCGTTCCCGGCAAGGCTGCTCCTGTTCACGTATATGAAAATCAAGGCGAGGGCATTGGCTCATTTAATACTACTACCCGGGAGAGCGTGGCAAGCTTCCTCTTGGATGCTGTAGAGAAGGATGAATGGGACGGTATGACACCTGTCATCAGTAACTAGTTTATTTTGACATGTTATGCTGTTGGATAGTTATATCTTGCTTCCAGGGCTTTTTTGTCTTTTCCTACCTATCTGCGCCGTTGACCAGTCTCATCCACGCTCTTCATCGGATGCTACCCTTTTTTGTATGCACACAATAACTCATATCTACAGTTTACGACGTTTTAAACCTCTCAATATCAGTAAGGACCCATATAAAGACTGCACGTAGGGTCATAGCAGAAAGTGGATGAAGAAAACTTGATGGTTGCAGTGAGAAAAATGGACTGCAGACGATGTTTATGGTTATGTATATCCGAGGTGGAGATCTGACACAAGGACTCGATGAACTATATGGGATATAAGTTGCTCAATCTATGGTATTCCTGCTTGAGAAGGATATGACAGTCTTCACGTATCGCTTGGAAACTGATCGTTTGTGTAGGCATCGTCCAATCCAGCTGTAACTCAGTCAATGTGAGGTAAATTCCAGAACGTATTAGAGACAATGTAGACGACAAGCTTTTGTAAATGAAACGGTTACTACATCTCCTAGGGCGTTACGTCGAGAAAGACTATGAACATTTAGTCGATGCTTACGTAGGTGAGTGTTTGCGGAAGGCCGTACACTTTCCTAAAGCATAGTTAATCAGAATACGACATGTTTAGCTCTTAACTAAAGCCTTCTGATGGGTGTCTGGATCAAGGTGAAGCGCAATACACCGCTCTGCTGAAGAGGATCGGCGCTAGGACACGCGCATGGCAAACGGAGAGAACGCGCTAAGAAGCTTCATATCCTGCGGCTCGGAGCTCATCACCCTCTACTGTCTCGTCACCACATCCGCAGATACTCGTGTTTCGCGATGACTGCCACGGATCCCGCCTGTGACGGCACGTTCGATATCCTGGACAACTTGCCCGACAAGATCCGACCAAAATATGTCGACAAGCTGACCAGGGATCAAATGGCCCAAGTCATTCTGTCGGTTTGGCGAGAGAGAGATGCTGCAAAGGCCGACGCCGAGAAGCAGTGTATGTTAAGAAGGTGGTGGAAATTAGGTCTTGAAGGCACTGACATCTAGTAGTGACCTCCAAGCTTCGCCCCGTGTCTGATGCTTCTGCTTCGTGCAAGTCACAGGCGCCCATACTACGCAGTGGAGCAAATTGTAAGCATCTTTCCTTTCGGGCGGACAACAAAGTGGAAATTGACATCCAGTAGCAAGTGCCATCGACACATCCGCTAAGGGAACGAAGCACACTCGCGTTGAGAAGCGACCCATGGCGACTGAGACATCGCTCGCTCTAAGTCGAAAGGTTGCTAAAAAGATAAGCACAAGCGCAAATGGAGAGCACGATCTCTGCGACCTTCCCCGATCCAAAGACAAGACTGATGAGGCCTCCCGCAAGAACACCAGAGCAGAGACAGAGGATCCAGAAACATTTTCGACGAAGGTAGAAGAGACAGCGATCAGGCCAGAAAAGGACTTTACGCCACCCATCGCAGATGAGAACCAGACGCGACATCTACCACTCATGCTCAGCCTGAAGAAGGAAGATGAGAGCACAGATTACAAGAACATCCAGGAACTCCCATCCACTGTGCTCTCAGAGCTGAGGATGCGCTTCGCCGATAGAAGCACCGGCAACAAGTCCAGGGTCATAGCCTACAACAGACTCTTGGGTAGCCTTGCCAAATACTCAGAAAGACAATTCTGTGTCTGTGATCAAATCTTCAAAAACCTGAAGGCTACACGAAAGGGAATACCTATACTATCTCAGACTTTTGTGAAAGGTGGTAGACTAGGTGTGAGCGCAGACGACAAGTGCATTGACGAAAGGATGCCTTGTGTACATCTTGTTCGTAAGCAGAAGGCGGGTGAGGATGAGTATATCCTTGTCATTGTGCCTCTACCAGAGCAGTTACGAGGCAACGCCAAATGGACAGATCTAAAATTCTGGGTGGTGGAGTAGTCATGACGTCGACGCAGGGACGGGAGAATACGCTGGAAGCCAAGATTGGGGAACGAGCAGAGATTGATGAAGTTGAAGACCATTAGAGTATCATATCGAAGCATACAGTGCTGCATGATGTATTGGCACGAAACAATAAACGACTTGAGGTCCTCAAAATATGTCCCTGATAATACACTTAGATCAGAATGTACATACATTATTCATTGTTTTCCCATACTCAACGTCTTTGGGGCCGATTAGGGATTACAGTATCACTTATACCTCATGCGAAACCAGAGAGGGACTTCGTGCTATTCAAATGCGTGGGGGGCCAAGGCCAGAGGGAATTATGCTCAAATATATGCTCTTCTTTACTAGACTAGATGTGCCTGTGGGTCAGCATCGCAACAATCTGCCTGAGTTCAGCAAATCCCACGAAGGGACATGGGGCTCCCTGTGTACCTTCGCAGTCCATTATTTGACCCAAAGCAAACCAGATGCACGGTGGTGATATACAGGACAGTTTGTTGTAGTTTATGTTGGATGCCGAAAGGTTTAGCCAACCACACCAAGGCTGTTTGTTCTTTTATCTATATATTGCTTACAGCAAACACGTTCAGATATAGCAATGCAAAAGTGTTGCGAAAGCTATACGGAACTCTGATATAGACCTAGTCCAAGGTGAAGCGCAACACACCGCTCACACACCGCTCGCTGTCAACATGATCGGTGCTAGTGCATGTTGTTGGCAAACGGGAGCACGCAGTGCATCAAAACAAACCTCACGACTCCCATCTGACGCCGCTTTCCACCCCCGCCGCTTCACACATAAAGTACGAAGCCTCGCAATGGATACTTGCGACCCTGGCATTATTGGTACGCTCGAGACCTTGGCCGACTTGCGCGAAGATGGGCGCCGTCGATTCGTCAAGCGCCGCACAAAGGAGGAGCTGGAGGATATCTTTGTGGCTCTCTTTCAAGAACAGGATATGGAGAAAGTCAAAGAAGAGGGCCGAGGTAATTGTGTTGGTCTGCATTGTAATATAGCGATACTAATTATTAGAAGCTTCAGTTCATGGACCAGCTCCAATTCAGACACCTATCGTCAAACCCGACGAACTGATGGCGGACGCCGATGACGAAGGTGGCTAAGACTGCTGTTGCAAACGAGCTCTGTATCCTAATATAATGCAGATCTCCCAACGTCTAAGAAGTCTGTCTGGGATCAGATTGATTCGTTTGAGGACTCGGACGATGATTGCTGTACCCCAACGCATACCGCAACCATGCAGGGACGCAAGCTACGCAACTCCGCCGCGACGAAGAATGGAGCTGCAAGCTCTTCTCCATTCCGATCTGTACAGAAGGAAGTAGCGTACAAACACATCATGGGCAGGCAACCCTCGACACTCCCGATGAGAATCGCAAAAAAGGACACCAAGAGGCCCGACCAAAACAAAGATGCCAAGGTCCCACCGCCTTCACCAGAGCATTGCAACAACTAGTTGTCCGTCGTGCTCCACGTCCCCGGTAACTATAACGATGTACACTTTCCCGGAATCGATCAGCTGCCGGTCATTGTCCACTCGGAGCTCAAGCGCCGCCTCGACAAACATCTCATTGGGTCAGCATACAAGACGTACGCGTTCGACCGTCTGTCTAAAAACCCGAGCTTCTACGAGGACAGGCCATTGTGTATCTACGAGCAAGTCAGGTGTGGTCTAAGGAACAAGGAATTCGGAAAACCAGTGAAGCTCCAGGCCTTTACACAAGGAGGAAGGCTGGGTCTGCGAGCCGACGACAAATGTATTGAAGAAGGCATTCCTTGCGCGCATATCAAAAAGCTGGATGGTGAGTATGTCTTTTGCATCGTCCCGCTCCCGAAGGATGCGCAAAAGAGTGTGAATTGGAAGGAGCTTGGCTTCTGGGTTGTGGAGTAGGGAACGTGCTGATCTGAGGAATGACAGTTGCTGTGCGAGATTACTAGCAGCGACGTAATGGCTCAGCATCAGTCATCTGGTGTATTGGCGGTAGGATGGTGCTACATGGATGGATCAGCGGAGGTTGAGATAAAGACGCAAGATCTCTGCAAACAGCTTGCGTAGGACAGCGAGGCAACTAAAAACATGCCACCATTGACCTTTGTTCAAGTTTTTGGTATCTGAATACGCACTAGAGTATGTGGTCTGTACCGTCGCTAGGATGACAGCGTTCCCCGACGCTGCTCGATGTACCAATTTCGCGAGAGGTGTGCCCTTTCGCAGGTCCTGCTCACGTCACAAAGCAGTCTTGTACTAGTCGGAGGAATTGGGTGGGAGCTCCTTCCCTCTTGTGCTCGGGGCCATGTTGTTCCGTCCGTCGTTTGTCAATACGCTTTTTCTCTCACTTCTTCCTACCCGACCTCACTTCCGCCACGCACACCACCAGCGGACAAAGCTGGAACACTGCGCAAGCATGACCACCAAAGCAGACCCCCATGCATTGCTGCAAGACTTACAGCAGCTCTCCGAAGAGGGCCGCGATCGAATGCTGATGCTGCTGCCACGTGAAGCAATCGCCGAGGCTTTCAAGGTAGCTCTTCAATTCAATGACAGCAGCGGAGGAGACGGAAGTGGTACTTGTGAGTAAAGATTTTACCTCTAATTCTGCGCTCACGGCTAATGCAATGATGGGAAAGCGCAAACAGCTGAGCGAAATACTACAACGGAACAACGCGGCCGCGAGATAGCCCTCGCGCCTTTGAACGAAAGGAAAAGACCAGTATCTCTTGCAGCGATGATTCCCGAGAAGAGGATGCAGCAAGAGCGACGCCCACCTGTCCGTTACGACTCGCCACTACAGAGCCGCGACCCTATAGCATCCGACGCTACTATCAAGGAAGAGGCGGAAGTCATTACCATTGACGACTACGACACTGTTGAGGAAGATGCAGTCGTCAGCGAAGGCAGTCCCAGACCCGTCCAGTTCAACCTTTCAGGCACAAACAACACTGCCGAGCCCTCCGTTGCACCACGTTCACCCTACAGAACCAGGGCCCACGGACGCCGAGACGAGCCCACCAATGGCCGAGCAAACGAAGAGCTAATTGATCTGCCGATCCTTCTCAGTATTCTGGGACTCCATGGTAAGGTAACAATGAAGGCTATCGATCACCTGCCTCCAGAGGTCCAAGGCGAGCTCGAACGACGGTTCAAACGGATGTGGTCGCTCAACGAACACAGGCAGAAGGGATACAGCCGAATCGCCAGCGAGCCAGAAAAATTCCTTGAGACGCCGTTGTGCATCCGCGACATCTGCACAAAAGGCAAGCCCACGTCTCGGCAGAGCGAGGTCTTCCGCACGCAAGATAACGTCAGTGCAGACGATAGATGCGTAAAAGCCAAAGAGCCTTGCATGCACTTGATAGTGCAAACTTATGCTCCTACGTTGCGCATGGTTCCATTGCCAGAGGTGGAGCGCTACCAGAGGACTTGGACAGACTTGGAGTTCTGGGTTCGACCTTAGGCTACGATACGTCGAGAGATCGGGCAGCTGAGTGTCGTGGATCAGCAGAGGTTTGGGAAAACATATCAAATCGTATATGTATGTATGAGGGTACAGAATGGGTGGCAGTACGAAAGAGGTCGAGGCGACTCTTGTGCTACATGACCGGATATCATAAGGGGCAACTGTGTCGGATGGGCCATGCTAAGAGTCCCAAAAGTTGGAGATTCCGATATGACAGGATGTAGAATGTGAAGAAATATATTGACTCACTTTACTACGATAGCGATGAAGGATATATGCTACCATGTAGCCTCATTAATTATTGCAGAGATGGTGATCACCGTCTACCACGAAGGGGCTACAATGTTCAAGGTTCTTTTCTGACCCAGAGCGATATGATTGCGGACCATATCGAACAATCACAATCGAATCGCGTGTATCGTGAGAATATGCGCTTCGCTGCAATGTGCCATGCCCAGTCATCGACCTGTCGCTGCACGAGTTTCCTCGTAATGGTCCTAGTGATTCTTGTAGGAGACCCTGGCGGTCCCATGACGCACCTTTGAGGCGGGTGCTGTGTGTACACCGCCCTAGCATGGCACTGGACAGTAACTTTCTTACAAAGCCTTCTGTTTGTAATATCCTCGAGCTCTTCACACAGCAACCCACTCGCCGCTCCATATCCCATCAGTCTTACATCCCGGACAACTCGCATGATCGCATCCCGTCGGCTTAGTGAAGTCGTATTCTTCCCACGTGACCACTTCTTCCTCGTCCCGATCTGCCATGGCCGTATCCTCTGCTTCCTTCTTGCCCTCTACACTCTTCTCCACCGCCACCTCAGCCACGACAATCTCCCCCTCGCTCTTCGGCACAACCACCTCTTCCTTCTTCTCCCCCACCACCACCCCAACCTTCTTAAACCCCTTCCCCGCTGCGCCGCCCGACCCAATCTTCGTGAACCGACCCCCAGCACCCATCTTCCTCCCCGCCTCCTCGACATTGATACTCCGCATGTCCAGGCCCTGCTTGGGCTTCTGGCTCTCCGGGTCGGCGTTGGAGGCCGTCAGCTTCTTCATGTCGGCCAGGCGCTGGCGGTGGTTGTGGTCGTAGGAGCGCAGGTGGTTTTCATAGTCGACTTGGCGCGGGTAGCCCTTGTCGCAGATTGTGCAGTTGAAGAGGCGGACGGCGGCGGGGAGGGGGTTGTTGCGGGGGGGCATTTTGGGCGGTGGTTTTAGTTTCTATATATGTGGAAATCGGGGTGTAATGGGTTATTGTTTGCGCTTTGGTCGGTCGGTAGAGACAGTAAGAGTTGGCGCCGCTGTATTACATGTAGAGTTTGTAGTCGTGAAGTGGAGTCGTGAAGTCGCGACCGCGATACCTTCCAATAACTTTACCCACGCCTCGGCCCAGCACAGACCTCGATCCACACCGCGAATCAACGTCCCTCCATTCCGCCTTACCACAACTTTCCCCAGCCCAACTCCTTCACACACACCATGTCCTCGCTCCAGGACGCCGACGTCCCGCCAATAGAAGATGCCGAGGCCGGCGTCATGGGCCTGACGCAAGTCGACCCCTCGCCTGTCGAAGAAACACCCATCGAGTACCGCGAAAAGAGCTACTTCCCCGACCAAACGCAGGGCGAGAGTTGGGGGCCCGGCGCAAGTGGCGTGAAGAGGACGGGGACGCTGGGGCTGAAATTGGGGGATCATGGGGTGGTTTGGTGGTGTACGTTTGCCATGCACATGCATACCATTTTTACATTCCTGTCGAGTAGTAAAGATGTGCGGGTGGCGTAACGATATGTGCGAACAGTAACACGAACACAACGCTACTCGTCCTACGCCTTCACGGTCTTCACTTCCTTCCACATCGCAAACGTCTCCCTCATCCCGCTACTCACCCGCTCAGTGTCCGAATCAAACCGCTACCTGCTCCTCACACGCCCGTACTACCAGTCCTTCCTCACCGAGCCGCTGCATGGTTGGAATCCCTCTCGTCGCACACGTCACGTCGGGAATCGCACTGCGCCTGTATCGCCGCCGCCAAGCCTTGCTGCGCTACGGCGCCTGAGACGAAGACGGACCGCAGGACGATTCCCTGGGCCTGCGCTGAGCGGCACGAGTGCGTTGGGCTATGCGCTCGTCCCGCTGGCGAGCTTTCATGTGTGGACGACGAGGTTGCTGCCGCGGTATGCGCATGGCGATTCAAGTTTGATCAACCTGTCGTACATATCACACGGATTCGCCAAACACCCCATCATCTCCTTCTCGGGATTCACAGCGCTCGTCGGCATCGGCGCATGGCATTTCGTCTGGGGCGCGGCGAAGTGGCTGGGTTTCGCGCCGTCACAAATCTCGGCGCACGAGAGTCAGAAGTCGCTGGTTAGGAAGCGGAGGTGGTATGGCATCAACGCCATCTCCGCCGTCGTCGCGGGGCTGTGGTTAGCAGGCAGTCTCGGGATCGTGGGACGCGATGGCCACGTGATTGGGTGGATTGGAAAAGAGTACGATGACTTGTACAGCTACATCCCCTTTCTCAGCACGAGCTGAGGGCAGGTGACGATTGATGATGATATTGCATAATCGGGTTTTGGCATTGTAGGATACCCCCCCTCCCCCTTGGAGCTAGTAGTTGATGTATATCCGGCCTTCGAGCGGTTGTAGCATATATGGCGCTGCTTTTGGGTATGAGCTTGCGAGCAGCTTCAGACCGTCTGTGTCGGGCAGAGGCTGCGCTTCGGTCGTAAAGTTCAGCGCGACGACGGCTGTCTTGTCCTCGTACCGCTTCCTGTAGACGAACGTCTTCTCGTCATCCACATCGACCAGCTCGAATGTACCATACACAAACACATCCTTGTGCTCTTTCCTCAGCTTCAACAAGCGCCTGTAGAAACCCAGAACACTATCTTCATCCCCCTCCTGCGCAGCAGCATTGATCTCTCGATAGTCATCATGCACCCTCATCCACGGCCTCCCCTCCGAAAACCCCGCATTCCCACTCCCATCCCACTGAAACGGGAGTCTCGCATGATCTCTCGCCATGAGCCGCAACCCCCGCCCAATCCTCTCCCTCCTCGTCGGATCCGTCCCATCCTGCGCCAACCTCACCGCCTCAGCCCAGTAATTCCTCGCCTCGACGTCTTTATACTCGTCCATATCCCAATAGCTCGGGGCATTAATCATACCAATCTCCTGTCCCTGATACAAAAACAGCGTCCCAGTCTGTCCCACCAGCCACAGAGCCAGCATCTTCGCGCTCTTCTCGCGCCACTGCGGCGCGTCGTTGGCGAAGCGCGACACGCTGCGGCCGTTGTCGTGGTTCTCGTTGAAGACAGTGGTCCACGCGTCTGTGCCTTCGATGAAGCATTGCCACTTCTCCACGATGCGCTTCATTTCCGGTAACTTCCACGGCGCGAAGTCGTATTTGTCGTTGCAGCCGGGCGGTCCCTGGCCGAGATGTGTGATGTCGAATTGGAATACCATGTCTAGCTCGCGCTGCATGGCGCTGACGTATGGGATGACGGATTCTGTTTCGGGGCAGAGGGATAGCTCGCCGACGGTCACGAGTTGTTGGCCGTCGTATGTGCGGTAATGGGAGAGAACGTCGCGGTTCATTTCTTTGATGAATTCGTGTATGCGTGGGCCGCTGCACCACATTTGTGCTGCAGGCTGGATGATGCTTGTTGGGTCTGTGACTGGGGCATCTCTGAACGGCAGTACCTTCGAGTACTTGTTCACTGTGTCCACACGAAAGCCGTCTATGCCCTTGTCCAGCCAGAAGCGCATCGCTGAGTCGTAAATCGCGCGGCGACAGTCTTCATTCTCCCAATTGAGATCCGGCTGAGTTTTGTCGTAGAGATGCAGGTAGTACTCTTGTGTCTGCTCGTCCCATGTCCAAGTGCCGCCCGCAAAGTATGATCGGTAGTTCGTTGGCGGCATGCGGTTGCCTTCTTTATCGTATCGCGCCGGCCGCCAAAAATACCAGTCTCTTTTTGGGTTGTTCTTCGAGCTTCTGCTTTCCTTGAACCATGCGTGTTGGTCGCTGGTGTGATTGACCACCAGATCAAGGATGATCTTCATATCGCTCTCGTGACACGCCTGGATCAGTTCTTCGACATCCTTCACAGTCCCGTATGGCGCATATACTTTCTCGTAATCTGAGATATCGTAGCCCATATCGACCTGCGGCGAGTCAAACATAGGCGATAACCACAGCACGTCCACTCCAAGAGAAGCAATGTACTTGATCTTTTGCAGTATACCGGGTATATCGCCCCAGCCATCAGAGTTGCTGTCTTTGAACGATGCAGGATAGACTTGATAGAAAGTTGCTTCTTTCCACCATACGCGCCTATGCTGCAGCGAGTTTGCATGTGGAGACATGTTGCTTGTGGTCAGGTAGTTTCAGTGTTGTATGAAATCGATGAGTGGAAAATACAAGCTCAATAAGAACTCTCAGACGACGTGCGAGTGATGCTGCTGAGCCTTTGTGCATTACCCCAAAGTCATTTGCTCCCGTTGGACCTGGTATTTGATAATGCTGCCGAAGCTGATGTGATATGCTCAGACATATACCTTCATGGGGAAGAAAGAGACCAGAAGAGAACGAAATAGGAAGAAATGGGAGAACGTGTCCTGCGGCGAGCGTCGAGAAAGCCGTTCACCCATGTTCGTCCGCCAGCAGCACGAACATCTCGCGGCACAGCCAATTGGTTAACCTAAAGCACTCCACTGATGGGTAGTTGATACGGGTGAGGTGGTGCAGCAATCTGATTCGTGAGAGCCCCACCTGTAAGCTCGCCGTCTTGCTTCCGCGCTGTTCCCGTGTTGCTTCCGCGTTGCTTCCGACTTGGTTCCGCAAGATCTGCCAACCTCAGTGCGTCTCTTTCTCGATGGCGTTTCTCGTTAATCAACTAGACTGGCGGAAGCACCGCTAAGGCGTGTAATTCAATTTTCGTTTCCCTTACCGATGCAGCGTAGGCAGGCCATGGGCAGCCACAGGGCATTTTTCGCATGGATCTTGAGCTACGCTAAACCCCATATATGCACCCCAGAGCATGAGCTGATCGCGGGACTCGTTATCCCTGTGCACGATGGTCGTGTATAAGTTCTCCAAGGACCTCGTGTAATGATCTCAAGCAGTTCTTGCCACGTTTCTCCTTTCCTGTTATACGCAGACGGCCGCCATGGCAGATAATGAAGCTCAAGCATCTAGCAAGACGAAGGCCGTGCTACCCAATGAGGAAGCTCAACATGCTGCTGAGGACGAGAAGTCGATGACTCTGTTACAGGCCATCAAGCTATATCCGAAAGCCGTTGGATGGTCAGTCGTCCTCTCGAGCGCCCTGATCATGGAAAGGCTACGATCTTGCCCTACTGGGAAGTCTATATGGTAGCCCACAGTTCAACCAGAAGTATGGTGTATGGAATCCTAGATCAAGGAAGTGGAGTGTCCCAGCGAACTGGCAATCTGCCTTGTACGTCAAAACAATTGTTCGATCTTAGTGAACAAGCGACTGATGAGTGCAGGTCCAACGGCGCAAGAGCAGGCGAGGTCATCGGTTTGATCATCAACGGATTCGTGAGCGAGAGGTACGGCTATCGCAAGACCATGGTTGGAGCTCTGATCTCAATGATCTGCTTCATCTTCATCCTCTTCTTTGCTCCAAACGTACAGACGCTGGTGATAGGCGAGGTCTTTTGTGGCATCCCTTGGGGCATGTTCCAAACACTTACTACTCAGTACGCTTCCGAAGTGGCTCCTGTACGACTGCGTCCAATATTGACGACCTTTGTGAACATGTAGGTAAGCTTCTCAATTTTGAATGCAATGTCTGACATGCGCCAGGTGTTGGGTCATGGGACAGTTCATTGCAGCAGGTGTGAATCGAGCTTGCGTCCAACGCCCAGATCAATGGGCGTATCGCATTCCATTCGCCATACAATGGATCTGGCCGGTGCCCATCATGATTGGGGTCTTTTTGGCCCCGGAAAGCCCTTGGTGGCATGTACGTCGTGGTGACACGGCTGGTGCTCGGGCTGCTTTGCTTCGACTCACCTCACCGGATAAGGATCCCAACTTCAACGCCGATGAGACAATTGCGATGATCCAACATACGAATGAGCTCGAAAAGAGCATGACCGAGGGAACGAGCTGGATGGATCTGTTCAAGGGTACCGACCTTCGGCGAACGGAAATTGTGTGCTTTGCTTGGATCGCCCAAACAATCTGCGGAACGAATATAATGGGTTACTTTGCATACTTCATGCAGAGAGCAGGCCTACCGACGGTCCAGAGCTTCAATATGTCCATGATATCGCTTGCATTAGGTCTGGTTGGAACCATGGGAAGTTGGTTTTTGATGCAGCACCTTGGCCGGCGCACCATCCACTTCTCCGGCGCTTGTACCCTCTTCGTCATCCTCATCATCGTCGGGTCCTGCTCATTTGCTGGTACACAAGCATCGAATTGGGCCATCGGCGGTATTCTAATCCTCTTTGTATTTGTCTATGACTTCACGATTGGGCCGGTAACTTATTCAATCGTTTCAGAAATGTCCTCGACGCGGTTGAAGGCGAAGACGATCGTACTGGCTCGAGCGTTCTACAATATCAGCAACATCGTGGTCAACGTTTTGACGAATTATCAATTAGGAGACGCTAATTGGGATTGGAGTTCGAGGACTGCGTTCTTTTGGGCAGCAACTTGTGGTTGCGTCGTTGTTTGGGTGTATTTCAGGCTGCCGGAGCCGAAAGGACGGACATATGGTGAGCTTGACTTGCTCTTTGAGAAGAGGATCAGCGCGAGAAAATTTGCAAGCACGCATGTCGATCCATACGGCCATGTGCAAGGAACAGATGCGGAGATGGAGGGAAAGATGGCGAAGCCGGAGTGGAAAGAGGGACGTTGATATGCACCTGATGTCGGGAAGGCGCGCTGCGAAAGTGCCCACTTTGAGCAGTAGCTTTATCACACATGATCGCCATAGTGATGCGCAAAACTCTCGTGGTCCCTTCGCCGTGCCATCTGCAAACTTGATATGAGCAATGTGTCGATTGTGTTGTTGAATGGAAGATTCGCTGTTCAGGGGCGGGGTCTGTTCACGTGACGGCTTCGCGTTCCTGATGTCAACGGGTGGACGCGTCGCGAGTAAATCTTCGCGAACTACTTTGCACCTCAACCATCGGGATCCAAAAAATGGTCGAATCGAGACATGCCACCAGTACCTACTCGTAAACCAGTCTCTAAGGCTTGTGATGCATGCCGAAAACGCAAAATCAAATGTGATGGATGTCAGCCGTGCGCTGGCTGTGCCGGCGCAAGCCTTGCATGTACTTTCAATTTGCCTAGAGGACAAGGAGGTGCAAGAGCCACGGTTCTCGACCAGTTGCGAGCAATTCCATCGTCTAATATAGCATCGGCGACAGCAGCACGATCTTCCAGTCTATCGATCGAGCCTGCCAGTTCCGTATCAGCCAGTTGCAGCCTCGTGGAGAGATGCATGGATATATATATCACCCACGTCTATCCCGTTGTACCGATATTGGATGTCTCCTTGATAGAGGCGCAAGTAGCTCGACAAGAAATCTCGCCACCCTCCCGCCAATTCGTTCAGGCCTTTTGTGCCTATGTCAGCAATTTTGGGAGGATGATCCCAAGCTCCGGAGATAGACATGAGCCCAACTTCACTGAAGAATCAGGCAGGCGTCTTCTCGATGCCACGATCCACTCTCAAAGACCATTGACCGGGCCAAGGCCAATCTCGATCTCAGTATACACCTCGTTCTTCCTGTACGGGGCATGCGCTGGCCTAGGGGCCTATCAAGAGGCATGGTATTTTCTTAAAGAAGCCACGACTTGCTTTCTGATGGTAAAACCAAGTATTGATTCTTGCGATTGGTATGATGAGAAGACACAACGCCGCCTATTCTGGATTCTAGTCGTTTCTGAGAGGTAACTCAATTAGTCTATCTAGACTGATGAACGTTGACTTATAAGTATGCAGGTCGCATGCTATACGCAAAAATCGGCCAATCACCCTCTCGATATTCGAGACTAGCCTTCTGCTGGATGGACCTAGAGAACAAGGCTTGCAGTACCTAGCATCTGTCTTTCGGCCATTCGATGAGGTCTTCTTTTCGGTCTGGAATGGTGCAACTCAAAGTTGCAGCAAAGAATGGCTTCTCCAGCTCGAGTATGATGTCCGTACTGCGCTACCTCCGGAACTCGATCTGTGTCACGAGGAGATAGCCAATCTAAGGATATCTCAATGTTGGTTACAGATCAAGCTATGGGAACTGTTTCCGCGCTATGGCTTTCTTTCTAGCGAGTCAGAACATGATTGTCTGACGTTCGGTTATCCTCTGATGATCGCAACGAGCTTCACAACTATAGCAAGGTCACTTCCAGTGTCCAGCTTAAAAGTGCATGGGGTCGGAATGGTATGCTCCATCCTTATTTCATCCTCGACGACTCACTAATTAGCGACAGACTGAGAAAGTGTTCGACATTGCCTGCGCTCTTGTTGACGTACTTCCGTTTCTATCTCAGCCATCCTTGCAATCACAACTTAGCCACACCGACTCCCTAACTCAAATGCTCTCTGTTCTTGTCCAACTACCGGGCGGCAATACCAAGTTTGTTCCATTGATCATGGCCAAGGTACATGAACTACTGCCAGATCTAGTCCGGGATCTTTTAGCAGCTGTTGACATGCCATTCGAAACTTTGAACCACCCGATGAGCCCAAACACGCGATTCTTATACGAGGAAGAAGTTGGCCGAGGGTTGTACACAGATCTGAGAAGGTGAAGATGGCGAGAGCTAAAGAATGTATTCAAGGCAGAGGTGAAAGCCCCAGCATTCGTAACTACAGAAAACCAGAAGACAAAACAAGAAAACCAACACCAGGCAGACCGAAACCGCGGGACCAAACAACCATCGCCACCAGTAACCAAGAGAGCCAACACCCACAGACACAAGCCAGAGCGACTGCGCTCAAGAGAACTGCATCGAATGCCTTCGTCGTCGCCAAAACGTGTTGTCGTATTTGCCATTGACGACACGCTCGAACGGATCATTACCGGGACCGACAATGAAGGCAAGGTCGTCCGCAAGTGTCAAGTACCTCATGTCCCGCGTAGGAAGAGGTAGAGGCTCAGGCGCCAGCACCCGAGCCCCGCTCAACCAGGGCGGGAACTCACCGGTCTTATCGAGGTACTCGATACTCTCGGTGAGTCCAGGCATCCGCTCGGGAAGAGCGGCGTACCAATGGCACAAGACGACGGCAGAGAAGAAAGCGGCAACGGCGAAGACAGTGCGCACAATCGCACAAAAGGTGCTCCAGACGAGGTTGATGTCGTGGCGGTGGCGGCGCGCAAGGCGCTCGTGCCAGTCTGTGAAGCCCGAGCCCGGCGTGTCGCTGTCGTAGCTGGGGCGGGTGAAGAGGAGGCCGAGGACCCGACCCAGGGTGCTCTCGAAGAAAAGTTCGTTTTTGGCTGCAAGCAACCAGAAGGAGGTGGCGACGAAGATGAAGAGGTGTTTGAGGGAGAGGGAGTTGCGCCGGTGGAAGATGAGGCCTAGGCCCCAGAGAAAGATGGTGCCGACCGAGACGCGGAGCTCATTTGAGCCTGTGGAGAAGACGAAGAGGAGCACAAAGCTCAAGAGGATGCGGGCGGTGGTCTTCAGGGACAGCATCTTGGTGGTGCTGTCGAAGGGATTTGGAGAGGTGTTGTGATTGTGTTATGGAGTAGTAGCTGCGAAGCTTCAAGTATTGAGGATGATGTAGAGGAGGAGATTGCTGAAGATTGCAAGTCTGAGGTGCGAGCGAGAATTATATTAGGGAGTATTTCGCGGTGAAGGACGGCGCACAATAGCTACAATAGGAACAATACGGTGAGCGACCCCCCAACTCTCACGTTCACCCCGCCTCCAACTGAAAACAGCGCCGTAGGGGTATTGTGCTGTGCTCACTAAGTGGACTATTAATGCGAAATAGGCACTCAATGAGCAACTATAATGATGAAAAACAGAAAAGCGGCAGAAACTTCCTCCTTCACCCCGGTTGCATTCATGGTCAAGGCCAGACTACCAGGCATACTATGCGTCCTCGAAAGGCTCCTGAAAGCGTTCTAGGTACTGGGCACTGTATGCCCGACCCCTTCGCCTCGAGATGATTGGCGTCTGCGATCTCCTTGGAGGAGCCACGTCAGGGACGCCTAGTGTCCGCGTGGCGACTACATACTCTTCCGCGATACCTGGAGACATGACTCGGTTTGGCGGATTGATGCTATTTACCCCAGCGCGAGTAGTTTGTCCAGGCGCAACAGTACGAGGTGGTTTGATTCCTGTGCCTGAGTCCTTTTTGCTTGCGTTCGTGGCAAAAGAGGCCCTTTGAGTGTTTGCGCCGGGGGGGTTTAGCAAGCCCACAATTCCATCCTCTTTCTCGCTCTCTTCTTCAGCATTACCCGTGTTTCTGGACTTAGGATGAGGCTTCGAAGGGGGATCCTTTGGCTTTGGCCGCTTCTTGAACAGCCTCGCGAGCGAACTGATGTTCGATCGACGTTCTGTCTCTGCGACTACAGGCGGTGGCCGGGCCTCATGGTCAAAAGCTTGTGGCCTGCGGACTTCAGCGAAGTGCAACTGCCCAACAAGAGTGGTGGTCTCGTTGGGTGCAGGTGCTGGTGTAGGAGTACCTGCAGGCAAGGGTTGAAGCGGCCTCGAATGCTTTTCGAAGGTCAGCATGTCACAACATAGGACTGATAGAGCAGCGGAACAATCATGTCGGCACCCTGGGCAGGCTATCCGTGGGCACTGACAATACTGGATCGCCTAGCAAAGTTGGGCATCGGGATATATAAAAAACAACGGATGATCACATACCAAGTTGCCAGTGTTCAGAGCCGCAAACTGGTTCGCCATCGCCAGGACCTCTGGCGCACCACTGCTCGTTCTCGCGAGTCTGTCCAACGAGTTGACCGGGGCTTTTCCTTTGCCACCGCTTCTGCAGCTTGATTCTTCGTGTCTTGACATGTTGAAAAGGATGTTACGTCAAAAGAGTGCGTAGATGCAGCAATTAAGAGAGGGAAGATGCTGATTGCAATGAATTATGGGTGAGGATGGCTGGAGGATGAAGTCTTCACGACAGTGCCTGACAGAAGTGACGGGGGGAGCTGTTGTTCTGAGTAAACGGGGAGGCTGGGGACTTTGAGAGTATTGCCATCGCAAAATTTGGTTGCGGCATAGGTCGTGCATGCATGTGGCCGTACTTCGCATGCGTACGTACCTCCCACAATGAGGAGATCGTGACTGCAAATTTGGGAGTTATAAGGGAAGTCACAACAAGGAAAGTATCTGGCCATGGGTATCAAAATGAAGCTCGCCTTCTGATGCTAGACATGGAAACTTCGTATTTTGCAATTCTGAGCATGTTGACACTCCATCGTGCCTTCTGCAAACCCATCAATACTAAGACCCACACGGCTCCCCACCCAACATCACGTTGTCAGAGGACCAAACATGCTAATGCAGCCCAATTTTATGAACACCATGTCTTGCATGTGATAATGTAGTGTCGGTCTGCTTTGTTGCTCTGGTTGCCGTTTGTTGCCTTGGTGTCTTCTCAGTTCCCGGGTACTTCGTTGCAGCAATCCAAAAGTTCCAGCCAGATTTTTCGGACCTTGAGAGCGGCTTTCCAAGTTTTGCAATACGATTCTACGCCTTCTTTCTCTCTCTGAAGGACCCTGGCATCTATCTGCTTCTCGTCTTCCTCCATGGCGTGGGTGTCTTCATCGTACGTTGCTAGACTTGCCTTGTACCCTTTAATGAGTTGAGCACGTATTTTGGGCTTTTTGTCGAACCGCATCTCGTTTATCACATCGCAAATGTTGCGCAAGTGATCATCTCTTGCATCCATGCGCGCGACGGCCTTGTTGTATCTAGCGACGTCCTGGCAGTAAAACTCATCGCTGACGCGCATCGCCTCAAGCAAAGTCGCACGAGCGTCCGCCTCAATCTTTTCGGTTGCTAGGATATTCTCTTGGTTCAGCTGTGCAATCTTGGTCTTGATGTTGGCGATCTGCGTTGCGTTCACGGTCGTTTCTATCTACACCGAAAAGTCAGTACTGTGTCGATAGACTACATGCTCCGCAAATTACCGTAGGCAAGCTCTCTCGCAGCTCGCTCAACGCATCACCCCGATTAAAGCACTCGCGCTTTAATCCAACGGTAATAAACCTAAGCCCCTCTTCCATCTTCTTGACAAGCTCGAGCTCCACTGCATTGCCTTGTTTGAGGGCTTCGATGATCGTGCCGGGTGGTGTTGGCGTCGCCATACTGGGTATGGCGAGACGCAGTACTAAATATTTGTGTGTTGTATAGTGTATGCGGTTGAGGGGAGTAAAGTAAGAAAGCGTAGTCAAGTTGTGAGACGCGCTGGCGGTGAATGAGTACGCTCGTTTCACTCTCACCACATGCACTCGGACGACCGGGATTGAATCCACGGGTTCTCTTGCCATAACCGCTCTGATCTCTGCTTATAGTTTCTATATAGGACACCTATGTTATCACACCTTCCCTACAGTACCTGTTCCATCCTCTCTTGGTTCACTCAATCTCCTTCTCATCCACTCCGACAGCGTCTGCAGTAGCTTTCAGTATTCGGATCTGCTGTTCCTGTACGCGGCGCACACGATCCAGGCATATTTTAGCCATGTCAATCTCCATCTCATCGTTCCTTTAATGGCCAATTGCTCCCTACGCAGTAACTCCTGCCGTTCTTCCCACACACTCATAACATTCCCCAGAACATTTGCTGCAGGCGCATTGCGCAGGCCATCAACGATATCCGCCAATTTGTTCAAGCCCTCCTTCTCCCTTTAGCTTTGCGCAGGGCTATGCTGTTCCTATCTCTAGCACTCTTGACAGCTTCGACAAATTTGGCGGCGATCTTCTCGTTGGGTTTGATGTTGTTTGCGAGTGATGACTTGCACTTCAGGATATTGGTCTTGATGATAGATGTAAGCATGGCTTTTTGGTCTACCGTGATGTGACCGTGGCCTTTGGCACGTTCCTAGTAATTTGATATCAGTATGTTTTCCCTGTACACAACAGCAGACACTGCTCACCTTTTCGAGCTTTCCTATAGCGTTGCTCAGCGCACCACTCCTGTTGTAGCACTCGTTTTGCATCCCTTCAGCTACAAAGCTTAAACCTTCTTTGAGCTGTTTGATGAATTCCAGCTCTAGCGAATTGCCCTGTTTGGGACCTTCCAGGATTGTGTCGAGAGACATTGGCAGCGGCATGGTGGCGCAGATTCTCGGTTTGGTAGCTGTGGAGAGGTTAAGATTGGAAATCGCGACTTGGTGAACACGTCATGAGGTAGCTTCCCAGTTAGGAGTGACATTGTCTCACTTTCACCGTGCGTGGTGATCAAGTGAGGATGTTTGTTGTATGTATGAGCAAACAACAGGGGAAAATAGATTGATCAACAGCAGACAAGTCTCATCTCTATATCCGAAAATACACTTGTACCATAACAGAATTCACACACCTGGAGTCTGATGAACACCCTAGCATCCTCCATGCTGCTAGTGCTCAAAATTGTCTCCTTCATCTCCTCCCAAGATCAATATCCAAAACCTCCACCAACCCCTCCGCTCCGCCCTCCTCCCCTCCCCCCAAACCCAAAGCCGGCTTAATTCCCACATCCACAACCCCCTCAAACAACCCCTCCACCAAGCCCTTCAACTCATCTCCCGTCTGTCTAAAGTCCGGAAACGCATTAACCTCCAACAACCACACCCCCCAACTCCCTGCCCTCCTCCACACTAACCATGAAATCCAATCCAAATATCTCGAAAGCGTTAGGCAGCGGCTGGAAGTGAATCCCCATGCCGCGCGCCGCGGCCTCGAAGGTTTGGGCTGTGGTTGAGCAGAGTTGGGTGAAGACTTGTTCTTTCCAGTCCGCGGAGTGCTTTGGAGTTGGGACGTCGGGTTGTGACGGTAGGACGTCTGGTAGAGACCAGAATAGCCCGACGGAGCCTTCGCGGTCGCCGCTGTCTTGCAGACATGTGTTTGTCAAGTGGGATTTCATTGCTTCCGCGCGGTCGGAGTGGAGCTCGGCGGCCCAGGGCGGGACGTATGCGCGCGCTGCAAAGAGGGCGAGCATGGGGCGGTAGACGAAGACTTTGAGGGCGCCGGTGGCGACGACGTAGGTCCTTATGTGGAATTTGCGGAGGCTTGCGGATGAGTCCGGGGTGTTTGGTGGGGCGAGGAGGAGAGGCGGGTGGATGTAGGGTTGAGCGATGAAGTGGCGGAGTTGGGAGGTCATTATGCCGTCGTTGTCGTCGGCGGCATCGCTTCGTGCGTCGCCTTCTTCGTCTTCGTCGTCTGATGGTGGGTCCCATTCTTCGAAGATGCTTGTCAATTCTTCTTCGCTTGAGAAGAGGCGGATGCCTTGGCCTCGGTCGCTCATGCCAGGCTTCAGGATCCACCACTCTCGGTCTTTCTCGTCCTTTTCTTCATTTCTTGCCCAGCTCTCTTTCAGGTCCCAGGCTTCTATCAATGCATCGTCTAGGAACTCTGCGTAATCGACTTCGAACTCCACACTGGGCTTGACGTGCTTCTTCAGTATTGAATCAGGGTACTTGGTGATCCAGTTCGCAATGGTAGTGCTTAGATAGTGTTTCCGAATCAGGGCTTTTCGAATAACATATGCATTGGCGACCGTGGTAGACGAGTGGTCCATGAGGTGGTCGAAGTCGATCGACTCATATTGTACCCATTGTAGAAGCCGAGATGAAGGTGAGGGCAATTGGCTGATAGAAGTGATGAGTTCGTACGTCGAAGCTGGCAAGCGCTTTTCGAGAGCTGCAAGGATGAGGGGCTGAACATAGGGATCCTCGTAATCAATCAACGCGTAGATCTTGTCACCGGATACCATGGTGTATGTCCTGGGTACTGATCTATATCCCAACTCTTGTATTGCTGTGCACTCTCGGTCTTTAGTAGACGATCACGTGGTGATGCGCAAGGGATGGGTTCGACAGTCCGGGAGCGGTGGGTAGCGCGACTTGCAAGCAGAGGACACCACAGGGGCAGGAAGGTTTCAGGAGAGGAGCTGCAGGACACAAAGAAATTCGTTATACTAGTCTGTGATGTACACTGACTGCTAAAGTATGGAGTATCGAATGTAGAAAAAGCAGGCTCGCTTAGCCCCGCCAATCAGGTGCCCGCAATTCAACGCCATCGTCCTGCTGGCACTTTGGGCCAAAACACGGTTGAAAACTTTGGATATCATGTATAGAAATCAAACAACCTCGAGGTCATCGTCGTCCTCATCCATGGCCGCAATAAGGCCAACGTCAAGCCCACCGAGACTCTCCCTTCCGGGCTCACGGATGCCTTTGTCTGGCAACAGAAGTCGAGCCTTCTTTTTCGCAGGACTGACTTCACGAGTACCACGCATGGCAGACGTAGTGTCCTTTGTAGGCGATGGTAGCATGCCTTTCTTGAATCCCCATCCCATGGGCTCGCTCGAAGCAGCCGACTTGCCGGATGCTATCCGCTTGCGCTTAGTAGAAGCGAGAGTGACATCTTCGGCTTTGCGATTCAGAAGACTGCGGAAGTCGTTATCGGTGGTCCTCTCTGGACCTTGCCTGGCTGAGCTACCAGCACCAGGGAACATACTGCCGCTTGCAGGAAGATTCGGGGTATCAGCAGCCTTCAGCTTTAAGTAGTCGCCTCCTGTACTGCCCTCTCCCATCTTTCCCAGCTTTTTCGCAAGCTCTCGTTCTTTCTCTTTCTCTGCCAACTGCTTGCGGAACTTTTCCTCTCGGCTGGCACCGCGCTCCCAGCTTTGCTCATCGCGGTCGATGAGACTTGCTGCACCGCCAGGTCGGGGCGCGATGTATACAGTTTCGTGCATCTCTCGGTCGTGATATTTCCCTTCTCGTCTGAGCTCGTCGCCTTTGCCTCTACCACCTCCACCAAACATGCCGAACTTGCTCCCGCCTCCTGAGCCTTTGCCCATGCCTACCATGCCGTTGATCTCCATGCGTCCACGCTTGCTCTTCTCGACTTGGAGCTGGACGTGAAACTCGCAATACTCTGTCTTGCGGCTGTCGATCCAGGTGCCACATTCTTTGCCATCTTTTCGCTGAGCATTACAGAAGTCCAGGTCTCGAGCAGTTCCAAGCTCAAGAATCGTGTCGTCCGAGCTCGTCAGCTTTAGCGAGAACTTACCAGTGTCGCGGTTTCGAGGAGGCATTATGTCTGGATTCAGAACTGCAATCAGCGTACCGAGGGGCAGTTTCCAGAATTGCGAGAAGCCAGTATCGAACAGGTACAGGTCGAGCTCCCACTTCAGGTCTGTCAACTTAATGACCATAAATTTGCCCTGTTGATTTCTCTCTTGTTGACCTTTCGACTGATCTCGTACGGCATTCTTGGTGTTGAGTGGTGACGACTTTGAGCAGATCACTCCGAGGACCACATAGTCGTTCTCGTCCTCTGGTGGATCATACTCTGGCGCTTTGACAGTCTTGAGCAGCTGGGGTATGGTGAGTACCGTCTTGCCTTCTAATGTGCGCGTGACAACGTTGTGCTGCATCTCGCGAGACTTCAAGTGTAGCCCAGAAAACGACTCAAAGCTTGAGGCTTCGCTGCTGTTGTCCCGTTGCGAGATCTCTGCATATTTGGATGGGGTTTGTGCGCTCCCGAATCCACTGGAGGCCTTGGAAGCAGATGATGGCGGTCGAGAGTTCTCCGCTCGTGAGGAAAGAGTTGAGCCGGGGCGTGGTGTTGGTGGGTTTCTCAAATTGCTCATCGATCGCGTCTGATCCTTGCTCAAAGCCCTGGCGCTTGGTGGTGCCATGTCCTGCGAGCTTCTGGTATCCGAACTCAGCGAAGAGCCTGACCGTGATGGCGTGCTCTTTAGCCCTTCAATGTTGTGAAGCCCAAAACCTCGACTCCTTCTCTGCTCAATTCTGGTCTCCATCTCCTCGCGCTCCTTCTCCTTGTTCCTGCTCTCGGCCATGCGCTCACTGAACGACTTGATCTTAGGGATTTCTGATCTTGACGAGTTCGAACGCGAAGACCCTCCAGCAACACTAGCTCCAGGCCTCTTGAGACTAACATCTTGCGCCCGCAGGCCCTTGTCTATACCCAAAAGCACGCGCGCAGGGCTCCTAGGCTCCTCGGCTGGTCGTCGTTGTCGTACGGGCGAGTGGGGGACCTGGACATCCGCAGGCGGTCGCGGAATCTCTGTGCGGCGCATGGAAGCCACAGTCGGTGGTCGCGATGAGCTGGCATTGCTCTCTGTGTCGTCGCCCTCAGCTGCCTTGCGCGCTCTCTGGAGTGCCTTTAGTTTCAGCTTGGCCTCGATTGCCTGGAGCTTCAACTGCAGCGTCTCCTCGTCCTCCTCTTCGTCTTCATCCTGGGGTCCGCCGCGCGACATTGGACGACGCTTTGAGGGGGATGGTGACACAGAACTGCGCTGGCGCTGCTGTTCGTACTTGCGCCGTCCGGATGGTGAGCTTAGGAGCGCTTCGCGGGATGACTGCGGGGGCCAGTTGGGCTGATTCGTCTGAGCTACAGCCTGTCAGCAAAGCACTGTGAATGCGCAAAGATTGACTTACCTCGCTTCTTGGGACTCTCCCTCACGATCATGTTTGCGACGACGTGCAAGCTGAGTACTTTTGCTCAGCAACGCCCATATCCGGTCCAAATAGCCAGCCAATCGACAATATCATGGACCGAAGTTTTTAAGCAAGAATCGAAAGAACAAAGCGCGAGAAGTCGAGTTAGTGTCCGTTGTTGACGTTGAATTGCTGTCCAAGCAAGGTTAAGGTTGCGCCTCATCTAAGTCCGAAACCACTTTGACAGGGATCACGCGCTTGTGCAGCCGACGCGACGCGACTCTGGTGCACAACGCGGAGCATCTTCTGAGCCACGAACATGTTATGCAACACTCAGTAACTCTAACATAATACCCAACATCATCAATTAGAGTCATATACATACAATGGCACGCGCTACACGTTCAAAACCCAAGGCAAAGGAGCCAACACCAGAACCGCCAGTATCGACCGTCAAAGCACTCCCCGCAAGCACATCGAATCCCCCGAAACTGTTCGTACTGCCCAAAGATGCTTCCAACGATGCGCGCATAGTTACATTGGAGAATCCTGCGAATGGCGCGCCTTCAAGATATTACTTTTGTCCGAACAAAGGGTTCTACGAGTTCACAAGGATAGCCGCGCCGAAGAAGGAATGCAGGAGTTGGCTGATCACCGGAGAGCAAGATGAGGAAGACAAGACAGAAGAGAAGGAAGGCAGAATAGAGAGCGGCTACGTGAACAAGAGCGCAGACATGTTTGTAGCGACACCCATCGACCTGCTCTTCCTGATCCTACCCGCACTCGCACCGAAGAGCGCAAAAGACACAAAGCAACACTTCCTCGCACTCGACGAGTACCTGGACAAACTATCTTCATCATCACGGCATTGGAAAGCACTACTATCCCAGCATACATCACTCCACGCCATGTTCGAGAAGCGCATGCGCGCCCTCTGCGACACCGTCGAAGCCGGCGACGAAACAATGTACCGCATATCCCACGACAAACTCCTCGCCCTCCTCCTCAAGAAAGCCGAGCGCATGGTCGCCCACGGCCTGCCTCCCTCCATGGAAGAAAAGCTCATCAAGACCGCGCTCGAAGTGCCCATCATGAGCATCAAGCGCGAGGAGAGCTCCTTATCGGCCACATCCACAGACAAGGAGTCCCAATCAGAATCGCAAGACTCGGTCGACACAGCGATAACCACGCCCGACGCAGCCCCCAAGCCCGCACCAATCGAGACCGAGCCTGAGATACAAACTCAACCCACCCTCTCAACACCCCCAGAAATCCCACACCTCCTTCGCCTACATACATCCCTCCTCTACCTCACCAACTCCTATCTGCCCACCCATTTCTACCCCCTCACAACCACACACCTCGCCTCTGCAACCTTCGCACCGCTAACATCCCACCTCTCCGCCATCGCAACGCTCAAATCCGAAGCCGCCGCGCTCCGCAGCATCTCGGATAACGTGAGCCGCAAGCGCGCGATGGACGACGACGAGGCGCTTGCGGGGCGCGAGGAAAAGAAGCGGAAGAAAGAAGAGGAGGAGAAGAGGAAGAAAGCGGAGGGCCGGGCGGTCAAGATGTTGAAGAAGGTGGATACGAGCGGGATGAAGAAGATGAGTAGTTTTTTCAAAAAGGTGGAGAAGAAGGCTTGAATTTGGGTGGGATGGGGGGAGGGCAGAGGGATTATTTGGGTTGGATAGGCGGGAAGGGTATATAATTGCATGTCTCGGTATGAGCATATCTGGAGTTGGTTTGCATATACCACAAACAATTCACATCAAGTTACTTCACATACATGCATTCAAGACTCAAAGTTTTCAAAAGTGTTTTCTCATTTTATCGCACCAACTCTTCTCCTCATATCGTGATTGCACATCTTGCAAGTGCCCAGCTTTCCTTGAGTAGCCAGTGCACTTGGTATGCTGAAGACATGCAGCACTATTACCAACCCACTATGGGTCATCCCATCACAATCGCTAATCGAATCATGGGTATCGGTTGTCCTTCAAGCAAAAACGCTATGCAGTCATCAATGGCACCAAAGGCCATGCGCAAAATCCGTTCAACTCCATTTACCCAGCCCAGTAGAGCTTACCTTCAACTCAAGTGGGACGCACAAGCAACCAGAAGCGGAACACTTGCGGTCGATAATGCACATCCAACATTCAACAACGACGCGCTGAAAGCGGCATTAGATGCTGCTGAATGAAGTAGCAGGAGTGGACTTCTCACTTCGAGCTTGCTTGGCACCACCACGCTCAAGGGGCTCGCCTCCACGCTTCTTGGACTCGCGCACAGACTCGCCAGAGCTGTGAGCAGACTTGACACGTGACCATCCCTCGAAGGAGATTTCTGAGGAATCGTTACTGGATGCGCTTGTGTGTGGGTGGGGGCGCTTGGACATACCTCGCTTGGGCTTGCGAACAGTGGGTGGTGGTGTGGCTGGCTGGGTGACACGGTCGGCGGCCTTGCCCTTCCTCCTGCTAGGGGTCTCGGCTGGGGTCTCGATCTCGGTATCAGCCTCTTCATCGTCGGTGACCTCGCCGTTTTGGCGCTTGCGCTCCTTGATCTCTGCTTCAAACAACAGACGGGGTTTGATAGTCGAGCGACGGAGCGGGCGATGGGCTTCGACGCCCGCAGTTCGACGCAGCAACCTCTCGTTAGCAGGCAGGGCAGAGAAGTCCTCAAGCGAGTCCTCGCCGCCTGAGCCCTCTGGACTGTCGTGGAACTTGCGGTACAGCTTGCGGCCGCGGAAGAGGTAGACCATGCCTTTCGTCGCGATCGATCGTTTCCTTCACCCGTGCCGAGTCTGCAACAGCACGCTGAGACTTCTGGGGAACTGCCTTGGCCTTTCCTTTGCCTTTCTTAGTGACGAATGGGTTGTCTTCCTCATCGTCCTGCTCGGGGACGCGCTCCTTTGAGTCGGTGAAGATTTGGATCTTCTCAGCAGGTTCGTCGGCTGCATTGGCAAAGCTCTCGAGAGTGAACAGGTTCTTCTTGCGCGACTTGCGGGGCGTGGGCATGACCTCCTCAATGTTGGCAGGGCGAGCAGGGAACAGAACACGCGCAGTCTTCTTCAGCGAAGCTTCCGCCACGAGAGGTCGCTTGCGCGGCGTCTCGGAAGGTGTGGGTAGCAAGCTCTGCAGAGAGTCAGTCTCGGTAGAACATGTAGAGCAACGGCACGTTGCGCGTGTTGCGCGCGCAGTGCAGGATGTACGTACCATTTGCTTGTTGGGGAAGCGATGAGCGGTCGAAGGGGCAGTGGCTTCTGATTCGGAGTCGAGCGCGCTTGCTTCGGGTTGTCTGCGTCGCATGGAACGAGGCGACTGGAGTTGGGGTGAGGATATAGGCGACGATGGTGGAGAGAGGGTGAAATTGTTGTTTGTGCGTGCAGTCGCCTTCCGCTTGTAGGTAGCAGTCGGGGTGATGTCGCGTCGAGCCCTAGCGCTTTGTTGTGATCCTTGGTGAAGGTGAATGTCGCGCTGGGCGGCTACTCTGGTGGACCTCCGCGGTGAATACGGCTCGTAGCTGTCGGTGAAGCCGTGGTGAGGGGCGGGCGGCGTGCGTAACCGACGGGGTGATGGCGTGCGGTCCATGGTGAATGCGGTGGTGAATGCGGTGGTGAAGGCGATGGTGCTGCGGTCAAACGGGCAGGCGCGGCGTGTCGTGTTGCGTGTTGCGGTGTTGATGCAAGGTCGAAGATCAAAACAAGCCAAAAGTGAGCTCGGCGCTAAGAGCTTCCAACGTCAAACAGTCAATGCAAGATATGGATATGCGTGAAGTCGTAAATAATGGCGTTGGATAGGGGACGGTCTCGATAAGGATGATGCGGTGGAGCTCAACGGGGCGGCGGATCGATATGGAAGGCTCGCAGAAGGACGTGAGAAAGGGCGAGGTTGGTGATGGCTGGTTAGCAGCCGCACGGGCCCCGGCGACAAACGTTGGCAGGTGCTGGTGCGGCTCACTCACCGCCGCCCCGCACCAAACGCGTCAAACACGCCAGGCACATGTCAACAACACACATTCCCGGTAACAAGGGTCCCAATTCCTCCCGAGTAGCTTCACATCTCACCCCACCATGGACGCGCCAAACATGGACGACCTGAACCTCTCCGACTCGGACAGCGACGCCATCTTCGACACGCCGGCTGCGCGCAAGAACAAGAAGAAGGCCCAGGACAGTGGTGCCGATGCGGGGGAGGGTGCGGCCAGCGGGAAGACGCGTGCAAAAGAGTCGCACTACACCACGGAAGAAAATCGCGAGGCTGCATTGCGACGGGAGTTGGAGAGCATACGCAATGTGAACAAGGTCATTGAGGGAGTCGTGGAAAGCTTGCAGAAGGCCAAGGACAACATGGAGGTCAGTCACATGTTCCTCTCATGCACTGCAGTACTGATGACGTTGTAGACTGTTTCCAAGACTGTGCAAAACGCCTCTACTCTCCTCCAAACATGGACCCGCATTCTATCGCAGACCGAGCACAACCAGCGACTGATCCTCAACCCGCAATGGCAGGGCGCATCGCAAGCACCTGGTCGCAATTGAAGAGGAAGAGGTGTACAGACAGCAGGCGGCTGAGCGTCGCGCAGCAGAAGACCAGGCAAAGAGAGAGGCTGCGGCCAGGAAAATGGAAGAAGAGCGAAGGCGCGCAGAGGCACCACCCCGGGCAGGAACAAGAGGCAGAGGCAGAGGGACACGAGGCCGCGGAACATCTACTTCAACCACCACAACGGGAGGCTACGTCGGAGTTGGCGGGCAGGCTGGAAGAGGCGCCAGTCGCAGACGGTTCAATAGGTGGTCGAGCTGGCAGCGGCATCGGACGGGGCCTGCGAGGAAGAGGCAGAGGTCTGACATAGGCCCGCGGCCCATTTCGACAACCCATTGACAACCCATTGACAACCCAATGTACCTCGATTCAACCCATTAGATACCCAAATGCGACAAGCTCCTGGCCTTCGGATTCCAGAACCCTCATTCATAGCTGCATGCTTGAAAACCGCCGCAAGATCTCGAACGCCGTACAACAAGGCCTATTTTATGAAGAGCTGTAGTAAATGGCACTGTCAAGTCCAGATATTGCGCTCCACCATGAGGTCTGCGTCATGGCCCCTCCTCGAGCATCTGGTACCTTGCAGTTGATATGCAAGTCATGGTCCCGCAAGCGCGATCGGATGCGCTTCTAAATGAGAGCATGGCTTCAAATAGCACCCCGCCGTATACATTTCCCCGAGCTCTCACGACCCTCGCAGACAATTGGTAACTTTGAATCCTCTGCTCTGAGTTTGCGTTCTTCACTACATAAGTCTCTGCGATTATTGCTATCACTTGGAAAGAGTTGATCGGAATCATGGAAGTCCCAACAGCTACGTCGCTGAGCGACATCTACCCCGAGGATGCGCTGCCCGTGGAGACCAAGCGCTGGGAGAGCTTGCTGGCCAAGTTCAAAGAGCTATACGGCAAGCAGGCAGATTTTGTAGCGCGGAGTCCAGGTCGCGTCAATATTATCGGCGAGGTCAGTCAATCAGCGTGACCGGCAAGCCCAAAGCTTACAATCCATAGCACATCGACTACTCCCTTTATGAAGTACTACCCATGGCTATTACTGCAGACTTCATCATGGCAGTAGCTGTACGGCCGTCCGACGAGAAGCCGCGCATACGGATAGCCAACCTGAACTCCGAGAAGTTTCCAACACGCGAGTTTGAGATACCAGAGGGCGAGATTCCCATTGATGCTTCCGAGCACGAGTGGACAAACTACTTCAAGTCAGGTCTAAAGGGCGTGTCGCAATTGTTGCAGAAGAAGCGAGGCAAGTTCACCTCTGTGGGCATGGATATTATCTGCGATGGCACAGTGCCAAGTGGAGGAGGCTTGTCGAGCTCAGCGTCCGTGGTGTGCACAAGTGCATTGGCTGTTCTGAATGCGAACGGCGAGACAAAGATCGACAAGAAGGAGCTCTGTGAGCTGGCCATCGTCTCTGAGCGAGCTGTTGGCGTCAACTCTGGAGGGTATGTAACAGGATCACCTTGCACAAGCACAGCTAACGTAAACAACAGCATGGACCAAGCGGCTTCGGTATTCTCGCTCCGCGGCTCCGCCCTTTATGTGTCCTTCAAGCCCAGCCTCGACTTCACCAACATCGAATTCCCGCAGACCGAGCCCGAGCTTGCCTTCGTCACTGCGCAAAGTTTTGTTGCCGCAGACAAGCACGTCACCGCACCCGTGTGTTATAATCTGCGTGTGGTAGAGTGCACACTCGCGGCTGTGTTCCTCGCCAAGGCATTTGGACTCAAGAAGGAGCTACCACAAGACTCATCACCCCTAGGTGTTAGCTTGCGAGGCTTCCACGATACCTATTTCGAGGAGAAAGAAGACACATCAGACAATACCAAGATATCGGTCTCTGATTTTGAGACACAACTCACAAAACTCATTCAGCATGCTGAGAATTACCTACCACAAGAAAATGGCTACTCAAGAGCGGAGATTTGCGGTCTCTTGGGCATCTCTGAAGACGAGCTGAACCAGCGCTACATGTCCAAGTTTCCTGTTCGTGCAGAGAAGTTCATGCTTCGCCAACGTGCGCTCCACGTATTCACAGAGGCTCTCCGCGTCATCAAGTTCCGCTCGATCCTCTCGTCACCACCAACAAACGGCAAAGAAGTCCTGCAATCCCTTGGCGACCTCATGAATCAGACTCAAGACTCATGTCGCGATGTTTACGACTGCAGCTGTCCTGAGCTCGACGAATTATGTGAGCTCGCGCGAGCGGCTGGTGCGGCTGGGTCACGTTTGACTGGCGCTGGCTGGGGAGGATGCAGTGTGCATCTTGTACCAAAGGACAAAGTGGAAGCTGTCAAGAAGGCGTGGGAAGAGAAGTACTATAAGAAGAAGTTCCCAGGCATTACTGCAGAGAAGCTGGCGCAAGCAGTGGTCGTCAGCGAGCCGGGCAGCGGCAGCATGATTTTCAAAGTGACTGGCGAGAAGTTGGCGTAGAGTTTCTGATGCATTATAGCTAGCGCATGGCTTCAGCGAGGCTGACTAGGTATGTCAAGCATCCCGAGACAGCGTTGTTTGCGTGGCTACATGACATATACTCAATGACTGAACAATGAGTTGTCCGTTCGTATTCCAAAGTCACAGTTACAGTACAGCAGTCACATAATCTTTGGCCCACATTCAAGCAACTCCCTTCACATACCTCTCCTGTGACATTCACGCACCGCAAACATGAAGGGCAAGCACCTTTTACAGAAAGCCACTCGCCATGTCCCGCCCTCCTCCACCACACCATCTCTACCCCGTCCTCTTACCAAATCTCGCAGACTCCCAGCACACCCCTCCAAATCCCAGAAGGCCTTAATCCATCCCCGCAAACCAGACATCCTGAAAGCTCCAAAGAAAATTCCAGCATGCCCAAACCTCAGAACCGCCAAAAAAGACCACCCGCTACCTCCGCTCCCGCAACTGGCGCGACCGCACCGCCCCCTCCACCTCTTCATTCAGCGAAGACACCATCCAGCGCCAACTCAACTACCTAGTCCCGCGCCACGAAGAGCCCGGGTGCTGCTGGCATGCGTGCGGGTGGGAGGGGTTCGTGTGGTGTTGTGGGCGGACGTGTTGGGCCAATGACGAGAGTGCGAGGGAGAATGTTGAGAATGTGGAGGGGTGTGTGGAAGTGCAGGTGTTGACGGAGAAGAAGGTGGATAGGCCGTTGAGAGCGCTGTGTAGGGATGAGTGGGAGTGTGATTTTTGTGGGGCGGAGTGTTTTTGTGAGTGGGTTTTGGGGAAGTGAGGTGGGTTGGGGAGTGATGGAGATGGGACTGGGTGGGGTTGGGCATGTGCTGATTATGCTCGATGGATGATTGGTAATTCGTGGTCGTATGGGATACACGTGCTGCTTGCTCCCATATCGCTGCTTTTGCGTATGAATCGGAGCAATACTCCCAGTTCAATCACCTTCTTTCGTATAATTATATACACTCAACGCAGATGGTACGGTTAAGATGTTCGGCAAACCAAAAGCGAAGCAGGGTCCTCCACATGACTGAGAGTGGAGAAGAGAGGATCTCTCTGGAAATGCATGAACGACTAGTCTATGATCTCGGGAGAAGGGAGGTGGAAGTATCGTGATGGAGAGTGTTCTGCTTCGAGTTGTGACTGATCGTAAAATCGTTGGCTGCACATGATGTGCCAGAAAGACCCTCACTCAGCCAATATGGTATGCCAGAAACGTCTTCGGCTAGTAAGGATGGTCTGCCAGAAGCCTTGGCTGTTCTGTATTTCATATTTTCAGTTCTGTTCACAATTGTATTGAGTTACAAGCATAGTTTGCCGTGGTTTGAGAATCAGGGTGGCTGCAAGGGAAAATTGGTACAAGATCCGTAATCGTATGGATATCTGCAGATCAGTTGCACTGTTGAGTGGACCTTACCAGATCATGGAGCGTGGCAATCTTGGAAAGCTCCAAATTCTCTTACTCGCAAAAACAAGCCGTTCGCTGCTTTGGAGTCTGACATTCTTCGAGTCCATTGTTGATTATTGGCGCGATTTCCGCGGGCGTCATGAGAACTGGGATGACACCATTAATTTGGTTGACCATGTTACAGACAAGCTCATCAAAGAGCAATGGGGCAGGGGCCTGTTTGGGCTGCTGCCTATGCTGGCTGCCATCCTACGATCAATCGACTGCTGGGTGAAGCACAGCATGATCCTGCGCTTAAGAATGAGCTGTTACAGTGCGATGTATCCGTCATGGATGCTGTCCTCGGAAGCCATGTCGTGTTCGTGGAACGCTTAATGAGGGAAGAAGGCTTCAAAGCACACCTTCTGCATGTTAATTCCAAAGGCAAGAACGTCTTGTACGCGGCATCAACCAAATGCAAGGTAAAAATGTTTCATACCCTGCTTCCACGCATGCGGGACCTCATCCACAGCCCCGACAACGATGGCGAGACAGCGCTTGTCCACATAATCAAGGGTGAAAAGGTGCACGCAGATCATGTCGATTGCTGTGAGTGCAGAAGTGCAATTGTCTCCTGCAAATTCGGCACAACTTTCCAGGTCACCAATGGTTACGACGATTCAAATGATCCTCTGCGGCTAGCAGTTCAGCATGGATACGTGGATATGTCCCAAATCTTTTTGACTAAAGGAGGATTCGACGCGGTCCCAACTCTTATACATGGTGCGGATGGTCAATTTGCTTTGAGGACTACACCTGGGGAAAATCACGACACCTTGTTGATACTACTGCGCGAACATGCGTCTTCAGTGACCTAGGTACTGTAGGTATCTCCCAAGCATTATATATGTTCATACCAAATCTTTACCCTACAGATATGTGTAGCAGAACGGGCCCGCAAGGGTACTCATCGCATCCTGGATTGTGATATTCTTCACGCCAACATAGCTTCCCATGGTCAATGTGTCGTTCAGAGTGGCATTTACTCCCAGCCCCCCAATGATCGTTCCGCCAGCTAACGCATTCTGCCTTTGCTTGAGATCCAGATTCTGCCACGTCCACCAAACGCGATCGATCATGCCGTGATGAGGGAAGAAAGCCGGGTCCGCCGGCGAGTTATAGAAGTCAGATCCAGCGTCGCCTCCCATGGTGTAATGACCACCAGTGTGAACTCCCATCCTGCCGTCTGAGAACTCTCCTTGAAAGACGCGCTGAAAGCGAGCAATGTCCGGGTATCCTTTCAGGAGTGCTGAGACGGCTTCATCTCGGGTCTCGTAAGAAGATTGGAGACTGATGTCGCGGGAGAGACAGCGTGGGTTGTATCCTAATCCATTCGCTTGAGGGTTCTTTGGTAAGCCACCGGGGACTCTGAGCATTGATTGGAGCGGACCCATGTTGAGTTTCCAACTGTAAGAGCTGTTAGCCTACAGTAACTTTTTAAATAGTTCAAGCTACTCACTCTTTGAAGGGGCCAGATGTAACGCAGCCACCTCCAGTTCCCGGTTGAAGCTTCATAAAACACGTATCCTCGTAAGGGAAGCAGGAATAGTTTCTTCCTGGTATGTATGCGCCGTCTCCGGACAAGCTAGTATCGCTACCGTCAAAGAATGGAGAGCTCTTCGGATCATCTGCCCACCTGCGTCAAAAGCATGCAGTTAGTGTACATGTCTTTACTGAGGCTTTGAAAGATCAGACTGCTCTTACCATGCCCAGTTATAGTATGGCAAATCCCCTTTGAATCCGCATTCATTCCGAAGCATTTGCTCAAAAGTCCACGTAAAATATCTATGCCAAGATAAGAAACTACCCGTTCCATGGATGTTTTTAGATTGCTGTACATGTGTGACTACTAGGTCATCATAACGAGACTTCGCTCCTGGAGCAACCGAGGCAGGTGTCTTGGCTGGAAGTTTTGCCAGGCACTGGACTGCTTGTATGTAGTTGAGCTTTTCGGGCCTTGATAGAGTTGACCTGATTGGACATGAGCGAAGCACAACTTGATATGTAGTCAAGACTTACCATTCACGTCGCACTGCGATGTTTTCTAACGTGCATGTCTTTGGACTTGGATAACCGTTCTGCGCAATGTGAAGCCCTAGATTGAACACTCCCTGGGCGGCCAGTGCGTCGACTTCCATGAATCTGGTTGCAGTCGTACTGCCAGTGACCATAGCTAAGAGAAAAACGGTAGTTTTCATGATTTTTAGATCTTTTGAATGGTTTGAAGGTGAAAGGCTACCTTATGGAACGTCTTCGTGGACAACGTTTATTCAAGGAGTTTTTCTCGGATGATTAGAGAGTCGACTGCAGGCTATATCTCAAAGATGTCATCAGTCGACAATTGCACTGTGAAGTCTACGCGAAGACAGGGCAGGTCCAGACAGTGGCGAGACAAATAGCGGTCTACATAATCTATGCAGTACCCAGAGAATGCTCTATTCCCGGAAGAATGATTCCCTTCGATGCTGGTCAGCTTATCAGGCGCGCTGGCCGGCTCATCGATAGAAAGTGGCAGGGGTAAATCAGACGAGTTATACGCGGCTTTTAGAATTAGCCCTGCTTTCAGTAATCCCTTCTACCAACAAAAACTGGCCTTGCTTGGCTGCATGTTTTCGATCCGAGATAGTGGTTATCCCGCCTGGTCATCTACGCCGAACGACTGTGCCTCAATGACACATGCTTCAAACGCAACGGAAAAGGCAGGTCGTTCTGCAGCCTTATATTAAGCAGAAAAAAGGAATATCACTCGGTCCAGGTATTTGCGTGTCGCAGATCAAACTACCCATGGTGAAGTCTTGAAAAGAATGTGTTGGCCACAGAGGTTGCACCAACCCGCATGTTGCTCGCACTGATGTAATAGTTTAATCGACATTTAGAGCTCTCGCCACGGGTGAGTTGCTGTCTGGGGGCATAGTGTCATGGCAGACTGAAAAATTACCCCACAATGTCATGAAGTGTTAGCATTGTTTCTTGTCCTGGTATCGCAAGGTTGGATCTACAGCGTCTCAGTTGCCTTTGAGCAGCTCACATGATCGTTCTATGCCATGTTCGCTTTGATTGACTGAAACTTCGCTTTGTCGGCTCCACGCGACTGGTTATGGAAGGCTATCACACTGTGCCACAGCGGCTGGCAACTGCCCCAGCATGCCTACCTACCCTGGAAATTTCCAACACGTCAGTACATTCAGTGTCGTGAATTCCAATCTGCATCAAAGTATCTCAGGAGTTTGCAAGGGTGTTCCTTCCCTGATCTCTCAGCCGCACTCCAATCACAAATCGCGCAGCGATAATGGTATACTTTGAGAGATCACCACAGAAATAGACTCGCAAGTGACAGTTCTTTCACATCGCTCTCAACCTGAATCCCGTGTCTTGGCAATTCCATGCTTTCACATTTGCCGATCCGCAGAGGGATCCCCTTCTTGTTGAGTCTTGATGCATGGATTACTTCATATCAGATCACTACGCCTCTTGATCCGTGTTTCTGTGCCACATCAATGGATGGAGTTGCGGCTCGAATTGTCGCGAGTCAAGCATATTGGAGCATATCTTTTGCAGCATGCTGACAACAACAACACGCCAAATATCTTAGGCACGTATCGTTCCCGTAAGATAGTCATCAAATGACACGTCAATTGCTAATGCCACTCAGTATACTCTCTACCTTCAATCTTGAAGCCATGCATTTGACCACACTTCGCTCAGTATCCTCTCCATCTATCGACCCACAGGTTCCGGTGAACAGCAACGCTCCGAATCTGCTCGCGCAAACTATACCTTTCTTCAGTCTCGCAGCCGTGGTAGTCGCTGGACGATGCTACGTCCGAGCCGTGATGCTTCGAGCATTTGGCCATGATGACTGGGCAATAGTGCTTGCCATGGTCAGTAGCAGCCCATGCCTTTTTACCGACCAAGCTCTGAACATACTAGATTTTCTCAGCTGCTTGCTTCATATGCTACATGATAGAGATATCTTGTGGTGCCTGTAAGCATGTCGCTGCAATACGATCCACCCCACCAAATTATCGGACTTTTCTAATGGCGCGCCAAATACACATGATTACCGTCATGACTGGTATTTCATTAGTGAAGATATCAGTTTCGTTGCTCTTGCTGCGGCTTGCGGTTAGAAGGCTGTATGTGTGCTTCCTGTGGGGAATGATCATCTTCATGGTGGCTTTTACACTTGCCTGTGTCGGTACTCTCGGTATGTGCCTTTACCAGCTTAAGAGAGAAATGCTGTTGCTGACTACCATGTAGTGAGTTGAAGGAATTTACTCTATAAAATACCTACTCACAAGAATAGGTGTTCCAATGCATTCCCTTAGCTGCAATATGGGACATGAGCCTACACCCACCTCCGATGGGCACGGGCAATGCAAGGTGCCTAAGTGGAAAGACATTCAGTAGTATTGGGCTTTTCAATGCAGGTTCGAATTCCCCTGTGTCGTTGTCTGGGCTTCATATTAAATTCTCGTAGTCATCAACATCACAACTGACATCCTCCTCGTCTTCTTACCAACTCCACTTATATGGGAAGCTGCATATCAATCTACGAGCGCGAGTGTCACTTGTGGTGGTATTGTCCCTTGGAGTCTTCGCATCCGTTGCCGCAATCACAAAGCAGCACAACGCTCATCAATTTCGAAATCCCGAGCCTTACATCACGGACGCATATTCCATATGGAACTTCATCGAGCTTGATATTGGTATCATTGCGGCCTCGTTGCCAACATTGAAACCACTCTTTAGCTGTTTCTACGATACCGCACGTGGCTTGACCCGGCCGACGAAAAGAAGTGGCTTCGGAAGTGGTCGCGTACGGGGATACGAGAAGCGGCCCAGTTTTCCAGACGTAACTTTGGAAGAGTACAAATCAAGGTTGTCCATGACCGATCGATGCAAAAGAAAGACCACGTCAGGTGCGTGCATGGGTAGCGAGGAAAGCATCTTATCTCCCGAGCAACGCCCGAGTGCCTCGAATGGTATTACAGTCACGTATGAAGTGCATGTCGATATGTAACATTAGCATACATCAGCAAGTATTTTGATAAACAACAGTATAGCTCTTTCTCTCCGACGTCAGCCATGCACAATTCGCACTTACTTCACCCACGCCTCCTCCCTCACTTCCAAACCTCACATCTAAATCTTCCCATCTAAACCTCCACTCTCTACCACAATATATCCTCTCATCAGATACCCAAGTCCTTATAGGCACCACATTCCTTCCACCCAAAACCATGCGCCGCGACCGCATAAAGCAGCGCATAACACACTCATTCAAACACCACACGGCGCCCGCAACTAATCCATACCCGCCCACAACACGCTACTCCGCTCTACTCAACTCCTCAGACCGGCTTCTCTTCGCGCATCCAGACCCAGCTACGCGCGCGCCGTCGCCATCACTGCCTTCGAGCATGGAGACTGCAAGCACCACGCCATCGCACCGACGATCAAGCAGCCATATACCCCCGCCCAAGCGCTCATCCTCCGCTCCAACTCCGCAAAATACCGCTGCTGTGCTGCTTCAATGCACGCAATGTACGCGCCGTCTGCAAAGTCACGAGTTCCCGCGCTGTCTGCCGACGGCGAGATGTCGGCATGGGAATGCGGCGTGTGTGTATTGTCTGCATAATAGTGTGTACAATGCGTATGCGAGGGGGAGATGGAGGGAAGTCAGGTGTTTGATATGTGGAGAGGGTATGAGTGAGGGAGAGGCGGGAAGGTTGGTATTGTTGTGGGAGGAGGAGGCTATCAGGCATGGTTATGAGAGGGATGGAGTATAGAATCTGATTACGGTTCAAGCGACATCACAATTTGGTATGCAAAACATCGACTGTGCAAAGGTATCCGGAATTGTGTTTTATGGGTGCTATATCGTGTTCACTGCTTTTTTTAACCCCCATGCCATATGCCCAGAAACGTGAGATTCATGATTTGTCGTAGAGTATGCGATGAGAATTGCTAAGAAACTACCCCGACGGCATTGTCCGAAGCGCCGAGAAAGAAACGAGAAGTAAAGAAAGGAGAAAATCGAATTGGCACAAACTGACGGCAGTCCATGGGAAGGTACATCAGCTTAGGATCGGAAGGCTGCGTGCTGTAGTCCTTGTATCGCCCGCCTGCCGAGTATCTTCGTGATATATCCTCGTGCGCCTTTGTGATTGTGAGCACGATGGCTTGCATACTCCGTGTATGATGAGGTATGGAATTCCAGAAGGTCTTGCCGAAATTACGAAGGGAGACCACTGCTAACTCAGAGCATAGTCCAGTCATCGTCGTCAGGATAGTTGCTGCCAGTGGCTGCCAGAACATCGATTGGTTTCGCCGGTATGATCTCAGGGCTAGACATAGGCTCGTCCATGGAGGGGTTGACGGGCGGCTTGGGCTGGCGAATGATAGAGAAGCCCTCATCTTCGCTTGCAGACTCTGTAACGAAGCCTGTGTCTGCAATGGGCTCTCTTGGCCTGTGAACCAGGGTAGTGGCAGTGGAAATTGGTGACACTGGTCGCATGGGGGTTTCACTTGTTGCCCAGTACCTTCGAGCCAGATCTTCGTCCGTGTCGTAATAACGCCGAGGCACATCTTCTTCGTCTGTGGTGTTGTAATGTGGAGCTGGATCTCTATAGGTGTCGTAATAGCGTCTCTCGGTGTTTTCCATCTTCGGCCTGAGACTGAACACTTTGATTGGGCGGGGTGGGGTTTTCGGTCGGTCGAAGAGCATGGCTTCTGGTAGGTCTCTCGATGCGAGAAGCGTGGGGCGTATACTAGACTGCGGCTGCAGGGTATTGAGCGCGAGATGTATGATGTCAAAGGCGCCTTGTGATGTTAGGTGCAATCTTCGTTTGTAGATTAAGGCTCACTTACAGTCATCTTGGAAGTTCCGGTCCATGTTGGTGCGACACAAGTCTTGACGGAGCTCCGGGATCTGCTGAACAACTTGAAGGAATTCCATACTCTCACCAAGCTGATGGTATAGGAAGACGGAGATGCAGTAGTTCAGTAGAGTATGGATCAAACCTTGCTGCTGGCGTGCTTGCGGGCTTGCGAAGTTGGCATAGACGTAGCGGATAGTCTCGAGCAGGTCTTGTGGAGGCAAAGGCAGGCTACAGGCGCACTCGACCTGGACGGAGAAGTTGCCGTGTGCAAGAAGCTGAAGCTCAGGCACATCGTAGTCTTCTGCCATTTTGTAAACATGCGCGTGCAAGAGTAGTAGAATCGGTGCATCCTCAGCGCAAGCACAGGGAGGCAGATAGCTGCCTGTATAGCAGTATCGGAGGAGCGCGATGGCAGCTACCCGGGATGGGGCTTCGATGCTTGCTTGGAGACGGCTCTGTGATCCATGCTCGAATGCATGATACAGCAGTGGACAGTTGTCGAGCAATCGATATGGGCTGACGCAGTCTGAAATCAGAGAAACACGGCCTTCAGGGTCGACGGTTTTCAAGGTAGCATTGCTCGCGCCACAATCCCCGGCGAGCTGATCGATGAATGTAAGGTCCTCCATGGTGGCAGTCTACAGCTGCTCGGACCTCGGCGGCCAGAGCAGGTGGTAAGCGAGGATTGGCACGGTCAAGGAGTCGATCAAGAGAAGTCAAAGAGAAGTTTGAAGGCGAGTGAGAAGCAACGGAGGCTCGAGCAAAGTCAAAGTGGAATAACCTGAGGTGCGGCCCGGCAAGGCTGATCGAGTGGCTGCTAGGCTGCAGCGAATACGCAGGTGAAGCCAAGAAGCTTCTGTTCCGTAGCTGGACTCACCTGGACTCTCTGACTCGAAAGGGACTTCACTTTCACCTGTGACTCGAAGGAAAGATGCGCGACTGCGGGTATTGAGTGAATCAGAAAGGGTGTTACAGCAGCGGGGCATGGAATGAGGCTCGCGACCGTTGGGCGAGGGGAGGCCGGCATCCATCAGCCATTGGCCTCGCCATACAAGGCACGATTCCCATCCAATGGTGGTCGAGTGGCATACTCTCAGCCTTGCGGGAAAGCAATGGGTGCCTTGGGGTCAGATGTCAGGGTGGAGTAGGGTGGTGATCGCCGCCAGCATGCGGGCACGCTCAAGCCACGACCCACCGGCGGCCCACAACGGAAAGCCGGCCAGGATGACGAATGATGCCGCTTCCGTCAAACCTCAACATTCACAGACTTGCGCCGTGCTAGCACACCTGGACTTGTCACTCTCAGAATCTGCACTGTAACTGCTTGTGTCTGGTTCAATACACGCCACCGTAATCGTACTTGTTGTGGCAATTGCCGCACACAGCCATGGGGCTGCTCTCGATATTTCCAGAGAGTCTTGCCGTGGTAGAGACGTGGATCACGCGAGCATTTGTACGTGCTACGGTTCCTGATAGCAATGCACCAAATGCTAATCTCCCCAGCTATTCCTAGGCATCGTCACCATTGGCCCATGGGCGGCACTGCTCATCTACGACCTCGTCCTCTACGTCTTCCGCACGCTTACATACGAGGTACCAGTCGTCGGCGGACGTGCTCGAGGCAAAGCGCGACCACGGGCCCCGAGCCTTACAGAAAGACCCACTGGTTCACGCCGGCGCTTCAGTCTTGCTCGACGGCCAGAAGACTCGACGCAGAGTACAGGAGGGGAACGAGTGGATGCGCCGGATGCGCGGTTTCGCCATATAGCAGAGGAGAAGGATGCGGGCTCGTCAGTAACTTGAATGCGACCGTCTCTCAATTGAACAGACACCAACTGCTATGGCTTGGGTGGCACGATTGGATGATATGGCATGCACTAGCTACGACCATAATTGATTCCCCACAGTCGCTCACAAACCGTGGTTCCTCCGATGTACAGTTACCCTGACGGCCTCACATCGGTCTCAGTGAACTTACCACCAGTAGGTCTACAAGTATGCCGAGGCGATGCGTGAACTATAACCCCGCGTCATCGACACATCACGAAGTTTGCTATGCGCACGAGTGGAATATGGCAGCGCAACGGATGTGCTTCCGCATCGGCATGTTTGCAAAGCTCGTATCCCTGTAACTTCTATAGCCAAGCCCACAATTGAAGACAGATAGGGCACCAATCAGACAGCCTTTGGATTTCAGCCTTTGGATTTCGTTACGCAAAGCTTAATGCTGCGTAGGTCCGGGTCTCGCTCGAACCGGCCTAGCGCTCCTTCCCAGATGTCAATAACACTCTCTCTCACCCCAACTTTCACTCACCATCACGACATTACCGCTCCATAACCTCTGCCATCGCAATTCTGCTTCAAGTATCTAATCCATCCCCAGGCTTCACCATCAAGATATAATCGCTTCACCTTCACCAACATGGCGCCAGCAACATCCAAGACTGCTACTCCAAAGGCCACCAAGTCCGACGCCGGTGTCAAGAAGGCCCCTCCTCCTCGCAAGGCCGGCAAGAAGGGAAATGCCAGGAACGCCATGATCAAGATGCAGGCCTACTGTAAGTTTGAAAAATATTGACGCGTTAGTGTCGCGTTATTCGACGCGTTATCACTCTGCGCTAGTGGATGCTGTAGAATAGTAACTAAATTTTAAAAGTCAAGGAGAACCGCACCAAGTACAAGGATCTCGACTTCAAGGAGCAGCAGAAGGAGCTTGGCAAAGACGTGAGTTTCAATGTTGCGCTCGCCACGGTTCCTGCAACCGGTCTAGCCATTCATCACCTCACATCACTGACATCTTGCAGTGGAAGGCCTCGTCCGAGAACCCAAAGAACGCTGCTGCTTAGTGATTTCTGGACACCATCAGCACCATTGGCCTTTTATCTTTCATCACGGAATCACTTGCTGTCATTCAGAAGGACGGGTCCAGTCACGTCCATTGCCTCCACTGGACAGATTCATTTTCTACGAGCTACTTCTTCCAATGTCTTCTTCCTGGTCTTTACCACTCGAGAGGGGTATGCATCATCGCAGGCGTTCTGGAAGGAAGGTTGTGCTTAGTTCAGAAGCCGCTTCACGGCAATATGGATGAAGTCCGAAATTAACATGTTACACATGCATTGTACCTGCAGCCATTGTGATACCGCACTCAGGCTAATCATGTGCAACATCTATGTTCATGACAAGACGGCACAAGTGTACCGAAATCGGCTTTGAAGTTAGCACAGATCTTCCTTTATGATAGCATTGCCAGCGTGCTCACGATTAAAGTTTCCGTTCTCAGTCAGCATAGACGCGTTGGTCACATGATCAGTTGGGACTCGGTTTCTGTGCAGCTTCAAGCCTGTCACAGCTTCAAGAGCCCTCCAATACGTCGACCTTATTTTGAATCAGAGCTCTGTGTTGAAGACACCATCCTTCGCATATCGTACACAGCACACAAAAGCATGTGGTTGTTGTGAGGCCCGAGCTCCTAGTGACGCCACAACCCCACCGGCCAGACTACGAAGTACCGAACGACCCCTCCGACACCACTCGTAAATTCTTACCCGTTGTGTCAGCAGCGGGGCTTCACGCGACCTATGAGCTGTCGCAATTGTCATCGGGAGCTTCCCCAGAAGTCCCCACGTTCCGCGTCTGGCCATAGTTGGAATGACTTGATGCTTGCTAACATGTGTGTAATGCGACAGGAAGCTTTACAGACTCACTTCGCATCTGCAGATTCATTCTTTCACTGACAATCTTCATCTCTTTCTTTTTCTCTTCCTTCCTCCCCTTGCCTGCGACCCCATCTTCACTAACTCCTTCTCCTCAACACCACCGCACATCACCATGGCGGCCTCTGCAACCGGTCCAGGTACCGCATCAGTCCCCGAACTCAAAAACCTCACAATCGAAAACATCACCGAGAACGTGCACCGCATCAATTCGCAATGTTCCGACCCACGCCTGAAATACGTCATGGAGCGCCTCGTCTCGCACCTGCACGACTTCGCGCGCGAAACGCGCCTTAGCTTCGATGAGTGGATGGCCGGCATACAATTCCTGACGCAGGTCGGGCAGATATGTACGGATGTGCGACAAGTACGTTTACCTCCCTTGCTCTCCCAGTATGGTGCAAAGTCCCATGGTGCTGATTGTATTGTGAATTAGGAATTCATCCTCCTCTCCGACATTGTCGGCCTCTCCCTCCTCGTCGACTCAATCGACCACCCCAAACCCCCCTCCTCAACCGAAGGCACCGTCCTCGGCCCCTTCCACACACACGACGCATCCCACCTCGCCCCCCGGGTCTGCCATCTCCGCCGATCCCTCCGGCACTCCCCTCCTCGTCCTGTGCACCGTGAAGACGACGTCCGGCGCCCCCGTGCCCGGGCGTCAAGATCGACGTGTGGGAAACCGACAGCCCACGGCAAGTACGACGTGCAGTACGAGGATCGGGGGGATAAAGCAGACGGCCGGGCGGTTGTGGAGAGCGACAAGGATGGAGTATTTTGGTTCATGGGGATTGTGCCCGTGCCGTATCCGATTCCGAATGATGGGCCGGTGGGCAAGTTGCTGGTCAAGTTGGGACGGCATTGCTGGAGGCCGAGTCATATGCATTTCATGTTTGAGAAGGAGGGGTTTGATCACCTTGTTACGTGCGTATTGCCTCCCTTGCATTGATGTGTTGAGATGCTAATCGTCTGGATAGAGCACTGTATATCAAGGGCTCGGACTACGAGACGTCGGATGCGGTTTTTGGTGTCAAGGATTCGCTGATTGTCGGGCTGGATACTGCGACGCCGGAGGAGGCGAAGCAGTATAACGTCAAGGAGGGCACGCAGGTGCTCAAGTATGACTTTGTGCTTGTCACGGACGAGGAGACGAAGCAGCTGAGGCATGACGAGGCGGTCAAGGCGATGAAGGGATTGGGCAGAGAGGGCATGATGATTGTAAACGGCTTGCCTGTGCCTGAGGTCGATTAGAGCCCTCTCCCATCTTAGAAGAATACAACAAAAGACGGATCACAATGCATCGTGGTAGTCCTCGTGTCGGAAAAGCGAGCAAGCTCACAGCTGATTAAGATTTCCCAAACATGGACACACACACACTGGTGCCATTCTCAAATCGAAAAGAAAAGTAAACGCATGTTCCTGTCCGCTCTAGGCGTCAATCCACACATGCCCCATCCCTAACCTCGAACATCGAACATCGAAAGCCAAACATATGAAAACCCCATCCAAACCCATCATCTCCACTAAGAAGTAACCCTTCGAACCCAAATCGCGCTCCCAACATTCGGATCCTCCCTCTCCCTCTTCTTCCACGCGCGATGTAGCTTCATGCCCACCTCGTACTCCTCACGCTTAATCTCGCACAACTCGTCTTCAAAGCTGCGCTTGCGCTGCTCCACCAGCCGCGCGCGCTTGAAGTCGGTGATCAGCGGGTTCGGCGGCGCCGCGTTGTTGAGGTCGTTGAGCAGGCGGTACACGTTTGAGCGCCGGATGCGCAGGTCTTCCATGGCGGACTCGAGGACCGCGATGTGGTCGGCGGCGGAGAGGGAGGTTGGGGGGGAGGGGCAGCGCTTTGGTGGTGTTGGTGCTGTAGGGTAGAGGAGGGAGAGATGGGGCGCGAAATGGGAGAGGAGAGCGTGGCGGTGCCGGGGCTGTCCATTTGTGGTGGGATTTGGGAGAGGGGGATGCGGGGAGGAGGGGCGGTTTGCTTGGGGGATGGGCCGGCGTCGGCTGAGGATCGAGTTTGCGGCTGAGGTGGAGGAGATGGGTTCTGTGACAGTGCGCTGGCGCGGTGGTGTTGTGGTGGGTAGGTTTGGGGGCGAGGGCGGGGGTGAGTGTTGGTATGTGGTTGCGCTGTTGTATGTCGTCCACGAAAAGCGACTGTTTGATACCTCTTTCTGGTCTGGAGTTCGCCCACTCGATTTCTTTGCTACTGGTTCGATCGGTGGTGTGGGAACTCGTTGTTGCGCGGGTAGATTGCGTGCAAGCCCTTGCTCGTGAATGACTGTATCTGGAGAGTCGTTGCGCTGCCTTTGCGCGGGTGTTATTGGATTCGAAAGCGCCTGTATTCCGAGTCCTTTGGGATAGTTTGGTGATATTGGAGAGGTAAGCGGAGTGTTCCTGCCAACTTTGAGGGGTACAGTGGGTTTGATGAGGTCTTCATGCGACTCGAGTGCCTGAGGGCGGTCTGCGACAGAGCCAGTGTCAGCCCAACGAACACCACGATTGCCGTTATCAGAAGGCGCATTCGTGTTTGACCTTTCTGCAGTTGGCGATAGCGTCTTCCTGGGAAGTTGTAACGGTGCTTTAGCAGCCTGGTCCTTTAGTGGCGGCGCAATCTGGGAGCGACCAGTTGCGCGACTCCAAGGCTCGTGCGTTGCAGTCTCAACAGACGGCGGCGATGGTCGCCCTCCAAATCTTCCCATACGATCCTTGATACTCGCTTTTCTCTTGGGCCCAGACACTGAGACATGGTATCCCATTCCCGACAGTTGGTCTCCAGAGGATGCGACACCTTTGGCATAAGAGTTGGGGCTGACTGAACCAGTCTTGCCAGCACCACTCGCGGTTGGCTCACCAGAATACTCGTCCCACTTGACTTTGCCTTCAGGCGCGACTTTGCCTCCCCAGAATTTCTGAGCTGGCTGAGTTTGGCCAGTTTGCAGTACGGGTGGCGCCTTTCGCAAGACAGGAATGTTGCTTCCGTGCGGAGGTAGTACGGGTTTGCCACGGTGGTCATCCATTGGTGATACGTCGCGCATGGAGCGGAATCTCCTAGGCTGGTTGGAAGTGGAATACTGTTGCTCTGGTTCGGGCGAGCTTGGTGGTGAAATCTCCTCGTATGCATAAGACGGAATAGATGTAGGATTGTCGTAGTACGCTAGGTCATTTGAGGGGCGTGAGTAGACAGATGATTCTGTGAAAGCTTCTGATGCCCTGTAGTTAGGAGGATCCAGCGGCGAGCGGGAGCTGTAGTTGTTAGCTGTAGACTCGAGTCGTGATTCAGGGTCCTTACGATGATTGAGGGTCAGGCGCATTGTATCGGTAATTTGCATGTTGAGCTTCAGTGACATTTGGGTTGCGCCTCAGCTGTTCCTCGTCATAGGTCGTTTCAAGCAACACCGGGTTGCCGATTTGCGCATTTCTCTCTTTCTCTCGCCCATAGCCCTGTAATCGTTTCCACATTGCGACTAGTCCTATATGAAACGATGATTAGCCCAACCCGGAAGTTCATGTTATGCGATGATCTCGCGAGGCTAGAAACAGCAAGCAACCCTGCACTTTTGGGGGTCTCTAATGCCATGCATGCCCGATCCGATGGGGTTTGCTTTCGTTGTCCGAGTCGTTACAAGGTCGAAAATTGATCGACGAGCCGCACATTCCACGGCCGTTGTGTGATCCACATGCGCAGGGCAGGCGATGCTGGCGATTTGTCGGAGTCTGCGGATGCAGACTCAATGTTGCGAGTTTGATGGTTCCGATATTGCGCATGGCAGAACCACGACTACACTCGTCTACCGCTAGCACTGGGAATAGCCTGGTGGAGTCTATAGACTTCCGAGAGCGATGATTGCCACAAGTATATCCATGGGAAATGTCCGGGTTGTTCACGTGGTGTCGTTCGCATGAAGAGCAGATTACAATAGAGGGTTGCGTCGACATGAAAGATAATAGGCATGCCATAACGCCGCGAATGCAAATAGAAAATGTATGCTTACCTGGTGATTAAGATGACGATTAAGAAGAGAGAGTGTACAAACGTCGTGTAAGACGTGCAAGCTCAGAGGACATTAGATGTGAGAGAGCCAGATTGCAAGATGATGAGAGGGATGCCGGGTCGATGCTCCACGCGTCACAAGAGGTGGTGAGGCGCAGCTTTCAAACACCCACGCCGCCGCGCAAGCAACTGGTCTTTGTTGGCTTTGAGCTCGTGCGCGTCCTCAGATGCAGTGGACCGGTCTACGCTGGTTTGCCAGCGGCTGTTGGCTTTTGTTTCGAGGCAGTTGCCGTGTGAGCCAATCAGAGTTGAGGCGGGCGACTGAAATGAAGCTCTGTGCGGCGTTTCAGGCTGATGGCGGCGTTTCAACGGAGCCGCAATTGGCGGAGAAGGGCCTCGAGCTTCTGGAGGCAGACGGGCGCGTGCCTGAGGTCAGTTTAGAGGGTTGGTTAGTGGAGAGACTGTTGTTTGTGATTGTTGATTTGTGCAGCCTGAGGTGCTCAAGGTTTGTGACGTGAGACGGTCGATTCCTCGGCGCAGACGTGGCACCATGCACTCGTTGATGGCAGCACATGCACATGTACTATCGCATCGCAGGTGGTTGCGGCTCCCCAGGGGTGCAGCTGGGAGCATATGGACAATGTCTATAATTGTCTCGATGCAATGTGCTTGCTTGGTGGTAGGGGCGCGCTGGGCGGAAATGTGGGGGCGGCTGGTTTCCCTAGACAGCTAGTGCCGGTGCTTACCGGCGGAGTTGCAGGTTGCATCATGGCTGGGGCATGGCCGAAATAAGCTCAACCCTCTAATCTCTCCACAACGACATCGTGAGAGTCTAACGGTAGCCGCATCGTTCGTCGATCACCATGGCTGACGGTACGAAACGTTGAACTGCCCAGGGGCCAAAGGCCAAAGCTAACAGCAGCCCGCAGCTTCAGCGACCCCGCCGGCAGCCTATGCGTAAGCCCACAGAGCGTCCGCAGATGCCCTTCTTCTTGATACTAACCCTACATTCAGCGCTTCGCCGGTAACGCCCATCAATCTGATCCTCCTCTCTCTCTTCGCCGTCCTCGTCTATCTCCGCCTCAAGCCGTCCGCTCCGCCAGCCCTTCCGCGCGCTCCGCCGCCCACCGTCTTCCGCACATTCACCCCGCCCGAGCTGTTTCCCTACAATGGCCTGAATGGCATGCCCGTGTACCTGTCGGTTCGCGGCCGTGTCTTCGATGTGACCTCGGGACGGAACTTCTACGGCCCCGGCGGTCCCTATGCCAACTTCGCTGGGCGCGATGCGAGCAGAGGACTGGCGTGTGGTAGCTTCGACGAGGAAATGCTGACCAAGGATCTGGACGGCCCGCTTGACACGCTGACTGACCTCGACGATGAGCAAATGGAGGCCATGAGAGGCTGGGAGGAGAGGTTCCAGGAAAAGTACCTGGTAGTAGGAAAGCTGGTAGCTGTCGGCAGCAAGGAAGCTGAAGAGGCGAAGGCGCATCAATAGGCCCGAGTCGCATAGACGATGGAGGCGTGTACGCAGAGTGCGAATGTTTCCGTGTGATTCCGGGCACGCCAAGGACAACTTCTGTGCCAGTTGCAAGCTATAGGAGGATCACAGAATCGAGATATGCAAAGACCAATGTGCTGACTTCAGCGCCTTCCCCATGGCATATCACGCTGGAGTAGCGAATTTCTACGAGGCAATGACAACGACAATAACGACCTTGAATTGCACACCTTAGGTTGCTTCAAACCCTCATGACTGCAATCCGTAGTGAGAATCGACTTCAGCATTGCAGGCCAGTCATAATGGCTGGCAATGAAGCCATCGCCCCTGGTAGTCCTGTATATCTGCAAACATGCATCCAGTATCTCTCAACACAGCAACAGAACGTATCCAAGAGTTAAGAGGTGACTCCGCAGACTACATAGATATGCTTAGAGTCGTCAGCCAATCGACACACAAGCTAATCAGTGCTTCTGTGGCGGAAAGCGGGGTTACACCTACACAGGCAACTCTATCCCACCTTCACGCATGCTGCATCCGGCATGGCGTCTGCAGCGTCTAGTCATATCTTGAAGGTCTTTCCATACAACACCATGAAAGCCTTGCATATGCCTGTAAGTCTTTCAATATTGCGGCCACACTAAAGAGACCGTTCGGCCTTTGACAATCAGTTACAGAAAATGAGTGACAGCACAATGCAGGGACTCGATCTCATCAAAACACATACACCATGGATTCTGATGCTGCTCGCTGTCAGTTGGTGCATCTTCAAACCCTTCCAAGCATGGTATTTCAAGCCAGGCTCCAGAGTACCTACAACCCTCACCCGTTCCCTCATAATCTCTAACTCCCACCCTCCAGCAACCCACCTCTTCCCCCAAAAAACAACAAACCCAAGACAACGAGGAAGCATACCACACCATCCACCCGCTTCCAAACTTCCACCTTGAGGCCGAACAACCCCTCAAACTCCGCCCCTTCAAGCCAATCTACCACATGACCATGGCCCTCGAATCCACCACCTTCTCCGACCTAATTGCCATGGATAACACCTTTTCCTCCCGCTGTTCCATCCGCAAGGGGTTGATCCAGTCAAACCGCCACGACGTGCTAGCATGTACTCCCCGCGGCGCGCCCGCCGTGCTAGAACTATACCACTGGCTGACATCAACATACCTACCCCGTCGCTTTCCCTCCCTATACACGCAGCAAAAGAACGGTTTGCACAACACCATCACAGGAGAAACCATGCCCTTCCACCTCCCCTCCACAGACGCCGAATCCGCCCTGCAGTATCTCGGCGAGAACATCGACACCGATTTCTTCCTCCTCCTACCCTCTCTGAACGCACATGACGAGGGCAAATACCGCCTCGAAGCCTTCATAAACACCTTCCCCAGCGGCTTCAACACGCGCAGCAAACTCGGCCGGTTGCTGGCAGACATCCACGCGCCCGTCCCGCACTACGCCGCCAAACTCGAGAAGAGCATGGACCGCTTCTTCGCCTCCCTGCCTGTGGGCAAGATGCTCAAGAGGGCGAATTGGAGCATATCAACCAATGGAGAGCTGTTTTGTCTCGCGGGGAATCACTTGACTGAAGCGCATCTCAATCCCCCCAACAACACCCATGAGCAAGACGCAGAAGAGATTGATCTCAAGAAAACGGTCCTCAGGTGTGAGAGACAGACGCTGCATCGCTTACCACAGACGCGCTCTTGTGTTTGCTTTTGTAAGTCTCGTCTACTTGTGAGAAAGGGTTTTGGGGGCTGGTTGGACTAATAGTGTGTCATTAGAAGACGTATCAGTACCCGATTCAGGAAGTAAAGGATGAAGGGAGTGGCGAGATACTTGCGCAGGCGATTGATGGCTTGGCCAGGGGCAGTGTGCCGGACATCCGGATCTACAAGAGACAAGTCGTGTGGGGCGAAAAGGTCAAGGCATTCTTGCGTGGTGAAATCAATGCATGACCAAGTGTGCAAAGGACAAATAGGTGTAGAGGTGGTATGTATTGATTTTTTCAATGCTCGGCAATGTAGCCACATTGAAAGTCATGTGTATATACACTTAAAGAAATGTCTTTGTACTTTTGCTCCCATATCCTCGCTATCGGTGAATAACTCCTGTCTCCTTTGCGCCTGACCATATACTCCAGCCAAAGAAAATTGAGCCGACTGAGCCACACATGACCGTAAACGCCACCGTCGATCAAATGCCTATCCTGCTCTGGGAAACGAAGACCCTTGTTGGCTTCAGTGCAGTAGAGGTCGACTGCCACATCGGAAGAGGTTGTTGAGCAACCAGGTCCAACGTTCGATGCCATACCAGAAAAGGGACAGTAATCGGACATTGTCGACCATACTGGACAAGCAAACAGGGAATAAGGAGGGGAAGTTGGAAAGGAAAACACGGGGGAGCTTGAGAGTGACTAGCAATCAATTCCAACCGCGCAAAGCAACGCAAGGAGTTCCAGCGCGCTGGCTTACCGTCTGATACCGGGCGTTCCTCGCTTCATCATGGGCGGCTTCACAACCGCAGACTTGGGAATGAGGGGCTTGCTGGTGCCAAAGACCTTGTGGTTGATGGCTTCTTTAGGCGTCAGACGCTTCTCGACGTTCATGTGGAGACAAGCACTAAGCAGATCAGCCAGATCATTCAGTTCCGTGGCGGTTGGGCCACCCGATGCAATGTTTCGAGCGGCATCATGCACCCGGGTCTTCAGATCGCGATTGATCTTTTTCTGTTGCTCAATCTTGCGAACAGCAATCTGCAAGGAATTAGCCAAAGCAAAAATGACGGTACTATACATACATTGTTCTGCTGATCTACCTCACGGCTGATGAACTTCAGAGTCGATGATCCAAACTCGAAGTGCGTGAGGATATTGTTCGCAAGTCCCTTGCGCAGAAGCTTCTCGCTAGGCCAGCCTAGACAATCCATAAAGGCCTTGACCATTTGGTTGTTCGACCTGCCTGTGAAGAGGATCTTGCCTGTCCATAACTCGTACACAGTACATCCAACAGCCCACATGTCAACTGGGTAGCTGATGTCCATACCCAGGATGATCTCTGGTGCACGGTAGAAGCGACTAACGAGGTATTCGGTGCGCTCGATGATGTCACGCTTATCGACGGCTGTGCCGAAATCTGCGAGCTTGATGGTCTTCTTATCTTCCGACACCAAGACGTTGTCAGGTTTGAGATCGAGGTGGATGACCTGGCAATTCTGCAGGTGCAGTAATCCGTAGAACATTTGTTTAGCATATAGGCGCACAGCTGGCAACGTGAGGCCATGGCCGTTGGTTTCTTCCTTTAGCAGATCTCGAAGGTTCTTGGACATGTGCTCGAAGACAATACACAAGTGGCCCTTGTGATCGAACGAGCCGAGAAGTCGGATGATGTGCTTCTTGTCCTGCGGATCCTCCTCGTTGACCTTGCGCAGGAAATCCATCTCCTTCTGACTGGCCTTCCTCATCAATTCGTTCCTGCGAATCATCTTGATGGCGACCACCTTGTGGCTGGGGTCGTCGGTCTCAGCGTTTCTGTCTTCAGCCTGCGCAACATTCGCGAAGACACCACGGCCTAGGGTGCGGATCATGCGGTAACGCCCGTTATTGACCAACTCGTTGCTAATGAGCTTGTAGTATCCCTCCGGATCGTCCCAGTTATCGAGTAACTTCTCATCCAGCACAGTTCCTTTCAAGTCCGCGCTTTCTTCGACCATGGCTCCTGCGTCGTCGTCTTCCTCGTCGTCTGATGCAAACATGTCTAATTCCTTCTTCTGCTTTTTGACCGGGACCACTTTCTCGGCGGGTAGAGTTGAAAGTACCTTTGAATCGGTCTCGTGGTACGCTCCAGATGAGACTTCGGAAGCCTGGTTCTTTTTGGCCGCCCGATTTCGATCATCCAGCATGTCCTGCACAGGATCATAATCCGCTGCCGATGGACTGGCTGCAGCAGGACTATTTGCTTCGCTGACACCAGCCTGTTTGTCGATTACCATGACATCTGGAGAGGCGGGCGCGGAATCCGAATCGCCGTTGCGCGGTGAAGCAAATGGAGACATGGACATATCCGCATGGAGAGAAGGCGAGGCCGCGTTCGGCGTAGTAGCTTCCGAAGCATTTGTGATCACCGCCTGGTGTAGGAGGTCCTGGCTTGCCTTCGCCTGCATCTCAGCGCGCTTAGCTGCCCATCGGCGGCGCTTTTCCTCGCGCGACTCTTCTGTCGGAACCTTCTCCTCGACAGGTGCGAGGGAATAGTCGGTTTCGTCAACGGCGGATTTCCTATCGTGAGATCAGTAACAAGGAAGGAAGTGGAATTTGGCTGCCTTACATTTCGACATCCTGTTGCTCGCTTGACTGCTTTGCTGCGCCTTGCGGGCCGCCAGCAGTAGCCTGCTCATGTCGTCGCGAACGGGCTTGGTGGCTGTTGCGCTGATGGTTTCCGTTACTCGGATTCTGAGAACGATCATTCGCAGGCATGCCATCGCGGAAGTCTGGCACTGCATTTGGGTTCTCTAACTCAGCATACGATATCGGCTTAGCGTGGCGCTCTGGCACCTCTCTACGCCCACTGGAGTCACCAGACTGAGGAGGTGCACGACGGCCGTCTTTCTGGCGGAAATCGCTCCCTCGGTCGCTCCTGTTGCGATCAGTGTGAGGCCGCTTCTCTGGACGACCCCCACGTGGTGGGGAACCCTTGCGCTTGGTATAGGAGCGCGAGTCACCGCTCTCACGACCATGTCGGAAGGGGGAAGGCGAGCGGGAGCGGTCGATGGTGCGTTTGCTGCGGTACGGCGAAGGGGAGCGGGAGCGGTCGGGGACGCGTTTGCTGCGGTAAGGCGAGGGAGAACGTGAGCCCTTCCGACGATAGGGTGAGGGCGAGCGACTTAGAGGGCGGTACTTGTAGCCTGAGCTTGTGAGCGGCCGTTCTGGCCGTGAGCTTTTGTAGTGGAACACGCTACCATCATTGTCCGAAGCTCCATCCAGGCCGAAGACCCTGTTTGAGCCGTTAACCTCGGAATCGTTGTGTTGATTGAGCCTGTTTGCCTTGTGCTGCATATCGAAGGCCTCGCCGTCCGAGGCAGAGCTGGCGCGTGAAGTCGTCATGTCAAATACTTTCCCGTGACTTCTGCAAGTCCAGCGATTGAATTCTGGGCGTCAGCGTGCTTCTTGTTGTGGGTGCGATTAAGTGTCTCTGTCACTGACTGTGTCCCAAGAGCTGGAGGCGCTCGACCGACTGGTTTGTGTGGGCAAGGGAGCACGCAGAGAGACAGACGGGAGTGGTGTGCGATCGCAATGCGATTGACAACAACTCGTAAAGAGCAAGAGATGCGCGACAAGGTCGGTGTCGCGATGGGATCGCGGAGTTAGTGGGGAAAGCGCGAAAACGATGAGGTCAGAGCTTTGTGCCAAGCCCTTAGTCGGTCAAGTCACGTGGCCGACTCGTTCACCCTCACACATCAGCATCATCCGTGCGAAGCCGCGGGCAAGACGTTAGTGACATGTGTTGTGGGCAACGCTCAATGCTTGCGCGTAGATCAAGCAAGGCGAGCCTGTGATTGGTACACTTTGAACCTGCCGCCTGTGGGCACTACGTACCATGTCTTGCCTGAATTGAGCAGGTGTGAACATGGTCTCGATGTAAGAGAGAAAACGTTCTTGATCGAGAGTCCAGGGGGTGCGACACTTCATGTACGAGGATTTGACGGGAGTCGCATACATGCTTTGCACGTCTGTAAACATAAGACAGGGATATTGGGCGCGGCAACTTTGATTATGAGCAGCGGAAGAATGCTGCTCATCTCAGTCAGCATGAGTCATCACTGTGGCAGTTGGGAACACCGGTTATATCAGCCCGATTAGGTTTAAATGTTGAGAAGCGGTTGTGGCTCAAGATGGACCCTTCCGAGAACGTCTGACGTTAGTCGACCAGATTTCGGCACGCCAATCCAGCGGAATATGTCCGACATTTATCGGGCAGACTGTACGTAGGTGGTTGATTCGTATTCAAACGATGTACACCATGTAGGAGAAAACTTTCGTACAAGGGGTCCATACGAAGACCGTGCACACGACCTGCATCTGGCCGAGGAGATGCTCAAGAGAGTTTGCCGATCTAATGTGCTAATGCACTATGATCCCAGCTCCCGCAGAGCCTGTGATGAGTGGTGCCACACCACGGCGTGAGGCTTGTTGCATAAGTTTCTGACTAGGCATCTATTAGAGAGGTTTCTACGTCCGTTTTAGAGTTTTGATTCTAAGTATTTATAAGCGTTTTAATCGCTAGTTGCAGTTACAGCAGCGTTAGCGCTAAGTTTAGATAAGAAGAGTTTTTATCTATTTTATATTAGCTCTTAATCTAAATATTATTATGCTCTGCGCTAAGAGCTTACTACTAAATATTATATCTTAGCGTTCTATATACCTGCCTAAATAGAGTCTCTAGATAACCTTGCTGCTATTACTATAGCTGCCTAGCTATATATTAATAGTATACTAATTGCTATAATTCTTACTACTCTAAATAATAATATATCTTAGTAGCTATATAAGCTATTTAAACGCCTTAGCAATTATTATATAGTTAATATTTAAGTAAATAAGAAGAATAGCAGTATAAGTAATAACTTATTTAAATTCTATACTTATTTTAATAAGAAAGAGGTTAGAAGAATAGTAAGAAGCTTTAAGTTATCTATTTATTTTAGTATAGATAAGCAAGATGCTTACGCTTCTACTAAGACTCTAGAGAAGTCTCTAGTAGTATTTCTATAGAGAGCTACTTATCTACTGCTGCTAGCATATTTAATACTATATTTTAGAAGATCTAGACTCTAGTTATTATAGGTATATAATAGAGTTTTAAACTACCTTTAAGAGTACTAGAGTACTTAAATTTAGTTTAATAGATAGCTATTATAACTTATAAAACTAAGCGTATACGCAGTAGCAGTTACTAATAGCTTTAATAGCAAGAATAAGCTTATTTTTAGCTTTATAGATAGTACTAAAGTGCCTATTTACTACCTAGGTAAGAAGTTGCAGTAGCTATACTACTTAGGCTATAAAAAGTAGCACGCTATAAGCTACCTAGTAATAGTATTATCTAATAAGTTACTTAGTATAGTATACGCTAGTAAGCTAGCTACTAGTAGAGATGCTAGTCTCTATATTAGTATAAGCATAGGCAATAACCTTACTAAGGTAACTACTTACTTACCTGCTAATAGCAAATTATATATATATAGTAACGCTGCTTTTAGTAGCTAGAATAGAGTAATAGAAGCATATAAGCAGCTAGCTAGCTAAGTGCTAGCGCTATCTAAGAAGAGAATTAATACTTAGTATTTAACTAAAAGGATTATAGTAGAGCATAGCATTAGCAGCATTAGGCTAGCAAATAGGTATAGATAACTTATATATAGGTATAAGTTAAGGTATAGTTAAGTATAGGTTAACTAAGGTTAAGTTAATACTAAGACTATATAAGTTAAAGTTAAGTATTATATAAGAAAGTTAAGTCTAGGTTAACCTAGGTTAATTTTATTATATAATACTTAACTATATAATTAAGTATTATATAAGCAAAAATTTAATCTTCTAAATTACTTAATTTAGTAGTATAGATGCTTTAGAGAATAAAAAAAATTATTAAATTTTTACTTATATAATACTTAACTTTAACTTTAACTCTATTATATAATATACTTAACTATAACCTAAATATCTATGACTATAACCTAACTTATACCTATTCTAGCTAGAAAGTTTAAGTATAGGTTAAGTTAATTTAGAGTTTATATTATATAATACTTAACTATAACCTAACCTATACCTATTTGCTACTCTAAGCAGTATTAAGAGTAACTTTAAGCAGCTATATAATTTATATAGGCTATAGAGTAGAAATTACTCTATAGAGTATTACTTACTAATATTAAGCTTTCTTTAGAACTGCAGAACTTACCTGCGCAGAGGTAACTAAATTTCTACTATATTTAACCTTATGCTACTAAATTTAGAGAAGTATATAAGCTTAGAAGTAGCATAGAAGATAGCTAATAAAATTAAGCGTATTAGCTTTAGTATATTATATAGATAGTAATATAAGTAGCTTTTTTAGCGTTTAAATAAGCAGTATATTGCTATAGAAACTTCTATTTAAAACTTAATACTACTATGTATAGATATCTCTAACTATCTAATTAGGTAAGGCGTAGAGCTATTCTCTACTATTCTTCTTTATAATTAATAGTAAAGCATTGCTTTTAAGTATTACTAAGAGCTTTAAGCTTCTTAAAACTTTAGAGGCTTAGTATTAGAAGTAAGATAAGTAATAGTATAATTTTTAAGCAATATTATATAGAAAATAAGCTGTTTTTAGTATATATAAAAGCTCTACCTAGATAGGCTATCTCTAACGCCTTAGAAAACTAATAATAACCTTATGCTTAAGGTTACTATAAGTTACTTTCTAATAAGCATATACTATCTTATATAGAGTTTAGAGTAATATAAGCCTAATAGCTATGCTTAATATTAACTTTAATACTACGCTACTCTATATTGCTTCTATCTTAATATCTTAGTAACTCTAAAATTACGTCTAGCTTCTTATTCTATTATTATTACTTATTTCTTACGTTTTTAATAGCATTCTATATAAGGTTTTAGACCTCTAAGTAAGTAATTTCTTTATTCTTATTATTAGAAACTAATACTTTACTAAGATATCTAGAGTAACTAGCTAGGCTCTAAAGTACCTCTATTATTCTATTAGTCTTATGCTTATTAGCTTCTATTAACTACTTAAAAATATTACTATTATTAGCATATTATTGCTAAGCTTTAACGTAATTATTTAAGTTATAGCTTAATACTTAAGCACGCTTTTACTTAGGTTAAGATAATATTTCTAATATTTCTAACTCTACTTAAGTAAGTAATACTCTCTTCTTATTGCGCTAGTAGCTCTATAAGTTTATATAATGCTTCTCTTTTTAATAAGTTTTAGCAGTAGCTACTTCTTTATTAACCTTAACTTTGCTAATAAGATTTTATTTAGTAATTAGCTTATTAAGTAATTAATAGTATAAGCTTTAGTTTACTTTCTTATTACTTATTTTATTCTCTAGCTTCTGCTTATAATAAGCTATCTTACGCAGTAAAAAGCTTTTTATAGTATTCTTATTATAGGCAAAAGGCTTCTTACTACCTACTATAAGAATATTCTAGTAACGTTATTTAATAATATTTTAAATAAAGCCTATCTTTCTCTAGTTTAATTTTAGTAAGTAGCTATATAGCGTAGCTGCTAGTAAAATAACTTACTTATACTTATACTTAGAAATATACTTCTACTTTAATAAGCATCTATCTCTCTTACTACTAAAGTTATATATATTATTACTATAAGCAACGCTAGAGCTATAATTATTCTTCTTTATAACTGCGTTAAGCTTCTTAGTAAGGTCTACTAGTAAGCTATATAAAACTTCTTAGAGATTATATACTAGTAGAGGTAGCTCTCTCTAGGCAGGTAGATTAAGTAACTATAAGTCTAGCCTAAAGAGCTCTTAGAAAGGATAACGTTAGTTATCTCTACTAGCTAAGATAGATAGGATTTTAGTTAGCTCTTATAATTAGATAAGCAGCGCTTTACTTATATACTAATTATTATAAGAAGCTAGCAAGCTAGGTCTTAGCAGGCTAAGAACTTAATTTTAAGTATTCTCTAAGCTAAAAAGTTATTCTCTAGAAGCTTCTCTAGTATCCTCTAGAGAAGCTATTAGAGTAAGATTATAAATAAGATTATAGCTTATTTAGTTAAGCTACTACTCTAGTAAGTTTTAAGAGAGTTACTAAGATATAGAATCTAAATTAAGTCTAATAGTTGCTTATAGTTCTAATAAGATAATTTATTAATACTAACTCTGCATAGTCTAGCTAAGGTTTTAATTTAAACTATTGCTAGCTATCCTAAGTTTAGCGCGATAATAATCTCATTTGCCACCCAGAAACGTACAGAACAGAAACTCCAAAACAGACGTGGAAACCCCCCTATTTACTACTGTGGCACGCACTGGTCGTGTCTGAAGGCGTGCAGCACTAGTGGCCGATTCCAAACACTATTATCCAAGGGCTCGGTATCTGCTTTCAAACAGGTTGGACAAAGAAGTCTCAATGGGTCGTGCCGAGGAATGTGACTGAAGCCAAAGGCGTCTAATACGGAGCTCTCCGGTACATATATCATGGATCGCATCGTGTCGGGTGCCGCTGGACTCTGGGACCAAAAGAAAGATGGAATCTGATGCTTTTGACGCGCAGGCAATCAAGCCTTGAAACCTATCTTCACATGTGAGGACGTCAAAGGTGAATTGTATTACGGCATTTTACATCCACACCCAGGTCGATCTTGAGCTGCACTAAACGCGGTGAACGTCCTTGCAGGCCTAGATGCAGTGCCAAGATCCTGCACTGCTAAACTCTCTTCATGCCACACCCTAGCACGCGTTGTGCACGCAGAAGAGATGGGTGTGAGCCGATGCGTTGTACCCAGTGACACGCTACTAATCAGCTAGGCAAGGGTTTGTAGGTAACACATACGCGACCTGTAAGTAGCAGACCGGCTCATGCCTCCGCATCGCCCAGTTGCAATCACAAGCATCCAAGACTTACCCCGTCGTAAAGGCGAGACCCTCAAAATTGTGTGATCAGCGTCATCGTCTTTGACGAATCAGGCTGCCCTGGCAGAGCTCCAGTCCTTGTGATGGGTCACGTTCTCAGCTAGAGACCCTAGAAAGGATTGAAGCCAACCCCTCAATCACTATACCTCGGAGGACCGTCACCATACCTGCAGATATCTGTGGCTGCCACTGTGGCTTGAAAGAAGGTTCAGTAGCCTGTAGAAGAGGAGGCAGCAAAGGCTCGTTGGTGGTTGCTGAGCATCCGTATTGATCACCGTCATTGGCCTAGTGGCCTTTGAGCCGTACCGGGAAAGCGTCTTGTGCCTGGCCCTCGCGGAGCATGCTAGACAAATAAGATCTACGGTGTGAGCTTACCGGTGTATCTTCCCGTCCAGACAGTGATGGAGCCCAAACGCAATATCCATGGCGATAGCTTCGAATGGTTTGCCCAACAATGCTCTAATTCTTCTCTTGGGCTTCAATCTCCTGCCAGAATCATGCCATTCTCCACGTGACTTTGATACCCGCTCGATTGGCAGATTTGCTTAAACCTCCATCCTTGCTCAAACAGGACAAATACTGGTTTCTCGCACTTGAAGCCTCTAGTCCGTGTTGACTGGGGATAGTAGATTAGCTGCGGCAGGACGTTCGGCGAATCTGGCCCGCTGCAACTTAACAAGCTGTCTGCCAATCAGACGATTCATGTTCTTGGTTGTAGCTTGGAGCTCTGCTGCAGGCGTTCTCACACAAACAGAGGTGCTTGGAATTCTAGTCCATCTTCTGCTCTATACAGGACTATTGGGATCAGCATACTGCTTGCGGTTTAGTAAGTCCCGGGATGTGTTCATGCCAGATTTGCTTTCAGATAGCTGCCGCAAGAGAATGCTTACTTTACAGAGACATCGAAGCAAACATCGTCGTCTCTACCAGATAAGCCGACTCTCGGGGCTTAGCCTCCGGCGCGGAGACCCATCCCACCGAAAACCAAATGGATCGCTGGAATAGCGGGGCGATATGTTCGCGTGTAGCCTCGCTTGCGGAAGAAGCTCATTGAAGACTCACCCGTACATCTCTGCCGTTGTCATTGATGAGAACTTCAGACTCTTGAACATGGACAGGGTGCTCCAATGATCCATGTGGCGTCAACCGTCAGTACGCTTAGTCTGAAGATTGCCGATATCGAGGAGGAATTCGGATAGTCCCCGACGCAACGTAGGATCGAAGTGGTTCTCGAAGCTCGAAGCGCCCCTGATGCGCTCACGGGAGACCTGCTGTCTAGACCTCATGGCTTGCGGAATGACACAATGGTTTTGGCCGTTCTAGTATCAAATCAAGGCTTTTGGGTCGTTCAAATAGAGTGAACGCAGCCGACAGCTACGTCATGTAGCTCACACATCGTTGTGTCTTGAAAGCCGCCGCTGGAATATGGCGGGAAGTCGCTGCAACGCGATGGTGCGACCAGCGTGCTGAGCCTCGTCGATCGGACCGAATCGACGCCATCGTCCTTCCGCTTTGGCGTGCGAAATGCGCATCATTTTACTGCCGGTCGTCCAGACGTGAGCAAGGTATGCCACGATCTCAAGGTCTCGGCCTCTGTGATCTTCGGGTATGGTGCAGGCAATGACTTGAAAGTCAGCGAAGGTGCGTCACCGCACAAGATGACATGAGACCCGTGGTCAAGCGCGACCGAACAAGCTTGCAAGGAAATGGCGTAGAGCACCCTTACCCTTTCAATAAGCCGACGGCGCGCTGATCCACATGGCGACTGACATGTCCGGTGTCGAGATGGGTTATGCCATGATCCAGCATTGTCAGAGTTTGCTTTCAGTCGCATGGCGATTTCTAGACGCACTGTGGCCGTTCCGGTCTAATCCGCAGTGCCGTTCACTAAGCCGACTTCCCCGCTGTCCGTTGGGTTTGGTGCGCTAGTTCATTAGTTGACCTGCATTCGACAGATCTTGGTGTTTAGATGGCGACGACTATGAAACCCGTCCCAGCCTCAAAGGCTTGTCAGCAGTGCCGTCTTAGTGCTGGTTGAACACTAACGGTTTCCTATATTCGTTCCTCATGTAGGCGATATACAGGGTAATTCCCCGAACTGCATGGCAGATCGTCCAAATGTTTCTCGCGAAACATATCCCACGCGTCCGCCACCCAATTTTCATATAGCTTCCTCGTCCGGTGGTACATTGGAGAATGCTCGCACACATGCCTTCACACTCCACACATTCGTCTCCAGGTACGCCACAACAGTCGGCTGAGCACTGATCTACCACTAATCTTCATCAGGACACAATTATTGGTATGGCAGTGGTAGTCTGCCAGACGCGCTGGAGGGATTACCACAAGGTGATTCAAACTCTCGCATTATGCGTCGAGCATCAGAAGCCGTGATTCAATCGGCAGGCTTTCAAAGGTATGCACGATTCTCTTTGTTCGAACCAGACGCAGCAGTGCCGTCTATGGACGGCGGATTTCTCCGCGATGACTGCTGTTCTCGGCGATACTGTCTTCGCAGCGGGGATGCGCGGTGCGTGGTTGAGGTGGGCACAACGGCCCACCCTATTTCATGTCCACTTCCATCGCTGTACGACTTCGAATCCGACCTGCAACTTCGTCTTGCCCAACGCCGCCGCCGCCGCCACCACCACCAACCAGGCCATTACTCGCACAACACGAAGAATCGCAACTCCAGCACGCGATCCGAACGTGCCAAGTAATCGGACGGTGATCTTGAGGAGATATTCTTCTTCGGGCAAGGATCGGCCAAGTACCCCCAGAACCACCGAGGGCCCAGGTCTTAGTCCCTTGCAGGATCAGCGTACGATCCATTGGGCATACTTTTGGTCGGTTGGCGATTGAATGAAGTCCGACAGCCCTCCAAGCGAGAAATTTGGCACGGAGGCCAGCTTTTGTGGGAGGTTAGTCTACTGAGACGCTCGAAGCCTTGCTGTGTGTTTCGATTCACACGAGTCGATGTCGCACGCTGCGATAGCGTTCCACCAATTAGCGGGCATGGTATCAAGAGTTGTGGAGCGCCTTGGCCAAGTCCTTATTAGCTGGTCCCATTGAGTTTGAGCTGATGACTGGAACACGCTGACCAAATTATCAGTCAGGATCCTTCTGAATGGGAGGGAAGTCAGGATCAACTCCATCTGGACACCTCACAGTCAACGCTTGTGATTCGCCCGCAGGCACCGGGCGCGTCCGCACTCCACAAAGCCCCGCTGGCTCCCAAACAAGGTCTGGGGGGTTCCCTTGCGAACGCTCGAGCACAACACTCGTCTCCCATATCCGGCACCTACGCCTTGCGGACGCCTCGGGGCAAGATCACATCCATAGCTTGTGAGAGCTGCAGGAAGCGGAAGTCCAAGGTTCGTGGAGATGTGAAACATTATGATGGCGTGCATTGACCAAGGATTTCAGTGTGACGGGGTTCGACCAAAATGCAATACCTGCCAGTCGAAGAACCTTACATGTGTATACGATGTGGCCGAGGACGGCAAGACTACAACACAGCTGAGAGCCCACGTGCGGCGTTTAGCAAAAGAGCTGGACGACATGAAGTCCATTGTATCATTGTTGGCCATGGCTCCAGACCGGGCTCAGGCTGCGAACTGGGCCAGTGAGCTGGAAAAGAACGGTTTCCAGCACCATTCCGTGGAAGAAATCAAGAAATCGCTCCAGGTGAATGATACGCCATTCGTAGCGTGGGTTTCTCTAACAGAAGGCAGGACCCTTCGGCACCGCAACCCGCTCTACCGGACCAAGACTCTTTCGGCACTTCGGGTAGTGATCAATTTCCGGGCCACGGGCATGGACTTGAACCTGCATCATACGATGACTCGTCGCGCGAAGAAAGGTGAGGTTTCTCAATGGCGGAATGATGCATCCGAAACTGACGCCGCTTTACAGCCGGGAACACAGTCAGACTGCACTAAATTTCCTGCCTAGCAATGCAGTTGACGGTATTACGCGGATGGATCCCCCTCTTGATATCGAAGGTGCATCGACCGCCCTGAGCAAGTTCAGCTTCGACTGCACATACTTCCGTCGGGCGAAGCGAGATCTCCTTGCAAATGGATGGAGCGAAAGCCAAATTTTTGGAAGGGCCGAGGTTGACGTGGATACCATCCTACTCGGTTTTGTAGATCCTCAGGATACTCAAACGGTACCCACGTGGTGCGCACGAACAGTGAATAAGATCCTACCGGCCACGCCTCTACCAGTTCGTCTTGCATCGACCTGGCTGTTGACGAAGATGATGCGGGTAAGTTGCTTATATGCACAAAGCAGAACCACGACTGACTCCAGCTGCAGTATCTTATCTGGCCCAGCGTGGAAAAACATGAACGCCAACCCCGATTGGATGATGCCCTCCATAGGGAAAGAAGAGGTCACTCCGTACGATATTTTGATCGATCTCGTGCCCTGGTATGTACTTAACATTTGCTTCCATGACATGTGGTAGTATACTAACGATCGCAAGGCCACAAGTACGCCAATTGTTATACCAGCATCCACAGGAGTACCCGGTCGGCCATTTTGTAGGTCTGATAGGTGTGACATGGCCGTTTGCCGATGACGCCTGCCATTACTGGGACATTGAAGCTGGTTATACGAGGATGACGCCACTCTTCGAAAGCACAGTCGCTGATCTGAACAATTGGACCATCGATCCGAAGATTTTAGAGCTGGCACCTCAACTCGAAGGACTCCTCCCGATCAAGCCGGTGTAATTCGAAAAATTTAGCAAGTCTTCTATTTTGTTCAATGGTCTTATAGAGGTCCCACTCAGGTTGGGCGGTGTCCTGAAAACATTTTGCAAAATTTCTCGGCTAGTGTAAAGTCCATTTGAGCATGATTGCGAGACGAGAGGGAGATGGACATTATGGTGTACATGGCTCTGGACGCTTGGGCGCTGGTGCTCTTCGAGTTACCTGTCTGGTAGACTAGAGCGTTAATATAGGTAAAATAAAGCTCCGACTGTACATTCCCATGAAGCGAGCTGTATTGCACCGGACAATGTTGCCTGAGGCTCGCAGGCACCATATATACAATAAGAGCAATGGTGCCGTGGGGTTCACTTACCTAGGTCGTTACGGCTTATTATAACTCGACTCGAAATCGTTCCACGTTGGGCCCAGGTCGCGATGCCAAGAGCACATCGGGAAAGCAGGTAATCCCGATCGCCCTTCACCTGAGCGATCCCACTAACAATTATCATTTGCACCCCACGGGAAGTCCCAGCGGTTATCACGCCAGCAGTGGGTCTCTCAAGAAACAGCAGGGTAGATTTCAGCCTGATGGGGAACTGAGCGCGTTTACGGCGCTTGTGGATGCTAGCAAGCTTGGTGATTGGTAGGGCAATGTGCACTCAAATTCATCTAGACGAAATGAGGGACTTCGTTACGAGGTAGAGTGAAAGTAGCCACGAGTTGACTTACACAAAATGATGGAACGCACCCGTATATATGGTACCAACACCGGCTCATCCCGCTAGGCATCCTGCAATACGGGCCTGCAGGTGTCATACTTCCATCTTCCGCGGAGAGAAAGCATGGAACGCCAACACACAAACTTCCGAACATGTCTTACTTCCGCTTTATGTCCGGCCATTTCGATAGGATAATCTACTCTGGACGGAATGCGCCACTTCGCGATCCTAGAGACATGCCCTCCTTCGTCATTTTTCGAGCAATGCCCTCGATCACGGTGCTTCGAAACGGTCCACCCGTGCCCAATGTCGTGGGTCTCACCCGTTCAAGACCTGTTGGTCATCAAACTTTCACTCCATAGATTGTCACAAAATAGTCCCATTTTCTGTCATTATGACACACAACAATGCTTTATCGACAAGGATCTGGCTTAGTAACGACCCGAAAGTCTGCATGTGCTGCAATTTTCTCTTCCTGTCTGTACGAAGCTTCGTCGTTTTAGCGTTTACTGGGTAGTCGATTACAATGCCCACTAACGCACGTCGCAACGGGAACGGTATTTAAGAAATGATCCCAACGAGAGCTGTAGCCAACATTACCGCGGAACGGCCCGAGCCCGATAGTAGCTGTGCAACGATACTGTGCTAGCGTATCAATAGACACTACACTGGTTTGGCATGATTACTTTCTCATAACCTTGTAAGAAACTCGGCCTCTGTAGTGATCATATATTGTGTACACTGTACGCTCAAATGTGTGTATTCCGACGGCAAGAATGAGAAAAGCAGTTCGAGTCGTACCCAGCAACATACAGCTTCTGTGATCCATGTGTCAAAGCATGCACATCCAGCCCTAAATCTAAACGTAACGAGTCCCTCATGTGCACGTCTGAAATGCTCCGATTCAGTGTAAGCCTCGTGCATGACCCCTTTTTAGTCCGGACGATCATTTTGTACACTATGCCAGAACTGAATATCTCTGCATAACATCCGATTTGCTGAATGCCAGAACAGACAATTCTCCGGCACGCTTCGCTTACTTGCAACCGACATACCTACCGTACTGGGTACAGACTAGCAGTGTGCATGGAAACCCCTCTTTGCACAAGTCACTTGTACACAGGAATTATATTAGATCAAAATCTTAGACAACTTCATTGCTTATTGCGGAACTACATATAGATCGATCTCGATAGGATGATCTATGTTATCTTCTTATGATCCGCATTCGGCCGGTGCCTACTTGAACCAAAATCAGTAACTCATGATAGAACAGAACCACGATGTCCCCGGGTGAACGCATCACACATAACTGTAAACATCAGAAGTCTAACACGACGCAACATCGTAAATTTGCCGTTTGCACTTTCTCCCTAGGTACTGCGATGGAACTTTACGATTGGGTTGACTGGGGTCTTTGGAACCGATATTCTACTAAAATAGTGAAGCAAGGGCTAAATATTTTGATATCGCACGTATACGTCACCGTATCACGATGCGCTCCGGAACAATTCTTCCACTAGAACGGTCTTGCCTCTGACCCGGTGTCCACATTCATTCCACAACTTCCTGCGCGTGCCAGAGCCACTGAGATCCTGCTCCTCCACCAGATCCTCAATGTTTGTAATCCATTCATTTCGCTCCTCGCCATCTTCAGCAACAGCGTCGCACATTCGTCGCCTATCAGGTCTCAGGTCGTACGTGATCTGACTACCGACCTGGCCAACAAATCCACCAATCGCTCTATTGCTTTGTGCATCGTTGCTAGAATTATAGAGTCGGACCTTCATACGAGCATTTTTACGAGCTGCCAGTATGCGGGCCTGAGCTTCGAGTCGAGAGCGTGTCGGTGTCAACATAGCTTGCGCGGGACTAGTCGGCGTCATCGGAGATCCGGTAGCAGAATCGGCACGAGCTTTTCGCTCAGCGATCTCGGCCCCATCTTGCGTCGGACTTGATACGAAGCTTGATGTGGCCATGTCAAACGGGAGCAATGCTGTGACAAGCGGCTTGCAAAGTGCTTGGATGAGGCCTTGGGGGTCGTGGGGTATGCGGATGCGCCGTAGGGAAGGAAATACGCCGCTCTTGATACTCTTCGCAAGGAGGGTGGTTGCAAAACAGTTCACTGAACTTGAGCTTGCGGGTGATGGAGGCTCGGGCATGATTAGCGAATAGGATGTGGAGGGCAAATCTACCAACGATCCAGCATCGGAGCGGATCTCCCAATGTATGTACCGAAGCGTGGGTGATTGGAAGGTGGTTGATACTGATTGTCTAGTCAGATTCCCGGGTGCTTTGTCCTGAGCAAGGGAAAATTCTTCGAGGTTGGCGGAGTGAGCTGAGAGTATGTCTGAAATAGTGGTTAGATTTGACACCTCAAGATCGATGAGCAACAGAGTCCTGATAGAACTCATTGCCTGCGAATTAGCAAATCGCTGGAGGCCTTTGTCATCGATGCCAGGAAGATTTTCGAGGCTCAAAGAGCGTAAATTCAGTGGAAGAGCGTTCAATGTCATGTTTGTAAACGAGCTTTCGGAAAGCCCGGATATCGACAGATCTTGCAGATTCGGTAATCGCCTCAGCGTGCCAACAATAGCACGAAAATTCAGAAGTCGTAGCAGTGAGAACATCGTCCTGATGCAGCACTAGACGTCTTCAATAGCACATGACTGGAATTGAGTGCGAGAACACCGTTCTGTCCGGTCGCAGGCTTCAACATAGTATTCGCCTGTTCTGTCGTCACCATCATCGCTCAC